TATCATGCCAAATCATAAGGTATGTAACTAATATGTATGTCCACGAAAGACATGCGTGGATCGCCGACCGGACTCGAGCGGATATCCAGTGGTAACATCGACAAACAAACCTCGGGTCGGCGGCCTGGCATCTGGTAAAGCAGACCCTGGTCCCGCACCGTGAATTACTTGTTTGGGTAATTCTGGTGGTTTAGTTTTTTACCCACGGGGGTGTACGGCATCGCATCCCCTCGGAGATCAGACTGACAGAGTAATCAACAAAATCGAGTTAAACACTAACTGAATCATCATGGTATGCACCCCGGGCTGGATTGGCGCTTCAGCCATGGGCTGACTGACCCAATTGCGACCGACCGGTCTGCCCGCCTTTCCTCCTCCTCCTTCTCCTCCCTCCTGTCTAACTCCCCACTAAACCCCATCTGCGATTATCACCGGCCCTGACTGGTGTCACCCTCCCCTTGGCCATGAGCGTCGCTTACGAGCTAGTTGCAGAAAGTAGTGCAGCCAGTGGCTCCGAGGCAACAAAGCCGAGAATGCGGGCTGGTTTTTTCCCCCCCCAAAACAGCCCGCTCGGACTGAGGGGAGAGGGGAGACGCCGAGAGGGGAAAGGGGGGAGAATACACTCGCACGTCAGACGTCTTCGTGACTGGTCAATCTATCTCTGACCTTGATTGAAGATCGTAGATAAGTTGGGGAGTCCTGTCTACTGAGTAGGTTCTAGTACTTCGTACTAGTAAGAGAAGAGATTGCCCGTGAAGTCAATCGTACAGAGAGAGGTGAAGTACTCGGACTACAAAAAAGCCGTCAGCCCGACTACATGAAAATCCTGAGGCCTTTTTTTTCATCTCTGCCTATTCTATTCTTGCATGAAGCCACATGTACCGTACATACTACCATAATATCCAATATATTAACGACTTCGTGCCGTTTTCCCCGTACAGTCTCAAAAATGCCACCTACATCTTCACACTACTCTCTAGTGTCTACTCGCTGCATCCCGCAGATTAAGGTCGTACGAAATTTCCAGCCCTCCCCTGTCTGTCTTTCTGTCTTGTCTGCCACCATGCCATGAACAACCGAAAACAAAAAAAAAGAGGGCCAAAATCAAGGCACGGACTTGTTGGCGCGGGCCACAGATGTCACTCCTTCCCCTAATCCCGGACGACATATGACCGGTGGAGTTTGTTAGTACTACAACCACTTTGTCTTGGGGTTAAGCATTGGCGGTCTTTTCGCGTCGGAACTCGGAGTCCTCTTCAGGAAATGGGAGGAGGGGGGGATCTAGATTTTAGACTTTCAGGTTAGATCTGCGGATGTTCGGCAGTGGCAAAAATCAAAATATATTGTGGATGTTGCGGGCTTGGTTGGCTGAGTCGGGCGGATATACAGTGAGAGAAAACAACCACAACAACCACTTTGTACGGTGTACCTACCTACTACATACGGTGCACACAGAATGATAGCATCCTCACGTATGAGCAAGGATTCTGCGCCCCGATGTCATAAGGTAACGCGGATCGGTGTTCCATCACCAATAGCAAAGGGATTCAAGACTTCAACTCTGATCGCTCCAGTGGGTTCGTCGATTGGCTGATTGATGGAAGCACGCGAATCCCGGAAATCTTGGAATGATCAACCCTATATTGCGAGTTTACGAATGATTGAATCACTTTCGGAAGGGGACCCTGAGTCAGTACTCCGTAGATGCAGCAGCGAAAGACCATGTGATATCAGGATGATTCGAGCGTTGATATCGAAATTGCAACATGCCGTCTGGTTCCTGTTTACTTTACGCAGTGGTCTCAATGGAAATATCAATCTGGACGAGGTGGTGCCTGTCAAGGTCACGGGCGTAGGATGTTATCATGCTAAGAAGTGCACGGTTCTTCGCTTCAACATGTCATGCGATATCTTGTCTACCTCTGCCCTAAGATGACTCCCGTGCATTCTGAGCTCTGCAGATCTCGTTCCACTCCCCTCTGCGACCTCCAGGGAATAAACTGCCGGACCATATCTGTTCTACTAAATTTAGTACGAACAAAATACCTCCTCTGGAGGATGAATAATGCTGACAGCCAAGGTACATACCCGGCAAGCTTCGAAGATCACTGCGACTAAGAGGGCGACCGGTAGCCATAGATAACAAGTACACTGTTCTCCGACCGTTGGACGGGTCAGCATGGGACCCCACGGTGGAGGTCAGGTAACTGAGATCAGTGGGACAAGGAATCACGATATCTCGGATGAAGTTCCCGTTGATGATGGACTTCTAGCACTACCCATGGTGTAGTCTTGTACGATGTGGAACGTTAGTAGAACTCAGAGACTGTGGAGTGCTCTATCCCGATGTACCGAGACGAATGTGCCGTAATTCCGCTCGAGATGTTGTGGCTGGCAATGGCTGCAGAGATGGAGCACGGTGGTCTCCACGATTAAGATTAATGTTGGATGTTAAGATGACTGTCTCAAGTCCCGCATTTCCCAGGTTGCCTTGGGAGATAAGGATGAGAACGGATTGAAGGTGGGGAAATGACCGATTATTCCCAAAATGGTCGGAAACGCTGGGGAGCACCTGCACGATGGCGTAATAAAGCAGCGCCGAACGGACCGCTCCTTCGATGGCGCAGAATGCACGAGGACGAAAAGGTCAATCGGCGATGATCGTGGTGAAAGGGGAGAGGAGGAGAGGAAGACGACGGTTGCGCTGACATCATCTTACATGTCCTTCAAGGGGACCTTCGTTACAAAACCACGCCATTGCCGACACGCTGTTAAGGTTGGGATTGAGATGAAATCCGGGAGACATGAGAGAGATGATGAAAGAAAACCAGAAAATAAAAGAACAGGAAAGATGACGAAGAATCTAGACTCGTCAGGTTTACCTCCCTTAAGAATTCTTAGGGCAAGGCGCTTCTTATCGTTCGTTACCCTAACTTTCCTCTCGACATGACGTCATGGCCTCATGGCGATGTCAGTTCAACCAGCTTTCGCTTTCCCCCCTAGAGGAAAGAGTTTCCTCGACAGCAACACGGGAGACAGTGCCAGGGAGAAGTTCTTTCTTTCATTTGCACATAACTCATCCTAGTCACATCAGTGTGGTTGATCCCTCAACTGAGTCGCTGATTGCACCAGCGGTTGGAATCTCGGCAGGAACGGAAAAGGCACGCTTGCCTGGCGAATTAATCGATTAGATTGATTGTCCGAAACTCTAGGCTGGTCAGTACACCAAGTAGGCGCACTACGGCGATTTTCTCCTACCTTCTTCACTAAGGTAACAAGTTGGACTCACTTTTTTAGTCCAGGCAGACCTTCGACGTTTATCTACCTGAGGACTCTTAAGTTCCTTGCTGCTCGGCCTCTGCCCCGCCACCCCACCTTACCTCACAGCTGTTGACCGAACACAGCGCTACTACCACCGTCATTCTTCTTTCTCGCTCTCTCCCCTTCTCTTCTCCCCTCTCTCAATCTCCCAAGCGATCTCTTTTTCCTCTTTTCTATTTTACTTCTAGCGCCTGTCCCCAAAGAATCTTGGTCTTATAATCAAAACCAACCAAAAAAATATCATCCACCATGGCCAGCCCATCGCCCAACCTCTACAGTTTCGCCAACACTGACGAGTTGGCCAAACAATTACGGCCTTACGTCCTCCGCAACCAGAACGCCGCGCTGAGCCGCCACGAGACCTTCCGAATCGCTGTCTCCGGTGGCTCCCTCCCTACGGTTCTCGCCAAAGCCCTCCTGGCCCCCGGTAACGGAACTCCCGACGACACCGCTCAGTTCTCCAAATGGGATATTTTCTTCGCCGATGAACGCGCGGTGCCGCTCGACCACGAAGACAGCAACTACCGTTTGTTGAAGGATGAGCTGCTGGACAAGATCCCGGCCGAATTGGGCACCCCGCGTGTGCACACCATCGACTCCGCCCACGTCAACGATGAAGATCCCCAGGAACTCGCCGATCTGTATCAGGAGGAACTCATGCGCATCTTTGCGTCCAAGGATAGCGTCAAGCTTCCCGTCTTCGACCTGATCCTTCTGGGTTGCGGTCCCGATGGCCACACCTGCAGTCTCTTCCCGGGCCACGAGCTGTTGCGCGAAAAGGACTCGTGGGTCGCTGCCATCAGCGACTCGCCCAAGCCTCCCCCCAAGCGTATCACCCTGACTCTGCCCGTCGTCACCCACGCCGTCAACGTCGCTTTCGTGGCCACCGGTGGCGGAAAGAAGGAGATCATGAAGCAGATTTTCGATGCGGAGGAAGGTCGCAGCCTTCCCTCGGCCCTCATCAACCAAGACGCCGGGGAGAAGGTCAGCTGGTTCACTGACCACGCGGCGGTGGACGGAGTCGCCTTCCCTCGACGAGGAAGCCTGTAATGACAAAATTGAAAATCCCACGGGGATGGAAATGCTTGAAATACCTGGCGGGACGAATGTGATACGAAAGGTTCAGTCTGTCTGAAAGTTCTTGGGCAATGAATCCTCATTAATTCGCAGCGCCTCGATGAATAACCGAAATAGTGATAAAGCCGCTCTTGCCTGTCCTATTTTCTTTTCATCTTGATGTATGACCTAAGTTGTTCGGATGCTTGCCAAAAGTTTGTGTTATCATTATTCTGCTGGTATCACGGGCGTTTCTAATGAAATGAGAGTAATGATTATTAGTGCAATTCCCTGTGTTTATTTTCGAGTAATGAAGCAGCCCTGAGATTGAGAAACACTGAGTCGAGCGAGTCGAGAATCCTGAATAACCCGATTAACGATTTAGAGATTAAACGTGGTCGCTCTCGTGGGGAAAGAGAAAAGAAGATCTCGGGAATTCGACCATTTTAAACTCCGCCCGTGCGCCACGCGCTGCGCTGAACTGTTGATCGAGTGACCGCTAGTTGACCTCCCACTCAATTTATCTACAACGACGGACTCCTACCCCGATCGAGGCTCATATCCCCTAAGATTTCCTTTCTTCATACTAACCACGCTAATGAGGGACCGAATGCTCAGCAAAGATGCCCATCCCTACGCGTTCGCTTTCACTCCGTGAGCCCCGTAAGCAGGTTAGTGGGCTGTATCCACCAATTTCCCCCTTGCCTTTTTCCACTGTCATTTCCCGATCCCCAGCCTCTTCGATCCGTTTTTTCTACCTAGCGGACCTTGAACTATGTCTTTGATAGCTTTGGACTGACGTTTGAGTTTTCTGCAAGCCGTCAACTCTCGGACGCACAAGCTCAACCAGGACCGTTTCGACCTCCATCTCCTCCGGACCCTCGAATCCTCCCTCCTCGTCTGGGAGCGACAATGGCACCAAGACCAAGAGCCTTTTGCCCGTTCGTGACGAGGGCCGCTCCACGGCGTCACCGGGACGCATCCCAAAACCGCAAGACAGTCGACTGCCTGAGCGGGGAACCAGGCTCGTTCAGAAGCCGACACAGCGGGACCCGCGACCGGTCGAGCCGACCGGTCTCACTCGACGCCAAAGCTTGATTCGACCCAGTCCGCTCAAACCGACCTCGTCTGTTCGCACTCCTTCGGTCTCTACCGGCTCAACAACTCCCTTGACCACCCCGAAACTGACTACATTCGCGCAAGGCCCGCCCTCGCCGTCCAAATCGGACGTCTCCTCCAGCCAGAATGGCCGCACAGTGTCGCCGAAGAAGACGAGCATGGCTCCTCCGCCACGACCGGTTCGATCAGCATCGTTGAGGCAGCCGGCGAGCTCCAGTGCCGGGACCGGGTCTCCGGCGACCGCCAGAGGGCATATTCGACATCGTAGTCAGGTCACAACGGTGCCCAGTCAGGTTTCCAAAAAACTGGAGCCGCCTTCGCCGTCGACAACTACACCACGGTCTCGTGCCGGGTTTACAACCTACCAACAGCAGGTCTCGCCAAGGAAGGTCAGTGACAAGCTCGCCGTCGCGCAGTCCTCCGGTGGCTCTACGGAGTCTGACCCTGCTTTGATTTCGGCATCTTGGCCGGAGATTGCATCACTCCAAACCGAGCTACTACAACTCAGTCTTCTACACCGGTCTTCCCTCCAACAGAATGTGCAGTGGAGAACCCAGGCCGAGGCGCAGCTACGGTCGAAATACGATTCGGTCGCGGGACGATACCGGACCATGATCGTCGAAGAGAAGGAGCACCAACGGCGGCTAAACGGGCTGGCCTTGAGCGGGTGGCTCAAAAATACGCGGGAGCATAACGGGCAACAGGGGTTTGGGGAACAAATCCGCATCCTGTCTCAGGTTACGCAGGAAGTCTGTGATTTAAATGATAGCTTGGCGGGCCGATACACATTGGCCGTGCAGGGATTCGAAGACTGGTTCTACAAGGCGAGAGAAATCAAGAATTACCGGCTGGAGCAGGGAGGGGGTGTTGGCCACGTCGTGTTCATCGACCCCATCGACCCAGCGTGGAAGGAGGAGGCGTATGCCATGACCATGCAGTTGGAACTCTGCGCGAGACAGCTAGAGAGTCTCGACATTCTGGGCTACGGGGAGGTAGAGCGGCTGGACAATTCCGCCCTCCTGCGAATGACCCGGGGCCTGGATGAGATGGTCAAATTGATGGTGGACGAACTGAACGCCATCCGTAAGATCGAGGCCGATATCACCAGATCAGAGCGACAGTGGGTTAGTCAGCTCACGCGGCAGTTCATGGCACGACGATCCCAGGAGACAAGATCCTCGGAATTGGGAATGTGGAGACAGACGTCGCTGAAGTCCTAGCATACTCCGAGGGCCGTGCAGTCCATTTTCACCCGGGAGATGACATTCCAGACCGACCAAAGCAGGTCCCCTGAAGTGTCGATTCAGATTATCTACATGATACAGACGGAGTACACCGTACACGGGAGACCCGAGAAAGAGCCGGAGGGACAAGAACAGAAAGAAAGAGAGGGAAAAAAAAAAGAAAGAAAAAAAAAAAAAAAACGAAGATAAGAGGGGCTACAAGTCGCCAAAAAAAATCATATCACAGAGAAAAATGAGAAAAAGAGAAAAAGCAAAACCGAAGGATGGTGAATGGCCAGTCTCACCCCCAACGACCAAGGAACTCTACAGGGACCGGCGAGACAGGCGGAAAGACAAGCCGTCCAGATCAACTAATGCATCGATTTCCAAGTTCAGACGAGCGCAAAACCTGTAAACCGGTCGTTCGCAGTTTCTCGGGCCCGATCAAACTGGTTTCTCATTTCCGCGCGGTCAGTTTGATTGAACCGGATGGAGAGAAATATTGGGGCGATCTACTGCCACTAGTTTCCCTACTTTGCTACTTTTTTTTTTTTCTTCTCCTTTCTGAAACCTCGATTCAACTCTGGTTCCATGCTCAGTTCCACCAATCCGTCCGACCGCACTTTCTCCCTTTGTGCCAGATTATCGGTCTGGGATTTCAATCCTTGCCGGAGAGGGAGAGGAGAGAGGGAGCAAGAGAGGGAGGCGACTAGACTGCGGGAGACCCTCGAATGCGACACGAGAACAGACGGGACATGCCTGTCGGGCAGCCAGGATCCGGACCACCTTTCTCATTTTCTTTTTTTTCTTTTCCCTTTCTAGAAACAAGGGAATTGGTTGGTCCTTACTCTGTGACCTGAGCCGGTTTTCACTGTTATCAAATATCATGCTATTGAACGCACTAGTACGACGGGCGTGGATAATGACCATACACGGGCTGCGTACGAGGAAATGAATGCGAACATTCTGCACCGATAATCGGCCGAGTGCCCATGAGTCATGATGTGGTATGCTACTAGAACTACTCGGAAATGCTGAGAGAGTGAATGGACGATAGACTTTTTCATCGTCCTCTGATTCCACAACCCCAGACTTGATAGGCTGAGTCAGCAGGGTTAGTCCATCCCTGCCCGAACGGGTTTAGCGCCTTGATATCATTGCTGCTTCATGGCCGAGTCGCGCCCCTTCCCGATTCGGCCGTACCGTCTTTGCCTTCCTGCATACTCCGTACGGAGGGAGGAGTTCCTCTACTGCATCTTTAGGTAGGGATGGACCTCCGTACTCCGGTGTTTACTCGGTACAGTAGTAACTGCAGTACAGTAGTAACACTGTAACAGTCGGCGCCGATGCGGATGGATCATGTGTTATGAGTATGACAGCCCCAATTCGGCAGGTCTTGGCCCGCCCGATGGAGCAAACGTGGTTTCTTTTGACTTCACTTCACCCTCGTTTGACGTCGAGAAGATGAAGATCCGGTTCTTAATCCCACGTACCAGAGATCTCGACTTCTGCCCAGATAACCAGTTGCAATCAATGACATTTATTGCTGAGATAATATGGAACCGCAAACTCCTTCCTCCAATCCACGGATCTAAACCAGTACATCCTCTGACCAACCGTTGCCCCGAGTCCGGTTTTTTCCAGACCGTCACCCGTCAAACACTGGTTTAGTCTGCAGCCCACTGCTTCTACTTTCTGTTCCTCTGAAGTCTGGACCGAGTGGAGCAGTCTTGCCTTTTCCCTTTCTTTCTTTCTTTCTTTCTTTCTTTTTTTTCCCTGCTTCTTTCTTCCCCCCCCTCTTCTCGCTTTTCCCAATTGGTTGGTCCCCGTGTTGGGGCTGGCTGGCTGACTGACTTGGTTTAGGTGCTTGTGAGTAGTTCTTCTTCTGCTACTTTACTTCTGCGCTCTCTTTCTCTCTTTTTTTCTTTCGTTCTTCTCATCTCGGTTTCTTGCTCATTAGTCTTTCCTCTTATCTATCCTGTTTCAACGTTAAGTCTCGTAAAAGGTAAGATCTTGTTTTCCTTGTGTTCTACTGGAATCGACATACCTGCTTGGATGTATAGAAAATAGATAAGAAAAGAAAAAAAAAGAACAGAAAAAGACTTGCATCCACCCGGCAGACGGATCGGCACTATTACCGCGGTCTTTTCGCGGTTGCCATCTCACACCTGCCTCTTCTTGGGTCTTCCCATTGTCCTTTGACCTTCCCTCCCCCCCCTTACGCTTGTGATTCATCGCTTCGCTTCGAGCTGCGCTGCATTTGTGTTCTCGGGAGAGATTGGATTATCCATTTTTCTTGGGGGGTTTTTTTTGGTTCCCCTCCCTCCCTCCTCCCCTTCGATTGCGCGCTCTCAGACCGACTTGAGTCTGCTCTTGTTGTTGAGGCCGAGGGAGGGTCCCGCTTTTTTAAACCCATTTGCATTTTCCTTATTTAAAACTCCCCGTCTCCGTTCTCCGTGATGGGACTGACGTCACTTGACTCCAGAAGAAAGAAGTCCGTTCGACAGAGTCTTCTCCATCGCGCGCAATGTTCCCGACCTCGCTAAACTGAACGTACGCCTTTCTGTCGCCCGCCCGTCGACGTCTTTCGCACCATGAGGAATTCGCTGTACGACCGCATCTGGCGGCGCGAATCGGGATACGGGTCGCATTACTCCAGTATTCGCAGCATCTATGGTTCTAAGGAGTGGGTGGATGACCTGGACATCGTGAATGAGCTGGGCGGCCACACCGGCTGTGTCAATGCTTTATCGTACGTTTGATTGTCGGTCGCAATTTTTTTTCTGCGCGCACTCTCTTTCTGCTTGGCGCAATCGCGTTGCGCTTGTCGCCTTCTGTCTTCTTTAATTCCCTCTCTTTTTTTGGTTTTCCTTTTGGGGGAATTCTCTGGGGGAAACTTCAGGACACTGACCCTGGTACTTTTTTTTTTTTTGTAGATGGTCGCGATCTGGCCAGTTTCTCGCCTCGGGCTCGGATGATCTTCACTTGAACATTTATTCCTACCAGCCCGACTCCACCAGCGCGCCCTTTTCGCTGAGCACCACCGTGGCCACGGGTCATAGGGCGAACATCTTCTCTGTCAAGTTCATGCCGCATTCGAACGACCGGACTTTGATAACGTGCGCAGGCGATCATCAGGTCCGCGTCTTTGACCTGGAGTACTCTAGCAGCAATCATTCGGCCGACACCTCGTCGGCGTTCGTCTCGTCCGCTCGAAGTCGTCGCTTCAATAACTTCTTCACCAATACTCGTTATCTGAACGAGGGGAACACTAATGCCCGCATCTACCGTAGCCACGCGGACCGGGTCAAGCGCATTGTCACCGAATCATCCCCGTACTTGTTTCTCACGTGTTCCGAGGATGGTGAGGTGCGCCAATGGGACTTGCGACAGCCATCTTCCACCTACCCGAAGCCGCGGGGCGGCCAAGGGCCCATGGCCTATCGACCGGGTGTGGTCCACGACGATTCGAACACGCCGCCCCCGCTGATCTCGTACAAGCGCCATCAAGTCGACCTGAACACCATCTCGTGTTCGCCCAGCCAGCCGCACTACATTGCCCTGGGCGGCGCCCATCTCCATTGTTTCCTGCACGACCGGCGCATGCTCGGGCGCGACCTGCAGGCCGAGGCTGGTGATCCCGGTACTCCCCCGACAAGCGGCAGTGCACGTAGCGATGAACTGATGGGCCAGGCGACCAGATGCGTTCGAAAGTTTGCGCCCAACGGCAAGCGTCGCATGAACCCTCGCGGGAGCGGAGACATCACCGCCTGCAAGATTAGCGATGCCAACCCCAACGAGATGGTCGTCAGCTGGTCTGGAGACCACATTTACAGTTTCGATTTGATTCGCAGTCCGGACGCCACCGAATCTGACCCCTCGCGCCAAAAGATCACCCCCGAAACGTCCGACTCTTCTAGGCGACAAAGTTCCACGAACAGGAGGCGCAAGCGCAAGGCCAGGTCCTCGCTTCTTTCCCATGGAAGTGGAGGGTGGCCGCGAGCCCGCCCCCGTGTTGACGAAAATGGCGAGGATCATGACGGCGACGACGGTGACGACGACGATGGTGAACTTGCCTTTCGGGTGCGATACGGAAATGGGGAGTCGGAGGATATTCCGCTGCCGAATCTATCGGACCCTCGGTCGGCGCCTCCGGATTTGATTGAACAGGCGAGAGATTCGGTATTGAACGACGCGCAACGACTCAGCATGCGGATCGCAAAGGGACTGGTGAGGCTTCGCAAGGCACTCTTCTCGTTGGGCGACGCCATGGGCGAAGATAGCGTGCCCTTTAGCGCGCCCGATCTAACCCCCTACACGGAATCATTTTCCGATGCTCTGACAGAGGCCGCAACCTACCTGCCGCAAATGGACGAGGTGATGCGAACATGGAGATACCCTATGAACCCAAGTCCCGAGGTCGTGGGTATGCAACAATCCCTCCGTCGGAATCGCGAATCGGCCTGGAGGTTCGTCCAAGCCGCTGGAACATTAGCGCGGGTCCTAGGAGGCGAGGTGCGAAATCATCCCGGCGACCTCAAATCCGTGATGGAACAATTTCAACAGGTTCGGCTAGCCCCGGGAGAGAACAACTCGCTTGACCGGGAACCTCAGTTTTGTTACGACTTCATCAAGGCGGTTTTGCTGTGGGTGGAAGGCGGCCGGGGGACTTTGCTTGCAGGCTTCAAGCGAACCGACGCCAATCGACGGAATAAGGCACGATTCCCCCTTTCTGAAACGGCAGACGACACAGCCATCGAGACGACATTGCTTCCCTACTTGCAAGGGCTGGCGAGTGACACGCCTGTGGTGAATGTCGATGCGTCGAGGTTCGAACACGATCGAAGTCGCTTTATCAGTCCGACGCAACATGACATCACGAGAGCATTCAGAAACACGCTTCATCGGCGAAACACGGATTCCGAGAGCATGGAATCTGAGAACAGCGACGATCATGATACGCTGGAACATCCTGGCCGGAATACCAATCGGTCCGTGGAGAGGGGCTTTTGGGCCTTCAAAGTCTGCCGAGGAATTCTGATGGAGGCTGGCTCTGGTGTGAACTACGAGTTTGTCAACCGAGCTTTTGGCGGTGTGCGGACGACGTTTGAAGACGAAGATGATGATGCGGAGGTTGAGAGATCTCAGGAAGATATCGACCCCAACGTCGAAGAGGAACCGATTCGCGATGTGACTCTAGCTCGGATGCCTGACCGGTCAGCGCCTGAAAGAACCTCGGGCTCCAGCGGAGATACAGCCGAAAACCTTATTTCATCAGACGCCGGTTCGATGAGTACTCGAGGAACATCCGTTGATGACGACACTATGGCGAGTGATGGTGCCTTTTTCGAGCGGGCCAACCATGACGAAGACGATGACATGGAGGAAGATGATGACGAGGACGAGGATGAGGACGACGACGACGACGATAGTCTGGACGACTTTGGAGTAACGTCAGGTAGCTCTCCGCGCGACAGTGACGAAGATCTTGAAGCGCAGGAGGAGGAAGATCGCATGCTTCGAGGTTACAACATCCGACGAACGAGAAGAGAATTAGTGGGCCTTGACGTTCCCTGCTCGTCGCATACGCGGGTTTATCGGGGACATTGCAATATCAAAACGGTCAAGGACGTTAACTATTTCGGGCTCAACGACGAGTACGTCGTGAGCGGCAGCGACTCTGGACATTTGTTTATCTGGGATCGCAAGTCCTCCAAATTGGTTAATATCCTCGAAGCGGACAGCGAAGTTGTCAATGTCGTGCAAGGTAAATTCTCCCGTGGTCTTGCAGCGGGTCTGTTGCACTAACAATCGAGTATTAGGGCATCCGTACGAACCCACCATTGCAGCATCCGGCATCGACAACACCATTAAGATCTTTTCCACCGACCGGCGTGCCCAGGAGGATGCTCGTCGTGGCGTCAATATCCTGGATCCCGACAACGATGCCAACACTTTAGGGTCGAATGTTTCGGGGATCGGCGGTCTTCGAAGCTGCAAGCGCATCCACGACAGTTATCGGATCATGAGCCAGAATGATGTCAACCGGCAAGGTGGGATGGATGAAGCGTACATCACGGTGAGTCTTGATTTGCCTGTTTTGCGTGTTATTGCCTTGAGGAATCCTCTCATCTGACTCGAGAATCTCTTGTTACAGCGAGAGATGCTATCTCAACTTGCGGTGAATCTAAGGCGTCAGCAGGCCGCCGGAGGAGTTGAAAATGCCAGTTTTGTCTTGGAAGACAACTGCCATGTAAGTATAGCTTTTTTTTCGTTTCTCCCTTCTTTTTCAACCATGTTTGGGGTGGTTTTCAATGATCTGACCCGGTTTGCAGATAATGTGAGGAAGAAGTAATGTCGAGGGGATGCTCGGAGGGAGGGTTTTATGACACCAAATCAATGGTCTTCCCGTTTGAATATCTAGGAAGATTCATGATGGACGATTTCTTTTTCTCTTCTGGTTGCAATGGATAGACTTTCGACAACCCCCCCCCAGTCTATGTTCTTTTAATTCTTTTGTTTTCTCCTGCTCTCTTCTCCTTTGCCCTCTCTCCCTGGCTTCCTGGGTCATGGTTATGTTTTGGCGTCTAGTTGATCCTCCACAAGTGAGGGGATATGCAGTACGTTTGTGATAGTTAGTCACGTCACAAGAATGACTGAATGAGAAATTCACGACCACATTGTCCGATGTTCGTGGTAGTTAGATCTGTGTTGTTAGCGGAAATCGACGTAGGGGAAATGGCGCAGCAGATAAGAGATTTGCGAGGCCGCGCGAGAGTTTTGCAGGCTTATCTTCACGTGAGCCTATCAGTCCCCCGCATTTTTACTTTTTCTTTTTTCCTTTCTTTTTTGAACCCCCACTTTCAAGGTCAAGAAGTCGCTCGCTAGATTTATTCTGATATTAGACCGGAAATAGATCAATTGACAACCTCCTGATCTTGATTTCCGAATTCGATCTACAACGCCACCACGATGCAGGCCCTTCTCCAGGAGCGCTCCGAAACCACCGCCAGACTCTACGCAGACCCCCACAATCCGCATATTCACTATGAACGAGGTCTGATCCACGAGCGATTGGGGTTCGCTGATCTCGCTTCCGCCGATGCCTATCGCGCTTTGTCGTTACTCGAGTCGGTTGTTGATCCGGACGGATGTGAATTCCATGCCCGGAAGAGAGTTGGCGATTCGACAGATGCGAAGGAGGGGCTGGACGGCATTGCCGATAAGGATGAGGAGGAGACTGATGAGGATGAGGACGGTGCCTATGAGCCTATAACCCAGGACGAATATGATGCACTCATTGGTGGGGTGTACACATTGTTGGTTTCCAGCCTGGTTCGCTGTGGCTGTTTTCGCGATGCGTTTGAGTTCTGCGATAGGGGGTTGGCTTTGCTAGAGGGTTCACAGCACGGTAAGCATGCGGTGGATGCGCTGCGAGGACAGATGGATATTATCAAGAAAGTGTTCCTTTCGCGCCGGCCTCAATCGACCACCGACGAGGCGCAAGTGCAGGTGGACCCGAGTGCCTTGAAAGCCCAGGGCCGCGCCCGTCGAGTTCTCTATCCCTGGAACGAGCACGAGCCGGATCGCAAGGCCCCCAAAACACTGCAGCTGCTGAACGACCGACTGCAACACGTTGCGCCTAAATGCGAGGTCCGCGCCGTCGCGCTCCCCCTGCTACACGGCACCACGGAGGGAGGAGAGGCGCCCCCACCCGACGAGGTCTCCGTGCAACTCGGCCTCTTTGCCAAAGAGGACATCGCGCCCGGCGAGATCCTGCTGCATGAGTCCTCCCTCCTCACGGCCACCAACCGCCTCCACGACGACCTCTGCGACGCCTGCAATGCGCCCCTGCCTGACCTCGCCGACGAGAACCCCCCCGTCGCCTGCGCCGGGTGCGACGATACCATCTTCTGCTCCCAGGCGTGCCACGATCGCGCCCAGGACGTCTACCACGCCGCCGTCTGCGGCCTCATGGATGGTCTCGAATCCATCGGCAAGGATATCCCCGATCCCACCGACAAGGCCGATTACCTGTATCTGTTACTGGTAGGCCGCGCCATCGCCATGGCCGCCACTCAGGACGTGAATCCCCTCGACCTACCCGAGATCAAATACATCTGGGGCGACTTTCACGACCTCGACTTTTCCTCCACCACAAATCCCAACTCCAACACCAGCCTCGAAGACGACGAAACCGCCACCCTCCCCTTCTCCTTCCACCTCTCGATCCTGCAACCGATGCGCATCCTCGAGGAAATGGAACTCGACCCCTACGCCACCCTCCCCCGCTACGACACCTGGATCCTCAACACCCTGTACGCCAAGTTCCGCGGCACCGCATCGGGCCGGCTGTCCACGTGGGACGGCGGTCCGGAGCTCTGCGCCGTGCATCCGCTGTGGTGTCTGGCGAATCATTCGTGTGATCCGAACGTACGGTGGGAATGGGGTGGGGAGATTACGTTCCGGGCGAGGACGAGGGAGGAGAGGCCTATTTGGAAAAGGAAGGGTACCAGGACGGTGGTGGAGGAGGAGGAGGAGGAGGAGGAGGAGGAGGTGAAGAAGGGGACGGGTCCCGAGGTTGAAAGTGAGGGTATTCGTGCGGACCAGGAGATCTGGAATCATTATTGTGATATTGGGTTGGATGTTAAGGAGAGGAGGGAGTGGGCGAGGGGGGCGTTGGGTGGGTTGTGTCGGTGTGAGAGGTGTGTTTGGGAGGCTGGGGAGGTTTAGATCAGGTATGCTCGGTACGAAGAGGGAAGGTGTTTGCTTGTTTGAACTGGTTGTTTGGTTCTCACAGGGGGTTGAGTTGGTTTGAGGGTTTATAGATATTGGATACATGGGAGTGGTGTTTTGTTGATTGGTTGGTCTCGGTTTACGATAGATGAAGAATATAGATATGAAAGATACCCATAGATTGGAATATAGAATGAAGTGAAGTTGTGTGGAAGAATACATGAGAGCCAACCTACAAGAACCCAACTTATAATCGAAACTTGCACAAGCATGAAACCGACGAAAAGATCTTTTCCTGATTCCTAATTCGCAGATAAAAATGTATAAATACACCGGTTACATGACCAACCCATTCAGACCCTTTCCACCAAATCCTTGAATTAAAATGAACTTTCTTTCTAATCGTCATATCAAGATCGATCTACTGCTCCTTGCTAGATGCTCGGCCCCCCTAACTTTATTCCTCTCCCTATTCCTTCCTTCCTGTTGAGACATAATGATTAGGAATAATCCGCAGCTCGAGGCCGACGAGACGGACTGCGAGATCGGTTTTTGTTGGCTCGACGCGGAGGAGGCGAGCGAGATCCGGACGGAGAACGAGAGTCCGAGTATCTTCTGCCTCGTCCGTATCGTGGCGGAGGGGAGCGAGAGACCGAGGCATCTCGGGGGCGGCGAGCTGGCGGAGGCGAACGCGACGCGGACGGACTGGCAACGCGGCGCTTGCCGGCGGGTGGAGGCGAGCGAGACGCCGAGGAGTAGCGTCTGGCATTGCCACGTCGAGGAGGGGAGGGAGACCGCGATACGGACCGTGAGAGACTCCGATCTTTGCGGCCACCACGAGTGCGAGGGGGCGAGACAGAGCGAGACGCTGACCGGCGAGCCGAATACGGACTCGCGCTCCGTGACGACCGGGAGTCGTAGGATCGGGCGCGAGTGCGTCGGGGTGGTGTGCGAGACCGACTGTACGAAACGGAGCGTCGACGGCTTTTCGATACGGGAGATCGGGACCGCGAGGGCGTGTAGCTGTAGCTCCGCCGAGAAGAGCCCGAGACGGAGCGGCTGTAAGATCGTCCACGGCTGACCGAGCGTCCACGACCACGGGTGCGCGACGGAGAGCGGGAGTATGAAACGGAGCGCGAGCGCGAGCGCGAGCGGCCGGTGCAGGTGGAACAGGTGGAGTGAGATCTGACCGAGCCCGAGTCTGATGGGCTGGCAGCGCGCGCAGGAAGAGCAGGAACGGTGGGTTTAGGAAGGTTTTTGAGATATTCACGCATGTCTTCCGTCAGCAGACCGAAGCCGATACTAGTGAAGTAGTTGATGGAGAAGCGAGTGTTGCGCGGGTTGTCCAGCGGGAAGAGACCTTCGAAGCTGGTGCGGAGGATGTCGTCTCTCATGCGCTCGTGCAATTTCGGCATGCCCAGGTGCTCTCCGAGATCCTGGAAGAGGATCTTGATGAAGATACGACTGCTCGATGTCGTTTCCTCCTCGTTCAGGTGGATGATCGACAGCACATGCCAGCCGATGGCATCGTTGCTGAGCATATGGCCGAAGAAGCGCGCGATGTTGCGCAACCGGTTCGTCTCGTACCGATGGATGGTGTCGTAGTACTTGGCGAACGCAGCTTCAAACAGGTCGGACCAAAGGCGGTTGATCTTTGAGAATCGTTCACCGATGAGGCCGTAGAACTTGGAGTAGGTTCGTTCTTGCGAGCAACACTCGATGATCATCGACGGGAGTTCCGGCTCGAGGCCGGGCGGCAACGAGATCTTCATCAGCTTGTGGCAACATTCTTCGAAATCGATACTGGACATGATGGTCAGGTAGATTGTTCGTCGCAGGTTGACTAGGTTCGTGTTGCTCTGGTCTTTGATATCCATTTTCTGGTCTTCGTCTGATTCGTCGTCGGAGCTTTCATCCGAATCGTCCTCGTCTTCCTCGTCGCTGCCCTCCCCAAGAATCTCCGCCTTGAGACTCTTGTATGCCTCTTCGTGTTCCTCCCACTGCTCGTCATATTTAAAGATGTTGAGGCTGTCCTGCGTCTCAATCTCGTCGTCCAGGCCAACGCGGTGCGTGATTTGGTCTTCCTCCTCGACCAGATCAAGCTCATCCTTGACCGACGGGTTGTCCTTGTAGCGATCCTTGCGGACCTGGAACAAAACTTCGATCATGTACTGCACTCGCTTGTCGATGTCGGCTTCGTGCAGGATATTGCGGAACTGATCAAACACGGCTAAGGCGATAGGGCTGCTCATCTCCTCCAAATGTTGTCCCACCTCTCTGGTCAGCCCGACCGCAATTTCCACACTGTCGTCCGTGGGCTTGTGAAGCAGCAGCAGGAGAATCTGAGCGGCCAGCATCTCGTGCGCGACTTGTTGGTTGCACAGGTGCGCGATGAACGTCGTCGAGGATATGCACACCGCCTTGTCGTTTCTCTTGAATGCCTTGCGGAACTGCACGATCAGGCGATTGAGCAGCAACTCACCCACCTGGGGCAACTTCGTGTTGACGATGGCTGCCATAGCCGCATAGATGGGAGTAAAAGGCAAACTGGCCGCCTGAGCCTTCATGATGCTTCTGCAGAAGAGACCCCGGCCGCGCACGAGGTTCTCCCCGAACAGCTCTGGAACGATAAATTTGATGTTCGAAACGTTGACCTTGTTGATGAGACCATTGATCGATTTTTTCAGAGCCTCCCACGCCATACGCTGGTATTCCTTGCTGGTCTTGTCCGTGATCTGCGCCTGCAGCGCGCGCAGTCGAGCCGGGGGGATATAGGTGCCACCCGAGCGCATGTTCGTGAGTTTCTCATATTCTGCCTTGGCCGACGCCTGCTTCTCTTCCGCCGTCATCGGCTTTCGTGCTGCCTCTTCCTTCTCATGTTGACGGACTCGTTCGGCAAGTTGGCGCTCTCGCTCTATCGCACGCTCCGAATCGATACGCGGCGCATCTCCATCCTCGTTGAAAGAGTCGCCCGGCGGCGACCGGCGACGGTTGGGCGAAGGGGAACGAGAGGGTGGAGAGCGTTTTCGTGATGCCGAAGGCTGGGGAGAGTACGAGGCGCCAGGTGGAGGAGTAGGCACTCGCACTGCCGATTGCAAAACGACGGGGTCGCTCATATTGCTCTGCGAATTTCACACCGCAGGTAAAATTCCCCTTTATAACCAATAAGCTGGGAGTTGACTCCAGCGACAAGGCGCGACGGCAATGGGTGGTTCTGCGTCGGTCGAGCTGTGAGGCGGCGAAGGAGAAGGGAAAGTCTTAGCGTGGTCTGGGCACGTGACCCGGAGCCAAGCTGCCACGGCGGCCAGTTATGCGCGCCTTGAGATGAAGCAAGCATCGTCCTGTCCGTCCTTCTTCGCGAGTACGAGCAGAAATATCTCCGATTCATCACTATGGTACGCAGCTGCAATGACAACTCTGACTATTACTTATGATATACTGACTTGTACCTCACTCCAGCTGGGCCAACTCGTGGGATCCACCATGCTCTTGGTCGCTACCGCGATCTTTCTCTACTACACGGCATGGACTCTGTTGATGGTACACCACTACTGTTATCTCTCCTGATTGATACGTGGCATCTGCTAACCCTTCTGTCCCTAGCCGTTCGTTGACCCCGGCCATCCTCTGCACGACCTCTTCCCTCCTCGCGTATGGGCCATTCGTATTCCCGTCTTCCTTACTCTCCTCGCCTCGGCCGTGGTCGGTACGTTCATTGGGATCGTAATGATCAACAGCAACAAGAAGAAGGCCGCCAAGGCCAAAGCCGCCGCAAAGAAGAAGACCTGAGCATCTACGACCGTCCGTGGGGACTCGGAAACCAAAAGGGGGTGACGTTGTGTCAGAGTGCATCAGGGGTAGGAGCTGAATACCGGTTTGGCAGAGTTGTCGTCATTATACCTATTCTATCGATTTGTAACAATACTTTTTTCTTTCCCGTCCTTTCTTCATCCGGATGTCTTTTCCATGTAGGGTTTCCTCCAGTGGAAGCAAGGCGGCCCCCCAGCGTGAGAAGAGCCGAATGACGAGCGGTTAGGTCACTCGGCAGCTAGAATTACAAGCTCAGGTGTCACGGGATTTAGGAGGGGAGGCGGAGCATTCCAGCTTTGGGATATTTCAGGATTACAAAGTTGAAAGTATGGCAACAGCGAGGAGATCGGATCAGCAGCGTCATGTTTCAGTCACATCGGCGGCAGCGTGCCAATGACAAGTTGGGGCCTTACAGCTGATGCTGTACCATGCGGGGACTCGTGACGGACTCGTGACCCTGTTCTTGCCCAAGGCTTCATTCATGGAAGTCAAGGCCAACGTGTTTTGACGGGTGGCGGTTAAAGCCGGGGAATGATAACGAAAGAGACGGCCATGGAATGGGTGAAGTTAAGTTGACGCAGGACCCAAGCAGGGCCTCTTCCCGTCTGCTCTGCTGGCCCAAGTCGTTGCCATCTTTGGCTGCGAGGCGGGGTCACGTGGCTGAGGGACCGGTCGAGACACGCTGTTTGCAGTGTTTGCTTGGCTTTGACCCCTCAGGCAGAACCAATAGCGGGTGGGTTCTATTGCCTCGTAGCTTTGGACCGACCGTGGATAAGAAGAGGATCATTTTTATGATTTGACGAAATTCATATTCCTACCTGTTATTTCCCCCTTCCTACCCAGGCGGGTAAGGCATCGACCGTGACAGCAGGGTAGCAAAGAACAAACGTGGGACAAGCCCGTCAGAGTCGAGTGTACTACTACTGAGTATGTGTACTCGTCTCTAACAGTGTACACCGTACGACGGAAGACAGGAAATGCTACGTTTACCGACTACCGAAGCATGTACCCCGTATGTAGGCAGTGCCTGACTATCGAGTGGCTGGAAGATCCGTCCTGACCGGTCATGCTTCAGGCCCTCTTGTCAGGCCAATCATCACTGGATCCTCGTCATGTGGCAGGCAACCTTATGCCTCTGGAGATGGGTACCCAGTCGGTACCTCCACTCCGTCCCTTCGGTCGCCCATCCCCCGGTCACTAGCAGGTACTCCGTTCCCCCCCAAGTCCCGCCCCGATAACAGCCCAGGCGATAAGTCAGCCCGCTCATCCATGCTCCTGACCTGATCCGATTCCCCTCCCCCTCCCTCCCTCGCTCTTCTTCTTCCTCCGCTGCTCTGGCTTCTATTCCTTCTACTTTCCAAACGTTACGCAATAATACCTTTGAACGAATTCCCAACTGTGTACTTATCAACTTGTCTAAACATCATCTTTCGTTTCTCTGGACGAGACAACCGGTCTAAGCTGTGCTTCCGTGTTGTCCTTATCGCAGTTACCAGCGTATCTAGAGTCGTCATAACTCCAGATCCGCCGCCATCCACACCCCCTTCCCTCTTCTAACCCGTCTATCTCGGCCGTTGAACGCGCCGTTCCTTCCTGAGAATCAGTTGAAACATCTTGAATAGACTGATAATCGGTACGTATCCCGAACCCTGTCCGCGTCGGACGTCAGGATGAGTCATGTTGATAAGGGCGTATTTGTTGATCTCCCTGCAGAGGCGCGACTTGGCTTGCCGATAACGCAATACCTCCTCGGGATCCGTGGCCCGTTGACCTACTTATTGTTTGCTCCCGTTCTCAGGCCTCGTTCAAAGGTCTTGAGAGCGGCCGTTCATTGTTGAAATCAACTTGCCTCCCGAGGCAACCCTTCATTTGAATGCCCCCGGTAGCTTCGGACGACTTTTTCCGCCAGCAAACCCAGGGCTTCAGTGATCCCAGCCCCGTTACCGACGATTTGCAACGAGCAACTCCAGAGAATGAGCTTGGTGGAAAAAGCAAGAAAAAAGGGAAAAACGGGGCTAAGGCGAAAACAAAGGCCGCCAAAGCCGCCCCAAAGCCGCCTCCCGACGACTTGTAAGTAGATAGTGTCACCTCCCCTGTATCACTGCAGTATTTCCCAGACAGCCTTGCTGACATGGATGGTGCACGATGTACAGGATAGAGGCGTCCTCTCCGTCACCGCCGGAACCGTCTTCGTGTCCAGATCCTCCCCTGGAGACTCAAGCCACCAATAACATAAGGTCGCCGGTGTTGGACGCGTTTGACGCCTTTGAGGAGACGCCTGAGAATGATATTGCCTACCGAACGGATAGTTGGGCAAAAGCCATTCCTTTCGGGAAGAGCCCTCCCACGGACGTTATTGACGGCGAACTAGCCAGTGGCTCTCCTGGAGGGTTCCTTCTCCATCCCGACAAAGGTGGCTTCAGCAATCCTTCCTCTGCATCTCCTGGGACAAGGCCTCTGAGTTATGGGACTGGTTATATATCGTCCCGACAGGCATCTGCGGACAGGCGTAAGAGCCACTCCGTCAGTAGCCCTTTCAATAACCAGATCCCCTTACCCCACTTGCCCCAGGCTCATTTCTACGGTGCACCGGAGATTGATCTTCCCTTATTTTCAGGCCAGAATCGACCGCCAGCAGAGGCGTGTTATTCGTTCTGTGCCTTCGATAGAATCTCCAGTCCGTCATCCAAGACTTCGAGAATGAGTAGCAATGTGCTACTTGTCGGTGGTGACGGCTTCCTGGAGATTCTAGCCATCGAGAGTCGCACGACTCGTTCAGTAGGGAAATTGGCGGGCCTGAATGGTCGGGTGATCGAAGCAAAAATGCTGGTTAGCAGCTTCACGGATGACTCGTTGGCACCGTCACGACCCCATGTTGCCGTCACTATCCACGGACCTTCTAGCTTATCCGATGATGAAGGTCCTGCATCCTCTACCGGCTCGGAAACAAACGAGAACCCCTCTATCGCTGTTGGGCGGCAGCTCCCCGCTGAATTGCGGCCAAGCAAAGACGAGGCAAGATATTATCAAACTCGAGTTGAGGTGTACTCCTTGAGAAATGGAGACCATGTTGCTACTCTTTTCGCAGCCCAGCCGTCACCGTGCTTTGAAAACATTCCTGGGCTCCCGGTATTTGCGCCAGCGCCCGCCGGTAATTTGAAACTTTTTGCCAGCGGACATCACGTCATCGTGGCTTCTGGCGTCAGTGGCGAGGTTTTCATCTATAGCATGAACGGTTATCGATGTTTGGGGAAGACCTGGACCAGTATCCAGTCCAAGGAGGCCCGGCGCTACTCCGCTTCGTCAACTTCGACGGACGCGGATGGATCGCGGAATGACTCTCCTCATGGGTTTGTTAACAATGATCACCCTGTCATCGACCTGAAAGGGAGATGGTTAGCCCTTGTTCCGCCATCCTCGGCCTATAGGGGATCAATCCGAGGGACGGTACCTGCTTCCCTCCTCCGTGGGAAAACGTTTGGTCTCGAAACTCGCAGCCCACCATCAAGACCGGCAGTCTCTACTGCCACCGACGTTGGCGAGGGTGAGAGTTTCTTTGATAAAATGGCCCGCGGCGTTACACAAGAACTCGTGCGGGGCGCGCGATGGATGGGTGATCAAGGTCTCCAAGCCTGGAATAGCTACTGGAACAAAGACCAGGCCCCAAACCCAGCCCCGCGCCGCTCTCCTAATATGATGGACTTTCCCCAGCAAGGATACAGTCCTTTCCCGCCCACTCATGCTCAGGATACCCAAACTGCTGCAGCGACCGAGCCTGACTTGGTCTCGATCATGGATCTGAAGAGGCTGGACGAGAGTGGCGAGACCAAGAACACCTCGCACACCCCGGTGGCCACATTCCAAGTCCCGAATGGCTGCAGCTTCCTCTCATTCTCGCCAAACGGATTGATGCTGCTTACGGCCAGTAAAAAGGGCGATGTTCAGTACGTCTGGGATCTGATGCAAGGAAAGCACTGTCGAGCAGGGGCGTTCCTAACCGATGATTCGGTGACTCCCAGTGCCAATGTGCGCCAGATCGCTCGATTTGCGCGGTTGACCACCTCGTACATCGTCGATGTGATCTGGTGTCCCCCATCTGGGGACCGGCTGGCGATCATCACCCGCAAGGGGACTGTGCACGTGTTCGACCTGCCACGCAGTGCATTTCAGTGGCCTCCGTTCCGGCGAGCTCGACCACCGCCCAGCAAATCCCCCGCTGCGGATCAGCCGGCAGACGAGTTATCGGACCGGGCAAGCAGTGCCAATCCTCTCTCAGCGGCATTCAAACTCGTGGGCGGCAAGACCCAGCCCATTCTCGCGGCGGTCAGGGGCCGCACTCCGTCGGCGGGCGCCGCTTTCCCAGCCGTAAGTGGATTTGGCATCCCTTCTGCTGCCGGTGTTCGGGGCGGGAAGGTTGTCGCCGCCGGACTTAGTAAATCGGTGGGAGCGGCGACCGGGACGGTCAACACGCTTCGACATGCCGGTGAAAATCGCCTTCATCTGTCGGGCCTGGCCCGCGATCCTGCTGCCTCCCGGGTCATCTGGGTGTCCCACAAAGGCCAGCCGTTCCTGGGCCTGGTGAACAGTGGCTCTTTCCGACTGTACCGAGTGCGGCGGTCTCTGTCTACCAACAAGAACCGGCAACTTCAGTCTGTCATAGGGCCCAAGGAAATCGAGATTCGATTGCCAACTAACCTGCAAACCCCCTGTAGCGCCATGCCTGTTGGCACGGCCAATGCCGATATGACGATCCACGCGTCGTGGGCCTTGCCGTCGTCGACTCCACGGCCAGGTGCTGTTGCGTCCAAACTCAAGTGCCAGCCACTCTCCCAGGCGGAGATCGAGACCAACGCACCGTACCAACCCTTTCACACTGATCAGCGGGTGAACCTCTTTGTCTACTCGGAAACGAGCGATGCCGACGAGGCGCAGACGTCGATTCCCACGGGACAGTGGGTCTTTGGGGACAGCATGCCGATGTCCAAGCTCCATGTGCGTCCGTTTAGCGCGGGTGGGGATGACGAAGGCGACCACGACGAGGTTCTGCATGGCCAGCACGCCGGGTTCGGCGGAGAAATGGAGAATCTGATCAGTCTCGGCAATAGTACGGGCCACGTCGAGGAGGTGGTCATCACGACACGTCGCAAGAAGAAGAATTCGTCTCCGTTCCCTTCGGCTGGTTCTGGTGGCGACGACGGATTTTTCGAAGATGACTGCGAAGTGTTGGATTTTGCACAAGATCGAGTTTAACATCTCTTGTGTGTCTTATACGCATCGTTTTTTTTTCTTGGAAGGATTGCTTCCATTTTCTTTGGTCTCCACTTTCAGAATGAGCAGAGACTGAGATAATATGCAACATTCTAGACTTTATATTATTAGGATCGGAGTTGGTTTTTTGCTCTCTTGGGACGGGCTCCACTCATTCATTATTCCTGTTCCATTTTGACATGCATTAATGTTTACCCCCCCAGGCCGAGGGGACTCTATTCGCTTACATTGGGCCGGCCTTGCTTGATGCCCGGTCTGTATTGCTGATACATGATATCGTTATTCTTCTTATTCTGTTATTTTGATTGTCACCCATCAGATGTTACATACCCCCATACGGTGACTTGTACCGAGAATAGATAGACGGGAAGGATGACTTTCGGACTTGACTTGCATTTGGTTTCTAGTGATTCTATATCTTGAATAAATAACAGATAATCACAACCCCCACTGGTCCTGATCTACTCGATCAGAGCCATCTCCTCTTCCCACCACCCCCTAAACTCCACCAACCGTTGAGTCCGCACCCTGGCCATCTCCCGCCCCGTCTGCGTCTTCATCATGCCCTCCAACGTCTCGAGCTTCTCCTGAAAATGCTCGATCGAATTCCCCATCTCCCACGCCCCGCCCTCAGGGACGAACTTCCGTCCCTGCGCCCCCAGGAAGGTAAAACACCGCCCGATCCCCACCGCGCCCAACGCATCCAACCGGTCCGCATCCTGCACGATCGCCAACTCCACGTCCCCGTCATCCTCGATCAACTTGCGCACCGCCTCCGGGTCCTTCTTCTCTTTCGTGTAGGATACATGCGATACGATGGTCTGGACCCGCGTCGCTAGTTCGCGCGACGCCCCGTGCGAGAGAAGTGTCTGGAGGACTAGCGTGTCGGCGTCTACTTCTCCCTTCGCGGCCCCAGACCCGTCCCCAGCCCCAGTCGATGAAGTGGAGGCAGAAATGATCTCCCTCACCTGCTCCAAATACTTCCGATCACCGACATCGTGCAGCAACGCCGCCAAGTCGACCACTTCGGCGGAGTAGCGCCTTTCGGGATGGAGGGACTGTTCGGCGCGGAGGATCGAGCGCGCCAGTGAGACGACGCGGTGCACGTGCGCTGGGTTGTGCGATGGGTCGTGAGAGGCCATGCAGGTGTTGACGAAGGGGGTTAGGGTTGTGTAGAGGGTCATTTTTTTTTTCTATTCTGGTCTTTTTTTCTTTTTTCGCTTTCCTTTCCTGTTGAATCGTCTATGTTTTGTTTTTGTTTTTTTTTTTTTTCCCGGCGGGTGAGGGGTTGAGTTTGGGGTTGATTTGTTTTGGACTGAGTTGGATGGGGTTGAATTGAGGTGGGTAGGTCAAGGGAGCCTGGAAAGAGGGGTTGGGTTGGAGGTTTGTTTTTATTTTGGGTTCGAATTCGAATTTGAATTTTGATTTTTTCTGGGTGGATATTTCTGCCGATGGAGAATTGGAGATAGGCAACCTCAGGTAAGCTACCTTAGGCTTACTCCGTGGGAAGGGGGAGGTTAATTTGGGGTGCAGGTGGGCGGATTACGAGGTGGGCGGAGAATGTGGAGATTAGCTGGCTGGACAGTGGAATCTGAGATCACATTATGATTAACTTGATCTTCATCACTTAACAGTTGACAACTTTAGTGACATTCTTGATTCTGATCTGTTGGATTGTGGGTTGATCGGCGCTGTCAGTTTCTGGGGATTGGTCTTAATTTTCTTTTCTGCTCCGTAGAGTCCGTATACAGGGTCTTGGTATGTAGGTATTGTTTAGTTTCCTCTCGATGGAAAAGAAGAAGCGAAGGGTGGAAAGAGAATGCTAGAATACAGAAGTGATGGTATTTCGAGAATTATTATCACAGCTGAAAAGTAAACAAAGTAAAAACAACAGAAAAACTATGTAGGGAATAGCCCCGTATTATGTGTACCATGCAATCCGTGTCCCGTAAAAGAAAAAAAAAAAACAACCCTTGCCTCCTCACATTAACACCTCATCCCCAGCCCCTTAATTCACATCCACACCTCTTGCGATGTGGCAGTCAGGTCTCATAGTGAACGCGCGCTCTTAACTCCTCTACAGAGCAAGAGCACCCAGGACCAGACCGATGACACCGGCAGTCGAGACACCCAGCTTCAGGGCCGCGGCGTTGGCGGTCTCGCTGGCCTCAGAGCCGGAGGCGGTGCTCGAGCCGGTGGAGCTGGCGCTGGCGCCGGAGCCAGAGTGGGAGTGGGAGCCAGAGGAGGCTGTGGATATTATTAGCATTGCTTATTCCTTCTTGCTAGGGATGTCATGTAAGGGGAAGAACGTACAGCCAGTCGCGGAGCTCTTGCTGTCCTTGTCGGTGGCGGTGGTCTTAGTATCGCTGTTGGAGGTGGCAGTGGTCTTGGAGTCGCTGTCGGTCAACTTGGTGGCCGGGAAGAAGTGGCTGCTGTAGCAGCTGCTCTGGCACTTGGCGTAGCGGTCGGTGTCGCTGGGGGAGCCGGTACCCTGGGGACAGGCGGCAACGCAGCTGACGGTGTCGTTGGCCTGCGAGTCGCTGGGGCAGGGGACCTTGTAGCACTGAGCGACGCAGCAGAGATCGGTTTCAGTGCCTGGAGGAGTGATGTTAGCGAGACTGAGACATGGAGAGAAGGAGCATTTGTGATCGCGCGTGGGTGGAGATGCGATATATTGAAGTGGATTAGGGAGAGTGGAGAAGGAATGCGACGGAGAGATGAAAGGAGATATAACGGGCAACGAGATAAGATCGAGATCATGATCATAATCGCAAGGACAATTACATACACTTCTTCGCGCAGGAAGCCTCAGGAGACAGGCTGGCGGTGGCCGAAGCCTCGCCGGTGGAGGTGGTCGACTGAGCGACGGCCAGGCCCAGCAGGGCAGTCAGAGCGATGAGGTTGAGCTTCATTGTGACGGATTGGGAGGACTTGAGTTCTGAAGTGACAGAGATAGATCGAAGAGATCAAATTGAACGAGTGTCCGAGAAGCAGGAATTGGCAGTTCAAAACGAGAGACTGTGAGGAAAGGAAGAAAGGGAAGAAGAGAGGAGAAGAGGAGAGGAGATGGAAAAGGGGGCGTGGGAGGGTTTTATTTACTTTAGTTACATGACTGGACTGGACTTGGACTGGACTGACTACGGAGTACGACCCAAGGACCCAAGGTTTTCCCTGGCATCCTCCAGTTTCCTCCATTTTCTTTCAGGTTTTTTCCCTTTCTTTGCCGTCTGACAGGGCAAAGCAATAATTGAAACTCAGTGGCGCCCTTTCATTAGCGGGGTTTCACTGGTGGCTAATCAGCATCAGGCGCTGGGCTATACTTAGACTAGCTTGAAGATAGCAAGACAGCGAAGGGAGAGTGACATGGTTTGCCTCTGCGTTGGGCCCATTCTTCGACTTCTGCATGGGAGGCACCAGATTGGAGAGAAGGTGGTCGGAGAGTCATGATATATTGGATACCCTCTGTAGATACCTGTTTTTCATTTCATCCTACATTGATTCTATGTAGTGTAATAAATTCTTCATTTATGTCTTCAGTCTTCACTCTTCACAGGGAGTAACTCCAACCCTGATCAGTGCTCGGGTGAAAATCTGGGGAGCCACCAAAAATAGCGCTAATGCCGCCGCTAAAAAGGCTAGGCGGGTTTGTTGTGCCACCCACAGAATCCAGTGGCAAGTTGTAGTGACTTGTACCACAAATCAGTCAACAACGCCGCCCTTGGGAATTGGACCGATAGGCCGATGTCATCCATGCGTGGAAATCCCCCGATCAGCGATACGTATTACTACTCCTGCCTGACTATCTGCTGTACTCCGTAGAATGTACTCGATAGTCATGAATGGCTCCAGAAGAAGGAAAAGTGAGAAGAAACAAGGAAATGGCGCCAAGACTTCTTATCACTGATCCAATCAGATCACCTGACGGCAGGTGACACAGACAAACCGTCGACAATCGAAATGCAAACGCGCCAAACACTCGTCCCTCGTTGCACATGATGTCGCGACGCCCGCGTCGCGTCTTATCTACCGGCGAGACCCCCTCGTGCAGTTCAGCCAATTCTCACGAGCTGAACGCGTCAAAATGTCCGTCGACGAGGAGGAATTCTTCAGTGACGATCTCGACGACTTTTTGGTGGATGGCATGGCGGTAGAAGGCTCTCCGTCGGAGTCGGATTCCCCGCGTCCAGCCAAGAAGCCTCGTATGGAGACTGCCAAATCCCGATCTTCACGCAACGAGGTTGACGAGGCCGACGAGGCTGAAAGTGACGACTACGGCTCTGATACTGACCTGGGTTCCTTCGTTGACGATGACGGCTCTTACGAGGGGACCCGAAGGAACGATGAACTGTCGTCCCCCAGTCAAGCATATGAGATCACCGACGCCAAAGGCAAGCGCAAGGCGTTTGTCCCCAAGCAGCAAAACACCACCAAAGACAACATATTTGTGACGCAGCTGACCCAGCCGCTCTCACCTCCGGAGATGCTTCGTGGTCCTCGGTGGCAGAAACCCAAGCCCCAACCGCCAAGACCTGCATCTCCGGCAGGCGACGAGTTCGGGGACGATGATATGGAGGCTGCCCTTGCGGCATCCGTTCAGTCATTCGAACAAGAACAAGCATGTAATGCTCTTTCCTTCAACGAGGTTACCCCGCTGCCCACTCGAAGTCTTCCAGGTAACCAGAAGACGCCGAAGTCGACGACAAAGAAGAAGACGGATACGCCAAATGCCTCCGGGGACATGTTTGACGAGCTCCCAGACGATGCATTTGACATCGACGTCGATTCACTCATCGCCAATCTGCCTCCGCCTCGGCCCACTCCACGAAAAACGAGCGGGGGGTCCTTCTCGTCTTTCAACCGGGTCCCCCGCCAGACTACGCTCCATGACATGGTTGCTCGAAATCCTGCAAGCACCTCACCCCCCGGAGAAAAGAGTTGGTATCCGCCAGAAAAGCACGGGGAGAAGCCGACACATCACAAGCTCGTCGAGGACACTCTCGACACCTGGATTTACCCGACGAACCTGGGCAAGACGCGAGACTATCAGTTCAACATTGCTCAGCGAGGCCTCTACCACAACCTGCTGGTGGCGCTCCCCACTGGTCTGGGAAAGACGTTCATTGCTGCCACTGTTATGCTGAATTGGTATCGGTGGACCAAGGACGCTCAAATCATCTTCGTCGCCCCGACAAAACCCCTGGTGTCCCAACAAGTCTCTGCTTGCTTGGGGATCGCCGGCATTCCCAAGTCTCAAACATCCATGCTCACCGGCGGCACCGCGCCGGGTATCCGAGCAGAGGAGTGGCAAAGCAAGCGCGTATTTTTCCTCACGCCTCAAACATTGGTTAACGACCTGAAGACTGGAATAGCCGACCCGAAACGAATCGTCTTGGTCGTTGTCGATGAAGCCCATCGAGCTACCGGAGGCTATGCCTACGTGGAGGTTGTGAAATTTCTTCAGCGATTCAACCAGAGCTTCCGCGTTCTGGCGCTGACAGCCACGCCGGGTGCCAAAGTGGAAACTGTACAAGAGGTGATTGACGGCTTGAACATCTCTAAGGTTGAAATTCGCACAGAACAGTCGCTCGACATTCGACAATACGTGCACGCCAAGAACATCGAGCGGGAGGTCTTTTCAGACTCCGAGGAGTTGATTCTGTGCAAGGAGCACTTTTCCCGTGCCCTGCAGCCACTAGTTGATAAACTCAAACATCTCAATGTCTATTGGGGATCTGATCCTCTGACGCTCACCCCCTACGGGCTGACCAAAGCCCGAAAGGAATGGAACGACTCGAATGCCGGTCGCAGATCAAGCCCTGCGTTCAAGGTCATGATCAACACGATTATTACCATCCTTGCCAGCTGTGCTCACAGTCTCGATCTTCTCAAATACCACGGAATCACGCCATTTTATCGAAGCCAGCTGAAGTTCCAGTCCAACAGCGGCGGCCTGAAAAGTGGGAAATACAAACAGCAGCTCGTCCAAGACGAGAACTATAAAAGACTCATGAGCCAAGTTTCGGCGTGGACAAAGCATCCGGAATTTATCGGTCATCCAAAGCTAGCATATCTCAAAGAAGTGGTGTTGAACCACTTTCTAGATGCTGGTGAAGGACAAGATGGGAACACGCAGTCTTCCACCAGATTGATGATTTTTGTTCACTTCCGAGATAGTGCCGAAGAGGTGATACGAGTGCTGAAAAGACATGAGCCCTTGGTCCGACCTCACATTTTCATCGGTCAGTCCAGCAACAAGGACTCGGACGGCATGAACCAGAAAACGCAGCTCAGCGTCGTCCAGAAGTTCAAAGAGGGGGTCTACAATACCATAGTAGCAACGTCCATTGGTGAGGAAGGTTTAGATATCGGTGAGGTGGATCGCATTATCTGTTACGACTCCTCTTCCTCGCCAATCCGCATGCTCCAACGTATGGGGCGTACTGGCCGAAAAAGGGCAGGAAACATCGTAATACTGCTCACGCAGGGGAAGGAGGAGCAATCGTACCTCAAAGCTACGGACGGCTACGAGAAAATGCAAGAAATGATCACCAGTGGGAAGTGGTTTACCTACCACACCGACCTCGCGCCACGCATTCTACCGCCGGGAGTCCGTCCCGTTGTCAACAAGCAGAAAATTGATATACCCACTGAGAACGAGAACCCGGACCTCCCCGAGCCGAAGAAGCGACGAAACGCCCCCAAGAAGCCCCCTAAGAAGTTTCACATGCCGGACAACGTCGAGACTGGTTTCACCAGGGCGTCCGATCTCGCCCCCGGCGGTGCCACGCGAAAATCAAAACCAAAGGGAAGGCCGAAAGAACGAACACCAACGCCTGGGCTCGCGGATGTACCAGCCCCCGAAGATGTTTTGCTGACCGCGGAGCAGCAAGACGAGCTTGACCAATACTACGGCAATATTGGCGAGACCAGTCCGCAATTCGCCCGACCCCCTCGCAACGACGCTTTTCCAAAACTGCAATCAGTTTCAAGACCGACAAAGGCCGTGACGCACGGGTCCGTCACCCATCGTATGATCGGCGCACTGCAAAAAATCAATCAGCTGGGTACAGACTGCGAGGCACGCTTTCAAAAAGTGTTGAGCCTCGAGTCTCAAAGGCCGCCGGAAGATGCCTTAATTTCACGCACACTGCCACCCTCTAGACACAAGCGCAAGAAAGGATCGAATGATCGTTCTCAACCCTCAAAACCTCTCAAAACTCGTCGATTGTCGCATGAAGTCTGCAACAATGAGAACCACTCCCCTTCCTCCTGATACAATTGCTTTCTTCCGTCGCCGACCATCCAGAATCGGCACCCTTCTATTCCTCACAAAGGGGTGAAGGCGAGAAGTTGGATGATGATGTTACACCCCCAGATCTGAAACCCCTTATGAGCTGAAGCACCGAGCGCAGGTCGCAAAAGCAGAATTGGACTGTGTTGGATTATGCTGATTAGGTCTTTTGGCTATTATGACCGGGTTTTCCTTTGGGTACAAATATCTCAAAAAGAAAAAAAGAGAAAAATAAGTAATACTGTTCGGGGAACAGATCGTGACGCACTGGCATCGCGATCACCTTACTACATAGAGGGAAAATCAATCGGTAGTAAGCCACTGAAGTCAAGCAGATCCAGAACTTTCATAGTACTCGTCCGTAGATTGTAACAGAGAATACTCGGAATGGGTGCGTGTAGATAACGTCATGGTCCATCAAACAGAGTGAATCCCAACAACTGCCACGTCCCGTGTCTCTCCCATCACGCACCTTCTCCGTGCTCCGGCCAACTCGAGAGCGGGAGATCGCAAGTAAACAGCAGACAAGCACCAGCAACCTCACATCTTCCACCATGGCGGATGCTCAATTCGATAGTGCGCTGTAAGTGGCCCTGACAGGACGACTCGTCCTCTCATTCCCAAACCCTCTCATCTCCTTCGCAATCCCAACATTCCTATGCCCCCCAACTTTACCCCACCACCTGATGCCTATTGCCTATTGCTGACCACCCCAGCGATCTTCTTCGACGCCTCAACCCCCGCGACACCAAGCAGAACCTGCAAGCCATCACGTCCATCGTCCCCGATCTCACCGAGGACCTCCTCTCCTCCGTGGACCAGCCCCTCGAGATCCGCCGCTGCCCCCGGACGAACCGCGACTACCTGCTCTGCGACTACAACCGGGACGGCGACAGCTACCGATCTCCCTGGAGCAATGAATTCGATCCCCCTCTGGACGACGGCACCGTGCCTAGCGAGCGCGTGAGAAAGCTCGAGGTCGCGGCCAACGAGGCCTTTGATGTCTACCGGGAGCTGTACTACGAGGGCGGCGTCGGGAGCGTCTACTTCTGGGATTTGGATGATGGGTTTGCGGGTGTGATACTTTTGAAAAAGGGTGGGTTCTTCGACTCCGTCTCGCAATTGTCATATATGCGGCAGGAGGAGGCTGTGGTTGCGGGTGTGGTTGGGTTCCAGCTGACGGATAATTAGGGGTAACGCCGGGTGCGAAGAGCTCCGGGGAATGGGACAGCATTCATGTGTTCGAGGCGACTGACCGTGCCCGCATGTCTCATTACAAGCTGACCAGTACCGTGATCCTGCATTTGGCTAACACCACCGAGGCGTTGGGCGAGATGGATCTGAGTGGAAACATGACCCGACAGGTCGAGGTCGATCTGCCCGTGGAATCGGATGCCAGCCATGTGGCTAATGTCGGTCGTTTGGTGGAGGATATGGAGCTGAAGATGAGGAACTTGCTGCGTTCGTTTCCCTTTCCCTTTCTCTCCTATGTATCGAGTTACAGCGGTGGCTAATGAAGTTGTGTCTACAGAGGAGGTTTACTTTGGTAAGGCCAAGGATGTTGTGGGTGAGCTGCGCAGTAAGTTGACCCTGGTTGTGTGATACCTGGCGTGTTCTGGTATGCTAATCGGATGTAGGCCTCTCGTCCTTGTCGGAGTCTAGCAAGGAAAAGGCAACCCATTTGGAGATGATCCGGTCCATGCAGAAATAAAACGTCCTCTCCGAACATCCTCGGTGCTGGATATATTTAGCGAATTTGTCAGAGCGACTGCCATTTCTACAACTGCCTGTGCTATCATATTTTCTGTCTGTGTGCTCTACCGCAATTCCAGTTTCCTGTATGTAGTTTTTTGAGTCCAAGGTTCCTGGAGATCCTAGATTTGATCTATTGAACGCATCAAGTAGTATCTAGTATGTACTATTTGAAATTGAAACATCGATAATATTTGTCACTTGAGTGACTATGGGTATCATAAATCATTGCCGACCGCCAAAGACAACTGCCTCACGGGCGTTGCTCTGCTCGACCAAGCAAGACAGTCAAAACGCTAAAACTTCCGACAGGCGACATTTGCTCGCTGAGAAAGGACGCCGAGATTCAATTTCCCCGGCAAGAGCCTTCCCATCCAGTCGAGAATGCAATCATCAATCAATCAACATCCATTCTCTCCTTGCCCGCAGAGCTGCTGATCTGCTCAACGAAGCCGCGCGCAGCTGCCCACAGTTCAGCCTCCTTGTCCTTGCCTACGGTGTCCTTTCTGCTGTTCAACCAACTGATGTCCAACGGATTGGAGGCACCCGCAGCCGCCCCGCCGGCACCGGTCGTGTCGCCGGCCCTGGCAGAAGCGGAATCGGGCGCCAGGATGGAGGCCTCCTCTAGGGCGTAGACCTGGCGGCGCAGTCGCACATCGATCGACGAGAGGAGGGCAAAGTATTGGGACGTCGCTTCTTTGAACCGCGCTTGGTGGGATTGCAGGGAGTTATCTGTCGACGAGTCACCGGTTCGGGCGTTGGTCAGGGCTTGAATGGCTAGGCCGGCGGAATGGATCAGTCGAGCCACATCCTGTGTTGATGGGCGATTAGTGAATTGGTTCTCTTCTTTTATTGTTGATTGTGCTGTGTGGTGCCTCGGGATCTCAGAATCCCCCGCCGCTGTCGGAGGTGAATGGCTTCCTATTGTTCTTTCTTCTTACCTTGTCTACTTCATTCAATTGGCGGATGCGATCTGCAGAGGTAAAGACCTGGTCAGGTCCGGAGGTGCTCGTGTTGGTTGCCATCTGGGTCGGAGTGTCGACTTTAAATAAAAGGTGTCGCCCGGTGGTTTGTTTTCTCTTCAAGCCACGATACTTGTCTGGTCTGTCTGTCTGTCTTCCTCTCGCACTCTCGAAAGCGCTCTGGCCGCGTCACGTGCCTCGACCTGGGGTCACTCTGCTTACCTCAGCCCAGGAATCGCCGCTAAGCCTCCCGCGGACTAGCGCCATATCAGAACGTGACGCTCCATCGACAAACCGCGACGGGCATCCCTCGACTGTCCGAGATCGCATCAGCTCCCATCTCCTCCCGCAGGCTAGGCAGGAGATCCCATCCTCAGCTTGTCTTTAGAGTACTCTCTGCGCCATGTCTGCGCCAGGAGGGGCCCCAAGCCCTGTGCCCCGAAGTGGAAGCATGGGGCCCGGAGGTGGAATGTCCATGCCTCCCCAGCAGTCCATGCCTGCTACACCTCCAGTTCCAGCACCGACTCCCGGTCCGCCGCCGCCGCCCCCGAGCGGCGCCATGTCGCAACAGAATTTGAATCAGATAGTAAGTTGTTTTCTTTGTTGGGCGAGTTATTGTTTTTGTCCGAGTTTGTGAGGTGGTGGTGAAGCTGGTTATGGAAGCTGTCTGGTGTGGCATTTCCCTATATCCCTTTGCCTTTGTTGGACTTTCCTATACTGGAACATCTATCTGGTTTTATTTATGCCCTGTCATATATCTGGCCGAAACCATGCCGTTTCATGTTAGCATCGCTGACCCGCCGGACCAGGTCATCGACTATCTGGCCAAGAAAGGATATAGTCGCACAGAGGCCATGCTGCGCATGGAATCTGCGAATCAAGAAATTGATGGACGTCCTTTGCCCCCGCTTGGAGAGGACGCGCGACCCAAGTATAGAATGGGCTTTGGTGAGCTCAGTCGTCCTTTCATCAGTTACATATCAACTGACCTCCGTTTCAGACCTGCTCAAAGTCTGGGTTGAAGACAACTTGGACCTATACAAGCCGGAGCTGAGACGAGTCCTATGGCCGCTCTTCGTCTACTCCTTCCTCAACATGGTGACTTCGTTCTACCCCCAGGATGCGAAGCAGTTTTTTGAAATCAACAAGAACCTCTTTCTTCCAGAGCACACGGAGGACGTGCGCGCCTTGGAGCCGATTAGCCTGCCGGAGCATGTCCAGGACAACTCCGTTGCAAAGCTCTACCGCACGAACAAGTATCGCCTGGTGCTCAGCAATCCGGCTTTCTCGAACCTGATGCAGTTCCTCGAAAACAAGCAGAAGGAAGGCGGCTCCGTCATGTCCGCCATTTTGAGCAGCTTCTGCACGGTCATCACTAAAGAGCGTGCCGTTGACGACCGATTCAGTTTCGCTGCTATGCTCGGCCAAGCCTCAGGAGGTCAGACCTTCCCGGCTGAAGACGAGGGCATTCCAGGCCATCATCCTGGATCGGCGTATACCGGAGACAACCCGGCCATGGCGGGAACTTTGCCCAGACTGAGGCTCGGAAAATTGCCGATGGAGCAAACGCTAGAGTCCGACGTCCGAGGCGAGTTGGCCGACGAAGATGCGAAGAACCCGCCGACTGCGGGCCAAAACACTCTTGTCCAAGAGCTCGATCAGATGATCAAAAAGGAAGAAGACGACGAAGCTCCTACGCGTGCCGATATTCCGTACCCCCCGTCGACGGCGCGTGACGTGGCGATTGAAGTGCAAAAGGTGAAGGAAAACCGTGACCGATTCAGGATCGAAGGCCGGACGGGCGGCGTTGGTCCTGCCGTCAGCGTCTGCATGTTCACCTTCCACAATACTTACGATGGGTGAGTTAGGACCTCCAACGTGTTTTGTACTCTCGCTGACATGTGCAGAATCAACTGCTTGGACTTCTCCGATGACAATATGCTCGTTGCAGCTGGTATGCAAGAGTCATACATCCGGGTTTGGAGTCTGGATGGAAAACGCATCCCAAACACCTACGACAATGTGGATGACTCGGGCCCGTCCAATTCTCGTCGCCTCATCGGCCATTCCGGGCCTATCTACGCGGTGGCTTTTGCGCCGTCCATCACACGCACTGAGAATGCGGTGGCTCCCACGAACGCCCGCTGGCTTCTCTCGTCCTCCGCCGATAAGACCATCCGACTGTGGTCTCTGGATCTGTGGCAATGCATGGTTGTCTACAAGGGCCACGACCAGCCCGTTTGGGATTTGCAGTGGGGACCGTATGGACACTACTTTGCTTCTGGCGGACACGACAAGACTGCTCGCCTTTGGGTCACCGACCACATTCGCCAACAGCGGATCTTTGTCGGGCACGACCAGGACGTCGATTGCGTGTGTTTCCATCCCAATTCCGCCTACATCTTTACCGCCAGCTCGGATCATACGGTGCGCATGTGGGCGGTGACCACGGGTAACGCCGTGCGGATGTTCACCGGACACACGGGCAACATCACCGCTCTCGCCTGTAGTCGCGACGGGAAGCTTCTGGCGTCGGCCGATGACCACGGCTCGATCTTGCTGTGGGATCTTGCGACCGGACGGCTGACCAAGCGTATGCGCGGCCATGGCAAGGGCGGAATCTGGTCGATCAGCTGGAGTGTCGAGTCGACGGTGCTCGTCTCCGGCGGCGCCGACGGCACGGTCCGAGTGTGGGACGTGACCGGACCCTCTCAGGACTCCTCGCAGGGCCGGGTGGTTGGCGACGGCGCGGCCGGGACGAAGGTGGACGGAGGAAGCGCCGCGGGCCCCAGCGCACAGGCGTCCAGTTCCGTCGCCCCGGGCATCGGCAAGAAGAAGGGCAAAGACGTGGTGGTGTCGCCCGATCAGATCAGCGCTTTCCCTACGAAGAAGAGTCCCGTCTACAAGGTGAAGTTCACCAATATGAACCTGATCATTGCTGGTGGCGCTTATCTTCCCTGAGGAGTGAGGGTTGAAATGAATTTCTCTCTTTCTGCACAGTGGCGCCTGATACCCGTTTCTTGCTTTTTCGCGGTTTCTATCCCTTTTTTTTATTTTGTTTTACTTTCAATTTCGATCTACCTCCATTTGTAATACAATTGATCCCTGAATACTAAGAGAAGTCAACCCCTGGACAGTCGCATGGGCAATTTATGGTTGGGTATTTGGCGGGCGTCGCGGCGTGGTTGTGGTGTTGGTTGGCAATGATTGCAAATATTAAAAAAACATTCCATGCTTATAGGAACTTAGACAGGCCGGTTAGTCAATCGAGAAGTTGTCCATACAAGCCTTGTAGGTTATACTCCGTAGACAGTAGAGAATCACCCCCGCTCCCCAGATCGGAGGGCCTCCGGTCTTTCTTCCGCCCTCCGGATTCCTTTTGCCGAGTCTCGGCCGATGATTGGAGGCGTTTTTGCTTCTGAGTACCGACGACCCATTGAGGTAAATGATCTTGTTGATAACCATGGGCTTGCAGTGTCTTACTTCCTTCGCAGGTGCGTCATTTCCCCGTGGGGTTGGTCGCTCATTGTCCACTCTAGTGGAAATCATATGACTGGCGAAATGGAGACCCTGTCTCAATTAATCCACTGACCGTTCATTCATTCTTCATGCACCAACTCATTCTGCATTCTTTCGTCCTTTATATCCATCCTACCTCGCAATTATGTCTTTGTAACGCACCTCTTATTTATGTAGAGCCCCCAATCGAAGCTATATAATCCACCTCAATGCCACCCAGAGACAACGACAATAATAACAAACACGACCCCCCAACCCGCTCTTCACCACCTCAACAACCCTCCCAAAACTCCAGACCTGAAGACGAAATCCCCGCCTGCCAATCCTGCCGCAAGAAAAAAGCCCGCTGCAGTCGCGCCCAGCCATGTGATCAATGCGTCCGGTTCAACGTCCCCTGCGTCTATGATGATCGGCGCTTGAAGCCGGGTCTGAGGGCCGGTGCTGTCGATCAGCTGTATCGGCGGATTGAGACGTTGGAGAATATGTTTCTCGGGCAGGAGGTGCTTTGGAGGGCGGTTTTGGGGGGGTTGGGTATGGATGCGGGTGTGGGTGGGGGTCGCGATGGGGGTGGGGATGGTGGGTTAGAGGAAGAGGGGAGTGGGTTGACGGAGTTGGAGAGACGGAGGGAGAGAGTGAAGAGTTGTTTACTGCGGGCTACGGAGGGGGAGAAGGAAAAGAAGCAGATGCAGAGGACGTCGTCGGCGCAAGATGAAGCAGAGGAGACCACATCGGGTGTCGGAGCCAAGCGACGAAAGGTCGAGAAGATGCCTTTGTTGAGACGCAGAGAAAATGTCGACCCGGACTGGGATAGCGATAATGACGATCCCAGCGGACTTTTACCCCCGGATATCATGTCCGAATTAGTGGATTTCTACTATCTGAATATTCACCACTGGATTCCTATCTTGCATGTTGCGAGGTTTCGACGACGCATGAAATCGGAAGAGGAACGTCCGCGCATTGCTTGCATTCTGCATGCCATCATAGCCATCTGCGTGCGCTTCTCCCAGAACGATAGGCTCAAAGACGAACAGACGAAGGCACGCATTGCGGAGAAAAGCCGACAGCGGGTCATCTTGAACAGCATTGAGACTTTCTCGGTCGAGAATCTGCAGGCGCTGATTATTGTTGCGTTTGAGACGGTATGTGCTGGTCTCACAGTCATTTATTCAGGCATAACTGATTAGTATGGACTTCTAGATTGGCCGAGGACGTGGTCCGTCCTCGTGGTCCATCATCGGAAACATGGTGGGCACAGTGGAACAGTTACAATTGAATGTAGAAGAGGACGAGCTTTACGGGTCGTCAAACGCAGGCGAGACCCTGATTCGACGGATGCTGTTCCTCACGCCATCCAAATCGTGGAGCGAGGCTGAGGAGCGCCGTCGGGTCTTCTGGACGGTCTTTCTCATGGACCGCTTCTGCAGTGTGTCCACCGGTTGGAAAATGAGCCTGACCGGTGCCGATATCAAACGTCGACTACCATGTGAGGGTGCGATCTGGGGCCAGGAGCAGGAAGTGCGGACGCCGTATTTTGGCATCTCGGACTCCAAAGGTCCGTTATCCAGCAGCTCGGGTCTCTTTGAAAGACAGGGCTCGTCACGCTCCGAGGACCAGGATTCGATTGGCGGGTTGGCGTATAATATTGAAGCTACGGAGTCGCTTGCATTGGTGACGAATTTCTTTCTCCATCATGCATTTGTTGTCAACGACACAGAAAAGGCTCAATTGTGGTTGATGAAGTTCAAAGAGCTCGATCTTAGACTCATTCAGTAAGTATTGATCAGAATGCAAGTGTCGGGTATTTATGACTTGCTAACCATCGTCGCAAACTCACAGGTGGAAGCTATACCTGCCATCAAAATGGCGCGAGGCTTCTGTGCTCAACGCCGATGGAATCATGGACCCGAATCTCATTTTGGCTCATCTAACACATAACACCGCGGTCATCTTGCTCCACCAAGGAATCGCATACCCGCCTGCGCACTGGCAGACCTGCGCCGTGAAGCCGCCGTCCGCATCCTCCGCAGAGACGTGTCTCGAGGCGGCCTCGGAGACGGCCAGGATCGGCCAACAGTTTCTAGCATACTCGCCAATATTCACTAATCCCCAATTCTCTTTCTGTCTCTTCATTGCGGGCCGTATGCTGCTCGCTCATTCACGATACAACCAAGTGCCCATCTCACCCGTCCTCGATACCTTGATTGCCAATCTGCTTGAAATCTCCCAGCGTTGGGCAGGTCCTGGGAAGGCGACCGACGACGAAGGAAACCTTGCATCAAGCTTTGCGAAGCGGCTGATCGAGGCACAGAGTAACTCGGCGATTCATTCACGCCCAAGTCTGGATATTAGACAAACTGCGTACTCGGATGAATCCAAAGAGCAGCCACACTCGCCTGCCACGGGTTCCTCGCGTAGCGATATAAACGCGTTCCCATCTCGGACGGTCAATTCCTGCCTCTCACAGACTCACTACCCTGAGATCCCAGCGCCGCAGGACTCGTTTGGGTACGATCCGTTTAGCCTCGCATTTCCTCCGCTTCCACCGGCCTTCCAGCAGGAATTTTCGCTGTCGGCGTGTGGGCAGGGCGTTGCGAGCCCGGCACTTTTGTCTCTGGGTATGCCATCGTATCACGCTGATCCGCTACATACGTGGCAAAGCCCGGGTGTGAATTACGGCAATACAGTGATTAGCCCTGGGGATCATACACCCAGTCCAGGACATTTAAATCAGTAGTTATTGAGATGAGTTTTGCTTGCACGACGGACCAGTGATGAATGATGCAACCGCTGAACTACCTATATCGGAACGTTAATATGTCCCTCCATGTCCACCAATCCTAGCTCCTGCAGCATGTTGCCAAACAACAAGAAGTAATAGTCTGCATATACCAACCCGTGGTTCGCCCATCGTCTCGGAGCAAACTCATAGTTGTTGATAGTGGCCCTGTCCAGGATCGTGTCGTGCGTGCGCGAACCAGACAGATCGACCACACTCAAGACGTCGAATCCATCGCTCGCTCCCTGCGCAAGACAACCCTCCGGATATACTTCACATTGCGTTGAAGCCCTCACCATCTGAAACGTCAACGTAGGCGGATGCATAAACTTGACCACGGCAGCATCCACTATCCTCAACGCCTCTCGGAGATAGTACCCCCCCTCCGACGTGTCCCGCAGCGTCTTGAACAGCACCAGCATCCCACACGCCGCAATCATCGCCGCCGACGTATCCCGCGGACTCTCATCCGTCACTGGCGCTAGGAAATCCCAATACGGCACCCCGTCCTCCGGCAAGTGCGATATGAAGTACTTCGCCAGCGCTCTCGCCGTGTCCAGAAACTCCGACTTCCCCGTCCACCGGAACGTCTGCGCGAACCCTAATATCCCCCACGCCTGGCCCCGCGCCCAGCAGCTCTCGTCACTATACCCCTGGTTCGTGAACCGTGCTTTCCGCTCGCCAGTCTGAGCATCGAAGTTTGCGACGTGCGCAGTGCTATTGTCTTCGCGGACGTGGTGTCTCCGAGAGCTATACGCATGCGCCACGGCAATGTCATACAGCTCTGCATTATTGGTTTCCCAGGCAGCCCAGAACAGCAGATCCAGATTCAGCATGCTGTCGATAATGACGAGGAAGTCCGTCGACATGTCCGCTTCCGTGTACGAGTAGCGGGTCGTGACGCAGACGTCCCAGCTGCGGATGCATCGCGTGGTGGCATTGAAGCGGCTGGCGAGGGAGTGTGCGGCCAAGACGAGACTGTTGTATGCTTCTGCATCGCGATGCAGGTCCCAGGCTTTCATGGCCCACGGGGCGATCATGAATCCGAGGTCGTGCGTGTCTCGCTTCAGGGCGTTTTGGTGCAGGTTTGCGGTCCACCAGCGGCAGAGGTGCGAGAGCTGGAGTTGGTGAGGTAGGGTATTTGATCCGTCGTCTTCATCATGAGAGAAAGAAGATGGAGATCGGTAAATGCTGGACTTCTGATACCGTGTCAGGCGCTCGAGGATCAGATATAATGATCCCGGGAAGAAGCCGGAGGTCCAGAAATCGAGCGTGCGGTAGACATAGGTGCTCCCGTCAGGGCCGGTGTATTCGGGATATAGCACGGGGGGTTTGCTCTGCAGGGGAGTAGGGAGCAGGGGTTATTATTGAGTTTGGAACTGTAGGTTGGTTCCATTCTTAGGACTTACTGATCCTTGAGCTCGGGCTGCGACTCTCCAGATTTTGGCAATCGCTGATTCAGAGTACAGGGCTTTTGCTAGGCGGGTGGATATGGCGGAAGAGGAGGTCTTGATGCTGTTCGTGTTGTTGATGCCGTTGGTGTGTTGGTGGGATGCTTTTAGTCTCTTTGGACTGTGCTCCTACTCGGGGGTTCAGCTTTTTTTGTTGTTCTGGGTGCGTGAAGAGGGAAGCGTACCGTTGTAGATGCGTGACTTAGCGACATTGACATTGTGTGGAGGAACGGGGACGAAAAGATAGAGCTCTTGGGAAATGTGCCTTGGGGAGAAGAGGAATGAGATAGTCAGGTACATATTTATTAGCTCAGGTGGATAGATGCTGTAACTAATTGAAATCACGAGATCACTTCCCACGAACATGACATCTTGAGATAAGCGGGAAGACGCCGGTATATGGTCCGTATATTCGAGGCCAAACAGCTGCTCCATCTTTGTAATATTATGATTGATGTAGTGGTTCATGCACACAGCTGACGGAGGAGAATCTTCCTCCGGACTGGTGATCGGGGTAAGGCCCGGAGATGCTCCGGATTGACTGCTTGTTAAGATGGAATTGACATTGACATTCTCGATTCTTCGACTTTTCTCTTAGTTCGTGGTAGACAGCAAGTCGGTCCTTTTTGGTCTTGCGTGGACTGCTCCACAAACCACTCATAGGTTTCACTTGATATACTATAGAAAAAAGGGAGAAAGAAGGTATAAGCTTGGTGAGTTCCAATTCGAGAGATTGAAATGAATCGGTAGATATTTGTCACCAACGGTTACTACTTGTGTTATAGTTATGTCCAGTATCAAAACACAAGAACTGTAGCATTCCAGAAGAGGAAATACATCGTTCTTCACGGAAAAGCCCTAATTTTCTGTTCCAAGTCAAAACAAACCATTCCAGCTATCCACATCCCTCTCCCTTCTCCATCACCCTACGCATCTTCCTCAATCCGATACATCAGCGTCCCATGTCCAAAGACATCATACCCCCCGGAATTCGGTCCATAATCACCTCCACCACCCTCGACACCGGCCGAGATATTCCCATTCACGTAGTCCCGAAACTGGATGGACCAGGACGCATTCAGGCCTTTGACCCGCGTATAATGAGACACAATGGCCTCGTATCCCGGACGCACGTCGAAGCGCGATTTTGCTGAGATTTCTTCCAACAGACCCTCCCAGCTGGTATAGGGGATGTAGGGGACGGTGTGGTTGGTGTTGTATTTGGCGGTGTATTCGGCTCTGGAGGAATGTGTCAGTGTCAAAGAGGGTATGCTCAGCAGTCAATATGCCAAAGAACAAGACAAAAAAGGTGAAGGGATGAATACGCATTCAGGATCTCATATCCGTAAGTCCCAAACAAATCCAACCCCTGATTCCAGGCCTGTTGCCCAATAACCCCCAGCAACGCCATACACAGCAACGCATGTCCCTGATCGCGACCCGACTCCTGCATCTCCATCAACGTCTTCCCAGACCCTGGTTCTGTGAAGTTGGCAATTGAGAAATACGGCAACGCTCCATTCACCACGACCTGACTGTCCGGTAACCCAAACTGCCAGTACTGCGCGGCATCGTCCACCATCGTCTGATTATCTGTGAAGATGCCGATGGCCATCAACGACGCGATATTACACAAGTCCCAGTTCGCGTAGTAGAAGTTCGCCTTACCATTGTGCGTCTCTAGGAAGTCTTGATTCGCCGGGGCAAACACGGTCGTCAGTAGGCGCGCAAACGCCGTCTGATTCGCCGCGCTCCAGCCGGGATACATGCGCAAGATCTCCGCCGCGTTGGCAAATTGGTACCCGTAGAGACCGGCCGCGAGGTACTGGTCTTCTGTGCCGTTGAGGGCGCGCAGGGTCGAGGCCCAGCTGTTTAGGATGGTCGCCGCATGGTCTGCGTATGAGGTGTTTCCGCCGATGAGCCACCGCAGTGTCAGTTGGTACGCGGAGTGTGCGTCACGGTAAGCGTCGCCGTAGTTCTGGGCTGGCGTGGTCGGCCAGGTGCTGTTTGAGCCGCGGACGAGGACTTCGTGCGGTTTGGGCGTCCAGGTTGTTTGTGCGAGAGCGCTGGACTCGAGGTGTTGCCAGGCGCGGTACCAGGGCTGTTCGTGGGCGTGCACTTTGCGTCGGACTCGTTCGATGTCTTTGTTGGTGTGGAGGGCGCCGGGGTGGTCTAGTTGAGGTTTAGGATGGGGTGTGGCAGATGCGGTTGAGAGGAGTGTAGCGATGGTGAGGAGGGTTGGGACTTTCATGGTGGCTGTCTGAGTACCTCCGAGGCAGGATACTGAGGAAACTAGACATCAAAAGAGTGGACGATGTGGGGCATTCACCAAGTGATATATTCTGGTTGAAAGGTGCTCAATATCTAGCACCGAGTGAAGTATTCCGGTCTTTGCTCCGCTGTCGGATTGAAGCCGCTCATTCCTCCGCTTAGTGTTTGGTTTTGGGTTCCTTTGGTTTCAGGAGTCAGTGTTAAGCAGAATTGGCTCGATGTCTTGGGATTCTGCTCAAGTTATTAGCTAGGATGTTCTAGTCAGTTTGAACTCTAGGGTCAATAGCTCACTTATGGAGTATCTAGATAGTATATCGGAGTCCGATCATGAAACATGTACCAAGTAGTAGAGACAGTTATGACTTCAAAGCTACAGAATAAACCTAACACCCTTGACATGCTCGTTCGCAAACAAAGGAACTAAGTCGGCCGTCATATACCATCTAGGCTTTTCCATCTCATCATGGATCACTTTCCCATCGATCCGGAGATTCTCAAATGTCACATTCTCCACTGGGTGTCCCTCATTATACCCCAAAATCATCGCCGGATTGACTGTTTTCGAGTCCCGCAGATCCAACGACAAGTTTCTGATCCTGACATCTCGAATGCCTCGCCCCGGAGCGGTCGTCCACATGGCATTCTGCATGACGCGCAAGTTGATCAGTTGGCCGCGAGTAATCCGCTCGACTCGCACGTCCTCGATCAGGATATCGTGGAAGTAGTTCCTATCTGCAGCGTTGATGGCGATACATCCCTGATACCACAGCTGGTTCTCCTCGTGATCCAAGATATCCACATTCCGGATCGTCACGTTGCTGGTTGTTTCCGGTCTGGATGGGTTCCCGTGCGTGCCCATGTTAATCGCGTGCGCAAGATCAGGCAGTAACACGCAGTTCTGGATGAGGATGTCCTTCGTGTCGCCATACCAGTTCCATCGATGTGAATAAAGAGCAATGGTATCGTCCGAGTTGCGCAGAAAGCAGTTCTCGATGACGATGCCGGACGAGCAGAAGAAGTCGATCCCGTCGCCGTTACCTGCGGACGAGAACGATCGGTATCGGTCGACGTGGATGTTGTGGCATTCGCCCGCCGACAGACTGAATCCCTTTGCTCCTAGCGAGGTGATACCTTCTACTTTGACGTTGCTGGCTCCGCTCATGTGGATCGCTCCGCCGTGTTCGCGGTGGACATAGCCTCCTTCGGGCCCGAGGATGAACCCGTGTCCTCGAACGGCACTGTTAGATACGTTGATGAAATTGAGTCGGCAGGTGATGAAGGCGCCTCCGGAGACGTAGACGGTCTTGCCAGACGGTACGGTCAGATTGACGCCGTCGGTGACGTGCTGGTAGGCGGAACCTTGGTTGATGCCCGGTCCGAAGTACCAGATATCGTCGGTGTCTTGCGTCGGCGCAGTCGAGTCTATCTTGTTGCTGAGGAGGTGGAGAGCTGTCCACTTGTCGCCGTTCAGCTCGAGCATTACATCTCTGGCTGTGGAGAGAGAAAATGTCATGACGGTGTCGTCTAGATCAACTTCAATGCTCGCAGATCGGGGCCGGATGACTGCAGATGTTACTGGCCCTGCAGTGTAGGTAACTCGCACTTGAACGAGGCCGTCGAAGTCAAACGAAGCGAGCGCGACAGTGTGTTGATTGAAATTGTTGGAGGTGACATTGGCATTGGCCACTTCCACGGCATAGACAGGAACTGGCAACCATCGCTGGCCGTTCTCTGCCTTGACTTCCACGATGAAGTCCGAGTTGAGCGGGATGCCGGCAGGAGAATCGTAGACATGGACAACCATTCTTGTGTGATTCACGAACCTCGAGGAAATCTCGAAGTGTAAATGGAGATTATTGCATCAAATAACCCGAGTTGCTACTGGCATCGGCGCCCGGGGGATCTGCCGGAGATGCCCCGATGGATCTTCACCCCACGGGGCGTCTATGCATCTCGGTCTTACGACTCGGCTTCAATGCAATAGGTCATCACTAGTTACTGGGGAGATTACAAATACTTTGGCGAGGAACAGTCCGAGCAGGCTCACGTTGGCAGCCTCCGATTTCATAGTATCTTACTCTACTGCACCATGTCCACCACAAAAGATGAGATGAGTGCCACCGTCGACCATCAAGAACTACAAGCGCACTCCAATCAAGCTGTTGAACACCTTGAATCGAAAGAAAAACCCGATCCTCTCGAAACCGATCCAGGAATTCAGATTGACGCTGCCACAAACAAGCGCCTGTTCTGGAAGATCAGCCGTCGGATCCTCGTCATCCAGGTGATCACATATTTCTGCCAATCCCTTGACAAGGGCGTTCTAAACTATGCATCCATCATGGGTATCAAGGAGGACGCAAGCCTGAAGGGCCAAGAGGTGAGACCGGTAACTCTGAATAACATGACCCAGAGCTAACAACGACGGGATCCTAGTACTCCTGGTTGGGAACGATCCTTTACCTCGGCATTCTCGCCGGCGAATATCCTCAGAACTTCCTGCTCCAGAAGCTTCCCCTGGCGAAGACGCTGGCCGTCAATGTGTTTCTTTGGGGTGCTGTCGTAGCTTGCTCGGCCGCCTCGACTCGGTTCGCGTCTCTGATGGCAGTCCGCTTTCTGTTGGGCTTTTTCGAGAGCTGCGTTCAGCCCGCTATGATGCTATTGTAAGCCCTTACATCTCTTCGATTGGAAGACCCACTGACGCATTGTCCAGAACGGCAATGTGGTATAAGAGAGAAGAACAATCCGTCTTGAATGCCGTTTGGTACTGCATGAGTGGCGTACAGCTGATGGTGAGTCGAGATTCCACTGTCATCCCGGAACTTGTCAACCTCTAATAAACTGCAGATCGGCGGCCTACTAGCCTTCGGTGTCTCGCACTTCACAAACGGGCCCATCACCAGCTGGCAACTTCTCTTCCTCGTCCTCGGACTCGCCACCTGCGTCTGGGCTTTCTTCATTGCTTTCCTGCTCCCCGATAGCCCTATCTCCGCAAAATGCTTCAGCGAGGAAGATCGCATGCTCATGCTCGAACGTGTCCGACACAATGAAACCGGCATCGAAAATCGAGAGTACAAGAAATATCAGGTGTGGGAAGCCGTCACGGACCCGTTTGTCTGGTGCTGCGTGCTGCTCATCACGACCGCCAATCTGATAATCGGCGGCCTGGGCGTCTTTTCAAACCTGATCATTCAGCAATTCGGTTTCTCCCTGCTGCAAACACAACTTCTCAATATTGCCCAAGGCGCTTGGACCATTATCTGGATGCTCGGGTCAGCATGGGCTGCTCAACGATTCCAGCAGACCTGCGTGGTTATGATCGTAAGTTGGCCTTCACCCCATCCTCTCTCCATAACATGTACGTACATACATATCTTCAGCAATAAATCCTAACAAGACCTAGCTATGGGCCCTCCCCGCCATGGCCGGCACGATCGTCATACTCGCCGTCACCCCAACAGCCACGAACGCCGGCGGCATGCTAATCGCCTTCTACTGCACGCAGCTCTTCACCGCAGAAGGCAACCTGATCATCTCCCTTGTGACGCGCAACATCGCCGGCCAGACCAAAAAGGGCATGACCATGACCCTGGTCTTTGTCGGGTGGGCTGTTGGCAATCTCATCGCACCCCAGATCTTTCAGGAGAAAGATGCTCCGCGCTATCTGCACGGCTTCCTGGCTCATATCATTATTTATGCGGTGTATTTGGGTCTGGTCGTTGTCACTAGAGTGGTTCTTATGGCGAGGAATCGGGCGAAGGAGAGGGCGGAGGGGGAGATCTCGCATGAGCTGGCGTTTCGGGACTTGACGGATCATGAGAATCCGAATTTTCGATATGTGTATTAGTTTTATGGGGTGGTGGTTTGGATCATTGGACGGGGGATGTATGTAAGTATGGACTATATTGTTATGACAAAACTTGAAAGGGCAGTGATAATGGGGTTATTTTGGCTTGAATTACCGAACAGAGAGAATTACTGCAGGAACTCTTTGAAGTACCATTTCTATGAGGCTCGATGGATTTAAAGCATTCAATCGAGATATGCTTTAATTATATCCTGTTTGTCAACACCCCGAAATGGCAAAGATATCATCCGACAGCCACGTCTCGATCGTAGCACCAGATGATTATTATTGCCTGACCCGAGTTAATAAAATGGTATATATACAATCAGTAGGTATATAAACTGAATCAACCATCTATGACTCCCAGATTCCGAACACTACCTACCCCCTGTGCTCTTCTTCATCGCTGCCGACGCCTGCAGATCGGCCACCTTGGGCGGAAGCACCAGCGCGCTGCGATCGTTGCGTTTGTAGAAGTCCACCAAGATCTGAGCTGTCTTGGTCGGTTGATCTTCCTGGATGAAATGGCCTGCTTCCGGGAAGACTTGGAGTTGGTATTTACCTGGAAGTTCGTTAGCCATGCCTTTCACTACCTCGATGCACAAGCTGAAATCAGAGAAACAGCCAAAGGCTATTTGGGAGAAAAAAGAGTGGAAAGAATACCCTGCATCTGTCCAATCATCAATTCCTTATCCAAGCGATCCGTACCCGCCAGCAGAAGTAGCTTGCCGCCCCGAGCCTCGAGAAATTTCCGACTCAGTCCGACAAACCAGTTCTCCCAGAAAGGCTTGGTTTCGGCGAGATTGGTTCGCCATATCCAGGGCTTGGAGGGGTCCTCGGCGGGAGAGTCCTCTTCGTAGAGTAGCGATGGGACAGAGACTCGGGCTGAGGTGCGGTTTCGGATTGTCCGGGAGCGGGTGCTGTGATTGTTAGCCAAGAATGAGGTTGCTTGGATTGGATTTGTTTCAGAAGAACATACTGCCATTCTATTCCTGAAGTTAACGATGGGAATCGCGAAGGCCGAGTGGAGAGATATTTCTCCATGCTTTGAAGCGCATCCATTGCCGAGCCTAAGTCCCGATTAGTTTGATAGTAAGTCTTAGACGAGGGCGTCAATCCGGAATAGGAAAGTGAAGCATACCCTCTACTACATCCAATACCGCATACGCCAACACCTTAGCTCCCAACTCGCCCGTCTTCGCCACATCGGTGATCACCGCACCGCCCAGACTATGTCCTACGAGGACGATATCCGGGAGGTCGAGCCAACCCATACGTGACTGGGTCTCGCGGACTACAAAGACAAGGTCCTGGTTGAGTGTCGACAGGGTCAGATCCAACTCGACTGGGGGCGAGTCTTGACCCTCAGGAACGGGGGCCGCGTGCACAGTCGTTTGGCCGTGATCTCGCGCGTCAATAGAGAGAACCCCGGCGCTTGGCAAGATCTTTCGGATCTCTGCAGTGCAGGTCGCGAATGATAGGCCTGAGGAACCTGCCCCGTGGTGCATAACGAATAGGGGACCCGAGGAGCTCGGGGGAGTCAGGTAGACATGATGGGTGATGCGAGCAGTGGCGGTTTCTTGCGTCAAGAAGAAGTCCTGGCTAAAAAAGTCCGTCCAGGGGAGAGTTGTGGACGTGGAGCTGGTGAAGATGTTAGCTTCTGTAGTAACTATATCAGACACGTGCAGTAGAGATAGAGTGGTCGGGGTTGGTAGCACGGGTGATTGGCTCGCAACACAGTTACCGTTACACCGGCTATATGGCTTCAAGCATATCAAGACTCACCCTCGAGCTGGTCTCGAAAACAATTGCTTTGTTGGTGAAGGCACCACCGTGCCGGTGGACGAGACGGATGAGCTATCCTTGTCGACTTCCTCGTGGGGTTCCATGCCCGGCACAGGAGGAAGTTCGGACGGGAACTTGGCCAGTTTTGCTTTGGCAAAAGACTTTTGAAGTTCACTCATAGATATTACGGGTCGTGTTGACGGCTGGAGGGATCTTCTTAGAACACTTTGGCCGGGGAGAGAGTGTGTGTTGATGGGGAGCTTAAATTGAATTAGCTACAATCAGTCGATGTGCTGGTGGGGCCGAGGACGCTAAGGACTGGTGGATCTGCACTCGACAAGCATGCCGCCATCCCCGAAGGCATTTGGAGAACAAAGAGACCGGGATGGAACAAAGTCAATGTACTCAGTATAGAGCGTAGAGGGGAGGATGAGGATTTACAGAAGAGAAAGTAGAGCTAGTCTGTCTAGGGCTTCGTAGGGAAGGAAAAGCGAGTCCCGTGCGTTGCCTCTTTGGGCCCCACCCGTTCTTTTCTTTCTTTGCTGCTCGCTCTCTTCTTCTTTTCTTCTTCTCCCTTCCTTTCTTCCCTTCTCTGATCCCCCTTCATCCTTGTCCCTTCTCTCCCTCTCTTTCCCCTTTACGACCCTCTCTGATGCTGCATCCCAACCGTCGGACAGAGTGGCTGCGTCACGTGCCAGATGACCTCACTCGCCTGTTTGCGGTATCCTATAATGACGTCACTCTATCCAAATTCTCCGACGCCATGCTTTTCCCTGTCCAGATCACTTCCTCGAGATGGCCGAGTCTTGAATTCATCCTAGCTCACAGTCCAGATTTCTCCAAGCAGTCACCCATTAACAATGGTTTCACTGTGGCCTAAAAAACAAGACAACCCCGAAGGGGGGGACCAGCCCAGCCGTGAGGACGACGAACGTCAGTCCTCTCGGTCTCGACAGTATCGCGATCGCGAACCCGACGAGCGGACACGACTCCTTCCGCGCGAAGCTGCTGGATACCTGCATCCCGATGATCCTGCTGTGTGTATCTCCGTCATGTTAATATGCTGCAACGATATCTAATGACTGTTCTAATTACAATGAATTGCTAGGTCTCCCCCTACAATCTCTGGAGCATTCGTGCTCTGCGAGGCCTGTCCTCGCTCTTCTTGGCCATTAGCTTCGTCTGGTGGACCTTCCTGCTCGTATCAATCTTCGTCAGCCCTCCAATGATGCATACCCGCGGCTCCGGCTTCTTCGGTTTCTCTTACACCACGCTCACCGTCGGATATCTCGCCACTGGTCTGCTGTTCTTTGCCGTTCCTTCCAAGCCCATGACCATCTGGGGCTTTGTCCTGGCTATCTTCCTTCTGGTCGATATGTGCCTTATCCTGGCTGTTCCGCGAATCCGCGTCGAGGAAGGCTGGGTTGGTATCGCTTCTGTGGTCTGGGCAACGTTGATTTCGTTCTACAACATCCTCCAGAACTATCTTGTCGCCTGGGGAAAACGGGAGGAAGAAGAACGATTGACGGGTCGTGAGGAGACCCGTCGCTCTCTGCGCGAATGGCTCGCTGTGCTGGTCGAAACCGTCGTCATGGCTATCCTAGGCATTGTTGCCATTCTCTTTACCGCAACACTGATCTTGCGCTCCCGTGACGCCTCGCTCCCCGCCCCCGGCAAGCAGTACTACGTTAACGGCAACAACTACCGCGTTCATCTCGCCTGCGTGGGGACCATCACGGGAGATCACATCGATGGTACGGCGTCTTCGCATCGTCGACCGACTGTCCTCGTCGAGGGTGGCGAGGAACCCGTTGAACACACCCTGCTACCCTTCATCGACGCCGCATACAAGAACGGCACCATCGACCGCTACTGCTACTGGGATCGGCCGGGACTCGGCTGGTCCGACAACGCCCCGTCGCCCTACTCGGCCGGCATGGCCGCCGACGCACTGTCGGAGGCGCTGGCGCTGGCCGGCGAAGAAGGACCCTGGGTCATCGCCTCCGCCGGCGTGGGCGGCATCTACAGCCGTATCTTCGCGAGCCGACATCTTCTTGAGATCGACGGTCTCCTGCTGATCGACACCCTGCACGAGGACTACCTGGGCAAAGTGGGCTCCCCGGGATGGGGCTTCCTCCTCTGGTTGCGCGGTGTGCTCTCGCCGCTCGGTCTAGACCGGCTGGCGGGCGCCATCTTCAAGGGCCGTACGCGCGAGGACCGCGTCTACGGGCGCAGCGCCTACCAGACGGGCAAGTTCATCAAGGCCAAGCTGCAGGAGAGCTTGGTGGCCGGGTCCCTGACGTCGTCTGAAGTCCAGACGGCTCGCCATGTGCAAATCGCCAACACGCCCTTGGTGGTGGTCAGCTCCGGCGTGGAGGTCCGCAAGAGCGAGAAGTGGGCCAAGACCCAGGAGGACCTGACGACTGTGACGAAGAACCTACAGGACTGGGACGTAGTCCAGGGGGCGCCGCACGAAGTGTGGAAAACGCTTGCAGGACGGACTGTTCTGGAGCGAAGACTGGGACAGTTGGTCAAGGGACATAAGAAGTAGTCGAAGTATGTTTTTGTTGATGTTGTTATGGCGGCGTAATGAGGTAAATTGTAACTAAATCGGCTGGTTGTTTTGGATTAACATCTCCTCTAATGTCTTCTTTTCTTTATGTTTGTACGTTAATGATTGAAATGATTTCTTTAATGTGTTTGGCAGTTGATCAAAGTATTTATCACCCAACTAAGGAATATAATGAGATATAGGACGAATTTAGTAATAGTTAGAGCAGGGAGTAGATATAAAGACTGTTACGAGACAAGAATGAATTCTCAGGTCAAATAACTATGAGACTAGTCTGTAAATGTACCCTATACTTCCTTCAACGCCATGAGATGCCAGAGGATGCTGCTGACAGCACCATGCATGTACTATGAGGTATGTGTCCACATCGGGAAAGCGATTCAATCATTACACTTGAGGGAGATCGTGTTAGATAGGCAGGATAATATCACCCGATCACTAGCCTTCATTCAACACGACACGGAAATCCTTCCAGAGACTGTTGGGCTTATGGAATATAATAGAATTCTCGTGAAGAGAAAAAAGGCGGCACAGTACCGGTGGAGTAGGTACTAGTTTGAAAGGTTACAATCCGATTGCTCGCTGCCTTATAGGCAAAAGACACTCCACTGGCCTCGAGCAATGCTCTCGGTCTCGTAGAGCTGTATGAGCGAGCGCCGCTTACCAAGCTTTAATGCGGCGCGAGGGCGAAACATGCACCGTCGCGTTTAGTGCGCGACTAAGCTCGTCGATGCCTCTCATACAAGTCGCACTTCAAGACGGACGGAATGGTGGACCCGACGGACGGGCCGTGGAGCGAATGGAAATCGAGAGTCCCCGCCATTGCTGATAAATTTGAGACTCGTCGAGTCATTCGTCATATCGTTGTGAATACGGTGTGGTGTATATATAGTCTAGGTAGTACTGGCTGTTTATTGAGTATTGCTCCATCTTCTCGACTACCTACCTTTTCGCTGTCCCTACCCAATTGAGTCATCAAGTTGGGTCTTCACCATGTCGTCTTCTAACGTCTGTACCACGTCTTTTCCTCTCAATAATGGTATATCCCATGTCCCCTTGATTTAGATAATCCATTAGTAGATACTGACCATGACTTCCCTCATTTCAGGCATGAAACTACCTGCCGTAGGCCTGGGAACATGGCAAGGTACGACAATCCAGATTCAAATCGGAACCACGCATCCAGTCAAGACAATTGACCCCAAAACCCAGGATTAAACAGCCAAGCCAGCAAGGACGAGCTACGGGACTCGATAATCCACGCTCTCCAGGCCGGATACCGCCACATCGACACCGCGCAGCGGTACGGCACCGAGCCGGTCGTCGGCGAGGCCATCCGAGCCTCAGGCATCCCTCGCAGCGAGATCACGCTCGTCACCAAGTTCCCAGGGAATTGGCACCACGACCCCGCGGGGGCTCTGCAATGCTCTCTAGACGCTCTGGGTCTCGACTACATCGACATATTCCTGATGCACTGGCCCTGCGCCACGGCCCCGGATTCCGGCACCCCGCTCGGCATCGACGAGTCACCCACGTTCGTCGAGACGTGGAAGCTGATGGAGAAAATCGTCGGCCCGCGCTGTAGATCCATCGGCGTTAGCAACTTCAGCCAGAAGACCCTGGACGCGTTGCTAGCCGAGGCGACTATCGTGCCGGTCGTGAACCAGGTGGAGTTGCATGCGCTGAACCCGAATCATAAACTGAGCGCGTATTGTCAGGAGAAAGGCATCGTGGTGACGAGTTGGAGGTAAGTCAGCCTTTTGCTTCGTCGTTCTCCCCTTTATTGGAGACCCAATCGCTGAACGTGGAACTGTTGCATCAAGTACCCTGGGCGGAGGAGCTGAATTCGCCCCGCGTGCCGGGGAGATCCTCACCAACCCGTTATTCAAGAACATCGCCGCGAACCACGGATGCTCGACCGGCGTCGTCTCACTATCCTGGGCCGTGCAGCGTGGCATCAGCGTCATCCCCAAGAGTAGCTCAAGAGCGCGCGTCGAGGAAAATCTCAGGTTGGTTACTCTCACCGAGGCTGAGATGGAGGAGCTGAACCAAGCGCACCGGACGATCGGTCCGCTCCGCATTGCGGACCATATCCAAACTACAAGAGGAGAAAAGGATGGCAAACCGACCTTCATGGGTTGGACGAATGAGGATTTTGGGTGGGAGGACGCTGAGGGAAACTGGTTGCTCTAGAGTCTGGAGTACTGTATACCCTGTAAATAGAAAGACTGTGTTTGCATTGTTTGATTGCCCCGTGGAGAGTCATGTGATACGAACTCTAAAAAACCACAGATTCCACATGACTTTTTGGGTGTAGTGAAAGCTGAAAATAACATCATCTGTATGGGCACAAATGTTTACAGGCCGCTGCCGTCTTGAAAAAGACTGAGAATTCCATAAAAGCCGGGCATTATAGAAACAAAGCCACCAGCTATCTAAGTCCGGGTCCATTTTGGATTATCGCCTTTTTTGCGGCGGTGAGCGCTGATTTGGATGCTACCAGGGGCTTGGCTCTATCTTCGTGAGATCGAGGTCTTTTGGCAGTCAGTCGGGCGGTCAGTCTAGTGTTGATTTGATTTTGGATTGGTTCTGCCGGTCAATCCCGGTGCGCAACAAACCACCGGCCGGACTGTTGGCCTGAGGTTGTCTTTCTTCCAGAGCCAAGATGGATGGCATACATATTCGAAATTACGGTGTAATCTCACATCAACCCCAGTATCTAAGCGCCAGAGCTGCGAAAGGTCGCATGATCAGAAGAAGCCACCATCAAAATAAAGCAGGTCTTTTAGCAACCCAGTACTTATACGACTGTGCTTGATTCATATCTACCCACTACGGGCCAGCGGACTACACAAGACAGTCCAATATTAACCTGAGAGTAGAGAAACAAGCGATTTCGTACCATCTAGAACGCGAAATCTATTTCCAAGGGCCGAATAGAAGAAAAATCCCGAAATCACATGCTGACACTTGTATCCGTGGGCACCAAACACATTTACATTAGAGGAAAGACTGGGGATAATCGGGTTGAAGGCCTCCAGATAGGACGAAAGGTAGAGAGGGTGGGCCCTAGCGCAAGTTGAACAGGGCGAAGTTCATCCGGGGTAGTCTCGATGACAGTGCCTTGATCGTTCACGCACGAGGGGTTTCGGTACACTCGAAGTGATCGCGGCTAGGTGGGATTGTTCGAAATCATCCAGTCACTCTAGACTAGCTCCCTTGAACCTCTTAGCAAGCTGTTCACTCTCGGACTTGGGAGACTCAGGCCTTGACGGGAAGAAACGCTTCTCGCGTTTGGGCACTGCGCGAGGAGGTTCGGCCGAACTCAGCCAGGGGCGCTTGGGGGGCCGCTCACCACTTTCCTGAAGAATTGTGACCAGGGTTGCCCACCCAGGAGAATTGATCAACTGCAGTCCGTCCGAGGGGTTGCGGGTGGTTGCGACGCGGCATAGGAGGGCATCTTCGTCCTAGTTATAGGAAAACGCGGGCGTTAGCCATGTAGACACGATCATGATCTGATAATCTTACCTTGTTGAAAGTCGACAGAGAGTGGAGGAAGCAGAGAAGATGGAAGTCGGACACTGCGCGGATCGCCTTGTCGGGATCTCCATGGGTAACTAGTTTCTTGGCCACATGTCGAAGTTCCTGGCTTTCGCCGATCACCTCGCGGTTCTCGAGAGGGAAACTAGTGTCAGTGAAGAGAGGTGAAGATTCGGTGGGGAATCCATGCGTTAGGGTGACCAGAAGATATTCGACAGGGAAGCTGGGCTTTGCGTTCTGCTGGGCGCTCACGCCGTATTCGTTGATCTTGCGGTAGAAAACCTCGGGGATGTATCGTGACTCGTTCTCGGTGCCGTCTTCCTCGGATTGCACCAGCATGACGGACGGCTCTGCGGAGGGCTCAACGATATCGGCCCGTACCATTTCGACTCCGGCGACCGAAGCCTGATAGGCGCTCACCGTGATAGCTCCCTCCTCGTCGCCACTGAGTACACAGGTGACAAAATTGGAACCGAATCGGCCCGTTCGACTCCATTTCGTTGCTTTCGGATGCTGCGCCTGCAATCGGGCCGCGAAGGTGATTTCCTGGGATGAGAGGTAGTACGAGTCAATATGCCGCTTACAGATCACTGAACCATCTCCCTGTCCGGCATCGAGTAGGTCGGTAAATATCACTCCGATCTTCTCCAGACCACACAGACGGGCAACCTCGTCCACCTCCTTCTCATTGGGCCATTCGTGAAGCGTAATCCCATCGACTTCGTCAACCTGCGGTGGTTCGTAGATCGCTTGAACCACCGCCTTCACCCCCAAAGGCACCTCGGTGTACTCCTCGTAAGTACCGTAGAGGAAACCCAGGCGCTGAGCACCCGACTTCCGCCAGAAGTCTAGTAGCGAGTTGATGAGGTCGGGTGTTGAGAACTCCACATGGTCCACCATGCGGAACTCTTGGGGTTGCAAGCTGATTGCGCTTGGCTGACACTTGGTGCAAATTCCCTCCGGCCACGACGGGTGTCCAGATGGGCAATCTCGCCGTACTCGATAGTAGGGTTCATTGAGGGGGGGCATGAAGGAGCTCTTGAGTTCGGATTTGTTGGTCGCGGCATTGAGTTTTCGCAAGTACGAATGGAACGACAGGTGCTTGATTTTCTTCTCGCCGAGATACTTGGGGTCGTATGGCTCGAGGGGCATGCAGTAATCGCACATGCCTTTAGGACCGTGCTTGCACATCTTCATGTCTCTGTTGCGTTTGATCTTTCCATCTTTCTTATCCAGCGCGTTATCCAGCGGCGATTGCTGCACCACATCCCAGGGGTTCTTGATCGTAACTGATGGCGAAACGGGCTGAGGGCGGATCGCGACTGTCTCGGTCTGCGGAACCGGGGCTCCATTCAAGCGGCGAGAGGACTCGTTGGCAGGGGCAGCCTGTCCGTTGGTAGACCCGTCCTGTGCTCCCTTTTTGCTTTGATAACCAAGGAACAGCTTGTCACCGTGCCTAAACCCAGGAGATCAGCAGCTCAAATCAAAGCACACTTCCCACCCTACTGATCCTTGCCACAACTGACCTTATACCAACCGCCTCAATGGAGACTCCTTGCAGGGTATTTAAGAGGCGCTCTTCTCCTCCGGTGCCTATCGGTCTATTCGAGAGGACAAGCGAGGATGGGTCCACGTCGTCGGGAAGGTGTTCGAGAATCTAAAAAACGTGGGACTGGTGATTAGCATTGGGTTACCAATTTTCTTTATCGTATTATCATAGAGATGAGACGCAAGCCAGAAGACGCCTTCCAGGACTCACCTTTTGCTCCAGAGATAGAAACGATTCCTGCGGGCTCACGGTCAACCGAAACTGACCGTTGCGGCTCTCGAATCTCAAAATGATCGGCCGGGACGCCATGACGAGAGCTCACAAAGGGAAAAGGATAGGGAACGGAGCAGAGGTGCAGTTCAAATTGATTGAGATTGACAATATATATGAGTCAAAATATGCTGTATGACGTTAACGGGACATGTCGGGAGTGAATGATAATGAGAATGGATGAAGGATGCAAGCCCACGAAGGCAGAGCCCGCGCGAGAGCTGTCTCTCTCTTGCTCTATCGTCATCGGTCGGCGCTTACGCTCCGTTACCAGAACCCCGCAGAACCTCGCCGAAATGAGACTCATTACGGGTATTTCCCTTACATCTACGGAACCTTAGGAATACATACTTCCCTGCAAACGAATCTGCTCTTAATGTTGCAAATTATATTCAAACATACTACAATCTGGACTGATTCTTAGTGGAAATCCTTTATTATGTTTCTATGCCTATATATATATTGTAATGACATTCCAAGTCCTTTACGGGTATTTCTCACATCGTAACAACAAAAGAAAAAACATCAGATCATATACCTCCCATAATAAACGCCTAGATTAAACAGAAACGGTAAAGCAGATCGGGCCGAAAGCTCCCACAGGGTATAAGGAAACGATACAATTAGAGGATGTTGCACTTCTTAGGCAGACCGCAAGGTCCCTCGCTCGTCTCGTCCTTAGCCTGCTGGGTGTTCTGTCCCGACTGCTGTCCACTCTGCTTACTCTGCGCCGGTTTGGAGGTCTCCGATTCCGTGTTCTTCTGCTGCTGCGATGCGGCCGCAGAGGTTTCGGGCTTGGATTCCTCGCTGCCATGCAGTCAAGCGAAGCTGACCTTGGAGACGTGGTCGTAGAACGCCTTACCCTGCTCCTCGGCGATCTGGAGCTCGAGGGCGGTGGGCTGGCGGGAACCGTCGGCACCCTGTAGAAGAATTCCATGGTCAGTCAATGATTTTTCTCAAAGTGGTAAAATGAGAAAGGGGAACATACGGCGAAGGTACCGGCACCCCAGGCGCTACCACCGTGGATCTCGTCCAGGTTGGAGAGGAGAGCGAAGGTGGTCTTGTATCCGAGAGGGACGTAGATGAAACCGTGGTGGGCGAGAGTGCTCATGGCGGCGATGGCAGTGGACTCCTGGCCACCACCGAGGGTACCGGTGGAGACGAAGAGACCGGCGTACTTGCCCCAGTAGCCACCAGTGGCCCAGATACCGCCAGTCTTGTCCCAGAAGGCCTTCCACTGGGCAGGGAAGTTACCGTAACGGGTGGGGATACCGAACAGCACAGCATCGTACTCCTTCAGCTTGTCGGGAGTAGCGATGGGGTGGGCGGACTTGGGGGGAGCGTGCATCTTAGCCAGAACTTCCTCGGGCAGAGTCTCCTCAATCCTGAGCGTCGTGTATAAGCAATTGAACTTCCAACTACTCTCGATTGGTCGTCATAGAAGGGATTGCTTACTGGAGGAGGTCGGCGCTACCACCGGCAGCTTCGATACCCTTCTTCTCGGCCTCGGCCAACTTCTGGATGTGGCCATACATGGAGTACTGTAGACATCACCAATTGGTTAGTTCTAAAGACCAGGACGAAGGTTTAGAGAGAGGTGGGGGGTGGCAGAAGTAGAGTATTCACATACGAAGACAATAGCGACCTTGGGAGCCATGGCGACGGTATTGAGAGCTCGAAAGCAAAGGATTAGGATTAAGCAAGAGGAAAGAGATGGAGTGAGAATGAAGCCGAATGAAGGGGGGGCAGAGAGGGGCGCCGAAGCGGCAGCACTTTATAGTCGTTTCCTGAGCAGCAGCACAACCGACAAGCTTAAGCTGCGGGCCCCTCCAGGCGCTCCTCCTCGTCCTCAGTCATCCGCCGTAATCGATTACAGATGGCCCGCCCGAGTGGGGCCTCAGGCCAATCAGCGCCATACTTGCCGGTTTAGCTGATTCTTACACAGCGTTGACAAATGAAGTCGGCACTGGAACCTTCGCTTTCCCACACTATCACTAGTATGAATCCGATTATTATTGATCTCTGATTCAGATTCCAGTAAGACCATTTGCCGGTTTTGGTCTCTTCTTCTGCCGTGGATTTTCTTCTAGATATCTATTTTTCTTCTTTTGTTTGTGTCTATAATTCCATTTCTCCTAACTATGTCTATCTTATAGGTAAGAACTAACCAAGTACATACTGGTAATCATGATGTCACCTCCTACTACTACCTCGCCGAGTACAACCTTCAAATGCGTAGTATCCTAAACTCCAAAGTCTGATAAGATCCCGGCTATTTTGCATGAGTGCACCCTGGAGGCCCACTCCTAATTTCTACAACCTATAGGAGACTTTGAATCGTACATGATGCCATTTTTTGGCGCCGTAAACAGTACTTTATCAACATACCCGACCCCAATCTGGTTAGGAACTCATTCATCGCTCCGGAGTCCGGACTTCGCCTGTCCGTGACCAAATGGTTCGATAGCTCGACAATTGGAGAAAATAAAAAAGGAAAATGAAATTGCCATTGGTACAAGTTGCATTGGCTCTTCCCGTGCGTGGGGTTAAGGTAACCGTCAAATGCCTCGAATTGGGGGTATCTTGAGATGATCGTAGAAACTCCAAAATAATTTAACTCAAACACCAAATGCTGGTCAGAACCCTCCCTCCATCTGAGGAGGATCTTTAACCACGTCCTCGTCCCCTGAACCGAACACGCATGAAACCCCCGCCGCGGCCACGTTCAGACCTCCATTCTCGCTCCCGCTCCTTCTCCCTTTCTTGCTCCTCCCGGATCAAAATCTTCTCGCGCTCCAGTTCCTCCTCGCTCTTCTCGACCCGGACTGACGGTCGCGGGAGATTCTCGCTCCATCGCGGATGGGCATTGACGCAGGCTTTTCCATCCGGACAGAATCCCGCCAGGTAGTATTGGCAAATGCGTCGACGCACGTGGCGTTTCGCGCATAGCGGCCCCAGCTGACAGTATCCCCGATCGTAATGCTCGCAGGGGGGAAGTCGAGCTTGTTCCCGCACGTGCTGGTAGAGACAATCGTCACCGTTGGGGCAGTAGCCGGACCGCGAGAAGGACTGGCATTCCGGCATCCGTCGCAGGTTGTATTCATGCAGATATTCGCATTTCAGTCCCTTTTTGCAAAGGCCCTTGAGGAAATGTTTGCAGACTAGCGATCCGTGGGTTGTGGACGGTGCCAGCCCTGAGGCGGTGGTGGTCGACGTCGTGACTCGCGACGGGGTGGGATGGCGATCTGGGCATGCGGGCCCTAGAGGGCAGTGGCCCTCGCTGTAAGCCTTGCAGACAGGGACATCGCTGGCGAGGCCGAAGCTAAAGTTCTGGCGGAGGAAAGGTAGGAAGGAGAATTCGTCGTAGCTGGGGTCGCGCGCGTTATCGGTGGATAGGATCTGCGCCGCAGCGTGACTCACGTCTGCAGCCATGACAGTGGAAGTCTCCAGAGGCTATTAATGGGCTTCGGAATGAGGGATGAAGGGGGTACAATGAACGAACGTGAGCAAGTTAGAGGTCTGAAAGATGGCAGGAAGATCAAAGAGATCCTAAATGGAAAGCGGTGGCAATGGGACAATGAAGGCTTAGTCATGCCAATCATGTTCATGCTGGAAAGAGATGGGTTCTTCTTCACAACATTAATAATACTCCATGGGGACTATTCTTCTTTCATTTTGAAGAGACAAGAATGGTTTGGTTGTTTCTCTGAGAGGAATTGTGTTTTGCTTGTTCGATGAACATACACGTCATATCCCCCGACCTAGACTTTCCTTCCCGTTACTATGTAATGAACCTGATGCAACTGTAGAAAGTGACCCAACCATGGCATACGAATTTTTACCTGGTTTGATATAAAGAAGGAAGGAGTGTATGATCTCGGTTCGATTTCAGTACAATGTCAAGGGTCGTACTCAGTGGTTTTCCTGCTTCTTTCTTTTCCCCTCCCTCTCTTCCAAAATATATTAGCTGATGTCCCTCTATACATCTGATCCGTGCAGCTTTTGATTGAGTCAATCGAACTGATGTGTATAGTGTGATGGCAGGAAATCATGCATCCTTACAGGTCAACAAAAGACAGTCCCTTCTAAACAGCACTTGGGATTTATGAAGTGATCGTTAGCGCTGACTTGTGGATGCGCCAAAGACAGGCAAGCTTTTCTATGACCGCTTCATCCTTTTCAAAGTGGGCTTCGTTCATACTAGAAGAAACTTTTACACTTCTCAAGTACTCCACTCTTGAGACAGTCACTTCTGCGTTTTATGAAAGCAAGTAGTGACATTAGGAGGCTGCTTCCCAATTGCAGAATGCCGTCTACAATCATCTAACAGCAAGAATGACTTACGTTATCCTCCCATTTTTTCTTAGATGGTTCAGACGCCGTGGAATCGGTCGTGACACTCTCTCCGAGCACCATGATCTCGAGGTTCAAGCCGATGAGCTTACGAAAGAGCATTTTTCTCATTGGAGAGAATCCTACGGCATCAACGCGGGAGCGTAGTTCTAGAGAAAGCAGTAGGCAGACAAAGTAGCCTAAGAAATTGGAAAGAGTTCGGTGCATACCTACTGCCTAGAAGATGTAGCCTTATGGATTGATCAATTTAAGCAATTATGGGGCTTCAAGGACCCCAACCTACATTCCGGAAGAAGGAGTGGAAACCCATAGGTGCTTTGGGGGCTAAACTCAATGCCGGATATCGCCTTGTCTTGCACATCAGCCTTGATTAACAACTCTCTCATTAAGTCGATACTTTCCTTGCCATAAGGGAAATACTAAAGAAGAGGATAACCGAAGAAGAAGAGGAAGAGAATGACTGAAGATAATGTTATATAGAAGGAAGCCTTGCAGTCTGGCAGGCTGTCGAAGTCGGTATCAACATTTATGGTAGAGGAAACATTATCATAGATGTCACTATATATGCGATAATCGGGATAATTTCTACTTGCACGCTCAAAGGCATCTTTCATCAAATTCTCCGCCTTGTAGGTCATGGAGGCACACCAACTTGAGAACCATCTCCGAGAAGACCCGATTCAGCATTAGTCCCATGCTACTTGACTACTAAGTCTACTAGGCACCTAGCAGCCAACCAAAACAATCAACAACATCGCTGGGCGCGGAGTGCAAATTTCGCTAAAGTCCACGCCGGTCTTGTCAAAGCCCAATAAAAGGGGCCCAAGAAACGCTACTGAAGCGATGCAACCCCAATAGTACCAAAATGAGCCTCATATCTCAATCCCACCAGGGATTCAATGCACAGAGCTTTGTTCAACCCCTAGCTAGCTGTCATAGTTTGTGACTCATGGCTCATGGCGCTCTCCATTCAGGAGCGAACTCCGGGGCTAGTAGTTGAACCGTACATGAAAGTCTCGATATCTAGCCCGTTTGGGTGATATGGCCCCCATGGGTTGATTATGATAACTAGAATTTGCGTTCGAGCAAGGCCTTGCCCCCTGGTCAACGGCTTTCAGAATATACTATTTACTGGGCGTTGTCCCTCGTGCTAACTTTTCTGCTCTTTCTGCCTTTTCTAATCGAAACTTCAGACACGAGAAAAATCTACATCTACCAATTCACCTTTATTTCCATATCTTCGTGCTCTACGCAGGATGAAGACCTCCTTCCTACTCATCGCGGCTCTCGCCGGACTCTCCATCGCCGAAGACACCACGACCATCCCCTACTTCGCTGCCGACTGGACCAGCATCGAGATTCCCAGGTACACGAGCACCGCCGCCAGCGTGGCCGGCATCAACGCCGTAGCGACCACATACGCCGTGGACTGCCTCAAAGACGCGCCCACCTCCGACTGCCACATCGACAAGCCCTGGACCCTCATCCAGGGCTCCGAGACCTACAGCTTCACCGGCGTCTACACGGCCTGGGAAACCGGCAAGGGCAAAGATAAAGACGACGGCGTCACCGTCACCCGCGAAATGCAGTGCTCTTTCACCTCCTTCTCTGAGTCCGCCAGCTGCTCCATGAGCTACGAGGCGACCGGGACGATGAGCGGCACGGCCTATTCAACCGGCACGACTAGTTCGTCGAGCTTCAGCACCGACCAGGTCGGCTACTATGCTATGAAGGTGACTGGGGGGTTGTCGTCGTTCACGGCCCCTCAGGCAACTGAGACGCCTGATGCTGCGAGGGCTGCAGGCCCGGCTAGGGCTTTGATTACTGCGGCTCCGTTGGCGGCGGCGGCTGCGGTTGCTATTTTCTAGTTTTTGGGTGTTTTTCTGTCAGAATGATTATATGTTGTTGATTTGTTTCTGAGGATCTATGATAGCGTGGGGGAAAAGTCTGGGGACAGATGAACGGCGATCATAGTGTTATATTATAACCTTCGACATCGGTGCTTGAAACGGCCGCCAACTGATAAGATAATGACATTGTTTGATCTAAATATTACTGTGTATACATACTTTTTCTGACATATGTTTGCTATTTCCGGCGAAATCAAGTGGCCTATGAGATGCGTTTTCTGGCGGCTTAGAGCCATTATAGTCTGAGTCAATTTCGATCTTCGGCCTCTAAATCCTATCTCTCTATAATTCAGATGGAATTCCCAGAAAGCATTGCTGCTATTAAGTTGAAGCTGTCACACTCCGAGCTACTCGGACAGGTAAGGGTTGAGTGGGCGTGGGAAGAGGGCTTTAAAGCTCACTTGAATCCTTTTCTGAAACCCAGCGGGAAGCATGATAGTTGGCTAAAGAAAGCAGCTGTCCAAATTTTTCAAATCTATAGCGGAAGGTAACAATTAGAGTGTCCGTTTAAACTCCGAGGACGACATGACGCGCAAACGGTGAACGACGACTATTTGTTTAGCATACGGAACGCTTAGACGACTGTGCAATTGAATCCAAAGCGACCATAATCAAATGGCAGATGAAAAGAACATGTCTCGGTCCACAGTGGAATAAAAATACCCCATCCGCTTAGCGCATTGAGGCGGGAATTGGAATACGAATGGCATCGGGTCGCATTTCGAATAATGTTGACGCCGGACGGTCGGAGGGCAGCATCGAACCAGCACTCCGCAGATCCGATATGGCCCACTACGATCTACTATGGACACTAGACATGTACGGAGTACGGAGTACGGAGTACAGTGTACACAATACTTACCATGTACGGTGTAAGTAAGTCAATAGCTCGTCTGTCATCCCCACGCCAGCCATGCCGCCTTACTTGGAACATGGCCAAGCTGCAGCAGGCCCAATAATGCGATGATTACTTGGTCTCGGTTGCCCCTGCATACAGGGATCACATGCCCCATTTTCGCAGCCAAAGCACCGGCCAAATGCGCAGCATGATATTCTGCGATCGACAAGGACTTTTGCAAGACTCCACGGACGACTTGGGTTGACGGAGGCCCAGTCTATGCTTGGGGAGAGAGCCCTAGTCAGGAGGAGATGGGTGGCACGTGCTGTTACCTATGGGTAGAGGCCATTCTCTCCAGAATTAGACCGATGGACAGACGGAAGACATGACTGGTATACTCCGTACTCAGTAATTGACGCAAGAGTGATCCTTGACTATCCGAGCGCCAGTCAGATCGCAAGGCAGGCATTGTCATGCGGGGATGAAAATCGCTAGTCGGCGGCTGCATTTCTCCCCACAAGCTCCCAGGTCTAGCGAACGAGGCCGGAAAAAGCAACGAGCATGAGAAGAAAAACCTTAAGGAGAAATAATTTCGAGGAAGATCCTTTCTCTCAAATCCGATCTCTCAGTCCGGACGGAAACTATCTTTCAAACCGGGGGATGCTCTGATCTTTCTTCGTTTTCTATTGGCGTACGGAGTCGACCACTTGTTGATCCAATCTTAGTCGCTGACATTTGGTGCGGATGGTCCGATCCACTTCTCAGGGAGAAATCAGAGATCAGAGAAGTCGCCCATGGCCCATGCCCACGGATTCTCACCGACGACGGCCCGCCCGATCCATCAAACGCCTCCGTCTGACTGCGGCCATGGTCACGATTATTGCATCCCTCGTCGGGGGCTTAGAGCCTTAGACAGAAAGACAAAAAGAATAAGGTGGGGGTGGACATCGTCCGCTCGACGGTTGGGCCTTCACTTGCGATCAGCAGCAAAGACCCTTTGGGGTGCTTCACATTTCCCCCCCTGCCTGCATCGTCAACGCCGCAGACAGGCTGGAGAACAAGAAACCGAAGCAGTCAGCGGGGGGCGCCATTTTCTCTCATTGACGGGGAGTATGCGCGTCAGGTGAGGTGCATGGCATTTATGTCATTCTGCTGCTCACTTGCCTTGTTGCCTTCTAGCGGATTGACTCAGCATGGAGGCTTTTTTTATTATTATTGATTTTTGATTTTTTGGAGGTGATGACGACGGACTGTCAGTGGCTGCGTCGAGAAGAAACCTAAGGAATTTCAGCGCCCAAAACGAAGACGAAGACGACAAGGCAGAGAAAGAGGAAATGCAGATGGAAGCAAATCGTAAAAACTGCGCAAAGTACCACACGTGACCCCCGCCGTAATAGGCAGTTGCGCTCTCATCGCCTTCTCTCTGGTCTTTCCTTTGCTTCTTCCTCTTCCTCTTCTTTTCTTCTTCTTCTTCTTCTTCGTACTTGTTCTTGTATCATTATTGATTGTATCTCTCTCCTATCCTTCTGTCGCCCCTACCTTCCTCCCCTCTCCCTCTATACACCGCCCGCCATGTTCTCCGGATCCCTCTTCCCCCACTGGCGGCGCAAGGCCGCCGAGCGGTCCAGTAACAGCTCGTATGAAGTGCCATTCTACTTGAATGCGGCGTACTATCCGAATTGGAGAATCTACCGTCAACAAGCTCCCTCCTCGCTCAGACTGGGATTTGTCTCACATGTCTTCTACGCGTTTGCTTGGTATTAGTCTTACACAACCACCGGGGATCCCTCCGCTTGGCTCTGGTTCGAGACAAATATTAACCAGCCTATTTCTTTCTCTCTAGGGTCAAAGAAGACGGCACAGTCTATGTGGATCTCCCGCCCATGCTCCTTTCACCCCGAGGGACGTGAATTTTAGGGGTCGGATGGTTTGCTGACCAATACGCCGAGTTCTAGTTGAGTGATGAATGGGCGGATGTGCAGATGCCGGTGGACGGCACGCAAGGCTGTATCCGGGCGTTCACGCAATTGAAATCGCAGTATCCCAAGCTGAAAGTCGTCTTGTCCGTTGGGGGAGGGGGCAAAGGAAGTGAAAACTTCGCCGGCGTGGCCCGCAGCCAAGCCCGCGTGGAGACCTTTGCCCGGACGGCCAGGCAGCTGGTGGACCAGTTCGGTCTGGATGGCATCGACGGTAGAACCGGATCCTTCGTACGCCCTCAATCATCTGATTCGCGGTACTGACCCTCTTGCCAGTTGATTGGGAGCACCCGGCGGACCCTCAGCAGGGATTCGATTACGTGCGTCTTCTGGCGCGACTTAGGGAAGCGTTGCCTGCGCCGCGATACGTACTAGCGACTTGTCTCCCGGCGGGACAATGGGCTCTTCGGAATATCGATCTGTCCAAGGCGCAGATGTACTTGGACCTTATTAACATCATGACCTATGACTTTTCGGGGCCTTGGACGAATGAGACTGGTCACCACGCGCAACTCTACGGCCGCTCTCCGGGGGCTGTCTCGTGTCATTCCGCTGTGTCATATGTTCTGTCCCAAGGAGTCGACCCGAAGAAGCTTCTACTAGGAATTCCCGCCTATGGCCGATCTTTCCTCGACAGTAGCAAACCGGGGCAGCGTTACGCCGGCTGCGGCGGGGAGGATGGAGTATTCGATTACAACGCCCTGCCTCGACCGGGGGCTAAAGAGCACCACGACGATAAACTTGGGGCGGCATATTGCTCTGGAGGGGATGGCGGTTTTGTGACTTACGATACCCCGCGAACGGTGCAGCAAAAGGCGAAATTTGTCACCAAGTCCAAGCTTGGAGGGTTATTCTATTGGCACATCGGAGGAGATGCTCAGGGCGCTCGGAGTCTGATAGAAACCGGCTATAACACGCTCCACGAAATGTAACCGATCCGAAAGAGCCGTCGAAAAGAACCACCGTGTGCAGAAAACGAGGAAAGAACGACGAACAGAAGGGAAGGGGCTTCAATTGGAGGCTAGTGTGTGTTTGAGTAATTGTTTCTGGTATCCGTATCAAATGAAGAATGCACTTTGTACTGTACTATGTACGTTCCCATTGGATTGAACTGTCTTCATTTTTTTCTCATGGAGTGTTTAAGCCTGGTCAAATGTAACGATGGCAGATTCGCCGGAAACCCGTTCAGAGGATGGTTCGCTGGACTCTCTCGACCTTCCATGGCAGGCGATGGTTTGGCTCAAAAGAGGCAAGGGAACGCATCTGCTGCACAGCCACAAGAATAGCCATGAGTTGTTCACCCAACCATCATTCTTCGTGAAGATCAACAAACCCCCATAGATGCTGTTCCCAATCGGGTTAGTCCGACCGGCCGATGTTCGCTGCCTAAAAATAATAAGGGGGACAGACGTCACCCTCGAATTCCATCGTTTCCATCCTTCTAGATCCCATTCTGGCCCTCTCCCCATGTCCGCCGAATGGAGCTCGAATCCTCCCCCGGCGTATGAGGAGTTTGACCCCTCCCGTCTAGCTCCCCCTAGTCATGACATCGGCCAGAGTCGCTTTTTTCGTTCCACGGCGTCTCTGGCCCTAGACCCCTCGGCAGGTGGCGACGAGAAGCGTCGATTATTGCTGATCTACGTTCACGGCTTCATGGGCTCCGAAGAAAGCTTTCAAAATTTTCCGAAACACCTTCATGATCTACTCACCATCTCACTGAGCGAAAGCCATGTGATCTATACTAAAGTATATCCGCGGTACAAGACTCGCGGGCCGATCCATGTTGCGCGAGACCACTTTAGTCGATGGTATGCGGTTCTGTCGAAATGTAATGCATCCAAACAGTCACAATACTCATTTAGTGAACAGGTTGTCCCCCCATGAGGCACCTGATCTCGATGTCATCCTCCTCGGCCACAGTCTCGGTGGCATCGTCTCCTCTGAGGTGGCATTACTATCACGGAATCACTGCTTGAAGCATCGCATCTTAGGCCTCGTGAATTTTGACGTTCCATTCCTAGGTCTCCATCCCCGAGTGGTGGCCACCGGTATTGGGAGCTTGTTCCATCGCTCGTCAGACGATGCCAGTGATGCTGAGGCACCTCCTTCTCCAGGGGGGTTCAACGTTCCGAATCAGAACCAGACATTCGACCCGGCATTCTCCAACGACCTCCACCTGACAAAATGGAAGGGCTGGAGCGGGGCCCGTCACTTTATCTCCAAGTACTCGGAAAATCTGTCGCGGTCCCTCGTGCGGTATTTCTTTTCCTACTATGACCATGCTGGGTGCATGAATAACTATCCTGAGTTGATCAAGCGGCATCGAAAGTTGATCGAGCTAGAGGCTATTGATGACTGGAACACGCCTGCCGACTCGGGAGTCAACCGGATTCGATTCGTGAATTACTTTACAACGAGTACAGGGCCTGTGAAAAAGGCTAAGAAAGGCAGTGCTCAGGACGAGCGATTGCGAAGTGGCTCTGACGCTTCATCCTCGCAAGCGGATATCAAACCTGAGGACTTGGTTCAGACACGCACTACTGCTGATGATAATCACGGTGACATTACAGCCAAACATACTCAAGACCAGGCAAATGACCTCGACAGCGGTCATGGCGACGGCGACGAGGAAACCTCCCCTCCCAAATCCCTCCGGAAATTCTGCTACCTTCCCAAAGATTCTATCAAAGGGCGAGACGACCTCTGGGTGCCCGTACTCATGGAAGGCGTGGACGAGGTAGTAGCCCACCAGTCCATGTTCCTGCCGCGAAACATCTACTACGACCAGCTGGTGGGCGACACGGCGTCACGCATCGAATCTTGGATCCACGACGATCTCACGAAACGAGCTGTTCTGAACGACGGGCTCGGCAAGTCTGCGTTTGCTGGGGTGGGTGGATGATCAGCTTCCGTACCGTCATGGTCTGCGTCACTATCAACTATCCGCGGTCCACCACGCTTGGGCTATGGTCGTATATATCTAAGGGAAGAAATCAATCAGACCTCATTCGAAGACAGTCTTCCATGATTGAGTTCGTTCCTAGGCAAATCCATTATTGATCGAATGGAAGTTCTTTCCATGTGATCATCGACTCCACGACCTCAGAGCCCTCATCAACCAGCCGCCGGAAAGTCCAAATCAAGCTTCTCCCCAATATGATCTAGGAAGAGGGGATGAATGTTCATAAAGAAAAAAAGAAAAAGGATGAAAACACGACAATTCAACAAATGATACGATGAATCAATCCTTTGCGTGGAGAATGAGATGGGAAAAAAGAATCACACCTATCATCGCATATAGCATAGCATATGACTTGTCGGTTGCTATACTGTTTTCACTACATCTACATCTTCGACTTCTGATTTCCGCAATATATACAGAGCAAAGCGGAAATGTTACCCACTTTCCATATATCGCGATATCGGTTCGTTTTTGTTTTGCACGGTGATGGATCCGTACTCATTGTTTTATGGCTTGTATGTTTAGCATATTGTAGCGAATCAAAGCGCCATGATATAATTATATTCCTTTGCACATATTTGTCTACAATCCGGAGTATCTATTACCGAATTTGCGCATGTTTGATACACCATACTCACCATCAGGTCTAAACCAACGAGCAAGTAGCAAAAAGTCTATACATAATCTTCCAGATCATCTATAACCTCACCGGTCTATCTGTCTAATCTAGTCTATTGTAGTGTAAACAAAGCGGCCCAAAAACGAAAAACCATATCTCATAACCAGACCATAGTACACAGCCAGTCAGTCACTTCAGAGCAATTAGATATTAAGAAGAGTGTTGGAAAGAAGAAAATTAAGCCACGATCTTGGCAAACACCTCCCGAATCTCCTCGATACCCTTGTCCTGCGCCAGAAGCAAGCCCAACAGAATGCGAGAATGCGACGGGTTCAGGTATCCGCTGGCAATCTGGGTCTTGTCGTCGGAGGTGGGCACCTCGCCGTTGCCGGTACGGGTGCTGACGACGACGGGGATCTGCGAGGACTTCACGACGTCATGGATGGCGTTGCGGGCAGAGGTGCCGATGGTGCCTGCACCGGAGCCGGCGAACTAAGAGGAGTGTTAGTGACGTGGTGATTGATGCTCTCGGGGAGGGCACTGAGTGAAAGGGAAAGAAGGGGGAAGGGGGGGAGGGGGGGAGGGGGGGAGGTTCAGAACGTACCACAAGACCCTTGGCGCCGTTGTCGACGGCCGAGTAGACAGTGTCGTTCTTCATGTCCTCATAAGCGTAGAGGATGTCAACGCGAGGGATGGACTTGATGTTGCTGACGTCAAACGCCGTCTTGCCGGTAGGTTCCACGGCTGGGTAGAAGAAGTAGGGGCTGTTGGAGACGAGCTCGCCTAGGTTGCCCATTTCGGGGGCCTTGAAGGTGTCCATGGTGTTGGCGTTGGTCTTGGAGGCGTAGAACGCCGAGACGATGCGATCGTTCAGAACGATCATGGCACCGCGATCCCGGGCCTCGGGGCTAGACGCCACGGTCACAGCCTCCAGGAGGTTGTAGGGGCCGTCGGCCGAGATGGCGGTTGACGGGCGCATGGAGCCGACAATCACGACGGGCTTGTGGCAGTTGACGGTGGCGTCGAGGAAGAAGGCGGTCTCCTCCAGAGTGTCAGTGCCGTGGGTGACGATGGCTCCGGACATGGTGGGATCCTTGCAGACGACCTCGTTGATCTGCTTGGCCATGCGCAGCAGAAGGGTCGAGGAGATGTCCTCGCTTCCCACGTTGGTGAACTGAACAGCCGCAACATTGGCCACGTCGAGCACCTCCGGCGTCTTGTTGATCAGTTTCTCGATGGGGACTGCGCCGGACTTGTAGCCCGTGGTAGCCGTCCTGTCAGCGCTGTATCCGGCAATCGTGCCACCTGCGACATTGTGAGTTTGACTGATTTTCCAAAGGCAACGAACCAAGGAAAAGTGACGCACCTGTAGCGAAGAGGGTGACGTTGGGCAGAGTAGTATTCATCTGGGTGAAGTTGAGGCCATTGGAGTTGGTGTAGGCGTAGGTCGCGTTGGAGTCACTGCCAGCACGAGTATAGAGAAGGGGAGAGGCCTGGCTGGCAGCCACCAAGGCAGACACGGCGAGAGACTTGAGATTGAACAACCCCATGATGAATACTGCCCACGGCTGGAATTGCGTCAAGGAGGTTGCGGGAGTCGCTTACTACTTGTCTTGGATGTCGACTACAAAGGATCTGCCCGACATTGCGGATGCCATGGACAGTTATATAGAGCGAGGAGAGACAGTGACCGGGTCTTCCAATTCGAGGCTGGTGGGTTCCTCCGGGAAAAATCCGAGATACCAAGCATCGGATGACGATAGCATCGAAGCGTCCGAAGGTGAGGGAATTCTTGGAATGTTGATCATCAGTCACCAACGTGGCCCAACAAGGAAAGGTGGTTGGGTTGGAGTCTTGGAGAACATCTCCAATAATTCGAATCGACTAGCGGGTCCGGATTACCAAATAGTAGCAGCAAGATAAATTAATGATTGACTGAGCCAGCGTCTCGACGGCTAACTCAATTGCTAATGGATTGGGGTGCCAAGTTGACTAGGTAACTGTTGGGAGCGGAACTGCGATCAAGGTACAGAAACGGCAGAGCAAACCGATCCACCGGGCTTTTTGTTATCTTGTCAAGCAGATTTGGTCTGATAAACTGATAATGTCGTCCGAGTCCCACTGTACTACCACCTGGATAAGGACTCGGGAAGAGGAGAAGACGGGGAAAGAAGGGAAGAAGGAAGAAGCAAGTGTGGATTGGGCGAAACCAGGCTAAGCGGAATTGAGACGGGATGGTACCTATCATGTGACCTCGCCCGTTTTCTCGCCGTTCTCAGTAGTTAATCTAGATGCCATACATTTCGTTCGGGCAACTCCTCACCAGGCGATGGATACAGGTCCCGTGGTATGGGCAGTGCCGCAGGGTCTCGTCATTGTCCTCTGCTTCTGCTAAAGCAAGACCACTATCCTTCTCCACCAACCATTTCGGCTTCTTCTTGACCCGGTGCAGGTCGAACTCGCAAAGATGAAAGTCGATGATCATGGCCCGGTCTAGCTCTTCATTCCAAAGAACATTTCGCGACGCAAGGTCCTGATGCAAAACCCCCAGAGATTCAATCTCTTTCTTCGCCCTCGCTATGCTCCTGTTCTCGGTCCTGATATCTGTCTTGACCGTGTCGATTGTATCGCCTCCCCACCCCATAAGTAACATATGCCAAATTTTCCCGGCCCCATGAAGGCGATATATCTTCTGCATGTTGATTTTCCCCAGGAAAACGGGAACCGCCGATCCCTGCACAGGAGAGAGCATTCGGTAAACATCGGCCTCCCGCTCTAGCTGCCGCCACAGAAAACAAGTGGTTCCTTTCCCCACGACGGTATACCCGTACCTGACGCAGGTGACTTTGAACGGCGCGCCAGACAATCCACAGGTCCCCATTGGCTCGGCGTTCTCAAGGCATTCATCCACTGCATGTTTGATAAGACTGACCAAGCCGCGAGTGGTGGTACGGTGACAGTTGCTGCCGTTCTCTCGATGAAGCTTGACGTTGGGGCAATTTTCATCCAGTTTGCCACGCCTTCTTAGGCCAAGCAGGCATTTCTGGGTGCAAAACTGTGCATCACGATGTCGGTGGTTGTTTCTGGATCTATCATGTTCGCCTTTAGGACGTTTTGATTGCTGCTCATGAGAAGACAATGTAGGTGACGTGGTAGCGCCAAAGCAACGTTTTGATCCTGGAGCGGGGCCAAGGTCGGGGTTGGTGTCATCCCGGGACGCTTGGTCCGTAGGTTTTCTGCAGGTAGTCCGTGATCGGGTCTGGATCGGTGATTTTCTTGTCGACTTCCTATGTCCGGGCCGAGGAGGGAACGGCTTTTCGAGCGTGTGAGACTTATCACACTTCTCACACTTCTCACACCTCTCACACTTCTGACATTTCTTACACTTCGAAGACTTCTGACATGTCTGGCATTTCGGGCCCTCTCGCACTCCCGACACTCCAGGCACTTTGGACACTTCTTGAACTGCTCAGCTTGCCCACGGTATACTTCATCAATGCCTGTCTTCCAGGTAAGGGGTGTTACTTCGCTGTGCCATTCGGGACCCCGGGCCGATGAACTCAAGCTCATTAAACACAAACATAGCACCCGTGCAATGGCTGTCACAGGTCGCAACAAGCATTGCGTGTCCCCTTGGTCTACTTCAACATTTGGCTCGCAAAGATGATAATAGTTAGTCTCCGGATTCTCGTAGGGTATTCGCAGCAGTACTAACCCTAAACCGGTCGTTATGTACCCGTACTCAATCCCATACTCCATCATTGAGTGGTATTGCTGGACAATAGCCGCACCCGCTAGGCGAGCCGCATCGTATTCGAACTTTTCGTTCTTTTCTGTTGGGATGGTTTGACTCAGAACAAGTTCCTCATAGAAGTTTTCCATCCGCAATCCTACACGAAGTTTGTCCACAGGCAATTTGTGCGGCGCTTTGTATTCGCCCGTAATCCGAAGGGTCTTGCTTTTTTCGTTATCGTGGATACAGAAGGAGTCAGGCCTGGAGACTGCTTCTGTTGCCATTCCTGCCACCTGAGACCGGGTTTTGGCACGTGTTTACAGGCTTTCAGAATGGTTCTTGAAGCTAATACCCTTGGAACCGAGGTGGAATGTCTCTTGGGCAGCGGGAATCTCACAGAGCGCTGCGATAATGTGGGCGACGTGGTTCTCCACTGAGGAGCGCTCATAGATCTCAAGGTCCTTTTCACTACCTATGGCGTCTTTTTCGACCTGTTTCCCATTCCCTTGTATGACGACGATGCGTTCCAAAAGGCGCTTTTGCTCGAGAAACTTGCAAACTGAGCGGTAAATATTTTCCTGCTCGTCCTCGCACTCTGTCCAGTGCTTCAGCAGCCTCGGGCAGGACTTGTGAGTGGGGGCTTGTAGTGGTCCTTTCACACATGCGGACAAGGACGCGACTCTCAAAGGTTTGGAAAGGGATTCATGGCAGTGGCGTATATACTCGGTAAAAGTCGTCGACCGCAGTAGCTCATCATCCTGCCTGAGTGTCTCGTCAGCCTGTCTGTTTTCTCTCATCAAACTGACTGTCTGCTTGAACGCTGTTTTTGACTTACCTGTTTTTCTCCGCAAGCGACTTATTCTCTGCGGCAAGCGAGTTGTGCTCTGCGACAAGCGAGCTGTTCTTTGTGGTAAGCGAGTTGTTCTCTGCGGCAAGCAAGCTGTTTTCCTCGGCGGCCTTCCTACCAGACCCATCAGTCCTTTTGGGCGATCAGATCTAGCCTTGTGCACAACCAACTTACCGGAGTTTCTCTTCCAATTCCAAGAGGCGCGCGCGACCATCTTGTGAGTCGTCCATTTCAAAAACAGGATTTGAAAAAGCAAGCGCTTTCGATCTAGCAACGTCCAGAAGCGGCTAGGGTTGAAGGGCGGACAGGACTGGTGATGGAGTATCCTATGAAACTATGAATGCAAACAAGCTGGCTCTTCTGCTGCTGTCGGAGGAGACGTATGCAGTAATTGCGCGATGCAGAAGCTTTGGGGAAAGGAGAATACAGAAAAGAAGAGGAAGGAAGACAGAGAAGCCCGCGGGCAGAAACCAAATATAACTTCATTCTGGATGGGACATGGTATGCTTTACAAACAAAGGAACCAAAGGCTGTGACCACCTGCAAACAGGTTTCGCCGGGATGCAAATCCATAGGTGTATTCATGTTTGCAGTGTTAATAGTGATCTGAAAGAGCTTTCGGACTGACAAAGAAAACGCATTCTCTAGTATCCGCGGGTAAATAGATTCCTGAGCTTCTTTGTAGATATGAAGAGAAATCATAGTGTCGAAGGAGGAAGCATGCCGTCGTGCTTGGATTTCTTTGCTGCTTTGTGACTGTTGTTCTTGGGCATGCTTGGGCAGAAAGCTCATGGCGATAGCATGGGCGGAACGACACTGAGCTGCAGCGCGCCATGCAGCTAGTGGCGGCGGATCCAAACGGCTCAGACAGAGATGGAGATGCAAACAAGATCCTCTTCTGATTCAAGATTGAGATTCGATTCTTGAGTCGGCCACAAAAGCCCAGCACATGTTCGATGTGCTCGTCTAGTTTCTTTGAGACAAATGGCAATAGCATCCACATACACGCGCTAGAAGAAGCAAATCCCATGAGATTTGATTTCATTCAGCGCCGTACGTTTGCAACTAGGTTGTAGAAGCCCATTATCGCGACGCTAAACATCTTCTGTCGGCGATGGCTGACCAGCGCAATACGATTTCAGGGTGTGCAATTGGCCGTCTTGAAAACGCTGTAAACGCTGATCAAAGGCACGTTTCGTATAAATCCGAGCATGAGGCCTGTCAGCGTAACAAGTAATAAGACGTACGTCTTTGATTGCTTTCTTATAGGCACTGATGAGGTCTTTTTGACGCTCAGGTGACGTGAGGAAGGGCATTAAGGTGTAGACATGTGACATTGAGGAACGCTATAGTCAATATGATGAAAAGAAAAAGAAAATATTCTAGACCAGAGTAGATTGAATGTACCTCGTTTTCTGGTTCTCGGCGGGGAATCCGGTAGGATTCAGGGACCCACAGGTGAGGTTGATGGAATGACGGAAGACGGGACAAAGAAAGATAGCAGCAGAAACTAAAGAGAGAGAAAAAGGCCGCAATTTCAAGCGGAGATAGACTATGGAGACACAAGGAGGGAACAACAAAAACAGGGCAGGTCGATCGTCCGAAACGTTTGGAGATTAATTATGTCATAACTTATTACTTAAGAGGAAAAAACAAAAAAAGACAAAGAGAACACATTCATCGTACACCGTAACACACAAAGATCCAGACCGCAACCAGCTCGCACACCGACGGTCGATATAGACCGACGCGCGCCCGGCGAATTCCCTTAGGACAATGCTTCCAGCACATTCAAATCGACGGTCAGTTTGTTCGCCGCCAAGGCCGCAGCAAAGTATGGCAGGTCCTTTCCATGATACACGCTGGAGTTGCCGGTGATGTCGACGGGAACGATATTGTCCTTGTACTTCGGCAAGAATTTGGCCACCTTTGAAGAGCTTACGTTGGCCTTCATATCGAGGGTGTTGTTCCCCGGCCGAATTACCAAATCGTTCAGGAAAGACTGGCCGATGTTGGTGCCTTCCACCGACAGATCGAGAGTAACGTTGCCCTGCAAAGCGAAGCGGTCAGCCAACAAATTGCGCTCCCAACCGATTTCCGAACCCGGTGGGACTCGTTTCATCTATTTGATTCACTCATACCATAGTGATGGTCATCACGGACGGATTGGGGATCGACACTTTGCCGTGCCCGTTGTTGCCATCCGAGTCCGCCTTTCCGACGTGGAAATCGAGCAGCTTGAATCCGGCCAGTTTATTGAGACCTTGGAGCATGTGTATCAGCATTCGATCCGAGCGACGACCCTGTCCGATGGATACTCACCCTTCATTGTGACGGTCTTGTTATACGTGACGGTGATCGTAGGCAAGCTTCCCTGCTTCAACTCGGGTTTTCCGTAGATGTTCAGGTGAATCTCCTCGTTCAGCATCACTGCCTTCGCGAAGTCGCCAAACGCATCCGCATCACTCAGGTCCAATTTCTGCTCGACGGGGATGATGGTCCCGTCATTGGCCTTGACTTCGGGCACTCGGACCTTTGCGAACGGGGCGGTTCCCGAGAGACTAACGTCGGCGTCGAAAGCATAGATTTTGGGATGGAAGTGGCTGTCGCTGCCGAGCACCTGTGTCTGGTTCAATTGGAAGGAGTCGGGAGAGGGGTCACTGATGACCATTGACGTGATTTCCAGAGTCGAGTCATCGATGTCGCCCTGGGCGATGTTCGGGTAACCGACATAGACCCTATCCAGGGCAAAGGACGGCGTTAGTAGGTTCCCGGGTCTGATCAACCTGTCATCGGCATGAGACGAATCGACTTACACTGGAAGGACGACCACCAGCACGACCACGATTAAAGCGATGACATGCGCCCACCACCAGCGCTTATAATGAGCGGCGACGCGGGACTTGAAACTAGGTTTCGGAGCTGGCGGCACATCAATCGCGCCCACCTCGGTCACATCGGGCTTTCCACCTGCCATTGCGTGTATATGGCTGTGTTGCTGGGCTTCGGTGTACAGCAGTTCTCACTCGCTCGGACCAAGACTACCGAGTATAAGCCAGCCCTTGCGTCAGGTCAGCATGCACGATGACAGGGCCGTGCTAGATCCATGCAGCAGGAAACACACACCAATGATTTCTTTTTTCCGTTCTCCAAGCTTTATCCTGCCGGACGGTGCGTGCTCTTTCAAACCGGGGTGACTTGCTAGGCGCGTTGCACTTAAGATGGAAATGTCAGTTTCTCTTTGGAGTGTCAAACAAAAGAGTGCTGACGGGAATGCGGGGGTGTTTGCCCCATCAGGTGAATGAAGTCACGTTGAAAAATGAACGCACCTCTTGCAATGTCAGTGGGAAACACCAAAGGAACCAGACAAAGAGCGACCGGGGATGCAACTTTTCTGGTCGCTCAGAGTGTCGGGAACGCGGGGACTGAAGGGAAGGACCGAAGAGAGGGCGGCCAGCCCGACGGATCCCCCCAATGCTATATCTATTATCTATAGAAGAACTAGAACGTCCCTTTGGGCCAGAGGGGCGGGTCCTTCACATGTTGTTAATATGACAGTTACCCAGATCAAGCACCGCGGAACTCGCTTGCGGTGGAGGGTTTTGGGTTCGCGCCATCTTTCTGGACCTCGTGCAGGGGAAATTTTCCAAAAAGCAAATAAGAAAACACTATGCACTACTGCTTATTCGGACACGCTAGGAAGGAAGGAGGCGGAGCGAACGGGTTCGACCGAAAGGAGGCAAAAAAAGGAAAATTAAAAAGAGGAAGATAAGAAACAGGGGCAAATTTAGTCTAGGAGGCATGACCTCTCGGAGGAAAACCCATTCGTTCGGTTGACCGCAGTTCAGGTTAGCATGGAAACGGCGAAGAACGTTGCCTTTACACGCCTACCGAGGTAGTTGAGGCGGGATTTTGACTTCCTGGGAACTCAAAAAGAAGAGAAGAAAGGAAAAGAAAGGGTGTGTTGGGGGGTGCCTCCCTCGCATGCCAGTCGCGATGATACCATAGCATCAGTAAGATGACGATTGGACACCGTGCAGCGACTCCGTCTAGAATGCAACCCCGGACCTGGCCAATTTCCCCAAATTTCCCCATGGCGATCGTTCCTTGGCGCGAGGGGGTCGCTCATTGGGGGAAGGTCGATTATCGAAGAATGCGACTACTCACGAGTCCATGACTAGTTCGCACAGTAGTGTGACCGGATGTCTGACTGCTCCCGGGCCATTGTCCGGTCCAGTCAGAGCTACAACCAATGGGGCGTCATCCATGGGAAACTCTCATTTCTTCGTCCCCGGTTTAGACTGTGTAAGGGTGGTTTTTTTAATATCGAGCAGGCCGGCTGGTTCGAGGGATTGTCAGGCGCACGCACTTCCCCTCCTTCGATACGATGGCTCGGAGCGAATCATGCAAAGCTAGGGAGGGGCGACCGACAGGAGAGGCAAAACGCAGACCAGCAGTGTAACCCTGCAAGGTCTAGTCAGGTTTCGAAGTTCAAACCGCTTGGGTGGATTATTGGTAGGTGGGAAAAAGAAAAGAGTGAGGAGGGGGGAGGAAAGAAAGGAGACGAAGGTTGCGCCCATCGGTAGGGTTCAGCCTCAGCCGCACGCGTGACCCGGCGACTACAAATATACCCTTACGACTCCCGAGGATAATGATTTGAAAAAAAGAAAAAGACGGACAAAAGATCCATAAAACAGACAGATATATACTCTCCATTATACTTGTACAAGATACCATCAAGATGTACATCGCTCTGTGGAAACACGATCAGACGCCATATTTCCATCGGCCTACAGGGACACCCATCCCTGGCCTCCCATGACTATCCGGGGGTATCAATCCAACCCATCTCGCTTCGTTAGAGGCGGATGGGCATCCCAATTATCCCAATATTTCATGAGTAACATCAGCTATGACCTCCGCAGACGAGATTCAAACGGCCGGCAAGAAAGAACCAAGGAATGATGCAAATGAAACAAACTAGGAGAAATGAGAAACAAGAATCACAGGCGAGAAGCGACAATAGAAGAGAAAAAAAAAAAAAAAAAAAAAAAAGGTTCAAGTAGTAGTAAACCGATGAAAGACACAAGATAAGAAGAAACGAAAGAAGGTTAAGAAATAACATTCGAAGGGTACATCACGCAGTGATTAGAAATTAAGGGGTATCCAAGAAATAGAGTCGATGCCCGCAAAGCAAACGGTACCAAGGGTTCCGGGAACGTCTTGATCCATTCGAGGTTTTATGAAAAGCAAGTCATCAAGACCTGCTGAATTCAAAGAAGTTCAAAGAAGAAAAAGGACAAAAGAAAAAGAAGGTCAAGGTGGATAAAGGAGTGTGAGAAAAGAGGCCCGGAGCAACGGCTCGGGAATGAAAGTTTGCAAAGAAGGTTAAGAAGGGTTTAGACTCGTAACAGTTTCCATCACTGCTAAGACCTAAATCAGGGAATGGAAAGGATGAAGAAAGTAAGAATAGGAAGAAGAGAACGGGCTAGAATCACGACAGATAGCACTGGCCAGAAGGGTCTAGCCTGTCGTTATTTCTGGCTGAGCACGGACCGCAAGCATCTCGCTCCAAACCCAATTTACAGGCATTTTAAGCTTCAGCAGCGACCGATTTCTTACGTTGGAATAGACTGCGAGTCCGGGATTTGCTGCGCTGTTTCTTCTCCGGAGTGCCGCCTTGCCGGCTGCGGCCGCGACCGCGACCACGCGATTGAGTATTCGATTCATCGTCAGACAAGTACTTGTCCTTATAAATCCTATTGAACAGTTCCATATTAGCTTCGGCGCGGACTGACTTGCTTCCACGAGGACGAGTTTCCACCTACCAGCTGTTTCCAACCATGTTCATACCCTTCGCAGCCGCCCGTCGGTAGAATTTGGCCGCCTTCTTCAAATCTTTCTTACAGCCGACGCCTTCGGCGTAGCAGAAACCCGCCTCGGCGAGGGCATCGGCATCGCCCCATTGACCGGCAATCTCAAAACACCGCAGGGCCAAAGATTTGTCCTGTTCGATTCCCCAGCCGTTGAGGTGACTAACGCCAAGTTCGTAGATACTCAGCGCGAACTGTGCTCGGTAGGCTTTCTGGAGTTCTCTGGCCCGGACCGGAATGGACGTGTTGGAGTCATCCACCAGTTCCACGCCGACCGAGTCCACGGCTTTTCGCAGCCACTGGACACCCTCCCGCTGATTCGGCCGCATTCCCCAGCCATGTCGACAAGCCAAAGCATAAAGCAGCATGGCCGTGGGGTGGTTTTGTTTCGCGGCGATCCGCAGATGGTAGGTAGATTCTTTCAAAGACCCATTTTCGTGGCATTCGATTCCCTTCGTCACGTGCTCATCCGCCGAGACGGGACCAGATGATGACGCCGGCCTTGCAGTCTGCGGCCGAAGAGTCGACGACGAGTCTGCCGATGAGTTGGTCTCGTTCTTGTCCTCTGCAGGGGGCACTTCCGGGGTTGGCTGCTCCGCGGGTGCAGGATCTGAGGGGGTGGGGTCTGAGGGAGCAGGATCTGAAGGTACAGGCTCCGGGGCAACAGGCTCCGAGGGTGCGATCTTGGGAGACAGCGGAATATGATCGGATGAGGAGGCCGCGTCGGAAGTCAATAGCCGACGCTCGGAAGGCGCTTGTTCGTACACGGAATGGGTTTGCTGCGACGCAATCGAGCCCTGGCGAGAAGGCGGCGGCGACGGAGTCCGCGCGGGCATCGGCGACTGCGCATTTTTTATCTGCTCTGGGCTTTCGAACAATGGCTCCTGCCATTCAAAGTGGGGAGTCTGCAGGCCAGAAAATACTACCGAGTCGCGCGACACGTTGCGACCGCGGGGAAGGGAGTATTTGGCGTAGATGTAAGAAGAGACGGCGGACGACGGATCCTCCCCCAGGTAGCTAGCCAGATCAGAGTGTGACGGAACCATGATAGGCTTGGGTTTGTGTCCGCGGCTCATAGTACCGGGCGCAGCGCTAGACGCCGGCTCCGAGTATATAGTGGGAGCAGGGGCAGAAACGCTAGTGCTCGAGCGACTAAGCGGGCGCGAGAAATTGTACGAGGGACGCGGCAGGTGAGTCCCGTTGTTCGAGGTCTCCGAGCTCAGGGATGGCGAGCGAGGATGAGAACGGACCATAGGAGACATGGGCGAATGGGGCATAGACGCAGCGCTGCACGATGACATCTTGCGTGGTTTGGAAAACATCGAGCCCCCATTAGAACTACTGTAGTCATCGTCAGAACTCTCCTGCTGCGGAACTCGAGAGCTGCTGGACGGTCGCGAAAGAGGCGATGCGGGCGGAGCCAGGCTCCGAGGAACGTTCAGTCGAGAGGCGGAGTCGCTCGATGAAGTTCGGGGCGGTCCAGTCAAAGAAACCCCGGGGGGAGCAGCCGCATAAAATCGACGAGGCGGTTCGGGAGCAGCTCGGGCGGATGGTTCCTCGACAAGAGGCTCCGAACATGGCGCCTCAGGTATTACCGGTTCGTTCTTGGGGGTCGCGTTATAATAACTAGAACGGCCGTCCTCGCTGGCGAGATGTGATACGGAGCTGAGGCGGGGGTGTTCGGATTGCGGGCGAAATTTGGGTTCTTCCACCTCAGGGTTGGCTTTTTGCGTCGGTTGTCGGGACAGACCTCGTCCTCCCTGCGAGGAATCTCCGGAGGAAGGTGCACGGAAATAACCCGGTCGAGGCTGGGAGAGAGAGCGAGCAACTGTAGACGGAGGGAGTCTGCTCATGCGCCGCTCTCTACGGGCGGACTCCTCTAGCTGTCTAGCCAAAAGCCGACCTTGGGCGGCGAAAGCATCTAACGGAGAGAGGGCAGGCGGAACTTCACCATCGTAGTGTTCGATGCGCGGCGAATGCGCCCCGCTGCGAAGTGTGTCATGAGAGGGGGAGCGAGTGTCAAACTGCGGTCGAAAGGGGTCCATAGTGTATCGCCCAAGGTGCTTTTTCGATGAAAGAACTTTTTTTTGGCGGGATAATGACGGTTTAAACAATCGCACGAGGAGAAGGCCGATCAATTCATCTATCCGGCAACAGGTGTAATTTTTGGAGCGACGGCAATTTTTAGTATCGGGAGTAAGACAATGATTGGGGCGAAAAGGAGGACTGTATGAAAGGTCGGGTTATGAGGTCAGCCTAGCGGCGAGAAAACAGGCTATCAGAGAGCGCGAGATCATACGGGATTGGTGAGAGTCTAGAGAGACTGGAATAGATAGGTGGAAGAGGGAGAGATACACGAAAGAAAGATAAAAAGAAGCGAGCGAACAGCTCCCGGCAGCGAACCAGGCTTAGAGGGCCAGATGGAACAAATTGGGTGTAAAGGAGCGACTCAGTAGTTTGTACTGGAGAGAAAGGTGTAGGTAGGAGTGGATCGATCAATAGGAGAGAAGCCGAGAGGAGACCAATTTAGCAAGTCAACAGATTCACAGGCCAAGACGAGGAACGACGGACAAGCATCGTGGACATCCGACGAACTAGGTAGGACAGAGAGAGGAGAGAGGGAGAAAGGGAGAAGAGGAAAGACGAGGCAGACAGACAACAGATGGAGGGGAGAGGAGAACAGAGAGGGGCGAAACGACCAAGTCCAAGTTGCGGGCGAGCGATGACAGGATGGTTCGGGTTGTTAGGGATGCTCCGTAAGTACCTGGTACCCGACCATGGCAGCGCGTCGGCAGGGAGAGCCAGGTACCACTGACGGGGGCCCTGACGATCGCCAAAAAACCAACGACTGGCCGTACGGTACGCGTATTACGTCTGCAAAGTGCCTGACTGCCTGCAAGGGGCCGCCCGTTTCCCGGTCCTTCTTACAGTACGCCGTTATGCCATACCAGGGGGATTGCATTATCATTCAGTAGGGAATTATTGATTTCTCTGTCGAAGCCAAGGATTTGATCTGATCAATGATTCTTTCTTGCTTACAACAGGGGGCCACGATTTCAGAGGATAACCCCCTCGAGCCTTGGCGATGACGGTTAGTGTGGTTCATCCTGAGTCTACCCAGCGACGAGTGGAGGCCCCGTAGCCACTCTATTTATATTCACCTTCTTCCAACGCTGCCCTTTTGTTCGTGCCAAATTTCCCGACCCCGTAAACCCATGGGATGGGAGGGCCTGCCACGGCCTAGGTCTACTCCACCGACCGATTCAGAATTTTCTCTTCTTTGGGCAAAAGTCAATCGGTTCGCTTGTCTACTTTGTGTTTTCGGATTTACATTCTAAATTCTAATAACCATCGCGTAAGGAGGCAGGGATTGCCGAATTGGGATCTGGGGAGGGCAGGCGGGGCCTGAGATTCCAGGCAGCGGTCGCATGATCGACCAGTCCCTGAGAAAGGGGGAATTGGACAATTCTCATGTACTCACATTAAATAATGTACAGTTACTCTCTCATCGCCCTCATCTCATCTTCTCGTCGTCATCTCGTTCGGCCCGCCTGCTTTTTTTGTCGGCTTGTCCGAACTGCAGTCGACCGGTGGTTCCAACGGTTGCTTTCCTCCCGGTGATTGGCGTGGCCCGGTGGAGGTTAATATTCTCATTATTAGAAGATTCTTCCAATACGGGGGTCTATTGAATTTAATCCATCCTTGTCTCCATACTCAGCACTGTTGTGGTTGTTGTTATTGTTTTGATTCATTAATCTTTATTACCTACTGATTGTTATTGTTATTTACATAGCATATTACTATTTACTGCGTACTGTTCCTGCAGTCTCCTGTAGTGTCAATGCACTCCGTAGATATCTATCATCGGCCTCCCTGCGCCTGCAGCCCATGTGCATCTGCCTACATAAGTGGATTGTGTGATCTCAATGTCCATTGATGAAATCACCGCCTCCCCGCCCGGGACGATGATCAGAATGACGGCTGAAGACGGGCTGAAGTGACAAGTGACAAAAAATCCAGGTGTCTGCAATGCAGCCGTCACCTGTCCATGTGGCCTACGGAGTATATGTAATGCCTAGGAGAAATCTGTTCCTCCTACTCCGGATCTTCCTAAGATTTAAAACGCCTTAGTGTCATTTCAAACAGTCAAACTCAAATCCATTTCCTCAATCGATAGTCCCGGTTATACATCGATCTGTTTCGGCGACAAGTTACAGATCCGTGACTACTCCCCACAAAGGGCCTGTTTCCCTCTTCAGCAGTTTTGAAGCTATACGACCTCACCCCCGATGGTTTTGTTGCCTGAGGTTGTGACTGCCAAGCATCTCGCCTGTCGCAGCACCTACGATTGGAAAACCTCTTCTTTCTACACAACAACCTTCACGGTCATCCACATAAACCCTCCCCAATTAGCTACAGTCTCTCTTGTATTCAAGATGTCTACATTCATTATTGCTCACTATGGTGCTTCTTGACCTTGAATACTGTACATACGACGTACACCAAACCTATAAGCTATCTATCTTACATACTTATTTGTTTCTTTCTTTTCTGACAGAAACTCCCAGATAGAGGTAGGCAAATTTGGCCTGGGATTGTGGTCTTCCTAGCTATCCCGTGGTTTTCTATGTGAAGGCACTGTTGTGGTGCCAATGCTTAACCCGTTGCTATACTTTCGGCGATTTTTATTGAGTCAAGGTTGCTAAAAAGCTTTAAGGCTAGATCAGAGCAGTTTGTACAAGTACGAAATATCTTGCGGGCAATGATTATCAACAGCCAATTATCCAAGCCTTCAGTTGCCTTGATCAATGTCAATTCAAATTTCAACGGTATCGGAAATCTCTTCAGCCCGTCAAACATTCCCCCGCTACTACAGTATTTAGCTGGGAAACTAGGGGTGTTAGACGGCGACGGCGGCAACAGTCTAACCCAGGATTGTTTAGCGTTCACTCTATGCAACAATAAGGATGAAAGCTCGGAGAAAACTGAGCTGTGGTTGTTAGCGCCGTTGCGAACCATCGGCGTAACCTTTTAGGTTTTTGCTGTTCATTTCATCTGATTTTGTTTTCGTCTGTGTTGACAATCTCGACTTATTGGCAAACCGTACGACTCTCCTGTCCGCCCAGCAGCTGAAACAGTGGCACACTGCTCGTGTTCCTCGTGATGCCTCATTGAGCCACCTGGAAAGGCATTCCGGGGCAAACAAAGAGCACGCGATCCTTGCGCAAAGGGCAATCGGGACCAAATACAAAGGCGACGCAAAATTCGGAAGTGTTCAAACACTGCAGGGGGAATTTCGATCAAATAAACCCCCCCCCCAGAGAATCATAATTCTTAATATATAATCCTAATCTCCCTCAACCAATAATATTTCACCGAACATGGGGAAAATGGCCTTCAACACGTTGATGGGCGTCGATCCCTCGCTCGACCATCGTCACCACTTCGAAACCTCCTGGCTGCTGCCTCCGCTGGCCTTCGCTGCTCTCCGCGCTCTCGTCGCCCTCTACATCTTCTTCACCAACTTCTTCATCTGGGGCTGGGACGGCACCCATGGCGATCGCGCCGCCATCGGCCAGAGCTTCAGCTACTTCACCTGGCTGACCTACTGGGGTCTGGGCTTCTACTACCTGGTCGCCTGCGTCCATACGGCCTGCTATGCTCGCTCCGGCCGCTCGCTCCTCTTCGACGCCTGCCCACGAGGTCTGCGCGCCCTCCATGGCCTGTTCTATACCACTATCACCACGTTCCCGTTCCTGGTCACCATCGTCTTCTGGGCCATCCTCTACTCCGGGCCATGGTATCGTGTAACCTTTACCGGGTGGTCGAATGTACGTATCTTCCCTGTTCATGTCACGCGCGCGCGCTCGCACATCCAACGCAGTACGCAAGAGCGATGTTCTAGCAAAGCACAATGCTACCAAATCAAAACACCCCCTCCAATGGCTAACCCACCTACTTACATTACAATCTATCCGATTAGATCTCGCAACACGGCCTCAACTCCCTCTTCGCGCTCCTAGAAATCATCCTCCCCACAACCAACCCCCACCCCCTTCTCACCTTCCCTTTCCTCGTCCTGCTCCTGCCTCTGTACGTCTCGCTGGCCTACCTGACGCATCACACGCAGGGATTCTATCCCTACTCGTTCCTGAACCCGGGCGTGCACGGCGAAAAGAGCGGCCGCGTGGCCGGCTACTGCTTTGGCATTTTGGCTGCGATCTTGGTTATCTTTGCCCTGTCGTGGGGGGCGATCTGGTTGAGGAGGAAGTTGACGCGTGGCGCGGTTAAGAGATCGCGGTTTGATCGGGAGAGAACGGTCGAGATGGAGGAGGTGAGTGTTTAGGTGGGGTTTTGATACACTACTACTACATATGACCCGGGGAAGTGGGCTGGTTCGTGTAATACTTAATGGACGTGTCTACGGATGATATCTACCTACTTCGGGTCATTCGGGGGAACTGATAATTGACGGTATGTAGAGACGGTTCATTCTGTGGATGGTTATGCTATGAATAACATCGATAGAGGAGATGAGAATATACATTATTCAAAAGAACTATGGAGTGCCGGAATAGATAAGTGTACCGACTTTTTCTTTGTTATTATACTCGTTCCCAGCTCGTCTCGCTGCTGCTTCCGCTGGCACTCTCTGTCACTGGTGCTTGTCCACTGCGGAGGCCGAGCATCCATTCAACCAAGCCGGCCGGAACCCACTCGCCGATAATGCTGTAGGTGCGCGCACCGCGTCCGACATAGAAAACTGGCGTCTTGGACTTCTTCCTTCCGAATATATCCTTCGAGGGCGGCTCCAGCGCATCCATCAACGCGTAGTGGAGGTGTCGGGCCGGGGAACCACGTATCGTGCCGGGTCCAGCCGACGCAACCGGCCGCTGTTCAATGCTGGAAAGGTACTGCGAGCCATACAGAGATCGCTGTTGCGTGCTCCATGCGAGAACCTCCGTTCCGGTGATGTGGCTCTGCGGGCTGCGATACTGCGGTCCGAGATCGACGTTTCCAAGTTTCAACTCCACGACATCGATGTTGCTGTGCTGCAGAAGGCAGAGTTCTCGTCGAAGCGACGTCGCAAAGCCGGCCATGGCACGGGTAACAGTTACCTCTGGGCCTGTGAACGGAGCTGACAACGAAGAGGAGATCGAGGGGTAGACGAGAACGATGGTACTGCTTGTGTTGCGGAGGGTGAGAAGAGGCAGAAGAAGCTGAGTCGTCAGAATAGGCGACAGCAACCGCGTGTTGATGCTATCGGCCCATGCGGAAGGGGGGATTGTAGCGACGGGGCCAGTCACGTAGTTCGGAGAGGGAACGAGGACGACTCCGCTAAGTTGGCAGGTGTGTGGGGGTACGCCTGCCATCGGCGATTGCGGCTGGGTTATCAAGGAACGGATTTCATGCAACGACGGATGGAGCTCTGAAGGCGACGAAGGCGTCTGCATAAATTGATCAGTACGTGTAACGGGCTTAAGGGTTGGAGAGCAATTCACCACCGTCAGATCGAGCCAGAGGGCTCGAATGTCCGCTGTATTTTGCGACTGGATGACATTCTCCTCCTCTGCCGACGCAACCGTTACATACACGATATACCCTCGGCGTTCCAGATCTACTGAAATCGCTTTGGTCATCGGCTCAAGTGGTGATCCGACGACAACTACCATCAAGGTTAGACGATTCCGAGTGCGACAGCCAGATCATCTGTAACCCACCTATTATCTCCTTCCGAGCCCCATTTCCGGCTCTCCTAGCCTTCCTCCGTTTGCCGCTGAACTTCTTATTGCCAAGGTATAGAACAGAAGTGGTTCCGATAAAGGCGAGCAGAGCTGCGCTCCAAGCTCGGTGTCGAAGAACCCAATCATAAGCACGATCGCTGAAAGACTGAGGAGCACGAGGACGAGGTGGTTGTATCGGTCGGACGGAGGAAGGGAGCCATGATTGATTCGACAGCGTATCTTTGATCGTTTTGGCGGCCAGGTCGACCTGTCGGTCGATCGAGTCTGCGACCTGATGGGAATATCTTCTTACGTCATGGGGTATTGACGCGAGCTAAAAGTACAACCAGCTATGAGTCTCTGGGGGTGCAGTAGATGACAAATGGGTATACCTACATAGTCAAAGAAGAACTGGTCGTCGCTGGTCATTTTGCCGGGTAACTTTTGTATTCAAAAAGTTCAAAGAAGGGCGAGTTGACAAGAGAAAAAAGCGATGCGCCGATAAGTTCGCGACTCGATATCGGCCGGGTCACATGAGCGGGTTGCTATCGCCCCATCGGCAGAACCATCGAAGATGCTGGATCTTTTGCATGTACCCTTTCATACTTGCGCCTCATCGTTGCTTGAGGATCGCTTGAAACTGCCAGCGCCCATCTTTCCTTTGAGGTTTGTCCAGCCCGGTTGAGCCACCGAGGCAGCAGTCTCCTTTGCTATCAGTCCAGCATTGTTGCCAATCGGAATCAATATCCTGGAGATATATATCTCCGCCCAAGGATCAATATTTTGTCAACTAGACTTGAAGTCGCCACTTCACGTGATACGCAATCTGGGAGATTCTCTGCTGATTACCAATACTATATTCCTGCACCCTTCGACTGAGTGCCACCCAGCGTCATGACGCGGCTGGAATCTGCCTGGTGATCTGGGGGCTCTCGCGGTACATTCACGAGTCGATGTTAGCTCATCTACATCAAAGCCGGGAGCTATCTTTAACAACCAAGGACCCTAGCCTCATTTTAGGCCTGGCCGATGCTGTGCTTGGATTATAAGTTTCGTCTTAATAATTCTCTGTCAATCTATCTTCTATCACCGATCCACTCAACACTTTCGGATCATCGACATGCGTGAAATAGACCCCCTGATCTTTGAATATCAGCATGACAAGCACCGACCTAGAGAGTCGGAAGCTTTGCTGGCGCTTCGAAAAGTCGCGTCCCTGGTGAAACCTATCATGCGCCGAAGAGGTTGGAAAGTAGGCACGCTCTCTGAAATGTACCCACGAGATCGGAACCTCCTTGGTCTCAACATCAATGGCGGCCAGAAGATATGTCTTCGGTTGCGTTATGCGTCCGACCAGCGACAGTTCCTTCCAATCGAGCATGTTGTAGATACTATGTTACATGAGTATGTGTCCAAAAATCTTTTATGATAATACTTCCGAGTATTGACGTGTCCAGGCTTTGCCATATTGTTCATGGCCCCCACAATCAACAATTTCATGCTCTTTGGAACCAGCTACGCGACGAGCACGAAGAGCTTGCTATGAAGGGATATACCGGAGAAGGGTTCCTTTCACAAGGCAAACGGCTAGGCGGCCGGCGGATGCCCGTGGACGAAGCTCGCCGACAAGCACGAGCAGCTGCGGAACAGAGACGGGCGCTCTCCGCGGGGTCCGGACAGCGACTGGGTGGCGCCCCAGTACTGCGTGGAACTGACATGCGCAGGGTGATAGCTGACGCCGCACAGCGACGTATAGAAGTTACCAAGGGTTGTGCATCGGGAGCTGATAACAGCGCTGATCTCGCAGAAGAAGCCTCTAGAAACGGTTTTTTGACAAAAGCCGAGGAGGACGATGCAAATGAGCGGGCTATCATGGAAGCTTTTATTGACCTAATTGAAGAGGAAGAGCGGGAAAGATACGGGCCTTCTTATATACCCCCGACTCAAGATAACCCGGCTGGTCCTCGATCAAATCCTTCTCCCCCGCCTGTACCCCTTGGAACCAGGCCTACCGCATCTGTGCAATCACAGGACCTTGTCGATCTCACCTCAGATGATAGTTTGTACGAACGACCGTGGGCTTGTCCAATCTGCACTTTGGAGAACCCGGCCACTTTCCTATGCTGTGATGCTTGTGCCGCAGAGAGACCTCGGCCTTCAAATACTCGATCTGTGTCGGGTCCTCCTACAATGAGCACGGAATCATCAAATTCAAATGAACGAAGCAAAAGAAAACGTCCTCTGAGCCAGTCCGTTGGCCACAAATCGTTCAAAATGAAAAGCAGCGCCGTTGAGACTCTCGCTGAATTGGACAGGAATACCCCCAAGCGGCCTTTGGGATGGGTATGCAGTTTCTGCAGCACCTTCATGGAGACCGAATGGTGGACGTGTTCGAATTGTGGGACGATGAAGCCGTCATCATAATCCTCTGAATGATTGGATTTGTAGCGATAACTACCTACGGTTATGATTGACGAACTTGATGACCATGATGGCACCTTGTAATAATCTCCTATGGACTGGATTTTTGTATTCTCAGAATCTTATAACAAGCTTGTTTAATGCTGTTGTGCCACAATCCGCCATGATTGTACTGTAGATACTCCGTATTCTGCGGTGACGGTGAATTACTGCATCCGGTAAAGCGCGCTCGATCTGGGAAAGCGCGTCGCTGCCGCTTGGCATCGTGGTGCGTGGTTTATATAGATGGCCTCCTCTCCTCGTTGCTGTTCCATCATTTGACGCCGTGTCGACTCGGACCAACTTGAGCCATTTTTGCCATTGGGCCGGCCTCTCCGTCCTGTGTGCACTTCGCCACCCCCCTTGACTGCAGTGAGTCGTGGCCGTTTCATATCGCTCCTTGAACCGTCAGCTAATAAGATATTGTTTCTCTTCAACTGAACAGGGAAACTCGACAGAATTCGATTCGGTCGACATGAAGCGCATGTCTAGCTCAGTTCTTACAATTTCTCCGGATAGGTATGTCGAAGAAAGGAAGAAAGCATCAACTTGGCGCCTTTCCTCGAATCTCAACAAGCAAAGTACCTTCATCATATAGCCTATTCAAAAACACTAAAGCAGCTCACCTTCCAAATCCCCGGACGAAGAGTCCGGACAAAAATCGCTGCTCTGCCGTCCACGCTTATATTCTCTTTCGCTCTCACCTGAACCTTCCTCGTCCGAACTTGGCTGATCTGGGGGAGGCGGAGATCGACGACGCTTTCTAGCGCCGGGGCGTAGACTGTTGATAGAACCTTGATGTAGCATTTGCCCTCGCTGTTCCTCTTCGGCGCGTGAGAGGAAGGCACAAAGCTGATCGGATGTGATAAAGATTTCCTGATCAATGCTAGTGTGCCCCCGCGAGAGTTCTTCAGTTGCAAAATCCCTCAATGACAACTGGAGCGCAGCTCCCTCAACTGGAAGACCAGACTCTGTACGGAACGGCTGTACATGTCAGCATCTATGGCTCAGATAGGTGGCCGCTTATAGGGTGTATACCAGCGCGTCGACCTTGGCGGTCGCTTGAAGCTCCTCCACGCCATCGACTGTTATATACTCAGGTCGCCATACGGTGATAGCCGCTTTCTGGGATCCTTTATAATCAATGTCCAGGGCAACGACCGCGTTCACGCTCCCATCCGTGTTCAGTATATACTCATCCGCTAGGTGTGAAACAAGGCGACTCTTTTGTGAATAGCACACCTATAATAACACCGGGAAAGCGTGCAAGTCGGTGCTTAAATGATGCATCTGGCTCTCGCTTAGAATAGACCTGCTTTCCATCTCTTGTCTCGTCAGGTATCATGATTCGGGAAGTGGCAAGGTGCTGGACTTCCTTCGCAAAACTAGCGCAGTCTTCGTCTCCGTTCTCAAGTTGCTTCAGCTGTCGCAAGATCTCTTCAACTATCTTTGCGCAGAAAACATCGTGGAGCACACTTGGCATTCGGATAATCAGAGAAGACCGACAAGGATCGTAGTCGTATCTAGAACACGGCTGAATCAATGCGACGACTCAAATATATCGAAGCTTAGCGATACTCACCTCACTTTGTCCTCAACGTAACTTCTGAGAAGATTGTCGCTGTTTAGAGCACGCAAAGCTTCTGCGTATTGGCGTAAAGAGAGCTGATGCTGCCACCAAAACCGTGGCCTATGACCTGCTTTGTGAAGCTTAAAATGGTTCAGCACGCGCTGAGCGCTTCTCGACAACAGCTTCTCATTCGTAAGAGGTGGTGTCAGGGGGAGCTCTTGAAAACCCCCTGTAGGGGTAATTCCAGTTGCCATAAGAGACTGACGTGTGTCGACGATCCGACGTGTTCTTGGGGCCATGACTTGCGGTGCTGCAGGAAGGAATGGCACCCAAGTGCCACGCGATGGCAAGCTGGGATATCATGTGACTGAATTATCTCTGCGCCCAATCACTAACTAAAGAGCTGATGTCGGAGCATACTGCCCTCTGGTACCGCGTGCCCTGTGACGGTCTGCAATGGGGCTGAATAAGACAAGTTTGTTTATGACTATGGGGAAGGAAAGGAACTATCTAACAGGGGAATCTGGGGCAGGTGAGCACGTGACATAATTGACCGCCTGCCTAGAAGAGCCCCAGGGAAGGTCCCGGTTGAGCAAGGCGACGTGACAAAGCCCTGACTAAGCACCGGCCCGCCTATTCGGCCGGGCTTAAATCCAACCAACAATTTTCTCCCACTTTTTTTCTCTTCCTCGACAGCACGGAGCTCTTGCTCCCAACACCAGTCTTAATGTTCAGACTGATTCTCGACCTGAATCTCGAAGAAGACTAACAAATAGGTATGCACTACCTTCCCCTTCCCCTACTTCCTATCCCCTAGCATCTCCGCAACAACGCCACCTCCCAAATGTCCTTGAAATGAGAATGAGGAAAACAAGCAAAGAAAAGAGAAAAAGGAAGAGACCAATCCACACACCCCAACGAACCCAAAAAGAAAAAAACAAACAAACTTCCAATATGATGAGAACATTTCCAAGAACCGGTATTTTAGGAAGAGCCGGAAGAGGTATGACGGGATTTTTCACCACTGGTGGTCCTCGTCGTCGGTGCTTATAAAGGTTCTGCTGAGTGGTTGTTTTTATGTTCTTTTTTTCTTTGGTGTCTTGGTGTGTGTGGGATTGGCTCTTGAGAGCAGATGCTTTTGGTCTGTTCCTTGGATGAGGAGGAGTCGTCGATCACTGTTGCTTGCTTATGATCATTGTTTTTTTTTTCTTTTTACCTTTGTTCATGAGCTGATGCTGATTTGACGAGTTTAGGCTTTGGATATACAGTTCGTAGCATGTCGGGACGCCTTGCTTTGATTGGAGAGACAATTGGTTGTTGTGAATTGGATTCTATATGGTGGAATTTCTATAGATGTCTCAAGAATATGAATATACATTGGGATTTTTTCAACCTTCCAAACTCCGGATATAGAACTTTTTCTAGTCGCAGACATAAGACATCCAAGTCAATTCGTAACGCCCGTGATGCATGTATACAAGAAAGTAATCAAAAACCCCCAGGGTAAAAACCAAAAGATTACAGCCCCTCTGCTTAGGACACGCTGATAAATTGTCGCTTCTTACCCGTGGCTGCTGTCTGAGCCGGCTCTTCCCAGACCTCGTCATCAACGTATTGCTTAGTACCCTGTTCGCGCACCTGATGGCCCACGAACTGCAGAGCCGACAGGTTGAATCCCATTTCGTCCTTCTGGCGCGCCAGGACCCGACGCAAGGTAGATCGAATGCTATCGAGCATCGGCCTCATCGTCTTGCTGGCAACAACCTGGCGGTGATGCGTCTTGAGCATGAAGAAAAGGACACGGCAGGTGAGAGGAACGTTCCATTCCCGATTGGCCCAGATGTCGAGGAAGGTGAACAGTGCGGGGAGCTTGGCAAAGGGCAAAACGAGCAAGGCATCCTGCAGCGCGGCGGCCGGGACTTTCTGCACCGTGTTCAGGACGTGCTGCTCAGCCGAAATGTTGCCCAGCGCCATGTACAGCGGGTTGCGGGTGGGAGGGGCGGCGTTCGGTTGCACCGCTTTGATGGCGCGCCATTCACGCACGATCTCCAGATCCTCAATTCCCAAGTCGAGGGCTTCCATAATCTTTTCACCGGCCATGAGTGTGACAGTGGTCTGTTTTCCTGCCTCACCGGCTTCGGCCTTCTCGCCGTCTTCGTTGTCTTCCTGGTCGAGAGATTCCATGAGGTTGTTGTCGTGCATCTCTTCCAGCTCCTTTTCGCGCTCTTCTTCGAGGAAAAGTGGCTCATCGGTCTGCTGCCAGGTGCGGATACTCTTATCGTGACTGGCCGTCACAAGGAACTCGCCGTCATGGCTGATAGTCAAAGCCCAGATCTCGCCGTGATGACCGGCCAGCTTCTGGATGTTCTCGAATTTATCACCGTCCCAGTATTTCACCACACGGTCTTTGCTTGCGCTGAAGAAGTTATGACCATTTCCTTCCTTATTCGTGGGGACAAAAGCGACAGCCATGATACTGTCTTCGTGCGCCAAGAATGCTTTGTGACAATCACCGAAATCCAAACCCCAGAGACGAACTGTCTTGTCAGCCGAGCAAGTAACAATCAATTTGCTGTCGTAGGAGATGTCCATGCTCAGGACTGGAAGTTTGTGGCCGTAGAGGTTAAGGAAGAGTTTCAAAGAATCGACGAAGAAAACCTTAACGGTGTTGTCAAGTAGGGAAACGGCCAGCAGCCGGGCGTCAGGAGAGAATCGGATATTGAGAATGTCATCCGAGACCTTGAGAGTTCTTGTGTGGACCAACTTGAGCCGAGGCGTAGTTCTCTTAGTACCGGGGATGTCTTCCTGGACGACCTGGAAGTTCCAGAATTTGGCAGTCTTATCGGCGCTGCCACTAACGAGTGACTTTCCATCGGGGTGCACTTGGAGAGACCAGACCGGTCCATCATGAGCTTTGATAGTGTCGAGCAGAGTGGAGGACGCAATGTCGAAAACTTCGAGCTGTCCATCTTTGTTGCCGACCACGACGATCTTATCACCAGGAAGGAAAGCAGAGCACAGAGAATAGCCGCAATCCAACGTACGGAGGCAGCTCTGCGTCTTGATGTTCCAGACTTTCAGAGTACCGTTTGAGGCAGAAGCCAGCATGCGATCGTCCGAGCTCAGGGCGATGGACCGAATATCGGTGCGATGTCCAGGGATGTCGACGGCCAGGTTGCGGTTGTAATCCGATTCGTCCTCGTCTTTGTTTTTCTTGTTCGCCATAACAACACTGTATGCTTCTAACTGGTTGTTTGTGGTTGCAACTAGAAGTTGAATGTTCCCACTCGATTTCGTTCTGATCCAGTCGAAGGAACGAACTTTTCCGCCGGTACGAACGATAACGTGAGAGACGAAGATTTCGGTTACCGGTGCAGAGGAGATATCCTCAACTTTGTCATCGGCGGCATCCTTAGCAGCTCCATCAGCATTGCGCTGGGCGTCTTTCTCCTTTCTTCTCTTGCGCTTTCTCGCCAAGCTCTTCTGGACCTCGGTCTCCGAGCGAATGCGCCAGATTTCAACAGCCTTCTCAGACCCATGGAAAGCAACATAGTCCGATCGCGGGTGAAAGCTGATCCCAATTGTGCGGTCCTTTCCAGTTCTGTAAAACGTTCCCCTGTTTGTAAGGATTTTGCGGTCTTCCGCACCAACTTTCTCTTTTGAGATCTCGATCATAGCGCTCTCGTCGATCGACCACACTTTCAATTCTCCATCATTTCCGGCCGTGATACAGCCGCTCTGATCGGGGGACAAGCCCAAACTCCAACACTCTCCGTTGGACTGAGCGACGTGGGTTTCGATACAGTGTTGCGATGCGAGATCCCACACCTTGATCAGTGAATCTTTGCTGGTGGTGACGAGGAATCCTGCGTGCTCATTCAGGCCGGCGGCGTTGAGCAACTCCGGGGAGGGATCGAGGAAATGAAGGGAGGTGATTTGGTCGGTATGTCCGCGCAGCTTGAATAGGCCGACTTCCGCAATCAGATCCCACAGGATGATATCGGTATCTTTGGAACCACTGGCAAGGCGAACACCGGCGCTGTCGAAGGCCAACTGAGTGATAGCGGTTTTGTGGCCGTTGAACGAGATCATCACACTGGCGGTTCGCGAATCCCAAAGACGAATGCTACCGTCTTCGTAACTAAGAAGCGAAGAGAGTTAGCATAAAAATAACCGACGTGAGCGACCCGAGTCTAAAACCACAGGTAGACCTACCCGACAGCAAAGATATCCTCATCCATCTTGCTCTGAGTGATCACGGTGACCTGCGCATTGCATGACGTATCGTGCCATCTCCCCAACAATTCTCCTTTCTTGATATCCCAGCAGAGCACCTCCTCACTTGCACCGACGACAGCCCGACCGGAGCCGGTGCGACGTGCAGCCCCAGCCAGTTCATCGTCGCGGGCCCAGATCGCATTCGACGATGCCCCAGCGACGAGCCCGAAAGTTTTCGAGTGCTCGAATTTCCTGTACAAAAAAAGGCAGAGTTTAGCAAAGTTCAGCAGCGAGTAGAATATGTGTGGAAGGATACTCACAAATATGATTTCACCATCGTTGGGCGTGAGATGCTTGACACTTAAAAAAAAAAAAAAAAAAAAGCCGCGATGCTATCGATAATCCAAAAATGGATGTACGGGAGGCGACAAGTGCCCGAGTGGCTGGGACCTCACCGCCTTCCTTTCCCCAACATCCGGCAACAATAACGCAAGGCAGTAAGAGCGTCGTTGACACTCACCTCCGTTGCCTTCTCCAACAGACAGTTAACTACATTCCGCACACAAAGATCAGGGGAAACGATTCCAGAGTGACGTTGCAATCGTCGATTTTACGCAACTTTCCGACGCATCGTTGATGCGACAGCCACCATGCTTCTCCTAGACTACCACAACGTTCTCATCCACACTCTCCTGACGGAGCGGTTCTCTGGGTACAGCTTCCCCCCTCTCCCCGCCTCCGCCGTACGCACATCCGGCTTCTAACTGACATGTGGCTACATTCTATAGAGCCCCGCCCGCGTCAGTCGATCAGGTCGTCTCAGATTTCGACGGAGTTACGTTTCATTTGTCGACACCCGAGTCCAAGACTCAGATCCTCATCTCCATCAACGTGAAATGCTTCCGCGAGCTGGTTCAGTATGGGGCGCAGGAGGTGCTGGAAAGGGAATACGGATCTTACATTGTCGCTCCGGAGCCCGGCTATGACTTCTCGGTTCTAATTGATTTGGAAAACCTCCCCGCCGAACAAGAGGCGAGAGACGAACTCGTCATGCGCCTTGCTCTGATGAAGCGCAATGCTATGGCTGCCCCGTTCGAGAGGGCTTTCGATGAGTTCGCTAAGCTCTCCGAAGAAGCCTCGAAATACACCTCTGAATCAGCTCCCCAAGGCATCAAGGAAGGGGGTGAGGTGATGGCCATCCATTACCGAGAGGAGGAAGCCTTCTACATCAAGGCCAACAATGACCGAGTCACCGTCATCTTCAGCACCGTCTTCCGGGAAGAAACCGACCGAATCTTTGGCAAGGTGTTCTTGCAAGAGTTTGTTGATGCCAGACGGCGTGTTCTGACCCTGCAGAACGCTCCTCAGGTGCTGTTCAGAAACGACCCTCCCCTTGAACTCGAGGGTGTCCCCGGCCTGCAGGATCCCGGTGACGGCACGATGAGCTATGTCACTTTTGGTAACATTTAACCTTGGACAATTCTTAAGGTTGTGAATGCTAATGACGAGGCAGTTCTTTTCCCTCGTCACCTGACGCCCCAACGGCGTTACGAAAACATCTCCCATATTCAGATTTTCCGAGACTATTTCCATTACCACATCAAGGCCTCCAAGGTATGTTCCTTTGCCATGGTTGATTGCATGCGATCGGCTGCTTACCTGATATCTAGGCCTACATCCACACTCGAATGCGCAAGAGGACGGCAGACTTCCTTCAAGGTGAGTGTCCGAAAGAAGTCGCTCTCAATGCTTACGGTTACTAACATGACGCAGTACTCAACCGAGCTCGGCCGGAGAACGAGGAGCGGGAGAGGAAGACTGCCAGCGGTCGTACCTTCAGGGTGCAGGGATAGATTGGCAAAGTATGTACATGGTGCCATTATTGCGTGGGCGAGGAAGTTGAGTTGTGTGTCGTTCCCAAGCCGAATGTGTTTCATTTAGGATGTATAGAATTTTATATGATTTTACTTGCTTTTCCCATGTCAAATCCTCTCGACAATACTCCGCAGACCGATTGGATTCTACTGTATGTGGGACCCGGCTAATAGACTCGAGAACCAGTGAGGGGCTTTCTCTCGTCAGGAGAGAATCGACGTGTCTCGACTTGTGGGCATCGATTATTGATGCATCACAAGCTCTGCCGCCTCACCGCTGCCACCTTGCTTTTGGCTTTCTGTCTTTCTTTCTTTCTTTCTTCCTTCCTTCCTTCCTCCCCCCCTGCTTACGCTCGTGGTCAGCAGCGTTTCATCATCATGCTTTGGTCGCCGTATCTTTGGTTATATTACCCATTAGGTCTTTCATTCCAGTTCCCGGTTCTCTTCCTGGTCTGTTTTCCTCGACTGCGAGGCTTCCGAACTAGTCAACTTGCATGAGGCAATTTACTTTGCAACGTGGTTCTCCTTGGAAGGCCCCAAATCCGATCAAATGATGCTGTCATCAACCCGCCCCCTTGGGTCTCCTTTAACTACTGCGTCCGTACATATACGGGGCTGACAAAAGCAACGAGATGCTCGACCCAACCGGCGGGTATCCCCGTTCCACTAACCCTCTTTTTCTCTTTCTTCGGGACCGGGGCATCGCTGGCAAAGCCTGGTATTGCTTATGATCGACATCTGACCGTCTGCCCCCGAAAATCATGCTACCAGACCACCGACTTTTATTGGACCGACATTCCCAATGAACTGGGTCATGTCACACAATCACTGCAAGGAGAGTTTCGGGTCCTTGGTCGCACTGCGTATCACTATCACCATCTATCGTAAGACGACGACTGACGAGAATGCGTTGGACAACCGACCACCAAGCCCATCAGAATGACCCCTCCCCAACTGTCCCAAGTTCCCAACTGCCAAAAGTCCCAATTGACCAGGCTCGGCGCCAAAGGATCCTTGTGGAGTGTCCCCAAGTCATTGTTATTGGACGGAATTGTTAGGATAATTGAAGACGAATGGGCTAGGCCCCAACTCCACCACCTAGATATGCAACTTTTGCTTAGTGTCGACAACTCTGCATGGTTGCTTTTGCGATTCCGACAGGCGGGATTTAGGCTGCCTTGGCGTCTCCAAGGGGAGGGTAAAGACAGAGTTTTTTTTTTTTTCTTCTTTATTCCTTGTTTACCAAAAAAAAAGAAAAGAAAGGAAAAGAAAAGAGAACGAAAAAAAAGGACCCAGACACATCTTCTCCTGCAGGTTGATATCCTTGTCAATGATTGTCAGAGACGGACGCGTCGTCGGTACCCAATAATCGTGAGTTCCAAGCGCGGTTCTTCCTTGACCAAAGAGGAAGACGCTATCAGCACATCTTCTGCCCTCGGACCCGTGCAGATCCTGATTTGCTCACGCTCTGGTGGGCGAAAATAAAAATCCCGGGGATTGGGAATTGATCGTGGTTTGGCCGCCAAGTCCAGCTCACACTAGAATATAAAATTAGGGGGGAAGAACGATACCGCTTCCAGACCCGGAGAGGCCGATTATTGTTTGTCTTCGCTTTTGATTGTCACCTTGCTACTCCGTACTTGCTAGGCTACTACGCCCAACCAGAATACTTTCGATTTTCTTATGGCCGTCTTTGAAACCCCCCAAATTCTAGCAGTTATGCAAATGGCACATTACAACCCATGCTCATAGTGCCTTATCCTGCTACCTAGCAAAGAATCCCGATGTATGACACTGCGCCACGGCATGTCTCCACAACGAATTTAAAAGGCAGCTTTCCTTAGCTCGACCACTTTTTCATGGTGAGGTCTGTTTCTACTTTCTAGCATGTGAGTTGCGAAATTTCCATAGACTTGAGCCTCATCGTGCACCGCCACACACATCGCTACATCTATAATGAATCGATCTGGATCAATCTGAATCACCCGCGATCATCCTCGCCAACCGGGACATGAGATTCTACACCGGAGGAAAGCGACGTCACCTCCGCTAGATGTGAAGTCGATTTGGCGTAATTACTAGATTGGGATCCTCTGCAAAGAATCTACTTCTCTTTCTTCCCTGGATGCAGGATGGTTGTCTCTGGGGTCTCTCATCTCATGTTGTCCTCTGTCAATGGCTTTATGCTAACGACCTAGAACCAGAAGAGCTAGACAAGAAACAAAACGGATTATCAAAACCAAATTGCCGGGCACGTACTCCCGAGATACCATGCGCGACAGACTCAACAGTCTCCCATTGGAGATAATCATACATATCCTTTCTTACCTACCGTACGAGTCCCTGCTTGCCTTCGGTGAAACATGTCGCTTCAACTATGAGTCCCACATCATGAGTCTCCGTTACTTGCGACTGGGCGTGTTCGAAAAGAGGGCTCATTCCACCATAGCCTGCCTGCAAGCTGGTTGGTCCGCACCAGGCCAACTTTCTCGCTGTTTCGATGAGGATGATGTTGGTGATGATGACGACAATGGCAACGCGAGTGAATATACCGTTGCAGTTATTCATCCGAGATTCAAACGTAATCGGTCGGATGCACCTGGGAGAAGCCACACCGGGGCAGGCGACCCGAGCAGGCGGATCGCAGTAGCACGGGGCAAAACTCGGTCACGGACGCAGGAAGAGATGATCCGAGCTCAGAATAAAATTTTCTCCTTAATTGTGAATCGTTACGGCCCTTCTCTGATCAAACTGGAGTTCATGGCGTATGGTCTTGATGCTCGCGGAGCGAAGACTCTAGGGGGCAAGTGCCGACACTCGCTACGGCATCTGGCACTACGCTTCGAGCATCGGCATATTCGAGACGGGGAAATGAACCCCAGGCTTTGGCTGCAACCGGCGCCCTCCAGCAATGTTTGGAATCTACTCATTGGGGGAGGGCGCTACAAAGATTTCGGGATCTCTAGCCTAGAGAGCCTGACTCTGGAGAGGACCGGTATCAACCCGTCTCAATTGACCATGCTTGTGAAGAACAATCCTCGGTTGAGGGTCTTGAAGCTGAAAACCTGTCGTGGTGCGCATCCCGAATTCTTGAATTGGCTGGGAGGTGTCCACAAAGACTCCGTTGAGACTGAATCAGGGTCGCAGGAGGATCTGGCTCCTGGAAGGAAGTTGTCTGTTCTTTGGCTGGAAAACTGCCATGAGCTTCTCACGCAGCCCATAGACGAGACAGTCGAATTGCCCGATGAGACCTGCGATCTTGGACTTGAATGGGCCAGGGGTTTGACGAGTCTGAAGGTATGATCTAGTCCTATAACCCTGCCTGCCCGTACCCATGACAGAGAGCTAATGAACTTCATGCAACAACAGTCTTTGTCTCTAAAAGAATGTATAACAATACCCCCAAAGTATGCTGAAAGAGCAAACCAGGCCATTTGGAAGATTTCTGAGCTCATCCTACCGTTTTCCACCCCCTCAGAGGATCCTCACGATGAGGCAGACTTTAAGTTAAGATGAGGCCAAAAGTTGCTTTTGTTTTCTGTCTTTCTTTTGATTGTTTCTTTGAGCGAGCATTGAGCGTGGTGTTTGTGCTACGAGCATTTATATGGCATGATCGGACAACGACTTTACATGATAGATACCAGGTACAGCGCGTGCAACATTGATGACTGGTGTGCACAGACATAGTGAATTAGGATGAATCGCTGGATGCAATGTTAGAGCTGACTGACGGAGAAGATGAGACCGCAGAAAGATGTTCTTCAGGCATCGTTTCCCTTCACTGGTTTTCACAGACCAGTCACTTCACTCTTCACTACTCTCAGTTTCACTCACTTTGCAACATGCTCCCCTTAAGCGAGTCAATCACGCCCAAGGCTCGTAAGTCCGACCGACATCATTTGTCCTTCCCTTGTCCGCACTATCCATCTTTCTCTCAGTTCAACCCAGATCGCCGAGCCTACCGCCGCCTTGTTTGAGAGACAGTCAATGTCAATCGACGACTCTCACCATTCGGAACCATTCGAAACAATGCGGCATCTTCACAGATCCGTCTCGGTGCTTTGGGACACTACTGTGAGAAAACTTTTCCCTAGACGCGCCTCCCAAACCGGTGATGAAAAACGGAACACTTTGTCTTCCTTTCGTTCCTCCAACACCAGTGAGCACGATGAAGGCTTTTATTTGTATTCCCAAACCCTGCCGCTGAGAAATCAGAGAATGGGTTCACACCTCCGCTCCTCTGACAGTACTCAAGCCTCATATATGTCTGCTGTGGGTGCTCATCTCTTCCATTTCTCATCTCCTACCTTCATCCTTCAACCGGTCATCCTCGACGCCGTTTGTTTACACTGATGGAACTGCAGCTCATGGATCCCGTCGAACGTCCTCACCTTCCATACACCATCGGGGCTCCTGACTGGAATCAATTTTCTGATTCTGTCAGATGCCTCGACGAGCGTCCCACCGAGGATGCCTCCGACTGGCTCTACAGTGTCCTCTCGGTCTTTTCCAAGGTGTACACCGTTGCCAAGATTGTCGCCACGATTCTTATGCAATACGGGGTCGAGGTATGTGTTTCTGTTGCTCTTGGATAAAGAGAAAGACTAATGGGTATGGACTTATGCGCCAGCTGGACGACATGCCCGACGGCCTTCTATACCATGTGAAGCGCACCGAGGAGGTTGTCGGTTCCGACTCAATTGCGAACCTGATCGACGCAGTGGAGGGACTGTACTATGCGCTGTTTGCCAGGTTGATCATGGAAATGGCCAACGTTGATCTATGCTCCTGCTTTCACCTCAACCTTCACGGCATGACCGGCAAGGCTTCCTGCACTTTGCCTGAGCCAACCCACCTATTCAAGATCCTCCTGTTCTGCAAGCGCATGCTCGAATCTCCTGCCATTTGTCTGCACATCCACAAAGAACTCGTGCGACAGCACCAGAGTGAGTATGTCCGCCGCGCCATCAGTAGGTTCGAGAGCATGGGCGTTTTTCTGGATGATTTGCTCGGATACCGTCGTGATATCATGAGCGTGGCTAGCGACAGTTCGTCCGCGTTTCGTCAGAAGTGGACCAACGGCATTCTGCTTTATGACATGCCCCCAGAGGAGGTTCTTACCGTGCTCTCCGAAAGATACCTGGCCCTAACCCCCAAGGTGACCTTCCAGGACGAATTGCCTACGTCGGAGCTTCCCTTCGTCAATTCTGAACTGGCTGACCCGGAAGTCTGGGAGCGCGAGCTGATCAAGGATCACCGTCAAGCTACACTGGCTAAGCTGGAGGGTAAGAGTGTTGGCGATGTTCGGCGTGTGGACGAGCGACGCCGGTTGAGCGACTACGTCAAGGAAAACAAGTGTATCTGTCGTTCTAGCTGCACTTGCGCCTGGGATTGCACCTTGGATCCGGAGCGCCCCTGCCCCTGCGCCGAGAGACAGATGCGCGTCCTGCTCGTCAAGCGCCGCAAAGGTGTTAGCCCTCGTGAGTTTGGTGCCCGTTGCAGCAGTCTCGCCAAAGCAATCTTTCAGGGTATTTCCTGCCTTCGTCGCGACGTCGAGGATCAGGAGATTGCGAAAGAGTTTGATCGCGCGCTTCTGCTGTTCGCCGAGGAGATCCAGAAGCAGCGACTCACGACTGCCAAGGCGAATGGAGTGAAATGCCTGAGTGATGATTGAGCGGTGATTGGTATGGACTGTCGTTTGGAGGTTTAGGTGTAGCATGGAAAAGCGAAAGACGGAACTTAACGATTTACGAGGTTAAGACTAGGAATTGGTGATAATGGAATGATGATATCTTTATGAGAAGCTGATTGAGGTTGATCTCTTGTATCTACTGGCAGCAGGAAAAGTCAAGCAGGTGGAAATAATGACTGAATTTCGACATTTACTCTCGACTCATACTGTAACTTCGAGCTTGTGCACATAGATGACTCAGCATTCCAGACAGCGAGTTATGCTGGGATAATGCCAAGGTTGGCAATTCTATTGTTCTCGGCTCTCTTCCTGAGAAACGAAACAAATCCCCAGGCAAACAAAAGCCTAGACACTTTCTGGCTAAACACGGACGACACCAGTTCTATAAAAGTCGCCGTCTTGTCCGTCGGAATAATCTCCGACGCCGTCAACGCCCGACACTTCCACAGGCTCCAATCCCAACGGTTTACGAAGCATCGCTCATTCCTCTTAGTCAAACCGGGCGATGACTGGCTGTCAGGGCTTCCCTTGTGATCCGCCTCAACTTATCTCAGCATGAAAAGTAGCGAGAGCAGATCGCCCCAATCGACGCTGGAGAGAGAGCAATCCCCTCGAGGTCATCTCAGGGCTACTGAGAGACTGTGGCGGTTCACATCATAGCGGGCATGGTCCCCAAGACGTTTGCATCTGCCTCGACTGCCGCCTTTACCTCCCCGTCCTTATCGTCGCCGTCGGCCATAATAGCCTCGCCCCTACGACCTGGCAACCCACAGTGGATCGCACGCTCCGGGGGACGACCCAAGACGCTGGTCCGGGGGTACCGCGCTGTCTGGCCCTCCTACGGCATCACCACGCCGGTTCCCGATCGGCATCCACAGTTCCCCATCGCTCGCTGCCCCTTTTACTTCCAGACGGGGTACGCTCTCTGCGCCAAACGTCCCTCGCGCCCCTTCCCCCCACCCTTCCTCTCGCCGCCGTCCTCCTCCTTTTCCGACCCCTTGACTACCCACTATCTGAGCCAGGATAAGAGATTATCCGTCCGGGGAGAGCTGATCCGAGGGTTGAACAACGGCGACGATGCCGTCCTGGTTGCGGAGAATTTCCTGGCCGTCAATGACGGCGTAGGAGCGTGGGCTACGAAGCCGCGAGGTCATGCTGCGTGAGTTCTTTCCCTGCCGTTTATGGAAGGCCGAATACTGATCTATCTCTCGTGGTGGTCGATAGTCTCTGGTCCCGATTACTGTTACACTTTTGGGCCCTAGAAGTGGAGCGAGAAACCGCGGACTGCGCGCCGTTACACCCCATCGATTACCTGCAACGCGCCTACGAAGAAACTCTACGAGCCACCACCTCGCCGAGCGAATGGCTGGGCACGACGACCTCGGTTACGGCGCTCCTACACTGCCAGCGCGACGACGCAGGACACACGAAGCCGTTACTCTACGTGACCAACCTGGGAGATTGCAAGGTGCTGGTGATCCGTCCGAGCGAGGAGAAGGTCCTGTTTCGCACCAAGGAACAATGGCACTGGTTTGACTGTCCGATGCAACTGGGCACCAACAGCGTGGACACGCCCCAAGCGAACGCAGTGCTGGACTTGATCGATCTGGAGGAAGAGGACGTCGTGTTGGCAGTCTCGGATGGTGTCCTCGATAATCTCTGGGAGCACGAGGTCCTGAGCATTACGTTAGAGAGTATGCGGAAGTGGGAGCAGGGCCGGTACGACAACACCGATTTGGACTGGGCGCCGCCTGCAGTTCTTGCGGAGGAGCGCATGGTATTTGTGGCGCGAGAGCTGCTCAAATCTGCTCTGGCGATCGCACAAGACCCGTTTGCGGAGAGTCCCTACATGGAAAAGGCGATCGACGAGGGGTTGGCTGTTGAAGGTGGTAAGTTCTCGCATTTTGAGACCCAATGCTAGCGTCACGACGTACTAACGGGAACAGGGAAAATGGACGATATTAGCGTAGTGGTCGGAGCTTGCAGGAGACGAGCCTCCTGACTCTTTTCACAAATTTTCAGCAATACTTGGGACGACGCGCCCAATCTTCCTCACTTACATCAAACAGACAGTACTGGGCACTGGAGCGCGACTACTTCAATCGACCTCAGGTTGGTTCGTCGCACGGCATAAACGACTAAGGGCACTTCCAAGATGGCCTCCTTTTATTTCTGGGTCAGGGTGAAACTCCCACTGCGCAAAATAGACGGGATGCTTTGAGCTTCTGCATGTGGATTTTCTGTCGCCCATTTGCATACTCCGTGATGGGTGACTTTCGTTATGTGCTTAGAAAAAGCCCAATTTTTCTAGCGGCTTGATATTTCGTATTTAATACTCTTTCGGTACATACTTGATTTTATTCAGCGAGCTATTATCTATACACTCACACCAATTTAACGCATTTCTATCCTGTTCCAGTTGTTACCCTTTGGAAATCCTGGTCCTGTTATCGACGGCGATGTAGATAACGCACAGACCACAGCTAAAGCAGCGCAACTCCGCCCGGCAAAACCAGAAAAAAAAAGTTTCCCTTCCCAAGCAGCTTCCATCTCCATCGACACCACGCCTTTAATTCCGCTCTCCCTCTCGGTCAATCAGTCGCCACAATGAGGGCCAAACGTTCCAAGAAGTACCGTAAGCTCATGCACCAGTATGAGCTTACTTTCGGATTCCGTGAACCCTACCAAGTCCTCGGTATGCGCTGCTTGCCCACCGGTGCCTCCGTAATGATAGCCTGCTAACATGGTCGATAACACCAGTGGACTCGAACCTCCTACGTGCTGTACACTCATTCAAGATGGAACTGATTCCTGCGCTGGAGCGCACTCTTCAAGGAAAAGTCAAGCCTTGTACGTCTCCCGACTCGACTCCTTTCGCTTCTGCTTTACCTTTCAACACCCAAAACGAACCCGGGATACTAACCTATCCTCTCTTCTTCCTTGACAGTATTGACAAAATGTTCCCTGGAAACCCTCATGGCCGGTCAACCTCTCCACCCACGAACCAACAACCCCATGCGTCCGGAGTGTCTCCCCCCGCCCACGACACTGCCATTGCGTCACTGCTCGCATAACGAAGATTCCACGCCCATCGACGAAACCGAATGTCTGCTCTCGCTTCTGTCGCCGAGCACCGACGCCAAAAAGAACAAAGAACATTACATCCTCGCCACGGCCGATCCCCCGGGTGCCGAGAAAGCCGCTGCCGCTGCCGCCAGCGCGAATGCCAATAAGGGTGGTGCTGGGCAGAAGAGAAAGCGCGGCCCCGATCAAGGCGAAGTCTCCTTGCGAAAGGCCCAGTCGCTGCGGAGACAAGCGCGGAGTATCCCTGGTGTGCCGATCGTGTATGTCAAGCGGTCGGTGATGATTTTGGAGCCGATGAGTATGCCGTCGGATGAGATCCGGGAGGGTGTCGAGAAGGGCAAGTTCCGGGTTGGGTTGACTGATGAGACAATCAATAAGAAGAAGCGAGAAGGCGCGGCAGAGGCAAAGGATGCGAAGAAAAAGCCGGGGTTCAAGAAAGCCAAGGGTCCTAATCCGTTGAGTGTCAAGAAGCCGAAGAAGAAGGTTGCTGAGACCGCTGGCTCGACGAAGCAGAGGCCGGCGAAGGAGGAAGGGCAATCGAAGCACGACAGTGGGGACGAGGGCCCTGGTGGTGCGGATGGCGATTCGGCTCCGAAGCCGAAGAGGAGACGGCGTCACCACAAAGGAGCGCGGCGAGAAGGTGATGACGGTGAACAGGCACCGTCGCTCGGGGCTGAGGCTGTGGCCTCGGTAGATGTGATGGAGGAATGAGCTTCCGTCAATTGGATGGAAGAAAGAAAAAAGCATCATTTGTTTGTTACGTGTTAAGGCGTTCCGGCTGGGAGCAGAGACACAAACGTCTCTCCATGATCAAGTCATGTACTGTACATTCAATATCCGGAATATGATACTCCAACAATCGATCAACGTAACGATTGACAAGTACATTCTCGAGAACGATAACTGTCCTTATATCCATATTCATACAATCACCCCGCATACAATGATAAAAATGAGAAGAGATCCCTCCTAAAACGCCGTGTCATAACCCCTCTTCAACCCTCCAATGCAATCGATCAAGAACCTATACATTCCTGCACACTACCCTCAGATAGAGAGCGGTCTATTTCTCCCCTTGCTCCGCAGCCTTCTCGTCCGCCCAGATCTTCTCGATCCGTTTCCGGTTCTCCCGCGCCTGATCGCGATTCCGCTTTGCGCGCGCATACCGTTCTTGCGACAGGCACTTGTTGACGTCGCGCTTGATATCGTTGCAGTTGCCCAGGGCTTTGTGCAGGAATCCACGTGCGTGACATTCGTCTAATGCGGTCATGATTGCTTCGCAGTCTAGTTTTCGGTAGAATGATGGTTAGTTTCAGTTTCGGGGACCGTGAAATGAAGGTCGAGGTGGTCGGTGGGGGGCGCGGTTGACGTACTGGCATTTTGCGGCGTGTGGAGGTGAGAATGCATCGTTGCGGATTTCGTGGTATGTTCGAGTTCAAGGTTGTCTGATGAGAATCGGCTGAATGCGCTTCCTCCTACTCTCGGTTTGTAGGTAAGCTAAGTCCTTCTATGTTCGGCCAGTTGAAATCCCCGAAAACCCAATCGAGGCGGTGAGTCTGGTGTCCGTTTCTGCCGGGCGGAAAGACGCAGCACAAGAGGGGCTGCGAAGGAAAAAAAAAAAAAAAAAAAGATCGAAGTTGCGCTTTCGGAGTGACAATTCAATCTATCCAACGAAGCCTCGGTGAGTGAGGTGTTGATTTGACTATATTCCTTTGGTTAGATTTTTACCAGGGAGGTCGGATTATATTTTTCATTCTGTCTTCTTTTTCTGTCATTGTTGGTTTTACTCGATATTTGGTTTTCGAGTCTAAAAGTTACGATTTGATTCGGGTTTAATTGATTTTTCTTTTTCCTCTTTTGTCACCCAAAAAGTCCTCACGATGTCTATGATCACTACTACCGGTTGGGTGCGACGAGGTGTCGCTGCCCAATTTCCTACGAAATATGAAATTGACGAAGAAGAAATGGGTCGCATATCCGAGTTGGCGAGGATGCAGCTCGAAGACGCCAAGGGTGACTTGAAGGCTGCCCAAGAGGGTAACGAGGATGAGGACGAGACGATGGACGAGGATAAGAAGGAGTCTGGCTCCGATGCCGTGGAGAAAGGATCGGACAAGAAGGACGCCAAGGAGTGAGTTCAATATGAACCCCCCGCCGCGCGAGAAGACATACAGGACTAACTCGATCTGTGCGCTGTAGTGACGATGACCTGAAAGAATACGACCTGGACCACTACGATAGCGACGAGGTCGACGAGGATGGCGAGCAGATCACCATGTTCGGTAATGTCAAATCGCTGGCCTACCACCAGCCCAACGAGGAGGATCCGTATCTGGTGGTGCCCGAGGACGAGGACGACGACGAGGAGAGAGAGGAGTTGCAGATTCTTCCCACGGATAACCTGCTTCTGGCCGGTAAGGTGGAGGACGAGGTCGCGCATCTCGAAGTTTACGTGTACGAGGACCACGATGCCAACCTGTACGTGCATCACGACATTATGCTGCCGGCCATTCCCCTCTGTCTCGAATGGCTGGACATGCCCGTCGGCAAGGCTGCCGAGGGCCGCACTACCGGAAACTTTGTCGCAGTCGGTACTATGGAGCCCGACATTGAGATTTGGGATCTCGACGTCGTCGACTGCATGTACCCCAACGCCATCCTAGGCCAGGGCGGTGCCGACGCGGACAAGAAGTCCAAGAAGAAGAAGAAGACCAAGGCCAACGACGAGTTCCACGTTGACTCGGTGCTGGCCCTGGCCGCCAACCGGCAGCACCGCAACCTACTGGCCTCGGCGTCGGCGGACCGCACCGTGAAGCTCTGGGACCTGAACACCACCAAATGTGCCAAGTCCTACTCCCACCACACCGACAAGGTGTGCTCGCTGAACTGGCACCCTACGGAATCCACCATCTTGCTCACCGGTAGCTACGACCGCACTGTGGTCGCGGCGGACATGAGGGCCCCCGACGCCAAGGCCCGCTGGGGAGTGGACGCGGACGTCGAGAACGTGCGCTGGGATGTGCACGACCCGAACTACTTCTACGTGACGACGGACGGTGGTATGGTCTACCGCTACGACGTGCGAAACATCCCCGCGACGCCGCAGGAGTCCAAGCCCGTCTGGTCCCTGCAAGCGCACGATTCGTCGGTGTCCGCCTTCGACATCAACTCGGCCATTCCCGGATTCCTGGTCACCGGCTCCACCGACAAGCAGGTCAAGATCTGGAACGTGGAGAACGACAAGCCCAGTATGGTCGTGTCTCGCAAGCTGGAAGTCGGCAAGGTCTTCTCCACGACCTTCGCCCCCGACGCCGAGACGAGCTTCCGATTGGCGGTGGCCGGCAGCAAGGGTACCGTGCAAGTTTGGGATACGTCGACCAATGCTGCTGTGCGCCGGGCGTTTGTGTCGCGCATGCCCGCGCTGGAAGGAGAGGTTCAGGAGCGCACCGTGGGACTGCAGGCGGACCAGAATGAGTCGGACGACGAGGAGGGTGGCGCGGAGGTTGGGGCTGCAGACGCAGCCGGGGGACCGGATGGCTGGGAGTCTATGGACGAGGACTGAAAAGCCCCGCGCAGTGATGCGAGCGGCAATACGGAGTATCGGAGTCTCAATTTGGACGAACAGTTATTGCATGTACGGAAGATTGGCTCGATCTATTCTATATAGTACTTGTGTAGTCCCTGCCGGCCTCGGTTTGGCATGCAACGAAAACGTTGATACCCTCAAGTCAGCTGATCGTTGATCGCCGTAGACATTACCGATTGCAGAGATCATGTGATTCGCCCGAAGACACCAGTCACAAAGGCGCGGCCTCAGCAACCCAAGGTTCAGCTGATGATGGATCCGGACAACCAAATCACATTGGATTTGTGCGAACTCTGTGGATAGATGGTGGATGAGGTGTTCCCGAGCCTACGAACAGTGGGCTAGAGACTCTAGATCGATCGACTGTTCAGGTTTTCAGCCCTGAGCAAAGTTTAATGCTCGGAAGAAAGTAAACCTACACTGAGCAAGACTCAGAGTCAGGAACAAAGAAGGTACCGGCAAATGAAAGGAGCCAGCTGGTGAAACTGCAAGTAGGGCGCCGAGGAATATCCGGCGGACTAGTGATCCCAAGTCAGGAACAACTCCGGCAGCAGAGTCAAAATAGATCTATCCGACATTTTGTGATCTCATCGTCGAGGGTTGTTTCTTCCTGCGACGAGGGATTGCACTTTGCAGGTGCCTCAGGCCAAGACTTAGAGATTAGAGTGTGACCCCGTGACCCACTTGGGGGAAGCCACAAATGCTTTGTCCATCGAGTCTTTTGGTCTTTGCGACTTCTTTTCCCCCCACCTTCGCCTAGAAGTCGCATGGATATCTTCGATGCATCATTCATCGATTTTCGACCTGTGATGGAACCACATCCTGGAAGCTGAAAATAAAAAACAGAACCACTATTGCATCTGCACCATGCGGGCCTTACAGCGGTGTCCCAAGACCAGACCGCGATCCTTCCCACATCATCCATCGATGTCATAGGGTCCCGTCCATGCAGCCGTGATCACACATCCTGAGACAAATCGCACGGCATGATTGTTTCATCCCCACCCGGTCAAGGCTTTCTACAGGCTGCCGCCTTGCCGTTCCTGGCGCCAACTTCGACGCCGTCGCTTGACCATGCCTCCGCGAGGATGATTAGACTATCGTGATTGCTCTGTTGTCCGGTCGGGTGTTGGGAAATTATTAACTACGCGCCAGGCGGAGACCTGGGGGAACCAATTGCCACTCGTTTCGACTTGTCTGTCCTGGATGTCCTCGGCCAAATTATTTTTTCACAGGAGGTTCGTTTGGAACTTTGAGTTCCGGCGGTATTCCTCCTTTGTCCTTCCAAACACCCCCTGGAGGAGAGAGCCATGCATGTATGAATGTAGGTTCAGTACTTCGGACACAAGATTCCCTCGTCATTCGGCATGTACGTGGGAGAGGGAGGGGGAAGGATTCTCGGACAGGAAGGATGATACCTGTCCCCCAGCGTCACATCAAATGGTCGGCCAGAAGTAACCGCGTGGTACATGCATCTGTCGAGCATCGGGGCTTGGCCGTCGGGGGACCGGATCCATCCATTCATTTTACTGCTGGACGGTGTACAGCTGCATCGTACAGTAGAGGGAGATAATCTCATGGCTGGAAAGTCACCGGCGGGGGGGTAGAGCCGATCAGGGCGACGTGAGAAGTCTAAAAAGTCAATAATATTAATTAATTAATTAATAAAATCGTCGGTCCTCCTTCTCAGGCAAGAAAGACCCTGACGCAGCAGTCTGCATCCCATGGATACGCGAATTCTGGACAACTGATAGTAGTTGTTCTCGACCCGTTGCTACCACGGTCGGCGACTCAGTCGAGAGGCCAAAAAGATAGGAACCGGAGACAAAGCGAAAGGGTGCAAAGTTTGACGGTTGAACCCGTTAAAGGCATTGGAGAAGAATTGCGGGACGAACAGGCTGGATCCAAGGGTGGACAGGGAAAAGCCCAAATTGTGTGGTTTTGGGCCAGACCGAAGTTTGACCTTTCTTGACCCTTTTCCCCTCTTCCTTTTTTCTTCCCTTCCCGTCTTCTTTTCCCTCTTTTTCCTTCTTCCTTTCCATCCACTGCATTCCTCCCTGGGGGATTCTTTCGCAGACAGGCTGATTCACTTCTTTGATTTTGATTTTATTTGATTGTTTTTTTCTTTCCTTCCATTCTCTTCTCCTGGATTTGACCATCCTGGATTCCTTCCTTTCAAACCTATTTGAGATATTTATTCTTATACTTTACGCATCTCCCCCGTGGCGAGTCCTGGTTGTCCGCCCCGGTACTTCAGCTACTGCAGCAACTCCCCCCTTGAGTCAAGTAACCCGCCCGTCTGAGGCGAGACTCTCCCATCCTTCCCATTTTTTCTGCTGTGCATGAAAAAGAAAGATAAGGGAATACTTCGGTCCTTTGTCTCTACATTCATTGTCACTTATTCCAATCCTTTTTCGACTGCAAAACCGGAAGAAAAGAGTTGCCAGAGCGCAACCGACTCAGTATCTGATATCGGACATTCCGGTCATCGATCTTCCATACCTTCTTTATACTCCACATCCGCGATCGTCAACCACACATTCTTTATCAACTCCGCAAAAGGCGACGAGATTTGTTGCGACCGAGGAAACCGGTTGTCCCTAAAAATAGGAAAAAGAAAGAAAGACGCAATACGGTTTCAACGCCAGAGATCGAGAAAGTAACGGCGGCACTCTTCGCAAAACAGCAGAAAGGAACTATATCTAGTGGAGGCCGACCGTCTAGACTTTCTACGCTGACTCTCGCCATATTTCCGTCATCATGTCGACCCTCACCCGCGCATTCACCAAGCGCAACAAGCGACCCGAGGTCTCTGCGCCCATGCCCTATCGCGAGGGCCAGGTGAAGTTCAACGCTGGCACTATCAAGCGAGGGAACATTTCGGCACCCGTGGAATTATTATCGACTACGAACATGCTGGCTTACAACGCCCCCGATCTGCACTCCGCCACTTCATCGTCGACTTCATCTTTGCAATCCCCCGACGACTCGGAGTTGTCGTTTTCGCACCAGAGCTTCGGATCACAGATTACCACTCCGGATGATTCGCCAATCGATTCCAACCCCGTCCCGTCTTACTTCCCGAAGCGATCGGCCACTATCACCAGCCACCCCCGCTCCTCGACATCGACATCGTCGTCCACAGAGGCCCCGTTGGTTCCCAAGCGGGCTCTCTCCCACACGAAGCGATCGCATCAGGAGTTGGCTCGCAAGCGCTCCCTGTCTAGACTGTCCCCTCCCCCGTTGAACTCCAGCCGTAGCGGCCCGGCACTTCGAACGACGCAGGACTTCTTCCAGCCCGAGCCGCATCCGTTTGGCAAGGAGCTAGAGCAAGTCAACGAGGTGGTGGAGGAGTTTGGTGGTGGACACCGAGTGTTGGACGAAGAAGAAATGCTTTTGCATAATAAGGGACTCAAGAAGTTCACCGTCAATGATTACCTGGTGGAGATCGAAGATCTGTATGGCAGCATCTTCGATGACCAACTCGGGCCCATCGGAACCACCTCCTGGCTTTGAAATCATTGATTCTCTTATGCTACGAAAACCATGGCGGTTTCCCGAGCAGGCCGAAAGAACTGGATATTCTTTCACATCTCCTGGGGACGCCCACTTTTCACGACCCACTAATATTCGCTCTTTGACGATGTCATCTAATCACCTGTCTTTTTTGATCTCTCTCTCCCCACCCCGTCTCTCTTTGTTTTCTCATATGCTCTATACCATTGGGAGGACTGTCATTCCCCCATGCTGTGCTTTGTTTTGTGTTTACTCTGTGGTCTTTTCTTATTTTTTATTGTGTTGGAATGGGATATGTGAGGGTACATTATGGAAGAGCACATAACGATGTTTCTCGGATCTGTTTCTCTTGTAAATTCAATAGCGTGTCTGAAGATTCAACAAGAATGTATGACCCATTTCTCTGCACTACCTTCCCTCGTCATCGTCGTATGGACAAACCGTCAGCAAAGTAAAAGTAGGGTTTCATCCACCTCGAAGGGGAAAAGCGCACGGTTGCGCGTTGGTCGCGCGTTGGTCACCGGTCTGGCAGCCTCAGGCTCCACGCGCCCCACAGTAAAAATTTCACGGAAGATTCTCCGCTTCTTCACCCTCCAAGCCGACCCGGTCTTCTCTTCCTCTTTTTCTTTCCTCGTCTGCCCGAGCCTGGCATCCCCGGCACTTTCAACTCCTTTGGTGGATTTGACTGATAGATATCACGGGAATTCAACATCTTTTTCTTCCTGTCTGCCTATTAGCTGTAGCACCGCAGCGGACCACTCGCCCTCGATAACGCCTTCGCCGGTGTCGTGTGCTCTGCTGCTATTTGTGATTACGTTTCCATAGCACAATATCTATCTCTGTTGCGCTGAGGCATCAAATGTCGAGAAGCTGGACTCGGTCTTCGTTCTCCCCAGCGCTACATTTCACCTCATTAGAATATTCGACCCTGTCATGGTCTCCCTCGCCACCCCCTCGCGCAGCCCAGCGACGGTATCCAGACCGACCAACCCCTCCAAAATGAAACTTCCCTCCTCGCCAGCGTCCATTTTGAAGAGATCTAAAACCGATACCACCACTCCCGGGCTGAAACACCGAATGGAGGAAATGGACCTCTCGCTCTCCCCGCCGTCCAACAGTCCGTCGCCGGACTCAACCCCGAGTCCCCGCAAACGACCTCGAGTACAATTCGACATGCGGCGGGCCACCCACGATGGTCAACAATCTAGGACGCCAGATAAGAGCGCGGCCCTGGTACGAGAAGAAGTGCGCCGAGCCATCCAGCGACATGTCTCGGACGGCGGCAGCGAGGCGTATGACCAGATCAAGGAAGTGTTCACGGCGGACCCGCGCAAATGGGACGAGGCCGGAATCGATATACCTACACACACGTCTCTAAGAAATCATCTCATGGGACTTTTGTCCAACGTGGCGGCCTTGGATCGCAGTTGCAACGGGCTCGTCACGGCCGTGCTGGAAAGCCAGTGGCTCGGACGCGATGAATCGTATGTTAAGCTATATATCCGCTTCCTAGGTAATTTGACTGCTGCTCAAGGAAGTTATCTGGGTTCGGTGCTCCGGATGCTCGTGAAACATCTGGGCGAGCTTCCCATCGGGATAGGCAAACTGCCTGGCTACGCGCGTGTCCATGCGAAGGAGCTGTACCCCCGTGTCCACATGGCCCTTCGGCATGTTATGGGGTTGATTCCGTCCAGCAGTGGGGCCCTGTCACCCATCTTGTCCTCCGAATTTCCCTCCGCCGTGGATTCGGCCAAAGCCAATGTCGCGTATACTCACAACCTTCTCCGAGTGATTGGGTATGCTCCTGAATTGCAAGCCGAGATCCTCGCTCTCATCACTGAAAAGCTCGTCAAGATTGACGTTCAGATCCAGGTCGACCTGGAAGATATTAAGGAGGAAGAGGAAGAAGGCGTCCTGCAAGATGTCTCGCCCGAAGAAATCATGTACGCTGAGGGCGAGGACGAGGACGACGACGATGACGACAACGACTCGCTCCTGAGTGAGGATTTACTGGACAACGAGGCGCAACACATCAAGACCGTCAAAGATAACATCCTCAAGCTTGATGGCATGATTGACCTTCTCTTCGAATACTACAACCCTGCGTTCACGACAGGTACCTATGACGACCAGCGAAATGCCTTTGATATTTTACTGAGCCATTTCGTAAACATCATTCTCCCCACCTACAGATCCCGACACACCCAGTTCATTCTTTTCCATTTCTCCAAGTACCATCCGGATTTGGCGGATGATTTTACGGTCAAATGCACAACTATTGTCTTAAACCGCGCAGAGCGGACCATCACACGCCAATCTGCCGCCGCCTACCTTGCTAGCTTCGTTGCGCGAGGCGCGCACGTTTCGGGAGTTCTCGTGCGAGATGTGTTCGATGTGCTGGGCACTCATTTGAACGAGCTCCGCACCCAGTACGAGGCCACCTGCCGCGGACCGGATCTTCGTCGCTACGGACCGTTCTACTCGACGGCGCAGGCGTTGCTATACATATTCTGCTTCCGCTGGCGGGACTTGACGACCGCGGCGATGGAGGACGACCAGGTGGACGAAATGGACCTGGACGACATCAACTTCCCTCCTATGGTCAGGGATGTGCTACACAAGGCCATCCACTCCAAATTGAACCCACTCAAGGTCTGCTCGCCGCCCATCGTGTCGCAGTTCGCCCGCATGTCGCAGCACTTGAACCTCATGTACGTGTTCAGCATCCTCGAGACCAACAAACGCGTGCGCATGTCGTCGCATCGCAACCTCTCGGCGCTCGCGGACCCTCGCTTCGCCCAAATCGAACGTGAAACGCGTGCCGGCGAAGAACTCGGATATCAACTTGACGCGTACTTCCCGTTCGATCCGTACCAGCTCCCTCACAGTAGCCGCTGGGTGAAGGATGACTACGTCGAATGGCGTGGTATCCCTGGACTAGACGACCAGGAGGACTCGGACAGCGAAGCGAACGATAGTGAGTCGGAAGACGATATGAGCGAGGGCACGGGAACAGACGAGGAGTGATTTCAGCTCTGACTTTGACGATGCAGAGGAATGACGGAAGAAGGAAAAGAAAGAAAGAAAAAGCCATTTCATTTGTTTGCAGATCTTTCGGAAAATGCTCAATACCCCTTTACCATTTGATTGATTGATTGATTTCATGCATTTTTCCCCACAAAAAAAAAGTGACTGGCCATATTGGTTCTGCGAAGCGTGGCGTTCGGGTTTCTTCCTAGCAGCAGCGATTTGATGTGATGTATACATACTCTTGAATGATTTAGGGCTGAATGAAACGATCCATCTATAGTTTTATGATATCAGAAGGAATAACAGTCTACCTTTGTATCCACCATCACAGCTCAAAGATCGAAGACCTCACCAACAACCCACCCCTCAACACCGGAATCTCCACCCCCACCATCTTATCTATCGCATCCAATCCACCACCTGCCACGACGCATAGTACGTATTCAAGCCCCCCTGTCCCGGTAGATCCGACACCGCCGCCCCGTCCAGAGGCACGATCTCTAAATTCACGCGCCACTTCTGCCGCACGAGTCGCGTGTTCGTGCTATTCCGCACCGAGGTATCGGTCCCGGTTTGTATGAGTAATTCATTTATTTACTCGCTGGGGAGGGCGTGTCCTTGTTCCCATGGGTAGAGTTGGGACTCCGAGGTGTCTAGGATTCCGAAATCAAGGGATGTGTAGGTCGTTAGGAAGATGGTGGAGATGTCGGTAGGATTCATGAGCTGTTGTTGTTTCTGCTGCTGTGTGTAGTGAGCGAGGCGGGGACGAGGCTGGGTTTGGCGTCTTGGGTTAGGGTTAGTTAGATTTCGGGGGGTTTTGTTGCTGTTGTTTCGAGGTGGGAGGTGCTGGTGCTGGTGCTGGTTCTGTTACTGTCGTTATTGTCAGTAGTGATCATGATAATGCCGGTCCTGGTCTTCCACTCCCCCATATACTTCCTCGCCTGCCTCCTCGTCTCCTTAAGAACAGGCATCAACGCCCCTCCCTAACACCGCTGGATACAGAATCTGCTACGAATCCCCCGGCCACGACGCCACACCCTCAGGGATAACGGCTTTATTCGAATTCCCTAGGGACACGCCGGTGTTGGTAAGATTCAACGGATTAATGACAGTCTCGTGGAGCAGCTGCGTATAGTTCTTGTCGGTGAGCTTGTTCTAGACACAGCGAGAAGAGCAAGAATGAGAGTTGCGAGTAGACGAGCTCCAAGTGCACGGAGACAACAGGGTTCACGGTCTGTAGACCTTGGAAGGTCTCTATAGTAGGTATGTGCAGTCCTCGGGTTAGTTAGGGTTGACAAGAGCGTGGGACTGGGCAAAGAACGTACGTGATCTCGAGCAAGACTCATGTAGTCTGATCACGCCGCAGTTGGGATATTGCGAGGTGTTCAGATGAGGGAAACCCAGGATCTCGTGGGGTGATTGTAAAAAGAAGAATTCGTAGACTGTCGTATCCAATGTTAGCCTTTGAGCTCCATTCTCTTTCAGTTTGTAAGGGCAACCCGCCAGAAAGAAGAAAGCATACAATTCGGTGGAATCCCCGCGCCGAGGGACGCGGTGAGGTTTTAGCTGCCGCTTGGAAGGGCTGGGATTGAGGGAGGTTGGAGGGTCAAGGAAGGCGAGGGCCATTTGGTGGGTAGCCGGGATAGGAGGAGAGGGCGATTGGGCAGAAGTTAGAGTGTAGGGGGAGAAAAGGATGAGGGTATACAAAAGCATGGTGTTCGTATATATAGCACGGGATCCCGTGGAGGGGATATATTGTGGCACAGATGAACTGTGAGCGAGTGCCTCCAATTTAAGTACCTTAATTTCCGATCGATTCAATCCAGCCTACTCGTATCTATCTCGACCATATCCACCATGACGCAGTTACAGAGCAAATGCGAAGGCAAACCGAGTCAAGCGCACCAAATCAGCCAGGCATCGTATCCGGGTCGACGAGAGTTGATCGCTTGGCAGACCAGACAAAGAGATACAGAATGGAGAAGAACAATGCAAGTCTCTCTGGAACAATATTACTATGGTTTCCCCTCATTGATATGCTGAATATATAACACACACACTGCGTACTGCTACCAAAATGACACTCTACCATCAGACAGACCTCCCCCATTCCCACTACTTCACCTAAAAATGGATATCAAGCGATATTACAGCGCTCTGGAAACCCGCCTGGGCAATTGGGTCCTTTTCGGCGGTCGCGCCCATCTCGCCTACTACGAGCCCAACACCTGGTGGCCCTTTCCCATCCACCGAGCCCTACTGGCCATGGAAGACCACATTTACGACTCCCTCGGTGTCAATCACAACCGTCGCGCGCGCGTGCTCGACGCCGGCTGCGGCGACGGCCAGGTCGCCATCCACCTGGCTGCCAAGGGCTTGCGCGTTCATGCGATCGACGTGTTGGCGCAGCAGGTCGAGCGGGCGCAACGGAACGTCTGTCGTGCAATCCTCGCGCAGTCGCAGTCGCGGTCGCAGTCGCAGACCCACAAACACAAGCCCAAGCAGGACGACGACTCAGTGGCGCTGGACATCACCGTCCGACAGGATGACTATCATCATCTTGTCACGGTGCAGTCGGCTTCCCTAGATGGTATCTATACCATCGAGACGCTGGTGCATGCGTCGGACCTGATCGCCGTGTTGACGGAGCTTCGCCGCGTGTTGAAGCCCGGCGGCAGGGTCGCTTTCTACGAATATGACCACTGGGCGGCAGCGGCGCAGGAGCGAAAGAGCGAGGCCGAGAAGACGTCCCAGGCGGATGAGAAGGTGCGGGAATACGGCGCCATCGCGTCGGGGTCGACTGCGCAGCAGCCGGAAAGCCTGGCGCAGAGCTTGACCCAGGCGGGGTTCTGCGATGTGCAGGAGAAGGACTTGTCGAAGAACGTGCGCCCGTTGCTGCGGGTGTTGGTGACGGTGCTTTTCATTCCGTGTATGCTCGTTTTGGCTCTCAGGATGGAGGCCTACTTTATCAACACGATTGCCGTTGTGGTCAATTATCGGCGCGGATGGAAGTATGTGGCGGTGACGGGGAGGAAGCCGCTTGAGTCGAAGGAGGATCTGTAGCCATGAGGTCGAAGTTGCGTATGAAAATTGGAATGATTGGATGTGGGATGCATCCGAAAGTGATCATTATTGGCTGTGTTCGTGCCGAATCGATGCCAGATGAAGTAATTGGGCAAAGAAGTTTAAGAACAATTAAGACAGCGAATAGCCCTGTCATCAAACCATCGTTCATTCAGAAATATGTGTTCATGATAAGATAATACACAACCAAGAGTAAAACAATATGTACAGTCTCTTGGCCAGGTGGGAATCGTCTCGTCCGTCGCTATACCGACGTTTATAATATACAGTGCCGCACGCTCTACGCCAGGAATCAAATTGATAATCAACAATCAACGGGGTCAGAAAAGGGACGACTCAGCCAAAAAGAACTAGGCATCAAAGATGGCCTTCATGTCCGCACAAGCATCGCGGTAGAGAATGTCGACCCGATCTTGATCGCGGAAGGGGTTCGGCGACTTGTCCCAGGCATGCGGCACCTTCTCGATCATCATGGCGCGCACGTGTTTGTTGATCCCCTGCAGCCGGCGCACAAAGTGCTGACCTTCTTTTAACAGCATGTCCCACTCGCAGATGTATAGGAAGATGTCATGCGGCAGGGATTCAGCCAGCATCTCGTCTCCGGCTCGCACGGGTGACGCATAGGGCGAACGGCGGTCGGCGTGGTCGGGAAGATAGGCCTCGTCGAAGAGATCGGTGAAGAAGGCCGGAAGGGTCTTGTTGGGGTTGATGCTCATGGCGCGGCGATGGTCGCGAGATTCCTCGAAGTCTAGAATGGGGTACCAACAGAACAGGCCGACGATGTTGATGTCGCTGGCGGAGGAGTTGACAAGCTGGTCGGTCGACTCGATTCGGTCTACTCCATGGTTGACGATTGCCTGCGACATCAGACTGCGCAGCCGCAAGGGCACGGTGACGGCCAAATTCCCTCCCGCCGAAAAGCCACTCAGCACGATGCGGGAGACGTCGAGGCCCAATTCCGGCGCGTTGGAGGCCAGATACTCCAAGGCCCGGACTCCGTCATCAACCGCCGCCGGGAACGGATGCTCGGGCGCTCGACGATATCCGACGCTAACGACAACGGCGCCCACTTCGTCCAACACGGACCGGCACCAGCGACCGTCATCGGTGGCACAACCCAGCGTGAAGCCCCCACCGTGGAAATTCAGCACAACGGGCCACCGGCGACCCTCCTTCCGACCCTGGTGGTAATCGGGCGGACAGTAGAAGTAGAGGTCAACGTGCGAATCGTCCGTCGGAATGGTTCGGATGAAGGAACGACGCGGAGGCCGAGGGGGCGCGAAGTCATGGATGAACATGCCGAGGCGCATGCAGCAGCGCCAGAAGACGGCCTGGACCAACAGCCACCACCGAGGGGAAGGGGAGGCGACCATGGGTACGGCTGAGACTGTCAGAGTGAGGGATTTGTTGGATTTTTGGGTTTGGATGGAAAAGGTAGGAGGATGTGAAGATCTAAACCAAGAAAGGAGAACAAAGAGAGGGCGAGTGACCGGCAGGACGAGACGGGAGAAAAGCGAGAGAAAAGAGAGAGAGAAAGAAAGAAAGAAAGATCGCAAGAGGGAGAGGAAGGAAGGATGGCAAAAAGAAGAGACGAAGAACAGGTGATGATCTCCAGGACCAACGTCAATGCATCGAATGATTTGAATCACGGTGGAATACGGTTAGATTGCCGAGACGCAGGCAGAGGGAAAAGAATGGAGAAAGGACAAGAAGCCAAGCAAAAGACAAGACAAAAAGGAACGAGAGGAGGGTCCGGAGAGAGGGTGAGACAGAACGAAAGATGATTAGTTATTGATAGACAGGGCAGAAAACCGGGTGCATTCTGCATCAGATATCGTCATGAATAGCTAATAATAATTAGAACTAAAGTGAAAGGGGATTGATTCTTGTTTGGCGCATTCTCCATTGCCAGGCGAAAGAGCACTCGGAGGCGGATGACATCACGGGAATCTTCCTCCGGGCCCTTCTTTTTCTTCCTTTCGCTTCCTTTTCTTCTCTACTTCTTCCTCTTCTCTCCTCTTTACTTTCTGCTTTCTCTCCTGTTCTGTTCTCTCGGACCTTCAATTCTTCCCCCGACAATTGTTTTCTTTCCTATCCACTTTATTCTTACTATCCTCCTTATCCTCACTAATCTCTACTGATTACCCACTTGCCTCTCAATTTACCCCTCCGTTTATGACCTCACCCTCCGCTCGCCATCATGTCCATTAAACGGGCTCTCTCGAAAATCACCCCAGTAGTAGGCCAGTCCGATGACTCCTCCGGTCATTCCAAGAGTCTTCCCAGTTCGCCTCGTCGCAGTATCCTCAGCGGTTTCCTGCGGGAGCGCGACTGGGCCTCCTCCTCCGATGACGGCTCCGACGACTCGTCTCAGGGGACGATGAGCAAAAACCAACAGAAACGGCTGGCTCGTCAGCAACGGCGACAGGAGCGATCGCGCATGAGTGAAGACCGTCGTTCCGGCGAGTCCGAACGCCACAAGGAGGAGATCGCCGAAGCTGTCCGGAGCGAGACACCGGAGATGAAGGCGCGCTACGGCGATCTGCCCCTCATGCAGTCCCGCACCCGTACCAACGAAGTCCGCACCCGCTTCGACGATATCTCCGCCGACCAGGTGGGGAAGCAGATCTTCTTTACGGCCCGGTTGCACATCGTGCGTCGCATGAGCGCAAAGCTGGTCTTTCTGGTCTTTCGCCAGCAGCTCACCACCTTCCAGGGTGTCCTGCATGAAGAGACCGGCGTGAAGTCCATTGCCATGGTCCAATGGGCCGAACATCTGCGACTGGGAAATATTGTGCAGGTGCGCGGCACCATTCAGGCTCCTCAGGTTCCCGTGCTCGGCTGCACGATCCATGATGTCGAGCTCTCCATTGACACTATCCACGTCGTGGTGCGTCGCGAGGAACCCGTTCCGTTCAGCGTGTACGAGGCCGAGATTCGCACCCCCGAAGAAGACCGCGTCGAAGGCCGCCGGAGTCGCATCCCCGACCGCACGCGCCTGACCAATCGTTTGCTGGACTTGCGCACTCCAACTTCGCAGTCGATCTTCCGCATTCAGTCCGCCATCGGCAACTTGTTCCGATTTGCGTTGGATGGCCAGGGATTCATCGAGATTCACTCCCCCAAGTTGCAGGGCTCCGCCACCGAGTCCGGCGCCAGCGTGTTCGGAGTCAACTACTTCGCGCGCTCCGCCTTCCTGGCCCAGAGTCCGCAATTGGCGAAGCAGATGGCGATTGCCGCCGATTTCGACCGGGTTTACGAGATCGGAGCTGTGTTCCGGGCGGAGAACTCCAACACCCATCGCCACTTGACCGAGTACACGGGTCTGGATATTGAAATGGCGATCGAAGAGCACTACCACGAGATGCTGGACGTGCTGGACGCCGTGATAAAGAGTATCCTGGAGGGCGTCTATGGTCGCCACCGCCGCGAAGTGGAGATTGTGAAGCAGCAATTCCCGTCGGAGGATGTGGTTTGGCTGGAGAAGACGCCCGTCCTACGCTTTGCCGACGGCATCAAGATGCTGAACGACTCCGGATGGCGCGACGAGGATGGCAACCCTCTCCCGGATGACGAGGACCTGTCCACCCGCGACGAGATACGTCTGGGCGAGCTCGTCAAGGCGAAGTACGGTACCGACTACTACGTCCTCGACAAATTCCCCGCGAGTGCCCGTCCGTTCTACACCATGCCCGACCCTGACGACAGCCGCTACACCAACTCGTTCGACATTTTCGTGCGCGGCCAAGAGATCGTGTCGGGCGGCCAGCGAATTCACGACCCTCACATGCTGGAGGAGAACATGCGCCGATCGGGTATCGACCCGGAGACCATGGAGGAATACATGGAAGGCTTCCGCTGGGGAGCACCTCCTCATGCCGGAGCGGGTGTGGGTCTGGAACGGTTGTTGATGCTCCTACTGAAGTTGGGCAACATCCGCCTGGCGTCGCTCTTCTATCGTGATCCTAAGAGCTTCCCTGCGAAGCCCGAGGGTGTGCAGTTGCGTCACCCCGAATCCTCAACTGTCGAACCCCAGTGGGTTCGGGACAAGGTGGCCAATCTGGCGCCGGACGACGCGTCCCTTCAGCCGCTCGAGCACCTCATCGCGAACTATGGCGACGCCACCTCCACTTCTTTTGGCGATGAGCGGTTCAAAATCTGGCGGGATCGGGGTACCGGTGCCGCGGTTTCCTACGTGCCTAGTAGCAACAACTACGTGATCATCCCGGGCAACCCTCTTTGCGATGCCAGCCAGTATTCGCGCATCATCAGCCAGTTTTTGCAGTGGCTGCGTCGTGAGACCAAGTACAAGCCAATTTGGCTGCTGTGCTCCCCTCAGGTGGAAGACATTCTGGGAGGAAAGCTCGGCTGGCGCAGCTTGTCCTGCATCGCCGAGGAGCGCGTGGACCCGTCCCGCAACCTGGCGGCGTCGGACGGGGAGATTGCACGCAAGATTCGTCACGCGGAGAGCACTGGAGTGAAATTGGTGACCTTGAACCAGGGCGAGATGGTGTCGGACGAAGTGCGCGGCAAGATCGACAAGCGCCTCCAGGACTGGCTGAACAACCGCAAGGGCACGCAGGTGCATTTGTCCGAGATCCGTCCCTGGTATGACCACGAGCACCGCTGGTACTTCTATGCCGTCGACAAATCGGGCGAAATCTGTGCTTTCGTCGCTCTGGCCATGCTGGCACCCAGCTCGGGCATGCAAGTCAAGTACAGCTTCGATTTCCCCGGCTCTCCGAACGGCGTCATCGAACATATCGTGACTCACGCCATCCAGACTGCCGCTCGGAACGGAGTCAAAAGCCTCACCTTCGGCGCCGGAGCCACCAACAGTATGACCCCGGGTCACAACATGCACGGTGCCAAGGTGAAGATGTTGCAACACACCTACGAGACACTGGCCAAGCAGTTCCATCTGGTGCGCAAGAGCGAGTTCCGCGCCAAGTTGGGCGCGCACGAGGAGCCCCTCTTCATTTCCTACCCTCCTCACGGGCTGGGCTCGAAGGGCATCCGGGCCGTTCTTCACTTTTTCGAAGACTAAGTTGGAATCACCCCTCTCTACTCTGGTGGACATGTAATGGAATGATACCCCCTTATTCTTGGTGAATGATAGAAGATACACCGATGTGGTTGGCATCTGTTGTGACTATGTTGCGTTCTTCTCGTGTTTCGCTTTTTTCTATTTTGTTTTATTTCAATTCCCCCTTATGTTCGGTGCTTTTGTGTCGCTTAGATTCACCCACCCCCCTCTAATGTTGTCATGATTTGTATGTGACCATGCTTGCGTTTTGTGCACCATGGCCTCTAATATCTATTGTATGCTACGGTGATATGTGTATATGGAGTTCCCATTTTGGCATAGAGCATGATCCCAAAGATGTTTAATCGTTACTGCGTTTTGTTGCATCATCAATAGAAATACAGTGTGTCGCTATCTTACACTCAGTCCGGCTGATATATACCTTCCCGTCGCCATTTACCGTTTCTTCTTCTCTTTACCCACCTGCGCCGTGGACGCAGATTCTGCAGCCCTGGTAAATTGACCAAGTATCCACCGTGCTAGCACAGCAGCAACACCCCCAACGACAGCCATATAACACGCCGTCGGCACCAGCGACTGCGGGAAAACGTTCAACAGAAACGGGTCCAGAATGATATCTGCCCGCACAGGCGGTACATTCTCCATCAGGGACGAGTCAAGCGAGTAATAGTCCGCCGCGGCCCGGATACGCAGGAAGAGCACGGAGTCGGAGGTGGGGGAGGTGTCGAAGGGACCCGAACGAGGCGTCATGCCTTGCGGCGGATACTCTGCCATGCGCGCGGCGGAGTAGACGCCGATAGAGGAGAAGAGGACGGGATCCTCGATCGCATCGGGAATTGTATATGTGGTCAAAGTAAAGTCTGTGGGTTGCTGTATTGGAAATTCCTGGTCAGATACATGGCGGGAAGCTTGTCTTGGGGAAGGAGGATGTAGATACCGTAGCTAGCCAGCAGATTCGGACCTCGTAGCGTTGGCCCGGAGTCAGGTTTTCTAGGAAATACCACGAGTCGGTCCCCGGCGAGTCTTCTGTGGGAAAGGAAGCATTCAACTGCGTGCGCAGGGCGGGTTTCGCGGGCGAGAGTCGTTGGAGACCGAGGTCGTCGAGAGACGGGTCGACGGCGGGGATCGTGGCCGCCGAAGGGGCCCGGAATATGGTTTTCTCGACGTTCGCCGTGACGCTGAGAATGAGGAATGGGAGGAGGAGCAGCAGGAAGGAGCGAAGAAAGGTCATGATGGATGGGTAGATGGCGTTCGATTGGAGACGAAATTGGTGGCTCTATACTAGGTAGCTAATTATACCTTGACTAGAATGTCATAGCTTGTGGGTGTAGCTCTAGACAGGCCCGTTAGATTCCAGCGAAGAAAAGATGGACGAGGGGTGCTCAAGGGAAAACAGTACTGACAGTGGATGATGCCCGTATCTCCCAGGGCAAAAGAGACAGTCGACGGGGACATTGCCGATCGTCGGTGACGTTCAGGCTCAGCAGACTGGCTTGCCGTGGTGAGTGACGAAGCAGATCCAGAATCCAGATCCCCCCATCCCACCGGATCTCCCAGACGCCCATGCCGTCATGCCGCACGTGACCGTCAAGCGACCGAGGAAAGTCGCTGAGTCAGCACCGCTCTGATCCGGCGGTCACGGGCGGGTGTCCACAAATCAGGACGAGCCCCAGACCGACGCGACCCAAAGAGGGAACGGCGAGTGACAGCGCATGAAGAGAGTGTCTTTGTTGTGTTGTTGAGGTAAACAGAATCATAACAAGAATAATTCGTTCCTGGTACGGCTTCACGGGACTATTTAGTATTTCTGTCTCTGGTCTGAACTGATCTGGTTCTTCTTTTTTCTTTTCCCCCCCTCCTCTACTATCCACTGTCTCCTGAGTGAGTAGTTCCCCCCCCCCAATTGTTGTTATTGCCTGCCCACCCGTTTGTTTTCCCTTTTCCTGACTAAGGCACTAAGGCCTGCCGGAAAGTAAACTAAGGCAACTAAGGCTAACCAACCAACCCCTGAACCTTCCTTCCTTTCCGTACAGCAGATCGTCTTGGGCACGTACACAACGAATTTTCCCACCGCCTCCCCTCCTTTCATCTCCCCCCTTCCACATTCCCATCTTCACCTCACATTTTTCTTTCTTAATTCTTGTTTCATCACCACTCAATTCGACCCGCCATCATGAGAGAAGTTATTAGTTTGAACGGTTGGTCCCTTCGATTTCCCTTGTTTTGGTTTTCTGGCCCTGGTGACTAACGTGTTTTTTTTCCTCGGTACAGTCGGTCAGGCTGGTTGCCAGATCGCCAACTCTTGCTGGGAGGTATGGGAAATTGAATCTCTAATCTTAGATTCTCGCGGAATGCACAATGCCTGCGGGGCATGACGTCGAGAGGAAACGGAATGAATCGATAAAAAAAATTGATGCTAATCGACTGTTGTGGTGTAGCTTTACTGCCTCGAGCACGGCATCCAGGTACGTGATTTTGGTTGGAAAAACGGCGACACCTCGCTACACCGGGATCGAAATCCAAGGAAACTGACCGCTGGTTACCATAGGCCGATGGTTACCTGACCGAAGAACGCAAGAGGGATGACCCCGACCACGGCTTCAGCACCTTCTTCTCCGAGACTGGTACGTTCTTTCCCTGTCTCGCTCGTATTTCGATGTTTCAATCAATTTTCATCAATTTGCATCAATTTGCAACCACTCTGACCGCCGTGATGGTATCAATTTCCAGGCCAGGGCAAATATGTTCCCCGTACCATCTACTGCGATCTGGAGCCCAACGTTGTCGATGAGGTCCGCACCGGCACCTACCGCAGCCTCTTCCACCCCGAGAACATGATCACTGGCAAGGAGGATGCCTCGAACAACTACGCCCGTGGTCACTACACCGTCGGCAAGGAGATGATCGACCAGGTTCTCGACAAGGTTCGCCGTGTGGCCGACAACTGTGCCGGTCTCCAGGGATTCCTGGTCTTCCACTCCTTCGGTGGTGGTACCGGTTCTGGTTTCGGTGCTCTGCTCATGGAGCGTCTCTCCGTCGACTACGGCAAGAAGTCCAAGCTGGAATTCTGCGTCTACCCTGCTCCCCAGAACGCCACCTCCGTTGTCGAGCCCTACAACTCCATCCTGACCACCCACACCACCCTGGAGCACTCCGACTGTTCCTTCATGGTCGACAACGAGGCTATCTACGACATCTGCCGCCGCAACCTGGGCATTGAGCGCCCCAGCTACGAAAACCTGAACCGTCTGATCGCTCAGGTCGTCTCGTCCATCACCGCCTCCCTGCGTTTCGATGGCTCCCTCAACGTGGATCTCAACGAGTTCCAGACCAACCTGGTCCCCTACCCCCGTATCCACTTCCCTCTGGTGGCCTACGCCCCCGTCATCTCCGCCGACAAGGCCTCGCACGAGTCCAACTCCGTCAGCGAGATCACCATGTCCTGCTTCGAGCCCAACAACCAGATGGTCAAGTGTGATCCCCGCAACGGCAAGTACATGGCCACCTGTCTGCTCTACCGCGGTGACGTTGTCCCCAAGGAGACCCACGCTGCCGTTGCCACCCTCAAGACCAAGCGTACCATCCAGTTCGTCGACTGGTGCCCTACCGGTTTCAAGATTGGTATCTGCTACCAGCCCCCTCAGCAGGTCCCCAACGGTGACCTCGCCAACCTCGACCGTGCTGTGTAAGTTACACCACCCTCCCATCTCCGCTTGGTTTCCTTCCTGAGTTGTCCTCTGTTGGGGAGGAGAGAGGAACAAGGATGAATTCATGAAGCTAACATACCTGATAGTTGCATGCTGTCCAACACCACTGCTATCTCCGAGGCCTGGTCCGCTCTCGACCACAAGTTCGATCTCATGTACTCGAAGCGTGCTTTCGTCCACTGGTACGTTGGTGAGGGTATGGAGGAGGGTGAATTCTCCGAGGCCCGTGAGGACCTGGCTGCCCTCGAGCGCGACTACGAGGAGGTTGCCAGCGACTCGCTGGAGGAGGTTGAGGAGGCCGAGTACTAAACCGGCACGGCCGTTTAGCCGCAACAAACCGGCTGATGGTGACGGACCACCTGGCTGGTCACCTTTCGTGGTTATTTCCCAATGGTTGGGACAATGGGGACCGGCATTGGCCCAGGCTGTCAGAGTGAGTTGCGCAACCGGTGTGGTTTGCAAATAGGAGAAATGCGTTGGCTTAGCACAGACTACTATGTTTTCTTTGATATATGTTTAATATCCCTGAAGCAGCGATGAATTTACCGCTCGTTCGCAAGACCAGATTTTTGCACTTAGAAAATTGTAATTCAGAAGTTTTGTTCGCTGGCTGGGCAGGTGGGATAAGAGAGGGCGATGGTTCTTTTTAACGTAGAGAAAGCGACTCGTGCGAGGCGGGATGGTGCAGTAAGGAGAGAAGGCAGCGAAGAGTCCAGCCAGCATGTGGAATCTGCCGGGGGAAACGGCGACAGGCCGACCCTCACCGCCCGCATGACGGACCCAACCGCTTCTCCCCTCGCCCAAAGCCTCCAACCCAACAGCTCGTCGCAAGCTCCAGGCAACTAATTCTTCCCCTGGCCGTCCCTCTTCTTCTCCTCCTGCACCCCATACTCATTCTCCTTTCTCGTTTCAATTTTCTGTGAGGGATTCGTCTCTTCTCTGCGGCACCCCCCATACTTCGTGTTCGCCCCCGTCCAGGAGCTAGCGCTTTGGCCATCCATGCCCGTGGCATCTTCTGGATAGAGTCGACTACCAGCCTGTCATTTCTACGAAAGAATCATTATTACGGGCAAGACAACCATACCTGAAAGGAGGGGAGGAGGATTGCCCCCCTCAGAGCTATAATCATGGCTGACAGTGGTGAGTCCTCTCTCGACAATGCCAGAGAGCCCCAGGTGGATAAGCTCTCAGGGGACGAACTACCCGGCCGGTCGGGATGGCGATGATGAAATCCACGGGACTGACGGATGCCGCCCCCTGAACTCCTACAGCACGACATCCCAACCTCAATTTGACGCCGGAGGAAAAACGGGTTTTCTACCAACTTTTTCAGGCTGCCGATACGACAAACCTAGGCGTCATCACCGGCGAAGTCGCCGTTCCGTTCTTCGAAAAGACCCAGCTAGCCCCGGAAACCCTCGGTTTGGTACGTGGATGGATTATTCCGTTGAGAGGACCTCGCCTCTTGAATGCGTCCTGCCCTGGAGCAGCTTTGGCTAACCGAGTGGTGATTCTGAACTTGTAGATATGGCAGATTGCGGACAGGGAGAACAGGGGTCTCCTGACACCCTCGGGCTTTGGCGTCGTGCTGCGATTAATCGGACATGCCCAAGCTGGTCGCGCACCGACGGATGAATTGGCACTACAACGTGAGTCGTTTTATCCGACGCTGCTGCCCGCGCCTGAACGGATTCCCTCCGGAAGATACATGACGTTAACCATGGTGTGACAACTTAGCCGCCCCTATACCTAGGTTCGATGGCATTGTAGTCGATCCTGCCGCCCCTGCCCCTGCGCGTGAAGCCGGTGCAACTAGCCCGCCCCCGGCCCCCGGAACACCAATTCGAGTTCCTCCGTTGAACCCGGAAGATGTTAATAAGTTCCTCTCCCTGTTCGAGAAATCAGATGTCTCCCGGACTGGAGTGATGCCAGGTGCGTATACTATCCGTCCTCGAGGAGGCTTAGAATCCGTCAACTAACTAGTCCTATGTCTCTAGGCGAGGCCGCAAAGCAAATCTTCGAACGTGCGAGACTTCCGAACGATATCCTGGGTAGAATATGGAACTTGGCCGATGTCAATCAACGGGGTGCTCTTGACGCGACCGAGTTTATCATCGCGATGCACCTTTTGACGTCTTATAAGGCGGGGGCGATGAGGGGCATCCCCCAAACCCTTCCGCCTGGTCTTTATGATGCTGCTGCTAGACGGGGCTCTGCGCGATCGTCCATCGGCTCGCGAGGCCTTGATGTCCCGCCGGTCCCGGCGATCCCAAAACAGTTTACTGGTCCTCAACGTACCCAGAGCCCTATCAACCGGCAACAATTCGGCTCTCCTCTTTCGGCCCAGTCGACCGGCGGCGACTGGCTGATCACTCCCCAGGAGAAGGTTCACTTCGACAGCGTGTTTGCGACGATCGACACGGCAAAAATTGGTATGGTCAGTGGTGATCAGGCCGTCGGATTCTTCATCAAGGCGCAGCTGCCCGACGAGACGCTGGCTCAAATTTGGGACCTCGCCGATATCGATGCAGACGGGCAGTTGACGAAAGACGAGTTCGCGGTGGCCATGTACCTCGTCCGACAACAGCGTAGTGGAAAGGATCCGCTTCCACAGACTCTGCCTCCGGCCCTCATTCCGCCCAGCATGCGCCGCCCCGGCTCTGGCTACATTGCTCCCGCTGCCGCTCCCGCTCCCGCTCCCAAGCAAGCCCCGGCGCCTGCTCCACCCCGCTCGGCCGCAGACGACCTGTTTGGCCTGGATTCGCTCTCGGCTCCCGCCCCTCCAGCAGCACCATCTCAGATCCCTCAGTCTACGGGGGGCTCAAACGTTCCGTTCCCCGTTCCTGCGTCGCCGACTTCCAGGGCGTCCCCGCCGAGTGCCTCGACCACGTTCAAGCCCTTTGTTCCCACATCCTCGTTCGGGCAAAGTATCCAGCCTCAGATGACGGGCGCTTCCGCCGGTGCGCCGCCGCCGGTTCGATCGCCTCCGCCGCCGTCCGATGACCTACTTGGCGACAATGACCCCGAGGAGTCCAGCAAACTGACGCAGGAAACCACGGAACTGGCGAACCTGTCTAACCAAATCGGCTCATTGGCAAATGAGATGCAGAATGTTCAAACAAAGCGCACGGTCGCCGAACAGGATATTTCGCAGACCTCTCAGCAGAAACGTGATTTCGAAACTCGACTCGCTCAAGCTCGGACAATGTATGAGCAGGAGGTGAAGAACTTCAAGGCTCTTGAAGAACGGCTGAATGCCTCCAGAACCGAGACCAACAAGCTACAGCAGGAATTCTCGTTGGTTGATGCAAGCAGACAGGATTTGCAGAACCAGTACGAACAGGTTTCCGCTGCATTGACCGCCGATCAGCAGGAGAATGCCAGCCTCAAGGAGAAGATTCGTCAAGCCAATGCGATAGTTGCGCAGCTGAAACCCGCACTGGAGAAGGCCCGCTCCGACGCACGGCAGCAGAAGGGTCTCGCTGCAATCAACAAAAAGCAGCTTGCCACCGTAGAGGGCGAACAAAGCAAGATCCAAGAAGAGATTGACGACCTCTCCAAGGAGCAACCTCAGGAGCCAGAGGAGCACCATGAGGCTCCGGTGAGTGCTCCTGCCCTCGCCAGCCCCGCCGCCTCGACAGCTAGCCAGAACACAAATCCCTTCTTCAAGCGCACCGCAACTGGCTCTAGCGAAGGTCAGCCGCTGTCGCCTCAAATGTCCAATGACCAGCAACGGGCGTTTGACAGTCTCTTTGGCCCGTCTTTTACCGCCCAGTCTCCGTCAAACGCGGCCACGCCGCCTCCCCCAACTTCATTCCGTGCTGATTCGCAGCCCACATCGGTCAGATCTACGTCGGGGACCCCGACTCCATCCGTCTCTCCGCCCCCATCTGCTGCAGGAGCCTTTTCAGAGCCACCAGCTCCGACTCAGTCTAGACAGCTGACGCCTAGCGGCCTTCCCTTTGGGGACTCACAGTCTGCCACGTCTTCGACCATGGTATCTCCCCCAGCTAGTAGATTTGGCGGACCGGACGCCTCCAGCATAGGGGCTGGCTCCCAAGCAGACACAAGCGACTCTGGACCCACACCTGTTGATGCCGCTCCTACCTCAGCCCCTACCTTTGATGATGTCGAGGACTCCAAATCCAAATTCCCCGAAGTTCCCGGTCTCAGTGATCAGCCAGTAGGAGACACTGCCTCGCCCGAGTCTAACAAGCCCGATGAAAAGGATCCAAGTTTCGATGAGCTATTCGGTGGTCCGGCACATCAGCGATCGACGTCTCAGAATAAGAATGACTTCGAAGAAGCATTCGCATCCATGAGACAAGGTAGCGGCCCAACTAAGACCAATGGTGCCCCCGAATCGGAGTTCCCGCCCATTCACGAGATCGATGACGACGATGACGATAGCACGGACAGCGAGTCACACATGGGCTTTGATGACAACTTCACCCCGGCGCAACCGGCACAGAGTCAGGTAGCAACCCAGGCAACTTCTGAGTCTCTTGAGCCCTCTCAGCTAGCGGCTTTCCCATCCCCAGGAGCCGCAACCAGCCCGGCTGAGCCTCCAGCGCCGGAGTCCCAGAAAAGCCCACCAAAATATGAAGAGAGCACGAAAGATCAACCCGAATCTGCAGCACCTGAATTCAATGGCCTCTTGCCGCACCGGGCGGACCCCACCGCTTTTCCCGATGCGCCTCACTCGGTAGAAACAGGTACAGGAGCACCGATCGTGGGCGGGGAGCCACAGGCCAAGGACACCGCAACGGCCGGTGACAAAAAAGCTAGCGCGCCAGATTTCGAGGCGGCTTTTGCCGGCCTCAATCTCGCGCCCGCCAAGGAGAGCGACGATGAAGATGACGACGAGTACGAGACACCGGGTCAGAAAAACAATGCCGATTTCGACTTCTCGTTCGATACCCCATCGCAACAGAAGCCCACTTCTCCCGGTGTTGGTGCCGGCCCCGCAAACCCTGCTTCCTCCGACTTCTTCAATTTCGATCCCCAGGCTACCTCGTCCCCTGGTGGCGCCGCTCCTTCGACCAGCCCCAATGCCGGGGCCAACGCACAATCCCACGACTGGGAAGCACTATTTGCACCCCTGGATAACGTTTCGACCCCCGGGGCTGGTGCCAACGGCGCTAAACCCACCTCCGATGAAAGCACCAAACCTCCAGGCTGGGCTCTCCAGACCGGCACCGAGGATGACCAATTCCTTCAACGTCTGACTGGCATGGGTTTCCCCCGCGAGGAGTCCCTAGCGGCGTTGGAGAAGTTCGATTACAATCTTGACAAGGTATGTTCCCCTCTTCGTCTCTTTCGAAGTGCCCCAACCACAGAAACTAGTTCAGATTGACTAACACATCGAAATCCAGGCGGTGGATCACTTGACATCCAAGTCATAATCCATGATTCTCAACCTACCACGATGGCCCTTTCCTATCGCTATTCTTTCATTTACCATTGCACATAGTTTCTCATTTCTTTCCCTTTATTTTCTTATCAACGTTGAGCCTCGCACTCGCTTGACCTCGTTTCCTTTATCTTTTCCACTTGACCCCCTTCTTTCTTCCCTTATGTACTCACTCGATTTGACCCTTTGCATATCTATCTCTATTGCTGCCATGTATATCCCCTCACCCCTGGTACTATTTCTCTCATCTACCTCTGTCATTGATTGACAGAGTGTTTGTTCCATGTACTCTACCTCCGACTACGAAACCCGGCGATAAAGAAGGGAAGGTTCTCCGCGAATGGAAGTACCTGGGAACACCTTTTTTCCTTGCCAGCTATTTAGTATCAGGACTAGTTTATAATGCACTACCTTAATCTATTGAGATGATCGGATTCCTATATCTTGTGATGGCGTTTGAAATCCACGGCTTTCCATATAGCAAACTTGATGGTTATTAGTACAAGAGTGTCTCATCGTCAATTATTAAGCGTGGGGAATGCTGATGTACGTATACAATGCTAATTCATGCTAGACCTTTCAAGCTGATTATTGTAACATAACATCACACAAAGCAAAGCAAAGAGACCGGGTGGAAATTAAGAAGTCTTCAAACCCCTCGATCGGCTGATAAGATATTTGCACGCATGTGGTCCAACTGCTTCGACATACCGTGTGCCTTTCATGCGCAGATTTAATGTGCATCAATCCCTGCGAGACCCCGATCTACTGTCCGTGCTCGTCAGCGAAGACTTTTCATGTTGTGACGATATTCGTTGCATTGACACCACTAGCGGGGATTAGCTTAGAGAGCCAAACCGTGTAGATCGAGGACGCTCCTTACTAAAGTCTTCTAGCTGGCGCTGCTTGATCGTGTGAGCTCGCGGGCTTTGACCATGCATGATGCGGTTGAAAGCAGTGGAGCCCTGCAGCAGATAATAAAGACCTCCCATGATGCAAAAGACGCCGAACGAGAACACCCAGATGCGCACCACCGCCACGATCGACGTCTGGCCGCCAACAAACCATCCAAAGATGCAAAAGAAACTCGCCACCAGGTCGACCACTAGAATAGCTCCGGCCAGCTGCCATGAAGGAATTGACGACCAGAACGGCCCCTCGGCCCGTGTGATGAATATAAGCCAGTTCTCCGTCAGAGAAATCTCCAAGAATAAGACTTCGTCTCGTTTCCCATAGTTTTGCACTATGCCTCCGTCCTCGCCCTCTTGAATCATAGTGGACAGCGCAACCCAAGTGCCGATGGCTAACACGATGCCGAGAAGAACAGACATGCCCCACAGCTTGGGAAGATTCCATTTCACCGGCGTCTTCGAATACGGTGCATTGTCATATGCAATTGCTAGTGTTGCGATGTCGGCGAAGATTGCAATGAATACCACCAGCTGCAGATTCAAGCTCTCGTTCATGATGGCGATCCACAGTCCTAGAAAGATCTCGAGGTGTAACGACAGGGCAATCCGATAAATCACGTAGGCGTGCATCCGATGGAAGATCTGGCGCGATGTCTTCAAAGCGTCAATGATGGCCGATAATCCCGGGGCCAGAAAGACAATATCTGCCGCAGACCGCGCTGCATCTGAGGAGCCTTCGACGGCAATGCCAGCGTCTGCCTTTTTGAGAGACGGGGCATCGTTGACCCCATCGCCCGTCATGGCCACCAAATACCCTCGCTGTTGTAGGATATCTACAGCGTTGTACTTGTGTTGTGGAAAGACCTCCGCAAACCCGTCCGCAGCCTCGACGAAATCATAGACCTCCGAACCGGACATGGTGGTGCCTTTTCCACCCAGGCCCAGCCGCTCCGCATTGTATACGTTGGTACCTAGCCCGAGCTGCCGGGACGTCTCTTTGGCAATTCCCACGGCGTCTCCAGTGAGCATCTTGATGGACAATCCCAGGGTCTTGGCTTCGTGGATAGTCTTTGCCGTATCATGCCGTGGAGGATCCGAGCAAGGCATGATGCCTAGGATTTCCCATTGGCCATGGCCGCGCTTGCGAGCCACACCAAGTGAGCGGAAACCACGCAAGGCGAATTCGGAGACTTTGTTCTTGTACGCCGCTTCAAGCTCGTTCGGGATAGGGTGATCCTTCTCCACTGTTCTCAACACGAAAAGAGGGGCTCCCTTGACGCAAATGATTCGCTCCCCTTGGGGTGACCGCACCACTGCTGTGACCTTCTTCGAAACGGGATTGAAGGGGTGGAATGCCAGTTTCTTATACTGAGTAAGAGCAGCTTTGGCTCTGGGGTATCCAGATAACGCGCGAATGAATGCTTTATCAATTGCATCCAAGCCTTTCTTTTTGCGCGAGGCGGCTAAGCAGGCAGTGAGCATGAGGTCCTCAGGGTCAACACCAGGTACAGTATAGGGCTCGGACAGGGAGAGTTTGTTTTTCGTCAGTGTGCCGGTTTTGTCGGAGCAAAGAATTTCAACACCGGCAAGAGACTCAATTGCAGATAGTCTTTGCACTATCGCTTTTCTTTTAGCTAAATAGGCAGCGCCAACAGCCATGGTGGTGGTCACCACAGCTGGCAAACCGACAGGCACACCGATCATTGTAATAGCCAAGGTAAATTCAAGAATGGTGATGATGCCGTTGGATCGATAGAAAGACGACACCCATACCACAAGCAGAGTCAAGACCACAAGGATCAACAAGACAATCCCAATGTCATTCAGGACTTCGGTGAAATGGCCTGTGCCAGAGGAGGCCGCATGAACCAATGCAGCAGCCCGTCCAACATAAGTGGAATCACCAATACCCGTGACCACAAGTCGTGCTGTCCCATGCTTTACGGCAGACGAGGCATAGCAGATATCATTCTCGTGCTTGTCAACCGCTAGAGATTCGCCGGTTATTCCAGACTGGTCCACTTGAAGAGCACTGCTTGACAGCACCCGTCCATCGGCAGCGATTATAGTTCCCTGCAACAAGTTAGCCTTGCAGTAATATAGCAGTTGATGATAACATACCTCTTCTATCTTCAAGATATCCCCCAAAACAACCTCCGAAGCATCGATCTCTGTCAGCGTGCCACCACGCAAAACGACAGCTTTTAGAGCCAGTGTTTTCTTCAACTCGTCCACAATAGAGCTTGCCTGAAATTCTTGAATGAAGCCAACAGTTGCATTGAGCACCAGCAGAGAACAGATGACTCCCAGATCCACCCAATCCTGCAGTCCAGCCGCCAAAACCGCCGCAGCCTGTGATTTCCGTTATTCAGCAATAAGAACAACATACTGAGCATCTAGCCAACCTACCTCCATGACAAACTGGACCGGGCCCACAAAGTAGGAGAGAAATTTCAGGAAGAGATTTTGCTTCTCCTCTTTCATTCGGTTCAATCCATATTTTCTTCGCCGTTGTGAAACTTCATCCTCATTCAAGCCAGTGTCTCTGTCTACCTCAGGGAGATCCCGAGATATGCCAGAAAGAGAGCATGCATCGTTCAGAACCGGTCCGTCCCCGTCGCTGTGGCCATCGAGTGATTGGAGTTCGTCAATAAGCGTGTCGATGTTCTCATCTTCGTCGTCATTGCTTTCTTCGTTGATGTCGGGTAAAGAGGCCTTCTCGTTCGTGATTGCGGCCGTTATCTCATCCTTGATCTCTTCAATCTCCAAGTCTTCTTGGTGGATCTTTGTCCTGTGGTCATGAGACACCCTTGAGGGAGCTGTCTTGGCTCGGGATAGCATAATGACAAAACCGTAGTAAATATGAAGTGAGAATTCTGGACGCTATAAGCTATAGGTAGATTCTGAAGGATGATCTAAGGCCAGGAGTAACACAGTCGCAAGGAAGGTGAAAAAGGTGAGACGTAGGTGAGGCAATCCATATGGTAGCCGGGGATCGGATAGGAAGGAGAGATGGTCAACGAGCTTGTACCGGCAACTGCTCTATTTAGAGTGCATTGACCGAAGGCAAATGTAATACTCTTGATAAATATTTCTTCAGTGATTTCTTTACTGGTCGGTCTCTCTCTCTCTCTCTCTCTGTGTGTGTGTGTGTGTGTGTGTAAGTATCCCCTATTTCGGCACCCATTCTTTCCGTGGCCACGCTGGAGTCGCCAGACTATAGGCATATTACAGGCGGTACATCTCCATATAGAAATTCCTGAGATATCATAATTCTAGACTCTACACCGCTTCCAGTATGTACGGCTAGAACATAGGTATAAAGGCCTGTGGAATAGAATCGAGAAAAAAGCATCACAAGAATATCTCATGTACTACACTCGGTATAGAGATGCCAAAGAGGAGGGACACGGATGATAGTTATGCTCCGTAGTTGCCCCAGATGTATTGATTAATGTAGGAAATTGAGATGCCCGGGTTGGCCCCGAAGTGGTCAAAAATGAATGAGTTGATTAAGATGGTTGAAGATACTTGAGATCATTAACTATTTGAAGACTAAAAACAGGCTGTTCTATCGTTAATTCTATATGATCTGCTAATCATGAGTATCATCTTTACTGGCGCAGCCAAAGCATTCGCAGCAACCTTTGTTCCACGTGAAGCACAGAAAGCTAGTATCATCTATGTCCGAATCAGTGCGTTCTCAGCTGCGAGCTCTGCTATTGAGGTGGCGGCATCTAATACGATAATTGCTTTGGATAAACCAGACGTTCCCCTTATGGTAAGCAATATCAAGGTCGTGGCCATGGCCAATTTTATAAAATATTCTGTTTAGCTTTTGTAGAATCTTGGAACTTGCCTTTAGCAAAGGTTTAGCTGATTGCCCGAAGCACCTACCTCTTCTACAAATAATACCTTCCTGCCACTGGGCATATATTGAGTTAGAGGTATCCTCCTACGTTATATTCACGATAGTAGAAAGTCATGAAGAGAGGAGGCTGGCCGGTCATTGTAGAAGTAAAAGTCAGGTAGGGCAACCATTCTCCCCCGATGTTGATGCCTCAGGCAGCAGTACCGTTATTTCCACCTTCGGCGTCCTGCGGCCTCTTCTTTTCCCGCGCTTCTCCCAACACTCCTGTCTCCATCCCCGCCAATCAGCCAACAATTGGGCCCCATGGACCAAGAACAACCTCAGCGGCGAGGTCGGCAGAGAAGGCCACGGGTTCCCGACTCATTGCGCAAAAGAGCTGCGCGAGCGTACGTCCTATGAATCCTCCTCTAGGTCCGCTTCCGCTGACTACGTCATCGGGTGATTATTCACAGTTGTCTTCCATGTCGACAGCATAAAGAGAAATGTATGGCTTCTAAATCTGCGAAGAGCGATATAACATGACACTAATGAAGACTTATCTAGGCCAAGGGGGCTTGCCTTGTGCACGCTGTCAGCAGTATAAAAGAACATGTCGGTTCGAGAGCACTCGACCGCCGACATCTCAGTCATCGGAAAGAGCCTCCCTACCAAGGTAATTATTGGCCTTCTTGAGGAACTCTATACTTCAGTGCTTACGTGCGCTAGCGAAACCGAAACATCAAACAGAGAGCAACAGATGCAGCGAATCATCCGGCATTTTATGGGCGACGTGTCGTTCACTAGCAGGAATCTACAAGAAATTGCAGATATGCTAGAGAAAGACCGTGACGACTCTAGATCTCACGATGCAGCCTTTTCAGATGAACCGGCTATGTCGGAAAGTTATTCACTCGAGCCATTATCCATGAGCATGATGTGTATGCGCACCTTTGTGGATTACAATTAGGTTGTGGCTGATAATTCTTCAAGATTACTCTGGCGAACTATCCCACTGGAACTTTTCCAAAGCGATTCGTCGCAGATTACAAAACCTTAATCATGGACGTGAGCAGCCGGATGCATGTCCCCCATACTCCGATTTCCCAGTAATCACCTGCTGACAGCGGCACAGGATTCGGAGACTACCAATGCCTTCTATCGGGCCACCAGTCTGCAATCATCTAATTCATTCGTCACGTCATCTAGGATATACTTTCCCCCTAGGGATGTGGCCGAGTTCCTGACGGACACATTTCTGCAGTTCGCACAGACCAATTATTTCTACTTCGACGAGACCACTTTTCGCCAGAAGATGGATTTTTATTATACTACTGACGGGACCTTCACAATCGAAGATACTGGTTGGATTTGCACGCTTCTTATGGCCTTTGCCATTGGAACCCAATTTGCCTATATGCAAACGATGCCAGCGCAGAACAAGCCTCCTTCGGAAGAGATACCAGACGACCATATTGGCCTAGAGCTTTACCGGTTCTCGTGCCGGCTGATTCCAGATCTGATCACTATCGCCTCAGTGGAAAGTGTCCAGGCATTTTTGCTTCTAGGGGCCTACACCCTCCCCATTGACACGTCAGGCCTGGCGTATACCTATTACGGACTTGCGATTAAAATGGCTATTCAGAATGGCATGCACCGCAAGTATTCCGGAGTCTCCCTAGACCCCATATCCATTGAATTGCGCAACCGTCTATGGTGGACTGCATATTCGTCAGAAAGGTACAAAATATCCGAATGGTGTTTGACCGGTGTCCGAACTTACGCTGACTGTTCCTACGTATAGCCGGATCAGTATACTGCATGGGCGACCTGTATCTGTATCGAGAGCCGACACTGATACCGATATTCCTACCGAGGTCATAGGCCTACCACCCTTTAACGGTGTTTCCAACATACCAAACATCATCGCCAATATCTATTTGACCAATCAACTAGGGAGACTAGCACGGGTTATTCTACGCCTGCGAAGATGCCCACGAACTAGGCAAACGACGCAACATCTCCAGGAATTACGGTCTGTCCGCACTGAGCTTTGTGACTGGTGGGCCTCATTGCCCAAGGAGGTTCATTGCCGGGATCTTAACCCGAAGGGGCCTCTGTTTCGCTGCAATGTGCATCTTGAGCTCACTTATACTACTGCTACCATATACATCGGTCGGCCGTTTCTCTTTTTGCAGCCAGAGCCGTCCACTCGGGAACCTACCAGTGACATTCGTACTGAAACGGCGAAGCTCCTATCGGACGATTGCATACAAGCCTGTCTTCGAATCATCGACCTTTGCCAGCTCTTGCAAGATTCTGTAGGCTTATCTCGAGTCTCGTACACAGAATTTAGCTCTTGTCGAGTAGCATTGTTGGCTCTCATTGCGCAGCGGCTCATTGATATTGATGATTCTTCTGGGAGGCTATGCAGTGCCATAACCCGAGGTATGACACTCATTAGACAAATATGTGCGGGGATCGAGTCGGCTCGTTCCGAGGTGGCTGTAATTGAGGCACTAGAGCGAGCTCGACTGCAACTCGACCGCCGTGGTAAGACAGAGCATGAATCTATGGCTTCAGACTCTGGTTATGATCAGTTTCAACGATGGGCCCAACTCTGGCGCGGGGAGCCCTTGACCTCTATCTCTCTTCCCGGACTTGAGCCAGAAAACGTCGATATCCCTTACACTTTGGACCATGACACTCCTTCATTTGATGGGTTCCTATCTTCTTTCCCTCAGGAACTGAATGCGTTTGCATCTATCCCTGTCTCCGATGAATTTGAATTGCCGACAGAGTGGCCGCGATGAACTGATTCCGGGGTTAGACAATTAGTTCAAGGGCTTATCTATATTCCAGACAGGCCCTCGGAACTACATTATCCGCGGTCAATGTAATCTGCTAATCACCTATTTGATTGTTCTGCAAGAGCGATTGATGGCTTGAATTGCCACAATGTAAGCTCTACGAAAAGAAACTTTTCTGTCGATAATACTCTTTTTGTCTTATATACTCTTCTGCAATGTAAATAACAGGCAGTCTTCTTTAGACAGAAGCATGAGGATGCGACTTTTGGAAGCCGAGCAACTACTACTGAGTATGGACGGATCATGTTCGAATTATTCACTAAATCCGGAAAGAGTCAATTCCACAAGGACTTGGAAACGCTTCATGATCAACACCGTGGTGTCTTGCAATTGAGTCCGGGAGGATCTCCGGCAGCTCGGGTACATGTACCCGAGTAGACTATTGCGGGGAGAGATATAAACCCCGCGCTGACAAGTCCATCGATATTCTTACCATTCAACGTTTTCACAATTTCTTTGCCTCATCGACTATTATCTTCAAGATGTCACAGCTCTCCGACTACCGCCTTCTCTGCTTCGATGTCTATGGCACTCTTATCGACTGGGAAAGCGGAGTACTGGCCGCGTTTGAGCCCACTCTCAAGAAGCATAACGCCCAGTTCTCACGCGAGCACCTCCTCAAAACATACTCTGAGCTCGAGAAGGCGCAGCAGACTCTGACCCCGGACCTTCCCTACTACCAACTCCTAGCCACCGTGCATCCCCAGTTGACCGAGCGGCTGGGTCTGAGCACACCCAGCGAGGAAGAAAGTCGCCTATTCGGCGAGTCTGTTGGACACTGGCCTGCCTTCCCGGATACGGTCGAGGCCCTGAAGCGGTTGGCAAAGCACTATAAGCTAGTGGTGCTCTCTAACGTCGACCGGGGGTCCTTTGGGAAGACGAACGCCGGCAGTCTGCAGGGTTTTCCGTTCGACCTCGTCATCACTGCGCAGGATGTTGGCTCGTATAAGCCAGACCTCCGCAACTTCCATCATATGTTACAAGCTGTCAAGACGCACTTCAGTGTGGAGCCAGAGCAGGTGCTGCAGACGGCGCAGAGCCAGTTTCATGACCACCACCCGGCCCGAAAGGTGGGCATCAAATCGGTCTGGATTGAGCGACCAGGTGCTGTGATGGGTAATCTGCCGGAGACGCTTTATGATTGGCGGTTTGATACCTTGGGAGATATGGCTGATGCTGTGGAGAAAGCTTAGGGGGACGGAATGTCAATGAACTTGGTTGATGGGGGTGTTTTGTTATGTTCTTGTTGCTGCTGCCCTTCCAATGAGCCCATCTGTTAAACCATAGAGTCAGTGGAGACTGCAATGAATTCGAATATCAAATTCTGATCTTTTCAGTAGATGGTAGATCTCGGTCTTAGGGCTTCCGGGTACATGTACCCGGCTCTACAAAAAGCGTCCGAAATTTGCTTCTCCGCTTCCGCTTCACAATAGAAATGCGTGTCGTTCAGTATCCACCTTTTGCCTCCGAAGTCCAAAACCAACTTGTCACTTGAAAAGCGAATTCCCAGTTACTTATTTCGCGCTTTATTCAACTAGCCGGCGAACCTGCACGGGGCTCACACTCGACAATCTGGCGTTCGCACGATCCTTGAACAGCCTGAAGGATCCACTTCGACTACTACTAGCCAACGCCAGACGACACCCCATCCATTCCTGCCGACAGAACAAACTACAATCCAATATGGCCCGACCATTCCGGTTTGCTGATGTATGTTTTTTGTCTCTCCGAATCGCTCTTCATCTCTAGTTGATATTGACTTCCGATACAGGTTGCCGTGACTTTCACCGCAGACCAATTCCAAGGCATCTACCGCGGCAAGAAGTACCATGAGTCTGATTTCCCGGAGGTGCTGAAACGCGCGCAAGACTATGGCTGCGAAAAGATCATGCTCACCACCATGACCCTTGCGGGCGCGCACCAGAACCTGGAAGTAGTAAGGGAGTTTCCGAACATGTGCACATTGACCTTAGGCGTGCATCCGTACCACGCGGGGGAGCTTTACGACGCGCCAGATGGAGAAGGAGGGAAAGATGCATTGAAGGCGCTCGAAGACCTCGGCCGGACACTTCTGGCCGAGGACCCGTCGCCGCTCGTCGCGTTCGGGGAAATCGGGCTCGACTATGAGTATCTGGACCGTGCGAATAAAGAATCGCAGAAGCGGGCTTTTCGCGATCAGCTCGAGATGGCGACGAGGTTTGAACTGCCGCTCTTCTTGCATGTGCGTGAATCGTGTGCCGATTTTGTGGATATCATCCGTCCGTACCTGTCGAGACTTCCGCGCGGAGGCCTGGTTCATTCGTTTACCGGCTCGAGGGAGGAGATGCATCAGCTGGTGGACCTGGGGTTGGATATTAGTGTGAATGGGGTTTGTTTTCGGACTGAGGAGCAATTGGATATGGTGCGCCATATTCCCTTGGAACGGTTGCATTTGGAAACCGATGCCCCTTGGTGCGAGGTGCTCGGCAACGATCCAAAAATCGCCCCGTATCTGGCAGATGCGAGACCGTTGCCGGCGTCTCGGAAACATAACAAGTTCGTGGCCGGCCAGATGGTCAAGACGCGCAATGAGAGCTGCACGATTGAACGAGTGGCCCTGGTTGTGGCTGGGTTGAAGGGCATTCCGGTGGAAGATGTGGCCAGGGCAGCGTGGGATAACAGCGTCCGGATGTTTGGGTTGGGCGTTCGTGAAGGTTAGGGCTGTAAAGAGAAAGATAGACGCTGAAATTAGAGTTCTTCATGTTGATATAGACACGGGCCTAAATACCGTTGTTTAGCTTGCCCTAGAATGTAGAAAATAGAATCCCTGGAATGATGGAACAAAAAGAAAAGCTGATTCCAGTTCCGGATCGATTTCGATCAGAGGTCACCTTGAGAAAAGTCGTATAGACGAAACTCCTTAAAACAAGGTTGAGAAAACAGGACAAGGCAACAAAATTGAGAGCGTAAAGGAAAGGGGTAATGTTTGCCTCAGACAAGACGTTATGCAAGATTAAGCAAAGTGTGGTACTGGTAGTTGGTTCATCATGTTGCTGCTCAATCCGATACTCAGGGTTCCAAGTTTTCACAGCAGTGTAGATCCCTTACATCCCACAGCCTCTCTTCAAGGCCAGCTTCGAGGGAACAGCAGAATGCATCAATTGACGTCAGAAAGACGGACGAAGAGATTTTTGTAGTTAAGGAAGAGCCATGACCTCTGGGACTTGGCTTCAGCAATCTATGCCAAGTTGGATGGCATCACTCCTCCGTCAAACTGACGAGTAGACCCTTGCAGATGGAAAGCTTATTTGAGGTGAAGTATCATTCGATGCAGGATTCTATATGCAATCAGCCCAGAAGATGTATGTGCGCACGTCTCATGACAGAAGATAAAGTTTGCCTGTCTGGTACATCCTATACCATATAACCTATAACGGCAATACGAGAAACCGGATACGAAATTGGGTGATCTCATAGTACAGAGGTCGAGGGCAAATGATATCGAAGTGCGCTATGTTGAACATCATCTCGGCAAACCCTATATTACATTCGCTTAAAGGATTTTATCCTATGAAGAACCGTCTGTAAGTCGTTTACGTACCCGAATTTGTCGAACTATTCCCTATTCCTGATGGATACGTAAGGTCCTCACCCCCAACTTCACGAACGATCAAGACCAACAACGTCGAAATGGAACAGATCAAAGAGTCCCTGTGTACCCGGCCTGCGGCAAAGCCTCAAGAAATACTCGCGGAGGGACTTGAAGGACAGTCCGAACTCCAGCAGCTGGAAATCCTTACGGAGATATTCACCGCGGGAGCTGTCACGGACGAACGCTTTGCAGAGACAATACACGCTGCCTGGGAGCACTTCAGAGCGACTTGTGGTCGTTCAAGTATGAGTCCCTGGATGAATACCGACAACTGATCAGCTATCGGGATATAGTCAAGCCCATATTGCAGAGATTCAAGCGGCCAGACCGGTCAAAGCTAGTCAACATGCAGGTTATCCAAGAGAACTGGGGTTCTCCAATACATCAAGTGGTTCCCCTTTCCATGGCTCCTAATTCTTGGAGCAAGCATCTCCTTGATCTTTTGGCCATCTTAAGTCGGACTATCAAGTGCAAGGAGCATGCTCTGGATCTCTTGAAGAAAAGTATCAAAGAAAGACCGCGCAGATCTCGCCAGGGAAGCACTCTGTTGCCCAGCGATGTTGATCGCGTGCTCAGAGACTTACCCTTGGTGAATCGAGCTCGCAAACCTCATTCTTCAGGTACGCATACCTGAGTCTGTTGATAGAGTCCCTAGATTAATTGACTGACTTTGCTCCTTTCCCTTCCCCACAGCTCTGCGAGACGGAATAAGCTCTTGCCCGCGCTCAAGCTGGGATAAGAGAAGCGCGCAAACATACTGTTCACGCTCTAACGACGAATGTGAAACCACGTCCTCGATCGCCGATTCGGACTGCGCGTGTGTCCCGATATGCTTTCCCCTGCGCCTTGTCATGCGCCCTCGCTTAGGTTCTTTACGTGATTACCTGGTGGTTGGACTATTCAGGTGGGCCAAGTCAGTTGAATGGTCCAGTATTTGTGACCTTCACTTGAAAGGCCTGGTATCTCTCCGGGCTGGGTCGGAGCCGGAGCGGTGGACGCGAAATGGGATGATCGCGCATCTTGAGGCCATCTTACTAGAACCCGGCGTGACCGAGCCTGCAATAGCACTTCCCGGTAACTTGCTTGAAATCGCAGACCCTCGATTGCTTCTCCCCTCGGAGTCAGTACCCGCATGGCCAGACTTTTTGGCTAATGGTGCAAATGTGTATGATTGAGCTATATGTACGATCAGATATACTTCAATAATTGTCTAAAAAGATGAAGACTTACTGTATGGATTGAGAGTGGATGAAGCATTGTGCAGTAGATTGACTCGTGCCTGTCTCCAACTGCACCCGACATGAAATAAATCCATGAACTGAATATCTCCTGTCAAGCGTTGATGGTCGAGAATGTCCTTCCCAAACGGGACGAAGCGAGCACGGGAGGGGCTGACATAAGCGGGGGAGAGGACGTCATTGCCGCCAGAAGGACTTTTCAATATCGCACATCCCCGGACGATTGCTTTGTTGCTGCTTCCTCCTCCTTTGTTCATCTTCCATTGGTCGCAAAGTGCCCGACACGCTCTCATTTTATCAGCACATGCCCCCCTCAACATCCGTCATGTCACCCTAAACAAGGGTCGCGGATCCCTGACCTCCCACAGACTATGAAGATAGTCGCAGCAGCGCATTTACGAGAGCTTCAGCGTCACATGATTATGCCGTACAGTTGACCTTGAACGAGGAACTCCTCCAACTTGTATAGGTGAAATATCACCTGGTCATATATTATCTTGTACATAGTACATACATACTGTATTCTCCTTTACATAGGAATCATGAATCGAGAGATCCCGGGCTTCTACTACGGTCAGTCCTTCCGCCGAAATTTGGCCTCGTGTGGATATGCTGACCATTCGCCAGACCCGGAGAAAAAGAAGTACTTTAAAATCCAGGCGAGTCACAAAGCCGCGCCTGGATCCCAGTACTCCAAGGATGCTGTAAAGCGGAAACGCGTAGATCAGGAGGTTGTTCCCCAGAAACTACGCCCTGGAACCTGGAGGCGCTCAAACACTAACCCGAATGCTGTTTGCAGAGAAATCAAAGAAAAGTCCATCTGTCCAAGAGACTCACTAAGGAAAAGATAAAGAAAGCTGCTTTCCTGGAAAACCCTCTCCTGGGAATCGGAAGGGAGGTCGAAGGTCGGCCTGTCTCGAAGAGCGTCCGCCAGGAGCAGCGGGGATTGCTCTATGCAAACCAATTTCGCCGGAATCAGTTGCATCAATTTGAACCCTGGCCGGATGACTATTCCATCAAGCATGTCCTGCGCAATAAGCGCTCTGGAATCTTGGTAGCCAGTGCGTTCCCTACCACCTCGCCTGTATTCTATCGTCTTGTGAGCCACTACTGATTGCACTCCAAGGTGGCCATCGTGGCGGAGAATCATCAGTCTCGTAAGTCATATGTCGAGCAAGATTTGTGATTTGTTTTGCTGATTGGAATACCAGAATATGCTTTCCCGACTGTGACCAAGAGGATTGGACATACAACCGCACTATGGAACGAGTACTTTTCAAAGAGCCGTACAGAGTGCGTTTTAATCCAGGCTTTCCATGAATCGTCTGGTCTTTATGAGCTGACATGGCCCGTTTTAGCTTTCATCGATATCGTTGAGTCATACAGGATACCTCCTGTAAGACCTTTCTCTTAATCCATGCCACTTTCTCATCCTCTCTAACCACTGTTTAGAGCAACCATGGATAGCGGACCGAATGGCGACTCATTTCTCGCCCCTCGAATGCTGCCTGACCCTGACGAAGGGGGGGATTATCGATGGCCACTGTCATGTATGTGTTCAAACTCCCTTCGAAAGACGACTATCCGCCACTGATTGCTAACAAATCCTCAAGTTTCGCATCCCATCCGCCTCCGCACAGCAGCCTCGCTCTGGTGCTCCGCCGCCTGCCCAGATGGAAGCAAGCCTGTCTTCGCCATCGGCACATCCGACGGCCTTCACACTCTCGAGGGTTTCGGGAGTTACTGGGCTCTGTCCAAGAAGCCATTCGCGAGCGATGTGTTCACAGGGAAACCCATCATGCACCGACGAGTGGATTCCTCCCATGCGCTCGTCAGCAGCGTCGAGTGGCTCTCTTCCGACGTCATCGCCGCAGGTCTTAAAGACTCTGCCATCTTCCTTCATGACCTTCGCAGCGGGGGAACGGCGACCCGCCTCCAGCATGATCACGCTGTTGTGAAAATCAAAAAATTCGATGAGTATCGTCTTGTCGTTGGGGGAATGACTTCGGTTAGTTTTCTATCTCCCATTCCTTCCTCCAAGCATCTCCTCTCGCCAAATACCGCAACCTTTGATCGTCCTTCCCTCCCTCCATATTCCCAACCAGAAAGACAAACACAGAATGCTGATCATTCACTTCAGCTCCACATGTACGACATCCGCTTCCCACCCAACGGCCTCCAACGCAACCCCAACCCCCATAACAAACACCACACCTCGACAAAACCCTACCTCACCTTCCCCGAATACCGACCCGACTACATCCCAGACTTTGACATCAGTTCGGAATTGGGTCTCCTCGCAAGTGGTAAGTCAATTCAAATTCAAATTCGCGTCCTACCCCACGGTCCTCACTCAATCCGAATCTCCTTTCCTTCTTTTCCTTCATGTTCTCCCTTCCTCAACGCGCTACGGATGGATATGATCAACTCTAACCGACTCCGATATCCATCGTCAGCTTCCGACGAGCGCAAAATCCAGTTATTCTCGCTTCGCACAGGCTCTCAGGTCCTTTCGCCGTTGTCCAAATATCAGTATCAGCATCCGATCAGTTCTGTTTGTTTCGAACCAGGCGATGGATCGGTCCATGGGCCTCAGACGCCTAGTATTCTGGTTTGTTCAAAGGCGACGGTCGATCAGTGGATCTGGTGATTTCCGGTCGGTCAGGTTGCTTGCTTCTGTGGGGAGGGAGATACATCTACATCTACTAGATTGAATGTATATCCTCTACAAAATAGGAAGAAACAAGGAAGAGAAAGATAGCCAAGTTAGTCTTGGATAACTCGAATTCAAATCATTGCTTAAATTGATATCTTCATTACAAGGTCTTTAGAATTACAAAATAACATGATATAGTATATAAGATGATATATGTCAGGACGCCCGTTTCTTTGCCACCATCTCGCTCAATCCAATCCACCCGCTAACCACTCGCCGACCTCGACTCCGATGCTCTTGGCCATCTCGCCGATCCAGTCCCCAGAGACATTGACGCACCACTTCTCTCCGGCGTCGGCCGTCGTGTTCCCGCTGCTGGCGCCGCCCGATCCTAACCCCATGCGACCACCGCTGTCGCGGCCGGAGGCGGGCACGACGAGTCGTAATCGACGGAGCGTGGCCAGCTCGGAGTATATGGCATCGGCGACGGCGGCCATCCGGATGGGATTGGCGGGCGGATTCGGGTTGATCGCATGATAAATTGCGATGAGGCGTTCGAGAGGGAACGGGCGTGCCGTGAGGATGGTGGACGGGCCCGTGATACCGGCAGCTCCGCCGGTGGCAGAGGTGGTTGCGGATGTGGTGGCGAAGGCGGATTCGAGGGTGGACTTGGTGATGCGGGTTTTTGTTCGTTTGCCCTTCTTGCTAGGCGTGGCTGGGCCCTGGCTGGCCTCGCGGGCGTCTTCGGCCTGGGCCTGGGATAGGACCTTTAGACGCCTTCGGTGGTGAGCGCGCTTGTTGCGCGCGGAGAGCGAGGAGGAGGAGAATTTGGAGAAAAAGATGGTGTCAAGTCGTTGGGGAATGTGAGAGGCCAGGTAGGCGGAGGTCAGGATCAAGGTTGCGAAGTATGGCAAAGTTGGAAGGGGAGAAGGGGCGGACACGGCCGCTAGAGACGGTTTCGCAACCGAACTGTTGAGAGACGGCGCAGATTCTTCTGTGACAATGTGGTGGACAAGAGCAGCTTCGCCGTGGTGTCGGAACAAAGCTCGATTGCGGACCAGGAGCCGAGGGAAATCCCATTCGGCGCCGGACCCAGGCGGCGCTTCACCATTGCTGATGGGGGATACGAATTGCGGCCAGAGTTTGTCACATATCGACCGGAAATTGGGGATTGAGCCTGCTGTTGGTCCAACCAGAGAATCGTAGATGGCCGACACAAAGTGTGGATATAACCTCGAGGCTGTTTCGTCGGAGAGATTGGCGGCCGCTGGTGGCCCTGATTTGAGCATAATCGTGATCGCTTCCTTGCGCGTATACGGTGGAAAGCCGATGTGCGGGACACCGGCAGCTTGTAGAAACAAGGGTCGTGGAGTAGAGCTGAGGAGTAGAACAACGCAGAGAGACGGAATCTGTCCGGTCAGTCATTTGGATCAAACTGTTCCTGCAGAAGCAGGCGCTCGAAATGAACTCACAATTTCCCCGAGTCTTGCCAGCGCTGCGAGGAGCGTCGGAGGAGCCTCGCGTTGCTTGTCAATACCATCCAAGACCAACACGAATTTCTCTGCGCCGCTGCTCGTCGACCTTGACGCCAAACACTGGCCTAGAAGCACGACAAGGCTGCTGACATGTTCACATCGCCCCTTTCCATATTTCTCCCACTCGCTCTGTTGACCTAGCGCCTCCAACGCGCCCCATAGGATCTTTGTCAATAGATGGCGACCGGTGATACACTCTGTGCTTCGAACGATGGCGTGGGGGACTTTGAGGGAGTCTAAAACCCCGCGCACAATGGAGGACTTGCACGTCGCAGAGATGCCATGAACAACGACGGTAGAAGGATTAGGGGCTCTGGGCTAAATGTGAGGCGTAAAATGAGTAAGTTCATCCTGGGATTATAAGCCCTTGAGAGAGCGGGAGGGATTCTGGCGCATGAAAGAAACATACAGCGAGAAGAGTGACGAGTTGCTTGATTTGAAGCTCCCGGCAGGGCCATTGCTGGCTCAAAGTCCGAGATAATTCGATCGGAAGCATGAGTTACAGCAAAAGCACGGTAAATGAAGGGGCCGACGCACTTGGAGGGTTCCCGCGGCGAGTTGATCTTATCGCCAGAAGAACGCGAGCTTCACATGCGAAGTCACGTGGGGTTCCAGACCGCCTTCCGTGTTTTTTTCTCCATAGTTACTCCATATCATTAAAGGTCTAACTTAGGACAAGATGCTGAGATAGAGCACTTTGATTGATAAACGTATGAGTACATCTATTCTACTGAATGCTGGGGGAACAGGTTCCAATCACCGTGGTTCTCAGTCGCCAGTGCAAATCATTGTCCAATGGCTGAGAATGCCAGCGCTACCGACTGAACGGGTACCAGTTTCCAAGAATTAAACAAGGCATTGAACGGCACAAACGAAATCTGAAAAAGAAAAAATCATAAAAGCACAGTTTCGTTTCAATTGTCTGAAAAGTGTAGATGAGGAAGATGACAAAGAAAACTATGGGAACATGCACTCCACCATTGTCACCTTTGGCAAGAGCCAGGATGATTCGGAGGGCTGAAGAACAATTGACATGGGGGGACTCAATGAACGAAGATTGGGGATAAACACAGAAACCAAGAAGACATGAAATGAGAAGAAGAAGGGAAAGATAGCGTTCAAAAGTTCAAAAGTTCAAAAGACATGATAGACATGATCATTCAAAGCGTTGCAAGAATACAAGACGTAAGGCATTCAGATCCCTGTATCATGAACTACATGAGTATAGCTCATAAGAATCCTCCCAAATGCAAACCAATTTGCATAAAAAGATAAGAGATCTTGACATGGTAATGTGTTACGTTGGCCGTAAGTCATGAAGATCGTAGCGTCATCTCGAATATGAGTACAATTCAGTGCCCAACAACCCGCATTGTTGTTTGATGCGAATAAAAACGCTCAAAAGTATGCATACAGCGGGCCCTGCGCACCAAGGCCGCCGTTGGCTTGTTGAACAGGAGGTGGGAACATAGCTGAAGAATTTTCGCTTGGTCCACCGGACGGGGTGTTCGAAGCGGAACCAGTTCCGGAAGCAGGAACAAAGTTCTGAGTCCCAAACTGGGAGCCCATGGGGAAAGGGTTTTGTTGATACAAGAATGGTTTCTGCAAAGGTCCTGGGAGCTGCGCTGAGTTCATCTCGTTCGGGGTCGCCTGTCCACTTGTCGACGCACTTCCTCTCCCGGAACCCTCGGAAGCCATCATTTTACCTGCAATACGGCGTCCATGAGGAGTCTGGCGAATGGACGGCAGAATAGGGCGAATAGACTCCACAATCCGAGTTCGAGTATCGACGTCCGCGAAATCCATAGCAGTCTGTACAACATAGTTTGCGAAGGAATCACGGAGCATCTTTTCGAGCTCGGCGCCTGCCAGCATCTCATCAATCATCTGACGGCGGATTGGGAACTCTGCAGTCCGAAGGCATTTTTCGATCACATTGGAACTGAACTTCTGCTTGGACAGGGCCGGAATGTTTCCTCGGAAAGTTTGGCAAAGTGGCTCGGTGAAGTGAGGCTCGGCCAGATCAAGAATGTATTGTACCACGTAATTTCCAAAGGGATCCTGGACCAGTGCAAAAGCGTTGGAGGTGATTTGGGCAATGAGCCTAGCTCGCTGCTCGCCGGAAGCATGATCGATACAGCGCTGAAGGACGCAGCACCCATGACGGTGGGTTCCAACAACGACACAGTTACCACCAACGGCGTCATAGATGAATTGGGCATCATCGGCGGAGAGACGGTTCAGGCACTTCTGAATAACGTGATTGCCATTCAGGTCCTGAACTAGATCGACGACGTGATCTCGCAAAGCCTGGATCACTGTCTGCGTTTGTTCGGAGGTAGAGATGAACTCAATCATTTTCTGCAGCGCCCTGGTGCCGTGCTGGTTCAAGGCGATTTTGACGAGCTGATGGGCCGCATTGTTGATCAACGCCGTGCGCTGTTCGTCGTTGGAGTATTCAAGCAATTTTTGGCATAGGTAGTTACCGAACGGATCAGTCATCAGCTCCACAACGTGCAGATGGGTTTCTTCGAAGATCATTTGCACGTGTTCCGGATTGCGCTCCTCTAGCTTCCGTTGCAAGTATCGGCAACCATGTTGGTCTTTACAGAGTCCATACAGCTCTCCCCGGTAGTGCTCAAGGGGGAAGTTAGTGAAGCGTGAAAGCTGGGCAGAGTCACTTTCGGTGGCTCGGCGAGACGAAGCTCCTTTGGGTGGATTCTCGGTGAGCCGGAAGTTTCCATAGGGGGGGTACCCGCCATAAGAGGCATTGGGACTATAGTTCTGCATCTGTCCGTTAACAGGTACTGGGGCTCCCATGTAGGTCTGGAGACCATAGCCGTAAAATGGTGGCTGGAAACCAGTCGCCGGCGCAGGCGTGGTAGGGCTCGTTCCGGGGGCTGTGGCTGCAACTTGGGGCCCAAAAGGAGCCGCGTTCGCTTGAAGGGCAGTTGTCTGAGCTCGAGCACCGTTTAGCTTCGCGTCGTCCCGCTCCGGGGAGTCTCGCTGCTGGCGAGGGGTGGTGGCAGCAGATGGAATCCGTCCCAGACTGGCGTTGTGCTGATGGATCTGTTCAGCGTGTGTTTTGGGAGGCGTGATAGCCGGGTTAAACCCATCTCCTTTGACGGTGGGCAGGTCATTTGTCGAGTAAGACGACTGGAGGGAGTTAGGCCGGCCTGAAGCAGCATTCGACGCCATGCTTTCGTGACTTCCTTCCGAGTTGTAGAGAAGGTTGGCTTCCAGAGAGTGTCGGGCAGCGTGTTTCGCCGAATTCGATGTGTTGGCGTTGGAATCGCTGGAACCAATCTGGTCGAGTCGGAACATGTTGAGCGCGTTTTGTGGCATGCTTTGGTGAGAAGTGCGATGCCGACTATGGTTCCAATTCTCCGGGTTAGGAGTCTTGGAGTTTGCAAGATCCAACGCGTCCGAGTTTGCAGACAACTAAATGTACTGTCAGCAGCAAGAATGACACTAGAACCAAAAGACCAGTCTTACCAAGCCCGAATCGTCTCTGCGAGACAGAGTTGGGAATTTGTCGTCAGGATCGGTGAGTTTCAGATAGCTCTTGATGTCAGGGGTTGGGATCCGATCCTCTTCTTTGAGAGTAGCTCTATCGTCGTCATTGAAGAGAAACTTGGCTGCGTTGAAGGACTCAAGACCAGAGTTGTTGGAGAAACTCGAGGTATTTGGGCGAATCTGCGAGCCCAAGCCCGCTGAAGGCATTGAATAGCGGTGGATCCTACTAGACATGGTTAATATTGTTGATGACAGGTATTTCGGTACGAGTTGCGGTAGAAGGTAGATGGCAGGAAAGTCACAATGCGAAAAGTCGATCGAGACAAGGTGAAGCAATAGAAAGGGATCGAGTGTCACTCGAGGCAATAGATGAATGACAAAGTGACCGACGTCTGTTCAAGGCGGGAGGGGCAAAGGGTCTCCGAACACAGTTCAAAGACACCAAGAGCCAACTACCGGTAGAACAGCAGACGCGTAGGATTTTGGAAGAAGAGGGTGGGGGGGAGAAGAGGAAGGTGGGAAGTGAGATGTCGTGGGGAGGGGTGAATAGGGGAGGTCAGAAAGCGGTCAGGTGAAGAAAGTGAGAGAAAGAGCTGCAAGTGAATTGATCAGGTGAACTTACGAAGGACCTGGACGGAAAGGTGAAGCAGGCTCCTGGCCAAAGTCTTCCATCTCAGAGTTTCTGCGAGACCCTGGGACAGAGTGAACCGAAAAACGGTTCGCTGAGGTATGAGAAGCGGTATTGTCTGCCTGGCCTGGGGGGCTGGTCACTTGTGAGGGAGCAAAGACATTGAAGAATCCAGGAGATGAAGTGACGCTGGACGTGGAAAAGCGAGTCGGGCGGGTGAAGCCACCAGGAAAGCCATTTTCACGAGTCTCTGGAGGAGTCGTAGGCTCGCTTGCAGGTCCAGATATGCCAGCCTTGGCCAGGCGTTGTGCAAGCTGATCCATCTCAAGTTTTTCCTTCTCGTGTTGCAGATCAAGAAGCTTCATATCCTCTTCAAACCTCCTCTTTTGCTCTCGCATGTACTCGATGTGCTGGCGTTTCTTTTCGAACTGGGGGGAAAGTCAGCCGGGGTTTGGTCTTGGATCAGGAAACAAAACAGGAAAGACCACAATATCAGGGGAGGGAGTTCGGTTGGTATGAGGATGGAATCAATCCAAAGGGAAAGGACACATGAATCACAGGTCTGCCTGGAAACTGGGGGAGGGTGAAGCTACGATGGTGGGCGCTTTTCGAAGAACGCACGACGGACCAACAGCCCAAGCCCCCAAGCCAGGTGAATGTTTCCAACAAGCAATATCACGCTTAACTCGGGACTTACCGATGACAACAGGTCTAACGGATCCGGAGCCTGGGGCGCTCCTCCAAGATGATTCAGGTAGCTCCATGACGACAGTTTACTAGAGTCCGTGGTGAATCGGCGTTGGAGGTTGGCACGGACATCACCCGACGGACGCGAAAAGGCGGACACGAAGTTGGAATGGCCCGGGGAAAGCGACGTATAACCAGGGAACGGGGATTCGGACGGCGGCGAGCGCGGAGAAGGGAATCGCAACTCATCGAGGCGTTCACTAAGTCCGTTCTTGAAGGCCATAGTGGACTAGTTGGCTGGGACGAAAGCCGCTGGACTAATAACCATTTAGGAAGCAAAACGAGTCAGAACACCAGGCATGATAAGATCAGATGGGAAACGGCGCGGGCCCAACAAGGGGAGAAGGTATTTGAATATGAGAGAGCAACTGCAGGTAACTCGGGTGGCTGAAAAAAGAGGCACAGGAACCAAGGGGACAGGGAGAGAGTTGGCGGTTGGCGGTGTATTCCTTCGATAACGAGCAACGTAAGGGAGTCGGAGAGGGGCTGAGGGGCGGTTTTGGCGGCGAAGATCTCGGGGAAAGGAGCTCGACTCACACACAATGAACGCCTCGTGAGTCTATTTTTTTTTTTGAGGGACACAAATGGACGTGGCCGACAACGGGCGATTTTTGCGGACAACGTAAGGACAGTTCGACGGTGGACTTGGGGCGCGGATTGCACACCCAGAAGCGCGCTGCTGGCGATGCGGAGATCTGGATCAGTAAGTGTTGACGGGAGCAGGGCAGGGCTGCGGCGCGGTACCTACCAACTCAAAACCCTAAGCTCTCCGACCGAGAGCAGGGGGTGTTTTGGGGGGGGCAAGGAAATGAACACCGATGCAATATTTGACAATAACGAGTGATGCGCAAGGAGATGCAATAAAGATATAAAAACAAATGACAACGGGAAGAAAGGATAACTGTTGTACAGATAAATGGGAGAGCACCGAAGAATAGAAAGAAGCGAGAGAGAAGGGGAGAGAGAGCGAGAGGGTGGGAGGCGAGAGGGGAAGAAAGACGAGGCGGCGGCTGGGAAAGAAAGGCAGAGCGGGGGGGGGGGGGGGGGGGGGAAGTACCGTATGTACCGGTTACGTACAGTACGGAGATCTTCTGATTCTTTTATCATTTTGGATCGTCTCGGGCTTGGGCCCGAGCACCTGGATTTTGATATTATTTGATTCTTTTTTTTTTTTTTTTTTTTTTTTTTTTCTCGTCCCATGCTGGTTCAATTAAACGATCTTCCTAGACATACCCGGGAAGTGAGTGAGCTGGTAGCTGACTTCATCCCTCCTGTATCCCAGTCATTTACAAATTACAAGTCAAATTACTGTCAATTGGGCACCGAGACTAAGGTAGCTTTAGTTTGTTGTTCGGTCGTCACCGAGAGACGGGACTCTCTTCAGGATTTGCTACCGGGTAGGAGATACGATCATAAAACATCTAGGTAAATAGTTAACACTATTTATCAATCCATGCATTATATCCCGTACTGTAAAGTCAATCGAGTCCCCTAGGTACCTGGTACTTGTACGTACTTTGATACCCGCCGGCGCGGTAAGGTACCTTGCTTAGGTGCCCCCGGTAGCAGGTAGTTCAGGCACTCTGCTTTAGTAAGTACTAAGGGCTCGTTAGTTCTTCTCGTAGCTTCGGCTAGTCCTGGCTTTGATCTTCACGGTCGGAGAAGCATCTGCCTTCTCCGAGTATATCCATAGAAGGGGAGATTAGGTGACATACCTTACACTTTACAGTAACTCTAGGATAATTTCACCAATCTGCCCGAGACCGAGATGAGTTGTCGCAATTAATCACCAGTCTTTCCCGACGGCAAAGATCGTCCACTTTTTTGGACGCATCACAGAGGAATCTCGTTGGACGACGGGATGATTGGGCCAAGGATTGCTTGATCCCCGTGCAAGGGCATAAAAATAACCACCCGACTCACAATAACAGACACCGCATTAATTGTAAATTATAATAATAATCTAGTACTCCCGCTGTACTAGCGGTAACTAAAGAAACCGCCCCCTCGCACTGCTTGGGGAGGAAGCTTCATCGTGCATTCTCCTTCCTCGCTGAGCTCGTTGCTGGAGAGTCGTTCGTCGATGATGATCTCACTGCGCCGTTTGGGAACAACGGACGGTGCAAGGGGACAACACTGAAAAACTCCCTACCTAGATAGTGTGTGCTTCGAATGTATGAACTTCCTTTTTCCATACTAATCAGTTCTGCCGGTGGGTGTGCTGGTCGGAGCGTGGGCTCTGCAAGTGTTTCTGCATCAAGTGGGGATGCTTGGGAAAGATGTGACGGCGGATCAGGCCCTAGCCACCGCACGTACCTGACCATAAGAATCATTCGAAGAAACGAGGAAGTCGAAAGGACTCGGTCCATGGACGAGTCAAATTTCCGGTGCTAATAGCGGCTGCGGTCCAAGTCATGGTATTTTTATTAGTCCATGTTGATGCCACTTTCATAGCTCGGGGGACCGATTTATCTTTATTTGTGATTTTTCTGATTATTGAACACCCATCGTATACGGAGTACCCTACCTATGACAATTAATCCTAGGAGCGACCCATGAATTGCGATTCGACGTGGACTTTCCACGACTGGATCTGATTATTCGTGTCTCTTGAATACTCCGTAGATTGATGTCGATTAATACACATTAATGTTTCTACTATTATTATTGACCTGGTGGGGTTAGTGGCGGTACATACAAAGATATTCAATAATATATCTCCCTTAAAGATATTCCGATTGAATGATCGAGTGTAATCAAAGTCCAAACGCAATTTCGCCAAAGCCACCTCCCGGACGCATTGGCACGCGCCTTCCAAATGGTACGCGACGGCTTTGATCTTTGGATCGCCGCTCATCTCTTCCTCTCGCTCTCTTTGTTTGATAAATCTCGAAGGTTAGGTTGAACTTTCGTGCTCGAATATCCCAACTCGTATTGTCTTGCTGGTTTGGTCTCGTCCAGTCCAATTACGCCGAAGTAATTCTTGTTTCTTGACATGCGGACCGGGGTCGCATCGTTTATTTTGAATTTTCCCATTTGTCTCAATTTCCCAGGAGCGGTAGGTCCGTACCAGGGTTCGCCGATGGATCCTGTACGGCGCGGTCAGCGTGGTTCCATGGATCAATCGCCTCAACATCCTGGGAGCGGATGATCTCGACCGATTGAGATTTCCCTGAATACCTTAGATTCCCAAGAACGAGGAAGTAACCACACCGTACGCAGGAAACCAATAAAGGCAATATTGATACCCCCTACAAGAATGTAAAACACTGTCCCATCATTGCATCTCGCCTCCCCCCCGAAAGGAGTTCCTCCCCTGTCGATGTGCTAATTGGCGCGGCGCCGGAGAAGCGGTGTACAAAAAGACGGCCAGGGAACACCAGATTAATCCAGCAACCGGCCATGTCGCTCGTCTTCCCCTCCTTCCCCTTGGGAGCGCTTTGACTATCTGTTTTGTCTTGTCCTCCGGCCTAACCCCGTCAACGCATCTCAAACACGGCCGACATGCAAGTCTGGATGTGTCTGTGGGCAAGATTCGGCCTGCGTGACGAACCACGGCGCCGAACCCACTCATGTAGCTACATACGTCCATCCATAGGTACAGTACTTAGGTATGTACTAGGTAGAGTACTCCTACCCAGTGCTGGTTGCAGAAGGTGGACTAGCAACATCATACCTATAACCCTTTAAACATATTATTAGGCCGCTACGTGCTTGTACACTGGGATCCACGACGTCTCTAGGCATGATGCCGCAGAATCCGTGCTTCATGCTCATGCACAGCTGCTCCTATCCGGTATACGCTACAGGAAGCTACCTACAGTACAGTAAATCCAGCCCTTCGACATCCAACCATCCGGGGGATGCTTGTCGCCTCGCTACACTCTGGAGTACTTGCGATAAATAAGGTAGTACAGACTTCTGGCTGGGAAAGATGGTACCGACCACGCTGATTTACATAATGGTAAAACGTTTACAGGCGATCTGATGCCGACACGACTCTACCTAGCGGGGACAGGGCCCTCTCTGCGTCTACCAGTCTACGAAGCCTCACTTTCCAGAATCTCCTTCGCTGGAGCGAAGCCCATTGCCTGAATACGCAGGGCCGCAACTATGTCAAATCGATTCGCAAGCTGGGAGTGTCCTTCTAGACCCGGGAGCGTTTGTCGGGTGAGATTGATCAGTTACACCCATAGGTATAGGACGTACGTATGTACATTTCAATCTGTGCGAGCTTTGACAAGGGGGTTGAGCTTCCAGCAGCCTCGTCCAGACCCCGGAATAAGGTAATATCCTGAGTAGCTTTCCCTCGGCGGCGATGACGGTGACCGAACATGGTCAATCACTTCTGCACAGAAAACAGGTCTTGGATAAGGGCTTTGTATGACGCTGCTTGTCCTTCTTTCTGGCAGACACTCAACCCTTTCGGACTGAAGACCAAACATCGTATTGATCTCAACCTTGTAGCTTACCTAGTGTTTGGTTTCAATTTATCTTGTTTCAAAACGCGGTTTGGGGAAGAAGGGCCGCGGCCAGGTCCTGGGCGACATTGTACAAGGATCGGATGGTAGGAGCTTGAGGTGGTTACTATTCGATGATATACTGACATTTTCTTTCTTTTTTTTCTCTGTGTTGTACTACTTTGTGTACACATCACCACTCGTAGCATTCCGGGGTCTTACCCCACTACCACTGCGATAATGACAGTGTTGAATTAAAATATATACTCTGACTCAGAGGAATTCGAAGCTTGCTGCATGTATGTATGTCACATATCGTGCACGATATGATTTCATGAAAACTAGAGATCTCCATAGCCATGCAGCAATCGATTATCGATGATATCAAAGCCCGTTATCCCCAAGGGACTCCCTTCCCACGGCGCCGTAAATCAGGACCCGAATTTAATCGGCCTTAAGGTTCAGGGGTCTTTACCGTACCGTCAGGTCAGGTCAGGTCCGGTACGTTACCTGATACCTACAAGTAGTCTCTACACCGGTGTACCCAGGTACCTCCCTGACTAATCCCTAATCAGCCCCCCCCCCGAGGCCCCGACGCCGTTGCCTCTTGCTTACACTTCCTGTCATCAACCTGTTTCACATTGTTTGCCACCGCAATTCTTGGAATTCCTTTCAGAAACGAAAGGCAATTCAAATCACAAACAGACCCGAGAGTAGGAGTCCGGAAAGTGAGAGCAAATGTGGTGTGGAACTGGCATATTTTGCAGCAACAATAACCCTAGTTAGGGTATGATTCATTCTAGGACTGTTAGATGATCCATCACGAAATTCGAAGGTCTCGCTTCTTTTCATGCCCGACAGAGACGTGGATCTGCCGCTCGAGCATAGATTTGATTCGATCAAATCTTGGCCAGGTTCTGAATTACCCCATACTTGGAGTCGATTGTCATTGAGCATGGCTGACTGGTTGAACGAGCCAATATGATTCGCACACACGATCTCCAGTCCATCCAGAATGCGCTGCACGAGTCCAATCAATAGCAACGAGAATAATTCCACCGGACGCTCGTTTCGCCGATCAGACTAACTTCTTCCCACCCACTCCGTACAGTAAGAACTCATGCCTGTCACTTTTCTGACATGTGCAGTCAGACCCCATTATTTCTTGAAGAAAGTGGCCTTTGCTCCCCCCCCCTCCGGAGGGCCAATGATCGACCCCCCTCGTTAACTAGCTGCTGGTTTCGCCTCAGTCTGACTCTGCGATGAAACTGACCTGAGATCCGCTGCCACACGTGATTTCCATCGTTGGACGTTCGGAGAGATTCACGATGGTGGATTGAGTCTCCAGACTTGTCTGGCTATCTTCGCTTCCTCTCCACCACCGCCCCCCGGCACTAAATTAGTTGGTCCTCGTTTGGGCCACTTTTCTCTGCGATCTGCTCTATTGATCTACTTTTCTCGTCGAATGGAAATTTCTCCGAATGGGGACGAAAGGTCTCGAATGCCAGGTGGCAAGGGGCACTGAAGTTGCGGTCAAAGAAAATAGCCCACCGCCAGAGTCATCGCTTCCCCCCTCTCCCCTCTCCCTCCCCTCCTCTAGAACGATCTCCCCACATTCTCCGACGACATGAACAGAATTACCGCCGAGGGTTTTTTTCTGGACAACGCTCTCGGCAATTATAGTGGGCGCGAAGTGCGCCTAAGGCTAGTAATCGACTTTTTTTTTGCCCACTGTATCTCGTGCTAAGAATCCCTGTCTGGCAAGTTGGTTGAAAGATGTCTACTTATCATCTCGACGTCTGAACAGTTTTGTTGCCCAACCCCGCAAAGCCAAATCGCTTGGCCCCTTTTGCTTTTGTTGTGAGGGAAGCGCATTCATCTGATGATGAGTCGTGACTCGTACGGTGGTCTCGGAATGGTCAAGCCGAAGGGTCTCATTCCGGAAGCGCTGTTCCACCATCACCAACCTTTGGCTGTAACGACGAGAGGGGGCGTTTGCGGGAATCTACAGCTCCTATCCGAGACGGAACGCACATCTTTTTGTCCAGGCTTTTGTGGGGTACCCACTGGCTACCTAACGGTTGATCGGAGCTTCCGGCTACTGCAGCCATCTGCTATCACGCCAGCAGTCAGTCAAGCTAAAGCGGAGATAGCCGTGTTTGGTGACGCTCGCACCATGATAATCTGGCTAAACGGCTAGCCTGCCTAGTGTCGTGGCCATAGGGTCCTGTGTACCCTGCCCGCTTGTCTTGTACAGTATTTCACAGCTACCCATCCCGACCATTCCCAAGGAGTCACGTATCGCTTTGAGCTCTCCCTCCAGAGCAATCACTGCAAGTGAGTTGGCCAGTGGGACAGATATAGTTCTGCCATTGGCCTGTTCTGGGTGTGAGATGGCACTGGCATCGTCTTTTCTGACTGGACGCCAGATCTTTGAGCGTCCTGCACCTAGGGGAAGTTGGGAGCCCATGCTTGAGCCTTGTTGCCTTAAAATACGTCCAGAAGAAAGCTTCTTGGGCATCATCCGCTGGGCTAGAACCGAGAGGCTCTACTAGGTCCGGAACTTCGTTCCCATGCTGCAACTGGCTCCATGGGGAAATGGACGGGGGTATCACTTACATTAGGTCCTACAGTACGGTTGATGCGTTGGATCTCCCATTTTGGACCGGGGACTTATGCTGTGGCCCCCCCCGATTCTGTCATGAGATGTCACTTCGAAAGGCATGCAACTGTATTCTGCCGCTGAAGCAGGAGAACTTTCCCGGTTGATGGATCATAGTTCATGACGCAATTGTGCAGTGGAGTGTCGTTGATAGAGTTTGTCTTTTCTTTCTCGGACTTTTTCTTTTCTTTTTGATTGCCATGAGTCAAAATCTGTGACAGGTCACTTTGAATGCTATCGATGATTATCTCGCTTTAGATCAAATGATCTATCAACGTAGGTATTTGTATTCATCTGTTACTTGATACGGAGTAGATTCGAGTACGTCAAGTCAAGGGATTCTTCCTATACATTCAGTTCATCTAACTATTCATTCGGTATATAGGAAGCTGGATTGTACTCTTTGCGTGAGGGAAAATTCAAACCCTCGGAGACCAAGATATGCCTTCTCTAATTGTTCTTAGTAGGCCAAATCAACGGATTTAGTTCTCAGGAGAAATCATCTAAGTACAGGATAAAAGTTGCTAGAGAAAACAGTTTGGAAGCCAGTGCCATTTGTACACGGCAAACCTCGTTGTTTTGACGCAGTTCGTGCCGCTAGATACGGTATATCTGTAAAGAGCTCATCTGGATCAGCCTAGGAGAATCAGTTTCTCGCGTCCCGGTGCTATGTATTCAGTTGTTTGAAGAATGATCATTTAAATCAATTTCTCTATAAGGTTTCCATTCATTTCAAAAATTTGAGGATGAAAGATAGAGACCACGGCGATGGGTCGTTACTACCTGCAAATCACTAGAGATGATCTTGGGTCCCGGTCTTTTCTAGTTTTGACTATCTGATGTAGTAGGATAGGACTGAGTCTTTTTTTAGTATCGTTACTTGGTATGAATAGCATAGGAAATCATTTCAATGATATCCAGAGCCTCGATTACATACATTCTTACCCCGAAAATTCATTGGTTACCTGGTACACAAAGTCAAGAATGGATAGTTTTCAGGAATAGAATGTGGAAGCAAGGCTCGGAAAGAATCCCGGGTCAGGTTCGCGTGTAAACGATTTTGGAGATCTCAGCCGAGAAAAGAGATGGAAAAGACGCAAAGTAAAGCACCGGAGGATCTTGGGATGATCAAGATGGAGATGAGGGGGAAAGAATGAGTCTCACACGTGGTACAGAGTTTTAGTTCAATTATCGGGCTTCTCTTGGGATCAGCACCGTTGGATACATATTCCATATTCATCAGTACTCAAGTCAGATGCCTCATGGCGGGACAGCTCAACTAAGGAATTCCTCTCACGGTATCTCATGTCAAATTTATCCCACATTTTCGTCAGTGCTGAGTGCAACAGGGCTGTCCGGTCTCTTGTTTTCCTGCAGATCTTCCGGGACTAGATCCTTGACGGTTGCCTCCTGTTTAGCGTAGGGGAAGGAAATAGATGCAGCCGAACACTTGTGGCTATTATCTTGACCATGGTTCGATTTGAAAATGCACCATTCTAGGCTTTGAACCGATCCCATTGTTCTCGTCAATTTGTCGTAGGAAATTCTTGGGAAGGGAGCCGGTGGGTGCGGAGGAAGTATATCATTTAGAAGCATACGCTTGGAAAGCAGCCCAAACATCATCGAACTGCATCTGAAGCAACATCCGCTGCGAGCTCCACTCAAGAAGGCGTCTCGCTGTTCGTTGAGAGAGGCAAGTGTGGTGGCGATCACCCTTTCTCTGCGGCTATTCAGTTCATCTAAGCGGTTGTCAATGTTTTCTTTCTCTCTATTGACCATTCCCAAGAACTTACCAATCAGCCATTTCGGAATTGGCAGACCAAGGCTTGTCACCGAGTGCTTGGAATGGCGGATAACAGCTGCCGTTAGCCTTTTGAATGCCGATGATCGTTTGAAGACCCAGGTAATCCACATGCTGAGCATCAGATCACGGTGATCTTTCGGGAGAGGCTCATCGTCCGGAAGATTGAACCACTTTGAGGCGAAGAATTCGACAGATTCTTGACATTCGTAGTAGTCCGCCAGGACTGTGACTTTGGCCAGCAATTCCAGACTCACAGCTTTGGGTACCTTTTGAGGTCGAGCGTGGAAAATATTCATCAAGATCAAAAACGCTTCCAGGTCCCAGCCATCTGCTGTTATTTCCACCGACCCCTTCTCCAGCAGGCTGGTCCCTTCTTTCCATCCCCCTTTGAGGGCTCTCTCGAAGACAGCAGAGGCTAGAGTGAGGTGCTTTGCAGAAACCTGTATTAGATAGCATTTAGTTGTTGGTTCTTCAGAAGCTGGCGTTTCACCGTCGGAGTCTTCTTCACTCGACAAGTCTGTACTGGGATCACTAGAGTCATCACTGGATTCTGAGGAAGAAGAATCCTCGGAAGACGAGGTTTCATCAGCTGCAGGTGACAACTCAGCTGATGAATACTCGGCAACTAGTAAGGTAGACCCACTGGCGTTGGAAGCCTTAGACGTCTTTTTCCTCTTGCGAGCTACCTCCTCTTCTCCTGGTCCTCGCTTTCTTTTCTGTCCCTGATGGATTAAGGCAATGTCAGCGTTGTTGCTTGTATCCTCATCGTATTTGGCTGGTTGATTCACTTGCGCCATAAGGAGCAAATGGATGGCCTGTGCATTGTAACACTATGATGACTTCGCCCTGGGGATCAAAAGTGTGGGTTGCTGCGGCCATGGCGTAGATTTGGTGATTCGAGAAACTGATGTAGGTAGGGTTATTCAAATCAAGGTCAAGCTGCAAAGAGGCAGATGATTGCTGATGCGCAATTTTCGATGTCGTTGATGAAGCAGAATGGAAAGGGTGACTGCAAGTCTTGTCTTCTTTCTCTTGTACAAGTGAGAGTTTGGGGGGTGCCAGGAATCAAGGTCAGTGGGTAGCAGAGTCACTTTGTTTTGTGCGTTTGCATTGTCCTCGATTGACTGGTCACGCGTCAACAACAGTACCCGACTTTCATTAGCAAGAAAACAAAGGTCAGTGAGCGTGAGAGAGAAAAAGATCATGAATTTTACAATTGACAATATTAGCATTTTTAATCAGTGCAGTACAAAGTATAGGCATGCGATACGCCTCTCACAAACCATGAAGTATGAGAGAACGCCAATGAACGGTACGACAATCTTCAAGTTAAATGGCCTTCAAATCGTCAAGGGCTTCTTGACCAAGATGCTCTAATTCTGAACACCACGCCACAACTTTGCTACCCATGACTTCTTTTGACCATCGGTTCCCTGTACCTGACCGCGGCCTTCGTCGACAGCAACGCCGCCATTATCAGTGCCGTCAACCACATTCTGAGTGCGTCCCAAGTAGTAGTTTGGCATCAAAAGACCAGCAATCAAAGGAATCACCGAAAGACATAAAGCGGTCAAGTACATTGGTCGGATGGTATTGGTGAACGCACGGATACCGGCTTCTCGCTCTTCGGTGCCCCAGGCGAACATCGCCCGGGCCTTAGTGCCACTGCCATAGAAGACAGTGGCATCCTCGCTCGTAAGTCCTTCATTCAGCAAGTGGCCCATATACGTGCTGGTGTACATGTGGGAGGAGATGGCGGAGCCAACAGAAGAGCCCAGTTTGGTCCAGAGAGACAGCTGCGAGATGATGGCGGCGAGATCCTGATGCGGCACTGAGGCCTGCGAGGCCACTCGGGTTCCCACGACAGAACATGCACCACCCATGGCATTGAGGATCTGGGACATCACCAGCGCGCCGGTGCTGGCGTGCGGACCGACGGCCCAGTAGGTGATACCCAATGCAAGTATTCGCAAAGACAGACCGAAAATCTGTAGGACCTTGTACCGGTGGAAGATGCGGTGATACAAACCCGCCAAAATGCCAAACATGGTGAGTGCCACCGTGGTGATGGCCACAAAGTTGCCCCAGTTGTAGTTGTCCCATGGCTTGATGACATAAACCCAGGTGGTAAAGTAGGTCGAGCGAATATTTCCACTGACCATGTAGAAAATATCGATAACCACCGCACAGATAAACGTTTTGTTGTGCCAGACTCGACGATTCAGTAGGGGATAATTGGCCCACAGGACGTCCCATAGAATGAAGAGGACGAGTATCACGAAACCGCAGACTATCATAGCAATCATAGAAGCGTTTGACCAGCCGCCGTCTGCGTCGCTGACTAGACTGAATGGAAGCAATATCAGGGCAAATGCTAATCCTAGGAGCATCAAACCAATGATGTCGATCTCATCGAGAAGTTGCCAAAAGGTTTTAAGGCGGTTTCGTAGAGTGGACCGCTGGATCTGCATGGTACCGGCCTCTTCAGCTCGTCTGGTCTCAAGACGACTTGCGGCAAAGGAAAGCTCGCCTGCCTTTTTGGCCTGGCGATCTGCGTAAAAGAGAGTGAGGATGATAGGGGTTACCAAGACTGGTGCAATGATACAGAACATCCCATATCCCCATCTCCAGCAGTTATCCGTATTGCCAGTGCAGAGACTCGCCTGAATTTTGGAGCCAACGAAAGGTAGGAAGAGGAAAGGAAACGAGGTCATGGCGCTGGTAAAGCCACGCCATTGCAGCGGACTCAGGTCACCGACGATGATATCCGTCACCAAATCGAAACCAGCCTGTCCAGTCGATGAGATAACACGACCAACGCATAGCGCAACTGCATTGGGTGAAGTCGCCACAACGACGTACCCAATCACGTAGGAAACCAAGATTAAAAGGTATGCTGTCTGTCGAGAAAAGACGTCGCAGATTTTGGCAAGAAAAGGCTTCGACACGGCGATGATGATAGCCTCGGCGATTTCAATCACACCGATGTAGGACTGGCGATTGAAGGCTCCCGTGGCGTAAACATCGTATGCCGACGTGGTAGACTGGTCAAGCGAGAAGGAAACAGCAACGGCAAAAATGCAGAAGTAGAGGGTAATTGCGACAGGATGTCGACGACCGAACAGGCGGGAAAAGGATTCAATGCGACTAACTCCGCTCTGCTGAACATTGTGTGCTTTTTCACCGTCAGCCATGCGAAAATTGATAACATGTTCTCCCTTGGTGCCATTCTCCCGCTTGGTCAGTTCGGGCAGTTCGGTCTGCACTGTGATTTCAGGCTGACTAGTACCTTGTGTTGCCTTGACAGGATCCATAATGTGAAGAAGGAGAAAATCTTAGCCTGATCAGAGACAATAAGAGTCATGCACAGGGCTCAGTCGTGGTATATATACCAATATTAACTGGCTACCACCGGTATAATACTTACTTTCTACGGGGCGGCGACTCATTCCTCTCCGAAACCCCACTGTAGAAACTGCTGCTAGAGTTATCAGATCCGGATTCTGAGACACTGCAGCCAATAGACAGCATTTTTCCAGTGGGATTTCGATCCTTACGGCCTCTCTAGTCCCCGACCATGCCAGCTTTTGGCCTCCCAATATCAACAACGACCAAATTCCTAAAAGGGTTGTTATAAGTGGAGCTGTTCGGCGATGGTCCTGCGAATCAAGACGAGCATCGGAATCAGATTAGATGCCAAGCCAGCCGACTCCTGCCTGCAATCAATTCATCGGAACTTGGCACTGGATGAGGCCAATCTTTATTTGTCTGGCTGAATCTAGCGCATGTTCCAAATGGGATATCTTCTGCGAGCGTCCTCGTCGACGGCGAAAACTCTGCGCGAGACTGGTTGAAATGGTATGATCTCCCGTCTCTCGATTCCGTGTCTCTAGTCATCGAATGGTTCTGGTCAATCAAAAGTGGGTGGAGCTATATTTCGCTTTCTCGATGGATGAACTTGGCTGTGTGGCCAGGAAAAGCCTGTTAGCCACGCCTTTCTAGTTGCAGGCTTATGTGAACGGGCAGAGTCCCCTTCCCATGCAAAGTTTATATCCTTCTTCCAGGAACTGGGGCAATGAATGATGCAGTAACATTTTCTCGATTATTCGTGCATTGAATCACTCAATGTCGAGACAAGGCTCCAGCCAACCAGATAGGCACGTCGCACACAGGAATACCCCTAGGGCAAACATTGTGGCAAGGTATTTGCTAGGACTCTGATCTCTGCTCTTTGGTTTTCATTAGCAGCAGTCTCATCATCTTCGAGTGCACTTCACGTACTGCTCAATAACTTTATAGTGTTAAGGATTGCCTATCCTATGAACTGTTTTTCAGCAGAAGGTACTGCATATTCTCATAGGATGCTTATCGAGCAATTCATATTGACGGCATTGTTCACTACTTTGTTGAGTCGACGGTATGGCCGGTATACTACCAAAAGCAAACCCGAGATTATCAAGCGTTTTCGATCATCGAGATAATGCTAGTTTTAGTTGCCGTGGTCATCTCCAATTAACTGGTTGTTTGAGTGCAAATTAAAGAGGCGCCGCATCACATTCCAAGACAGATGCATATTGGACCATATGTGATCGAACACTGATATCCAATCTGTTCCCCAGACAATTCAGCAAAAGCCTCCCCACCAATTTGACTAGGGGGACCTCTTAAAGCGACTTCTCTAATTTAGGGAGCATGGAATGGGCTGACTAACCCTGTACTCCCCTCATCACGAATCACTGGTAGGAGTCGGAAATTCTCTCACGCTAGGGACTTAGAAATGGAGTATGCTTGCTCAGCGAGATAAGCGAGAACTCATCAAGGCCAGTCCCGGACCAATGCCTACGCGCGGCCATACATGGTGGTAGCGCAGTCTGTAACCCTCCTGCCATTCTCAGCCCGGCTTTAGATGCCATAGAAGCCCAAGTTGGAGGTGGGTCTGGCGAGTAGGTAGGGACTAGGAATTCCTCTGTTGGCCCCGTGGATCAATTTCCTATCATTCGAGTGACCTTCTCCTCTTGCTGTCATGCATTCCCTCCTTCAAAGTCTTTCAGCTCCTTGTCCTCCAAGGTTTCTTCTTTCCGAGATCCTCGGGCTCAAATAACGTTTGTTCCTCAGCCTTGCCTCATGACTCCTATCTGAGAAGTTGTTGGTTAGCCCCAAATGAGATACAGTATGGGGGGTTATCACAAACCCTCGCGATATGTGACAGCAAGTATGCAGTGATCTTGTGGTGGAATTCCTTTTGGGTAAGGCGTCACTCTCTTAAAGAGGCCTACCTCCTCAAATGACTTTGTGGTGGCGCTGAAAACTCCAATATTGCTATCCAAGAGCAGTTTTAGTGCCTATCTTATGTTTGGTGGATGCACACTGATCACGGCTCTGCTTTGTGCAATCCTGATGCCGGAGACGAAAGGGAGATATCTGGATGAAATCGAGGACGCATTCAAGTCCAAGTCTCTGGGCTCGCAGGCTTTAGCAAATGTCATCCGTCCGCGTAAAGTTGATCCTTAGAGGCAGACGATTACCAACGTTAGGGGTGAGCTGTTTTGAACGCACTTGTGGATGTCATGATACACCTTCAATTGGCACCGTGGCTTAATAAAAACAAAGTAAACTCAATCGAGGCCTATCATGCTATCGACATCAGGTCCTTCGTCGGAATGGTCGCGCTGTTCCAGGGTGTATAACAGTGGGTCTACTTGGCCGTTGCAAATGCCGTGTCAGCCTTGTGAACCCCACTCCAGGTGGCTGAGTTGGTCAAAAGAACATATAAGTAGTCCTTGCACTCTTGATTCTTGCAGTATGTTCTCTTAAACTTACCTAATACCCAAGACCTCATTATTTCAGGTATTTTGACAACTTATAAGGACTTCTTCGCCTCATTTCAAAGATGTGCTCCCAAGCCCTTGAACAGATAGATCAGGAGCACGGGGCACTGGTTTTCAAAGGTCTGCAATGGCTGGCTTTTGCTACAAGGCCGCTTTACATCGAGGAGTTCTCGGAGTTAAGCCTAGTTACTGGCAGTCACGAAGGTCGAATCAATCCTGCTCGGCGATTTTCAGACCCGCGGGATATTGTTCGAATGTTCCCGAGTTCTTTGGTGACGACGACAATCGCAGGAGATGGCGAGTCTGACTCGGTCGCTTTCCAAGAGCAACGGCAGCAAATACATCTTGCCAGTTCCTCCGTGAAAGAATACTTGCTCTCAGATGAGATCCAAACAGGATCTGCAAAACGATACGCTCTTAGCGAGACCAAAGCACATGCATCTATTGCTGCCGATTGCCTCGTATACCTTTTGCGGTTCGGCCAGCCATATACGATGCTAACCGAGGTTGTCCGTTCGTCTGGTCTCTTGCGCTATGCAACCAATTACTGGGCTGTTCATGCGAGACATGCTGGAGCAGAGATATCCGGGATCCTTCCTCTGATCAGGGAATTCTTCGCGTCCAATGTGGCATACACCAATTGGACGGCCTTCCTCGACGGGTTTAGACCATTCGATGGACCCGAGGGTGCTAAGGGCAATTCGCTGACACAGTCTCCCGACCCAATCTATTATGCCGCATCGTTCGGACTCCTCACGATTGTTCAAGATCTACTTCACGACGGTGCCCCGGTTGATAGCCGAGGACCGGCAGGAACGGCACTGGCGGCAGCATCTTTGGCGGGAGATATCGATATGGTGCGGTTGCTAGTTGATCATGGCGCAGATGTGAATTCTGAAGGGCCTTTGGGTCAGCCGATCAGGCTGGGTGCGCAGAATGGGCATTTGCAGGTGGTGGATTTTCTAAGCAAGAAGGGAGCGCAAGACCGATAGATAGACAGGAAGGGGGCTAGTGCGCTTTGGGTTAGCACCAGTTGGTAATCATGTTGTAGTCTAGCCCTTTCGGGACAGCTTGTGGATGACATAAGCGGCCCCTCGGAGCAGGAAATTAATTCGGATCTTTTCCCCTCGCCGATAACGAAAAGAAATTGTGCCCTCCACTTCGGCACCAGCATGACTCTGTCTCCCGCACCGCTTCTTTGACGTAAACGGTTCCTGGAGTCGGTCATAGGTGCAAATCACCGTCGTGCCAGCCATGCCTCCCCGTAAAAGGCCTCAGGCTGTTGCTGCCAGCGCTCGAGCAAAGGCATCAGAGGTGAGGCAAAAGTTTCTCCGCACCGGCGATCGATTTCATTTGATTCTATGCGATGGATTGATGCTAACATTCTATGATTTCCTGCTGTAGTCTGCCGCCAAAGCAGCCGCTGCCGAAGCAGAAAAGCAAAAAGCCGCCTCCCTGTCCAACCCGCCGCCTGCGCCGGAAAAGTCCGCGGAGGAGAATGCTCAGTCGCAAAATCAGCAGGGAGAAGATTCGCATACGTCCTACCGCCATCGGGATCCATTCGACGCTCTCCTCGAACCTTTCTACTACAATAAATCTCTCACGGATCCCATCAATACCGCCAAGGATAAATGGAACCTGTTGCCCGCATTCCTGAAGGTCAAAGGGCTGGTGAAGCAACATATTGACTCATACAACTACCTCGTCGAAGTGCAGCTGAAAAAGATCGTGGAGTCCAGCTCAACTATCCGCAGTGATGTGGACCACAATTTCTACATCAAGTTTACCGACATTTACCTTGGGGCGCCGCGACGTGCCGACGAGCCGCAGGATGTTGGGGTTGCCTTTGATGGATCGTCGGTGTCTCCCCAAGAGTGCCGACTTCGAGACACAACGTACGCGGCACCCATTCAAGTCGATTTCGAGTATCTCCGTGGTCGCCAAAGGGTGAAGAAAATTGGTGTCTGCATTGGAAGAATGCCGGTCATGCTTCGCAGTTCTAAATGTGTTCTGTCTAACAAGTCGCCGGCGGAGATGACCGTGCTCAACGAATGTCCCCTGGATCCCGGTGGTTACTTCATCGTCAACGGAACGGAAAAGGTCATTCTTGTTCAAGAACAGTTGAGCAAAAACAGAATTATCGTCGAAACAGACCCCAAGAAGGAAATTGTTCAAGCATCTGTTACCAGGTAAGCCCAGACTATCGCCCTTTTGCATAGGTCAAGTGTCTTCCTTACTAATTATTTCTCCAAGTTCTTCCAACGAGCGCAAGTCGAAAAGTTATATCATTCTCAAGAAAGACAAGCTTTATGTGAAGCACAACGTTCTAAACGAAGACATTCCCATCGTTATTCTACTGAAGGCCATGGGAATTCACACCGATAAAGAGATGATGCTTCTCGTCGCTGGAATTGACAAGGTGTACCAAGAGGACTTTGCGATTAACTTCGAGGAGGCCATCAAGCTTGGTATTTACACACAGCAGCAGGCTTTGGACTGGATCGGTGCCCGTATCAAAATCAACCGCAAGCAAATGTCATACCGTCGAACTCACGTGCAGGAAGCCGTAGAGGCCATTGCATCCGTGATCATCTCGCACATCGAGGTCAATGATATGGACTTCCGGCCCAAGGCCATCTATGTTGCGCACATGGCTCGCCGTGTACTCATGGCTAAGAACGACTCTTCGCTTGTGGATGACCGCGACTACCTTGGAAACAAACGGCTGGAATTAGCTGGTCAGCTGTTGGCGTTGCTTTTCGAAGATTTGTTCAAGAAGTTCTGCTTTGACATCAAGATGAACGTTGATAAGGTCTTGAACAAGCGTAATCGGGCTGAAGCATTTGACGCCTGGAGTGTTATGAGCATGCACAGCAATCATATCACTCAGGGTATGAATCGCGCTATCTCCACTGGTAACTGGAGCTTGAAGCGTTTCCGTATGGAAAGGGCTGGTGTCACCCACGTGCTCAGTCGACTGAGTTATATCGCCGCACTGGGTATGATGACCCGTATCAGCAGTCAGTTCGAAAAGACCCGCAAGGTCAGTGGACCCAGAGCTTTACAGCCATCGCAATTCGGTATGCTTTGTCCAGCAGATACTCCAGAAGGTGAAGCCTGCGGTCTTGTTAAGAACCTTGCGCTTATGACACACATCACCACAAACGACGAGGAGGGCCCCGTCAAGAACTTGGTTTTCATGCTGGGAGCCGAAGATATCGCAACGGTGGGTGGAAAGGAGCTGTATGGGCCTGGATGCTATACGATTTCGATCAACGGAACGCCGATGGCACTCACTCGCCGCCCGAAATTCTTCCTGAACTCCTTCCGAAGACTGCGCCGGATGGGCCGGATCTCCGAGTTCGTCAGTATCTACATCAACCACCACCAGCGGGCCGTCCACGTTGCCACCGATGACGGGCGAATTTGCAGACCTTTGATTGTTGTCGAGAATGGGAAGTCTCGCGTGAATGCAGAGCACTTGAGCAAGTTGCGCGAGGGTACAATGGAATTTGACGACTTCCTTGCTCAAGGATTGGTAGAATATCTTGATGTCAACGAGGAGAACGACTCACTTATCTCCATTTACGAGAAAGACATCAGCGAGACAACCACACATTTGGAGATCGAGCCGTTCACTGTTCTTGGTGCTGTGGCCGGTCTAATTCCGTATCCACATCACAACCAGTCGCCTCGAAACACTTACCAATGTGCCATGGGTAAACAAGCTATTGGCGCAATTGCATCGAACCAGTTCCTCCGTATTGATTCCATCCTTTACCTTATGGTGTACCCTCAGAAACCGATGGTCAAATCCCGCACGATCGAATTGACAAAGTACGACCATCTCCCCGCTGGACAAAACGCCATTGTCGCGGTCATGAGTTACTCCGGATACGATATTGAGGATGCGCTGGTATTGAACAAGGGCTCTGTTGACCGTGGATTTGGACGTTGCCAGGTGTTTAAGAAGCAGGTTACCAACCTGAAGAGTTACTCCAATGGCACGAAAGATCGATTGAGCCCGCCCCAGTATGAAAATGACGCTCCTATCCGAAAGCATGCTCTCCTTGAAGGGGATGGTCTGGCTTCGGTTGGTGAACAAGTCAACGCAGGCGAGGTCTACATCAACAAGGCTACTCCTGATCAATCGCACGGCTCCGGAATCACCGGCTCTGACGTTGGTCGACCGGTCCAATACATGCCAACTCCCATGACCTATAAGCTCCCTGACCCGGCGTACATTGATCAGGTCATGGTCTCCGTCACCGAAAACGAGAACCAGCTTGTCAAGGTGCTCACCCGTCAAACGCGTCGGCCCGAAGTCGGTGACAAGTTCTCATCCCGTCACGGACAGAAGGGTGTCGTGGGTATCATCGCGGATCAGGCCGACATGCCCTTCACCGACCAAGGAATCAACCCTGACATTATCATGAACCCCCACGGTTTCCCCTCTCGAATGACAGTCGGAAAAATGCTTGAGCTGGTCGCCGGTAAGGCCGGCGTCCTTTCGGGTCAGCACGGCTACGGCACCTGCTTCGGTGGCAGTCCCGTCCAGGAGATGTCGCAGATCCTCATCGACAAGGGATTCAGCTACGGTGGCAAGGACTACCTCACGTCCGGTATCACCGGTGAAGCTCTCCCCTTCTACGTCTTCACCGGTCCCATCTACTACCAGAAGTTGAAACACATGGTTCAGGATAAGATGCACTCCCGTGCGCGAGGCCCTCGCGCCATTCTCACCCGCCAACCCACGGAAGGTCGTTCTCGAGACGGTGGTCTACGTCTCGGTGAGATGGAACGTGACTGTCTGATCGCGTACGGAACGAGTCAGCTGTTGCTCGAGCGACTGATGATTTCGTCTGACCGTCACGAAATCGACGTCTGCGAGCAGTGCGGCTTCATGGGCTACCTGAACTGGTGTCAGCGGTGCAAGTCTTCTCGCAGCGTGGTCAAGATGGTTATTCCGTACGCGGCTAAGCTGCTAATTCAGGAATTGATGAGTATGAACGTTACGGCTCGGTTGAAGCTTGAGGACGAGTTTCCCGAGATGAAGGGACGGTAAAAACGCAAAATGAACTGAAGAGAAAAGTGAAACAGGATGCAAATAAGGAAAAGTTGGTCTTGGCCATGAAAAGTGTTCCAGAAAAGGCGTTCAGTGATCAATGTACATATCGTTTGTATGCATAGCGCACGGTGACTTGGTTTGAATAGAGTTTTGATTCTTGTTCAGGATATAAAATGTAGGGGTCTTGTTTCTGCTGGTTCACAATATATCACTCGGAAATCTAAACATACAAGTATTCCCTGTGCTTGCAGCAACCTATATATGGAAAGGTCGTATATACGTCTAGGTCTGAAGACGCCAAAACGAAAAGAACGGAAAAGGGAGATCGTTCAGGGGCTCCAACCAACAGTAGCCTCCAACAGGCGGCAATCCTGCATTGAGGTGCACCTCCTTGACATAACATGCAAGTACTGTACCTAGTTTCAGGGCACCTCGATTGAAACAGAACACAATTAACAACTGATTTTAGTAGTCACTGGCAGAACTGCAGACCACATCTGTTCCATTTCAATACTTCTTTACCGCATCTGATAGTTTCAAATGCTTACTCACGATCTCCCAATACCGCTGCGGATCGGCCCTCATATGAGAAACATGCGGCGAGCCATCGAACTTCTCCCGCCGAACCACCCACCCCCTAGACTGCGCTTCGGCTGCATGCGCCTCGATATCCATCCAGTTGACCAGCTCGTCTGCATCGGAATATATATAACACCGGCGTGGGGTGTCTTTGCCGCCAGTCCCGCGCACCACGGACGGGTCGTTGGCCGCCTGGCGCGCGATACTCACAGCATCCAGCTTGCCGGTTATTCTACGGTTCCAGTGGCTCAGCACCAAGAACACCCAGAGCAGCACCTTGCCGCAGATGCGAAGGAGCCAGAATTTGGGCAGGATGAACGAGAAGGCCCTCATTGCGGCGGGCACGGTGGCGAGCCCCGGCGCGCTGTCGAAAATGATCGATGTCAAGCGTAAATCAGTTCCCGTTGCCTTGTGGTAGGCTGAAAGCAGGTTGGTGGAGGTGAAGACACCGCCATTGGAGAATACGTGCAGATAGACTGGGCTCTCCGGAGTAGGAAGCGAAGCCTGCAGGGCTTTGATAGCGGGGGCGAGGCGCTCATGCTGCGCCTGGGAGGTGGAATGGAAGAGAAAATCATTTGAGGTGCTGAGAATGAAGATGATCCGAGCAGATGGGGCTAAGCGCTTATACTCGACCACGTACTTGGCTAATGCCCTGGCAGGGGCATTCATCCAGAATGAAAGTACGATTGTTGGGGGCGGGTTTGGACCGTTTTTTGAAATGGTATCGGGCTCAGAGATATAAACCGAGGGCGAGAGCTTGGTAAAGATGGCCAATGGATCATCCGGTCTAGGATTGGAAGTCATTGTAGATTGATGAGGCTGTGGTGGTTGAGGCAGGTTATGAACAGTTCTTCCAACCGAGGTAAACGGTAGGGCCAAGAGGCGAGAAATATCAATGAATGTAGAATCCTGTTAACAGATACGACTCAACAGGTCTAACACTTGATGCTCGGGGGGATTGAATGAAGTTAAGTGCCCAAGGCGCAGTCGATCCGTATTAAACGGGGGCGGCGCTCAGCGATAAGTCGCCGTTCGGAAGGCCGCAGCAAAAGAGTCTCGGCGTTCCCTGCTGCCGTTAGTCACGAATACGTTCAGTCCAAGCCTTTCGGGGCATCAGGGCTATTAAATTGCAATCTTGGCTTACTAGTCATTCTCTACTTGCGTCGCACTAAAGCGATGAAACGAAAACAGTAACTCCTAATTAAACGCCAGTCCTCGCTATGCTCTATGTTAAGTCCGACCTGTGATTTGTTTGGTGCCCCCTGATATTGAGAGACGACATGGTTGGTATTCGCCAGGTAGAAAGTAGAAGAAGATCGAAGGAAATAAGATCGTCGACGAGAAACGCCACAAATACCATTAACCCATTGCATTGTTCACACGACATTACGTAGGAGTTGCCGAACCCCCCGTGTCCTTCTTCTTCCCCCGAAGCGTCTGTCCAGCTCCTTGGAAGCGTGGCTTCTCTTCCTCTACAACTTCCCCGCTTTCATCTCGCTTCTTCACAGGCTTGATCGCATACCCAAAGAACAATTGATTTGGCGGCAGCCGTAGGGGCTGGGGTCCGTTGGTCCTTTTGACTGGTGGAGGGTGTTGCGGATTACTGGCCCCCGGTGTGGGCGTCGAAGCCTTGGGGGTTGGTGTTTTGCTGCCCTTCTTGGCATTCAAACGATGTCCACCAACGAGAAAATTTGACGACACCGCTCGCGCACCTGTGGCAGCATCGGTCGATTCAGGTGCAATGGCAGCATAGTTGATTGCCTGTGCCATTGTCCCTTGTGGATGAAGTAATCCGCCCGACGGCAGCTTCCCAGTGCCACTCCGAGGGGTGCTGGTGCCGCTCTGACGTTGGATCTCCTCGTATCCGACGGGCGGCGCGAAGTCGACTTCCAGATCTGTTTCCAGAACGGAGACAGCCTTCGCGTTCGTCGAAGGTTTTGTTTCCAGAACCGCCATCTCGTACACCTGATCATTGTATGCGAAGGTGAAAACGTCGCCCTTGGTGAGACAAGAGAAATTGCGGAAGGCATTTTCTAGGACGGCTTTGGGATCACTGATGTCAAGGAACGAGGTGGACTGAGCCTGCAGCTTGATGAATTGGCCGGGTGGAAGATCGGTCGACTTGATTTGAACGAGGTCACCGGGTTCGAGCAGGAGGGTTTGCATCAACTGCACAGGTCCCCGATAATCAGTACAGACGCGACAGGAAAGGCGAGCTATTTGATGACCAAGCAAAACCTACCCAGTAAGGTAAATAAATCTTCCCTTCTTCGGCGATGAACTCCAATACACCAGCATGGGTCATTCGCTCCCGAGCCCCGTTGTGTAGTTCGAAAAGCATAGGATATGTAATATGCAGCCGAGTCAATTTATCCAGGGCGCTGGGCGGCATGATGACCTTGCCGCCGTGGTTGACATTCTCTCGTTCGGGGCCGGGCATCATCACGACGGGGTAGCATCGATAGTATTCGTCAAAACGGCGCGCGGCTCCTCCAGAGCGAAGCATGGACGAACCGTAAACGCCCTCCATTGGGTCGTCACCCCAGTAATCCGGACGAAACTACTATCGTCAGTATACAAAGAGGTTGACCAGGACTGGAGCAGTGAGGGGTTTTACCATCTCGGAAGCTGAGGACGCTTGCGATCAAAATTTCCCGTAATTTGGGAGCTGGAATTAGGCAATTTGCGAAAGAAAGGCTCAATAGAGGTTGATGCTATCGACAAGATGGAGAAGTTGAGGGAAGGTCGTGGAGCAGTGATCGATCGCCCGCAGTGACGCAAATGCCTCCGCCATGATTTTCCGACCCGACCCCGGACAAGCTCGAGCGCGCATTTTCAACTTTCACTTTCGTAGCTTTTTTTCTAACTTCGACTCTTGCGGAAATTGCTTTATCTTTGTCATCTCAGTCGAAATTAGCCCTTCCCATTATACGCAAACCCGACTTCCAATGTCTGGCTTTCAAGCTCGCCCCAAGCGGGCGGGTGAAGACTTCTCGCGAACACACCATGAAGAAGACGATGCGAACGATCCTTCATCGAAGAAACCGCGGTTTGACCTGCGAAACCCCTCCACACTTGCCCCAGATGCCTTGGACGACGATGTTGTTTTAGATGCAGACGAAATTGGCCGTCGTGGACAACAAGTGCGCCGTAAAGCCGTCAATCTAGACGGTTACGACTCTGACAGCGACAACGAAGGCTTCGATGCGCGGTCGGAAGCCAAGTCAAAGGCCAGTCGCGCGAAACAGGATGCCGACGATGACGACATGTTTGCGGAACTACAAGAGGATTTCGGCGCAGAGGAAGTCGATGCCGACGAGGCCATGCGCAAGAACAAGAAGAATGTACGCTTCCTGCGAGATGACGAAATTGAGGGTCAAGTCGCCGGATCAAAGGGTGGAGGCACATTACATGCGGATCTAAGCCGAGGGCCCGGCGAAGTAGACGTGAACGAGGCAGAAAGCGACAGTGAAATTGGAGAGGAAGAACGTGCCAAAGTCGACGGGGAAATGGACGAGGAGCTAGGGGCAGGATCGAAGAAAAAGCATGCGCCCTTGCTTGACGCTTTCAACATGAAGACGGAACAAGAAGAAGGCAAATTCGATGAGCAAGGCAACTACATTCGAAAAGCTGTCGACCCCGATGCAGTCTACGATACGTGGCTGGAAGGCGTCTCGAAGAAGGAGATTCGACGCGCGAAGGAGGCTGCCGACAAAAGAGAGACTGAGAGGAAGGAAAAGGACAGGGCGAACGATAGTGTTCTTGCGTCAGATGTCTTGAAAACCCTTATCATCAACCTCAAGCGGGGCGAAACGATACTTGAGGCATTGGCCAGGATAGGCAAGGGAGCCCCCAAAAAGCCGAAATGGCAGAACAACCGCAACAAGAATAGATCCAAGCAAAAGGAGACCGCAGTCGAAGATACGGATATGACTGAAGATGATCCGAAAGAGGCTGCGCGGAAGAAGGCCATTGAGGATATTACGGGGGCGGCGGATATCCTCATGACCAGGGGCCAAGCCGACATATACGATACGGAACGTGAGCTACTGACTCGGCAATATCGTCGGGAAACCGGGGAAGAATGGGTTGATCCGCCGGAGGAGGACACCACGACCAACGGTGATCCTCAAGCTCTTACTATGTGGCAATTCCGTTGGTCTGATGCCCGCGACGGTGGAATAGTACATGGTCCATACGATAGTGCAACGATGGAGTCATGGAAACACGCTGGTTACTTTGGCGAGGGCGTTGAGTTTCGACGGACTACAGACACGGGCGAATGGAGCAGGGAAGCTGATTTCTCTCGATAATGAGTTACATGGACAAAAGACATACATCAAGAGCCAATCTGTGGAGTATCAAGCCACATCCTGGGATGTTTCGTTTCACAATTATCGTTCGAGCGTAGACACGCTCTTTTAATGCTATGATTTAACAGATTCCAATTCGAGACCCAATAACAAAATACCCACACAGCTGATTTCTGAGCAAAGCGCCAGCATTATCGTACATCACTTGATGTTGTAAAGAAAACCAAGGGAATAATAATAAAGAAAATGAAAAGTAACGAAAAACATCTCACAAATTTTTATTTCTTTTCCACACGCTCAATCACCCTGTTTACTCCATTCTTGCAACATCAGGCCCAATTTAGACCATTCATTTCAGAGTCACTTCACGAGATCTCCATGGCATCCCCATTCGCTGCTGCCGCGGAGAAGTTCACCGATCCCTGGTCACCGATGAAGCGCTGCTCATAGGCATTGACAAACTTGACACTTCGGGCAGGGTCGTAGAACAATCGGTAGCTGCGCTGAACGTCATCAATGCTGACCTCCTTTGCCTTCCGCTTCTGACACAGAAGATGGGATGTTGTGACAATATGACTGGCATATCGGAGGTTTGACTCTTGTCCAATCTTGGTGAGAAGTGCCAGAGCGTCTGGGGACAGATCGATCTCCTCCTCCTGTGCTCGGATGGCTAGGATTTGTCTTATTTCGTCGGCTGAGTATGGCTGGGTGCTAACGATCACCACACGGTCAAGGAAATCAAGAGGCAGTCCGTGAGGGGAGTTGTAGGTCGTTCCCCGAATCCGAGCATGACCACGGTTACTAGCCATGATCACGATGGGGGCGAGTTCAGCCTCCAAGGCACGGTTGACATAGGAGAAGCATTCAATGTCAAGCATGTGTACTTCATCAATGAACAAGACTCCGGGGATAATTTCCGCCTTGCCCTCTTCCTTCCACTCAGCCACCTTGGTGTTGATTTGATCCCGAACTTCGCTCCGGATCTCACCCGTGTCTCCCGAAAAGAGAGCCAGGAACCCTTGTGAACGCGAATTGATCACGTCGATCTCGTGGAGACTCACTGTGTGTACAATTTCCTTGCGCACCTGAAGTTCACCCTCGGGACACTGAACAAATTTGGTATCAGCACCCATCGCATCGTAGTCTCGGGATCGGGCATAGGAGCGTCCGAGCTTGGTGATCTTGCCGGATGACTTGTCGATGGAGATGATGTCTCCTGCCATCACTCGCTCCTTGGTCATCGAATCAATCATTTTCGTGCCCATGTCGTAAATCGTCTCCATGTCGGTGGTTTTGATCGTGAGCTTTCCTTGTTTATTGCCCTAAGCTGGTCAGCATCGGATATTCCCTCAACGAGATAACATTTAGAAAAAGGCAAGGCTCACGCCCGTAACGCTCCGATCGATCTGAATTTCCACAACCTCTCCCTCAATGATTTCACTTTCCTCTTTAATCCGGACGCCGATCGATTTCCGGAAAGCTTGGGTGAGGGCTTCCGTCTTGGACATCTCCATCGAAAAGATCTCCGATGAGGCGAGCATCGTGAAAGGGACATCCGATCCCAGGGATTGGGCCATACCCATGGCAATCGCGGTTTTACCCGTGCTAGGAGGTCCGGCGATCAACACGGCGCGACCAGCAATTTTCCCTTCCTTCACCATCTGCAAAATGACTGCAGCTGCCTTTCGAGCCTTTTCCTGGCCCACGAGGCCCTGCGAAGAGGTCCTGGGCTGCAAGGAATCCCCATCGACACCAAGTCCCCGAATATGCGAATGGGCAGCGATGAGGTTCAGACCCCGGAGCTCCTTGGTCTCCGCGACCGTAGAAATTGGCTGTTGTAACGTTAGACGGCAAGCATTGCGCGAGAGGGAAGCCAGAACTCACAGCAGCCATTTCGAATATGTAGAACAATGCGCGCCTCTTGAGATGCAGTACTCACTAAGCCGGTCACAGCAGCAAAATGGATCAGAGTGCGAGGCCCTTGAATCCCGGGCGAAAGAGCTGCGCCGGGCAGAATTCCAACCGCCTTATACACCGCCCCGGCAGAATCTCTTGTTTGCTTCTGTCGCTTCTTTAAGCTGCTGGGTTGCGCGACTTCGTGCTACATATTCCATGGGTCTGTCTTCTCTACGTGTACTTTTGCGTTATCCATCTCTGATCAAATGAGAGGCCCGAGGCTCAGCTTATCTTACGCGCCTCAATACGCCTACTTAGTGCTTTACTGACAATCATGCTGTACAAATCTTGAGTACGGAAAGTGGGCACAAGAGAAAAAAAAAGTCTCGCATCAACGTTCTCTACACCCCATTCACCTTATCATCACCTCATTACGTCTCGAAATAGTCCTCCTCATCTACTCTTTGCTGACTACAAAATGAACACCGAAAGTCCCCTCAACCACCCAACCTCTCGCGATCCCCGCCTGACGCATCTCAGACCGCCTATCAGAACCAGTCTAAGTAGACTGCCAGCTCCACAACTTCCCAATTCCCCGGTTCTTCCCCAAACTGCAACTCAAGATGATGCCGGCTGCGGTGATTTTATACGAGGGATCTCGGGATTGGTGCGAGCCACAATACAAGATACCCAAAACCAGGCAGAGAAGGAAAGGCTTCAAAAGCAAAAGGAGTCAACTGAGCGCCTCTTAAAGCGTGCCAGATTTCACCCGAACTTTCCGGCCACGATTGAGTACTATCAGCGGGCGCGTGATGATGAAGATGCCGAGATATCACGGATAGACAAAGCACTTGAGGATTCCACTCGTCATCAACTTGAGAAAGAACTCAAGGCTAAACTCCCATCTTCGACAGCGGATGGAAAGATTCATGAACTAGAGAACGAGATTCAAGCGATCAAGAACGAATCGGCGCAACTCATGGAACGAAACCAGTCCCTAGAAAAGACCCTCAATGCGAAGCTTTGCAAGATGGATGCAACGCATCAAAGTCATTTGATAACACAGGCCAAACACAATAGGGATTCTAAAGAGCGCATGGATCATTATCAAGCGTTATCCTCCTCTTCAGAGACAAAATTTGCCAATATTACTGCGGAAATGGACAATTTCAAACAGAAAGCCATGGCCCTTGAGGCGGCATCTGCCCCCATTACTGCGGAAATGAACAAGTTGAAACAGAAAGCCGCGGCCATTGACACCCGAATCGACCAGCTATTGGAGTCACAAAATGACTGCACTCACTCTGTTGCTAAAACAGTCGAGAAGACGAAGGAACAGCAGGAGAAGCTGGACGGCATCAAGCTCCAAGTGGATGGTATTAAGCTCCAAGACGTGGTGGAGCCAATCCGGAAAGGGATGTATGAAATCAGGACCCGCTTGCTCTCTTATGAAAGTAGCCATGGGTCTGCTGGACGCCAAGAACAGCATATACCCCATGCTGAACTGCAAAATCTTGCCTCGCGAGTTCAAACGCTGGAGGGAGCTCCCAACCTGATGCCTCAGGTCCAATTGGTCCACGATGGTTTGAAAGCGCTCACAGAAATCCGCAGGAAAGGCGATGATCTTCACTTCGAAGAATTGGATAAAATCAAGCAAAGGGTGAAAGATCAGGCGGATAAATCGGCAGACATGTCTAATGAAATTGCACGCCTTGCAAATGGGCTGCAAAGTTTAAGTCAGTTGAACCCGACAGCTCAACAAGTTGCGACAGTGGCCGGGTTTGTTCAGCACGCGCAGAAGACCCTTGAGAGCCTCACGGTAGGGTTGCATTCGCTGGAGACTAGGTACAACAATCTATCAACGGAAACGGTTGTCAAGAACATGGTCGTTGCAATGCAAGAGATGTATCCGAACATCAGTCAATTGACAGACCAGACTAGCAAACTCAAAGGGCTTATTGACAAAGAATTGCCTCCGTTGCTGGCTAGAATTGACCGAATAGATCGAAAACTACAATCTCACATCGACACGACACGACAAGATGCTATTGCCCGCATGGAGCAATTAAATCGTCTAAAGGATGACCATTCGACTTTATCTCAGTCCCTGGGGCCTCTGTGGGAACGCTTCGGCTCGGAAGACCAGCAGCTAGTCGGCAGCGAAGAATTTCGCACGCTGCAGGCCGACCTATCATCTTTGGTCAACAAGATCAATGAATATCCAGTTAAAGACGAAATCCTCACTTTCGGGGATGTGGAGGTGCTCAAGTCACAATTTAATGTTCTAGATCAAAGAATGGGCGCGTTCAGAACCAGCTTTAACGAACAATTAGGTGCCAAGGCGGACGATGACAGAATCAGACAGACCGTGAACAAAGAGCGAGATTTCCTCATGAAGCAGATCGGCAGCATATCCGCCACCATCGCGGAATTACACAAAAACATCAAAGACTTGAAGGCGGCAGATACCAAGCAATATGAAAAGCTCATATCTCAGGAGGGTGACATCGACGCGTTGCGAGACCACCTCAAAAAGCTCCAAGAGTCTACGCTCGACAAATACCAGCATCTATGCAAGAAGCTGGACGACATCATAGCGACCACGAGTTCACATGCATCCAATGCGTCGACACCAGTAACAGCTCAGGAGGGCTCTACACCGCTACAGAAGACTAAGCAGGAAAGCCCTGCCCCCGAGGCGACTCGAGTTGAAGCCGCTGCGGAGTCCAGCCCAGCTCTCGTTTTACAGGAACAGAAAAAGAAAAAGAAACGGCCTCGTCCGTCGAGTCAAGCGAACGAAGAGAAGGACTCAGCGCCTCCGTCAGAATCCCCGGTTTCGACGCCTAGACCAGATGAAACCCCAGAATTGAGAAAGAAGAGGAGAAAGAAGAAGCGGAAGGTCGAGGGACCAATTACCATCGACGACTAAGATGAAGACTTGTTTGTACATCAACATTCATCACCTCTGTTCATTCTCGGCAATATTTTGGCGTCATCAGATACCACCCATGTCATGGCTTCATTACATTGGAATACGTCGGCCTAACTGTGATTTTCTTTTTATGACTTTCCCTTTTTTTTTCCTAGCGTTTGTCTCTTCCGGACCTTGTCTCTTTCGGGTCTTGTCATATTTCGGGCCAATGTATGTATAATTGTTCTACATATTTACTCTTCTTTAGTAAATCTTAGACTTCTGCTGTTGCACATATCCCAATAAGCAACTGAACACCATCCACCAAGTCTCCATCTAGTCTATCCTTTTACCCAACCTTCTCTTTTGGTTCTCGTTCGTTTTGCCTAAGTCCAATAAAGTTTCTAGGGTGTTTCTTGCAAAAACTTAACGACGACTAGAGGTAAAAGGGTCAGCTGGATGGCATCCTTTGGAACAACTTTCGACGCTCACCTTGTCTGAAAGCTTCCGGATTCTCCGAGATCAACCAGTGGCCTGCCTCCACGTTGGTTATTTGAGCATGGGGGAAGAACTTTTTGATGGCAGGGATCGTTTTATCGCTGACGTATCGGCTTTTCGTGCCTCTCACGAAAAGCGTCGGGCCCTCGTACTTGACCAGGTCGGGTTCCTGGTACGGGAAGTCTGCCATATTGTCGAGAGAGGAGCCGATCACCGAAAGTGGCACGCGGAACTTCATCGTCTTGTCTTCTTCCGAGCGGACCAGATTGGTCAGGAGAAATTGACGAATGGGCAGGGACTAGAGGACAGTATCGTGTGAATATCATACCCAGCATGCATGCTGTCTTTCAAGTCCTACTCAACATGGCAACAACTTACCTCTTCGTAACCTTGGAGAATCTTGTCTGCCTCTGATTGCTTGGTAACTTTTTCTGCCTCGACATGTTGCATGCCTTCGACGTATTTGCCAAAATCACTCTTCAATGCCGCGTTGACAGGCGCATTGTCCACGGGGATCAAGGCAGAGACCAATTGGGGAGAATTAAGAGCCACGGCCATGGCGGTCTTCGCGCCCCTGTCGCACGGATCAGTTTAGTTCCTTTGGCAGCATGACTAGCTTCAACATACATGGAATGGCCGATGAGAACACACTGGTCCAAATTCTGCTGGTGAATGAACTTGGTCACATCTTCCGCCATAACTGAATAGTTGTGCTCTTTGGCGTGGAATGACTGGCCATGGTTCCGAAGATCCTAACAACGTCCATGAGCACGAATGAATACAAGCTGAATACTTTGAAGTTTCATCAGCAGGACACACACCAGCGTGAAGATCTGCCGGTTTAGATCACGTGCCAAGGCCCTAACATGATCAATTAGTTAGATTAAGCGAAGAGAGATGAGAATCTACTTCTCAAGCACATACCGGCTAATGCTACGATTGTTCTGTTTGGAACCGAACAGGCCGTGCAGAAAGACAATCGGACTGCGGCTGGCTTCCTCCTTTTCCGGTCCGAAAACCTGGAAGGACAGCTCCGACCGGAGGCCTCGGGTGGTCGAGAATGCACGGATGCTCGAAGCTACCCGAAGGGCCACGCGTATGGATTGCATGATTCTATAACGCTGCGTGAGGGAGCAGATCCTTAGTTGGATTCGATGAGTTCATAGGGAGACTTCTTCGCTGCCCTTCCGCGCCTGACTAAGCAGGTCTGGCTTGGTCCGTTCGCTTTCCCTTTTCTTTTCCCCCTTTCAGTTGGCATCTTTACTTGATAATAGTTGCTCTGGGGTAAAATATTGACCAAGGAAATATCTAAAGGGCATTCGATCAATATTACTAGCCGTGCATGTGCGTGGACTCCGTCATCTTCTCTCGTGGCTCATTCGGGACATCCATAGACCCAAACTACGTCATAATATATACTTCTAGAGACGGGCAGTTGTCCACAGAATCTAGTTCGTAACATAGTAGGCATCAAGTTATTTACAAAATTCAATTAAACAGAACACCGTGACCCATCTCCTAACCCAAAAGGATTGGCACTTTTTCACAGAGGTATTCCACCACCGCGTCGGGACCCCGTTCTACCTGCAATCCTTCCGGGATAGCATGAAGCTTGATGTCCGGCCTGATTTCTCGGGCAATGGAATGGATCTCGCGAGCCTGCTCGTCGGTCCACATGGAAGCGCTGAACTAGGGGAATGTTAGCCGCAAAGTACTGGCTATGCTCGATCTTCTCAGGTCTCGCGAATGAGTGCGAATCGCCAATAGGGTGGACCTACCAGGACGTCAGGCATGTGCTCTTTCACCTTGGGAGCAACTTCTTCGATTCCTATCTGACCGTCAGCGTCTAAGCCACATTATAGACGTCGTATGGAACTGTCATACTCTCGCAGTTGTCCACATGGATGATGGTGTACTGGTCTTTCAGAGCTTCAACTACCCGTCCGATGAGCCGTTTGGCCCTCTCGGGCGCGGTGTTGACGGTGACAAGACGGTAGGGACCTTGAGGAGATGCCATGGTGACTGATTATTTTGAAGAGAATGGAATGAAACCTTGGACTAATATTAATAAACTTCACGGGCCTTTTCGCTTTTAAAGATACCCCGTATGATCGGACCGACATCCCCACGATCGCAACGTGGGGAAGCCTGCCGGTCTTCCTCCGACGCGCCCACTTCCTCCCCCGCTAAAACGTCCGTCGTGGTCGGATATTCCGTGAGGAGTGCGACATTTCAACTATTGCCATTGACGCTTATCATCTTGATTTCAATCTTCTTGTCTCCAAGCTTCCACGCCATTTGGTCTACACACAACAGCACAGATGTCTAAAATTGCATCCACTTTCTCGCGTAGGTGCTACTCGATCTGTTGCTCTGCGCATCGTTCGCGGCGAGTTGAAGTTATCTGACCTAAAGCAGGCCTTGTGCGCTTCAATCCCAAGTCTAACCCCTCGAAGATCTTGATCGGAGAGCCAGTCGACCCCAAAATTGACGTGGGGTTGGCTCTTTATCAAGGGCAGGATGTCTCCGTACGACCCTTCTCTGGGACATCGGTGCTCAGCCCCGGCCAGAAAGTCGAGTCAACAGAAACGATCGGGCGAATCCTGTCTCCGTTATCGCAAAATGAAGTTGGCTCGATTCGATGCATCGGATTGAACGTACGTATGAATCGCAGCCGAGGGGCACTGACGCGAACACCCTGAGAAAACGACCCGCTGCTGAACGCTGAGCATAGTACGCGTCGCACGCCGCTGAGATGAAGATGGCCATTCCTGACCTTCCAACTCTGTTCATCAAACCGTCTACCTCCCTCGCCGATCCCTGGCCAGCTCCCACCGTTCTACCCAAGATCACGCAAGTCGATAGCACCGGCGACTATGAATCGGAGATGGTCATCGTAATTGGTCGCGACGCGAAGGACGTCAGCGAGGAGGAGGCATTGGACTATGTCCTTGGCTACACGGCAGCCAACGATGTCTCTAGTCGCACCTCGCAGATGAATCAGAGCCAGTGGTGCTTCTCCAAGGGATTTGACACTGCCTGCCCAATTGGTAGACCGACCTACATTTCCACGCCTTGGTGCATCGCATAGGTCAGAACGCTAATAGTCTCAATAATGCTAGGTCCTGCTCTTGTTTCCGCCGCCCACTTTCCCGATGTCAGCAAGTTCCAGATTCGCGGGCTGAAAAACGGCAAGGTTATGCAGGATTGCCCTCTAACGTAAGAACTCAAGCCCTGCCAAGGCGAAGCCAGTGACATTGAAGCTAACTCGATGGAACAGGGACTTGATCTTTAGTGTCCCCAAGCTGGTCAGCTTCCTGTCCCAAGGCACGACATTGCCTGCGGGAACGATCATCTTGACTGGCACTCCTCCCGGTGTCGGAGCGGCGAAGAACCCCAAGGAGTTCTTGAAGGCAGGCGATGAATTTGCTGTCGAGTTGCTTCCGCACGTTGGAACGCTTATTAACAAGGTTGAAAATCAATCATAAAGTAACGGGATTAGAACGTGGTGATATACGGAGTAGAGGCTGCTGAATGAAATGTACGTCCCATAGAATACACAACCAATACCTAGAACTCAATTCGCTGTCATAAGGGTACTTTCTATGATTGTTTCGCGTAGAACTTCTGATTCTGTTCTATGAAGAAGACATTAGCAGGTGCGTTGTGAGCATCGCGATGTGTATTCCTCAGGCAGTACTTCCATACTTTCCTCTCCACAAATCCCCACGACACGCTTCGCCGCATACAAAGTCCCCACACTCGCCAGAAGAACAGCAGTTGCAAGCTGAAATGATAAGCCGAGGTCGGAGATACGAAAGAGTAGAAAGCGAACAAGAACGATTGATTCGGAAAATTCACCTAGAGAACTTGAACATCTTGAACCAATGTATCAAAACTACTCCCTAGCCCAGCCATGATTAGGGCCCCTGGGTGGAGTGGATATGACTTTATCCCGGGCGGCGGAGGCCTTGTCCGCATCTTGCAATAGGGTACAGCTTACAGTCACAGCTGTTGAAGATGTCTGTACGCTTCAAAAATGGGTGATAAGCATATCCCATATGTTCATATGTAGTGTGGCCCTCTTATTTGAAACAAACATATATCTATCTGTGTAGCCAAGAAACCATTATCCAAGGGCGCTCAATGCCGACATTGTTCAGCAACTTCCCGAAGCACCGGGCCAATTCTTGTTCGGGGCGGCCGATCGGGCAAGCCGTCTGGGCACTAAAAGTGGTCTGACTGTTCGCTTTCCCGATGGTTTGATATCGGATGGGTAAACTCGGGGGCTTGAGAAAATTTTTTATGGACTATGGATCGAGAATGGTCTTTTAGGAGGAAGTACTTAAGTAATTTGGTATGGAGCGCCTTTTCGGTTGAAGATTTTATTCCTCTCCTTGTATGTATATACTGTGTCTTCTCATGCTACCAGTTAGCACGCTTATATACTGAATTTGTCTAGTTCTCAGCGCTGATTCTAATCAAGTCTAGTTCTATATCCCCTCCGAGTCGAACGTCTATCCCTGCCTCCGATTCATTCATTCTCGAATTTGCGAAACATCCCAACGTTTACTCGGTGGCCGGACGCCATGCTCGCCCCATCCAGTGGAGGATGATCGTTGGGATCACACTGACACCCACGATAAGAGCGCACCCGACACCAGAACTGGCAGCTATGCCGACGGATTCGAACATGGGCGGGAACCTGACATCGGTTAGCAATGGAGATACACACCGACTTGGCCGCGATAGGGATTCAACTTACCAGAAAGGACCCAGGAAGCCCCAAATCTGACGGACGAACGTGATGAACACCCCGACGCTAGCAGCCTCTTGAGGATAGCAGTCGACGGCGTACGTTATGAGGACGGTGGTTATAATTTGGTTACCTCCGGCTCCCAGGGCGATTCCAACGACCGGGGCCACGGTCCAGTGTCCCTGCTTAGCCTGCTGCGTGCATACGAGGAAAACAATCAGTCCGACGATGGACAGGACAAACCCGATATAGCTGAGCCAGAGACGATGCTCGGGCTCGGGTTTGGTTTGAATCTTTTTCGCACGCCGGTTCATCCAGACGTCTGATAGCGTGCCTCCGACCTGCTCGCCAATGAGGGATCCGATAATTGGGCCGAGAAACTGGAGTCCCAATTGTTCCGTGTTCAGCCCAAACTTTTCCTGAAACAATTCGGGCACTTCCACGGTCGCCAACACGTTGCTCAGGCAGAAGACCATTGCGTACGCTGCGGCTGGGATGACCACGGAGGGATACATGAACATGGTCAGCGGCTTGACGAACTCAAACCACGAAAATGGGGTCGGATCAATGCGTCTCAAAAGCACATATTCTCTCATCCATGGTGGCTGCTTCGGATCGACATTACTGTCGACGTAGCGGGTTTCCGGGCCCAGGAAGAGATACAAGATGAATTGAACCCCATTAACCTATTCGGAGTGCAGAGCAAGTCAGCAACCGGAAACTGATGCAGCAAAAGGGTAAGAAAAAGGGGAGAACTGACAATTGCAAGCACCCAATAAATCCATTCATAGCCTGCTCGATAGGCAACGAAACCAAAGATGAAGGGACCGCACGGAATGCCCAAAGTGACCAGCAGAGTCCACACGCCCATGTACCGAGCGCGATCTTTCTTGAAATACGTCTCCATCACCACCGCACTTCCGATAGCTTGTTTCACTTGTCAGCTACAATCCAGCCATTGAGATATTGGTGCCTTACCGGATGCTGGTGAGATGAAGAATGCCTGCAAGGCTCTGCAGGCAGCGGTTGATGCATAATCGGTGCTCTTGGCGCATCCTACATTGCAGACGAGACTGCATACCAAGGAAGTAAGGAAGATGGGTCGACGACCGTAGCGGTTGGATAAAGGCTTCCAGAACAAAGGGGCTCCGCCTAGGATGGCGATTTGGAGCGAGGTCAGATAACTGGCTCTCTGGATTGAAACGCCATATTCTTCCGAAATTCTGTTGAACATTGAATTAGCCGATGCCAAATCAAGTGAGGTGCCTGTAGGAAGCGCCATACGTTGCATAAGCCGGGATAATACCCGCCGCAGCAAAAGTTCCCATGCATGCATGGAATGCTACCAGAAGCAGGTTTGCCAATTTCTAGAAGCAAAAATCATATCGATCAGCCCCCAGCCGACAACTCGTTATCTTTCATTATTATAAGGCACTAACCTTCCACCCCGGCCAGTTATAGGGATCAGCAGGGTCCAGACTTGGGATAGGGTCCAGCTCGAGCGTGCCATGGCGCTCCATCAAATAATCTCGGTGTGGTTTCGAAAGCCGAGAGGCCACAATATCAGCATAGGTTGTAGGAATTCCAGCCTCCGTGCTTTCTACAAGGTCAACGCCGACTTTCCCTGGTTGAGAAGTGTCTTGGTTGTCGTCGGCATGGACATGCCTTTGCATCTCCATAGATGCAGTCATTGTGTTTGCGGATTCCTCGTCGGAGGCTCGAATTGACAAGCAAATTCTTCGATGATAGACTGACGACTGGCAAAGATAGTGCTTTTGGATACAACTATCCGGACAAAGACTGGAAAGGCCCAGGGGATGAGCAGGAGGAAAAGAGGACCACGCACAGTCCCAAAAGAGGATGCACTATTGCGCCTCCATGCAGTCAGGCCTTCCTAGCCGAAGAACACAAGACTGACCGGGCCCACGCGGATTTGGACCGGTAAGGGTTTTCAGCCTATCAGGTACGCGGGAGTGGCACCCATCCCGGGGTATTACCAGAGACCCAGACACTGACGACTCCCCGGTCAACAGTTGGGGGAGGAATTGTCGTGGAGAACTTGCGGAGGGCACCCCACCGCCTCGTCGAGTCACGAATCCGACAATGGTCAGGAGCCCCCAGAGTCTGTCATGCTTGAATAGTCCGGTCTTAGTCGATTGGACGGACCAGCGATCAGAACCACAAACTCAACCTCGTCGGGAGAAGGATTGCCGACGAGCCCGAAGTCCGGTCCCGATTTTCAATCTTCTCGCTAAGAACTCAAGGCCGCCTGGAGGGTGGATAAGTCTTTTGGAGCCGAGGCTTGTCTATGGGGATCGAATCCCTCGTACAGAATTTCTACTAGCTCCTTGGCCACAATTTCGAGGTCTGCTTGAGGCAGGCCTCCCGAATTCATCGGGATATCCGAGAGCTGACTCGGTAGCTCGGGTTAAAGTCGTCATCTTGTTGGTGTGTTAAAAGTGCTCCGATGAGTTTCTAGAATGAGATAATGTGAGGTGCCACTGTCTTTCGGACATTCGGGCAAAGACAGATCTTGTCAGCCTAGACTCAAACAGATCGGGTGGAAATTAGAGCAAAGATGTAGATTGTACGGAGTAGAGTCGAAGATAGAAGCCGTCAAAGCCTCAAAAGATCCCGTTCGCGACAGCCGGGCCTCACGTGCCAAGGCGCTGGTTGCCACGCGCCCCACAAACTGCGGGCTCTCCACAATCCACTTTCCTAACAACGAACAAGTATCGCCTTGAATTTCCCCCCGGGCTCACGATGCACGGCGTTGCCTGTCTGCTACACCCACTAATGCTTGCGGTGCTTCGACGCTTGTGCTAGTCACTCACCACTACCATCATCAATTATTCCCTATAAATCGGTGTTGGTCATTGTCATGCCACAAACCACTACATCCCCAGGGGCCAAGACGCTGGTGTGTAGAGTCTGCCAGAAGGCCTTCTCCAAAGCGGAGCATCTAAGAGTAATTACAACTCCCGTCCCTGATTGCCTTGGTGGAGACATTGCTAATCTCCGGCATATAGAGACATGAACGCTGCCGTAAGAACGCCCTCTGATTTGGATTCCCCATGCGCAGCCAAGCCATTAAGCTAAGGGGCCGATCTGAACGCTGATGCTGTGACAATCAAGATACTGGATCAAAGCCGTTTATCTGTAAGGAATGCAATAGGCCATTTGCCCGTCAAGATGCCCTCACTCGACATGAGAAGCTGCATGTTCGGGCTGCAAACTCCAAGCATGCCCGAGAACATCAACCGGGGCATGCGGTCGCCCAGACCACCTCCCTAAACCCCTTGCCGTGTTGGGATACTATCAAAGTCCCTGCAGAGCCCCCAATCCCAACCCCTACGCCAACTCAGTCATGGGAGGCATCACAATCCGATCAAGATTTCGGGCTCCAGCAAGCGGCCTCGGATCTAGATTTTTCATTGATATGGCCCGATTCCGAGGGACTGTTCCAAAGCATCATGTCTTCGGACACCACGGATCAATGGCAGATGCCTCTGGGTGCTCTGCCATTTCCGCCCGTGGTTCAGGATGCCAATACGATGTCTTTTGGATCTCCGAATTCGTTCGACGACCGTAGCTCATCTATAGGTGCGATCCCCTTTGGAGGCAGCCGTGAGGCTGTACGGGATGTCACTGAGATGGTGACAAGCTCGGTATGGTGATCCAGGCTTCCTTGCGAGAGTGATCAGAGATTAACTGTTACCGTTAATAGTCTTCTAGCGTTACAGCTGCGATTAAGGCAACTTCCATTAACTCAGTATTCCTTGATGAGTGCCTGCATATGTTTTTCGTCAGGTTCATACCGACCTTTCCTATCTTGCATCGGGCAACTTTCGTATTCCGGGAATGTACACATCCTCTTCTGCTGAACGCCATGGCTCTTGGCTCTTTGTACCTCGGGCCTAAGGACTCCGTGGCAAAGGTAAGTTGTCTTATAATCAAATTAAATAAAAGATTACTCATGATGTTGTAACAGGGAGAGGCATTGTGGCGGCTTGCCCACACCGCTGTGGCTACCTCGGTAAGCTTCGTCTCTAAGCTCTGCCATTCCATCACGTTAACACCCGCAGTGGCAATCTTTAATCACGCATCGGGGCCCTTATGACGCCTGCAAAGGCGTTCAGCTTCTGGTCACTGCCCTTCTGGGTCAGATATACGGTGCATTGTCTAAGGTAAGTTAACAATGTCGACCCCTGTGAGTTAGCAGATGAGCTAAAAGGCCTTTCGACATAGAACAGAATCGTCCGCACAACAAGTCAGGTTTTCCGTCCCCTTGGATTCTTCTGGGCAAGGCATTGTGGCATGTTAGACTGCGCGCCTTTCTCATTAGAGGATCTTCCTTTCCCAACGGCTTCGAGTACCGAGAAAGACCACAAATGGCGACTATGGGCCGCAAGAGAGATTCAACAACGCGCATTGCTTGCATACCACGTACTGGATGGTCTCGTTGCACAGATGTCTGGGGACGGTGCATCCACACGACATGTCGCCAACCCTCTCATATTGCCCAGCAATGAGGCTGCGTTTGATGCTGGGAGCCCCGATGAGTGGCTGGTACACATGCGTTCTCAACCGACAGATCAGCCTTCATTTAGGTTGATATTCCGCTCTCTCTTCCCTCCTGTCGGCAGTATCCGGCCCCTTGACTATCAGTTATCAGCTTTTGCATTGCGGGTTGTCCTTGAAGGGTTGCAGTCACTGGTTTCAGACTCCGATGACAGTGAATTGGTCGCCGTTGGTGTCCCCAGCCGCTCTGACGTCAAAAGGGCATTGACCCAGGTCCATGAGACTATTTCTATGAGCATCCATCTCGCAGCTCCGGAAAGGCTTGAGGTTCTCTTACGCTGGCACACAATCTGCTTGGACACGATGATCAACTCGACTGTACTTTGTAGACATGTTTGCTCCCGCTTCGACGTCGCCCAGCATGTGTCTGGTGGTTCTCGTATCATGAAGGCTGGATTTGATATGGCCAGGTGGGTCAACACGGAAGACGCGCGGCGGGCCTTGCTGCACGCTATTGCGATCCAAGACATTATCGAGCAATTGCCTAGAGGCCGGGCTCACGTTATCCATATGCCGAGCTCACTTTTTGCGGCGGCAACTATTTACGTTGTTTTCTCCCTGGCCGGCGTAACAAATGTAAAGCTGCCGCGCACAATCGTTTGGCAAGATGCAGTGCTTTCTCAATCTGACCTGAACCCCGGATGTGAAAGTACAGGATCGTCGGCGCTATCCGAGACGCGGCGATTTATCGAAGAGGGGAGGACGGAATCTCTACCGAGTATGGGTGCAAGCCGGAATCTGCTCTATGAGATGAATTCCATGCAGAAGCTGTTCCGCTGCCTCATATCACAATGGGGGATTGCCCATGATATGGAGGAGATCGTTGACAAGTGGATCACTCTGTGCCATTAGATAGCGCTGATTTTCGGACTAGCAGGTTTCATCAATACCCTTTGTTTTATCTTATGCATGATGTGGCTTGGCCCCGATATATCGTACTATCTGTGTACAGTATATATGTATTGAGGTGAATAATTGGTTCTCAAACTGACACTTATGGCTGAAGTAACGAGGGCATGCCTATCAATCTATCTGGGGATCTTGAATTCCCCCAAAGTCGCCTCAGGCACCGATCGATCGTGGACCCCCACGTGCCCAAAGTCCAAACCCACCTGATCCCCACCTTTTCCTTTCCAACTCCACAACGTCAACATCTCCGTTTTCCGACGATCACTGATTCATTCTTATACTTGCCATCCAGACGTTTAAAACATGCAATGTGACATTACTGGGTTGCGAATCTATCATCCCGAGGCTTTCGCTCCGGGTAGAGTACTCTTCCCACTGTGAGCAGGACAGACTGGGGCATCCAATACGCCCTGTTCATCATCTTCACCTTATTTTTCTTCCTACATTAACAAGACCAGCCGTCGGAACCTTTTGATGTACGGCGTCATAGGCATGGCCACCTGCCATTTCGTCGTGGGCGGCGTCCTCTCCTCCGGCGAATACGTGCCCGGCGGCGTGAACGGCAATCTGAACGTGCTCATTCGGGTGCGCGGCTCCAAGGCCCATACCGTGATCGTCTTCTCCTATCTCATCATCGTGTACGCCCTCACCCTCACCCCGGTTGCTTAGGTGTACGCTGCAAAGGTGTGGTCGCTGGAAACACGAGCCTCAGGCATGCCCCCCTCTCCCTTCTATCTCTCTCTGAGCTACCCGAATGAATCCCATCGAGATATTCGATCCGTGTACAGTACTAGTAAACTCAATCAGTCCACCGCTGCCACCGGAAACTGCCTATTCAACTTCGCTCTCGGCCTCTCCGTGCTCCCGGGCTTCGCGGACATCAAATGGAAACTGTTCATCGTCTTCGGCGTGCTGTGTGTAGGAGCCGCTTTGCAAGTCTTCTTCACGTATGTTCTCCCCTCTCACCAGCCATCTATCTACTTGGCTACCTCTCACTGTTCCTCTTTATTCCAAAAACTCTACATGCTTTTTCTTCCTACATGCCCAAGAGAAAGCACGACTAATTCATTCTGTGTAAACGAACAGATACCCCGAAACCTGCAACAAGACCCTGGAAGAAGTGGAAGAGATGTTTGGCAAGGATGGCCCGAAGCCGTGGCATACTAAGCCGGGAGAGTCCAAATTGGATGGCTTGATTGAGGAGGCTCGTGAGAAGAACCTGCATGCTAAGGATGTCGGATTGAAGACGGAGCTTCAGAGTATCGAGACGGTTGAGAAGGGGCAGTAAGGTAAGCAAGATTGGGTATAAATATATATGTATTCATATCTATATGTCGCGTGTTTGCCAGTTAATTGGTGATGTCGAGGGGTATACTTGACGAGGCAAGGAGGAACTGGGTTTCGTTGCAAAAGGGAGGGAGAGAGGGGGGTTTTGCATCCGATTTGGATTTGTTATGTACGTACATAATGAAGATTGGTAATATCTACACACGAATAATCGAAACGCATTTGTTGTATGCAGTAAATCAAGTCAAAACACTTGCCGAAACACATGCCGAAATGGGTCATTCTATACAGGCAAACAGGCAACTCGAAAAGAAGACAAAATCCACACAAACATCGGTAGCCGGGAACATTATCTGAACAAACGCAACGGAAATGCAACACATCGGATCTGAATGAAGGGGTATCTCGAGGCAATCTCATGCACATGGAGAGAAAACAGAAGCAACAAAAGATATGGCTGAAAGACATGAGAGATGAGAATCAAACGTTGAGGGGGGGAAGTAACAAAACGAGAAATTGAACAGGGAAACGAGAGCTGGATATGAGGGCATTAAAATAGAGAAGCGAGTTAAGACTTCAAGCTTCGTTGTCGTCGGCCTCTCTCATTTTCAAGACGGCCTTGGTGATTGCGGTGGCGATGTCCCGAAGCATATCACGCATGACGGACTCCGATTTGGTAGCCGATGCTTGCTGCTTGAGATCACGATCCCCAAAGAGCGGAGCTAGCCCGCCCCAGAAATTGCCAAAAACAACATCCACCGAGTTTTCGACGCTGTTTAGATGAGTTTGCGGCAGGCCCAGTTGGTCAGATGCCGGCGTCTCCGACGGATGACTGCGAGGTGTTTGACGAAGGCGGCGGACCGGTCGATCATTTGCCTCATGGTCATCGTCCCGCGGTCGCTTGTTGGTCGACTGGGCAATCGGGGGAGCAACGGGGCCCACGGGAGCAATGGAGGCAGCGGGGGCAGCGGTGACAACGGGGAGGGGGCTCTGTGTGGTGGAGGTTTCATCTGCCCCGGTCGGATTGACGCGCTGTTGAAGAGGCGGATGTAGGTTCATTGCGGCGGCGTGGAATTTCTGACCGATCTTATCCAAAGCCAGCACGGGGTTCATGGCTCGGGTCGGTCGGGTTGCCTGTGGCGAGCGAGAGCGTGGATGATACGAAATGTTGGCATCCTGACCGGGCGAGCGGGATTGAGATTGGGACTGGGAGTGAGCCAACAGGCGTTCGTCGTCTGCATTGACCCGACTCCGACAAGAGAACTCCATTCGAGATTCACCCCAGTGCAGCGGGAGTAGCTCCATTTCGTCCAAGGATGGCAGACCCATGACCCAATTGACGACCCGCTGGATTTTCGCGCCATGCGGGACTTCCGGGGTGCGGGTCAGTTGAGGGCTCGTCTTCTCTGGCGGGCGGGGGGCGCGCCGTGACGCATCATGCGCCTTCCACAACTCGTCCTTCTTATGCAAACAGTCGTGCGGAACTCGTCCCTCGCACTCCAGCCAGGTATCCAGCTCGTCGGCCACATCTTCCATCACGTCGTCGTCGGGATATTCCTTCTGGCGGACACAATCCTCGAAGACGGCCCAGAATTCGAGTCGTTTGGTGACCAGGGTGATCATGCGTCGACGGCACGACTGCCAAGAGTAGCTGCGACCGGTGACTTTTTCGAACGTCGCAGCGATGTTAATCCAGAAACTCTTCGGGTAGGCTTTCGGATCGCAGTGTTCCATGGCATACCGACAGATCTCAACCAGTCGGAGCTGTTGATCCGGATCGAGTTGGCAACCGCGGCCGGAATAATTATTCTGGACCACGAAAGGTTTCAAGACGTTGGGGAGAGGAGGGGCGGCAAGTGGAGGGTTCGAGGTCGAGGGGGAGGGGCCGTGGCATTGCGGTGTGAGATTGGGGTCATAGCCGGGGTGGCTGGTCGGCCACGTCGGAGGGCGGCATAAGGAGAGATGGGCCTCCATTGCCTCCATGATTGCCGAGGGTTGCGAGCGCCGGAATGGATCAACGGAGAAGAGAATAGAAGAGGAGGGTGTCCATGGGAGGAATTGGACCCCAGAGGAGGAGATAGGAGAGGTGGGGAGGGAGTGAGGGAGAGGGAGAGAAAGAGAAGAGGAGGTGGAGGTGGAGGAAAAGAATGAGAGCGAAAGGCGAAAGACGAAAGGCTGACGGGAAGAAAAGGAAACGAAAAAAGAAATCCGCGACTCCGCGGCGGGCCACGTGATTTGGGCAGTCAGGCCAGCACGGGGGGCGAGATGGGAGGCAAATTACCATCACAATTTCAATTTGGCATTGAAATTGAAATGGCATGTTGTCCAAGGGGGGCTCAGGCATCCATCGGCATTTGTCGTTCAGAATCCAGATCTCCACGACTCCAATTTCATTTGAGCTCCCTTCTTTTTTCTGCTGGCGCTGCTTCTGATCGCCCAATATTACCCGATCGGGGATCATCGCGGTCCTCCCACGGCGGCGATTCTCTCTGTACAACTCGCCCCTATTCATCGATCTCGTCGGAATTTCATAGGGACGGCACCTGACAGGTCTGGTCGAAACCCACTGCGCTCTTTTCCAGTCTAGATACTCGATTGCATCATCGATTCTACATCGCTCGGCAGGCCGCCTGGCAGTTCCGAGGATCGAGCTCGCATTCCAGAGCTGTCTCTCACCTTCAATTGGTGAGCCCAACAAGGGGCGTCGATTACTGATCTTTCATTTCAGACATGATTTAACGCATGCCTGGTCTGTCTGGTTTGGAGTCGGCTGTCATCGGCGACAATCAGGAAAATGCCCGCGGCTTCCTACATCCTGCACCGTTTGAGCACCACACGCCCATCTAGAGGATAAAATCGATCCGGAGATTGTCTTAATCTACTCATCCTTACGATCCCTTCCCCACTGAAGAATCGATCACCCAAGACCCATGCTGCCACTTGGGAAACCGTCTCCACTTTTGGACGCAGCGTCCGCCGTAGCCCCAGAGCATGGCGCCCGCCATCGCTTCGCCGTCAACATCTCACCTGAATGGACCACGCAGCAGTACGTCCCCGTCGGCTTCACTGAGCCACTCATAGGAAACCAATCAGCCATGTCTGACCTTGCTCCGTGGGCAGTTCCGTTCTAGGAGGCTTCCTCAACGTGATGATCCTGTCTGCTGCGCAGAAATTCATCGCGCAGGAATTCGGTGGCGCCCGATACCCCGACCCCATCCATGTCTTCGTGCAGTTTTTGAAAACGGTGGTCCCGGGCCTGGTTTCGTTGCGTTGCACCTGCCTGCGCGTATCCTCACGCCAGTGTGTTGTGAGGGTAGAACTCACGCAAACGAGATCTCAGGCCCCAGCGCGGGGTTCTGCATCAACGGTCGCTCCAGAGCAGCCTGCGGCCGTAGCCATCGTGACGTATGCGGATATGGCCAAGGAGCAGGGGCTTACGCAGGACCCATCCTCGATTGGCCCGAGTCAATTTCCCGACCGCGTCCGAGATTGTGAGGTCATCGACGACCCGGTTGTCGATGCCACTCCTGTCACCAGCAAGCTGAACTGGCGTGCGCCCCGCGCATCAAACGGGCTATGGGGCCATAGACTGGGAGGCCATCAGCGGGAGGTGTGGGTTTCATTTCAGGATGGGTCCGCCATCTCGGATATCCTGCATCTCGCGCTGCTGTCTGATATGGTAACTTGCTGTATACCCCCGTTGAGATCCATCAAGACGTTTACCTGACGCACGTAAAAATTGCAGCCCCTGCAGCCGCCCGCAACCCACCAGCCAAAGTTCTACGATCAGTATGGCCTCTCCACGCTCTGCCTGTCGGTGGAGTTCAAGAAACGGCCGGACCCGTCGACGCAATGGGTGCTGGTCAAGTCGAATTCCAATAGCGTATGTAATGGCCGGTATGATGTGCAGGTGCAGATTGTGGCGGAAAATGGGGATCTGCTTGCTTTGAGTCACCATGTCCTGCATATTTTTGGTTTGCGAGTCCGGGAGAAGGCGAAGATCTGAGTGGGGGAAGCGTGTAAAGAAGCTAGTGCTATTCTCGTCCCTGCTGGACCCAAATTACGTAGCTTTTGTCGATGCAGTGTAAGACAATCATTATCATGAACTGTTGACCCCAGATGAAGGGATGCACTCTGCATGTACGGGGGAGGTACTTTGTACGGCTGAATAGTAGGGCTTAGGGCACAGGGCTAGGGCCGGATTAGTGACTCTCAGTGACTATGGACTGCCGTATGAACAAAAAGACCAAAGCCCAAAAAACAAAAAGCCTGGTTTCTTGATGGAAATTCTGATTAATTACAATTTGGCACTCCGTCTAGAACCCAGCAATGCTGCTCTAGACCCAACCCCTCAAGACAGATCAATTCCAGGAATCGATCTAAATCGCCAAACCCGAGCATAAGTGACCTATCATCAAACCGCCCGCCAATCGTAAGAAGCGGACATCATTCCCTGCAAGATAATGCATTGACCTGCAGGTATGCAATCCAATCATCGCCGCTTGTTTTGTATCACCGAAAGAACAAGAAGTCCGTCCGACTGGAGAAAAATAACCGGGAAAGAAGAAAGAAAGTACAGAGTAAGAAACAGAACGGGACCGAAAAGTTACAGAGTGCCTGATTGTAGGATTGATCCCACTATGCCGTGCCATCATACTCATCAAAGTACATGCTATCCGTCGGGTAGCCGGCATGGTTCGTTGGGAAGAAGAGGTCGGCCTGGTAAAAAGGGTCGTCATTCATGTCGGTCTGCCCCAGGGCCGTGCTAGTTCGGCTCAAGCCCATTGGAGGCGTTGCGCTGGGGAAGGCACAATCGGCGCGTTCCTTTCCTTTGATGCTTCCAAAGGCTGGGAAGGACGAGACGTTACTGGTCACATTCTCGCGTTCCTCGGGCTTAGGGAACATGGCCGCGACAGGCTGGACAGGGACGGGCGCGTCGACGATCTCCACATCAAGACTACCCTGACCCAGCACAGCAGCGCCACCCTGCCCCAAGTGAGGAAATGTTGCGGGTTCTGTCCATGCAGAATTGATTTCTGTCTTGACCTTGATATCTTTTTTCTCGTCATCAGAGGTGTCGCCGTCAAGGCAGATTGCATCGAGGGAGCTCATGCCCCTATGGACCGGGTGTCGGGTGGGAGACGTCAAGTTCGAGCGGGTGTCTTTCCGGCCCTTGCCAGTAGACGCGCTCTTGGTGATGCCTCGAGCGACCCGCGGAGTTCGCGGCGTCGATCCGCCCGATCCTCGTCCCTTGGGGGGATGGGTGATGCCTTGCGCGAAAGCTTCCTTCTTGAGCTCATCGGACATTTTTCGATATCGTCGGAATCGTCCCTCGATGGCGTCGTATGTTGCCCCCTGGCCGAAGTAGGTGGCTATTGCTTGGTAATTTAACTAATCCTCGTTAGCTTTCATGCAGTCGAAAAGGATGGGGGAGAAGGTGTATACTTTGAGATCCGGATGAGCAGCAATGATCGCTGCCACAAGGCGATCAGTCAACTGTGAATCTTTCCAGTTGACAACCATATTGGTACTCGGAGATGATAATGAAAGAGGACTGTATTGGAAGTAAAAAGAAAAGAGAAGAAAAAGATTGATGGAGGGAGAGTATGGGAGAGTGCAGGTAAGAGAGCTGTAAGCGAGAGATGAATGAGTAAAGGACGAGAAGAGAAGAGACAAGAGTGACAGGATTTTTATATGGTTTTGTAGCGAGGGCAGGTCTGGGACAGACAGAGGACTCGATGACGAAGGTCGAGGCGATGCAGATCCTTCACCCTCTAAACGGCCCAGCAAATCACCTCTGATTAAGTGGGGGAAGACCAGGATACTGGCGACTGGCCAAAGCTGTATCTACTATCCAGGGACAGGATTCACTGGCAGGATTCGGTGGGTACAAACGACCGACGAGGTGAATGGAGTCCGGAATACAACTTCAAACATCCGCTGCAGCATCCCGGAAGGCTGGACAGAGGCGTGACTGGTTGACTGCTTTGTGGGAAAACGCAGGAACGTCGCAGTCAGTCGAGGCCTGCTGGTGTATGGTACAGAAACAATAAACGAGCTGTCTCCGTTTGAACTTTCACCCTCCTTCTCAGCCCAAAGGAAGACTGGCAAACGCCGGCTGGCCTCCCCACGCAAACCGTCTCTCAGTCTCCCACTCGCCCACTCACCCCGATCAACTTTTCTCTTTCCCTCGAGCATATCCTCCACTTCTCTTTCCTTACCCAACTCTTCCTCAGAATCTTCTCTTTCTGACTGCTGATCACTCTTCTCTCACTTCTTTCCACTTTAACTACGTACAATTTCCCCTCGAACCACCGCCAAAATGCCTGTTAAATGGACCCCTGAGAACGATCAGCTTGTAAGCTGCCCTCTTCCCTTGTCTCACTCCTGTTCTCTCTTCTCTCTCCACTGTCAGACAAAATCCTGAGTACTGACCTTCTCAGCTCCTTCTGAAAATCCTCGAGACCCACGACCTCTCAGTCGACCCCAAGCGTGTGGCAGATGCCTGGCGTGAGTCCCCCTCCTTCCCTCATCCTTCCCTCCTCCATTCTCCCTCGACCATTTTCTAACGGTTCATCAGCCACCACCGTGGAGAACGGCAAGGAGATCGACCGTCCCACTCCTCGCGCCATCACCGAACGTCTCGTTCGCATGCGCAAAGCCACCTGCAGCAGCAACGACGGGCATTTCAGCATCAGCAAAGGCAACGCTTCTGGTCCCTCGACCCCCCGCAGGCCTCGTGCCGCCGGTCCCAAGACCCCTTCGAGCAGACGTAAGCGTCCCAGCCCAGCCGGCGATGCCGACTCGACTGCCTCGAAGACCGTCGAAGAGAGCGATACCCCCACGAAGAAGCCCTCGCGTCTGAACAGCAACGGCGGCCAGCTCGGCCTGGTCGGCTCCACTTTGAAACTGGAGGCCACTCTGAAAATGGAAGACGATGACGAGGTGGGCTTCGTCGGCCAGGAGTCTCCCGTGAAGCGGCTGCGCAAGGCAAGCGCCCTGCCTTCTGGTATGGTCAGCTACAAGGTTGACGATGATGACGAAGACGCGGATGAGGACATGGAGAGCTCTGCTTCCGAGTACACGCCGGATCACGCCCGCGAGGAGAACGAGGATCTCTATGTGTAGTTGCCTGGGTGTCCTCTGCTTTGTTTGTTTTCTTTTGGAGTGGATCAGATCTTGTTGGTGGATGGTTTTGTTTTTCTTTCATAGGAACCTAGTTGAAAAGGGTTGGTTCCTTCCTTCTACGAGCTATGGTGGGGATGGTTTTGTATCTACTCCGGAGTAACGCACGGGAGCCTTTCTTTTTGACTTTACTGGAAAGCTTGAACTTCGATTCCATCTGCACGCTCAGCTAATTACTCCCCTAAACAACAACTAAGCGGCCACACCACTCCTCTTTCCTGTAATACTGAACTCCCCAATCCAAACCCCGAAAGCAACTCTGCGCCCCCAAGTCAAGAGAACCCTCAAAACATCAAGAGTAGTCAAAGTATCTCGCCAAAGCAGACAGAACAGCCCTCGTAGACAGAAAAAAAAAAGACAAGAATCAGAAACCGGTGGAAACCCCCAACCCGTCTCCGCGCGTTCAAGCCTCAGCAGCTCCCTCACCATTATCCTCACCCATACCTTCTCCCATGTCCTCGCCCCCGTTCTCGCCTTCAGCTGCATCTTCAACAGCAATCTTCACCTTCTTGGCAGCCGACCTGGTGGCCCGTTTTCTTCCGCTTCCGGCGGGTCTACCTCTCTTTCTCTTCTCGGGGGAAGAAGGAGTCGCGGAGGCCTGCTCGGTAGCAGAAGCAGAGGTAGCGATGGCGGTAGTAGTAGCGCCACCAGAGGTAGAACCGGTGCCGTTCTCGTTGGCGGTAGCCCTCTCTTTGATTCTCTGGATGCGGTGCTGGATGGCGCTGACGGTGCAGTCTGGAAAGCTCGGAGGGGTTTGTAAGCTTGGATATCAACAATCGAGAAGAAGGGTTGGAGAAGGATGTGAGCTTGGAAAAGGAGGATTGGAATGGGGGTTAAGCTTACCACCACCCATCTCCTTGGCGATGGCAGCGTGGTCCAGCCGTCCGGGGAGGTTCTTGAGGATGGCGACGAGTAGCTGGATGGTTGGTTAGTTGCTTGTTTTTGGGAAATGCTTAGGGGGGGAGAGGGAGAAGGAGGGAAGTCTTACTCTGGCATCTGCCTGATCATTCCAAACAACCATTTTGAAAGTGGGTGCACGTCGGTGTGCAGACAGAGAGATGTATGTGGGTTGGAATTGAGGTAAGAGTGGTTGAGCAACGGACGGCGCTCAAGAGGTAGCTGGATGTTTTGGTCTCACTCAGTCTGGGGATGTGAGAAGGAGAGATGAGTGAAAAGGAGAGAGATTTTAGAGGGCTTAGGACTGCTTTTGTGGCTGGGGGTGAGGTTTCGTGTGACTTATTCTCGTGGGCCTCTTCGTGGGATGAACAAACGGCCCCGCGCCGAGAGCTGGTTGAAAGCAGGCTAGTCACTCTGGATTCCAGGGAAGAAACTGTTGCTGATGATGTGGTGAATAGAATGGATTCCCACACGGAGTCGGAGGTTTGTGTTATGAAACCCTTTGAGGGAGATAAAGATTTTCACAGGAGGTTGAATCGACAAAGAGTCATTGCAGCTGGTGCACATGGACCTACCTCATTTCATTTCAGGCTCTGAGAGACTATGCTTGTGAACTTGCTCATACGGAAGTTTTTAACGATGTATACACAGTCATCACTCCAATTTATGGTTTGTCTCCTATGGAACTAAGTACAAACTCACAGCCATGGTGTTATCCCCAAACGCCCTTGGAAGCTCTCTCAAACACAAATTTATTGTTCTCCTCTGGATGGTAGGAAGAAAAATAGTCATTATATAGTAGCTCGTCGCGGCATTTATGTGCTGTGGTCAGGTCATCAAACTGCCGGAAAACGTGTCCTAGAGTTGTATATACTTCGCAATAAGCAAGTCTAATAGTTAATTAGCGGAGGGTTTCGGTATATAAATTCATTCGGAGCAACATACTGCATGCCAACACATTGTCTTGATCCCTTTCCAAAAGCGAGTAGGTATTTATCCAGATATCGGCTGTGGTCGGGGTCCAGCCAGCGATCGGGATCGAATCTCTCGGGATCGGGGAACAATTTCTGATCGTGGTGCATGATCCACGAGCTCATGCTGACAACAGTCTGGTCGAATCAGCTGCTGGTCATATACACCTCGGATCCAGGATTACTTTAACTTACCCCTCCTGGCACTTGATAGTTGTTGAACTCTGCTCCAGTTTCTGGAACAACCCGGGGAAGCCGACCAATGACTCCGAAAGACAGTCTGGGTATCATTAGGGAAAGAATTACTTTCGACAAGGATAAAGCGGGATTACCTCAAAGCTTCCTTGATAACAGCAGTCTGACAACGACATTAGTTCAACCTCCTTTGGGAACCGGGCCACGCATACTCACCAGGTATGGTAGCTTCTCTAAAACCACATAGTCCATATCATCATCCGGATCAGGGAATGCCTCCCTCAACTCGGTCGTCAGCCGGTCGTAAATGTTCGGATTGCGCACCACGTTGTACGTTGCGATTGTCATGGCATTGCCCGTCGTATCTGCCGCTGCGGCGAGGATAATGTAAACTTCGTCCGTGAGATCGTCCACTGTTGGTACCACATGTCCCTCCACGGCGTCGGGCGAGAGAAGCTGGTGGAAGATCGTCATGCGCGGCACCTTCTCGCCTCGGTCTACGGCGTCTTTGACCCGTTGGACATGACGATAAGATTCCTAGGACCATTAGATAAAGGCACCAGGTTGGGGATGAAGGCCAATTAGTCGATAGATACACACCTGCTGATGCATCATTCTTCTCGTCAACGATCCGCTCGTCAATCTGGCGAGCCAGAAAGGCGTGCGGGCCGCAATCGCCTGCAGCGCTGGGAATTGCTGGAAGAACCAGAATGCGGGTCCGAGTCCTCGCATCATATTGAAAAAGTCGACGCCAAAGTCTTCATCGTCCAGGAAGTTGTAGCATTGGTCGAATGCATAATCGGTGATTACGTCGATCGATATCGCCCTGAACCCGTGATGCAGGTCGATGTGGCCCGTGGATTCAAATGCCTGTCGCATGCGTGATACTAACTTGTTCGCCTTTTGTCGCACTATATCCTCCAAGTCGAGTACTCTCTTCCGTGAGAAGAAGGGATTTAGCGCTGATCGCTTGATGCGGTGGAGGTCCGGGCTTGCCGTCGTAAAGGTAGACTTTGCGGTGCCAAAGGCGCCATAGAAGATAGGATCCTTCCCGTACCGTGATCCGACGGAGTATATCTTTTGGCATTGTCCAGGGTCGCTCAGGTGAATCTCGTTCGGAGTGATTCGAACGATTGGACCTGAAGATGAAATCAGACACTTATGAACGGACTTCTTTCAGGGGCGTAAGACGCTTTCGCACCGTATTTCTCGTGCAGTTTTGGGATCTGCAAGTACATGCGTCCTCCGCGCATATTATACCAGAAGGAGTAGAAATAGAACGCTCTGGCAAAGAAGGGCCCCGGGACCTTGGCCAGAGGATGGAAAAAAAGACGATAGACCACTACGCCAACGCCGCGTAGTAGAGTTGCCACCGTCAGTGAGACTGCCAGCAGCCGTAAGATATCCAAACAAGTCATATTCGATAGAGTAGAGGCAAGCGCCATGATCGGACCTCCGATGAGATCTCACAAGATCTCAGGGAAACAGATTCAGATACCAGAAGGTCAATCAGGATGCCCAGCAGCAGACAGAGAAAAGGGAGCAATTTCATGTCCAATTGACAGTGGATGGTTCCAAATCGCCATAATATGATTTCCCGTCCCAATCCACATGCAAGACAGGACCTAAGAGGAGTAGGCAAGACCCCGCGCATGACATGACAGATGACCGCCAATTGGGAGGCGAAAGCCATCTGTGATGACTTCCATAGTGGTCTCTAGTTGTTCGTCCCGAATGGACCATGGTTCGTGTCTGGCCACACAGGTTCACGAACGAGGGAAGATCCCAAACTTTGACAGAAGGCAGCGTCGCATCGGACAACCTAGTTCGGGGCCAGGCCAAGCACGAAGAATGTCTATTGTTTCGATCAGCCGGCGATTATCACGTTGGAGCTATTCACGGCGACAGTGCTTCTTTCGACAACAGTACCTCGCACCGCGTTGCCTGTTCGCTCTGCCATGGTGCGTAACGGTTCAATGCAACCCACCGTTTATTCTGGCTCCCTAACTTCCTGAAGAAACGAGACGGGACCCGGTGGCTTGGGCCTAGGGGTTAGTTGCAGAAAACGACGAGCCGGTGCCGAGGGGGCTGTCTCGGTTTGAAGATCCGTGCGAGAGCAAGACCTCAGAAGGCAAGCGGTGCCGGTTCAGGACTGGGCAAACCAGCAAGTTTCCTCAGATGGTCGGAGTCAAGTACAGACAAAGCGCGGTGGAGTCTTAGTGGAGTCCAAGTGACGACACCATCTTCCGGGCCAATTCGAAGAACGTATAATTTGTCATAAGCACAAATAAGAATAATACCAATAAAATGTAATTGAGCGTTATCCGTAGCGGCATCAAGGTATGCACGGACGAACAGGGAAAGAAACCAATACGAGAGGATGCTGAAGAATCCATAATAATCGTCATGCAGGCGGACTCCTTCCCGCCTTCCCCGACTCGACTCAATTGGCACACCACACCGCTTCTCCTCGTCCTCCTTGCTCAAAAATCTCCGATGGGCTTTTGGCCGTACACCCCGACTCTGCGAAAAGAGAAAAGGTAGTTAGATCGGCACTCGTCCCCACAAAACATAATCATAAATGAAATGACTGCGAATGAAATGGGGCAAGTAGAGAGTGCGGGGAGAGAAACGTACACTTGGAAATAAGAATGAGTGTCGGGGTCTCGGAGGCCTTTGCGCATTTGCGCCAAAAAGACCTGCACCTCCGAGTAGGACCACTGATTCAGAGACATGCACACGTTAGCAGGTGTCTTTGGAAGGAAATCAAATCCGAAATTCAGCGAAGAAATGAACAAAACTCACGCCCATCACCCGCGTTAGTAATGCCATAGCCCATCCTTCAATCCCCTGCTCGCAATGGATTTGATTCCATCGGCCCAATTTCCTGAGCTTCTTATCCGGACTCCAAGGCCCGATCGGCAGCTTGAATCGTCGTTCCGTCACGTTCTGAAAGCCAACGTCTTGCATGTAACCCCGGGCCAGATCGGCAATACGAAATGTCTTTCCGAATTGTTCCCCGGCATCGATGAAAATCTTGGACCAGACCGCCAGGACGTGATCGTCGGTCACGGTGCCGTCGTCGGAGGTAAACTGAATGGACATTTCCAGCTGGTCAAACCACCCGCCAGGTTGTAAATGTCTTCGGTCGCCATCAGCCGCGTCAGCTCTTTGCGGTGCAGAAACAACGGAGGGATTTACTTCAAAGCAGTGCGATAGAACCCGGGCCAGTCCGAGATCGCTCCGTACAAAGACCGTACGTGAATCAGATCAAAGTGATTCTCCGGGTATATCCACGGCTCGGACGCGTCGTCAATCTCGAACCGTAGATTGGGCGGGACGAAGCCGGGCTGGATAGGGGACAAGTCGGTGCCGATAACCTGGGCGGATGGAAACTCATCGGCGAAGTCTCTGGGTAACGTCCACCGTTAGCTACCTAGGCAAATGGTTCGCATGCAACGATAGAAACCCGGCAGAGCTCACATTGCCCAAATCCCGGTGCCGGTACCCACATCGAGCGCTCTCTGCACGACCATTAAGCAGTGATCAGCCAATACCCAACTTCATCCTACAATCAGCGATCAGGTCGACCAACCTGGATGTTTCTGTTTATCGGTGCGAGCAACAATTTATTGTCGAGAAGCATGGTGAACATATGATGGCTGAATGGCAAAGTCAGTCTCCTCGGAAAAAGGCGCGGGGAGTTTTGAGGGCGACTTACGCAATATCCAGTTGTTCATTCTGCTTTTCATCATTCGGGCCCCTAGGAAATAGTGAGACCTTGTGTCTTCTATCCGAGTGGCAACAAAACCAAACGATTCAAACGTATTTACCAGTAAGCACCGTCCTTGTAGGCATGGTACCGTCGCCCATTTTCGAAGCGATAGGACGTAATCATCGAATTAATAGAAGTGGTATCACTGGCGCTGCACTCAGGTCAGCTGGAGCTCCTTCCGGGATCACGACTGGGGAATATTCTCACAAATCCTCTGCATAATCCGAGAAGGGGTCATCATCATCCACAACCTGGTGAGTAAGTTCGATTAGCTGTCATACGATGGGGCCAGTCCGAGGGAAAAGGCGTAAAAGGAACACGCACGGAAACCGATGCATTGTCGTCGAAATCCTGTTGAGCTTCGGGCTGCTGCGGCACAGAGTGGGAGGCCGTGGCAGGATCGGCGGTCTCCTGCGACCTGGGCGAGGAAGACATGACCGCCGGCCGGAATCCGGACTCTCCAAGTGAAAGTACGGGCCTTGCTGGGTCAAAAGGAAGAAAAGGTACCACCAGATAATTTCTGTTGTAAATCGAGCCGGAAGAGCCAGGAATGCATCAAGGAAGGGTTGAACGATTGTTGGAGATGGTAGGTGTGTAATCCGGCGGTCGACGCTCGGAATCTAAATGCGGGACTAAACATCGTTTTGGATTTTAGGCTCATTGCTGCTTTGGCTTTCTGCAAACAATAAAGGAAAGCTTCCTTCGTGGAAGACTGAAGGAATAGGCAATCGATGACCGGGGCCAAGCGGCAGGAATTGGCGGTCCATGCGAGAGAAAAATGCAGGCATACAGACAAACAGCCAACCGCCGCTGCATCTGTTGACGTACCGCTGACCCACCAAGAATCTGGATCGTGCTCTGTATGGTGTATATGTAACTATCAAGGATCAGTTAATTTTTGTCTTATACATGACAGGCCGGGTTCACTGTCTACCTGTTAGAGTTAGCTACCGCTTTACCCTGGCTAGTGTGGGTTGGTGACCGATTCCGTCTCCATTACGCTTTGCCTTCAACGCTCATTAGCCAGTCTCAAATAATCCATCGCTTTGTAATAAACTGCACTCACTCAGGATCACTACTCAGATAATATGGACTAGGAGTGAATATCTCCGTAAGTACGTGGGGAAATGAAAAACCAACAACAGCCGCAGGATTTGACTGCGTGCTCGAAAGTACCGGACCCCAAGTCGAAGGGTAACACTGTCACAGCCCACTAATGATAATGATCGATTACCTTCTCGGTCATCAAATGGTTGTTTTCAGCAAGTAGTCTGACATTTATTCCGCACAAGGAACGTTAGTGACAGCCGTATCATGGCACAACAGGTATTCAAGCAGTAGATTCATTTTAAGTTATGATGAGTGGTAAAATACCTCGAAGCTTAGTAGACACTGCACCGAGAGCATGTGGAGAAATGCGTCTGCGTCGGTCGCCAGGCTGGAGTACCGACAAGATTAAGTAAATAAAGCCAGCCGTTATTCTTCCATTCATATCGAATGCTCACAGAGATGATCCAGGAACTCGGACTCTTAGTTGACCAAGGGTATCTCTTCTCTGACTGATATCCACATACCACACAACGATTGCCTACCGGCCTCTGAGTGAGCATCGCATGACTGTAGCGTAACGAAGTCTGCAAATATTCTAGACGCACTCTCCTATCTAGTTAGTTTTTGATGGAGCAGGTGCATGCCGTCTCATAGTGACCACAGGTAGTACGGAGTAGACAGAAGCTTGATCTAGACTGGGGAACCCGTGCGACTCATCAGGAACCACGTGTCTTTGGGACTGAATGAATCTAAAAAGGTAATCGAGACCAGGCCATGTGGGTAACAGTCTACACAGTGTAATAGATCAGTCCGATTGCCCTGCGGGGAGATGAGAAAAACGCCCACGGGCGCACTGAACAACCTAGAGGAAAGGAATAAAGGTGTTGCAAAGCTTCCTGTGTTAATATTCCCTGTTATCCTACGTTCATCGCTGCGACTGTGCTATTCGTCTAGTCGCCGAGTCCCTCCAACATATGCACGAGGGGCGATTTTGAAAGGATAGGGAAAAAAGGGACATGGGGGATTCCGTATAGCAGAACATTGCCTCGAGAGCACTTGCAGGATGTACGGTACAAACAGAAAAGAGGAAGAAGAAAGAGTAAAAAGGAAAGAGAAGAATAGACAATGGGGGACGAGGCGCAGGGAGGAGAGGAGTAAAACACACTCTTAAGGTACAATATAGAGCGGCAGACAGCCCACACGACGATTGGGTCAGTGTACTGGGTATTCTCGACGAGATATGAGACACGCTATACTATATGGTCGGCAGGGTTCGTCTTCTTCCCTTTCCTCCTCTTTTTCTTCCTTTCTTCATCTCTTCTTGTCGATGTGGCCGTTAGCGATACCGCCCCCGTTGGCGGGGCAAAGCAGGTGGAGTGAGCAGCCTAGAAAGTCCCTAGTGACTCCCTAGTGAGTGGAGATTGTCTCAACCATGTCCCCCCATGACGGCTGTCAATTGGAACTAACTAATCATGTCCTCCAACTACCAAGCGCTTGTACCACCATTCTGGCCCAATTGAAAAGCTACGTGGTGCAAACTAGGCGACCAACAGGATTCTCAACATCTCTGTACACCACAGCCAAGAGGGAGGACCGGAGGAATGGACTGGATTCAATCGGGCAACTCGGCCACAAAACCATCGGAAAGGCCATAACATGTCAGCCTTATATCCAGGCTAACGTCCTTGGCGTCCGTCATGGCAGACCGTACAGCCCAGTCATCCAGAAGACAAAGAAAGCCGCTTCGGAGAACGCGTGCAAGTTTGCCCTCACACATGACCGTAACGCCATGGATGCCGTGACAAGAACGAAGAACATTGAATCCTACCAGTTCCGTTCGAAGGCACGCAATCAATCCAACATTCGAGTGACAGGGTTCCGGACTCTGACGGATGGAGAGCAATGCCCCTCCAAGTATCCACTGCTGAACTGGCTGCCAACTGCCAAGAGCCTCCAGGGATACAGACCGAGTGGGGGATTCGCTCTCCAGCCGCAGTTTCAATCCAATCTACGCATATCGTTGTACTACAGCCTCCCTGTCTCCCCCCACCAGTGTCGCATTATCGCTGCTGCCTTGGACAAATTGATGGGGGGAAAAGAAAAGAAGGAAAGACAAACAGAGAGAAAGTAAGCACAACAGGTGATGGAGGGGCAGACTGAATCGGTATCCTTGTTCCACCTTCACTAGCAAATCCCCACTGCTCCTGGCCCATGCTTGTGCATTCAAACAAATGATTCCAAGCCATGTGTATGGTGCCAATGGCCGTGGGGAACTTGGGGCTAAACATCCCCACGGTGAGAGCTGTCGCGGACTATAAAGTCGGTCAATTGTGCCCGGCGTCTCTTCTTCTTTTTCTTTCCTATTCTTCCTCCATCTTCCTTCCTGCATTACTATCAATCTCCACATCACCTTCAAAGAGATCCAATCACCCCGTCACGATGAGCTTCCACTACAGCGCAAAGGACATCCACATCGAGGACAACCACAAATTGGTTGCTCTGCTAGCGGACAGCGAAGGAGAAATGCAAGAGGCGTCCATTGATCTTAACGAATACATTGGAAACAACGACGGTTCGTCGATTTCACCCACATCCCACAGACAGAGAGCATGCTCTAACTCTACCCACGTAGGTTCCTTCGAGTGGGAGGGCCAGAACTTCTCCGAGACGGCCGAGGACGTTGAATTCCACATCGAGGGAGACGGCGAGGTGCCCGTGCTGCGGGCTAAATTGAACAACGCGGACGGAGAGCCGGTTGACGCCGATATCAACCTTGCAGAGCGTATCGTGAACGACAACGGTGAATTTTCTTTTCAATAGATAATCATCTCTACCTACCATACCGTGTGACGGAAGCCTGTTGATCTTTTCGTTTTGATGTAACTATTCCATCTACTCAACTTACGGAAGTTTCGTCCATGATAAGCGTCATGTGGCCAAAAGATACAGAACAAGTCAAATACCCTCTGAGAAATAATCCTGCGAGAGAAAAGCAAATAAAGCATATGAAAAACCTTGCTAAAAAGCAACCTGCTCCGAGCCCATTGCCCTTCCCGAAAGTAAACTCATAATGCTCCAGCCCCAACTCCTCAAAAGCATCCCAATCCCACCCATGTGTCTTATGGTGTACAACTGAAAGGCACGAGAAAGAGAAATGCAGATGGTGACAAAAAAAAAGAGCAAAATACCGCCATTTTAGGTCCGTGAGCTTCCCGAAGCAACATAAGAAAATAAAAGGAAGTGGAAAAACAAAAAGTAAGTCATAGCCCGCCAAATTATCTAGAGACGGCTGCGGCTTTGTCACCATGCATGACTGGTATCCCCAATATCCATGTCATTACCGGTCCAGTCTTCGTCGCCACTTAACTCGTCGTCGAGAAAATCCTCTTCGTTGAATTGGGTTTCGGTAGGGCGTTGGTTATCGATTCGGACCGAAACAACGTCACACATGCCCTGCACCGGAAGACGGCTCGAATCATCGTTGGTCTCGCTGGCGGCTCTACTCAACGGGCTCTGATCCGCGTTGTCCTCGACCTCGGAATGTTTCCGCTGGGCCAGGCGGGCACTCTTGCGCTTAGAAGGCGTTGACACCCCGCTTTGCGGTGCATCAGACTGAGTAGCAGCTTCGTCCTTTTTACTCTCTTCCACGTTGGTGGAGGGCACAGCCCGGGTAATGGTGCGAAATATCGGATTGGGAGGCACGCTTCGCCGTAAGAACACCTTCTCCAGGTTGCCGATCCACTTCTCTCGGAATGATGCACGATCGCGCCACCCGATTTTTAGAATTGCGCTAATCATCAGGCGCCGTAGATCCCGCAGTTCAGGCGCCGCGTCGATCAACGAAGTAAAAAAGACGCCGGCAGTGCGGTCGTCCCACTTGCGCAATTGCACCAGCTCAATTTCCTGCAGGGTACTTGGCCAGGTGGGCACTTCTGAAGGGCTAAGTAGTTCCCGGAAATGGGGTTCCACATCATGATAACTAGACCAGTCATGCATCGAAATGTCCATTTTGAACCTCTCGAGGTTCTGGCATGCTTGGGCCAGGATCTGAATGAAAGATAGACTCAAATGCCGGTTGTGGCTGAGAATCAATTCGCGGAGGTGCTGGCCATGAGTTGCAATAAAGGCGCTGAAATTGGCAGTGGTCACGTCGTCGCAGTTGTTAATGGTGAGCGAGCGAAGTCCCGTGGGCAAGTTAGGCATCAAGTACTCATTGACTATCGAACACTCGTGGAATTCTAGATGACGCAGATGCGGGAGTCCCTTGAGAGCCGTTGCGAGGACGATCTCTCGCTCATCAGACTCGGTACCGGATTCATCGGAGTACGCATCCTCGCTGGCAATATGTAATAGTCTCAGCTCTGTGATGTTTTTGAAAGCGGGTTGCAGATGCTTCGCCATCATAAGTGGCAGAAGCAATTTCGTCTCCATGAACCGACTGTTCCAATCCCAGCTACGCAGTCTGATCGGTGCTGATTCAATAGCCGAGAAAAGGGTATCCGGGTAGGCCCATTTTGAACGACTTAACTGCCAAATAGGAATACCAACCAGGTAGTCATCACTATGATATAGCCGCAGTCGCTTCACCTGAGGCGTCTTCTCGATCAACTTTGGCAACTCGAAATACCCCAAAGTTGGCCCGCTCTTGTATAACAGCAGGACTTCCACATCCACGTGAAGTTCTCTAATTTTGCTCGCATAGTTGGTGGAAAGAGCTTGCGGCGGGCAGGAAAGCAGAGTCAGTAGGCCATGTGTCTTGGCGGCCGGCAGCATCGGGGGGCTTTGATAGAGCACAGCCAATGCTGGTTCATTGAAAGCATGACAGAGAAGGGAGACGTTCACCAGCCATTGTACAGAGCTGTGTCTTCTACCGGTCTTTTCCTCCACCAGTGGATACGAGGCAAAGAAGAAGATATCGAACAAGACATGATATGGTAGAGTCTGCCAGGGTGGAATCACGCCCGAGCCTACAAAGGGGGGTTCATCCGTTTCAATCTTCCTCTTTTTCTTCAGCGACCTGCCCAGTTCCAAGTGTCGCTTGCCGGCGTTTCTTTTGGTGCTTTTTGTCTGCGATCTGGTTTTCACGGTTTTTCTGCGAGAGGGTCGGTTCTGCGTGTTGCTGCTGCGGCCAGTCTGCTCCGGAAATGGATAGGTGAAATGCGTGGATGTTTCAACTGGTATCACCGCCTCGGGGTCTCGATCTTCTGGAATTGGCCCCTCAGATGAGCTGTCAGAGGATTCTTCGCGATAGGAGACAGGCGCGCGGTGGGAATTACGAGGGCGGAGGGAAAGCGACGGTCGCTCTTCGCCCGAGACAGGGTTGTCGTCGTCCAGGTGATCGTCAGAACTGCTTTCTTCATGATATGACTGGACCTGGGTGCGACTGGAGCGGACGGGGCGGGAGCGTCGAGAGGTGCGTGCGTTGGAAGTGTGAGCCATGGCAACGGAGCTTGTTCGCCCTACAGACGAAGAAGGAACATCGAGAAAGGCGGGCTGCACATGATCCCCAAATGTGAACGAGCGAACGATTCAAAACGAGAAGCGGAGTTGAGAAGTTACCCAGAGCACTCTGGAGCCAACATAGAGGGGTCTAAATTCAAAGGTGAGTATGGGAATCTGGGAACATGGGGAATGGTGAAGGTCCAAGGCCTGATCGGATCGGTGAATGTGGGAAAAGAGTGAAGGAGCAACGATGACGACTTGGAAGGGAGGAAGGGAAGAAGCACGGGGTTTATCGATAAGAGACGATTGAAGATTGCCTGATTCTGATCCCACTCTCTGCCTTACGGGCCAGGCCGGCAAGTCTTGTCCCAAGGCGGACTAGCGCACTCACGTGACCGAACGGGCCAAGGCCCCAGGCATCAACTCCCCCGCCCTGAGGCGCCGGCGCTAGACCGCGAGGGGCATCGAGGAGCGTCCCGAAATAGAAACAGTCAGCTCCTCTCAGTCTATCATCGGCCTTCGTTTAAAGCGCCCGCCGTCGTCCAGCCACCTTCTCCTCTTTCTCTTCTTTCTCCCCCTCTTTCCCCCATCTCTCTGATCATGGCGATCGGGTTTCCCCAACCAGGACATATCTCGTCATGGGCTGTGCTCCGCCATTCTAATCCGTCCATGTTTACTGTATTGTTTGTCTGATTCGCATTCAGATATAAGTAAATACCCTGCGCCGCGTCGTCTATTTTGCTAGCTGTCTGCGTCCTGTGCCATCAATTGATGCGCTCCATTGGGCTGGTCCCTGATTCTTCTTGATTTTGTGCTCCCTTCTTCGGCTTGGTGGCCTGACGCTATTGACACACATTTGAAATTGGACCTGGTCTCGCAGCTATTTATGATACCCGGCTGTCGTCCCGGCGCTTACGGTTCGACGGGTGCTTTCACCTTCTATATTGTGACGGGCCTCAACTCCAGACTCCAGAGGCCCCACGTCGCGATTGCTGCACCATGGAAGGTCCGTTTCCCAATGTGTTGAATCAACCGGACCGCAATGAATTGGGGCATCCCCCGATGGTCATCCAGCAGTATGCGAGATATCCGCCCACCCTCGAGCCCGGGTTACCAAGCGCATCTTCGCTGGGAAGCGCTCGCAGTCGCTTACCGGCCTCCAAATCACCCCCGCTTAATCGCAAAGCGACCCCTCGCAGCTTGCAGGCATCACCAACCGGCGTGCGATCGGCAGGTCCTCCAGCAACCGCCGCGCAGCCCGGACCCTCAATGTCCCCCCCGATGTTCGACCCTCTGCGCCAGAGACAACCGAGGGAATCGATGGATCAGCCGGATTCTCGAGCGCTGCCGTCTCGCGACATCAAGGATGATACAATTGACGATGCCTACGTGATGTTTATCTTCCACTGTAACCCTAACGTTCCGCTGTCCGTGGACACCAGCGAGCTACGAAAAACATTCCGGTCGCCTCCCCGGAGTGACGGCAAGAGTTTCAGCATATTTACGCTGTGGGAGTTAATTCGCAAACTTGACAATAAAGAATTGAAGACCTGGATCTCCTTGGCGACCGAACTTGGGGTGGAACCACCCGTGATGGAAAAGGGCCAGAGTACGCAGAAGGTGCAACAATACGCGGTCCGTCTCAAGGTGCGTCTGTCGTTCCTCCTTTTGCTATTGTATACCATATTCAGTATGCTAACTAGCATATATCAGCGCTGGATGCGAGCGATGCATGTCGATGCGTTCTTCGAGTACTGCCTCGGCCATCCACACCCCTACTACAATCAGATTCCCACCAATAATTCAGTTGTTAGCGATAGTCGCGACGGAGTACCGTTGGAAGAGGATCTGGCGCTGCGAGCTCTTGTGCCCCAGTGGAAACCCAAAAGGGGTAGAAAAAGGGCCGACGAGCGGGACATAACATTTGAACGGGTTACCAAACGACCTTCTTTAGACACCTCCGTCGGCATCATCCACGCAGGCCCATATCCCGGGCACTCGACGACCTTCCCTCCAAGCGCCATCCCATTCAGCGCTTTCCCCGACGAGATCGAGACGCACGATCCGTGGATGGCCGCTCCCTCTACGTTTCCGACCGCCGGGCCCCCAGACTCGTCTGCTGCCCACCACGGACCCGATCCGCGATGGAAACCCATCGAGCGCGATACGTCCCCGTCGGGCTATCCACAGTCGGCCATCATACCTCGACACCATCATCCCTCCGAAGTTTATTTGCACTCTACCGAACCACGGTCCGCAATGACCCCGGTTTCGGGTGACAAGCCACGTCCCAAGCGACGACACGGCCCCGCTGTATCATCCGCGTGGCCCAGCAACAATGGATCATCCACGGGCAAGACTCGTGGGCGACCACCAAACCGGGGTACCACCTCAGGCCCATTCTCATCATTTCCTGTAAATCCCAACCGTTCCGATCCCACTCAGATACATCAACCCACATCAAGGCCGTCGCCTGCCATCCTTCTCAACCACGATTCTTCCCACCGTTTCTCTCAGTCCCAATACCAGCAGTCACCGACGCCGTTCCCTGGTCCTCGACCAAACAAGTTGCAGCTTCAGGTGCCGCATCACTCAGGCGCGCCGGTTCGCTTGGCCACGCCTCCGACCTTCATGGCCAACGGTATCAACAATCCCTCGGGTCCTTTGAAGATCGAAGGCAGCCAGCGGAACGGGGCCGCCGCTCCGAGCCACGAAATGCACAGCGCGGTTGCTCCTCATCCTCAAATCCAGGTGGCCCGAAATGGCCACTCCCAGGCGGATTTAGTCTCCGATGATGCGGTTCGGGTGTTGGCAGGGGAGTTGCTGCGAGCCAAGGTCACCGGCCGCCCAGCCCCCCTCAACGCCGAAGAGGCCCGCAACTTGGCACTGTCCGTCGTGACCACTTTGACGGCTTCATACTCCCACGCGCCATTGGGCTCACCGGTCCTCATGTCCGTTCTTCACCTTGGACTAGGACCGCATTTCGGTTACCCTGGAGTCATGGAGAGCGCGATGGTCGTGCATGTGGAATTAGCGCCTGTCGCTCCTGCAAACATGCCAGGTGCGCCAAGTCCTGGTGGCGCCCCACCGAACTTTGTATACAGCATCTCCCACGAGTACAAACATGGTCTTCATTTTACAACCAAAATCACCTACGGCGATTTCACCATCGGCAAAACCGACAGCAGCAAACGCGAGAGCATTTCTCGAATCACCGATGACCCTGACAACAGCATCGCAGAGTTGGACAGTCTGACCGATGCCGAATATGAGGTCGACGGGGCTGATAGCAATGCTTCCGACATGACCTGGAAGCAACGGTACATGAAAATGAGGGCGCAATTACAGAAGAGGGAGCGTGCACTAACCATGTACAAGCGCAAGATTCTCGATTCGGTCATGGCAGATATCTAACCTATTTCAGCTCTGCCAACCCTTGAAGCAGATGGCAACAGACTTGCCATTGTTCTGAGAGTTATCTCGTTGTCAATATTCGCATAATCATATCGTGATACCCCCTATATTTCTGTACATTGTTGCGATGTGATTTTATGTGACTGCTTTTCCTTTCTGCTTTTTTTTTCTCTTGTGTACGTGAGCCGGAATGATGTTTCTATTGTTATCTTCCATTCTTGTTGGATACCCTTTGAGCGACCTTTACCTTGCCTATTGGGATTTGATGTACTCCATTTAGAGCCTTTGCTTTGATTTACTTTTACACGGAAAACCCCTTTTGATTTCAGTAAGATTCTAGGCTAAATCCAGTGTAATTCATATAAAGCATTATCACGGAGGACGTATCATTCACCACCACCAGGCGTCATGTACATGGAATCGAACCTTTGTCTGAGCACTTCCTCGTGAATCGTTCCCGGGGCCAAGCAGCCACGCGTCTCGGTCGTTAGGCATAGGACGAGGCCCAGGCAACCCTATCACCGTACTCATTCATTGCCAGTAATCTGTATATCTTCATGACCCCTGTCCGACCTCACCTGATGGGGCTTTCTGCTGAGGATTGGCATCATCAATACGGTCCTCCGGCTTGGTATGTAACTTCTGATGCCGAGGACTGTCGGGCAAGCACCATGGGCAGTTGAAGATGCATTATACGAATGAATGGTGGGCCCTGGCGATGACAAACCAGTCCAGCTACGAGATGGTTTCCCGCGGGATAGCTACGCAGGATATGGAAAAAACCAACTATCGACTCAAAAAGGCGAGGTTACGGGCTTTTGTGGGTAGTTCAACTGAAGTTAAAAGTCTTCCCACCTGCGCCAGAGTCACCCGGGCGAAATACTTTGAACGAGTTTGGCATCTAACCTGTTTTAGTGACCCAAGGTATGAGAGTAGGTATGGTACTTTGCAATCGCTGTATGATGAGGAACCCTGCCTAACTGAAAACAAAAGCCAAAGAAGAAAACAGTTTGAAAACCGGAGCGGCAACCTAAGGCACGCTCGTCATGATCCCAAGCCCTAGAGTGAAGAACAAAACCAAATAGTGCCAGAAGAGTTCCAGAAAGTCCCCTTTTGTGGCCGTCGCTCTTCTACCAAGGAGTCCTCAAGCGTAGGATTCAGCAGACACCTCCTCTCCCAACTCAAACGGTCACACCCTTGAACTGTCGGCCGACATGGTCAGTCAGCATTTGTCCACCAAAGAAAGAGTAAAGCAGCAACGGCACCAACGTGACTTACCAAAGAGCCATCGTCGTCATCGTCGTTCTCGTCTTCGTTCTCGTCACCATCGTCCTTGTCGTCACCGCCAGAGCCCTGGTTCAATTTCACAATATCCTCCGCACACATCACGGCCGCCTTCTTCATCAGCTTCGCTTTCTTGGGCGCGGGCTTGGAGGCCGCCGCCTTGCGTTTGACGCCCGCCTTCTTGGTCGGGGTAGAGGTGGTGCTGGTGGTGTTGGCAGTGCCAGTGGCAGTAGTCGATTTCTCGGGGGAGTTGTTGGGAGTGCTGGCCAGGCTGCCGCCGGTGGGGTTGATGTTGTTTGCTTTCAACAGTCTCTCGTAGCGCTTTGCTCTGGTGGGTTTGTCAGGAAAGGAGAAAGTGAGAGGATAAGGCGGCTGAGGATAACTTACGCAGCTCCCTTCGAGACGATGTCGCATTCTCCTGCCACGGCTTCGAAATCGATCTACGGAGGGAATTAGTTTGAGATCATGTGGGATGATCATCTTGGTTGGGGAGGAGGGTGGATTAGGATCTCCTCACCTTGCCGTTGTTGCTATGACGGATGCAGCTTAGAAGGAACTGAACCAGTCCTTCCGCAGGAGTGGGAGGAGCCATGGCGAGTGATTTGAGCTTGTTTGGGACAGAAAGAGATCAGAGACTTGGTGGTTGAAGGGGATGAACCGGTGAGAGATGTCTTCAGAATCAAATGGTGGCAGATGAAAGGTTTCTCGGGGGGGAAGTCAGCAGGAAGAAGAAGTGGTCTGCTCCAAGGCATTCAGTGCCTGGACACGGTCCACGCTCCAATGGTGCGATTGGGGTAAATGGCGGAGGTTGGCAGTGAAGGAAAGAATTGTACTCTTGTCGGGGGAGCTTCTCTACATGGATCCAGTTCTGTAGGTGGTACCAATCCGGTGGGTTCGTTTGCTGGATGGGCAAATCAGCACTCAGACTGGGTGCGATCCTGGAATTCTTCCAGGAAGATATCGTCTATCTTCCCAACGTATGGTGAGCGTTGTAGTCGACCACTCATGTCTTGCTCTGGCGCTATCTTGTGCAATCACTGTCTTGCAGGTCAACAGTGACAGTCTTGAGAGGAACATCGGTCAAGTTCCTCCACCTGAATCGCCTCATGTTGTTCACCTCTCTTGATCATTCTGAACAGTTCAATTATGACTATTTGAAGAAAAAGTGTCTGTCTCCAAGAGCATCGCTGCACGCCCAAACCCGTAGCAATCTTGACTTGTAGTTGGGACCAATCATAGAGAAAAGACAGAAATGAAAAACAACAAATGTGGTTACAATTTAGATCTACCTACTTTCCAAATGTAGATACAGTTTCTTTCGCGGATTATCACGAGATCAATTCAGCTGAGATGTTTAGTCCAGCTACTCCATCTAAACCTCGAACCTATACATGCCATAATCTACCGTCCACAACGAGTCTCATATCGAGACCGCCGGCCCTTAGCATTGCTGCTGCAGCTGCTTGGCAGCTAAGAGCTCAGGTTGTCAGCCAAAGTTCAGAATGATAATCGAAAAATATTCACCCACCATCCTTATCCCCGACAGGGCACGAGGAGACGCAGTTCTGCACCTGACCCTTGAACTGCGCATTGGAGCACGCGCACGAGGTGTCCTTGCAGCCGGTTGCGCTACCAGCCTTGGTTAGACAGTTTTGCTAGCATCGTTAGCATGACTTCTTCCGAGTGCAGTAACGGCAGGGCAACTCACCAGGCACGAGCCGGACTCTGCGGCTGCGGCAAAGGAAAGCAGGGCAGTGAGAGGGAGGAGGATGGTGATCTTCATTATGGTATTGTTTGATGTTCTTCGCAAGGGCTTCTTTGAAGATGGGTCTGTGATGGAGGTCCGATTGTTGAATTGCAAGAACAGGAGACAATAGCTTGCTTAAATATATCTACTTTGACCACCTACTTGGTTCAGGGTGTCAAGTCCGACGGTCCAGGGTGAAGTCGATCTACAACTTCCACATCATCACCACGATCAGATCATTTCCGGGGAAGGGAAAGGTCATCCTGTCAGGGCAATGATGTTGCAGTTTCGACTCAGAAATGAAGCTGATCCACCGGTCGAAGAATTAAGTTGATGATTGACCGTTGCAATCGTCGCCAATCACGGTGCTTTGGTGCCTGTCCCAGCTCCACCGACCGAATTTCTGGTCATCTTTGTCATGGATCATAGATTTGACTTTGAAAGTCGCACGTCTGACAGCAGGCTCCCTGGCCATTTGTTGATGACGTATGTACCACGTCCAAGGGAATTTCCTGAACGGTCTGTATGGACTGAACAGCCGAAGTAGACGTCGCTTTCCGTGCCCGCCACCTCTGTTTCTTCGGTTGGTTTTCTTTTGGACGTTTGTCTATTTTTCCGTCTTCTATTTTTGTTTTTTTTTTTTTTTTTTTTTTTTTTTTTTTTTTTTTTTTTTCCCTTTTCGAGTTTTCGTTACTCGAAACGATCCTCGTTCAGGCAGCGCTGCGTCACGCCGGAAACCAAAGACCTTCGAGTCGTTTGGCAGTCGACAGGGGAGGCTGGCGACTGTTAGCGTAGACGGCGGTTGCACGAACTCAACAAACGCTTGTCAGGGCCAATTGCAATGGAGCCCAGTACCCTGCAAGCATATAACGTCCTTGCATGATCCTGCACGATATTGGAACCTTCCTTTTTTTTTGTCTCCTATTCTGTCTCGGGAACGGGCAGAGGATAGTCGCAGGCACTGGCGCTTCCAACGGTTACCTGGTGGAAATGAGCATTCCGTCAACGAGGGCTTGATCGCGGCGGCTGGGATCTAGGTTCTTTTTGCAGAGAGAGAAAAAAAAAAGGAAGAAGTGTAACTGTCCTCGGGGAGATGAGACATACTATGTCTGGCCCCGCATTGACTGTCTTTCTACGTACTGTACTACTCAAATAGAAAGCCAATGAAATTGTTTACTTCATACTGAGTTCTGATCTTTTCGAGGCAGAGGGGTCGGAGCCTGCTGAATGACGAACCCCAGAGGCGTGTGGGACCTTGAAGGTATACTGACTACTGATCGTGGAGTAGTGTAGTGATGGAGACCTGGGCGGTATCCCCTCCCCTACGAAAGAGAGGCGTGGCGGCTAGGCCATCGGAAAAGTTCAAGGAGTGGTCTGGCAAGGTCTCGATTCCATGTGCACGCCGTCTGGTGGCGATCTACGTCTCCTCCGCGGCGGTCCTCTACATAGATTTACATTACAGATCGGTTTAGGGCCCTATCGGAATCTAGCACAATTTTCACTGTAAATCTTCAACTCCATGTGCAAGCAATCCACCATGAAGAGTCAAGTAGAGTTACACACCGCAGGACAGTCCGCCCAGAGTCTCTGTCACAACAAACGAGAGAGAACAAAGTACAACAAAAAAAAAGGATAGGGACAACACGATGGATCTCTGGAAGGGCTGGACAAGACGGTTAGCTGCGGCTCGCAACTCTCCAGCAAGGAAACTCACAGATGGAGAAGAGGATCATCAAGCCTTTCCGCGAGTATTGTGAATTTTGGGTCGGGCCGACTCTTCCTCCTGAACGATTTCATCCACCGCGTCCAACAGGTAAGAGTCGATGCCTTCGTCCTCCTCAAGGGGATTGGTTGCATCCTGGGAGTTCCCAGCTTTGGCGGCCCCCTTGGACTTGGAAGCACCAGCGCCGTTGCGACGGGTGGCTGCAGCTGCAAAAGTGGATCTCAATGATGCTTTGGCACCTTTGCTCCGGGTCGCAGACTTCGCCACGCACCGATGCTTGACAGGAGAATAGGCGTCGCCGTCGTCGCTAGGCTCGGGGGCTGTCTCGTCGGCGTTGGTCTCGGTGCTGGGTGCAATGGACGCGGTCGAAGCGGCAGAAGGCTTTTCCTCGCTCTTGCCGGAGCCCATTGTGCACTCAAGATTGTTGAAACCATGTCGCTTACGTAGCAACCGAAATCGGTTTGCAACAGAGACTGAGTTGGTGTATCCAAGGGCCTGGCCCACTCTTACGATGTCCACCTGGTGAGATCAGTCAGTAGATGATAGGGTTGGAGTCATGCACAGTTTCACTTGCCTGTTTGTTTCTATCCAGGTTCTTCAAACATTCGAGGATAAACCTGGCGTCGGGCTGGCTTATTTCACCTTCGGTGGTGCCACCTGACTTTCTGGTGGAAACCATTGCTATTCGCTGAAGCCACGATTAGTAGAGATCTTGACTGGTGTTTTGGCGCGTGCAGAAAGGAGATTGTAGCCACTTACCAATAAGAAGTAATTGGACGAAGGATTGGGAGTGATCGAAGACTTGGGTATGGAGGAAGTGTAGGTAGCGTGGACAGATGGAAGTGATGGGGATGGGGAGGAAGGGAGCAGAAGTAAAGGAATTATAAGTGAAGGAAGCAGGAGTGAAGAAAGCAGTTGTGGAGAAAGCAGAAGTGAAGAAAGCAGAAGTGAAGGAAGCAGGAGTGAAGGAAGCAGAGGTGAAAGAAGCAGAGGTGATGGAAACAGAGGTGATGGAAACAGAGGTGATGGAAACAGAAGAGAAGGAATTGGTGACAGAAGAAGAAGATGACCGTCTTCTAGGGGGGGTTTTATATGTTCTAAGGTACTTATGTTGTCGAGTCAGCCATGTGACTTCCAGTGACGATTGTCATAGCAATGGAGTGTTGCCGATGAATTGCAAGCTAGAAGCAAAACAGACCTCTCATATCTCCACAGCCAGCATGTATTCAAGTGAGGTAAGAACTACATTACCGCAGTAAGTTGTCTATTCGTCATTGGTTCATAAAAATAAATACCAGTCCCAGGTGAGATTATCATGAATTCCTTGCGGAAACACCAAGTGCAGAATCAAAATTATCACTTCCGGCTTCCCATGAGCCCTCCTTCGACAACGGCTGTTCCTTGGTATTCAACCTCGTCACATTGTGCGGAAATCCCAGTCTCCTCGGTCTTCTCCACCTTGACAAACAAACTGTCAACTTCTCCCCGGTATTCCGGCTCAGCTTTGACAGGAGCCCAAAGATGGCGGGGGCTGGGGTGCTGCCCATACTCCATTGGTGTCAGGTTCGGAAAGCCAGGGGGCGATGCGTACATTCCCAGGTCCGACGGAGCCACAGTAACTGACGGATACGGAATTGTGGGCATCTGTAGAGACGTATTTGGCAGCATCTGATGAGAGGTGGCTTGAGGTATGTCGGCGAGAGAAGGGATTCGCTGTCCGTATGGGTCGTCCTTGATGAACGGGTTCGACTGGTAGAGCAGGAGACCGGGATCCTGCTTTACCTCCGACTTTGGCTGCGCGATATCTGCCTCCGGATGCACATCCGCCTTGCACGAACCGGCCTTGGACTTATTCGGGGCTTTCTTGGTGCGGGGTGCTCGTGGTGTGGATGTGATGCCCTCCATCTGTTGCCTGAAGCGAGAATAGCGCATCCGTGCCGCATGACCGTTGGAAATCTCAAGTTGGGAGGCAACGACGTTCCAGTCAATCTTGAAAAATATGATGAGTCGATTAGCGAGTGACTGAAACCTGGGTGGACTTCACTTACAGCCTTCAGATCCAACTGCTTGATGATGGTGTAGAGGAATTTGACCGTCGGGCCATCCGTTGGCATGGCTCTGCTGCGGCGGGTGGTACTCATGGCTGCAGCCTCAAATTGAACGCTGGCGAATGTAGAGAAAACCTGGGGTTGCACTGGATCGAATGGTGTAAATGGCAGGGTATCTGCTAGGAGAAGGTTGATGGAGAAGCATGCACTCTGTTGCACAGATGTCATCATATATTTGATTCTGGCAGCGCTAACAGATCTTAATTTGGCTTCCCAAGCCAAGCGATCTTTTGCAAGGGTGGAGAGCCACAGCCCAGCCCACCAGGAGGTGCAAACAAACCGACATCTGTTGACATGTCTCGGATAGCCGTAAGCCTGGCCCAATTATCGCTTCCTCCTCTGTCAAATGACGATAAAGGATTTAACTCTCCACAGCAGTGCCAGAATAATTGGGATAATAGTAAGATGCATGCTATCTAGTCAAAGATACAGAATTGTGTATCCACTTGCTCATAATCTTAGTGTCTCCCCTGGGCGAAGTCCGGTCAATATTCGTCACGTGTGCATATATGCCCTGACTTCTCCGTCCTGGCAGAAAATGGGGGTTACAGAGGTTTGCCTATGCGCAGTTTCTTTTTTTCTGTTTCTTACGCTGTATCTTCTCTTCGTTTCATTTAATTTGTCTTGGAGGAAAAAATAAATAAAAATCCCTGTACCGGAAGAGCAGTACCAATCAAGACTAGATGACAGGTGCTATAGCCAGGACAGGGCAAACGGCAAAGGGTACCTACGGATTACTCCGTACGGGTCTGTACTTTTCTGTAAGACAAAAAGGAAAAAAGAAAAGGAAAGGAAAAGAAAATGATACAAGATAAAAAAAAAATTAAATAAACAAATGAAAGTGGACAAGGGAAAAGAAAGGAAAGAAAAAGGCACAAATAAGACCGAATTGAAGAATATACATCGAAGACTCAAAGAGAAAAAAAATGCTATCCCACAAACGGGGACTGCCAGGGATAAGGAAAAAAGAAAAAAAGAAGGAAAAAACGACTGTACCGGCCTTGACACCGTAGATTTTAGAACCAACCAGTCAATCTTGGGTGTCCCAGCCACCGCATAAGGTGTTACAGGTCCCATTCGTTTTTCCTGGAAGTCTGGTCCAGACTCCCCAGTAAAAGTCAGCCCTGTACCTAGATACACTAAGGGCAGAAACGCTTCCAGCCAGCTTACTCCGTAGGTACTGCCGGATATCGGCTGTTTTGCATCGCAGCTCTAGCAAGTTCCAAATCATCCAAGCGAAGGAGACTTAGTATTCAACCCAAGCCCGGCAAAAAAGGCACCCAAGCCCGCGAGATTACTTCCCAGGTTCAAACATGGGAATGAATTTCCCGTGGGCGGATCTACCGCCGCGCAGCAATGACACCTCCGAATACTCCTAGTCCTACTGTAATGTCTCACGATCGTTGTCGCGCTATATCCAAAATTCCCTTTTTTTTTTCTGGCCAATCAATCAGCGAGTTCTCGTCTAGTCCGAGACTGAACCCCACAACTCCCAGGTGTGTACTCATACGGAGGACTGTAGGCTGCTCCGTACATAGAATGAACACTCCGTCTACCCGCATGATGCAGTTCTCCTGACAAGGGTACGCGACTTTCTTGTCTCGAAAGCATATTGGATACTTCTTCCCTTTCTTCAATTTGACCCGGCGTCTAGTTTCGCGTCTCTTCGCGTTTCCCAATCTTCTCGCGTGTCTTCCTGGTATAAATATGTCCTCCTGAACTCCTTGAATCTTTCTTCTTCATCTTTCCCAACACATCATCGATTCAACTTTTCTGATACAAAGTCCCTTCTCTCATACTCGATTTGTTTTTTTCCTTCTCTGCTTTTTCCATTGTCTTTGCCATCTCTGTCTCTATCTCTTCTTCGCTTTGTGCTTCCACTCCTAGCTGTCAACGTGCCTATCTGACTGGCATTATGGCTTCACGGTAACAAGACCCCTCACAATGGAAAAGTCCAAAAGTCGGCCCCTCGAGCGACCAACCGACACGGCCCATACGAGTTCAGCCGTCATGAAGACAGACAGATTCTGTTGGCTTATTTGTCCACGGTCAACGTGCAGCCAGATTTCAAGGAGCTGCATAGGATCTTATGCAACAAAGCCTACTCGTTGAGCATGTTAAAGTATGGCTCTTTCCCCCCTCAATGCCCCTTGCCGTACAAGATCTCACTGCTAATGGTTGTCAATTACTCGCGATCAGGGAACATTTCAAGAAACTCACAACCTCAGCCGAAGAGGTGCGAATGGAGAGAAGCAATGAGGATCAACCCGTTTCGGAGGATGAGGATCGATCGGATTCCGAAGAATCGGCCACCTTCGACGAAGCCATCACCCCTCCTAGGACAAGAGAGGTCTCCGAGTCCCCCGTAACCCCAGCCGTCACCAGGCGCCACCGTCAGGAATCCCCTCCGGCGACCCGGGGCCGCGATGACCGCAGAGGGCGAGCCCGCGACACGGCTCCCGACACTCGACGAGCGGCGTCGCGACATCCTAGGCGGAGACTTTTGCACGCCCTCCGTGAAGGGCAGCTCACCGCGGCTCATGACGAAGACACCCCGCCGAGACAACAAACTTCTCGAGGACGACGAGAGGGGGGCCGAAGCTCGCGCGACTCGGGGCGCTCCGACACCCCTGGCCCTGACTCCTATCGTCATCGCGCTCCTTATGTGCACGTCCAGTTGCCTGCCAACCCACGTCGCTGAGAAGGGTGTGGTAAAGATTGTTTACTCGGGGATGATGTAGCTTTCGGGATTTATCTTTTCGGTCTTTGTCGGATTGGTTTTGAATGTTTTGAAAATGTCCGCAGTAGTTCTCTTTCGGTTGTCTCGGTCACCTTAATACTTTGTTTGAGCTTATGATGTGGTTTGGCCTTTTTAATACGCTTAGATAGTGCTTCTTGTCAACTTACATCATTTTCAGTTTGTGGGTAGGTTATGAGATCCTGTGCGCGTTCTCTATGGTTGTTTCGTATCTATCTTGTAGTAGTTGCCCATCAGGGGTTGTTCGAATAGAACATTTTTGCAACAGACAGGCCCTTGAACAGATATTTTCAAAACACTCATGCATTCCAAAGCAGTGCAAAGCAAACAATGCTCTTTCCTGCTGCAGATCTGTGCGCTTGTTCCTCTCCGACTTTAGTGGTCTGGTGGAATGGGATGACGGAAGTGATGGGAACGTCCAAGTTCGATCTTATTTGCATTGGTGCGAAGAGTCAGGTTTTCTGTTTATTCAATGTATTAGTTGTATGGTAGAGGGTATTTTGCGTGCCAGGTCCGCTAGCAAGAAAATTGGGTATAAATTATCTTCTATCGAAAAAGAATTTGTTCGCTATGAGAGACTGTCAGGCTTGAACAAAGAACAAGAGCACACACGCATTTCCGGTTTTATTTATTCCATTCTATTCTGATTGATGGGTGACGATGATGGCGAGAGGGAGAAAAAGATATAGAGATTTCGGTAAAAAGAAATAGACGTCAAAAAGAATTGACAAAAGGGGGACGACCACGCCTTGCGAGAGCGGAATGTACGGTTGACGCAGGTGCATATGAAGCCTCTATCGACAGGGTTCGGAAAGCAGAGCGCGGCATATTGAGGGTGCTATTAGCATGAGCTCCATCACGAAGCGTCCAAGCTTCTATCTTAATCAACTCATAACTGTGGCTGTAGTCAAAGCAGAGTGATGGTGCAGTCCTCACGGTGGACCCGGGTGTCTCCAACCTACACCGAGCATCAAGAGCAAGCTGCGACAGATTCTGACGCTCCGATCTTGAGAACACAGGTGGGGCTAGGGAAGCAAATCTAGGGGATCCAGCTGATCTCAGGTTCTTTTCCTGTCACCATTCCTAAGGATGAATGTGAGGAGTTAGGTCCAGGAAGGTAGCCTGAGAGGCCACGACTACAATCAGATCAGTCAGATAGAAATCCAAACCTAGAAAATTCAGACAGACCATATTGATAAACCGTAGACAATGGAGGGTATGACAAAAGATCACTTCATATTGTTGTAATACCTCACGTGTTAATGGTATCATTCCCTTGTCCCCCAGTTGGTTGCTTGGAAGAATGTCGCAGACTACCGTGTAGTATAAGCAGGATATATTGTTGAGCATGCACTGTTAGGCAAGCACATGCTAACTATTCACGAGAAGGAACGCTACGTCATCGGGTGTGCGCACTATAAGAAACACATGCCAAAATGGAATAACAATGAGAAGAAACCATCTCCACCTAGTTTTTGTACTATTGCACGAGTACCTACCGTTACCGAGAAGTTTGGGGGCATTTCCTTATTAAAATTTTACAACAACAACAGATCGATTCTCAGAGTGCGTGGCATGAGCGGATCCGATGTGGCGGGGGAGAGGAGGGGCGTGGGTCCTCTCGCTGAAGAATGAAAGCCTGCGGGCAGCGAAACATCCAACGACATGAAATCGGTAAAAGTCATCAGCGTCACCATCTTCGAGACTAGAATTACCCGTTCTTTCCAGAATGTCTTTAGTTGCTGTCGGGGCATGTTACGTTGATACAATTCTAACGTCGGTTGGCAACCACCCTCAAGACGTGACTTCACGAGCTCATTTGATCCCAGAACTCCCCATTATCCGGAGGAGGATGACAAACTGCGAGCCTCAAATATTTCGCGCCGGCGTGGCGGAAACTGTCCCAACTCTCTTGAAGTCCTCAGGCAACTGACGGAGCAAAGTCCCTCAGTGTCGTTGGACCTCCTTGCTGTGCTACCCGCCAAGTCATCGATCGCTTCTCAGCAGATCCGGTCGGCCTTGGAACCCCAAGTTCGTCTCGACCATTGCATCTACCGCGAGGAGTTCAATGAACCCGCTTCCAGCTACATCATCAAAAGCGAATCGTCCGGTAGCAGGACGATTGTGAATTACAATGAATTGCCAGAAATGACGGTTGGCGAATTTACGCAGGTCGCAAATGCTTTAGGATCGAAAGCTGGATGGTATCATTTCGAGGTTCGTGGTTGCTAGGAGCGTCGACGGGATCCGGTTTAACACGACCATCTTGCAGGGTCGGATACCAGATGTGACTCTCGCCTGCATACGCTATCTTCGAGAGTGCCACCCAGCGGTTCGAATCAGCGTGGAAGTCGAAAAGCCTGGGCGACCGGGTCTGCAGGAACTAGCAGCGGAAGCTGACGCTGTGTTTTATTCCAAGAGCTGGGCCCAGGTACTGACCTTTCCTTTTTCTTTTTTTCAAGAAGCTTCAACAAGGCTTTACTAACAATGCAATACTAGGGAAACGGTTATGCATCAGCCGATGAATGCCTACGAAAGCAGTCTCTACTCACACGTAATGCGTAAGATCGCGCAACCCCCCAAATTCGTGAACTTATGCTAATCACAAGTTATCACAGGTCCTTGCTCTTTTGTACATGGGGTCAGGGCGGGGCTATGGCTTTAGAGACGAGCACTGGTAATCTCCTTCATAGCCCGGCATATTCAGCACCAGGCTTTCAGGTGGTTGAGTAAGTTCACGCATAAAGGGTTACTCCCACTTATTACCTATACTAACAGATAACAGTCCTATTGGTGCCGGTGATACGTTCATAGCTGGTATGCTGTACGCCTTAATCTGCCAAGGAGACAAATGGGATGTTTTAAAGAAGCTTGAGTTCTCCAACCGAGTGGCAGGGATGAAGGTTGGCCAAGAGGGTTTTTCTGACCTCGCAAGGGCTTTGAAGGCCTGAAAAGATTTGTTTAGGGCTATTATAGTTCATATATATTGGTATACACAATAGGGCAAATCAAAAAAATGTGGTAGTGGCTTCTCATATAATAGACTTGGTACTTGTGTCTGAGCCGAAAATATAGTTTGAAGTACAGGCATCGCAGAAATCTGGGCGATCGATTGAATTGTAGTTGAAACAACGGCTGTTTGAGTGATACTAGATTCTTAAAAGATAATTTTATATGTTTACACGATCAAAACTACAAAACCACAGAATCACAATTAAAATAATCGCGATTTGCTGCCTGCTAAAAGACATCGAAATTGAAGGGATCGCTAAGATGCCTTAGGCAGAAACACGAGGTCATGTGAGCTAGCTAGTACCTAGTGAGAAGGCGGTGCGGATAACAGAAAAATATTCTGCCAGGTTTTTAACTTTTTTTTTTAGTCTCCATCGAAGCTCTTCGGCGCGCAAATATCAATCCCCCAAATTTTTCTATCGAAACCGCTCGATTTCGCAATTCATAATGGCGGCGGTGTATAATTCGGTCTCTAAGAAGCAGGCACGGCAACTTGCCAAGGAGCAGGAGCAGGACGAGGAGGATCTTGCAATGGAGGATTTCCTTGGGGAAGACGACGACTCGAGCGACAGCGACGAAGAGGAGGAAGAGGAGGAAGATGATGCTATGGAGGTGGCCAAGAAACAGCTGGCTGCAGGGCTCATGCCTAAGACGCGCGTGCTGATGCTAACTTCCAGAGGTGTCACTCATCGGTATGGATTGATTTTTTTTTCTCTTGTGCCGTTGAAGCGATCGGGTTGAATTGCTAACTTTGTCGTCTTTTGATCAGCCATCGCCATTTGCTAGCAGACCTTACCTCTCTGCTTCCTCATACGCACAAAGAAACCAAGCTGGACACGAAGAAGAACAACGGATACAACATGCTCCTAAACTCCCTCGCCGAACTCCACTCGTGCAACGTGATTTTCTTCCTCGAGGCTCGCAAGCGTGGCCAGGATTTGTACCTTTGGCTTTCCAGACCCCCCAACGGTCCTACGATCAAGTTTCACGTCAACAACTTGCACACAACGGGTGAACTGAATGCTGGGTTCAGCGGCAACTGTTTGAAGGGTGGTCGTGGTATTGTGGTTTTTGATCGGTCTTTCGACGAGAATGGACCGGATATGAGCAAGCCTGGAAACGAATACCGGGGTCTGGTTCGAGAGATGCTGCGCGGTGTGTTCTGCGTTCCCAAGCGTGGCGTGAAGGGAATGAAGCCGTTTGTCGACCGCATCATCGGTGTCTTCGGCGTGGACGGCAAGATCTGGATTCGTGTCTATGAGATCCGAGAGTCCGAAGCTGGAGGCAAAAAGGAGGGCGAGGAAGGCAAGCCGGCTCCCAAGAGCAAGGACGGACTACCCGAAGTTTCCCTTGTCGAGATCGGACCCCGCTTTGTTCTCACGCCTATTGTCATCCTGGAGGGCAGTTTCGGAGGTCCCGTCATCTACGAGAACAAGGAGTATGTCAGCCCGAACCAGGTCCGCAGTGAGATTCGCATGAGCAAGGCGGCACGCTACTCCAAGCGTAGGGATGTGCAGACGGATCGTCTCTCGAAGAGGTCAGACTTGGGATTGGGTGAGGGTCAGCGCAAGCCTGGCGCCCTGGACAACCGAAAACTTTTTGCATAGCTGAATTCTGTCGCTGCTTGATTTGTTCGTTTTCTACTTTCCTTTCTGTTCTAGGTGTTATGATACTTGATATCCTGGAGAATGTACATGTGATTGATGCAAGAACCACTACCATGATCTTAGAGGGTTTCGCTGGCCGTTGAATCAACAATTAGTGTCAGATTCATTGATTATGCATCCTCTACAAGTAATCTATAGGATTTTATGAACCTGTTAGCAAGGAAAGCATTGTATGAGTCCGCAAGGCGATAACAATTCAAGTCAGGGATGATCATTAGATAAGCCGTCTCTTTTAAGGGTCACATCATCCGCTGCCGGACTCTCCACATCTTCAATCACCCATCATGGCATCACCATCGTTGACCAGCCCATTGCGGCCGTTTAATCCCCCCGTATCTTCCAAGATGTTGTTCGAGTTTTCCTTTCGAGTTTTCCCTTTCGATGTGACCAGCCCCAAAGGTGGGGTTTCGACTTAGGTCCCCCGTGATAGTGACAGTGTTGTTGACAATCGACGTCAGCGACGCTACTTAGTTCCAACTACGCAATCTTATAGAAAGACCCATTGAATTAAACCCATGATATCGCAAACATCCAAAATAGCTCGAAAAAGAAACTTACCTAGGTTAGTACCCTTGAATACGTTGTTCAAGTATCGGTGCCGTAGCTGACATGCCACCGGAATTGATAGCAACAATGTCATTTACACTCCTGGCAACGGAGCTATTGCTCCATATATTTCGCTCTTGTAGCACACTATCAGATGTATTGAACCTGTCTTCAGCCTGCCGAAGATTTCGTCACGTTTATAACCGATCCAACAAATTGCCCATCCTCCTTGAAATTGCAGAAGTGGAATTTGGCCCTCTGAATGAGATCATCCAGATCGTGACGCAAAATACCAGTCAACCAGCCCACATAATCCGATCCGCTCCGCTATCCGATGCGCTCCTCAAACAGATTGTCCAAATCGGACGGGTCGCGCAAAAATGGGAGGTCATCTACCCCGTCAAAAAATGGAAGGTTGATTACGAAAATCGGCGCTCTCTGACCGATGAAGAGCGCTTCCGGCTTCGACGTGCTGTCTATCGCTTTTGGCTCTACCACCGCGCCTTTCACACGCGGCTGCATGACCGCTTCAGCCGTCACCTGCGTCACGTTGTCACCGAGCGTGCCCAGCTCTTGCACAATTGGTCTACCGTGGACCTGGCTGAGATCGAAGACTTGCGGATCATCATCTCTGATGTCGTGCAGAATCACATTTGTCCCAGCAATGGGACCATCCAACGCAAATTTCGCAAGCGTTACCCGGAAAGCAACCATCAGTTGACATTCAATATCCACCTCAACTACCCTGCAAGTAACTCGTCTTCCGACGCCTTCGAGGGGAGACCCAATAATATCCTTGACCAATACTTCCATACTACCCATCCGGGGAACTTCGCCGAATTTCCTGCGAAATACCGATCCAAGTTTCGCAATGACTTTCACCACGACCCGGGATTTGAAGGCTGGGGCGATGAGATCCCGCACTATTACGTTGTGCAGGACATGATGAAGCTCGATCCGGGCCAGATCCTGTGGCTTCGTGAACACGCTCCGCTGAAGGAACAGGTAGAAGCCTACGTGCATTCCTTGGGGGAGTGGTTTTGTAACAACGGCGAGACATTCGGGGAAACGACGGAATGGGTGATGAATGAGAGAGGCGAAGACGTCGAAGAGTTTCGAGCCTCCATTGCAGATCGTGAAATTGGTATCGTATGGGAGTAGTATCTAGAGGGCGCTGGGTGGAATCATGTCGGGTCTAGGAATCAATGACCTCAAGGAAGGGGCTTGTGCTTTTCTTGTCGGGTTTCGCTAAACTCGAACTATTGGAATTTACGTCTCATAGCGATGAACCTAGTGACGGTTATCCGTCACCATCGACGATTCAATCGATTTAAGAACTGCCGATTGAACTCTCTTTATCGAATGATTACACTTTGTTTTCTTCTAATGAATGGCGATGTACGGAGTAGTCCGTATACTCCACACATTTCACACCCTCAAAACCACCATCAAACCATCCCCTCCCCCTGGCACTACCGTACCGACGGGACCGACGGTCTTGAATACTTCTTGGGACAATGGACACCGATTCCACAGCAAACCAGACTTGCTGCGTACACTTACACCACCAGTACCAGTGTCCAGTCCTCTACGGAGTAAGATCCTCTTGCTAATCCTACGGTGCAGTTCTCCTAAGAGTCACAGAGACCCAAGGAACTTTCGTGGACATAGGTCACGCAAGTCACACACAGAAATCCGTAAACAGTAAGAAGTTCGACCCCTGATCGTCAAGAGTCCGGAATTTGAACGGAACTCGACTGGGGCTCTGAGCGACTAAAGCCCAGCCTAACGGAGGAACCAGGGCAACGCCCAATAGCCATCTTCCCGGTGGAGGACTTAGCGTCGAGGATGGTGGAGACGCCATGTTACCAATGGCATAAAGAAATACTCATCCATTTTTTTCCTTGTGTTTTTTTGCTTCTCTTCTCATGTTTAGGGGTCCTTCGCGCAGGATATTTTGGGGGTTAGTTTTAGCTGTCGGTTCAATGCTGGTTGGTGCGTTGGATTTGGTGGAGAGTTTGGTTGTCTTACCACTCTTGGGGGCTGGAAGGGTCAACCCTACCACTGTGTACACAGTAGGACTGTAGGTAGGTACGGATATGAATAATATGCTGGACGACGTCAACGCCGCACAACGACTTTTAGTAGTAACGGAGAAAAAGAGTCTGGACTGGGGATCCCCCTACGTGGCCTGGTGCCGTGGGGCTAGAATTTAGCTCCCCGCTGCTTGGAATGTGGACCGGTCGGCTAAATACTGTTGTCGATGCTCATTTTAGTTTTCGTCTTCCAGGTGAATTCATTCGGTGAATGCTGAATTGCCTGTGCCGGATTCAGATCATTCGATGGAATCTTCTACAGAGTGTCGATCAACGGAGGTCAATTCATCCTCCGAGGTCCTGTGCGTATCTTAATCACATCGGTTCACATTCACGACGTTAAAACCACGTAGCCACATTGATAAGACAGACGCCGGCAACCAGTTCAATCCAAGATTTGTAAACCAACCAATTCTTGAAGCCTAGTAGCCAGCAGAAACAGGAAGCCAGACACAACGCATTTCCGACACCAAGCAAGACAGGCGGGTCATATCAAGGGAATTCAATTTCATAAGTTAGGGTAGAGGGAAACAATAGCAGATAGGGGAAAAGGACGGGAAAAGAAACATGGGAGGGAAGGGTAAGAAAAGAGGTAGAGAAAGAACAGAAAAAGAAAAAGAAAAAAAAAAAAATGGACAGGAAATATATCCGGGATAACGATGTCCAAAAGCATCGCCATTCAATATCCCTGTATGCCGTTTCCGAACGTCCCTTCTTGTGTATCATCTCCGTGGAGGCTAAGCAACAGACGAGTAAGAAAGATCAAGACCATTCGATTATCACATCACAAATATAAAAGTCGTTGCGGTTGGCATGGCCGTCCCCTCTAACAGCAAACATCGTGGGTTTTTGTTTTTTATTATTGTCGTTTTTCGTTCTCGATTTAGCAGCAACCCTGCTTCGCCTCGGGATCCTGCGATTTGCTAATCTCCACCACGGGGCGACGTTCACCAAGGGCAGCCTGGCCCGAGTCACCGCCATCGATGGCCTTGCTGGATACGATACGGTAGATTTCTAACAGCACGTGAGCTATTTGACGAGAGAGGAAGAGGGGAGGGACGGAGTGGAGAGCACTCACCTGTGAGGATGTTCTGGAAGGCAAGTTCAACATTGCTGGCGTCGAGGGCGGAGGTCTCGATAAACGAGAGATTGTTCTCGCCTACAAATGGTCAGTTTCAAAGGGCTCATTCAGACCAGAAGGGGGTAAAAAGGAAGAGCTTACTGGCAAATTGCTTCGCTTCTTCCGTCGGCACAGCCCGCAGATGTCTCAAATCACTCTTGTTACCGACCAGCATAATGACAATGTTGGAGTCGGCGTGGTCGCGAAGTTCTTTCAGCCACCGGTTGACGTTGTCATAGGTCTGATGCTTGCTGATGTCGTAGACGAGGAGCGCGCCGACGGCGCCACGGTAGTAAGCAGACGTGATGGCGCGATAACGTTCCTGACCAGCAGTATCCCAGATCTGGGCCTTGATCGTCTTAGAATCGACCTGGATCGATCGAGTTGCGAATTCAACACCGATGGTGGACTTGGAATCGAGGTTGAATTCATTGCGGGTGAATCGACTCAAGAGGTTGGATTTTCCAACACCCGAGTCTCCAATCAGCACCACTGTATGAGTGAGCGATCGTCAGCAGTCAGTTGGATGGGTCGATCCAGGCCAGCAATGCCGGGGAAGGGAAGTCTTGCGGTGACGGCGCGGGAGGAAGTGGCGACATTACCTTTGAAGAGAAACTGTTGGGATAAAGGAATTAGTTGTATGTCCTCGACAGGTATGGAAGGTGTCAAAGGGGGTAACTCACATCATACTCGTCGTTAGCCATGAGGGGAATTGTGAGAGCTCACAAAGCTCTGAATTCGGAGTGAGATTCGGGGGTTTGGAGGGTTCAACGTGGCTGGTTTGAGACTCTGACGGAATCAAGCAAAGCCGACAACAGTTGTGTATTCAGCTGAGGCCTAGGGAGGGGCACGGCAGCGTCAGAGAGGTGGCCAAAAAGATAAAAGGGACCGAAACAAAGACGAGTGAAGAACGGGAGACGGGAAGTAAGTCTAGCAGGGAGAGCGAAACGGAGGAGAACTTACAGCGCAAAGGGACGGGATCACGGAGAGGGCAGGAAGGGAAGATAGGAGGTCATCCAGACCATAATGTCCTCCCTACGGAATCCCGTGCTTCGCGCGGTGCCGAGTGTCGTCCCGTTCCGGCCTAGCGCCATCACGTGCCTTCCACGCCCAGCGTCAAACAAACAAACGGCTTCTTTCTTTCTCATCGTTGACGCTCTCCAGTCCAATGTAGGCAAACAATGGCTCGCCCGGCGGCAACTGCCCCTGCTGTGGCTTCTTCCTTGATTAGCTCGACCGGGGTTGAGCATGGTTCCGACGATGATAGCATCTCCATGACCTCTACTTTGTCTAGTGAACAGCAGTCCGAATATGAAGTGGAGACCATCTTTGCCGAAAAGCGATTTTCGGACGGCATGAGGTATCTGGTGAAATGGGCCGGGTACCCCATGGCCCGATGCTCCTGGGAACCTGAGGAATATTTCAATACCCCCGCCACTCTATTGGAGTGGTGCCAGAAAAAGGAGGCCATCCAAAAAGGCAAAGCGGCCCCATTCGATCATGACGCATGGCAGAAAGAACAAGATGCCCGGGAGCAGGCTAAGCTCGATCGACGGCAGCGGATAGACGACAAAAGGAAAAGACTCGAGCTTCGCTCCCGAAATACAAGCAATCGGGGAACGCTAGCTACTCCAACTTCACCCATCGTGGCCACCGCCGAGAGACCGGATTTGCATACTCGCCCTCAATCGCCTGTTCGAGTTTCTGTCCCAACGAGTCGTCCCCGGATCAGAACGAGTCCCCGTCCTGTCCTGTTTGGAAGCGGGCAGAGCAGCCAGAGGACAGTCCGCCCTCTTCGTCTTAGGAGGCCTTCCAATGAAGAGCCTCCCAAGCATTTCAACTTATCAACCAAGCGACGCTATGAGAAAGCGAAAACGGATGAGCCTGCCCCTGATATTAATCAAATGCAACTGGCTCGTCCGTCAGAATGGCCTGCTCGATCATCTGTCAGTGCCATCAAAACTGGTCCTCCTGAAGGCCCGCCCAAGGTTGAAAAATCAATGCGCAATGATAGTAGTGTTTCTTCAGCCCACGGCCAACATCCCGCTTCCCCGCTTAGGAATTCCTCTTTATCGAATCACGTCTCATTTGATGTCCGCAAATTACGCCCCTCGCAAGGAAATATCAGCAAAACGTTGGATCACTTGGGCAATAGATCAAACCTCGAGTCTGAGGAGGAACCGGCTATGCCCGAAAGGGCTCCTGGTCCCCGGAGTTACGTCACGTATAACAAAAGGTTCTTCAATCCCGACGAGGTGCTGATAAAGCTGTATTATGGACCGGAGAAGAACAATATCGGTGATGCCAGACTTTGTGGCCTTAATCCTCAGACGAAAAGCCGAATCCTACACAGCAAAAAAGAAGATTCGCTGGAAATATGGTTTCAGCACCTTTGTGCACTCGATGACTACCAAAGGCTTTGTTATAATGTAGGTACAATACCGAGCAGTCATTTCACCCTTTCTTTTCTCTTCTTCTTCTTCTTCTTCTTCTTCTTCTTCTTCTTCTTCTTCTTCTTCTTCTTCTTCTTCCATGTTTGTTGGCTGTCGTTGTCCCGATCTGTTATTCTTCGGAGCTAATCGGTTCTATCTTCCTTGCAGACAACTAACTGGAACTATTGCACCGGCTGGATCGAAGGATTCAATGATACAGAACCGAATATTTTCCGCATGGCGCAGGATCTTGGTCAAAGGAAGCTGATGGCAGTTTCCATTCCCGTTCTGGGGGTTCAAAATGTCTTGCTTGCTTACCCTCCTGATTCAAGAGACTTCAGCTTCCTCCACGGCAATTTCAATGGACGTCCGAACGTTTTTCTTTATTTCACCGCAAGAAGTCACTTTAACTTGAAGGAGCTAGACCTATTGAGTCGACGTACGAAGGACAATCAGGCATTCACCAGAGTCCAGCCAAGACTGTCCATCCGCAGCCCTGTGAATGAAACGCTGTCTTCGACTAACGCCCAAGGGAAGGCCCCAGATAATTTTGATGCAAAAGTTTCCGAAGCACCCGCCCTTCCTCATCGCTCAAGCTTAATTGGTGTCGAGCCACACGAGACACAAGGGGCGTCTCTTGTGAACCCCATCTTATCACCTTCATCCGACAAGTCCTCCGACAGCTTTGGCGAGCCCATGGAAATTGATCATCCCCCTCCTTCCCCGGTGGGCCCGGCTAGCCCTGTTACTGACTCCGACCATGAGCCGAGTCTTCCTGGGACTGGCCAGGATGCCGCAGACTTTGATCTGGATAAATTCTTTCGGAAGAATTATGGTGTGACCTTCTCAATGTTACTCGACTCAAAGCAGACTGCCGGTTTCTACGTCATGTATCCGGGTCACTCTGAAAACGCCGACCAACAATGCGCCGAGCAGTGCCAGATTGTGATGGAATTTCTTCAGAAACACACATCGCAAACATATTCAAGTCGCCAATCTAAAGACTGGGAGACTTTCACCTTGATGGAGCGCGGTGTGGCACTGGTACGTTATGAGATCTCCGTTCGCCTGCGTCAGTAGAATTGAAGTGCATTAACCGCCGGGTAGTTCCATGAGAATTTCGTTGATTTTGCCGCTCTCCCCTCATTGAGTAGCCTCCTACAGAAGAATATCACCTTTTGGAGTTTTTCCTTACGAGCCCCACACGAGTATGCTGGTCACCCAGCACACTTCCAGCGCATATTTCTTCACGGGTGTATATTTCTATTGACTGAAGACGTGATGCTCCGAAAGCTAGAGAGGACCATTGCCTTTCTCGTCTGGTTCCGCGACAGCTCGAAGAAAAAATTCCCGGGAACTTGGAAACTCATGGTGCGGCCGAATATCCTGGAGTGGGTGTTGAATCAACATGACAAGCAGCACCAATCAAAACGGGGATTGTAAGTTCTATGACCTCTCTCTCGTAGCTCGGTGTGCGGGCACTGACCAGGTTGACTCAGATGGATTACAATGCACTCTTTGATCTCGGAACTCGGCCTGACTACGAATGCGGACATCGACGTGGACACCGGTGTTGTGGAGAAAGCCGTTATTTCGCCGAATATTCCGTCGTACAGCTCTTCTTCTGTTGACAACCAGAGGGCAGATAATGCCAGCGACTTGACACAAGAACACAGAAAAGCTGATAGGCTTGCCGAGTTTTTTGCGGGCTGGGCCCTTGTTAACCGACATCAATTTCGACGATTCGTCATTGTTTCTGGGATCGAACCGCTTGAACGCTGGAAAACATGGCACCACATGATCATCTATCATGGCTATAGAAGCACCATGGCGACTTATAAAGTCGACTATAGTTACATGTCTAAACTTGGGGGCCAAAGGGAAGGACACTCGACTGAGGAAAAGATCCCAAGCACTCCCTCGGCCTTCACTTCCTAGGCTCCTAGAGCGAGTAGCTCCAGGTTGGAACAGCCCTTGGCAACAACTCCTATGACACATGACTACCCCCAACCCTATCAATGAATCTAATGGAAGTGTCTAATGCCTTTTTGCATTGCAAGGGTCTCTTGATGGCTTTTTAATTTCGGGCTCTATCTAGAAATAGTAAGGGGGGAAAATAAAGGAAAGTAACATGTGTCTGCGGCTCCACATAGCCCTTTTACATCATGGTTTTTCTTTGTTTCATGTTTATCTCGGTAGGAATATTAAGACAAAATGAGTACCAAACTCTCGAATATATCTAGTTACGACCCCTTAAGAATCGTGAAGAGACAGGGCGAAGTTGGAGTAAGCGATATTCTGGTCGTAAAAGCAAGGACAACCTAGGCAAAGATTGATCGCCCTGGCATGGTATAGCATGAATATAATCATAGAAAGCAGTCGCTCCTGTACATACAAATAGGAACCCATGTGCACGCATGATAAAACTACGACTCCTCCTGGAAACCGCAAGAACGCAATCTTTCTGTAAGACCGATAAGTCCTCAACTACTAAGACATTATTGCCCGCTTTCGATACTCACGAAAATTCCAGAAAAGAGGCTCTTGCATGGAGACAGCCCGGGCCTTGGCCTTCTTGGCCTTCTCTTTCTTCTCTTGAAGCACCTTTTCCTCCCACCGGCTCTCCTCCGTTGCGATCAGGGAGTGAAAGCGTCCACCCTGCCCTCGCGCAAGATAGCTGGGTTTTTCGTCGCGCGCGGCGACTGCTTCGGTGACTAGGACGAATTTCACGCTCGAGCCGGGCGTTTCGAACATGGCGTCACTGAGAATGGTTTCTAACTCGGTGCGAAGAGCACGGGCCCCGGTACCCATTTTGAAGGCGTTGGAGGCAATCTTATGCAGAGCTGGGGTGGTGAATCGAAGTTCAATGCCTGAGAGAGAGAACAATGTTGTGTATTGGGCTTGGAGGGAGTTGCGAGGCTCTGTGAGGATCCGGACAAGAAGGGGGGTGGATAGGGTAGAGAGGGCAGCTGTGACCGGGACACGGCCTACTAACTCGGGTATGAACCCGTAATTTTGCAGATCAGTAGGGTTGAGAAGGTCGAGAGCATTAAAGTATGTCGGCTCGCTGTCAGGAGACTCAGAAGTGGCCGCAGTGAAGAAAGGCAGATGTTTCTTGTACAACGCTTCTTCCTCCGATCCTGGAAGGATGGGGATCGGTTGGTTGTTCGCTTGACTGGACTGCTCAGGGTGTTCACTAAAGTTGGTTTGAGAACGGACGGGTTGACCAAACCCCATCGAACCGCGTGATATCCGGTCCATGATGATCTTGTGTAATCCGACGAAAGCGCCCGAAAAGATGAACAGAATGTTGTCCGTCCGCACGTTGTAGACCTCCCCCTTCTGGGGGACGTTCCCGTTGTTCGAAGACGAGTAGGGTGAGTTCCCTAAAGGACTGTTTGATGGGTATGTGTTGGGGGTTCCCCCCGTGCGAGGAGCGTTTTTCTCTTGCTTTGCCTGTACTTGAACTGTGGTACCTTCAATAATTTTGAGTAGGGCTTGCTGCACCCCTTCTCCACTGACGTCCTTTCCGTGGCTGACCTTGGCAGCGGCGATTTTATCAATCTCATCCAGAACAATGATACCCCGCTCAGCTTGCTCGACGTCATAGTTAGATGCGGCGAGAAGTCGGTGAACACATACTTCTGCATCCTCCCCGATGTAGCCTGCCTGCGTGAAAGGAGTACAATCGGAAATACTGAAAGGAACAGACAAAACTTTCGCCAGAGACTTTGCCATGAGTGTCTTTCCAACCCCCGTTGGTCCAAGTAGAAGAATATTAGATTTCTCTAAATGTAGCGGCGAAGAGGCATCGAGCTCAGCGTCGGGGAGTGATGATGATGATAGCGGGTGGAAAGGTGTAGTAGTAGTTTGTTGTTGACCTGGAAACTCGTCTATGCAGTCCTTCAGTAAACGCGCACCGGAGAGAGGCGGGAGTAATTGAGTGGAGTTGCTGGGTGAGGAAAAGCCTACCTTCCACCGGATGGTGCTGAATCGCATCCCGCCGCGCGCGCTTTGCCAAAAGCTCTGCCGCTTCTTCTTCGCGCCGTTGAATTTCCTGCACGCGCTGATAATGATTATACACAGCAACACTCAGAATCTTCTTGGCACGATCTTGCCCAACCACAAACTGGTCGAGATATTGTTTCAATGCCTTAGGTGTAATCCTGGGAGCTCCGAAGGCCGGAGCCGACGCCAGGGGCCCGGTAGTTGGTAACCCGGGCTCATAACTCCCGCTCCAAGGTTGACTTGTAAAGTCTGATCTATTGAATTGAGATGAGGTAGGAAACGTTGCAGACGAGCTCGACAATCCGCGATAAATGAAGCAGTGGAATGGATGCCGCGTGGGCCGATAGCGGAGGATACACCGCTGGGCCCCAAGAGGAGCTTTGAGCCGTGAAGGCAGCTGCAGCATGGCCAGCAGCGATGCTAGGATTGATGAACGAAACGCGATAGACGGAAGAAAAAAAAAATTCAAATGAAAGGGTATTGAGAAGGGTAGGATGGGAATGAGCTGGAGAAGCTGAGGAAGTCGCCCCAATCATCGATAGCAGATAAGATGCATCGCGACCTGACGATAGCTTTCCCCGCAGCACGTGATGGGTCCCGACGGTACCCGCGTCCGCACGTGCCCAGACAGAAACTACGGACACCGATCGCAGAGCTCTAATGACTGGTAGGGAACCGCGTGAAGATTAAGATCTTTGCGACACCCATTGGGCTGTACAGGAAAATCACATCGTGTGGGCTATCAGGATATGATCAAACGGAACTTAGACTTGAGATGGCAGATAAGAGTATTGACTATTTGTATTGTACCATCTTAATATCAGCGCCTGCGTGCCTCTCGGCCAGCTGGTGAAAAACATTTGACAATCCGCTTTCAACAGAGACAATCGGCCATGCCCGTCGCTTGCTGGTTTGCAGAATGTCTGATGGAAAGCCTGGCGTTCTGGGGTACTGGTAACCGATCTGTGTACTGCTGTCACCTAACGAGTCCCAACAGAAATAGGCGACATGAACCCGAACTGGGGGCTTCTAGTGATATCAAGTCTACTATTGACAACACCTTTGATATGCCCAAATTAGATGTCCGAAGCAAGCGGCCTTCGGCACATGCGTCAAGACTTGAGGGGGGGCTACTCATCGAGTGGGTCATGAAATGATGGCACAAGGCTGTTTTGTTGACGAGGCGAGATATTCGAAGATATCGGGGTGTTCGTCTCTGAGAAACGAGTCGCTCTACTTGGTCGCCTTGAATGCGGGCTGCTGCTCCATCGTCTGGGAGATAAAGCTCCTGAGGGCAGCCCATCTATTGGAAACGGCGCCAGAATCCCCTTCCGATCCCGCACTGGTTGCTGCAGCCGCTTCGATGCCAGACATCTGCGCCATGTTCTTCGCGAAGCGGTCTCTTTCCGTCTTCTCCAGCTTCTCTCGCCGTTTCATGGCTCCCGGTTTATGCCTGAGAGTCGTTTGCTTGATCACTTTCACCTGGTTATCCGGGTCATTGAATGCTTCGGCTTCGGGCAGGGCATCGGCCAACGAGTCAAGATTGGCGGCCAGGTTCTTGGACGACCTGCGGCTCTTGGCTGATTTTTGAGAGTTCTTCTCAATCTTCGACATGAAGCTGTTATGCTTGATCTGACGTTTGTCCTTCTTTGTCGTTCGGAAGTCATCGTTGAAGATGCCGGACTGGGTTGCGGTGCCGGCCCTAGGCGGCTTTCTTGCGGTCGCTTGTTTCTTGACGGATCGAATGGGAGCCTGGAACCGATCAGAGACAATTAGCACGCACGTCGGGCATGAAGAGTAAAAACCGGGTCGATTACACACAAGAACCTACCATGGTGATGCAGTGGTTAGAGTGGCGACGTAAGGATCGAGCAGATCGTCTCTGCACACATTCCGAGGACGATAATAAAATTTGCCTCGGACACCGGCACGCTAAACCGCGGAAGGATTAGCCGCCGGACGATTCCCGTGCCGGAGCAGAGGTCACCGCCCACGTGATCGGCCTCCACCGGCTCGTGCGCCCGGACTGGCCAATTCACCGTCTTTTCCTCGCGTTTAGTTTTCTTCCTTCTTCAGTCTTCCCGGCTGTAGGAGACTAGGAGATCCACATTCACGGGGATCAAAACCCACCTTTTCGTCGTGCTCTTACATCAGAGGACCACCCCGGAAACCTGGACGAGAAAGTTCGCCGTGAATGCTGTCCCTCGTGCGCCTTTTATCTCGCCGCAACTGTTTTCCTCGCTCGTGTGCTGCATTTCTACCTCGGCCCCCGGGCTTCGATAACGTTCTTTCCTCGCGAATCCCAGGGAAACTTCGCTCGGAACCAGTCAGCTGCAGCCTCCTTAGAAATACCCCTTACGCGCCGGCCCGTTTCTTTTCCTGTTCCTCTTCGAACCCTCTAAATCAATTGCTGAACGAAAAGCCCAACATGAGTCCAACCGCACCCTTCCAGCGCAAACACAAGGTTACCGTCGTCGGCTCAGGAAACTGGTAAGTCGCAATCTATGATTCAATCTCATTGCTTCCACACCGCATTGGCAGGGGCAACGCCTAACAATCGACAGGGGCTGTGCGATCGCCAAGATTGTCGCCGAGAATGCCGCCAGCAATCCTGCCGTTTTCGAAAAGGATGTTCAGATGTGGGTGTTCGAAGAGAAAGTTGAAATTCCCAAGGACTCCCGTCACTATAACCCCTCTTCGCCTTTGTGCCAGGGTCCCCAGAATTTGACGGATGTGATCAACACTACCCACGAGAACATCAAATACCTGCCGGGCATCACTCTGCCCACCAATCTGCACGCCAACCCTTCCTTGGTGGATGCGGTTCAGGATAGCACTCTTCTTGTCTTCAACCTGCCCCACCAATTTATTATCAAGACCTGTGAGCAAATCAAAGGAAAGATTCTGCCATACGCTCGTGGAGTCTCCTGCATCAAGGGTGTCGATGTGCAGGAGGAGGGAATCAGTCTGTTCTCCGAGACGATCGGCAAAATTCTGGGTATCTACTGTGGCGCGCTCTCAGGAGCCAACATCGCCAGCGAAGTTGCTCAGGAGAAGTGGTCCGAGTCGAGCATTGCCTATGACCCTCCTCACCTAGACTCTAAAGCACCCACACCCAATCGCTCGCCTTCTGCCTCCACAACGGACGTGGTCCACTTTGAGCACCGTGATGTCTCAGGCCAATTCTCGCGAGTGAAACTGCAGGCACTACCCATTGATTATCCCCCCATTGACCACGATGTTCTGAAGTCGCTCTTCCACCGCCCGTATTTCCATATTCGAGTGGTGCATGACGTCGCGGGGGTTTCTCTTGGTGGTGCCCTTAAGAACGTTGTTGCCCTTGCTGCCGGTTGGGTTGACGGCATGGGATGGGGTGACAACGCCAAAGCTGCTGTTATGCGTGTCGGTCTGCTAGAGATGGTCAAGTTCGGAGAAAAATTCTTCGGCGCAACCTTCGAGCCTCGGACCTTCACGGAGGAAAGTGCCGGTGTTGCCGATCTGATCACCAGCTGCAGCGGAGGACGTAATTTCCGCTGCGCAAAGCTTAGCGTGGAACGAAAGCAGCCGATCGAAAAGATCGAAGAGACGGTCCTCAATGGACAAAAGTTGCAAGGAACCCTGACTGCATATGAGGTGAACAGTTTCCTCAAGAAGCAGGGTCTCGAGGAAGAATTCCCCTTGCTCACTGCTGTTTACCGTAAGCACACCATCAGTCTTGTTGGAGGTATTGCGGTATGCTAACCTCTCTTTAGGCATTCTCGAGGGCACAATGTCTGTCGAAGATATTCCTTCTTATATTGAGCGGTAAATTGGTCCTCATAATTTCCCCCCGCCTCTTTTGTCCGTGTTGTTAATTCAGGGGTTCCCTGTGTTTTCTTCTTCAACAGCAAACCGATTTCTGCTTCTCATACCTCTTTGGCAGGGGGGAATGGTGGAGGCGCGCGCCAGGCGGTTCTGGGCGCCAGGTTGTAAACGATCCGGATTTAATGTCTTTGACGATTTGAGTTTGCCTTCCTTGGTTTTCCGTTTTAAGTCTTTGTGGGTCGTCTCTGGTGTACAGCGTTATATACATAGACAACTATAGAGAGGACAGTGGCGCTTTGATCGCTTATATATCATCTTTTCCATGTCTAATCAATCTACATGGTACCTCGATCTACTAACCTCGGGATTTGTATACACCGTATTCGTGTACATCCGAGTCTACAAGTTAACTTGGGCTACTCGCGTTCCTGTGGCTATAGAAAAAAATCAAAGAGGTAAGTAATTGGCTGTACCTCAATACTACTACGTCGGTCTCTTGTTTATGTTGATAGATCGATCGGCAGTGTCCAGTATCAAAAACAGAACCAAAACGCGTCACCTTGTCAGATACAGATCACTGGCAATCAAGTGCGAATGGTGGACACATGAGATAACAATTGGTAAGTCTCACAATAAGATCGGCTCAGGGCCTACACCGTGCTTAAGGGACGTAGGAAACCCCCACGATGTCCGGGTTACCACCCCCGACCGTCTTCAGCGCCGGGAAGCTGTCTATAAGCGGAATAGTCAAGGAGAAGAAGAGTTTGTGTTGTTGCATGGCGAGTAAAGATAATTCAACTGGCGGAAATTAATCGAAATGACGATTGCCAGCGGCAAATGCGCGGTGGCTGCGGGGACATTCACATCTCATTAAAACTGGGAACTCCTGTTTGGAGGTTGAAGCGTCGCTTTGGTTTCCCCGGAAGCTAGGAAGCAAGATCTCGAAGGCTATTGTAGACTTGGATGGGGTGAGGACAAATACTTAGTTATAGACACCAGGTAGTAGGCACCGCATTCGGAGGCTTGGGGGTGAGTTGAGTCAATTTGATCGAATGTCATTCCCATCGTTCTCCCTTCTACCAGGTCCAGTCCAAGGTAGCGACAACTCAAGCAGGCCCAAGCCAAGCGCAGGTCGTGCAAGGTCTAAAAATAACGGGGGAAAAGGCCAAAGCTCTAGAATCAGGCATGATGTCAGGTTTTCCTGCGGGGTTACATGGCGCCCCCTCAGGAACAGGGAACCCTCCCTTCGCCCTTATCTTCCACGCCATTTCTCTTCGTCTGGCTTGGTCGCCTCTTTGCTCGCCCTGTAAGTTCACTTCTGAGGAGCTTACTTGTCGGTTCGAGTTTATTAACCGACATTATCTCTCAAGGTAGTGCTCGGGCAATAGTATCTGTACATCGGGGGCCATCGTCATCAATCTCAATAACCTCTGGTCGATCTGCCATCATCAAAAGAGTCGAGAGATCCTGCAACCCTGTTGATATCACGATGCCTTCTCCGCAGCAAGTCTATCTGCTTCCCCTGAAAGATGATGGCTCTCCGGACGTCCCCGGCGGCTATATTTACCTGCCTCCACCGACCAATCCCCCATATCTGCTTCGGTTCGTCATCGAGGGAAGCAGTTCGATTTGCAGAGACGGGCTTTTATGGGTAAATATGCCTGAGACTGGGAAATCTTTTGATCGCTCTGTCTTTCAAAGTTTCAGGTAACAAATATGTCATCCTGGTGTCGGTTGATGGCGGATTGGCGCGATTGCTGAAGCGATAGTAGATTGCACCCGGACTTCAACAAGAACATTCATATTGATATTGCTATCACATCTCCGGGATCGTTTGCCTTCTACACCACATTCTCTCCACTTCCAGAATTCTCCGTCTGTCCCGTCGCAACGAATGCAACGGCAAGAACACCAACTCATTATATAGATGTGTCCCCAAGCCTGACGCTCAAGGGTCGGGATCTCCCTCTCAATGCTCTCTCGATCTTTTCGGTCATCTCCAAGTTCCTGGGGAAGTATCCCACGGATTGGGATAGACACCTCGAAAGTATCAGCATTCGCAATTACAACATGATTCACTTCACGCCTTTGATGAAACGTGGTGCTTCGAACTCCCCTTACAGTATCTACGACCAGTTGACCTTCGATGAAGCTTCGTTTCCAAATGGGGAATCAGACGTTGCCCAATTGGTTTCAAGAATGGAAAATGATTACGGTCTCTTGTCGCTCACGGACGTGGTTTGGAACCATACGGCAAACAATAGCAAATGGCTTGAGGAGCACCCGGAGGCGGGGTATAGTGTTGAGACGGCCCCCTGGCTTGAGGCAGCACTAGCTTTGGATGATGCTTTGCTGGAATTTGGCCGTGAACTTGGTCCATTAGGCCTTCCGACAGACTTCAAGACTGTTGATGATCTCCTGACCGTCATGAACGTGGTCAAGGATCGTGTCATCCACGAATTGCAATTATGGGAGTTTTATGTGATTGATGTGAAAGCAAATGCCCGGGAAATCATCGCCAAGTGGAAGACCTCCGACAACATAGACTTGACAGAGGATCCATGGTCGCAGTTTGATCTCGCTGGATACAAGAATTGGTCCCTCAAACAGCAGGCAAACTTCATTCGTGGTCAAGCGATACCAACGCACAAGCAGGTTCTCGGGAGATTCGCGCGCGCGATTGATGTCAATATTGGTGCGGCAGTCCTGACGGCTCTTTTCGGCTCGAAAATCCAAATCGAATCGGATTCTACTGTAGAAGGTACCCTGGTAGCAATCCTCGATGAAGTGAACTTGCCTTTCTATAAAGAGTACGACGAAGATGTCTCCGAGATAATGAACCAACTCTTCAACCGCATCAAATATCTTCGAATCGACGATCATGGACCAAAACTCGGCCCCGTAACCGATGAGGACCCGTTGATCGAGTCCTACTTCACCAGGCTACCACTGAATGACATTACCCAGCGCCATAGCGCCAAGGCACTTGCGCTCGTGAATAATGGCTGGATTTGGAACGCCGACGCAATGCGGGATAATGCAGGCCCTGATTCCAGGGCATATTTACGCCGAGAGGTGATTGTTTGGGGCGACTGCGTGAAGCTGAGATACGGGTCCGGCCCCGACGACAATCCATTCCTGTGGAATTTCATGACCCAGTATACGCGCTTGATGGCAAAATACTTCTCGGGGTTTCGTATTGATAACTGCCACTCAACGCCCCTAGTCGTCGCCGAATACCTGCTGGACGAGGCTCGAAAAGTTCGACCCAACCTTACTGTCTTCGCTGAGCTTTTTACGGGCTCTGAGGAAGCCGACTACGTGTTCGTCAAGCGACTTGGTATAAACGCTCTTATTCGAGAAGCCATGCAAGCCTGGAGCACTGGGGAGCTAAGTCGGCTGGTTCATCGTCATGGTGGTCGTCCTATCGGGAGTTTTGATGTCGATTTGCCGTCAGCTGGAAGTAGCCATGCATTGGTCTCTGCGAACCCCGAAAATACGCCGGAGAGCCTCTCGCATATTCGACCGTGCCCTGTCCAGGCCTTATTCATGGATTGCACTCATGATAATGAAACGCCATCGCAAAAGCGGACTGCGAAGGATACCTTGCCAAATGCCGCCCTGGTCTCGATGTGTGCATCGGCGATCGGAAGTGTCATGGGCTATGACGAGATATACCCGAAGTTAGTAGATCTGGTTCACGAGAAACGACTTTATTCGTCGGTAAGATCGGATCCTTCAAACCAGGATACTCAGGCTACCGAAGGGGGCATTGGCACCGTGAAGACGCTCTTGAACAGACTCCATACCATGATGGGGGTGGACGGATACGACGAAACCCATATTCATCATGATGGCGAGTATATCACCGTCCACAGGGTACATCCCAGAACTCGGAAAGGTGTCTTCCTCATAGCACATACCGCATTCCCTGGTCATGAAAGTCAGCCCCCCTTGGCACCTACCCATCTGACTGGTACTGAAGCAAAACATGTTGGGACCTGGCTGCTGGAGGTGGATGCGACAGATAACGCGAAAGATGAAACTTTAGCAGATAAGTCATATTTGCGAGGGCTGCCTAGTATAGTTCGCAAAATCGAGGGGGTTGCTATCGAGCATACTGGAAACGACACAATCATTTCAGTGCTGGAATCTTTCGTCGCAGGATCCATCGCGCTCTTTGAAACCTCTATCCCAGAAGCTGAGCACTCCACGGGTCTAGCCAATTACATCGTTGAGGGTGCTGACCTTGCATTTTCAAAGCTCAACCTAATTGACCTGAACTTTGTGCTTTACCGTTGTGATGCGGAGGAGAGAGACTCCAGTGGTGGTCAGGATGGGGTGTACAACATCCCGAATCATGGACCTTTGGTTTATGCCGGGCTTCAGGGCTGGTGGAGCCTACTTGAAAACATCATCAAATACAACGAGCTCGGACACCCATTGTGTGATCATGTACGGCAAGGACAGTGGGCTCTTGACTATATAGTGGGACGCTTAAAGAAGGTTGCACAAAAAGAAGGATACGATGCTGTGCGTGATCCTGCTGTATGGCTGCAAGAGAAATTCGACGCTGTTCGCAAGCTACCAAATTTCCTTCTGCCGAGATACTTTGCCATCATTGTCCAGGTCGCCTACAATGCAGCCTGGAAGAGAGGCATTCGTCTTTTGGGAAGCAACATCCAGAAAGGACAGGAATTTGTCCATCAACTGGGTATGGTTAGCGTGCAGCAAACAGGCTACGTGGACTCTGCATCTTTATGGCCAACGAAAAGAGTTCCAAGCCTTGCCGCCGGTCTACCACACTTTGCCACGGACTGGGCAAGGTGCTGGGGTCGTGACGTCTTCATTTCTCTTCGAGGGCTGTTGCTGTGTACTAGCCGATTTGACGAAGCTAAGGAGCATATTCTTGCTTTTGCTAGTGTACTCAAACATGGCATGATCCCAAATCTTCTGAGCAGCGGAAAACTACCACGGTATAATTCTCGCGACTCGGTGTGGTTTCTGTTGCAGGCCATTCAAGACTATACAGAAATGGCACCAGATGGACTGCAGATATTGAGGGAACAGGTTCCTCGCAGGTTCCTACCGTATGACGACACCTGGTTCCCATTTAATGATTCGCGGGCGTACTCTCAAAACTCGACAGTCTCCGATATCATTCAAGAAGTCTTCCAACGCCATGCCAACGGGTTGTCATTCCGGGAATACAATGCGGGGCCGGAATTGGATGTGCAAATGAAGCCAGAGGGCTTTCAGATAGACGTCACTGTCGACTGGGAGACAGGATTAATATTTGGAGGCAGTCAGTTCAATTGCGGAACATGGCAAGACAAAATGGGCGAGAGCGAGAAAGCTGGAAACAAGGGCTGGCCTGGAACGCCACGAGACGGTGCAGCCATCGAAATCACTGGTCTGGTTTATAGTGCACTGAAATGGGTCACTGGTCTCCATAAAAAGGGTCTCTATGCTCATGACAAGGTTCAGTTACGAGACGACAAATCAATAACTTTCGAGGACTGGGCTGGAAAGATCAAAAGCAGCTTTGAGCGTTGTTATTACGTGCCCTTGGATCCGAATGAGGACAGTCAGTACGATGTCGAACCCACAATCATCAACCGCCGAGGCATCTATAAAGACTTATACAGATCCGGGAAACCGTATGAGGACTACCAGCTTCGATCGAACTTTCCCATTGCTATGACGGTATCGCCAGACCTGTTTACCCCTACAAAGGCCTTGGCTGCTCTCGCTCTTGCAGATACTGTGCTTGTGGGCCCAATGGGAATGGCTACACTCGACCCGTCTGACTTGAACTATCGGCCCACCTACAACAATTCGGAAGATTCAACCGATTTCGCGACTTCCAAGGGTAGAAACTACCACCAAGGTCCTGAGTGGGTCTGGCAGCGGGGATACTTCCTCCGAGCTTTCCTCTACTTTGATCTTGCTCGAAGAAAGACACCCGAGGAACGAACCGAAGCTTACCAGCAGGTGACTCGTCGGTTAGAAGGGTGCAAACGGGCTCTTCGAGAAAGCCCTTGGAAGGGTCTCACGGAGTTGACGAATCAGAGCGGTGCACATTGCGCAGACTCGGTATGTTCAGATTTATTCCCATACTCTACATTATATCACTTGCTAACTTGTACAATTTTCCGATCTTATAGTCACCTACACAGGCATGGTCTGCTGGGTGTTTGCTCGATGTTTATTATGATGCATTACGCTATTCGTCGTGAAAATCGTAGAGTGAGAGCCATGAGAGAAATGTCTGCGCAATTTAGATATACAGACACGGAGATGGTAGAATATAACGAATACTGGGATTTTGGCTAGGCTCATTATACTATTGTTGTCATCGCGATCATCCCTTGTCAGTAGAATAAGATAGTCAGTGGCATAATTCCATGTAGCTGAGTCAGCGAGATGCACAACGCACTGCTTACTACTTTGGGTATCGTCAAATGCGTTCGTCGAAATCGCCCAACTCAATCAAGCTTGGACTTTTTCTTGCCCAGTTTTCAGATCAGAAAGCGCTACGCCTCCATCTCTGTTCTTCTCTCTGAGGCTCTTTATTGTTAGGTGTTTTATTTGCGTTCCTCCAACCCCTGCGACGCGGTGCAACAGGTTTCATACCTCTGACGTCAATTATTTTGGACTTGCGCATCATTTCCGCGAAAAAAACAGCCGCGTGCCCATATGCATCAACACAGGTCTATGCTTTAACTCGGACCGAGAACACTACATTTATAATTGTGTCCTATCGAGAGTCATGTCTCTCAGCGAGTCTGCCGCCACAGCTGTGCTGTCAGTTGCAGCTTTGGCGAGCGACACACCGGGGGGAGGACACCAACCGCGGTGGGACGATCAAACAAAGGGTCAACGCGACCTTTACACGCAGCTTGTAATCAGTGTTGCGGTGGGACTATCGGCATTTATGGCATTTTGCGTGAGTCTCACGACGATAGACTGCCCCGTCAGGCAGTGCTCTTCTAACCATATTCCGAGTCAATAGGTTTTGCGACCGAAGTGGACAGAGCTGTACGCCGCACGCAGGCGACAATGCGGCGCGGCATCGCATCTACCAGAGCTCCCTGATAGCTTCTTCGGATGGATACCGGTGCTACATAGGATAACCGAAGAAGAGGTGTTACATTCTGCTGGCTTGGATGCATTTGTTGTGAGTGCTTTGTCCACTGCCATGTCCTTGTCGAAAAGAGCCAAGATGTCTGACGAGAATATGCAATCTAGTTCCTTTCCTTTTTCAAATTCGCGATTCGGCTTCTCTCCGGGGTATTCATCGTGGCCTTGGTAATAATTCTTCCCATCCATTATAAATATATCGGTAAATCCGGCGTCCCGGGATGGGACGGCAATGATGGCGAAGCTTTTGATGGGGACAAGGACAAGAAAAAGCTGATATCGGATCCCAACTACTTATGGATGTATGTGATATTTCCATATATGTTCAGCGGACTGGCCGTCTATCTGCTCCTTCAAGAGACAAACAAGATTATCAGCATAAGGCAAAACTACCTCGGAAGTCAAACCAGCACCACGGATAGGACGATTCGGTTGTCTGGCATTCCCAAAGAGATGGGCTCCGAGGAGAAAATAAGGGAATTTGTGGAAGGTCTGCAAATCGGGAAGATCGAAAGCGTTACATTGTGTCGAGACTGGCACGAGCTAGACCTTTTGATCGATGAGCGACTCAAAATACTACGCAAACTGGAGAGAGCGTGGACTAAGCACCTGGGATATGAGCGAGCGAAGTCTAACATGAACACTCTACCCTTAGCAGTACATCAACCTCGAGGCTCGAGCTTGGCATCGGACGGAGACAGTGATCGAATCCAACTTCTTTCAGGGAGTGCACCGGCTCATGTCTCTGATTATGCGTCAAAAAGGCCGACGGTCCGCATCTGGTATGGGCCATTCAAACTGCGGTACAAGAACATCGATGCGATCGATTATTACGAAGAGAAGTTGAGGAGAATCGACGAACATATCCAGATCGCGCGGGAGAAGGAGTACCCCCCTACCGAGTTAGCTTTTGTTACCATGGAATCCATCGCTGCCTCGCAGATGCTCGTCCAAACCATTCTCGATCCCCATCCTATGCGTCTTCTTGCGCGACTAGCGCCTGCCCCGGCTGACGTCGTTTGGAAAAATACGTACCAGCCGCGTTCGAGACGAATGATGCAGTCCTGGTTTATCACGGGTGTGATTGGATTTTTAACAATATTCTGGTCGGCTCTTCTGGTTCCATTCGCATACCTTTTGAACTTGCAGACGCTCGGCAAAGTATTCCCTCAGTTGGCCGATGCACTTGCCAGACATGCTATTCTAGGGTCTCTTGTCCAAACTGGTCTGCCGACCTTGGTTCTCTCGCTGTTGACCGTGGCTGTTCCATACCTATACAATTGTGAGTGTCTATACTTTGCCGTGATATCCATTCGTCCATACACATTCTAATTGTATCTACAGGGTTGTCGAATCTCCAGGGAATGATGTCGCGGGGCGATGTGGAATTATCGGTCATATCCAAGAACTTCTTCTTTTCTTTCTTCAACCTGTTTCTTGTGTTCACTGTGTTTGGAGCAGCAACGACATTTTACGGCTTTTTGGATAGGCTGCGAGGCGTGTTCAAAGACGCGACCACCATCGCGTTTGCACTGGCCCAAACATTGGAAGGGTTTGCCCCCTTTTACATCAACCTCATCATACTGCAGGGAGTAGGATTGTTTCCCTTCCGACTCCTCGAATTCGGCAGTGTCGCGCTATACCCCTTCAATTTTCTGACCGCGAGAACACCACGAGACTACGCAGAGCTGTCGACTCCCCCTACATTTAGCTACGGATACTCTATCCCGCAGACCATCCTGATCCTGGTCATCTGTGTCGTCTACAGCGTGTTCCCCAGTTCATGGCTGATCTGTCTGTTCGGGCTTGTGTACTTCACAATCGGCCGGTTCATTTACAAATACCAGCTGCTGTACGCGATGAACCACCAACAGCATTCTACCGGGCGAGCATGGCCCATGATCTGCAGCCGAGTCTTGGTTGGATTGATGTTTTTCCAGCTAGCAATGATCGGCGTCCTGTCCCTTCGCCGGGCAATCACACGATCATTGCTCCTGGTGCCCCTTCTCGGGGCAACTGTATGGTTCAGCTATTTCTTTTCTAGGAGCTACGAACCCCTGATGAAATTCATTGCTCTCAAGAGCATTGACCGAGATCGCCCCGGTGGCGGGGACATCTCCCCTTCGCCGTCGGCAACCTTTTCACCCCCATCTGGTCTCGACCGTGATGCGCTCCCTCCCTGTTTCGGCACCCCGGAGCTGAACTCAAGGTTGAGGAAATATGTCAATCCGAGTCTCATTCTGCCGCTCAGCGACGCATGGCTCCCAGGACACGGTCAACAGACCAATGGTATCTAAGTGTGCTCTTGCCGCCACCCTATTCCCGCCAACCACAATCTGTTCACCTCGACCACGGCCAGTCCCCTTGGCTTTCCTAACTCCCCCTCATCTTTCGGTACGTAATACGAGAAGAGCGAGGGCCTTCTAATATGCGTTGCCTTTTTTTTTTTTTTTTTTCATGAGTTTCTTGCGTTCTTCACTGCCTCATTGCTTCACTGCTGGTCATGCCCAATGCCAACGATATACGACGCTATGCTACATATCTCGAGATTCCCCTGATACCACCATCATGTCTTTCTTTTCTCGACGTGCCCTGTACCTTGTATATTAATGAGACTGCCTTTCCCGTGTTTTGTTCTTCTTTTCTTTTGGTAACCATGGGTCAGGTTATCTGCTTTTTGTTTTATATCGATGTTCCAAGTCCCATAGATAATGTTTCTAAATAATATCAATTGTCGGCTTCACAGCTACTTTACTTGCTTGGTGCTTTTGAAGGAGGACTCGATTTCGTGACAATGCAGGTTCGGGCGCATGGATGGGGTGCTTGTTTCGCCGCCTGTCTGCTAGAAAGATGAGACAGAAAGCAAACATCATATAATCATCAATCAGTGCTAACCCATAGTATCTCTGCCTGCCCAGTCCAGACGGTGGTGGTGGATATAGATGGGTGTGTACTTCCAAGTCTTAATGACCAGCCCAATGTCCATCCCGCGCGTTCAATTCCGGGATGTTGAAATCCACAATACATGCTGAAAAGGAGGTTCGCTTGTTCGCGGCCTGGGACGGGCGAGAAGAAACCCCTGGGTCTTGTTTCCCATGTAAATCTTGATGTATTCGATGAGTACCGAAGCGTTTCCCACGAAATCTTGCACCTAATCCGCTCTGTTCTCTCGTTCGTGGAGGCTGAGCGGATCGTGATCCGACGTCAGGCCGATCAATTAGTTCGGGCGATGAGACTTCGCCATCGGGACCGATGGATAGTGATTTGCACGGGATGCTTGCAGCTGGCCGGGCACTCGACGTGAATATGTCGACGTCAATGATGTTTGCTTTGCCGGACGCGCTGAATGCCCAGACCCGAGCGCCTCCGTGCGATGTCTGCAGAGCCAATTCAACCACGTCGTCCATTCGTCCGATCTCCTTGCCGTAGATCTTGAATGGCCACATCATGGTTGTTGGACGGTAGCTTGTGCTCAGGAGGAAGTCCCAGTCACCGTTCTGGGTCTGGACTAAACTCTCACCCCGCTTGGGCGATATTTGGTTCTCGACAAACCAGTCTCTTGCCAGGTCGCTATCGCCTATGACACTGTCACCTTGGCCTTCTCGCTCTTCCCGAATCACGTTATAGGCATCTAAAGGCACAGAATAGAGCACAAGTCGATCGTCGTAGACTGCGACGATTCGCAGGCCCCAGTCTAGGTCTGAACCGGCTGCAAAAACATTAGGAGCCGCGACTCCACTTGCAGGGTCAGGAGCGCTTTCTCCCAAAGGTGGAATACAAACAAGCGCTCTCATGAGACTGGTGGGTCCTCCTAGATGTGCATCCGGCCCTATGCAGAGCAGATTCGTGCGCGGCTCGATGAACAGTATGTGAAAGCCATCGTTGAGAGGAACGGCACGGTAGTGGTGACAGTGCGTTGCTCTAATCACACTAAGATTCCCACTTGCCTTCGGAGCTGATCGAGCGAATGAGTGAGTATCTGTCACAGGGTGATGTGGACAGGCCTCACGACCCTCACAGGTTCCTGCTCCATGGCATCCAAATCCTGAGATTCCGGGTCCAGCAAGTGAAGATATCAATCGCAGCTCAGTAGGAGCATCCTCGGGTCTGCTATATATAAAATGCAGTACGTCGGACGGCTGCGACATGGGAATCCTTCTTTCGAGGTATTGTTCGGTTTTCTCGTCAAACCAGTGAAGCTGGACGCCAGCTTCGGAGCCGAACGCCACACACCTACGATCAGGGCAGATGGAGACACTGCGTGGCGGGTCTCCAGCGGAGCCTAGATTATGATAACAGTACTGAGACGCAACTTTCACTGGCACAAATCTGGTGTTGTTAGAGTGCCCGGTACTTGCCGGCTCGGAACGGTCGTGACAAGGAATCAGGTTACAAATCAAGCCTGTCCTGTCAGATAAAGATGCAGCCACTATCAACCCCGAGGGGCCAGAGTGTATGGTAGTCGATACTACCCAAGCAGGACACGCGACATTTGCAACAAGAACAATACCGGCTTTTTGAAGGCCTTCTGAGATAGATGACTTGAGATGGCCGGATCCTCTGGCGAAAAGACGATAGATATAAATGCTGCTAGCAGATGTAGCCATCAAGTAGTTGCCACAGCTGCTCACACAGAACATGGACATGGGCATCATATTCGAGTGAAGACTATGAGAATTCTTCGAAGATCCCCATTGCAACAGGTGAGTGAAGTCGAAAATAGTGGTCGTCAAGAATCCAGTCCTCTCCACGTTCGTCTTTCTTCCGGATAGAACGCATTCCGTAGCAAGACGACGACTCATTCTCCACACTTGGCTTTCAGCTTCGGTGTCAATATTGATGGGACACTGTTTCCGACAGTCGCGTAGCCATGAGCTCCACCAGCCAGCCTTCTTGAGCATACTCGCCAGAAGCCCTTCGTTCAAGCTTATGCGCATCCATTGGGAGCAGGTCCGTCGAGCGTTATCAAAGTCACGAGGACTCAGCACGACGAAGATCTGTAGTAGAACCTCTGCTGGAATGACATTGGCTACAGGGCGATTTAAGAGACCGGGGCTGCCAACCGCTTGAGACCAAGCTTTGCATGTCAAGCGCAGGGAACGATGACTTTCGACCGGCAGAAACTCCAACAGCTTTCTAGCGATACTAGGTGGAATGCCGGTTTTTTGTGAGGCAATATAAGCTTCACATATTTTATATCTGCCATCTTCGACACTGGGGTTTGTTGGCCGTGTGCCAGGGGTATGACGTACGGAGCCAAGTTCTTCATTGGAACCAGACTCTATGTCGCTCACTGCGCGTGGGCCCCAGAAGATTGACTGCTCATGTCTGCTGCCGAATTCTGCTTCTGGAGCTACCAGTATAGACGGCATTGTGTTATTTGAGTCCAATATCAAGTCAAGTTTGAGATGGGGAAGCTATTTCGAGCCCTCCGCTCACGGCAAGATGTACAAATTGGAACGGGTGTAACCTGGAACAATGCTGTAACCAATTTCAGCCAGTGCTCAAACCAGGGCGATCCGCCGGTAAATGTACGCTGCTGATTATGAGTAGTCGTGAATATGTTCAAAGAATCATCTTTGAGGTTGAATCATTGCAATCGAGGCATGTTAAGCGAAAATGCAATCACAAGTTAGTCTGGACAGAGGCAGACTTCCGTTTCGTAAATACGTAATTGGACACGATGGATATAGTAGTGTTGGAGATCGGCTATAGCCCGTTGGAATAATCAGCGAGATTTAGGTACATCAGGAGCGATTAACGAGTTGAGAAGACTAGAATCTCGAAGATCAGAGTGGTGAGTCGAGCACAAGCAAATTTGCAACACAAACCCGGGGAAATAGAAGAGCCATCGCTGGTTGCTATCGCTTTTTTTGCTCCGCCCTCACGGGCGTTGCACTCGCATTCCTTCGTGAGAGCCGTTCTGACGTCGACGATGAAAGCTTCGAGAGCCAGCATCCAGTGACCCACAGGCCGCATTTGGGGGAGTTCCGCTCATCGAACCCATGGTACTCGAAGGGAGACGATGAGTGGAAAGGTTCGGGGTATTTCTGGTCATGGGGATTTGTTGATGTCTGTGATCTAGTATCAGTCTGCGGCCGGTGGCTATGTGACTGACGAGACATCTGTAGATTTGAAGAAAAACTCCACGAAAGTTGGAAGTGACGTGTGTGCCTGAGGTTGCACTGCCGCCAAGCATTTCGCTCTGCCATCCAGAATTAGTAGTAGAAGTCGGCTCTTCAAGAACCCAAAATAATAATCGTGCTTTTATTTTAAAAATCGCTATCATAGTCAAAATCCACTGGACCTATTAATCCCAAAAAAAAAAAAAAAGATAATTCCGAATATTGATGTTCATGAAGTCAAAGTCGGTTCCTTTTAGGCGGCCAGTTTCTCTCGGCGAGCTCGCACGGCCCGCGCCAGATTCTCCAGCACAGACTCGGTGTCCTCCCAGTGGATGCAAGCATCCGTAATGCTGACTCCGTACTTGAGGCCGGCCTTGCCCTCGGGCGGCACCTTCTGGTTGCCTACGAAGAGAAGAGGGTTAGCTTATGATTCATTGCCCCTCTATCCCGGTGTCAATCACACTTACCCTCGTTGATGTTGCTCTCGATCATGACACCCATGATCGCGGTCTCGCCGGCAGCAATCTGCTCGGCAAGAGCGGCGGCCACCTTGGGCTGGTTCTTGTGGTTCTTCTCGGAATTGCCGTGGCTGCAATCAACCATCAGACGGGGCTCCATCCCCTGCGAGGTAAGCTTGGCCTTGGCCTCGGCAATGCTCTGCGCGTTGTAGTTGGGGCCCTTCTTTCCACCGCGAAGGATGACGAAGCAGTCGGGGTTACCGACAGTGCCAACAATAGCGACGACACCCGGCTTAGTGACGGAAAGGAAGTGGTGAGGGTGCTTCACGGACCCAATGGCATCCACCGCGACGTCCAGAGAACCGTCGGTACCATTCTTGAATCCGACGGGGAAGGACAGACCCGAGGCCAATTCCCGGTGGACCTGCGATTCGGTGGTGCGCGCACCAACGGCACCGACGGAGAGACAGTCGGCCAGGAACTGAGGCGAGATAGTATCCAGCATCTCACTCGCAATGGGCATTCCCTTGTTGGTCAGGTCGACGAAAAGCTGACGGGAGGTCCGCAAACCCTTGTTGATCTTGAAGCTGTTGTCGATGTCTGGATCATTGATGAGACCCTTCCAGCCAACGGTAGTACGGGGCTTCTCCAGGTAGGATCGCATGACGATCAATAGCTCGTCCTTGTATTTCTCCTTCATCTTCAACAGACGGTCGCAATACTCGAGGGCCATTTCGGGGTCGTGGATAGAGCATGGTCCGATGACGACCATCAGGCGACGCTTGTCGGTATCCGTACCGTGAACGACAGCGATGGCCTCCTCACGGCCCTCCATGACCGTTTTCCGAGAGCTCTCCGTCAAGGCGATCTCATGTTGGAGGAGGTTTGGGGGTGTCAGAGGATTGTATCCTCGAACTGTACACAGAATTGCCAATTAATGAATTGAATCAAGGTAGAATAAATTCAGTTGCAAAAACATACTTCTCGAATCTTCAAGACTGGCCTGATCACCCACATTGGGGTTCTCAATGAAGAACTGTGAAATTTATTAGGGAGAGTGTTCACAATGGGCCGTTGTTGAGACACGAGACACGACATTGACTCACAGACATGGCGGGGAAGATGAGTACGGAGGGGCACGATGGAAGGGAAGTGTAGAGAGAGAGAGAGAGAGAGAGAGAAGCGGGGGGGTACTCAATGTAAGAGCAACAGAGCGCAAGACAACAGTAGTTTACAAGATCTCTCTTGAGATTGGTCTGGTAAGGATGAAGTGAATGAAGGATTTCAGAATGATTGTCCCCTTTTTTTTCTATTCCATTTCATTCTTTGGCTCCTACATCGGCCGAGGAGTCATCGGCCAAGGAGGCACGTGCTTTCGGTGAGAGCCAATGAGTGCCTGGATGCCTGAGTCCCGGTCATGGGATCGGCGCCGTTTTCATTGGCTGCGGCGGGTTTGTGCATGTTTGCTGCCATCGCTGACGTCATTGCAACTACTACGCCGTACTACGGAGTATGCCCGTACAATTGCACATACGAGTTACACAAAAATATTCCGTAGGTGCCCCGTCCAGGGATCGCCTCTCTGTTGGTCTCATTCTTCTGGGCTAAAAGCAGCTAAAAATACCGTTGAAACGTGTTCCCGCCCGTCATAAAATCCCGCTGTGCTAAAGATGATTGCCAGGTCCTGATGCGACATGAACTATCCGTTTAAAGAATATCCGAAGGCATGCCAATATCCGCCGAGCTTGTCCGGCGCCCCGGCGAATTAATTCTCCTCCGCTTTCGACCCCTTTTTTCCAGACTCTGAGTCACATACATGGAAGTTCTCTTGCGAATCCGTAGCTCGTCCTCCTTCAGACGATGGATTAGGGCCTCGCAGGTTTCTCGATGTTGCTTCTGAATGGTGTTCATCTGTTCCTCGCAAACTCGGATTCGTTCCTCCTGCCCTTCGAGAAGCTGATCAAGAACATGATTGCAATCACGACGATATTGCTCTAGAACTTGGCCGGCTACCTCCCGTTCATCTTCTAATTGACGGGCCAGATGCTGTTTGGAATATTAACAAAACACCGCAAACAAGAATAGACAGCAAGAAAGAAAAAAGAACAAGAGGGAAAGGAAGGACATCTATCCATGGTTCGACTTACTCTCTTTGTCTTCATCGACATCTTCTTCGCGCTCTCTTGGAGAGTTAAAAGCGTTTTGGACTGGTTGATGTCGTTCGATCGTTGTTTAGTGCTGACACTAGAATCGCTTAAATTCTCCCCATCCAAGTCGTTAGTCAATCCATGGGGCTGTCTCTCCTGTGTTTGTTGGCCTTGCTCAGTCTCCCGAACACCCTGCTCGGGGCTGGTATCTACCACTCGGGGCCTGCTGTTGCTCTTGGGCCGCGTGCTGGAATGTGTTAGACAAGAGCATTGCAGAGGCTCTCTAAGACATGACAGAAAGTCCGGTTGGCCCTTGGGCTCAGCAAGACTCGTTCGTTCGGGCTTCTCTTCATGTTGCCTTATTGGTACCCCGATGCTTGGGCACCCCGAAGAGAAAGCCGGGCGCTCGGATAGAGAATAGTATGCCCATGCTGGGGTCCTACTATCGTAGACGGCCTCTACTTTCTTTGCGTCAAGTATGGATGTCCAGTCGGGATCAAATGCGGGTTTTTGGCCGGTAGTTGACCGACCAATATCCACATCGGAATCAGGAATTCCATCTGAGAGCTCTTCGGTGCTTGCATCGTATCCGGATTCTTTATTCAATGACTTGGAGGGTGTTTCCTTCCGGCTTAGTTCAACTCTGGGCGACTTATCCGTGGCCGGCTGGTCTTCGCCTTGCCCTATACTTTTTGGCCTCACTCGGGACATCAGCCTTGGGCTTCCATTGCTATCCACTACAGTCTTCCTTAAGCTGGCGTCCAAACCGTCGGGGAAAGTTTCCGCATCCTTTCTCGTGTCATTTTCTGATCGCTCGTCTTGTATAGGATTGCCGCTTTTCTGGTCGGAACCTTCGATCAAGCGTTCCGCGTTCGGTTCAGAGCCCGTTTCGTGCATTCTCGGGTTACCTGCTTCGCTCTCAGGAATCTCTATCTCTATTGCACTCTTTGGTGCAGCCTCACGTTCTGTCTGCGGTGGCTCGGCTTTTTGAAAAGCTGCAGCAAGCTTTTTCCCGATCTGTTGACCCCTGCCTCCAACTCTTTCGTCGACTTCGACGCCTAGTTGGATGCTCGGTCTTTTTTGAGCTAATTTCGTGCGCTTCCCAGGGGACGTGGTAGGATCAAGGTTTCTCTTCCTCAAGATACTCGGCGATGATAGTAAATAACTAGATCCATCCTTGAAGCCCGCTTTGTCCGCATCACGAGCATCTATCCGGAAATTTCTGGCCCAGTCGGCAGCAGCTCTCGAGCTCGGTGTGTGGAAGTCCCTCCGTGTATGATGCAGATGAGACATCAACGAATCCCGAACCCTGGGCGGCGATGCCCTGGTTTTCCTAGTAAACAGGCCCGATCCCTTTAGAGAAGACATAGTTTGGATACCGTTATCACGATGGAAAAGTACGCCATGTCCTGTGACTGCGGATTTGTCTGATTTGGATGTACTCAAGGACGAATAACCGGTTTTTACAACATTTCGGGTATTGATGTAGCTGTCATAGTCCCTTAGGCCGATTTCGTTTTCGCCTATTGCATTCTCCTCTCCTTGGGTACTGCGTTCATGTTGGCGACCCATATCATTCGCGTGGTCAAGACGAAGCAAAATTGACGATGGTTTCCGAGCAACTGAGCCTGGTGTCGCCGAACCGCATGTCTTCTGGATCTCAGTGTGTAATGCTGAGAGATCATTTCTGGATACTAGTCTTAACACCACGTCATCCAGATACTGTATCTTCCCGTCGATCATTATAAACTTCGATTTCTCATAGTACAGGTCCAAACAAGATGCATGTTCTTCGATACGATTTGCGGTCCATCTTGTCCATCGGATGAACTCGAGAGGTACCTCAATATATCTGAAAGATCTTGTTGATAGTCGATCCATGGTGTGTATAATTCTCAAATGATTGTACTCCGGCACAGCCAGAATGCTGCCCTCTGCCAAGGTTTTTGCGTCGATACTGAAAGATTGAAGAAGGTAGCAAGAAGGCGTAGGGATCGTAGGAATCGTACCTTCCTCTAGCTGCAAACCCAATGTACCTGATAGATAATTCTCAATCTCATTGACATATGCGTGGAAGGATTGCACCAAATCGCGTGTGCTTTTATTGAGATGCTTGAAGAAAATTTCCCTGTGCCGCGTCTTATCTTGTGACCATACAATTACCTCGCTTTTCGTAAGTATTTGGATGATAGCACTTGCGAAAAGCCTCAGGGCGATATCGGTCTTCAGAGATAGCAAGGGAACAACTCTGGAGCATCGGCGTTAGACTGGTTTTATGTTATCAATGAGATTCGTAACGTCGTACCCAGCCAAGGTGGCATGACTCAACCTAGCACCTGCCCCATCATCCTTGCACTCCGATAGCAACTCTGCCAACAATTTGCCTGTCTTGGGTATGTGAGCCTCACTGCCGCTTCCATAATAATTGCTGGTACTGACTAATATGCGAAATCGAAGCCCCTGCCGTCTGTCGACGAACAGACGGTACAAAACTAAGATCAAATTGTGCTGCAGGTCAACAGATCTCTCCAGGTCTCTCTCGGGGTTGAGTTGATAGTTCGTCGATGAATTCCGCGTATTCTCAAGAAGGTCCTGGTTGGAGTTAGAGTGTTGAGCCTGAGTTGTGGAACTCAAGCCTGACCAGCAGAAGATGGAGTCCAGCGTTTTGTCCAGCCTCCGTTGCCGAGTCGAGTAAAATGTATGACAAAAACCGTGAGAATATTGTATACGAGCTCTTTGGGAAAGACGCTTTCTTCTGTTCCAATATGGATATAATCTGAACCAGGCTCTGTCCGACGATGAGAGAGGTCGAACGCAAGAGGGTGCTCACGAACTGGCTTTAGGAATCAAAAGAAGTTAGCCAGGAAACCATAAATGTCAAGCTTTTGGACAAACCCCATCGCAGATCTCGACTCATTCTCATTATCCTCTTGAGCAAGAACTCCCATGCGCGAAGCTAACACTCTCATGCAATCTAGTTCAAACCACTCACGAGCGGTTGATGCAGAAGCTCGCGACATCCTGCATTTATGGATAGGTAGATAACGAACTTATCTTTTGTGTTAACCGACATGGCATTGGAGAGAGGGGAAGAGAAGAATAGACGAAAACAAAACGTCCTCGAATGGGTGGAAACAATCACATGATGTCCCCGTTGTTCTGCCTTGAAGATGGCCTGAGGAAAGAACATCTCCCTAGGTACCTTCCACGAACGAATTATGTGACGATTCATACTTTTTCTTCGGGTCACTATTGGTTTTTGGAGTACCGATTCTGCAATTTAAGTTCGTCTACAGCACGTTCGCAGGACGCACTATCTAAATAGAAGTCTTTATTGACTACTGCTAGTAGTAGGTAGGTGAGAGGCATGTCCTCAGACAGCTAAACTTCACCCCATGTTATCAAATCACTACCTCTCCCATCCAACATCTTTGTTTGCATTTGCCTATACCACTGAGATGACCTGATTTCCGAAGTACTTAAGGAAAGTCGGCTTCGATGCGAATGATGGCATCGTTGTAGTCCATGTCGACGTTGTCCTCACTAGCAATCTCCCAGTACATGTTCTTGACATTGTTACTCGCATCGTGAACGGTTTGGATTGTCGGGTTCAGAGCCAATGAGTCGGTAAAGGTTCCGGATGGGCCCTCGCTGGAGTGTTCGAAGTTGATGGCCAACGTGCGCATTCGGCCGCCGGTGATAGGTTCGAGGCTCACTCGTGAGTTGTTGCTCCCTCCGTGCAGTGTCAGTGCCTGTCCCTCGCCGCTTCCTTGGAAGACATATTGAGCGGTTCCGGTCACATCCTTGACGGTGACCTTCTGATGATAGTCCGCGTTCGTCCTGCCAGTGATACCGATCTTCGCGTCCGCAGGGATCGTGACCATCACGGGCTGCTTGGCGTTCACCATGTTGGGGTTGGCAGACATTTTGCTTGATTGTATGAATGGTATGGTTTTGAAGGGTTGGTAGGCTTGACTTCTGGTTGAATACTCGATTCAGGTTTTCGATGGAATGAAAAGACAAACGGATGGAGGGATTTGGCAGATGATGAGAAAATCCAAAGGCAATAAAGGTTGTCCGATGCTAGCTGATATATAGTTGACAATTCGCCTCAAAGGAAAAGCTCAACCATCCGATCCCCTCATTTACTCCGTCCGCTTTGGAGGGATATTGTTGGAGCCACGTCAAGCACGATAAGTGTGCGCATCATCGTCTGCCACATGCATCCTAAGCCAGAATGATGGTTCTGAGAAACCGGTAGGCAGACTGTCTTCTGCATGTGGTGATGCCTGAAGATGGAGATACCCAAGGGGGTATCTGCTCTTTCTCGTCTCTGCCTGTTTTGGCGACTCTGTAACTCAATCGGATTTCGTGGATTTGGCAGATGGCTTAGCATGTCGTACGATGCATGCCATTTTGTCATCGTAGAAGCACCCCGTATCAAACTTCTAATGGAGACCGCTGGCTGCGTGATAGGTATAGCAGCTGGTCCATTTTCGCTGGACGCATTAGGTGTACACCCGCGCGTTCCGACCAGCGGACAGAATGCAGGATTTTCGCACGGCTTATAGGGTCAGCTTTTGTCAAACAATATCTAGTATGAACTTTCTACAGATCGTCTTTGAGGGACAGCCAGAAAGATTAGCGGGGGAGGGGCAGTGCAAGAGCATGCGGTGTATGTGATCTCTCCAAATAGTGATAATACTCAGTGATAAGTACACGAACAGAATAAACCTGCTGCAAGCCACCTTTGACGTGGAGTCAAATGGGCGGCGCCCTATGATAGGGCTGATTCCACCAGTTGCAGTCGAACTAAAGCTGTGGGTGTGGATGATGTGTCCGCCGAGGGGCCAAAAGGGAGGGGTTTGCATCCCGCAAGTGAGGTCGTCTTCTTCTTCTCTGGTTTGTGTCTTTTCGTTTTCCATTCCCTCTTGTCCTTCTACTAAGGAACAGACCGATCGGTTAGGGAATAGTGGGCTTAATACTGAACCCTGGCTGCATATTGCGGATGGCCTTGTCGAAGTCAGCAGTTTCGTAGAATTTCATGCTTTTCTGCAAAGGTCGGCGACCGTCTTTGACCCAATTGATTAGTCGGGGAATGTACTGTACTCCTGTGGCTGCACGTCGCCCTCCATCACTCCAGTGAATCTTTTTCCCCGCCACCATAAACTCGTGGGTGTGAATGGTCACCGTGGCCGTGTCAGGGGCGGTCCCAACCTGTAGACATTTTCACAGTCTCCGCGATTAACGCCGGGACCCCGGTCGTATCCAGAGTGACGTTTGCTCCCAAGTGATCTGTCGCCTTGAAGACGGGCTCCGTCGCCGCCTGCAGGTCGGACATGCTCTCAGTTGATATGACCTGCGTTGCTCCGAGCTCCCTTGCAAGCTCCAGGCGAGACTGGTGTCGATCGATACCAATGATATGAGCACAGCCTACAGTCCTAGCTCCCATGACGGCACTTAGACCAACTTCGCCCAGCCCAATGACGGCGACGCAATCATTGACCCCCACTTTAGCTACATGGATGATTGCGCCGCTGCCGGTCTGGATTCCACAGCCCAGCGGCGACAGTAAATGCAGCTCCTCTTTTGTCTCAATTCTGCCGGACACGTTGGTTACCGAGTCTTCTCGCACGATACACCAGCTGGAGAAGCTTGATTGACCGAAGAACTGACCATAGATGTCGAGATGTTCCCCGTCGAGGATGCCTCCTTGAAGACGGAATGGTCGGACTCGACCTCGAAATCGATGGCCTTGAACTTCACGCAATGAGCGGGATTTCCTCGCCCGCACGGCTCACAGCTTTTGCAAGCGGAAAATGATAGGATGACTGGTTCTTTCGCCTTGGCTATCTGGACTCCCTGCCCAAAATGTCGAACGTACCCAGCATCTTTGTGCCCACTGTCAGCTCATGTACTCCTACTGCGGTTCTGATCGGCTTTCGGGCTTTGGTATTCTGGAGGGTGTTATATTTCATCCGAGAAAATGACGCACCTTCATGTCCCATAACGCGAGGGTGATGGACCCCAGGGCCATTTTCCGCGCCGCAAGGTGTAGATCTGTTTGACAAATTCCGGAGGCCACAATCTCGACAAGCACTTCCTCTTCCCTCAAAGGCCGAGTTGCAAGGTTTTGCAATCTCCACGTTCCAGATTGTACCCATTGTAGCGTTGATCGATGCCGTAGAGTCGCAAAAAATAAGGCAGGGCAGCTGGCATTCTTTTACCGTGAGTCCGGTGGGGATGTCTCCAGGGCTACTCCTCTTATTGAACTGTCTCACTTCCTCATGCCCACCTCTCTCGGCAATTTCGCAGGCACTTTTCTTGAATATGATACATCATCTCGTTAGCACTTCATTTGCCCTGCCTCGAAATTTAACCTCGGCGTAGCATTGTGTACTGCGAGAGGCCCCGGCCATGTCCGCCCCTTAATTGATGGCTAACGGGCTTTCTCAATGGCCGTCTAGAATCTTTCTCTTCAGATACACCTAGTCTGTATACAATGCAGTCGCGTTCTCACTGGAGTATATAAAGGCGTCCAAAGTCCGTCTAACATGGTGCGAAATAATCTTCAGCTTTGGTCTCGAGCCTGAAAGTTCATTGATCAAATAAGATTGTTGCTTCGTGAAACTGGCTCCGAAGGAACTAGGTAAGGTAAAAGACGATATACTATATTGTCTAGGGTAATTTGGAGTAGAAGAGATAGGTCAACAGCTCGGAAAAGAACATGACCACCTCGGTCGCAAAATCTTCAACCAAACCTACTATTGGTAAGGAGCAGGAAACTCCGTTATCGGACGACAGCTCTGCCACTCGGTCGCTGTCCAGCTCGGCCGGCGAGTATCCAGCGCTCTTCGAACACTCCAGGACGAAAAGTGTCTCGTTGGTCTGTGGTCGCTCATGCCGCCATCGACGTCACCCGCAATGGCGCCTTGGGCAGGCGTGGTAGATCTGGTAGATGTCGGCGCCGAAGTGCTTGAAATCATACCTGTCAAATGAATAGACGTGCAGTGAGTATAGGTCTCCCCGAACTGCCATTTACCCATAAGCTGGGATTTTCACTTATTCGTAGGAGGACCGCTGCAATTTGGACCCAGGGATGTCTCAGTCATCAGATGACGCCTAGTCGTCTCTCCCTTTCGCGAAGCTCACGTCGTTCTCGTCAACAACAGTAGTCTCTGTTGAGATAGAGATCTCAAGTACGCTTGTCGCAGTGAAAAAATCTTATTCAAGCACCGTCATACGCCTCTTTGGAAAGGCAGCATGCGACGTTATCAGCATTTGGGCAGTAGGATGCGGGCAACAGACTAAGAATAACCCCACCATATTTCTTTATACTATCTTCGAAACAGATGCCATTTCCGCGAGTGACCCTGTCAAGGTTGATCGCCTTGACATTTTGATTGAAAAAAAATACGGCAAGAAAGACGGTAGGATGCCCAAGGTGAGAACAGTGCAACTCTGGAGGGGCGCGATCCGGGGAATGTGAGAATGGAATTGATGCTGCTTTGTGACCATCAGCGGTCTGAGGCCTGTACGAAAAGATCTAGAGAACATACAGATTGGACTGGATCTTCACCATTTAGGCTATGATTCTATTACTTGGCAGCCAGCATGGCAGGGAAACTACCCATAATGACCCTCGATTGGTGCAGCCGATACACCGCATGGAGTGAATCGGTCCTATAACGACAGCAGCAGTTCAACATGGAATACTGAGGATTACGGGACTTGTTTGGCCGAGTCTCAGTCAACCGAATCACCAAGAACACAAGTCACTGTGGCCTGGAACTTTTGGAACTATTTCCAACGCTATCTGGAAAAATCACACACAAAACAAGGCTGGTCGGTTAATAGCACTGTGAACAGATTCCCCGGGTCGATCTTGACTCGGAAACATTTAGACCTACTGAAAGTTGTCAAACGGCATTGTGGAGAGCGATTTGCCGCGGTGCATATGTCCGACCGTTGAAAGTTTGCTCTCTGCAGACCTGCATGGCACTCTCAATTTGTTGGCGACATCTTGTTCGTCAATGTCTCTCCATCCCTGCATACTCCGCTCCTCCAGACCTCAAGCCCTATCGGTGAGCACTGTTTATAGTAACAGTCGGTGAAAATCCTCTGACGGACGCGTATAACACGATGCAATATGATGGCCATGGCAAATGAGGGAGGAGTCAAGAAAGACTAGGTAAGCATCCCGTGCTTGGGAATGCAGCAAGCGGCGATCTACAAATCTATGGCCATTCCCCCTTCTTCCCCGCTTTCCTTTCGCTCACTTGACGTTTATCGAATGCTGCCCTTTCCAAATCACCTGAATATGGTGTCTTTCATCTCGGCCCTGGGTGCCACGATCGCGGCAATAGTCATCGTGAAACTTCTTTCTATCGGCCATCGTCCCAAGAACTTGCCCCCCGGTCCTCCCACCTTACCCATCATTGGCAACATACATCAGGTATAGCTTCTAAGGCCATTCCTGCTTTGCATAAATTCTAAAAGAATGACAATACAGATGCCCAGTCGTGATGCACACCTCCATTTCCAGAAATGGGCTCGTGAGTATGGTCCGATATACAGTCTGATGTTGGGGACAAAATGCTTGATCGTCATTTCGAGTGACGAAGTGGTCAAGGAACTCCTCGATCGTCGAAGCAGGATCTATTCGGATCGACAAGAGATGTATATTGGACAAACATTGTGCAGCGGTGGTCTCCGCGTGTTGATGATGGTGCGTCCTCAAGTGCTATCTAGTGATAACCGTCATTAATGAATGAAATACCAACAGCGATACGGGCCAACCTGGCGAATAGTACGTTGACCCTCTAAGGACCCTAGATTTTGACTCATTAGTAACTGACCTGCATCTCTGGCAGACCAGAAAGCTGACCCACGGGTTGCTGAATATCGTCAATTCCAAGAACTATATCCCCTACCAGGTTCTGGAGAACAAGCAAATGCTGTATGAATTCTTGACGCGGCCCGACGGATTCCTCAATCACATTCGCCGCTACTCAAACGCTCTGACTACAACGATGGTCTACGGCTGGCGAACGCCCACCTACGAGGATCCCAAGATAAAGCAGCTGTTTGAGAGCGTTGCCGAATTTGCGGCCCTTACACAGACAGGGACAGCGGCAATTATCGACTTCTTCCCGTGGCTGGGAAAATTGCCGGATTTCCTAATCCCTACCCAAAAACAGGCCAAAGCACTCCATCAGCGCGAAAAGCCGCTCTATATGGGTTACTGGTTGCGGGCCAAAGAAGAAATACAGTCCGGCTGCATCAAACCATGCTTTTGCGTAGGGATGTTCGAGTCCCAGAAGCGAGAGATGTACAGCGATGACCAGGCCGCGTATATCTCGGGGACGCTTCTCGAGGCGGGCTCCGATACAACGTCTAACACCCTGTACGCTTTTGTCCAGGCAATGCTCTTGTTCCCAGAGGTGCAACGCAGGGCGCAGGCGGAAATTGACCAGGTCGTCGGACCGAATCGCCTGCCGGTGATGGATGATCTCTCGCAGCTGCCATACATTCGCGCCTGCATGAAAGAAACCTTACGGTGGATGCCAACCGCCATTTTGGGCGCCGTGCCCCACGCCGTCACGCAGGATGACGAGTACATGGGATACCTGATTCCCAAAGGAGCGGGGATTCTACACAACGTGTGGGCCATTCACATGGATCCGAAACGCCATCCCAATCCACGGATCTTCAACCCCGACCGGTATCAAGGCGACGAGCAAAGCCTCCACGATGCCGCGACAAACCCGGACGTTACAAAACGCGACGTGTTCACCTTTGGGGCTGGACGACGCATCTGTCCGGGCATGCATGTGGCTGAGCGCAGCTTGTTCCTAGGCATGGCGGGGATCCTGTGGGCATTTGATATTTCGCCAGCCCTGGATGTAATGGGAAGTCCCATACTACCGGACGCGGACCGGTTGACTCAAGGGTTTGTGTGTTTGCCAGAGGAGTATCCTGCGACGATTAGACCTCGGACTAGAGAGAAGGCAGACCTGATAAGAACGGAGTGGAAGGAGGCAGAAGGTGGGTGTTTGGATAGTAAGACCAAGCAATGGCTGTATTAAGCTTCGGGGTGAGTAGTAGTAGGTAGTAGTATGATCTCATGTCAGAGAGTTCAACGCCGTGCTTGTCCTTCGTTTCTCTTCCAAATCCTTCTTGATATAGTAAGCAATGTCGGATACGACTCCGCTCCGCTCCGAGCCGCCACGCCGGACGGACTTGGTTCGCCCCGGACTGCCTGCCAATGCGATGCCCCCGGACAAGGAATCTGCGAATGCCGATGTCTCACCAGCACTGGCTTGGGCCTCCGGGCCTATCTCGTACGAGGAAAATCAGATGATAAAGGGCTGACTCCCTGCAGTCCTCATACTTGGTTGATATCGCGTCATTTTAGTTAACCTTTTAGCTGCTTCAAACATGCCGACGTCACCTTATTCGGACAGCCACGGCGTCGAAGAAGGCTCTCGCGCCTCTCGCAACGTCGTCTTGGAGACCCTTGAGCGACTATGGGAGCTGCTTCCCTCGTCCGCCTCTGCCGACGCTTCCTCTCGAGAGACGCAAGGCCACCTCCCTCAGACGACGCGTGCTAGGCGACGAGAGTCAATCGTTGAGAAGTCGCTTGACCAGGACGAGGCGCTCGCCGACAAAGTTACCCTCTCATCCTCTGCCGCTGCCACTGCCACCACCAAACCTACCGAGACCGTTTCCCCTGAAAAGAGCGTCCTATACCTGGCCTACGGGTCGAACTTAGCTGCGGAGACTTTTCTGGGTAAACGAGGCATCAAACCGCTTTCGCAGATCAATGTCGTCGTGCCGGACTTAAAATTAACCTTTGACCTTCCCGGCCTGCCCTACGTCGAGCCTTGCTTCGCGGCCACGCGATACCGCCCTACTTCGCCCGAGGAATGGAACAACGAGGAGGCAGAGGACATCGACGATAATGCGTCGGAGATTTCAATTTCGGAGAAGACGCCCCTCTCGTCGCATCGGGAGTCGTCGTCCGACAGACCGCTCGTCGGCGTCGTCTACGAGGTCACCGTGTCCGACTACGCTCGCATCATAGCCACAGAGGGCGGCGGCGGCGGATACAAGGACATCATAGTGGACTGTTACCCTTTCCCCGACTCTTACAGCCCGACCGACCCGGTCCCAGAACCTCCCTCTACCACGCCGTTCAAGGCCCACACGCTTCTTGCGCCCGTCGACGAGGGTGGCAACCAAGCTCGGCGCATGCTCTCCCGTCTATGGAGACCGTTCCTCTCGCGATCGAACCCTCTCGTCCGCCCTCATCCGCTGGGTTACGCGCAGCCGTCCCCGCGGTACCTCAACCTCATCGTCACCGGTGCCGCCGAACATAATCTCCCCGTCTCCTACCAAACATACCTGTCTCAGATCCAACCGTACCGGGCGACGACTATTCGCCAGCAGATCGGCAAGGTCGTGTTTCTGGTGGTGTGGGGTCCGTTTTTGATTCTGACACTCACCTTAACGAGGACGATGGCGGGTCCGGATGGTCGCAGCCCGCCGTGGGTGATCAAGCTGGCCGATCTCATCTTCTTCACTATGTGGAGTTCCTATGATATAGCCTTTTCGAGGATCTTTGGGGATGGGGAACGGACGTTAGACAGGTAGGTTCGTGATGAGGTGTCACGGATTATTCATTCCTCTTTGGTTAGAGAAGGAAAGAGAAGATAAGAAATAGCCTGCGCTTGATACCAAAGCAACTCGCATATTCAGTACATAGGTCCACCAGATACATACATACCATCACATCCAAGCACCATCGCATCACGAGTACCAGAGTTCTACCGCCGGGAAAGCAGACATGGCAACAAAGGAGATAAGTGACATTGGATCTTCAAACAAGGTTTTAAAGGAGAATAAATATCTAAGGTACAGATACAGGTGTCCTGAATAGCATCTAACAAAACAAGTAGACCATCGAACGTAAAAGAAAAGTGGGGGGGCGGGTGGCTGACGAAAAGGACGGCGACAGAACTCCCAGCCTGGGATTGGGGACGCGCATTATTCAAGAGCCGCCTTCGAGCCCCTTCCCGTTTTGCAATTCATATAGTCCACCGCGGCAGTTTAGCGCCGGGAAACAGGGGGGCTGTACACAATCTTTCGTGTCTTGATGGGGGACCACTTGTAACGCTTGACCCAGACGCTGAGGGCGAACAGACCGGTCAGAAGAGTGAGGGCCTTGACACCCATCTTCTTACGGTCGTCCATCTCGGGCTCGGCGGACCAGTTGAGGAACTCAACGACATCCTTAGCCATCTGGGAGGTGGTGGCGGGGGTGCCGTCCTCGTACTCAACGACACCGTCGAAGAGAACACGGCCCATAGCAATAGCTGCGTGTCACATTCGGATTAGATCAGGTCAAACAAGATGCGAGAAGAGAAAAGAGAAGAAATAACAAATGATATGGTTCAAGACATACCAGTTCCGGGGAAGTAAGGGTTGAAGTTCATGCCCTCCTGGACGGTAGCACCAGCAGGGGGCTCATCGGGGTAACCGGTCAGAAGACTGAAGATGTAGTCGCAGCCACCGTGACGGCCCTTGACGATCAAGCTGAGATCGGGGGGCAGAGAACCGGCGTTGGCAGCACGGGCAGCCTCCTCGTTCTTGTAGGGAGCGGGGATGTAGTCCGACAGCTTTCCGGGGCGCTTCTCGATCTCGCCCTGGTCGTTGGGCTCGGTGTCGTACTCGTTCTCTTCGGCGAAAGCCTTCATCTCGTCGACGGTGTGCATAACACCGACGAACGAACGCCAGGGAACACGGGTCAGGGAGTGGCAACTGGCGCAGACTTCACGGTAAACCTGGAAACCACGGCGGAGGCTGAGAGGCGTAACTCGTCAGTAGGGGCGTCACGGCTACGCAATTAGCTCAATTCGAAGACTCACGCGGCGTGATCGAAGGTCTTGGTCCACTTGGCATGCTCCCAAGGGTAGGCAGTCGGGTGCAATCTTGAAATCCAGAGGTCAGTTTCACGGACTCGATATGATAAGGCCTGGTTGGTCGGAGCAATGGAGATTTCCCTTCAGGACCATCTCCGAGAATCTCCGCCACAATTGACTCACCCCTCCTCGGCAGGCGTCGAGGCGAAAGCTTCCTGTCCATAGAGATGGTAGTACCAGGCGGCCGACCCGATAGCGGCGGCGGTTGCGACGGAGGCAGTGAGAGTGAGCTGGAAGGGGGAGCTGGCGGATTCGGCACCGGCGGACGAGGAAGACGCACGCTAGGATGCAAGGTCAGTATGAAGCACTCTCAATCACATCCATCGGCCATTGGAAGCCGATTGATGAAATCGATGGAGGCCAATTGGGGGGGGGAAGCGGAATGTCGGGACAAGCGTACGGTGGAGGTCTTGCTCAAGGTCTGACGGGCGACGGCCCGGAAGGGCACGCTGCGCGAAACAGTACGTGCCAGCATACTGACAATATGAAGTGGCCCTCCGATCAATGGAAAAACCAGAAGGCACAATAGCCTAGAAAAGCGGAGAGAGGGGGGGAGGGGGGGGAGGGGGGTGGAGGAGAACGGAGCAAGAGACGAGAGATGCTTTCAGAGATGAAGTCGAGGATCGAGTCGAACGGTCAAGTTTCTCTTGGGTTGGGAATTGCCTAAACCCTCACCCTGATTGGCTGTCGGCCCGGTTCTAACTGTCTTGGGAGAAAAACCCGCGAGTTTTCGGAACAACAATTTTCGATTGACTTTCCGGTTGCTGACGATTTCATCCACAATAATAGTAGAGAGATGCACTCGAACTGATCAAGATCTCCCGGTTGTTTTACACAGTTTACACATGTCAATTCCTATCTCGAACAGACACCTTCCCCCATAAGTACCGTCTACCTACCGTCGTGTTGTCCTCCCCCAACTCCGGTCGCTGCCGTTGTGCGCCTCCCGTCTCTCTCGGTCGCTCACTGCGCTTCCGCCTTAGCCTGCCTTTCCGACGCAATGCCCATCCGCAGCGCCTGAATGGCCGTTCGAACACCACAGCCAGCATTGCTGGGACTATGCAACACTAAAGACAGTGCGGGAAGACGTCGAATGGTTCGACCGCTGAGACCCTGTGGAAGTGGTTAGCAGCCGTTCGTCTACCAGCATAGATGTCCGCCGATCGCCAATCACGAACCACACTCTCGGACGCGGCATCGGCCAACTGCTTGGGAATGGCATTGACAAATCCTTGGTAGTGAAGGAGCATTTCGTCGAAGGCCGGTAGGACGAGACGCTCCGTGGGACGCTCCACATATTGCAGGGTCGTGAAAGGGTTCTCGGGGTCTTGTTGAATCACGTCAAACGACATTCCCTCGATGATCCCCCTGCGACTGAGCTCCTCCAGACATTCTTTAAAGATGCCATAAATGATTCGGCTGGACAGGTGTGGGATGTACTGTTTTATATCAACCCGGTCCAGAAACGCTTGGTCCTGCTCAGGAGGAAAGGGTCAGGTCAATGCTCACAAGGGCCATCTCCCCGGGATGCTTACCAGAGCCGTAACCAGATTGCTCGTGCAGATCACAATCACATTGTCATACTTCTTAAGTCTATCCAGACCCATGAGCAAGGCATTGACGGCGCGTACCGCGTCAAAGGGCTCGTTGCCCGCCAGCGCCCGCTCTCTCCGAGCAGCCAGCGTCTCAACTTCGTCCACAAAGACATATACAAAAGTATCTTCTTCTGTCTCTAGCAGGAGCTCGATACTCTCAAATGTCTTACTCACAATCTTCCCGCTTTCTCCAAAGAACTTACTACCGAGGGAGTGCGCATTTAGCTCGACCAGCTTGCTCCGGGGGTAGTGCTTTCCGAGCCGGATTGCCAGCTTCTGAGACAGGCCCCGACTAACAAGGGTCAACTTTTACTTTGCACCTGTTAGTGTAACCGAACACACCAGAAGCTTGTCTTCCCGGTCCCCGGGGGGCCCCATAGAAGAATCAATTTGTTCCAGCTAATAGTCCATTGGTCAAGATTCCGCGATGAGAATGAAACTAATAAAGGTTAGACCGGGTCACGCTTCCTAAATTGAGGCTGACTCGTTCACCCATCCTGGTTACTGCGCGGAGGATTGTAGTCTGGATTGGCTCGTCGAATTGAAGTCTGTTCACATTCTGGGTCAGTACGAAGAAGCCTACCCTCGGCGTGGGCATGAGAAAGAAGAAGAAGAAACCACGGTAGTTCGTACGACTCCCAGAGCCCATCCAGTTCCTTGCATGGCAGTGTTACCACTTTCGCCTTCGATCCATCCTCACTAGTATCGATCAAATCGTCCGTAGTTTGGAAGCTTTCCTGCTCGAAGGGCATATGTAATTGATAAGCCTGGACATCCAGGTCAACGTGCTGAAGCCAGTATGCGCCAGAATCTGCATTTCCTCCCGTGCATTCCGTCACAAGAATAGAATCCATGAATTGCATGTGTAGTCCTCGGAAGTTTTCTACTCTACCGTCAGCAGTCCTGTCGCCTTCTGTTGCGGCCAACCACAATACCAAAGGAGGTTATCTCTTGTCCCAGCGAAAGAACCACGAAGCTTTCGGTAAGCCATTGCGTGACTTCGTTCCTGACCTTTTTGACTTGAGACTTGGGATCTCCGTAGTCAGAAGGAGAGAATGGTTTACCAGGTCTGTGCGGATGATGAAGCCATCTCCATTGGTCTTGACACGCGCTTCAACATGGAGAACGGGCTTGTGGGGGTTTTCCGTGCAGCTTATGCAATTCATTGGGTCAGTCCTGTATCAGGTCGAGGTGTTAATTGGGACGGGATTCTCTGTGTGTTGCAAGAAGATCTACTATAATCTACACGGAGCAGACAGCCGCGTCTGGAAGAAAGACGGACAGTCCTGGCTCTCCCCGTGACATTGACGGATACGGTAGGTATGCATTGTATGCATCGGGTGTACCTGAGGTGTCGTTGTCTGGATCGAGTCTCTGTGCGCTTCTGTGTTTCTTTTTGTTTATATATTCCCGTCGATATTGATGGGCAACTTGACGTCAGCCCCTTCTGATCATGATCAGCGATCTTAAATAGACTACCCTAACTTTTGTACGTCACACCCAGACATTTGCAAGGGTCTCTCGCCAGGTTCGAAGCTTGACATTGGCTCCTTTGTCAATCCGTCTTCAGCCAATTCCTCTTGTTCTTTGAGTGTTTCGTGCCAACGCTGCAGCCACTCTGATTCGCTCGGTCGGAAAGGGAATTCTGCCCGCCGATCGTCGATGCTCGACTTTCCGGGGATCTTCTCCCCTTCAGCTTATCTCACGAACCCTTTGCATTGGTGGTGGCTGTCGCCCGCGATCAACTCTTCAAGCCTCTATACCTCCATTTCAATGCTGCGCACACGAATTATCTGAACGAAGTCATTGCTAGATACCCCACCCCAACCAGGCTGGTTGTGCCCAAACTGCCTACTTCAATTGGTGCACCCGCCCCGCGGAAAGAGCTCAACCCATTGCATCCGACCCCGACTTAGAAGCCTGTCTCCCGATGCAGAAACAGCAGCGACACCATGTCGAAAGTGAGGAATGGACCAGGGACTGGCGGGAAACCGCGCAGAGATGTACTGGCTTCACTCAAAATGGCATCCATGGAGGAATTCTCCCGGGCTGCCCTTCCAGCAGGTAAGCTTGGGATAGGCAATGCGATGAAACTGGAAGTTCTGACTGGCATTAGAGATCATGTCTTCGATTCTTGATTACCTCTCCCCTGTCGATCTGATCCGAGCAGCACGATCGTCGAAGCTTCTACGAGAAATGGCATACGACGATACGAGATGGGTACAAAAGATGAAACTCATGGGCTGCTGGGACGAACTGGAAGCGAGAAAACATGTGGAGGAAACCTTCGGGACGATTGCCGACCTGGAAAGTGTTAAGCATCAAGAGGAGGTCGAGCAAACCGGGCAGACTGCCGGAGGAACCGAGCCGAAACCTTCTACCAATGTGAACTCGCTCTCCGATGGCTTCGACCAGATCAATCTGAGTAGCTCCGTCGCCCCCGATATCTCCGACGCATCGGACAAGGATCCTGTCCTGGGAGCATTGAAGTTGGTCAAGTCAGTACGCGGTGAAGCGCGTCAGGAATACGGCAAAATACACGCTGCGCTTGCGCCCTTCTACAATGACATCGTCACTGAGGGTGCCTCGTTTGATAACCTGGTCTTCAAAAGATATACCGATCCATTGCATCAGGCGCGGGTGTTATCTCAACTGCAATCCTTCGCTAAATGTGATTCAACAGAGGGCTGGCGTGCCAGGATCGAGCAGCTGCATTCTGTCACGGCTATGTTCGAAACCGCTGCTACAAAGGAGTTCAGGCAAGGATATGAGACGGAAGATATTGATGGGCGAATGCGACAATATGCTCACGTTCTCTACATCCTGAATGGCGGGGCTTCGGCTGTTGAGCTGTTCATTCATCACAACCATCTCATCACACGACGGTCAGACTTTGGTAAGGTGGCAGATTGTATCGACGTGTCGACGCCGCAGGTGAAACTCGAGCAGACCCAGGCATTTTTCACTCGCCTCAGTGTCGCCTACAACGAAGAAGTGTCGATTATCAACCGTGCTTTCCCCGCATCAATAGCGGTAGCCTCGCCATTCATTGAGAAAGTAGGGCAAGGTGTGCTGTATCCATTCTTGACCGCAATATTTGATGAATTACATCGAACCGACATCGAGTCCTACCTCGTGGCCATATCCGGGACCTTTGCCCAATGCATGAACTTCTCGGATAATTTATTGCCCATTCAGAATTCAACCGACAATTTCGATGATTTTCTTGACCATATAATTGGCAAGGTCTATGAACCACACATGGATCTCTATCTCGCGGAAGAGCTGGATCACTTCCGAAAAATATCTGAGACCGCAGTGAAGGACTGGGATAGACAGTTGTCGGAACAAGCAGCCTCGACCGAATCATTTCTTATGTCGAATATCAATCGGCAGGCAGATAAACGAGACTTCCTAACTTCTTTCAAGAAAGTGATCATGGCGCCTGTAAACATTCTCCCCAGCTTCTCAAGCACCAAAGCAAATGACACAAAGTCAGACGAGAGTTCAGCCGTCGGGGAGTCACCTTCTGGGCTCAAGAGTGCGAACCGATTTTCAACAATCGCCTCGCCTTCCACACCCCCTACCGCAGAGGCTCCGACTACCGAGCTTGCAGCAAAAGCAGCAATCATGAAGTCAAAACTAGAGGGAATTAGCTCTCTCTTCAGCATCGAAGTTGCGCTCAGCCTCGTCCATACAGCTAAATCGGGCCTGGAACGAGCTGCCCAATTTGTTACACTAGGAGGCGAGACGGGGGCCGCTGTGAAGCAGCAATGCGAGGCCATTTTCGTTGCTCTAGTCCGGATATTGGGCCATCAGCACCTCATTGTCGGATTCAATAAGGCGGTGGATCACCTTTCAAACTATCGCCCTCGCGAGCAGGGAGATCGTGATCAGTCAGGAGTGGAGCCCTTGGTGACCTTCCTAGAGTTGGTGAACGTTGGTGATCTCATTCTTCAGATGATTGATGTCTTCTATGAACAGGAGCTGATTGGCTCTAAACTGACCGACCGCAATGATTTCCTCGACCCTGCGGTGAAAGAGAAGAAGAAGTTTGAGCAGATCCTTGACGAGCGCGTCGCTGCCGGTTTGAATAAAGGAATTGACGTTCTCATGGAAGAAGTCGACTACATTCTTGCCACTAGGCAACTGGCTACGGACTTCAACCCCAGTGTGTCTACCGACCCTCACCGCAAGACCATGGACGTGAGCATCACGGAGGCGGCGGCGGCGGTAGTTGACGTGGTATCGTCGCATACACGAATGCTGGTGGGGAGTACCGACAAAAGCACGCTGGACGTCTTCAACCAAGAAGTCGGGCTGCGGCTTTTTACCGCCCTCTGCAAACACTTGAAGCGCCAAAGGATCAGCGTGGAGGGGTCATTGAAGCTGATCAGGTAAGTATCCACGACACACAGTCGGTTGAGGACGCTGCTGACCGATTCCAGCGATATGAACCACTACTTCAAGTTCGTTCAGACGCTCAAGAACAGCGAACTCTTACTATACTTCAAGGCCTTTCGAGAGCTGTCTCAAATCTATCTGATCGACCCGTCCGATGCCAAAGAGCTGGCCACCATTATAGCTGACTCGGGTCGCTTCAATGGCATCTGGCGGGTCGAGGAAGTGTACGAATTCGCCGAGCGCCGAGCGGATTGGTATCAAGTGAAACGAGATGTGGAACGTGCCATGTATGGCATCGGGTGCAATGTTATGTAACGAGAGCAAACTTACAAGTACACTCAACAGCAATACCCCATATATAGAGGTATACTTGTATATAGAAGAAGAATACCCCTGCTGATGATGAACGAGTCTTAATGTTTCGGTGTAAGGGCCATAGAGTTGGGTTTGAAGATCATTATGTCTAGATAATGAAACACTGCTTCCCCATTGCGTTGTTTATACGCAGTAGAGAAGCAACAGAACCTTCCAGACAAGACAAGCAATGTATTTACTGTTGCTTCTTATTAGTCCTTGAGCAGCCGGATCTTGAAACGTCTTTGCGCTTCATCGCTCCAGGAGATTGCGTTGACCAGCTGTGGCTGTCGGCATTGCTGAGCGGCTCTTTCATGTCTCGAATACTTCGAGAGCCAACCAGACAGTGTCATCCATTTCCTTGCTCAATGCTAACACAATCAGCTTGTAATGTGTGGATTCCTGGAGCAAGACGGAGGCAAGCGTCTCCATCTCCCAGGATTCTCGGTCGTCCAAATAGTCCTTAAAGACCTCGAACACACACCCATGGCCCTTTTGATGCCGCCGTGATTGAAGCCTGCATTGCAGATGCTGCGGTTCGAAAGTGCCTAGGTAACTGACATCCCATAGTCCAGGTCCACATTGATCCTGAGTAGTGGATACGGCGATACGTCGATGGACAAACAGCACAGGGAGGTCAATTCTTTGGGGCCAAAGATGAGGCGATGAGAAGCTCGAGCAGGTTTATTCATCTCCACTTGGCCAGGTACTTGATGAATATCACTCACTTTCATGTCGTCAGCTATCACGAAGCTCGGCCCAACATACCTCAGATGGATATTGCTCCCTTTCTAATTCCGATTTCCAAAAGTTATTCAATCCCTGAGCATACCATGACCATCAATGTCCCCAGCACCCTTGATCTCCATCAGCCTTGCCGTCGATCCTCGCTTTCCTCCCCACTGTGACCAGCGAGCGCAGTCTACGTCCATCGCCGTCCTCACCGTCTCCCTCGCGACCGCACCGATCACCAGTTCCACCTGGCCCACTATCTTCAACTTGGCGCTTGCTCAACGGCGTGATGATCTCAAGTGCTTTGATATAACTTCCGATGCTTCCCTATGCGTCAATCTGACCAAAGGTCCCAAGCGACCGGGATTCAGCCGTGAACGGGGCGGTCATGACAATCGCTTTTTTTTGCACCTTGCTGCCTGAGACGCTCATCGTCTTTGTTGATTCTCTTAAACGAGTCCTTCCAGACTATGAGAAGACTCCGGTCCTTCAATCAGGACATCAATATCGTTATGCAGTGCGCGAAGGCGAGGCTGTGACCTGATGGAGATGGGGAAGTAGAGAAAAGGTTATGGCGCTGTCGGGTCGACCGGAGGTCTCGGGAGAGCCAAATGGTGGCCCGATCGATCTGCAGTCCATTGTGGTGGAACATGAGGTAGAATCATAAACCTTCTTCAGATCGAGAGTTGAAGATAGAGTGAACCATACAAACGGAGCGATTACGTCAATCGGCGGCTGCTGGAACGATGTCGTCGACCATTTCCCTCCTATCATTCACTCATTCATTCCTTTCTCCATTCATGCCATTATCCTCTGCCTTTCTGGCCAGCGGCTAATGGGCCACAATCGAAGCCCTTTGTCGCTTTTGTTTGTTGCAGCTGCAGCTGCAGTTGCAGATCTATATTTAACCTTTGTCTTTGGTCCGGGTCCTGGGTTCTTTCGATAAGGGCGTTTGATCCTCTGTTTCTCTTGACGATGCTCTTTTCCTTCGCATATGATCGTCACATTTCACACTAAACAAGCACTTCAAGCCATCCTGGACACAGAAAATGCCCATCAATGACCACGAACCTACTCAGCATGGCTCCTTCTCCCTCACCCAAATTCCATATCTCTCTCGTTCTCCTCGTCCTATACCTGCTCCTCATTCTCGCACATGCCGAGCAGATCGTCCAAACAACCGTCGTCATAGTCACCGTCGGTGCAACCGCTACTCCAACCGTTCCACAACCCCCGTCTTATACCTCCGCGGATGTCTTCAAAGATGACGTCCTCTCCGCCAGCAACAGCTACCGCCGCGCCCACAATGCAACGGATCTCCTCTGGAACGAAACGCTAACAGACTACGCCCACGCCTGGGCCCAGAAATGTAAATGGAAACATTCGGTGAGTTGCCCGTCACTGATCCATGTCACCCCTCTTCCTCTCCTTCCTATCCTCTGCACCCCCAAGCACGCAAAAAATAGAAAAGTACTGCCAAGACAATATCTAATGTGATATGTGCATAGCACGGACCGTATGGCGAGAACCTCGCCTTCGGGTATCCCAACGCATCGGCAGCCATCGCCGCCTGGGGCGACGAAGTCCGCCACTACGATTTCCACAAACCAACCGGGTTCACGGAGGAGACGGGCCATTTCACCCAGCTGGTCTGGAAGGCCACGAGGCAGGTGGGATGCGCGGCGGTCGATTGCGGATATACGGGGGACGACGATGACGCGAAGGATGCCTCTGGACGGTATCGCTACGCGCAGGGCTGGTACGTCGTCTGCGAGTATCTGCCGCCGGGGAATGTGATGGGCGGGACGGAGGCCATGGGTGGCGAGAATGGTCTGTTCATGGTCAATGTGCAGCCGTCTAGTACGTATTCGGGGCCGTCGACGACGACCTCGATGGATGATCCGGCTACGAGTACAGCTGCGACTAGTGGTGCAAGCAGGGTTTTGGTGTTGGAGGGCCGCAGCTGGACTGGGCGCCTGGCGATACTGGGTATGATATTGTTCTGGTTCATATTAGCTTGACGGTTCCAAAAAATTGCATCGGGGTAGTACAGCCGGGTGTATCAATCCTCATGGTTATAGAGGACGTGCTAGAATCGATATGCTCTACTGGTTTGTCACCGACCGGAAACCATAGGCTGGAAAAGAAAAAATTGAAGCTAGAATTCACACGCGTAACTGACACGGTACATCATCTGCCGTTGTACATATGCCGGCCTGTCATTGTCATCTCTCATGCTACCAACATCACGCACATAAAATTCCCGGCGGGGAGATATGCAATACAGATCTATTCACTTTTTTTGGGGGGAAGGAGACATAGTCAAGTTTCAGACGCTCTAGGCGCCGAAACCAAGCCAAAGAGACCGAGCTCAAGACAAATGGGAACGAGGGGGTCAGAATATCAAGGGAAAGAGAAGCAAAAACTGCCCCGGAAAAAAGAAGAACGAGGATATCGACAGACAAGATGAAGAAAGAGGAAATAGAAAATAGAGAGTAGCATTAAATACGGAAAGGAAAACCCAATCAACCAATGACTTCCTCGTTTTCCTCGATGATCTCCTCCACCATCTCCTCGACAACGGTCTCGCCCTGTTCTTCCGTAGCAGGGGGAGCGTCCTTGGCCAACTTGGGGTCGTCGGCCTCCTCGGGAACGCCGAAGACGTCCTTGTCCTCAGACAGGAGCTCCTTCTCCCGGCGAATCCAGGCAACCCACTCGTTGAGGACACGCTTGCGCTTCTCGACAACGGCAGTGTTGGCAATGTCGACGGCGTACTTGTCCTCCTCGTCGAACTCCTTCGAGTATTCGCGGAGGTTCTTGCGCACTTGCTTCTGCTCCTCCTTGCTGAGGAGGGTCTTGGGGCGAGGGCGCCAGAGGAACTGCTTGAACTTGTCGGTGGGGTTCTCGGAAAGGGTCTGACCGGAGAAGCTGTGAATGTTCCAGCCGTTTTCCATCTGAAAGAAGTTTGGGATTAGCCAAAAGGATCCAAATCTGTTAGGCTGCGATGAATAGGAAAGAAATAACTTACGGAATGAGTCCAGACACTAGCACTGCTAACGACGTAACGACCCGTAGGATCCCAATCGATATCTGTGACACCGTAGTGCTCAACGGTCTTCATCAACTGGAGGTTGGCGGCCAGATCCTTCTCGGCCTCGGACTTCTCGCCCTCAAAGTCCATGTCCCAGAAATCGAGGTCGAAGTTGGTTTGCGAGTGGACGGTGGCGACGACGACGAAACGGCCCTTGGGAGACCAGTAGATGGCGTTGCTGGTCTTTTTCTCTATAGTCCGCACCAGCTTGAAGTTGCCGGCAGAGACACCCTTGCGTTCGGGAGCAAAGAAAGAAACGGCAGTCTTGGGAAGAGCGCCGGAGCCACTGGGCGCTTCACCGGTGGTGATGAGGACGAAGCGGCCACCGTTGGGCTCCCAAGCAAAGTTGATCACGGTGTCCTTCAGACTGTCCACAACCTCGACCGGAACACCCTTCTCGCGCACTCGGAAAATTTCCAGGTTGGTAGCCATAGACTTCTTAGATTTGGAGTGACGGTCGACCTTGACACAGACATAAGTACCCTGGGACTGCCAGTGCAGCTTCACGTCCGACACGTTGAACAGGTTACGGGTCCGGATGATTTCCTTAGACGGCACACTCATCATGGCAACGCGAGCAGGGCTGCTACCAATTTCGGGCGTCCAGAAGCAGAGCAACTGCTCGTATTGCTTGACACCTTCCCGGTTGACCGTAGCGGGCGACCATTCGAAATCCGAAACTCCGTCAATCCGGACCGAGGTCTTACCCAGCAAGTTCATCCGCGGCAGCTCGTAGATCGAGATAGACTGGCCCTGGAGCATACGCGCGACGTACTTCTCATCAGCGGACCACTTGAAAGCGGGCCACTGCACCTTCTTCTTGGGCTCGCCGTCGCCGGCAGGACCCGCGGTCAGGTCGTGGGAAACGAACGATCGCAGGGGCTTTCCTGATACGATGTCCCAGACGATGATGTTCTTGCCGTCCTCCTCGTAGCTCAGGACGCCGGAGCCACCTTCCTCCACCTGAATCGGGCGGGCGGACCAGGTGGTCAAATAGCTCTCGCCCGGCGAGAATTCCACCAGCTGCACGAACGGATGAGGGAACTGCTTCTGTTTCGAAAAAGCGGGACCACCCCACAGCTGCACACCCTGAGGGTGAACAGATGCCAAGTAGGTACCCTTGGGAGACCACTGGACGAAAAGTTGCGTCCAGTGGGCACGATCGACGACATTCTCAGGCTGGTTGCTCTTGTTGTTCCAGAAAACACCGACCTTATCGTTGCGGTAGAGGGCGAACTGGTCACGGGCGTTGGGGTCGCCGAGCCACGACCGCAGGTGCTCCTTCTCCTTGAACGGCTCGATGGTAGGAGGCTTGTATTCTTCCTCGACGCGTCCTTCCCGGCCAAAGCGCTCGATATCCATCAACTTGTTCACGGCGAGGGTGTGCTTCTTATCGAGGGGCGTTCCGTGTAGGTGCTTAACGGCGGCGATGGCTTGTTCGGGGGTCTCGTACTCAACGAAGGCGAAGCTGGTCGCAAAGCATTAATGATCCCAGTCCTCTCGCGGCGGAAATGCCGAATACGTACCCTTCGGACATCTTCTTGTCGCTCAAAGGCATGAAAACTGCATCTTCGGAGGTGTGGCCGACCGTGTTGAGTTTCCTCAACAAGAATTTGATGAGCTTCTGTCGGCTCTCCTCCGGCACAACGGGGAGTCCGTCGATCACGACGAACGTATCCAGACCCTCCTCGATCTTCACTTCATATTGTTCCTTGAGATCTAAACATCGGAGGCGATCGAGGTCAGCGACAAGTTGGGCGGGGCAGCGACGGAGAGAATTCTTTCGCACTCACCGGAGAAATCAATCTCCTCCTCCTCCTCTTCGTGGAGGTCCTGTTCGGTCAAAGTGTCGAAACTGGGCGCCATAATGCACAGGGGGCACGGAGGCGATGTATTGGGAGGGAGGAGAGGGGAGGGAGAGGGGGGGGTGGAGGGGAGAGGAAACGAGTGGAGGGCAGGGAATCGCAAGATGGGGATTCTCGAGAAGGGAAGATGCGGACTGATTTTCTGCTGGTCGCCCCCGGTTTGGCTTGTTTTTAGGGCAAAAAGAACAAATCCACAGCACAACCGCTTCTGTGTGCGATGTCGCTGACTCAGCCCTGACTCAGCGGAGAAACAGGCGTTGCAGCCTCAGGCAGACACATCGTCCGGTGACCGGTGACTAAGCATCCGCGCTCTCTTTCTCTCTCTCTTCTTCAACTTGGAGTCTTTGGAGATCATAACAATCGCAATCCCCACGCATCTCTCCGGCCGGATTTGATACTCTGCGGGTGACTGTTGCTGGTCGTTGTGGGCCGGCTGTCTTACTCTTCTCCTTTGTTTCTTTCTCTCTCACCCTTCTCTTCTCCTTCCCTCTCCTCCTTCCCTCCTCTCCCCTCATCGTTACTCTTATGCCCCGCCGGTCCTAAGCGCCAGCGCTACGCCCAGACAGATCTGGACGATCTTCCTTAACCATCCATCGCCGCCGTGACCGGACTCTCGCTCTCCAAGACCTCTGCGACCCGTCGTTTTTGCAATTGACACCGTCACAATTGTTTCCCCCCTGGTCCTGCCCCTGCCAAATCGACAAGAAGACTGATACGGCTTGCAAGATGTCGCGTAAGTTCCGGCCGGACCTAAAAGTGGCCGGGCTGCGTCCAGCCCGCCGACGTCGCTCCCTACTGACATCATTGCGTTCGCGCCAGTCTCCCCAGATGCCCGTGACCAGTATGTACCGATCATTGACTCCATATTGGGGCAAAGTGATCTCAACACCATATCCGAAAAGCGCATCCGCAAAGGACTGCAGGAAGTGGTCGGCTATGATCTTACTCCGCAGAAGGTCTGCTCGCCGCTGCCCGTCCTGTCGCAACTCCCGTGTTCCCGGTCCCACACGTTGCCGACGGTTATGACATACAAGGCTAACATGGATTTTTCTTTCGCTGCTCTAGGCTGCGATCAAGCAGCTGATCATGGAGAGGTTCGACCTCTTCGCCGAGCAGGGTGGTATAGGAGCTTCGCCGGAGACCAGCGCCCCAGCGACCAATGGCCACGGCAAGGATCACGACTCCGTAACACCCGTCGAACCTTCGTCTCCCGCGCAATCTTCGTTGTCGCAGAAACGCCATGCGGATAGTGAGGAGCGCTCCGACCAATCGAGCAAGTCGCCGCCGGCCAAGAAGAAGAAGAAGCAGGACAACGACGTTGACGCGGATGCTCTCTTTGCCGCCAAGCTCCAGGCCGAGGAAAACATGCGTGCACGCCCTACCCGTGGCTCTAATACGCGTAGAGCCGCGCCGGTGAAAAAGAAGACCAAGACCAAAACGTCTAAAAAGGTCAAAGCAGAGGACGATTCGGATCTTGAGTCGGGATCGGACACAGGCAAGAAAGTTAACCGGTCTGGCGGATTCCATGTAGGGCTATCATCTCTTGCATTGACTAAAGGTAAGGTGTCATGACGCTGATCTATATCCAGAAACCTCTAACGCTATCGCCCGCACTTTCCGCTCTACTGGGTGGCGAAGAAACGGTATGTTCCCATCGCCTGACAGACTGGGCACCTTCACTTTCTGACATCGTCTCAGCTTTCTCGCCCGCAAACCGTGAAGAAACTGTGGCAGTATATTCACGAACATGACCTCCAGGATCCGAGCGACCGGCGGCAAATCCGATGCGACGACCCCATGCGCGCGGTCTTCAAACAAGACCGCATACACATGTTCACGATGACCAAAATTCTCAGCCAAAATCTGTACAGTCAGGACGAATAGCGCCAATCGCCATATTAGGGAGGGCTGCCACGATACCCAGCCTCGGCGAACAGGCGATTCCTGCCCTAGAAATGGGGTATGTGCTTACAATTAACGACTTTTTGATATCTTCTTTCAGCACCGCATTCGATAACCCGGCGCCTTTCTGATTCGTTTTATATTTCAGCAAGATCACACCTTGCACCTGTTACTTTTGATTTGTCTTCTCTGCTATGTTTCCATGTCTCACTTACCATCCCTTTCCTTGTGATCTGCTTTTCCTTTGTTTATCCATATCTTCTGATCTCCAGCGGGAGTTGGTGTTGCCTTCCAGACCGGGGCGATGAACGTTGTCTAGAAAATTCCGTCCAGGGGGATTGGCTCTTTGGCATTGCATAATACTATCTTCATGGTAAATGACTCAGGTTGCTGGCTCTTGTAATCTTTATCCTATCTTGTTGTTCTATCATTTACGCTATCTTCCGATCGTAGGGTAACGAGGACGGTCCTCTCTGCAGGGAATGAATTAACCAGTCTGACTAGTCAAGGGCCGTCATCGTGAGTCAACCTTGGAGTAGTTATAACTTGGGAATGATTCGGGTGACTTGCGACCTGCTCACTAAGCACAGGCTAAACCCAACTTTCTGCCCGCCTTTTGTCCTCCGCTGCCAATTCCTCCGTCGATTCAATTCCAGTCTCGTCTTGGTCGCAAAGATCACAGAGAGCGTCCGGCTCTTCTTCCCTTCTCCGAAAGGCCTCTGTATCGGCGTCCGTTCGTTTCCCCCGTCTCATATTCCCGCAATTCCTTGCCAATTGCTCCGATCTACCCTCCGTCTCCACCACAAAGTCGCCCCCCGCCCAAAATGTCTGACGCCCAGCATTCGCAAGCCCCCGGGCCCCAAGGTCCTAATCGCGGCGGTCGTCGCCGGGGTAGAGGAGGATCTCGACAAACCGGAAATTCCGATAATTCACAAAACTCCACCGATGGCTCCGGTCGAGGAGGTAGATCTAGGGGCCAAGGACCCCGCCGAGGGGGAGGAGGCCGCGACAAGCAAAACCGGAACGCCGGCAAAGCTGACGCTCTGCAAGAAGGCGAGTCACCTGCGCCCGCGGCAACGAGCACAGCAAAGGGCAAGCAAGCGGTCGAGGATGCGGCCGAGGATGCGGATGACGGCGAGGTCTGCTTCATCTGTGCGTCGGCCGTTGAGCACACCTCGGTGTCGCCGTGCAACCACCGGACCTGCCACATCTGCGCCCTGAGGCTGCGAGCGCTCTACAAGAACAAAGCCTGCGCACATTGTCGGGTACAAGATTAAACCCATTCCCCCATAGCGTGCCTAAGCAATATTCGAGCACAGAGGCTAACGTTGGCTTGCAACAGACGGAATCCAATTATGTGATCTTCACCGATGATCCCGCAAAACGTTTTGAGGACTTTACCGACAAAGACTTCTCCCGGAAAGATGATAATTTGGGCATTGAGTATGAAAATGATGAGATCTTTGAGGATACCGTCCTTTTGCTGCGATACAATTGCCCCGATACCGGCTGCGATGTGGCATGCTTAGGCTGGCCCGACCTGCATCGTCACGTCAAAAGCAAGCATAGCAAAGTGATGTGGTATGTAAAGCCGTACCTCGACTCATTTATGAACTTGGCGGAGTACTCATCGTTGGCGTGTAATTTAGCGACCTTTGCACACGCAACAAGAAGGTGTTCACCCACGAACATGAGCTTTTCACGATGGCCGAGCTGCGCAAGCATGAAAAACACGGAGACGATGTACCGGGCGCCGTGGACCAGAGTGGCTTCAAAGGACACCCCGAGTGTGGTTTCTGTCGCCAGCGGTTCTACGGAGATGACGAACTCTATGCTCATTGCCGTGATCGCCACGAACGATGCCACATCTGCGACCGACAGTCTAGTACTCGCCAGCAACAGTATTACATCGACTACAATGCGCTTGAAGATCATTTCCAGAAGGACCATTTCCTGTGCTTGGACAAAGAGTGTTTGGAGAAAAAGTTCGTCGTGTTCGAGTCCCAAATGGACCTCAAAGCCCACCAGCTAGAGTGTCACCCCAACGGACTCTCAAAGGATGCCAGGCGTGATGCACGGACCGTGGATCTTTCGGCATTCGACTACAGATCGCCCTACCAGCCCCAAAGACAACGCCGTGGTGCCGGTCGAGGACGTGACCCCAATTCCGAGGCGCTGCCCGTGTCCACAGCGCAGCCACTGCGAAGAGACGAGATGGCTTACCAGCGACAGATGGCTATTCAGAGTGCACAGTCTGTATCAACCCGCAGCTTCGGGGGTCAGCTCTCGCGCAATGATACTCAAACCGTTCACGCGCCGGCTCGCTCGGCTGGTGCCACTCCCGTCTCAACGCCTCCGGCTGCGTCTACCCCCGTGACGGAAATGGAGCACCTCAACCTGACGAGCGACTCGGCATCTGCCAGCCCGCAGGAGCAGGCCCGGCGCATGCGCCACGCCGCCGTCATTGAACGAGCTTCGAATCTCCTGGCGAATGACCAGACCCGACTCAAGGAATTCCGCGCCCGAGTCTCAAGCTACCGCGCCTCTACCATCTCTCCCACCGAACTCATCGATGCCTTCTTCTCGCTCTTCGATACCTCCCCTAGCGAACTAGGAAAATTGATCAAGGAGCTCGCCGAAATTTACGAAGACAGCGGCAAACGGAATTCTCTCCTCAAGGCGTGGAACGACTGGCGCGCCATCAACGAGGATTACCCAGCCCTCCCTGGACCCGGCGGCGTCCTTCCAGGCATGTCGCCCGGCACCGTCAACGGTAGCGGCGTCGGTGGCAAGCGCGTGCTCCGCCTGAAATCGTCAACCGCTCAGTCCTCTCGCTCGGCCGTTGGCCGCAGCGGTGCCTTGCCCTCCTCCGCTTCCTCTGCCAACCCTTTCCCCCCTCTGTCCTCCTCCACCGCTCGCTCGGCGCCTCGTACCGCTCCTTCGTCCTCCGCCACTACCACCTGGGGCACCTCGGCCGCCCTGACGCCGTCCTCCAGCCGTGGCTCGTCTCGACCGGCCCCGGCCCCATCCTCGGCATCTGCGCGTCCTGCAAACCCCAAGAGCGCCGAAGCCTTCCCGGCTCTCCCGGCCGCCGCGAAACCCAACGTGCTCATGGCAGGTCTCACGCGCGGAACGGTGCGCTGGGATAACCGCAGCCCTGCTCCGGTGAATGCCTGGTCTTCAGCCTCGGGCGGCGATTCCGGTACCGACGGCGCCGACTTTGATATCGAGTCCTCTGCTGGCGGGGGCAAGAAAGGAAAAGGGAAGAAGGGCAAACAGACGCTCTTCCATTTCGGTTGATGGTGTATCTAATTCTGTCTTGTTGAACGAAAAGTTGCACATTTGTGTTTGATTTGGTTTTTCGTACTTGAGCGCTTAGAATAGATACACTTATTGATTGTTGAAGAAGAGGAAGTTGTTTGACAGAGCAGAATGATATTATTAAGGATGTATTGGGTTCGCGAGATGCTACCTAGAGTAGAGTCAAGTATTAGACTGCAACTGTTAATAAGACTATAGTATTAAGGAAACCATTGAAACAACCATTCCGATATCATGAACCCGACCCCTTGTTGTCATCTACGAAAAGACATCGGACAAAACCCCAACACCGAAGACTTGTCCGTCTGATGACGAAGTCCCAAAGGTCAGCATTTCGTCCGTCGATTCATCGTTGAATACCTGGACCGAGTTGGATGGGAGCCCATCGTCGGAATATTCGAAGGGGCTTCCCAACATAATCGACTGGCTTGAGTCAATGACTCCCATTCTAGATTCTTCATCATCATCATAGTAGCCAGGTGGACTGCTATCAGGATGATTATCGTCAATATCATCGTCGTCCTCTTCTTCATCGAAACTACTGCTCTCCTCCATCAGAAGATCGTGCTCTTCATCGACAGCAGCCATACGTAATGCAAACTCATCCTGTAATTTTTTGAGCCATTTCTTCAGCGTGTCGCCTTTTAGATTTCCATTCCGGGCTTGAAGAAGTTGTTCTCGGAGGGACAGCAACAGATTACGCTTTCGAGCCACGGCCAATGTCCTCGATCGTCCGTGTTGACGGTCGGATATCTCGTTCAGCTGTTCAGACACCCTCTGGGCAGTCTGATGCACAACTGGCGATAGGTCGACCAGTTTGGCGAGGGCCAGACCGTAGAATTGGCTCGTGTTGGGACCTTCAGCGATCTTGTAAAGCATCCTCATTTTCGACGCATCGGGCGATATCTCTGCAGCGAGATGGAGACTGATGACGCCGCTCCGTTCGGCTAGAATGGTCGCTAGGTCTTGGAAATGGGTCGCAAACCACACAAGCGCGTTACTTTGTATTAAGGCTTCGGAAATGGCAATGGCAATGCACAGGCCGTCGGTGGTACTGGTGCCACGGCCGAGCTCGTCGACGATGACCATGCTACGAGGGGAGAGATTTCGAAGGATGAACGACATCTCACGCATCTCCGCTGCAAAGGTTGACACGTTTGCCTCTAGGTCATCAGACGTGGAGACACGGGCAAAGAGCTCATGCACAATGCGAAATGAAGCGTACTCCGCTGGAATGAAGCACCCAACTTGTGACATGACGGTCATCAGCGCTAAAGTACGAATGTAAGTAGACTTTCCACTCATATTGCATCCAGTAATAATCTGGAAACGAGATTGTTGTGTTGCGTAGGCATCATTAGGGATGAATTTCTTTGCGTGGATCTTTTCACGAATCGGGTGACGCCCATCTTTGATAGCCAGTGTGTCGGTCAGTTCTGGGCGGATGTAGTCATTGCACGAAGCAAGCTGCGCAAATGCGGCTAGCATGTCGAGCATGGCAATTGCCTCGCTTGCACGAAATAGTTTGGAGATTCCGGCGCAAACGTCTTTGATTAGGTCCTGGATGGTCTCGTCGCTCATATTGACCACTTCATTGTGCGCATCTATGATCTTGTGGTTAAGCTTGATAAGGCCAAGAGTCTGACACTCAACGCGGCCCTTTTTGCGGTACACATTGATGAATGTATCTGGCAGTGAATCCAGATCTGTCGCCTGAAAGCTCATATAGTATTGACGAGCTTTGTCGAATTTTAGATCAAGATCAACGCAATAAGTCTCTGCGAGATGTTAGTGTTGAATGGGACCACAGGATAGAGCTCTCATACCTGAAAGTTGTGCTACTAGCTCTGCAGCATCTATGCTCGCCTCCTTGTATGTTTGTCTCGCAACGTCGAGCAGAGTGTTCACGCCGGCCTGACACGCAGAGACTTAGGCCTCTTGCAGAGAGACAAAGAACAAGCCAGCAAAACAGGGTTTGAGCGCTATCACACCTTGATACAATAGATACGCTGATTCCTCAGGTCCAATGGCTTGGTCTGGTACGTTATATGATCATTAATCGTATCTTCAATCATTTCTTCAATATCCTGATATTCCACTGGGGCGCACAACTACGACGAATCAGTTTATCGGTCTTTAAGTATCGATGTATTGGAGCAATGCCTCTCTGATTGTCAGTAATAGGTCGCTTTGCGCCGGGCCAAGTGCCTTATACACTGGCTTGATTGAAGAAACGTATGTTTTCAACATGATGACGTTATTCACACACTGCTGGAGGTATTCAAACGTTTGTTTGGTAGGAACAAGAATGAGCTTGATTGTTAGTAACTGCTGCTCACACCTGCTAGAACTACCAAATGACTTACCGACGTGAGGACTTTGTCCGCATCGACAAATCCCTTCAGGGCTACAAGCGCATATTTTTAGTCCAGTACTAGGGGAAGCAGAATTGTTCACAAACCTTGCCTTATACACGCGAACATCTCCTCCTTAGTGGACAAATCCTCCACGGCGTCATATCTTGCCAATAGCTTCGACTCCTCCGTCGAAGGCTGCAGGACGTTGGCTCGTAGGATTCTTGCGCCCATAGGCGTGAGAGTCTCATTAAGGAGACCATATAAGCTCTCCCTCGACTTTCTCACATGAAGGTTTTGAATCAATTCCAAGGAGAAAATGGTGGGTAGGTCAATTGACATTGACCCTTGGGAAGGCTCGAATCGGATTCGAAGAGAGTGCGCCATGAAGGTTCTATTCAATTCGAACTCAACATACTGAACAACCTAAATTGTGTCAGCTTATTTGTTTACCGACGTGACCCAGGCACCGACCGCAGCAAAGCAACAGGCGGCAAAGTATTTTCCTCCGAAGGTGATCTTGATGGATTCAATATCTAGTGGAAAGCCCAGCCGGTCGGCGTAGTCAAGGCCCGTCTTATCTGACCAGGATTTGCGGTCTAGAAAAGTGAAGGTAGTATTGGTAATGTTCTCCTCGATGATATAAAACAGTTTGGATTCTTTGGCAGTATTCATAAGAAGGATCTCTGTAGGCTCAAACACTCCGATCTTTGTCACCGTCTTGACATAGGTCTGGCTATCGCATATCTGGCACAAAACTGCCTCTGCAGTCGACAGATTGACAAAGGCAAGACCAACTGTTGACGAAATGCCGCGAGATTCGCTGACTGCACAAATGATGTCCTGGGTTGCAACGCTTGTCGCCGTGGTTGTGGGCCTAGTAGTGGTCCTGTGGAGTCCACTGCTTCGTCTGGAGACTGTGAGGGGAACGAACGAATCGCTAGTAAACCCGGTTGACGATCTCGACCTAGGCATCGTAAAAGTAGAAGGGCCAAAGTATGCGTAACGGATGACAGTAGGGATTCAATCTGATCGGATTGATGAAAGAAGTGCCAAAGGAAAGAAAGGGAGAAGAGCAGAAGTATAACAGCGGATAGAGGAGTGCTCGTCCGAATGCGGATTAGCGCCGATCCACCTCCGCGATAACTTTTAATTTTTTTTGGAAGGAAAAAAGTGATTGTTTCCTCAGCATTTTCGATTCCATTGGCAAAAATGGCGACTCTCCTACCTCCCCCGACCAAGCGTCAGAAAACGGAAATCGCCGAGAAGGCTCGGCTGCAACAAGAAATTCAGAGCATTCCCGACAACCTGGGAAGCATTCGAGTACAGTTCTTCGATCAAGCAACAGGGTCGGCAACGGGCCCCGCGGTGTCAGTGCCTGTGGCCGATGCCAACGTCAAAAACCTCGAGACGCTCCTCAACACACTACAAGGAAATGTAGGTATGCAGTGGCTTCTAAACTGGGGTTTCAATTCATCCGTACTGACTGTACCTTCTCCGGCAGGAGGATGATGAACGAGTACCGTACCGCTTTAGCTACCAATCCGAAGACAAAGACAACCAGACAATCGATATCCTAGCAGATCTATACCACTCCCTCTTGCAGCCCGGCGTCAAAACCACCGAAGATACAGTCCACCTCTACTACACCCCACAAGCCGTTTTCCGGGTCAAGGCCGTCTCGCGCTGCTCGGCCTCGATCGCCGGCCATGGCGAAGCTATCCTCGCAACATCCTTCTCCCCGGCTTCTTCGTCGACTATGGTTACAGGCAGCGGCGACGCCACCGCGCGCGTTTGGGACTGCGACACCGGAACTCCCCTGCACACGCTGAAGGGACACACCAGCTGGGTTCTGGCGGTGGCCTACTCGCCCAACGGCGCCATCATCGCAACGGGCAGTATGGACAACAGCGTGCGACTTTGGGACGCCAAAAAGGGACAGGCACTGGGTGGACCGCTGAAAGGACACGCGAAATGGATCACCAGTCTGGCATGGGAACCGTACCACATGCAGGAGTCGGGTCGGCCGCGCCTGGCGTCAGCGTCCAAGGACTCCACCGTTCGCATCTGGGATGTGATCTCCAAGCGCATTGACACAGTGCTCACCGGCCACAAGGGCTCCGTTACCTGCGTGCGGTGGGGCGGTACAGGAAAGATTTACACCGCTTCGCATGACAGAACCATCAAGGTGTGGAATGCTCAGAACGGCACCCTCATGCAAACGCTATCTGCGCACGCCCACCGCGTAAACCATCTGGCTCTGTCGACCGATTTTGTGCTGCGGACTGCCTACCATGACCACACGGGCCAAGTGCCCGCCGCGGAGTCCGAAAAGGTGGCCACCGCTAAGAAGCGGTTTGAACAGGCGGCCACGATCAACAACAAGATCGTGGAAAAGCTGGTTTCGGCTAGTGATGACTTCACTATGTACTTGTGGGAACCGGAGAGCTCTAACAAACCGGTGGCGCGGCTGCTGGGCCATCAGAAGGAGGTCAACCATGTCACCTTTTCCCCGGACATGGCATATATCGCGTCGGCAGGGTTTGACAATCACGTCAAATTGTGGAACGCTCGCGATGGAAAGTAAGTGGATTCCCACGTGGTCTTATATCCGCTAGATCCGTGACTAATGCTGAAACGACAGATTCATTACCACTTTCCGAGGCCATGTCGGTGCCGTCTACCAGTGTTGCTTTTCGGCCGATTCGCGGCTCCTGGTTTCCTCGTCCAAAGATACTACGCTCAAGATCTGGAATTTGCGCACCGGAAAGCTCGCAATGGATCTTCCGGGGCACAAGGATGAAGTGTATGCGGTGGACTGGAGTCCGGACGGACAAAAGGTCGGCAGTGGTGGAAAGGACAAGGCCGTACGGATATGGAGAAATTAATGTAGATACGAAGCAATAGAGAAAAGAAAAATTGCGATACCCATGCGACAATTGACTTTGCAGAGTTCTGTTTAGAAAGTTTTTGAAACTAGAGCGTTCGGGCACTTTCGATGGAAGACAGCAGGATCGAGATACTTGGTGTCCGATATTCAATTAGGCTATCCGTTTATGATGTACTGTACATCCATCTTAGTCGCATTGCACACCCTTTCAACAAACACCTCCCTCCAATCCATCCATGGTCTAGGTGTACTGCCATGCGGCAGCTGTTTGATTACCGGTAACAGCCATAGCAGAGAATCCCAAGCAATCACCCACGTCCCCACTGGGAACCGTGGCGTTCTGGATGGCGGCAAAGACCTGCCATCTCTCGTCCTCGGTAGGGCAAGCCATGAAGCCGGAGGCACCCCAGCCGTTGAAAGTGTAGTGACCGAAGTTCTCGCCGGGCTCGTACTTGAACGGACCTTGAGCCGAGCCAGGAGGAATGTAGGCAGAGTGAGCCTGAGTGAAGCTCAGGGCACCGTCGGGGTTGACGTAGACTTGTTGGCCGCCGGGGACCATGACGTTCTGATTTTGGAAGGCTTGTTAGCGACGGATTTTATGGGCGAAGAGGGAGTGGCTGGTATGATGCACGTACAAGACTGCCGCCCCCGGGAGCGAAAACGGTCGAGGTGCCCGGAGGACACCCCTTGCCGTCGGGCAAGGGACAGTATGTCGAAGGCTGTCCTCCGAGGTAGAAGTGTTGCCCCGCAGCGTTCATGGGGAGGAGGTGAACAGGAGAAGCCGAACGGCTGGACATGACGCCAAAGGCAGGGTTGGCATCCTGAGTTGGGGCAGCCGCCGCCAGCAGAGGGAGTGCGAAAGAGAAAAGAGAGGATTTCATTTTGTTCAAGCGTATCAGAGATGGAGAGAAGTGAATTGCTTGACTGGGCAAAACCAGAAGAGAGGCAGCACCCGCCCAGAATTTATATTCTTGCAGCCCAGAGGTACCGTTGAATGGGACGGATAACCGGGTTACATTCCATGGCTGGCACCACCTCGTAAATAATTATAGAACGGTTGTGCATACTCCGACGACCGAGTTGTGAGCAGGATCTGGGTCACAACCTATCGGGGAGTAGCATCAGGAGGTTGGTGCATCGTATAGTCCACCACTAAACTGAAACCGCATCGTAGGTAGCGAAGCGAAGAATCGATAAGAGCGAGAACGACGTTCTCGTGCGGAGAATTATGACGCTGTATTTGTGGAGAAAGGGGAATGGCTGGAGGGGGAAATCGAGGCAGTAAATTGATCGGCAGCCGAGTGTCTCACTTTCCGAGACATTCGATAGGCAACTAGAAGCATCATCCAGTGAGAACAGGGGAGAGGGAGGGGGATAACATCACAAGGCGTGGCAGAGGCAAACCATCTTCACCTTTCTTACTGCCTCGGTCTCGACCAACGACCCACTCGGTGTAGACCTTGGAGGACCTGGCTTGATGCCAGATTGCTCTCCTAGTCATCCATGGTTCGATTCTCCAGAGAGGTTCCGTGGCGAGACGCAGCTCTCGGAGCGGTTTACAAGGGAAACACCAGAGGATCCAAGGTTGGTGCCGACGGGGTGGGATTTACTCCAAAGTCAAAATAAGGTAAGTCCGTCGGTGGATATCAATTCCTAGGTTGGCAAGCCACCCTGGATGGAAACCGGTCCGTCATTCCACGGATGCAAGATGCGGAGATGAATAGAATGGACGGTGGCTTGGATGTTTTTCTTTTGATTCTCTAACCAGCCTTCTCGGCACATGACCCGATAGCCAGCCTTCGGTCATGTTGGGAGTCCTCGGAATGAAGTACATGAGAATTATGAATAACAGGTCAAGAACGTGAAAAGATAGAAAAGGGTAACAGGAAAAAAAAAAAAAAAGAACAGACAGAAGCAACCAAAGAACACCCCGGACACCGGAATCCAATTATAACAATACAGTCCAGCCATCTGGAAGAAGCAAGAATTACCCATCCTTAAAACACCACCAGACCAAAGCCGATTTCCCACACCTGGATGCGTCAGAAGAAAAAGGAAGAGAGGAAGAAAACAAAAGCATAACACCTTGCAAGCCAGAAACCACCAGTCGGCGTTTAATCATAATCGTCCCCGTCGTCGTCGTCGTTGTTACGCCCCCGCGACCCCTTGACTCCGTCCTTGCGAATGGGAATCTTGATGCCTTGAAGGGCGAAGCATTTACTCAACGTCGTGCTCTCAATGACACCCGGGAATTTCTTGGCGGAGAAGACCTGGAAGGGCTCGGAGAAGACGGAGGCCAGGATTTTCGGAGACCCGTGGTTGATCACTGTCACTCCGTTGGCGGAGTCTGTGCCGACGTTGACGAAGCTCATTTTCAGGCTGTAACGTGAATCAGTACCAAGACTGCGAGCCCAGCCACGGCCCAAGAGAAATCACTCACCGAAAAACTCCCTCGGTCCTCACACTCAGATCCTGCAGAATGAACCACACTCCGATCTTGTTGTCGGGATCGGTCAGCCGGAAAGCGCTGGCACTCAAGCTCCCGATGAGGTTTCGCGTGAACATGCCTCCAGGTCCGGCGCTGACAGGTTGTGCGGAAGACATGTTGGAAGGCGGCATGTGACCGCCTCCCGAATAGTATGGTGGTTGGTAGTAGGGAGTTTGCGGGTTGCCACCGTAGTTCGCGTACGGCATTTGGGGGTTCCCTCCGTAGTAATTGCTCATGGCAGGGTATGGAACCTGACCGTAGGCGTTTGGTGGATACTGCGGGTAAGGGTTCTGGGGAGGTGGTGGGTAGGAGGAAGACATGGCCGTGGATATTGACGGAGAGGTGGCCGAATGCTTCACCAGATTCACCTCGCTAGTCCCGTCCGCATTCCAAAGGTCTACCATGAGGACGTAGAATGACGTGTCGAGTTCGCTGGCGGGTCAGATTAGCTCGAATGCTCTTCCAGCACGCCAGGAGGCACATACTTGATATCGATCTCCTTTTCGGTTTGCGCATCTCGTACGACGAGACGGATGCAAGGCGGGGGTGTGATAGGTCTCCGATCCTAAGTTGGAAAAGTTCGTGTCAGTAAGAAAGCTCGCCCAGTGCCGAGGATATGAGAGAACCGACCTTGTCGCCAAAGCCACACATGCGGGCGCGGACGGGCTGCTGTACCACCTGAAGGGACCAGGTGCGATTGTTCTCATCTATGCCCGAAAATGGCACTAGATGACTTGACGTTTGAATCGGCCCGGCGGAGCCTGGAGTTGGGTACGCCGACGCCGGGGGAGGGATTCGATCGATGGAGAGGGGTGGCGGCGGCGGCGGGTGCGCTCGTTCTTCGAGCGCATACATGACGCTTGATTGTGCAAGGATTTTCGCAAGAAGTGCGGATCAGAATCGGAGACGCAAAGCGAAGAAAATGAGTTGGTCTGTGTCGCGACCGGAGCGACGAAAGTTTTCTGTCCCGCGCGACCTGAGCAGGATCCGTCGAAGCAGTCGAAACGCCTTGAAAGCGCCAGATAAATGCGACGGTACGAGCGAGCCGAGTGATGCGTAAAACGAGAGAGGAGAGAGAGAGAGCCTGTTGCGGTGTGCAATCTCTTTTCAGCCAGAGAGCTGGGAAAGGACAAAAAGGTGGCGAAAGAGGGGAGCACGAGTCGCCGGCGAAACTGCCAACAGCTGGATCGGCCCGGATACAATTCACAGAACTGTCACAATGTGAGGGGAGATCACAACTCCAAACATACCGAATGAGCAGCAGCGAGATATGCGACAGCAACGAAAGTAGTAGCAGAGGAATAAATGACGATCGCCTCTGGGCGAGCCGTAACGAGAAGCTGTCAAACGGCGGGAGATTCGCTAGGTCTTCCACGGGTCACCTTCAGGACCAAAGGTTCGCTTAGAGCAGCCACGCTTTAAAATTTGATCGACGGTGTTCCTTTGAATTAAATCTCCAGTCGCACCAAGGACATGAAATAGGGGGAAAGAGTAGAAACGGGTGGAGAAGATGGAGAGTTGAGCGGTTGCCCCAAGATTGGAGAGATGGGAGGTGGAGGGGGGGAAAGTGAACAAGCGAGAGTTCGTCTTTTTTTTGGCCTCGGGGATAAGAAGAAGAGGAGGGGGGCGCTGGTCACGGGCGGGCAGAGCGAGAGAGTTCCAGACCGAAGACAAATCATGAGCTCATTCTTCTTGGACTTCGGGGTTTTCTACGTCGTCTTTTTTCTTCGTTCTTATCATTTTTCCTTCTTCCCTATACTCTTATCGTACGAAGAAGGAGTTTAATCAACTCCATTACTCCCCGGACGGTATCTACAATCTACCCTGACTTGACCATCAAATTAATTCCAATTGATTGATATCGAGGGAAGAATAAAGTGACCACGTAAGGGAGATGTGCAGCCTCACGGATCAGGAGAGGATCCGCCCGGCGCAGGAACTGGCTGAGTACGGCGAACCACTCCGTCGGGTTCGCTAGTCCCTCCATTTCCATACATCATCGACACGGCCTCCGTTTCCGGCCTCTGCCCTTCTGCCCGTCTCCCGTTTGCGGCCTTTTCTTCTTTTCTGTCAATCTCCCTTCTATTTACAATTCTACTGGCATTGATTAATGGATGGACTGAATAGTCACTACGGACTACTACTTCGCACTAGTCTTGACTTTTTATACCATTCATAATCATGTTATCAACCTGGTCAATGCAAATTAAATCAGTATGTGATACGTCGTTCGACTGACGATCGGCACTTCTTGGCAGTCACTTTGGACCCTGTCATCCTTTCATTATCTCTTGCTTTCCTCTCCCCTTTGATATTTCCATTCTCTTCTTCCTCCGTTCCCAAATACATGGGCGACCCGATTTCGAAAGCCCCTTGGTCCGTCGCCGGCCCCATATCTGCCGGATCCGTGGATATATCCTGCCTGGATTCCTGGCCTTCAGAACACGGATTCGACTGTCTTCGTCTCGTGCCGTTTGAAGCTTATTTTTTTTTTTCTTGTCCGGCGTCATCGCCAATCCCCCGCACGCGTCTATCTTGTCCGCCGCGGCACTTCGACGTGTGCAACGGCTGCGACGATTTGATCCATTGTACTCCGTACCCAACCCGCAGTTCATAGGCCGTAAGCGAATGAAACTTCAGAGTCCTCAGGTAGCGCATCGTTTGAAGCATGTCAGCGCCTCCACCACCGCCACCTCCCCACAATCCTCTATCAAAAGTTTCTCCCGTGGTCACGAAACTCAAGACTTACCCGTCGAAGCTTTACCACGTGCCGGATTCTTTCCATAATCCAACCCTCACCCCTACAGGTCCGTACTTTTGCTACGGTACCTTAACGGATCCCTCGACGCTGGCCGAAATTCTAGGTCATGATGTAGAACCCAATCTTCGGCCGGCGAAGATTGTGGGCTACGAATGTAAACTCTGGGGTCAATATCCGGCCCTGCTGACCTCTACCACGCACGCGACGGTCGAGGGCATGGTGTATCGTGTCCAGACGGAGGAAGATGGCCAAAAGCTGGCAGCCTACGAAACAAGGAGCTATCGGGCCGTTCCTTGCCGTATCCTGTATACCGATGGGAAAGAATCGGGCCAAGAGCATGGTTATACCTTCCAATTCGTGGGGAATTTCCACGATTTGACCGATGGCGAGTTTGACTTGAAAGTATGGCTACGGAGAATGAAGGGGAAGAGTCCCGGCTGAGAGTCCCCGACGCAATTGAGGCCACCGCATGGTATTCCTAGTATTTCTACTTCCCCGGTAGAGCATGAGACTATTTTCTGGTTTGCCCAAACATGCGCGACTTGGTGGTTGATCCTATATTTAACGGCCGTTCCAATTGTCTTGTTTCTCAGTATTATTGCTTTGATATGATGCACCGCGGGGAGATATTTCGTATACTCCGTACTCGGGGGAATATTCCGTCCGGTCGCTCGGTCTTGAATCTCCCCGAGACTTGGTCCGTCCATCGCCTCTGTGAGCGGGAGACTGTACGGGGTCTCCGTACTCCGTAGGTCTTATTATCTGTTATTCAGCGTTGCATCGCTCGTCTTGGCCTTTAGGGCCTCAATCCCTGTTCTTCTACTCCGAACTCCGAGTGTTCTGATCTGATCTATTCTTAGCCGACCGCCCGGTAGAACTCGATAATAATCCGGGTGAAATTCGGGTAATTTCAGATCGATCACCCTTGTACGGAGTACATACCTGTCACGATACTGGATCGATGTCACTTGGAGGGTCCGAAACACCTCAAGAACGATCCAACGCCGGGGTCCTGGCAAGGCAGTAAGGCAGACAGCAAATGCCTAACGACCGGGGTAACGAGGCGGGGCCCCGAGTCCTGGCATTATCTTGTAACTTGTAAGGCCTTATATCAGCGGTCACTCGAGGACAATTCTGTTGTGCCCGTTGTCTAGGTATCAGAATATCTCAGCCACAAGCCTTGGATAGTAGGAATCAAAATTAGGGTTCGCAAGAAGAACATCAAGGGCGATGTTTAACGTTTCCTCTGCGAGCTTCTGTAAGTCAAGCTGGTAACTAAGGGCAACACATCTAGAGAATCTGCACTAAAGACTATGATCGTTCCTTGAGCAGAAGCATTGTTAGTGATAGCTCTTCATTTCAACTGCAGAGGGAGAAAAAAAAAATATTGTTAAGAAGAACAAATAGAGACAGACAAAATAGAGCGAAGGGGGGAAATAGAAGGGAAACCCTTTTTCTCCCAGTGTGTGTGCGGCCGCTGGACGACAGGAAAGGAGAAAGAAATCCAAGGCATAATTCGCATGACTTCAGTTCAGGCCGCGAGATACAAGGCCATGATGCCACACAAACACCTCCATTCCTCGATCTCGCTTCAATTACTGTATTCATTGGTAGCTCAGTCTACGTAATAGGACTTTGAACCCCTCCTAGTGCTCCCACGAAATATCCGCAGCCCTACTTACGGTGTAAGCTAAGACGGTCCAGGAAGAACAACCATAACAAAAGCCGCATCAGAAAACCCACCGTGAATCCTTCCGGGGAGGGAAAAAGCACAGACGTCGTAGTCAGAAAGCTAGATCCAAAGCAAAAAAGACTAGAAAAAAAAAAGTCGACGAGGAGCATGGCGAACCCTTGCTCGGGTTCAAAGCCCTAATCCGGCCCGGTCCCGTTGAGATCGATCCATCGGACACGAACTAATTCCTTCGATTGCGTACAGTACGTGCTGTTTCCAGTAAAAGAGTGGCGTCCGGACGGGCGGTTTACGATTGAGTCTGGCGGTGGCTCAGACGAGCATTGCATTTGCCCGTTTTAGTATACTGGGAACGATGAGTTGTGACACAGTGAGACAGCGACAAACTTGCAATTACCTACAGAGGATAGGTAGATGTTGGAAACACTAGAGAGTATGTGACGTCGCAATTAGATTGACAGGAAAAGAGACTCATCAGTCATCACCGACAGGCGTCAATTGGCTAACTACCCGTGCCTGTCGCCCTGTCCAGGATGACATACCTACAGCGGGGGCGGAGAGAGACTGGCGTAGGGCGAGTTATGTGTGCTTCCGAAGATAAGATTCTCGGCCTACTCCTACCGGTTTCTTGCCTCTTTCTAGAATGTACAGTAGACACTAGAGCCTAGACAGTACTCAGTAGGGCTTTCTGGGTGTCCCCGACTCCGCTTGATCGACCGAATTAGAATCTTTTTAGGTAACCAGGTGGATTTCATTTAATCTATCTTGTTTGTTAACTGAACATCGCAGCGGGAGAGGGAAAACAATAATAATAAAAACGGAAAGGAAGGCCGTGGCATCCGCTTGGACAAGTAGGGAAATCCAAGCAAACCCACCCAAGACGAGGCGAGCCGAGCAATCAAACTGCGTGGCCCCCAAAGTCCGACTGCCTTTCCGGGAATGGCTCCACATCTGCCAGGGTAGGGGTCGTCTGCTCCCTTAATTGTGTTTGTACGTATACAGAGTAATCCATGATTATATACATACATCCGAGCTAATTACTACTCACTTCACGGTGTAAATTCCTTCAAGGGAAGGGCTAGGATGTCCACGGGCTTTCATCGACGAAGGATTTGTTGGCTGTTGGCACCGTACGGAGTACACCGTCCTCGCGTTCGAGCAGCGACTCTGCGTACTTAAACCCAGTTCGGTATTTGCGCAGGCGGCGCAGTGCACTAGCAGCCTAGTTGGTTTAATATGAGTACATATTAATTTAGTCAGGATTTCATCTTTAGTTAATCCGGAGGACTGGTCTCGAGACAAGACCTGATCTTTCCCAAAACGGCAAAAGCAGGGTTCGTCGTGGCCTAGACGCTTTACCGCCTTGGGGTTAGCGCCTGGGCCGGCTGTTTGCACCGTTTTGTTTGCCTTTTTGGTGTCACTGCTGTGTACTCACTACTCCGTGTACACCGTCCAGTGTCCACTGTACACCTCCGCCGCTGGTTCGCATCGATGACAGCAGGCGGTCTGAAACAGTCTACAGAGTACTCCAGATGATGGTCTGACCCGGTGGAACTCGTTCAAATCATCTCTCTTCAGGGGTGGACGGAAGACGACAATTCGCCCCCATGCCAATCTTCGTTTAAGCGCCGGGTGGAGAGCGTCATTCGACAGCTCGCAACAGTGATTAATGGGCATACATGCTACACCTGGTCTGGTGGCAGAAGAAGAACGATCTAAGATCAAGCAAGAAAAAGGAAAGACGATGGGACCACAAAAAAATTAAACAAAACGTGGACTATCCCGAGCGAACGACCCGCTGAGATACTAACGACGGAGTAGAGACTAGAGACTATCTACGATCAGCGACGGGCACAAGAAGTAAAATCGCCCACAGGCCTTCCGAGAAAGGAGTTTGTGTGCTTAGGAAAAAGTGGAAGGTGAACCCCCCCCGGTCGACACTGCATTTCCCCAATGCATGCTGGTGTTGTTGGACTGCGCCCGCCAGTCAGCACGATACTTTTTCATGTCCGACTGTCCGAGGCCCGTCTGCATTTACTGGTTTTGTCATGACGTTCAAGAGCAGATGGGATCCAGACCCACCACCGAGAGCAAAAAAAAAAAAAAAGAAAAGAAAAAAAAAGCACTGACCTGGGTCTGTCGGCTAGATGGAGGCTGACGGAGTTGCCCACTAGGGAATGTGTTTGATCGAATCATGGCCAGCAATGATGGTCGGAATCCGTTCAATAAATAAAGGGCCCATGGATCAAATCCCGCCATCGAGAAACACGAAAGATATACTTTAGTTGACAGGACCCTTACTCCTCTCCGTCTCGTTGGTATTTAGTTCTCCTACCAGCCTCACGTTGGACTTGGTGGTCAGTTATCAGAACGAACATTTCCGTCAGCATTCGACAAGAACCCCCCAAAATGCCGCTGAGACCAAATTACAAGGCCTCATCGCGAAGCGGGTGTCTGGAGTGCAGGGACCGGCGAATGAAGGTATGTATGAGGCTCGACGTACTCCGTAGACGTTTCATCATTTCACCGTTCCCTCGTCCCACCTACTGAGAACCCCCGGGCCTTGGGGGCCCTCATACCCTAGTCGGGCTGCACGAAGCTACTCCGGTAGTACGCAGCACCGACGGGGTTCATCGTGATTTCGTTCGATGTGATTTGCTTTGCTTTATTATTACAGAGAGGGGATCATACAGACATACCCCCTCCCGCTCTCCACGTGTCTCTCGCTTGCCTTCTTCTTTGCTAACGACCTCTTTCCAGTGCACCCGGGAGCAACCCAAATGCTCTGGCTGCACCCGCCACAACATCCTATGCCAGTACCTGTCATCCACAGCCTGGCAGTCCCCCACTCCTTCGCCTAGATCTTCCCCGTCGATCCTAGATTCGCCGCTATCCGCAGAGTACGGTGACTCCATGGCGTCCTTCAGTCCCCGCTCGCCTCCTGAGGATCTCCATACCCGCGAGTTGGAGCTCATGGTACAATGGTGCACAGAGACCTATCGCACCATCTCCCGCAATAGCGCCGTGGAATGGATCTGGCACGCCGTCGTTCCACGTGAGGCGATGCGCTACCCGGCCCTGATGCATGGCATCATGGCCGTGTCCGCGCTCCATCTATCCTTCACCAGTAGCGGCAGCACGAAAGACCTCTATCTACGAATGGCGCATGCCCATCATAGCCAGGCTGCCGTCGGCGTCACCTCCAAGGCCGCCAGCAGTCCTAATCTGGCCGACTGCAATGCGACGTTCGCACTGTCCACTGTCATGATCGTCTACTCCTTCGCATGCGCCCGTGTTACGGGACCGGCCAAGGGCATGCCCGTGCTGGATGAGCTCTGCCGGGTGTTTCGCTGCGCGCAAGAGTCGGCCGATGTGCTGCCAGCGCTGGTCGACCGGGTCAGCCAGGGGGAATTGCGTTCGCTACTGGCATTTGACAACTCCCAGCCCAAGATGCCCGACACCTCACGACTCGCCATCATGTCGCTGTCACGGCTGAATGCGAGCCTGGCCGCTCGGGACCCCAGCCACGAAACGGCCATGTACGACACGATTATCAACTATCTGGGCGACTCGTTGGACAAGTTGGCCCGAGGGGGCGAGATTATGGTTATTCTGTTCTACTGGATTTTCAACCTGCCGTCGCGATACCGGGACCTGCTCACGGAGCACCATCCGTTTGCACTGGTCATCCTGGCTCATTACGCCGTGGTCATCCATTCGCTGAGGGGCAGTTGGTGGATGGGCAATCTGGGGTCGCGACTTATCGAGCAGATCGGACAAAGTCTAGGGCCCGAATGGAGACCCGCCATCGACTGGGTCATTGACGCAACGGGCTGTTATATCCCTCCTGTATGAACATACCGATAATCGGTTGACAAATCCCAAGCTCGAAATGTCCGAGCCAGCACCTTGGAGGCCGACCAAATGCCGGTCGGTATATCACTTCAAATGTGCAAGGCCTTCACCGGGCAGTACAACACTGTGACCCGATCATGGTATCGTGGTCTTATCATCCGGTGAAGGGCCTCGACTATCTACCCTCATGACGGGTGCCAGCCATCCCTCCCCCATTCTACCCCTCCGTCCGGGGCAGCCAAACCTACTCCTAGGGTATCGGTGCAGTCAAGAACGACGGCGCCCTGCCCTACCTATCAAGAATGAATCACGCAGAGCCCAGAGTCCAGAGCTGCCAGCGCATATAAGCTGTAGTAACAGCACTAGCGAATCGGTCCCAATCCTTCGAGTTTTTTAGCTGCAGTGATCGACAGTCTGATCACAGTCACATGCATTTGCATCAGGCTCGAACGATTTTCAAAAAGGCAACCCGACCAAGGAGCTTTTTTTATGTTTTTTCTTTCCGATCATGCAAAACACAATTGTACATAATCTTTTTTCTTTCTAATGATCACTATATAACTTCCTTCTGATACAAATTCAAGAATACATTTGACGGTGATGAATGCAATTTATTTGTTTTCAAGGCGTAGCTTGAAAAAGTAGTGTTGACGCATCATGATAAGGCTGGCACATCTCATTGGAGGCTGAGTCACAATTATGCAGGTCCTCATGTACATACATAGGTTCTTATAGCTGCTGCTACTAAATTGTGGACTTCCCCCTAAACATCTTCCCTCGCCTCTTCTCTCACCCGACCGGCCGTTGCATGACTATGGGTATTGTATTGGATATTAAAGACTTAGGTAACTGCATCATCAAAACGACACGATAGAACATAGAAAGGGAGAAAGAATAAACCAGACAATGCAGAAGACAGAGATGAAATTACAACAACAGCACGCATCCCGTCGGACGAGACAGCAGGCAGGTAAGGTAGGTATGTTTAAGCACCGCCAGCGGCACTTTGACCCCGGCCCGTGGAACCAGGTAGACTGATGAACTGATGAACTCGGTGTTTCTTTCTCATCCAGCGATCCGTCGTCCTATTTTTCCGTCCGCATAGGCATCAACGTCGACAAACGGATACGAGTGAACACGAATTCACGAGAACCAGACCCAGATCGCGGCCACCGGCCGAGTGCAGCCCAGCCAGATTAGCTGGAAGACGACTCGGCGCGTTTTTCACTGCCGTCGCGACGCTCAGTCTCCTCCCTCAGGCGATCCCGGGATGCGGTGCGAACGCGTCGTAATTGTTCCTCCTCTTGCTCGCGAACCTTCTTTTCCTCCTCGGCGGTGGGGATGAATGCGTTGGCGGCGCCACCTATTTTTGGTCACGAAATACGAGGTTAGTGAGGAGAGTTCGAGCTCATGAAAAAAGAGAAAGCAATGAAGTCAACTTCCCCGTGTGGGAACAGAGAACACATGAAAACACAAAGAAACGTACCCCGTCCGGTGTGATGCGGAGCGTCTTCCACGCGGAGAGGCGGCGACTCTACGTCCTGCATCTCTCGCGCGATTTCTGGATGTTGCGGATCGTTGACCATCATGTTGCCCGATCCGCCGCGGCCGGTGGTAAAAACCTCCTGTTTGATCGTGGGGGTGACGAGATCTTTGGGCGAGGTACGGGTTTCGGCGGAGTAGATGTTGCCTGTCAAATCCGAACAGGTTCAGCTTCAACGTTGATTCCCAGAGGTGGAGCGAAGCAAAAAGGTACTAGGATCTCACCTGCGCCTCCGCGACCGTGCGAAATATTTCGAGAACCTCCCATTTCCACGAGGTGGAGGGGTATTCGATCAAGAATGGGGGGAAAGGCCGGAGAAGAATGTTTTAGCGGGGTTTGCGATCGGACAATCCGCTCCGTTGTCTGGGTGTAGGCAGAGGTGGTCGCTGTGCGGAGTAGACGACGGTGATTAAGAGGACGGAGGTTGTTGAAAGCAGAGGGAAAGGAACAAAGACGAGTCGTGGCAAAGGGCAAAGGGACAAAAAACTTTGCGAGCTTGATCTCGTGAGTTGGTGCAATCTTGGGGCCAAGATTCCATGCGAGAAAGAACGAAATGACGGCAGCTCGTTCGCTCTTGGCGCACGTTTGCGGCCTCCCGCAAGGGCTTCGGCCGCCCACCTTTCCTCTGGTCTCTCGTTCTGTCGCTGTCGGTGTCTTCCTCGATCTCGCTCGCTATTTCTTACTTCAAGATTAGGAAACCCCTACAAATGCCTTCCAAAACCTCTTTGAATGTCCTACACTTGGTGATATGATTGACTCGTTATCAGCGAGCTCCACTCCGGGAAACAAATCTTTTTCTGGTCTCCGCAGGGCCCCGTTTGGTGGACACGCGGACCCATCGCGATGGATCGATTCAACGCCGGCACAACCAGTCCGATCAGGGGACGGAATCACGTTGAATCGTCAGTGGCGTGTACCCGCGCGCAGAGATAACGCAGGGTTGTCGGTCTAGGAAGTCGGTTGAATCAAGGAGAACATTCAACATAATAGCATTCATATAAACATGTGTCGCAGCAATTCTATGAAAGATGCTTGATCTTCATACACCCATCCTTGCTTTGTCATAAAAGTCATGGCTTCTATTTCCATCAGAAGTCCGCATCACAGCAACCTCGTGAACCCGCGGAATCGGAGTTTTCAACGGGGCTTGTACATCAGCCGTACTTATTGAAACCAGAAAGCATCGGTCATGCCATCGAGGGCCAATCCTTGGCTATAGGCTCTTTCAAATTCCATACTCCATACACCATGGGCTCCGCGCACTGCATATTCGCCTTTCCATTTCTTCTTATCTTCCTTATAGGAGGCAGCGCCGACATGTTGCATCAGGGGAGGAGAAATGGCCAGGCGATCATAAAATAGGTCGTTGCCCATTCTTTCGATCACAGTGTCCACCGCTTTGGGCTGTCGCGCGTCCTCCATCTCCTCGAGCCGGTCTATGAGGTCCGGAATCGGGGCACGAGGAAAGACGAGCGCTTGCGAGCAGCAGCCGTTGCGATTCATCAAATGGATCCCGGGTTTCATAGGGCGCATGGTCATTCGACCCGACAGGAAGTACAGGCCGATCATCAGCGGCACGCAGACGAAGCAAACGATCGCCAGGAACAGATTTGACAAGATATGGTGCGACGCTCGCACCTTTCTTCGTACATAAAAGCCCATGGAGGCGACCAGGGAAACGACGGCCACACTCCAACTTAGGTAGATAGGCCAGTGTTCCGAGTTCCATCCGAGGAATTTTTCGGTGTAGAAGAGTCGCAGGTACAGCCAGTCATGGACCAGACCGGTCCGCTTCCACTCGTCAATCCTCTGAAGACTCTCCATCGTTTGGGCGTACCATGACTTGTGGGCCAGCACGTCATCCTCCAGCATAACGAACCAAGAGGCATCTGTGTCCTCATAGCATGACTGAAGTGACAGCCGGTAATCGATCAGAGACTTCTTCTTGATATTACCCGTCCGTTCCAGGCGCCGCAATGACCCTTGGTGTTCGCCAAAATCGTCGTACGTTAGGACGCGGTCGATGGCGTTAGGAACCCAGGGTTGCTGATAATCGGGGTGGTCTGTGGCGTTGGTGAGGGCGAATAGCACCTGGACGGCAAGCGTCGAGCGCTGTTCCGACGTTAGGTTGTCGAGGATGGAGCCGATGGTCGTGTCGAAATTTTGGTGCAGAGGCCGCTTCACGGTGACGATGCCGACGCAGACATCCACGTTGCGGATTGGAGCGCTTCGATTTCTGGCGGGTTGGGCCGACAATTCGGCCGACTGATTTAAGGTGGACAGAAACTGCAGCGATTCCTCGATGCGCTGGGGGCTGTACAGCGGTCGGTAGCCCACCTTGGGTTGAAAGAAAGCCGAGCCGGGATCCCGAGCGGAATTGAAGCGGCAGAAGATAAGGAGGAGGAGATAAAGGAGAGTGAAGGAGGCTAAGGACAACCTTTGCTTCTTATTGAGGAACCCCATCTGGCCGAGACCATAGTGGAAGTGAGTGGAAGTGTTGATGGTGAGAGGAGTGGAGGGGGAGGAGGATGAAAAAGAAGAAGAGGAAGACAAGATAAGAAGATCGAATAGGCGGATGTGGGACGACGGGCAGCATAGAGAGACTCATGATTTTCATCAGAATAACCCGACTAAGGCGTGATAACACAGTCTTGGCTCAGGTCAAGCCTCGCACTAGACCCTGACGGGCAATTCCTATTTCCCACACATCAACAGCGTGCCTTCCCGCTTGGGTCTAGACTCGGGGCGAAACAAGCACCGCCGGGTGGACCCCGTGAGCCTTGGTGGTTCACCAGCATTCGGAGGTATCCATATTCCCTACTGGGCGTTGGAATGTGAGAGGGTGTTATATTTATAGTGACGAGCAGTTTCAGTCTCTCAGGATCAACTCGTATTCTGTAGCCGATTCTCTCCACTCACAGAATCCTTTCCCTGCAACGGAACGTCAATCCCACCGAATTGAGTATATCCTGGCTGTCCTGAACACGAGGTCTAAAAAGGATATACTTGTTCAGGTATTGACTCCGGAGTGAACACACTTGATACTTGATAGGCAGTCAAGCATCGGCCCGTTGCATCGGTATACCTTCCTTTTTTCTTCTTCTTCTTCGTCTTCTTCTTCTTTCTCATATTTATCCAATTGTGTTTCTGTTCTATTCTGTTTTTATGCATTGACAAGAACACTCAGTTATTAAATGTACGACAATCACTCATTACCCCAAACATGAACGGCGCTTAGGTGACACTACCAGGCCCCCTTGCGGGGTCAACCCCGGAATCCATCGCCATAGCCGCGGATACCGAGGTTCCTCCACCCGAGTCGGGGATATCCGACATCAACTATACTTCCCCTCGTGGTACGATTTCATTCGAATATTCGATAATATACTCACTCCTAAACCTTGCATACTCGATTAACTTCATTTCCTCATCATGCCACCCAACCCTTCTTCCATCGAGATCCCCACTTCCTACGAAACGCTACCGACAACTCACATCAAGCTTTCGCATCATCCTGTTGGAAGTGCATCTGCAACTCCCGTCGTGATTATCACCCTCAATCGCCCGGAGAAGCGCAATGCTTTCACGTCGCAAATGGCTGATGACCTGGAGAGGGTCTTCGCTACGCTGGATCTTGACGAACGTGTCAAGACCGTCGTACTGACCGGCGCTGGGCCTACTTTCTGTGCCGGAGCAGATCTTGAGATCGGCTTCCGCGGAGGGTCAGAGAGAGCTGGCGACCATCGCGATAGGTACGCTAGCCTCTACCCACCCAAAGTGGAATCAAACAAAACAGGGCTATGAATGATAACTAACCCTATCTAGCGGCGGTCGAGTTGCCCTGGCTATTCACAGATGTCGCAAACCCACTATTGCAGCGATTCAAGGGTCAGCCGTCGGTGTTGGCATGACCATGACTCTTCCGGCTGTCATAAGGTAGTGACTGATTCCCTCAGAAGCAGTATTCTGCGATGCCGCTAACTAGGTATGACCTGCAGAATCGCCCACGAGAAGAGCAAGTACGGTTTTGTGTTCGCCCGGCGTGGCATTACCATGGAATCTTGTTCCTCCTACTTCCTCCCTCGGTTGATAGGATACTCGCGGGCCCTGTACCTCGTCTCCACAGGCGGCGTGTTTCCTGCCACATCCCCTCACTTCAACGGCTTGTTTGCCGAGACATTACCCGAGCAAGCGCAAATCCTACCGCGCGCTCTCGAGTTAGCAGTCGAGATAGCACAGAACGTCAGTCCCATGGCGTCTGCGCTCAATCGCGCCCTGCTGTGGAGGGGACCGGAATCTGCTGAAGAAGCACACTTGTTGGAGTCTAGCGTCATCTCGCAGATGTTTGGCTCCAAGTATGTATCCCGTTCTATATGCCCTGGATCTACATGGGTCGAGACTGACGCTCTTTCCAGGGATCAAATGGAAGGTGTGAAGGCCTTTTTTGAGAAGCGCAAACCCGATTTCACGGCCACCTTGGAGGAGCATGGGCCGGCAAATTATCCGTGGTGGCACGAAGTAAACATTGATACGAAACCAAAAGCTGTCAAGGAGGCGTCTAAATTGTAGATTCCGTCGTCTGATATTCGAACGCCGCAGGGAAGCATCTCTCCCAGCCAAATCGTTCATTTTTGTATTCGGGCCTCGGCAATTCACGTGCAGTCGCTGAAGTAGAAAGATAAATACTCATACAAGGAAAATATACCAACAAAAGAAAAACCAGATAAGAGACTGAAGTGTGTAGTTACCAGGGACGCTTTACGCAGATAGACCCTATCTCCGAGCACAATCCAAGATAAGACAAGTGTTTAGAGAATGAAGCTGCGTCTCTTGCGGTTGTACGCCCTCTGATCCTTCAACCATTGGCGGTATCCTTGAACGCTTCCAATCTTCTCTCCGTAGTAATCGGGAACAGGGTTAGCGATCGAGTTCGACGAAGGGTCGACACGGAACCGCTTGATTCGGTCAAAGAACTCCTTCTCTTTCTATTGTGCCATGGATTGTCAGTGACTGTTAGGCCCCACGCGCAAAACGGACGGTACTTACCACTGCAACTGCTGTACTGTATCTCCGGTAGACCAATCCCCAGACCGCATTGCCGACGAAGGGGCCGACCAGCCAACCCGCGGCGCCACATGCGGCCGTGGCCATTCCCAGCACAACGAAGGGGTCCAGGCCCATCACCTGTGCCCCCATGTGTTCCAAGTCTTGCGCCGAGAGGACCTGGACACCGATGACCGTGCTTGCCATAGATGAGATGATCGAAGAGGCAAGCGAGTACCTCCGCCGCGATGCGCGGAGCTTGAAGAACGAGTTCCAGTCCAATTTGGAGGCCTCCTGGCGAGAGGCTTCCGAGATCGTCGAGTTGGCTCGCAGGGAGGCGGTACGGTAGATTGTCGAAGAGGAAAGGATCTGGGGCCGAGTGGTGGTCTTCAAGGCGGCAACACTGGTTTGGAAGGCCTTGGTCTGAGCTGCTGTAGTACTAGCGGAGCGAGCCTGGGAGATCGCATGATACAACGCGGTTGAGCCGGTAGGACCGGCGAAGGGGGCTCGAATGGATGAGGAGAAGCAGCCACCGAGTGTGGCACTGCGCGCCGGGACATTGAGCGAGGTAAGATGCATTGTGAGAGAGGGCTGGAGTCGAATTGCAGGTGGGAAGGCGCCAAACGGTTGCGTTTCTGCTGAGGTTTAACCGCCAAACCGGCGGGAGGAGCTATGTCCGGCTTATGTAAGCAAAGGTGGGTCACGGGTCTCTTCGAGTGAGGTCATTTTCCCCTGCTCTCTACGGAGTTGTCTTTCTCTTGCGTTCGTCTCGTTTCCCCCTTCGAAAGGTGGCATGCATGTTTATCTCCTTGCATTCTTTAAATAAAGTGAACTCAAGACAAGTATGAACACTACATATTCGAACTATTGCTCAACGAAACGATGGTTCTAGGTCCATAGTATATATATCGGAGTAGCTACTTGGCCAACAAACACCATCAAAGCTTTCCTCGTGGCTGCATAGAATTGTTGGCTCGCTCCCTCAACTCTCGTCGAAGAATCTTGCCGGACGAGCTTTTCGGAATCTCTTTGACAAACACTACGCCTCCCCGGAGTTGCTTGTGATGAGCAAGATTGAGCTTCACAAAGTCTTTCAGTTCCTTTTCGGAAACGATTGTATTCCTTTCCCTCACAACGTAGGCTCGAGGAAGCTCATTGCCTGGTGCAATTGGATCCTTCACTCCGATCACTGCAACATCTGCGACACAATCATGGCTCAAGAGCAGTGCTTCCACCTCAACTGGAGAAACCTGAAGCCCCTTATATTTGATCAGCTCCTACGCACATCGTTAGCATATCACGCCCATTTTCCCTTCCGCCAACTCCTTCAAATCTTATCAAATCTCACTTATACTCACCTTCTTCCGATCTACCATGTAAATTCTCCCGTCCTTCCACACACCGATATCTCCTGTTCGGAACCAGCCGTCAGGAGTAAAGGCCGCAGCAGTTGCACCAGGATTTTCAAAATATCCCCGGGTGACCATCGGCCCTTTGACCAGTATCTCCCCCTCCGCTCCTTGCTCCACGTCCCGAGCGTGATCATCTACGATGCGCAGCCTTGTGTTTGGCAGCAACGGACTGATGCTGCCTGTATCATCAGATTGGCCCCAGGGCATCGTTGTCACACTTCCAGTCGATTCGGTCAACCCCCATCGTTGGCTAATGGTACAACCCAGTTTCCCCTCCGCTCGCTGCTGAACATCCGCGCTCAACGGTGCTGCTCCCGACTCCGCGCGAATAAGGGATTTGAAATGATCAGTCACTCGCGGGTTCTCTGCGATCGCCAGATAAACAGGGGGAGCCGTAGACAAAAACGTGACCTGGTGTCTTCTGCAGTGGTCGATAAATTCGTCGATGTAGAACTTCGGCATCCAGTAGACCGTTCCCCCGGCTACAGCTGGCGTGACGAAATAACCCTGGCAGCCCGCAATATGAGCCGTGGGAAGATGGCCGATAGTACGATATTGAGCGTTTAAATGCGGTTTCCCCTGCCGTGATTCGCGCAGCACCAACTGTGGCAGGAGAGCTTCAGCGACGAGATTCATGTGGGAAAGCATCACTCCCTTCGGGGGTCCCGTCGTGCCACTCGAGTACAATAGACATATAAGTCTTTCTTCCAGCGTTTTTCGGTCTGTGATGATATCCCAGCTCAATTGGTCACTGGGGTCGAAATAGTTTCGTCTGCGATGAACGGCATCGGACAGCAGGCGCTTGTGTGCCATACTCTCAAGCACAAGGACTCTATCCTCTGCAAGTCCACACTCTCGCGCAGTCGCCAATGCCTTTGCCTGATTCTCTTCGCTCGTCAATATCAATCGGGCTTTCGATTGTCGGGTCTGTCGCGTCAGTTCAAACGTTGTCATGGCCGTAGACGCTGCAGCATATACACCGCCGGCGGCAATGATCGCGTAGAATACGACTGGTAGTAGAACCTGATTAGACGAAATGCAGAGGACTGCATCCTGACCCGGGCCCTGTTTGCCGATGCCGAATTCGAAGCGAAGAACGTGCGCGATACGCTTCGTGATTATTCGGGCTTCAGCTTTCGTGACGTTATTTGTTGGATCCGCCGCTTCTGCATGCAACACGGTTGACTCGTCGCTCAGCGAGAGAAGTGACTCTGTAATCCAGTATTAGCGCCTGCACCGAAATTGGGGTTTCTCATGCTGCTTCCCGAATATTAACGATAGTAAGTCAATGTCTGGTAAGTGGTAGTCTTTTTCCGGTTTGTACAGCATTATTCCTTTCTTTTGCCTTTTGCCTTTTGGGTCTTCTTTTCTGCAATTGTAGGAGGTCAACGAAATCTATCGTAATTCTTATACAATGAGTCCTGGTTCCCGAGTAAAGATGGGGAAATGCGGGGGGATCAACCACGGCTGCTCCTCGGTCGTCGGCTACGCACTCGTTTCCTCTTCCAACGGCCTACCGATACTCTCGCGAGGGAAAAGATCCGAAAATTCCCCAACGTATCCAATTCTGTATATTCTAGATGTATCAAGTATCTATATGGTTATCTAGCTCTATCTCTTGAGATTGTCATCATATCGTAGTAAGCATCCTATGATCTACAGGCCGCCATTCTGTTTCACGGATCCAGAACGAGCTGCCGGAGAACGGGGGTACCCAAAGCCATTCACGCGGCCATAGAGCCACTTGAGCGTCGCGGTGCTGATAGCCATCACCACAGCACTCAACACAAAGAGTCCAACGCGGCCTTCGAAGGGCACTTGCTCGAAGATGGGATACGGGTACCTGATACGTGTGGGTGAGCCACCCGTCTGCGTAGGAGCGATCTTAAATAAGTGATGACTTACCATCCATTATGAGCAAAGCAATGCTCAATCCAAATCCAGTAACCAAAGGCGATCGTGCTGGACAAGCCCAGCGCCGGCACGATGGTGATGGTCCAAGGCGGAGACAGTAGCAAGAGGTCGATCAATAAAACGATGGAAGGGACCGCGTGAAAGCTCACATCTTAAGTTCAGGTTGGAGGTTAGGTTTTGGACTCTCTCTCTCTCTCTCCCTCCCTTTCTCATGGTGCATAGGCTTACCGGCACTTAAAGGAATCACGGCCCAGGCGGGAATCACCAGGCGTTCATCGATCTATTCGACTGTTAATGCAAACACCCAGAAATTCCAACCAATATCAGAATCTCGACTGCTCACCAGGCGAAGGCTCCAATAAAGAATGCTGATCAAGACTTCCATGGGCGCACTGCACATGGACAACAAGTTCTTGAGCAGGAACAGTCGAGCCGATAACGTCACGTCCGCCGTCAACCCAACGGCGAAAGTAAGAATCGACAGAGCTAATCCAATAACAGTCAGGTACTGGAAATGCCACCCATAGGCTTCGTTTCTAGAAGGTCATTAGTGTTTCGCGAGAAATCTCCATCGCAGGAACAAGAACGCTTACGCGCGGTTCGGATTGTCGTGCATACTGGGATCAGATAGTAGTCAGTCTATGGGCTGAGGAGATCCGGAGCACGAATAGCCGTATTTATCGCTGTTATGATCGTTGGACCACCAATCCAGCAGTTATGTCATGCTATAAGCATCGAACCATTACAGTTCGTATGTATGTACAGTACGATATGAGCGGGCAAAGAAGGAGATTACTTACAATTTGAAGGACCAAATGAAGCTGCAGAGACCGACAAGCTGCCATGCCAAAGGAGTCAGTAACCGCGCAAACGAGCTCACGTCGAAAACAAGTTACAAATGACGTACATGAACCAAGGCCGAGAAGCCTCTGGATGGACTCGAGACTCGCTGCAGGGGATGCTTCCTGATAAGGGAGCGAGCCGCCGTGGGGACATCCATGGTTCAGAAAGCGTTCAATTGCAGGGTAGGGGGATAGCTAATGAGGGAGATGATTGATCGGTCGAGAGCTGTAGTGGTTGGGCGTCAATCGGAGTACACAGTAACTAGACACAGTGGGGATGGACCAGAGCTATCCAGATGTGGCCCGAAAAACGTCCTGGTAGGATGCAAGGTGGCGGAAAAGAAAGGTGAATAACTGGTCAAAGGTAACAATCCAGACTGTATCCAGCTTAGAGAGAAGGTTGTTGCTGATTCTCGCTGTCGTGGCGTTGGACTCACGTGGATGCGTATTCCCGCTGCATCCCGGCTGACTAAGGAATCCATCTTGGTCCGAATTAGGCAAGAATGAATGGGGGAACTTCCCCGGTCTCCTCGGCCCCCGCCTGGCCGGAACAACTGTGGCACCGGCGGGCTTATCGGCTGACATAAGGGACCCCACACGTGGACGGCGATTGAACGAGATGACCGAATGGGGCGCTAGCGTTATCGCTCACTTATCGACTGGCCCGCCGTCTCCGCTCCATGAAGTCTGAGGACTTTAAGTAGCAGATGGGCCGGCTCTAGCTACCTACTCGTTGCTCCATACTCTCTATCTATCAATCAACTAGCTGTCCACCGGCGTATTACGACTGTCCATCGCCAATCTGTCTCCCCAGACAGCTAGGCCATCGCTCTGCGATTCCCGCCCTGACCAATCATTCGGTACCAATCTATTTCCTAACTTCGCTGCTGTCTCTCCACATACTAAACTTTACCTAGTGTAGTACTTACAGGCTCTTCTTGTCATCATCGCTTTGAACTCGTTTGCCTACACGTAGGACTGAACTGCCTAAGGTTTCTTTCGTGTGATCGCACACCTCGATGAGTGCAAATACCAAGTGTGGGTGCCTCGTCGATTATCGTTTCCTGTCCTCTTGGGTCAAACCATCAACCCGCCGTAAAAGGCCATCGACATCCTGCAAAGTTTGATCAATCTCGTAAAAGCCTGCTGAAATTTGTCTGTCTGCATGGCGACCTCACACTGTACAATCCATCGGATCTCCTCCATGTTCCGAGCCTGTGACTCGTCCTATCGCTATATCTGTTTTTCGTCGTCCTTGTATTTGGCCAATCCTCTCTGAATTCCAATGCCTCGTCCTCGCCGGCCCGGTGCTCCTGAACCCAAACGGAGGTCTCGCAAAGGCTGCTGGTGAGAGGGTTTGCCCGCGTACAATTGATGCAACATGGGACGCTAACTGGCATCCAGGCCCTGCAAAGCACGCAAAGTGAAATGGTCGGTAGCTATCCCCTTTGCCCCCGATTGGGAGTATCATTGCTCCCACAGCTCACTAATATCTGGCCGCAGTGGAGAAGAAAAGCCTTTCTGTTTGAATTGTCGGCGCCAAAACGAAAAATGTGACTACAGCATTCGCTTAAATTGGGGAGGTAGGACGAGAAGGTCTTCGGTGGATTCTCCAAGCTCCCAATCCAGCTCCCAGTCCGCCCAATTCTTCGCCCTCTCGCCACCAGACGTGCAAGTCTCGACCGATGTTGCCCCGCCCATTGTTACCTTGGATGCCACTGAGGGGGGTAATGTACAAGGCCAAGCCATGGATAATCTGTTCTGGGAGCCTGAGTTCGTGTCAGAGACGATGGCAGAAACTCCAATTCCTAGAGGGTTACATGATATTCAAGAATCCCCGGCTGTCCCCGAACAGACTTCTAGGCCTCCTTATCGTACGGATGATAAGACACCAGTAGAGCCAATTCAATCGTCCCTGGGTAGAGATGTCGTGACTTCGTGGTCAGCTATGTCCCAATCTACCTTGTCTAATGAGACAATCCCCGACCACCCGTCGTCTTTTTCGTCAATTTTAGACGTCTTATCTTATCCATCCCCAGCGGATACTGGTTCAAGCACTGGCTCCTTGGCACTTTTGAATTGGTCTCCTGCCACAGTGTCACAACCGATATCTTTTCTTCGGCAATCCGCAGACATATCGAAACCATCTGTATGCCAACTACCAGTCGAGCAGGACAAACACAGAATCATGAAATGGTACGATGGCCACCTGAGCGGCGTTTCCGATGCAGATGCAACTGATAGATCATCCAGTCGGGATCGCTTTCCGCTACCTGCCTCTTCTCAACGAGATCCGGCCATACTGTCCAATGCCCCCGTTTCTGCAGAGGACTTTTGCACCACAATCGTGGACGCCCCTCTCCAATCACCAAAAGATGGCACATTTGACCACTACGGAGTGGATAATCCTCACTATTCTTCTCGCAGAAGAGCTGTTTCGGGGTCAGATGGACCTGGTGGCCCTACTCCCTCTCAAAGGAAATGGTACACTTACCTGACGAGCGTCACGGACAACTACGGATTAGATTGCGGCCACCCAGACCGGGACTTGAACCAAAACGACGATCACTCGGCAATTGACATCAATTCTGCTCTAAATTTGGTGAATCAGCAAGGCGAATCCCTCTCTCATACAGCTGCGCCTGGCTCGTCCAAGAAAAGGGCCAAAGTTTGTTGCTTTGAATGTACTAATTTTGCCTACTACAAGTCTGCCGTTCCCATAAATATCCCCCGGTATCTGTCTCCTTTACCAGCCACATTGGTGCAAACACCCATCAATTTGATGTACTTCCATCATTTTCTCAACCACACTGCTAGGATGCTGGTCCCTCACGACTGTGGCAACAACCCTTTCATAACGGTCCTCCCAAGCAGTGAGTCTCACCCCGCCCCGATTTGCTTTTGGATATATGCTGATAAATCAGTGGCTATCGGGGACTCCAATGTTTTAAATCTGATGCTGGCATATTCTGCCAGCCATCGTGCCAGGTACCTGAAACATCCAGAGCCTGCCAACAGGATTGCACACTGGGTCAGCAGCGTCTTCCCCGCACTGCGTCTTGCGCTAGAAGATGCTCACAAAAAGACCACCGACAATCATCTTGCTGCGGCTATAATGCTGCTTTCCCTGAAAATTGTGTCTCCTAGCACGTTCGAGGTGCCCATTCCCTGGCAAAGTCATCTCAAGCTGGCCCGTGACCTCTTTCTGGCACGTCGAGAGCAGATGGTATACCCTGGCAATCGTGTCGGTGCTTTCCTCATCCGCTGGCTAGGGTATCTTGATATCATGGGGACTTTATCCTGCCGCCACAGTGAACCTCCATTGCTTGCATATTTTTCCTCGTTGAATACATGCTGCGTAGGAGAAGAATACGACGAGTACAGCGTGGACTGCTTCACCGGATTCACGCCTCGCACCGGTCTATTTCTGATGCGCCTTGGCCAACTAGTGCATCAATGCGATAATGAGCGTTTTGATGAGGTCGGCGCCTTTGTCCCGGGATGGGCGCCTTCGGCAGACATTATCTTTGATGCACAAACCTTGCTCGCCGATCTCGACGTCCTCAACATGCACGCTCATGCGAATGGGAGACATTTCCAGGATTCGATGTCCACAGACATTGTAGCTATGGACCAGGCCTTCCGCTATGCCGGTCTGGTCCATCTTCAACGCCGGGTTCTCGGTGCCTCTCCTTCTTCGCCAGCACTGAATAATGCCCTCGAAGAGCTCATGAATTGTTTGACCCTGATCCAATCGGGATCGCCCGTTGAGGTTGGAGCCGTCTTCCCATTGTTTACTGCAGGATGCGAGTGTCGAGACCTTGAACAGCGGACAGAGATCCAAGCTCGATTTGAGCTTCTAGAAAGCACGGGGTTGAAGCAAGTGAGTAATGTGATAGAGGAACCCCTGAATTCTCGATGGCTAACCTAAGTTAGATCCAGAATGCACGGGCTCTAATGCAAAAGTGCTGGAAGGAGGACCGCTTATGGATTGCCCTTGCTCAGGGTGAGTTCCTGGGCTGAGTTGGGGAGTCAACCAACCACCGCTTGCCTGTTCCAGCCTCGAAGCGCCGCTTTTGGTAAAATATTAGGTGGCTTTATCATGTGGTAGTACTTTAATAGCTGCACGAACACGGATATTGTGCAGAGAATACATGACAATGGGAGAAGCATCCGCGCTTGCTGGCGTATTACTGGACTTCGGGTATAATGCATTATCATCTTCATCATCATCATCATCATATCAATCCAGCATGCCTCGTGCAGCGCAGATGGGCTGGTTCATTTAGCCGATTTACCACCTTCGCTCTATCATCATTTTTGACCTTTCTTCAAACGCAAATCGTATCAAACGCCGCTCTGTTAGGGCTTGGAGTCTAACTGGCTCCTCTACACGTTTAATCTAAGACACGTTCCACCTTTCGAAACACCGCTGCGAACTCCAGAGCAATAGTCATCTCTTGATCCTCCGTTTGCTGAGATCCACTTCAAAACCAGCCCTCAATCGCTGTCTATCATATTGGCCATTCCTTTATTTTCTTGTGGTCAGACTCCGGCACTACTGAATTGATTTTTCTATTACTATTTAGCCTACAAACTCTCACTGAAAGCTTGACCCCAAGTGACTCAAAACTCAGTTTGCGTTCTATTCTTGTGTGCAGCCAATTCAGTTTCCCAACGAAACGTTGCCAGCCGCCCAAGATGGACGGGCGTAATCTAACCCCCGACAGTAATTTTGGCATTGTTTACACTCTGCTTCTCCTGCTTCTCCTGCTTCTCCCACCCCTCGTGTTTTCCATCCTCTTCCTGCTGTCCTTCATCAAAATTCACTCCGTCACCATGGATCCATCAAAGCTGTCAGAGTCTTCTTTCTCCGAGCGTGAGGACAGAACCGACAACATTCACTCTACAGACAAGGCGACCACTTCCGTTAGAACTGCGTCTTCCTCTCGCTCCCCAATACCACACCAGCTCTCCAATATCCTGGACAGCGCTCTGGACGATATCCACATTCCAATTCTGCAACCTATCGTTGTGCATCACAGCCCCAGAACTGCAGTGAGTCTTACATCTGTACGTTCCCCTTCAACACTACCAACTCGGCTGGATCCGGTTAACGCGTTTTCTTTCTTGCTCGGAAAGGCCATGGTTAACCTTAAGGACGGCGAAAACGCGGCAGTCGTTCCGTGGGATGGAACAATTAAGTGGGCCATCAAAGGCTGCAGTGTTTTTGACAATCGGGACCAGGAGTTAGAGGCCATGACTTACCGGCCGAACATGCTATCCCAGCAACGGATCCACAACGTCTGGATATTCCAGTATGGCGTGCGCTACATTCCGTCCAGCCAGGAGAAGAACATCTATCGCACCGTCCTCATTCAAGGCCTCCCTGCAAATATGAAGCTCGGTCAGGTTCTACCCAATATCCCAGGAGAGATATATAGTGCTCGCCTAGTGAGTACTCGGCCGATCAGCGGATCCAACACCGCCATAATCACGTTCGTTTTACAAGCCGACGCGGTGCGCTTCATCCAAGCCTCGAACAATGGGTTGAATTTAGGAATGGTGTCGGCCAAGGTGATCCCGGTGAACACTCCCACTTACCCCATGCCTATCAAAGTGGAGAGAATGATATTTGAGAAGAATCACACGCGGTGCCTCTGTGTTTACAATGCTCGTGGCAGTCCGAAGGAAAGCATCTCGCGAGTTCTTATGAAGTCCTGGCATGCCGAACTCGTCGAAAGTATCGAAGAAGGCCATGTGGCAGGAGAAGTTTATGTTCGTTTCCACTCTATCAAGACGGCGGTGGTGGCATGTGAGTTTCTGAAGGGCCATCCCGGTCTGTGTCATTGCAAATTTCGATTCCTGAAGCAATTCTGCGCTCTGCCTCCGTTGCCAGTCAGGGCACCATCGCCACTTGAGCAGAGCAAGGGCAATTCCCGCATCGGCATCTGGGATTAGGGTTGGCCGTCCTTCCCGACTTTCACGGTTTCGTCAAAGGGATCGTGGGCTTTCCGCCGGTTTTGCCTTTCCTTTGTTACTCTCGTGGACAGCATGCTTTGAATGAGTGAGCTGGGGCAGAAGCAAGGACGGGGGAAAAGTTTAAATCTTGCAAGGCGGCATGTATTTAGTTCTGCGTTTCTACTCACTCTGGCGACCAAGTTTCCCCCAGGAACTAGCGGAATGGACCTCCATCATCTACACCTACATTCTACAGTAGAGAATCTCTTGGCAATGTTCAACCCACTCCGAGGGTTTTTCCGTTCCAGGTTTATGCCTCTTGCAGGCCTGAGGCACCAAATGCGGTTTCTCATGACATCTCGAGACTCGTTTGGCTGGTTGATCGAAACCCCCGCCTAGATTGAACAGTGCCTTGGAGAACAACGCCAATTTATCGAGGATGATATGATTCAAGCCACGAGCTGACAGACGTCAACTTACGCAGTACAGCCTACTACTGCAATGTCCTCCCTGGCCAGTTTAAGGACCAGGACTGGCTGCCTCCAGTGTAAGCTAGGGCCTCCACGTACTGAACTACCTACGAAAACCTGTTGTTCATTTTGTCGGTGCCAGGTCGGAAGCGACGCAAAAAGTGCGACGAGAGTCGGCCGCAATGCACGGCATGCACTCGCAACGAGCTGGACTGCGAGTGGCCATCGGGTGATAATCAACCTCCCGATGGCCGACGCCGGCGATTCAATAGTGATCGGACCACTGTGCGAGTAGTAGCACCTTCGGGTCTGTCTTTGATTCAACTCTCGCCACCCGTTGTGATGCCAGCGCCCTTCCAGTCAGACGAGAACGCCTATTTATATCGATACTTCGTCTCTACGATCTTACCCCGTCTTGTCCGGCAGAGCTCGCTTGACCAAACGCACATGCTGCGCCTCGCGCCACAGTTCTCCCCGCTATTCGGCGCAATGGTCTCCGTGGCTGGAATGCAATTGCCATCTACGGCGCGGTGGCCTATCCATTTTGCCTTGCAGGGCTATCTGCACGCAATTCATTCGCTGCAGACGTCACTAACAGATATTACAAAAGCCGGGTGTGACGACCGGGTTCTAGCAACTGTGATCCTGCTTTCGGTGTTCGAGGCATGTCGCTCCATCTTTGTTTTCTCTACTAGATGTAGGGTAAGCTAATCGAATCACTGTAGTCCTGTCGATCAGATGCGGCACCTACTGTCGGACCTCATGTCACGGCTGCAGGGCTACTTCTTACCCAGCGCCGGCCCCGAGAGTTCCGCACCAAAGCTGCAGCCACATTCGATCGCGTGTGCGTCGAGTCGTTCCTGTATCATGCATGTCTCATGATGGTATTTGATCCCTCGCTCGACGCGCTTACAGAAGATCGAAACGATCTCGGGCTGTCGCTATATTTCGATAAGCCCATGAATCAATCAGAAGAAACCATTCTGCAGACCTCCTACAGGTTCTTTCTCCTCATTGCCGATGTTACCAGACAATCCCGGCAATCCAGGCCGCTTGAAGGCGCTGGGGTCCTCAGATGGCGGAGGCTAGACCGTGAATTAAGGCGCTGGACCGGTCTCACTTCCTCCGCCGACATGACTCTTGGGTTATGTTACGTGGCAGTCTGTATCCTGCTCCAGAAAATGAACCCAGACATAACATCTGCTGAGCGCGGCCGGCGAGTGCGCTCGTGTCTGGAGGAAGGGCTGCGGCGACTTCCCCTCTTGAAGATAGAATTATACCCATCTGTGTATCTGCTGTGGCCGGTGGCCATCCTCGGGGCCGTTGCCGCAAGGCCCGACGAGAGAAACATTGTACAAGATTTTATCAGCTTCGTTGTTGCCAGGAAATTAGGGGGGCAGGGCGCTTGGGTGCAGAAGAGATTGGAGCGAATTTGGAGGACCACCAGTCCTGCCTCTACGTCACCAGAACCGAATCTTGCCGGACTGCAAAGTCTGCTTGATGGGGAGTGATTCCTGATTACCAACACGAATGTACTCCGTAGTGTTGAGGCACGTTAGTCAGTCTCGGTGTACACTCCGTTTTGACGATCTGGCCCGGTTCCGACGCACGTTACACATCTCCACTTTAAGAGGCGCCCTCCAATCATCGATATTTGCGCGCTCAGAACCATCTATGGACGGATCAATGGCACACCTACACCATACTTACCTGCCTACCTACTTGCCCTACTCAGGATGTACTAAGGTACAGGGCAGCACGCCACCACGATAGACAACCTTTAAAAATGGGCAGTCTGCCCCCCCCCCCCCCCCCCCCCTTCCATCACACCTTGATCCTATCTCTTCTTTATCCCTAAAGCTTCGTCCTCAAGATGGCCGCGACAATTCTCTCCCTCGCCGAAGAGCGCTACCGCGACTCGCAGTCCTCGACCTTTCCACTCCCAACCAGTCCTTCCGAACCTCTCCCCGGAGCCCTGGCAACAATTCTCTCTCACAAGTCCTGCCGCGCCTTCCTCCGTGACAAGCCCCTTCCCGCGGGAACGCTGGAAACACTCCTTACGGCCGCCCAAAGCGGCTCGACCTCATCCCTCTACCAGACATGGGACGTCGTCGCCATCCAAGAATTCGAACATAGGTCCAAGGTTGCGACGCTCGCAGGCAACCAAGACTTCATCCGCCAGGCTCCCCTGTTTCTTGCATTCTGTCCGAATCTGCGCCGTCTAGACAACCTTTCAAAGCAGTATGAACAGCAACCGGCTAGGGCGCTCGAGAACATGGACATGTTTATCATGAGTGTCCTGGACGCGGCCATCGCGGGACAGACCGTTGCCATCGCTGCCGAGTCGCTAGGCCTGGGGGTCTGTTACGTCGGCGGACTCCGGAACAACGCAGAGCAGGTCTGCGAACTGCTGAACCTACCGCCGTTGACGTGGGGGGTATTTGGGATGGCGATTGGGTATGCTGATCCGGAGAACCGGCTTTCGGGCAAGCAGATTAAGCCGCGGCTGCCGATGCGGGAGATCGTCCATATGGAGCGATGGAGTGAGGAGGGACAGAAGGAGAATGTGGCGTCCTATGACAAATCTCTTGGGGCTTTTTATGTGGATGAATCGAAGTTTGGGCGAGAGGGATGGGGGGAGTTTGTAGCGGGCAAGGTTGCGCCGCGTGACCAGGACGGGAGAGAGAGAATCCGAGCCGTCCTAGAGAAGCAAGGGTTTAAACTTGAATAGATGGTCTAGCACCTCGTCTGACTTGGTTATCAGACAATAGAGCTGGAAGAATTATGTACATGGAAGGATCTGAGCATCTATACACTTTGAGATAGTATATATAGCGATGTACTTAAGGGGTTTAGGAATGACTTTGCTCTTAGGGACTATTTGAAATGAGCAAGTAGGTATAGATAGGTATGGGTATATGTGGTTAGTTGGTAGGTAGGTCACAGAGATCACAAAAAATATGTGTGAAAAAAGAAATCTCCCCGACTGGGAGTCGAACCCAGGTCTCCCGCGCTCGTTCTCGGTTGAGTGACAAGCGGAAATCATGACCGTTAGACCATCGAGGAATTGGTGAAGTAAGTCTTCAGATTAGCGACATATCAGCCTAGTAATTCGCCCTTCTGAAATGGAAGCCAACCCCGCGAACTTGGCATTCCCCATGCGGGTCTGCCCGGTGTCGATCGCTGCCTCTTTCTGCGCCTGGCGGACGATCTTCTCGTCCTTTACCCCAATTTGGCCTTCTCTCCTCGTCGCTCCCTGCCTTTCTACGCTCTTTGCCGCTTACCCCGGTCAGAATTATGAGCACAAGAAGGATGACGGCGTTCCTTACGGGCGATTGCTGACTCCCATAAATTGATCTGTTGCCCGCCCGGAGCTCCCTCATCCTTATCTATATCACCAATCGATTGTCATCCAGTGCCCACACTATGGCAGACGAAAAACCGGCCGTCGAGGGCTTATGCAAGCCTACTGATGTGGAGAAAACCTCCGATTCGCATGAATTCCCCCGCAAAACCAAGCTCGACCTATTTGAAGATCCGGACGAGGGCTTGAGTGAGGAAGAGAAGGCCAAAATCGTGAGCCCCTCCTGAAGACGCATTCCGAAGGCCGCCATGTCGCTGATGCGCCCGTCAGGATCGGGCCTTACTGTGGAAGCTCGACTTGCGACTGATTCCTTGGCTCAGTCTGCTTTACCTTATTTCGTTTTTGGATAGGTGACTTTGTCCGATTGCTACTCACGTAACCCCTTCCTGTCGCTGACGTCTCCGCCGTCAGAACCAACATTGGTAATGCCAAACTTGCCGGTCTCCAGGAGGATCTCGATATGTCCGACAACCAGTACAATGCCTCGCTGACCATATTTTTTGTTTCGTATTCGGTATTTGAGCCTTTGACCAATGTTTTGCTCAAGCGAATGCGACCCAGTGTTTTCATTCCCATAATCATGGTTCTTTGGGTGAGTAGCCTTTTGGCTGCTTCCGTCGCGCTCGGAGATGTTAACCGCCGGTGGCAATCGTGCTAGGGAATCTGCATGACATGCATGGGATTGGTGCATAACTACGCAGGGCTCATGGCGGTATGTAATGCCGGACTCTTCATCCCTTCGACGATGTAGCATTCCGGAACACTTGTCCGGGCACTCTCAGGCCGCCCGTTTCTAACGCTTGACATAGGTGCGATGGTTCTTGGGATTGACGGAAGCGGGGCTTTTCCCGGGCGTCGGATACTTTCTATCGTGCTGGTACAAAAGGTCCGAGTTTGGCGTTCGCATGGCCATCTTCTTCTCCGCGGCCGCGCTTGCAGGTTCGTTCGGAGGCCTTCTGGCGGCGGCCATTGCTCTGATGGATGGCATTGGGGGAAAAGCCGGCTGGTCCTGGATCTTCATCCTGGAAGGACTGGCCACAATAATTGTAGGCGTGCTCTCGTTCTGGATGGTCTATGACTTTCCTGACGAAGCAAAATTTCTGTCCGAGACGGATCGCAAGCGAGTTCTGCGCCGACTGGCAGCCGATCAACAGGCAAGTGCCGAACACGAACAGTTCAAGATGGCGTATTTATGGAGCTCCCTGAAGGACTGGAAAACGTACACAGGGGCCGTTATCTACATGGGTGCAGACGCATGTCTGTACGCCTTTTCTCTGTTCGTTCCCACAATCATCAGCGAGCTAGTAAGTCGTTGCGCACAACAAATTCCGGGCCACTTTGCTGACGGAATCTCAGGGTATGGCATCGGCATAGTATCCGATTCGGAGCCTCACGGGGTCCGCTAACTGGGAGTAGGATATAAAGCAATCCACGCACAGCTGCTCAGTGTGCCTCCGTATGCCGCAGCCGCCGTCGTAACGGTTGCCGTCGGATTCATCGCCGACCGAACACGTCAACGTGGAATTTCAAACATTCTGGTGTCCATCCTGGGCATCGTTGGCTTCTGTATGCTTCTCGGAGCCTCGTCGCCAGGAGCACGCTACGCTGGCACATTTTTGGGCGCCATGGGTATCTATCCGGCCATTTCCAATACCATCTCCTGGACTAGTAACAATACCGAAGGTGAGGCGCGATTCCTATATCCCGAAACGGTCCCAGATGATGGTCCAGGACTGACGATCAACCCCCGCGAGAGCAGGAGTCTATAAACGAGGAGTTACCCTCGGTATAGTGATCGGTTGGGGCAACCTGAACGGCATCGTCTCGTCCAACATCTATAGGGGCAAAGACGGGCCCAAATTCTATCCAGGGCACGGTACGGTGCTTGGATATCTGGTGGTGTTCTTGTTCGGCGGGTCATTGGTACAGTATATTTTGCTTCGACGGGAGAATGCAAAGAGACGACGCGGGGATCGCGACCATTGGGTGCAGGGACTGAGCCAGAACGAAATCGAACTTCTGGGGGACAAGAGACCGGACTTTATTTATACGCTGTAGGAGATCAAGGCGCGGGTTTTGCCTGGCGCGTGCGACTTGACTTTGCCAATCGGTGTTGGTCACACGAGCCCCAGGCAATTTATAGAAGCAGAGAATGAATTGGAACTGTGCTTGGATGCCAATGGCTCGTTGACGTGAATCATGTACTCGTAAAAAGAAATCTATCCACAAAGATCCAGCCGGCGTAGAGAAATCGATGGCGCCACCTCTCGATCGCTCCTTCACTCTTGCCGCCCGTATAGATTCACGATATCCTGGTCCTTCTTGGGTCCCTTCACCACATGTCGACTCGACCAGCTCATTACCTCTCCGGACTCGGGGCAAATGCGAAATGCATAGGCCGTGTGATACATGTCATTGATGCACAGGTGCTTCCCCCGGGCCTCCACCACCGCGGTTGAGGCAGCATCCCCAGCGGCGCCCGAGCCGGGGGGTGGAATGGGCGCCGAGACGAGCGAAGTGTCCGTCGAGTCGGACGCAGTCGCAATGACCTCGAACTCATGGAAGAGATAGTCCGGCTCCTCGTCGCCGTCCTGCGCGTCGGCCTTTTGCACTTTGGCAAACCACACGCTGACGCGCCCCGCCTCGCTCATGCGCCAGATGTATTTCTTGCTGAACCGCAACCCCGCGCCCAATCCCAGCGTGGCGGGCATCTCGCCTTCCTCGCGATAGACTATGTCGGCCGTGTCGTCGGGGCGGTGATCTGTGGACGGCGCGCGCAGGGGCCTGAAGGTGGCGGTGCCGCGGAGTTCGCCGTGGATGTCTCTCGCATTGGTGCTTTTGAGGATTCGCACGAGGGACCACGGTCGCGAGGATCGGCCGAGGGAGGTGAAGATCTGCGGTAATAGACTGGATGCCATTGCTGAGGAGGCCGGTTCGTTCGACATCTTTGAAGAATCGGCAGGGCGACGATGGGGGGAAGAGGACGAAGATCCCCGCCGAGAAGGCGGTTTTTCTCTTTGATCGCGGGCGGAGTCGGGATCCACTCGTCTGCACTTCCACTTTCGTCTGTCAATCTGGACTAATGAACACTGTTCTTCGAGATTATTTCCATATCTGAGATTCATTGGTATGATCAATGAATCTCCACTGATCTTTCGATTGCATCGTTGTCGGCAGATGAGGTACACTCAACCACGCGCTGACTCAAAAGATATATAGTTCTACGAACCCGCAATGATCATCACTATCAAGGGAGCACATTGCCGACATCAAGAACGCAACTACGACAGTGCAGACTGCAGAAAGTCCTAGGGAGCATTGAACCGTCTGCCAATATTCGCAGCCATGGAATTTCCATCGCAACCAATCTGGCATGCGAGTAAAACGGATTTCGAGCCGAAAGAAGCAAGGCAGACAGACTGGCAATTATTCCGGGGATATTGCATCATGCCGCCTGCTCCCTGTCGACTTGAAATAAACAAGAGAGACGAGGAATGATGGCGAGCACGCGCGTGACACATTCCTCCCCCTGGCTTGTCGACCGGCACGAGCGAGGGAATAGTACGGGAAATAACCTGGCGCTAAGAATAGAGAGATTAAGTCCAATACGGAGTCCCTTGTTGTTACTAGTATGTAGGGCTAACTTCTAACAGTAACGAGCCTTTCTGACGTGGGCGAGAATCCGCCACGCTTTCGGCGCGACGCAAGCGGACATGGACAGTTCATACATTTCCTCTCATCTATTTCACTTTAGCCCTGAGTCGTGGCAAGAAATGGCAGAAGAGACATTCCTACGATCGGAGAATGACTCGGATCTTGAACTTTCGCATATCCTGATCGGAGATAACACCAGGGTGATCACCACTACCATTGCCTTTCAGTGTACGGCGTGCATGGAGAGTGGATGAATGATAATAAAGCGACGAGCCGACCTCAAACTAAATTAGAATTAGACTAGAATTAGATTGAGATTAAGAATCCCACCTCAATCTCCCCCAACGCCGCAAGCGGAAGGACATAATCGGTCGGAGTACCAGGAACTTGCCATTGTATGCGCCCGCCCAGCAGCGACTGGGTACCAGGTACTTCACAGCGAACCGGCGAACCAGTCTGGACCGTGCGGAGTCCCTTTTCTCGCTCCTCTTTTTTCCCTTTTCTTTTCCCTCTTCTTCTTCTCTCCTCGTCCGTTGCTTACAATCGTTTGGGCCTCTTGCTCTCTCTTTTTCTTTTCATCCACCTCCTCCTACCCTTCGGTCTTTCGTTTATTCGACTTTCCCCCCTCCCCTTTGATTCCCTCCCTCAGCAAACTCAGGTCCCTGAATGATGGTGGGCCGTCTGTGAGCTTGTCCCGGTCTCCACCCCAAAGCCAGCCAGTCTCCCTCCCAATCGTCCCTCTTCGTCGTCGTCATGGCACGTTGGTTGTCGCCGACCGCGACCCTGCGATCGGCTCTCACGTCGACTTCGCATGTTTCCTCGCGCCTCCTTTCCGTCCTTGTCCTTTTCCTCATTCTGGCAACCGCCGTTCTCGCTGCCGACGACACATCTCTCTTGCCATCCGCCGCCTCCGATTCCTTCCCCCAATGTGGCCTGTCATGCAACAACCTGAAGCAGGCCCAGAGTGGCTGCGTCCCTCCGGCCGCTCCGGCAAACGGCCATGCGACCTACGTTTCGTGCTTCTGCCAGTCAAGCCTGCTCTCGAATCTCCATAATACCGGCGACGGAACTTGCGACGACACGTGCTCTAGCGCCTCCGATCGTTCGTTGCTGCAGAAATGGTACAGCGACTACTGTTCCTCCGGGGGAAAAACCACGACCGCCTCCTCGTCGACCAAAACGTCTTCCGCTCAAAAGGACTCGGCGACCTCGACGAATACCGCCAAGGCCAAGGCCCAGAATGATGACCCCGCTCCTCCGTCCTGGTAGGTGATTGTTCCGTTGTCTGCTTGAAGTGCCGGGGAATCATATCGCTAACTGTTGACGGTGTAGGTGGTCATCTCATTACCAGTGGATCATCATGGTGATCGTCCTCATCGTCGGTTTCACCATCATCACCGTGCTGGGAGTCTGGCTAAAGCGGCGTCACGATGCCAAGTACCCCAGCCTCTACCATGCCGCCGGCACCGGAAGTACCGACAGTGGCCTGCTTTTCAATCGTGGGCCAAATGCCACCCCCAGTCCTGCCCCCGGTCAGCCTGGCGCCCCTCCGGGCGCCTGGGCTGCTAATCAGGCCCCGGGCCAGGCACAGCCGGCCGGCTATATGAACCCGGATTCGGTCGCTGGCAGTTCTCGCACAGAAGCCGCCGTTCCTCCGAGTCGGCCAAGTCGAACGCCGTCGCGTTTGCAGAAGAGCTCGCAGCCTGCGGACGAGGGTGATATCGAAATCCGCGAAGTCCCTCGGTGATAATGAACCTACCTATTTGACGTTGGCTAATCCCTTTTCCTTTCATTCTTCTTACCCCCGGAGCCCATCTCTCCAACTTGAAACAATCATTTGTCTGAGCCATGCCGGATCCGGACACGACTTATGTGAATTGTCTGGATCTAGAGCTTCTTAATATACAGAGCGGATTAATCATGAGACCGTCTCATGATATTCGCCGCCTGCTCGTTGCTTTCTACAACAACTTCCCTGCTAATGTTGCATATATCGGGCGTTGCGTATCTCCGGTTGGCTTTTGATAAAATCTATCGCGTACAGCTACTTGTGTTCGAGTCTTCCGCGCGGTGTTTGTGAATATTTACCTTTCTTTCTTGGCGCCGTCACCCCTTGCTCTTAATTTCTATCATTTTATTGTATCCTTTTACTTTTTGTCTGGCTGCGAGACTAGTCCTCGGACGCCATGTCATTTGTTTTGCTGACCTCATGGATGACGCCGACTCGGTATGAATCATAATGAATCCTCGGAGGCCTGATTGGCCCGTCCGGTTATATTTTGATATGTGGCTCTCTCTGGAACAATGGATTTTGTATCGAGGAGAGGCATGAACAAAAAGAAAGATTACATTGCTGATGATAGGATTGCGTAGTATATTTTACAAAGTAGGCTGAGAGATCTATATCAACGCCGGCGTAATAAATCTCAATACATCCGTCATTATCGTTGCAAGAAAATAAAGACAAGAAAGTCGAAGCAAGCAAAACGCCTCCGAGACCTAGATCCATCGATATCTCATGATACCGTGATGCTGACGATCTTGATGTCATGTTCCGGCTTTTCCTTAAACGTCTTCGTATTCTCGATCTTGTGCACAACGTCGAGACCCTGAACGGCGCGACCAAACACCGTGTGCTTGTTATCGAGCCAGCTCGTCTTCTCTGTCGTGATGAAGAACTGGCTGCCGTTGGTGTTGGGCCCCGCGTTGGCCATGGAGAGCGTGTAAGGCTTGTCGTGCTTCAGACTGGAGAACTCGTCCTCGAATTCGCCGCCCCAGATCGACTCGCCGCCCGTGCCGTCGCCCATGGGATCACCGCCCTGGATCATGAACTTGCGGATCACACGGTGGAAGATGGTGTTGTTGTAGTAGCCATTGCGCGCGTGCGTGACGAAGTTCTCGACGGCCTTGGGCGCCGCCGATGGGAACAGCCGCAGGTGGATGTCGCCCATCGTGGTGTGCAAGATCGCCGACGTGCCCAGTTCCTTCGCCTTTTGGGCGGCGGTTTCGCGGCCACTGGCCGCTTGCGCCGGCCGTTCGTTCTGCACGTCTCGCGAGGACTTGGACACCTCGGTCTCGTTGGTGAACAGGTAGAACCGCAGCTTGGCGTACCCCGTGCTGACGAGGATAGGGTCGCGCTCCTCGGCCTCCTGGAGGAGGGGATTCGAACTGGCAGCCATGGAGACGGTCATCACGCCCTTCCGCTGCGGTTGCCCTTGGTACATGGCGAGGTTGAGTGCCCGGAACGGTTCGTCTTTGGCGTAGACGCGCACGACGCGGTTGGTGTAGGTGTTGATACACTTGACGCCGTATAGGGAACCATAGAGAATGAAGTGTCCGGACTCGTCGAAAATGACGTTGACTCGGGGCTGAGTGACGGGGTTCTCGATTTCGCGCTCCACCGCGAGCCGACGGCCGAACTCCAGCTCGTCCAACTGGTAGATGGCGGTGCCGGCCTGCTGCATGTCGGTGATGGTAGAGAGTGACTCGTCATATTTGCGGTGCAGTTTTCCACTAGGGAAGTCGAATACACGAACCTGACGGTCGGGGAAAGACATCGCGGCGAACTGCTCGCCGGAGGGGGAGATGGTCAAGGAGGTCGGAGTCGATTTGGATTTTTTAAATTCAAACAGGTTGGTGGACGACTTCAGCTCAAACACGTTGTCGGGCTTCTCAAAGGAGCCATCGCCGGCTCGCCAGTATTCGATCATGCCCGATTCATCGGCGGAAACCACGCAATCGTACGCATCGTTGAAGGCAATGGCCGCTACGGGGCTTCGGTGGACGGACTTGACGGTATGCAGGGGGGTGACATTCTCTCCACGGCCGTCAAAGATTTGAATCGTGCTGCTGCCCTCATCCGTAACGGCCAGCAGCGGTAGCGATGCGCCTCGGCGATGTACCCAACAGACGCAGCGCGGAGTGAATTCGAGAGTAATCATGGCTAGTAAATCTGCAATGGCGCATCGTTTGTTAGCCAAGCCCACCTCTGCTCCAATCGCGAACCTTCTATAGACGTACCAAACGTAATCACATCGAAGATCTTAACCGTTTTATCGCTCCCCGTCGTCGCAAAACTCCTGCCGTCAGCGCTGACGCTGACACTCCTCACTTCGCCGTTGTGAGCCCGGAACTCTTTGACAAACTCGACACCGACCGCCATTTTCTTCCAGAACTTGACAAAGCCGTCAATCGACGAGGTGATTAGGAAATCGGTGTGCGGCGATATGGTCACGAACGACAATTGGTCTTTGTGCATGAGCGATTTGGAGTATCGAGGCGAGGCAGGCAGCGCGTTCACATAGACCTTCTCGAAGGGGAGCTTCCGTCGTTTCTTCTTGGGCGCATCGGCCGAGGGAAGGGCAGGGCCAAAATCATCGTCAGAAGAGGAATCATTTCCTAGAAGCAAGCCGCCAGTAAGAAGAAGGGACCGGAATATTTGCGCAGCGAAACGCTGTAAACGTACCGTCGTCCTCAGCGCCGTCGACGGCGGAGTGCGGTCTCTTGGATGTGAGAGGTTGCGAGCGATCGTCCTCAGCAGCCATGGTATAACACAGGAAATGAGTAATGTCTAAGTAAAGACTTAATACAAGAAAGAGAGTGAGATCGAAGGAGATGGAAGGGAAGCTGGAGCGTTGATCGTTGCAGTCGAGCAGCGCAGGCGGTCTGCGGGAGCTCGGGCCACATCGCGAACTTTTCTGGACGTCCCGCATTCTTCTCTCTTCGATACTTCCTGTCTCGTCTCCCCTGAGCTGCCAGTCTTCCTCCCCGACGGTAGCCATTTATCTCTCGCCTTTCTAATTACTCCCCCATCATGGTGCGTGGATCAATCTTCTCGGTCTCTCTTGATGCTTCTAGCTGACAATTTTGTAGGCGTCCTTCGCCAACCCCACACAGATCTTTGCGGACGATGTCATCGAGGAGAAAGGCGAGAACGCTCGTCTCTCTGCCTTCGTCGGTGCCATCGCCGTTGGTGACTTGGTGAAGAGTACTCTAGGTCCCAAGGGAATGGACAAGATTCTTCAGTCAGCGTACGTGAGACGATCTAGGGACCCTGGATGCGGGGCATTCCGATTCGGTTGGGCAATTTATGTACTGATGGTCTAAACGAATCCAGCTCGACCGGAGAAATTCTCGTTACCAACGACGGTGCCACGATTCTCAAAGCCATTGCTCTCGACAACGCCGCCGCCAAGGTGCTGGTCAACATCTCGAAAGTTCAGGACGATGAAGTCGGTGACGGCACGACGTCCGTCACCGTGCTGGCGGCCGAGCTGCTGCGTGAGGCGGAGAAGTTGGTGAACCGCAAGATCCATCCCCAGACCATCATTGAAGGTTACCGTATAGCCAGCCGAGCCGCTCTCGAGGCCCTGGAGAAGGCCGCCGTCGACCGCAGCGCCGACATGGAGTCGTTCCGTAAAGATCTCCACTCGATCGCCCGAACGACCCTGAGCTCCAAGGTCCTGGCCCAGGACCGCGACCACTTCGCCACCCTTGCCTGCGATGCCGTCCTCCGTCTCCGCGGCTCTACCGACCTCAGTCACATCCAGATCATCAAGAAGGCCGGCGGCAAGCTCAACGATTCCTACCTCGACGAAGGATTTATTCTCGACAAGAAGATCGGTGTCAACCAACCTAAGCGCCTCGAAAATGCGAAGATTCTAGTCGCCAACACCGCCATGGACACGGACAAGGTGAAAATCTTCGGTGCGCGGGTAAAGGTCGACTCGACGGGCAAGCTGGCCGAGCTGGAGAAGGCCGAGCGTGAGAAGATGAAGGCCAAGGTTGAGCGGATCAAGTCCCACGGCATCAACTGCTTCGTGAACCGTCAGTTGATCTACAACTGGCCCGAGCAGCTGTTCACGGAAGCCGGCATCATGTCCATCGAACACGCCGATTTCGACGGTGTCGAGCGACTTGCCCTGGTGACCGGTGGTGAGATCGCCTCGACGTTTGACCACCCCGACCAGGTGAAACTGGGCCAGTGCGATGTCATCGAGGAGGTTATTATCGGCGAGGACACCCTGATCAAGTTCTCCGGCGTGGCTGCCGGCCAGGCCTGCACTATCGTCCTGCGCGGTGCCACCGAGCAGCTGCTCGACGAGGCCGAGCGCTCGCTGCACGACGCCCTGGCCGTGCTCTCTCAGACCGTCAAGGACCCTCGCGTGACGCTGGGTGGTGGCTGTGCTGAGATGGTCATGTCCAAGGCCGTGGAGCAGGCCGCGCAGAACACCACGGGCAAGAAGCAGCTGGCTGTCGACTCGTTCTCGCACGCTCTCAAGCAGCTGCCCACCATCCTGGCGGACAACGCCGGTCTGGACTCCAGCGACCTGGTGACGCGACTGCGACAGGCGATCAACAACGGCATGACCAGCTCCGGACTGGATCTGCTGTCGCCGGGAGGCGGCATTGCCGACATGCGTGAGTTGGGCGTCGTCGAGAGCTACAAGCTGAAGAAGGCAGTTGTGTCTTCGGCATCGGAAGCGGCAGAGGTAAGATGCTCCCAGTATACAAATATTTGCCAACATTAGCTGACCAGAATCAATCGCAGCTGCTTCTGAGAGTGGATAACATCATCCGGGCCGCTCCTCGCCGACGTGAGCGGATGTAAAGAAGCTAGGAACGAAAATGTGAATGATATACTCCCCATTTTAGATCAGGCCACAATGAACGGAGCCGTTGGTTCTTAATTATTCTTTCCCCCCTCTCTTAGTCTGTATCTGAGCACAGAACTGGGTTTCCTTCCGTGCTGGAGGAAGGTGAATGGCGAGTTCTGCTCTGTTCAAGGCGTAAATCACAGTGCGATAGACCCCTTGCTTGGCGAATCAAAAGCATGCTATGAACTGTTTATACCGTCGGTTAGGTTTTGTGTCCAATGGGCTTGGGTCTGATATCGTAAATAAATTGCTCTACCTAATGATACGTTGTCCCCAATGTCTATCTAGGTATTACCAATGTCGAAGGAATCAAAGCATATGTCGTGTATGCCTATAGCTCTTGCACGGCATCGCCATCACCAATTCCATGCCACCAAATCCCGCCAGTCGCGAGACGCCTCCTTCGATGACGGAGGCAAATGGCCCTCCCACGAGGACATCGTCTCCCCCACCGTCAGATCCCTCGGCTTGACGCCGCGGCCATGCAGGTTACGAAACATGTACACGCCGCTGCCGTCCATGCCGGAGCTCTCCTCGACGAACTGGCAGTCGCGCAGGTTACGGAACAGGGCCGTCATTAGCGGCGTGGCGCGGTCCGCCCGGTAGTGCTTGCCCATGTCGGTGGCCTCGTAGGCGTCATGGAAAGGGATCGTAGAAACGAGGTGGTGCAGAACGTGCGTGCCTACGATCCCGTGGAAGAGATGCTTGTCGACGTCGAAGCCGTATAGCTTAAAGTTACGGTCGATTGTGGCCGCGCCACCGGCGAACGACCACTGGGAATGGGTGCAGTGAGGTAGCGTGCCGTCGCTGTGTTGGAGGTAGGTGATTGTCACTTTTTATTTCGAGGGAAGAGAGGGTGAGGTTAACCTCGGATGATGGTGGAGGATGGGGGAATCATCGATGTTCACTTACCGATCCATTGGTTCAGCCAGAGGTATGGGATACCGAAGAAGATAAAAATTGTCCAGAGGTCGAACAGCTGGACGGTAGAGAACAGCACGGCGGACATCAAGAGTACTCCGACGTCGCTAAGAAAGATGGAATGCAGCTCCGACTCCTTGTATAAGGCGCTGTCGGCCCCGAACCAGTAATGACTGTGCTGAGGAAACCCAGACGCCGCCTTCTGGCCGCTCAAGTTGTCCAACATGTATAAGGGCCAGCCAAAAAGTTGAAACAGCAGGCAGTGCCAGAGGGTCACAAGGGGGACGTCTTCGGTCAATTCAGCCACGCTAATACTGTGGGGGTCGACGTCCTGCCCGAGGGCGCTTCGCGTCCAGTACTTGGTAGCAGTTAGCAGCGCTTCTGCCCTGAAGAATGCGAGACAAAACCGACATTCGACTGTGCGGAACATAAGCTGTGTCTCGCTGCAAGTCGCCCGTGGACTTGTGATGATGAGAGTAAGAGATCTTCCAGCTGTAGTACGGCACCAGCAGAGAGGAGTGCAGCAGGAAGCCGACGACGCTGTTAAGAGTCTTGGATCGAGAGAAGGCCCCATGACCAAATTCATGAGCTAGGATCCAAATCCCGGTCATGATCATGCCTGCAACCACGGTATACAGACCGTAGACGATGGCTCGCAGATGGACCGACGGTATTAGAGGAGTGTAGACGTAGACCGCCCAAACCAAGGACCCGAGCAGGAGGTAGTCCCGCATGACATAGCTCATACTGCGGGCAATTGATGGGCGAAAGCAATGCGCCGGGATAGCATCGTGAATCTGCTTCATGGTAATAGTTGGGACATCAAAACGATGCCATGGAGGTCCACATGCTTTGGAACATGATGTGCCACTGGCTTCTTTGTCATCGTGCTGGCAATGAACAAGGGTGGATGCAGGTGGAGCCAACACCACCGGGGTATAACACAAGAGCAGAGCATAAGAGAGAGGCTGAGTGTAGAGATACAGTGAACAATGCCGCTCCCACGACTACCCTAGGCGAGCCATCCGCCCTCTTTAAAGCCGTCCCATGGGATACATAACCATACCAAGCGAGCGAGTGGAACTGGGTATAATTTTAGAGGTCGGGTCTGGCAGTGGATGAATCACGCCAGAAGCGTGTATGCCTGACACAATATCACTCGTCCAAAGAGTACATTCAGAGGGTATTCGACTCGAGTCATTTCCATAGCACAATGTGACGCGAAGGAATGAAGTATAGAGTGGCCGAGCCCAACCGGCCCAAGGCTGACGTCTGAGCAGAGCTGATTCTGTCTGGGCGGGCCTGGTCAACACGATCCTTCTATAGTGTCTGTCAGCTTGCCACGAGGGAATACGATGATAATCGCAACGGACTTGCCATGTGGTGAGCGCGATCGCTGCAGCAGGTCTCCATGATATCCACAGACTGTACTAGTATTCCATCCTGCAATAATCGATCAGGCAACCAAATCAATGACTTTTCATGACACACTGCATCCTTCCCAATCATCCGAGTAACCTCCAAGCGGTGAATGTGTTAGTTTCCTAATTTGGGTTTTTTCAACACGGGGGGACGACAGAAGAGACTCTCCCGCCACCAAGTTCTATACTACCGTGGGTTACTCTTCTTTTACCCTTCCTTCCTAACAGCCAACAGCTCACGCTCACTCGGGCTACTGGTTTTATCAGCTACTGCGATGGAGCACAATGAAATTGGCTACAAAAGCATGATAACAAGACCCTTGGCTGACCGGACGCGGACGCGGAGTCAGATCTCGCTGACGGTGTTTGCTCGCGTCAGGTTCACTGTTTCTTTAAACGCCCATGGAAGGTTCCATGCGGTGGCGGTGTTCTTGGATGTCGCCATCAACCTTGATCAAGACCTCAGTTAAAGTATCCACTGCTATAGCAGGATAAAGACGACGGAGTTCGCCGACGGCTCGATCAAATTGCGCCTGGTTATCACGCGCGTTTTGAACGTTACGGTCACGGTTCGCACCTAAACCGTTAGAGGTACCTTGTCTGATGGCGGGGCACTCATCTGCAACATCCTGGTCAATACCATCTGGATATACAGTTTTCGCCTTCTTTGGACCCTTGGATCAGAGGTCGCCGGACGCCTGTTTCTCCGAAACCGGACTACATTCGATGCCATTGTTGGTCTTTTCAACCTCTTTCCCTTCTGGCATGTTCTGCTCAGCCCCTCTATGAAGAAGGTGCTGGCGAGACTGAACGTCAGGCCCAATGGTATTCTCTGATTGAGAAACCTGCCTTTTGTCCGCTCCCCACAATGCAAACGAAGCAACCGATCCGCGGCGCCCTTAAGGACCCTCGAAGGGTACCATCGGGAGATAGAAGAGGTGAAAGTAGTAGAAACAAAACTAGGAGCGGGAAAGTAAGAAATGTAACATCGTAGCAGATAGCTAGCCAGCAGATGAATGGTGGGATGTGAAGTTGATCTTTTGGGAGGATTTTATGCACTTTTCCCCCAATATGGTCCCCCAAAGTATCTAGGCTATACGTTCATTATTCTCAGCCTCAGGAAGTACGACTCGCATTTACTCCGTAGCCCCCGCTATCTATAGTAGGTAGTACAGTACATGTAACTATGGAATTAGACCGGGGGCGGTGGCCGAGTGGTAGGACTCGGTCATGGTATCCCTTAGTGTTGCATAGAAGAAGTGGGCTCTCCTCTTTGCAATGCTAATGGTCACGGTCGAATCCCGACGCTCTCTCCTACCAACATCTGCTTAAAGAGTTAACGGATTGGCGCCGCCGTGACTGTAGGGCCGCCGTGCCACGCGGGTACTAGTCCCCGAGATCGACGGCTAAGCTTTGGGCAGCACAACGGTTCCTGTGCCCGGGTACCTGGGGTATCCGAATATTTGTGGAGGGTTGGAAAGAACAATTAACGAGGCCGTTCTTGGGCTCCATCAGTACCACTAGTTGTTGGGACAGGCAAGCCCTGTCGCTCGGCTACTATATCTACCAGCTTGTATCATTTTCGGTGTGGCGGGGCCATGCCGGTGCTGCCAGTGCGTTCGTTGCCTCAGGCCCACTAGTTCCACCCCGCGGTCTCGCTTCTTCGCGCCGGAGGTCGTGCGCGGCGCACTTCAATGCTTCCTCGAGCCAGCGCCGTGTTATCATTAGCGCTCACCTTTCCAAGACGGGACGGATACTTGGCCATGCCATTGTGCTGACGGCGGGCACTTACGGCGGGCTCCTGGAGAGGACTATCGCTAAGTATCACAGAACCAGCACATCGAGAGCTCTTTCTTGATAGTCCAGTTGCGATCGCATATATGGCATACTAACTCGACCCTAAAAGCGAAGCTCCAGGCCAAGTACAATGTCCGCTCTATTCCCACGCGCCACGACGACGAGATTACAGTGGTCCAGGGCTCCCAGAAGGGCCGTAAGGGCGAGATCAAAATGACCACCCAGAACCGTGGTCTCGCTTCTTCACGACCCCCCAAGGAGCTTCTTTCAATCTCTTTCAAGACAACTATCCAGAACCGCGGAAACGACAACACTAGTGTTGAAGACCTTGCGTGGCTGAGAACTGAATTCCTCGGCCTGGATGTGGCACCGTATGAGAGGGCTTTGGGGTTGTAGATCAGACGGAAGTTCTCACCAGGGCTTTCTACACTATACTGATGGAATTCTTTAAGTCAACACGGATATTTAATCGTGTCATTTCATACACCCTCTGCATCCCTTTGCGTACCACATCGGCAGCCGAGATGTTCCTCAGAATACCAGCGCCATTCGGTCTTCACTTTCGAAACCGGGCCAACGAACATTACTATGCACGTGTTGGAATATAGTACCCTGGTAAAAGGACTATACCTCCTTAGGAATAGGCGAAAAGCCACGGAAGCGTAGAAGACCTTTTCTGATTTTCCTGCGGGCCAGAATCCTATCCATCTGCAACGACAGAGTCCATCATGCAAGTCCAGCGCCTCAGGCCATCGATATAAATGCGAATAATTTCTGATTCCCGCGGACCGGACTTCTATCGTCAGCCTGACCAGTATCTCTGTCACGACGAAAGCCTATCATGCAAACCCAGCGCCCACTCCTAGCAGATATTCTTGTCCGTGTGTTCATCTTTTCTAGTTTTCCCTTTGGTTCATCATGTAGTCGCGTAGTATCGGGTAGAAGGAAAGCGAAGGGAGGATTTTGATAGGAAAGAAACGAGGGAAAAACCGAGCATATTAGGACGCTTATTCGGAAAGTCGCAGCCTAAATTCCGGTCGGATAAGGCCAAGCATTAGCCTCTGTATCGCTCCAGTAACACAATCACGGGTCTATCGGATGTTTTCACCTTCTTCCTTCTTCTCCTCATCGGCCTCAGCGGAAGCCGCAGCGGTATTCCAGGAGGCAGGGGCAGCAACAGCGGAAATAACGAAATATTCTTGCCTTTAAGAGCCTATAGATACCCAGAAGTGTAAGCATACGATCGCATTTCCAATTAATTCAAAACTCGCAAGACATAACGATCACTCCATAGGTCGAAACTCCATTCCGGGATGTAACTTACCTTCGCGAAAATAGAAGTCCAAATGGGTTCTCGGGAACCTTGGCAATATTAATAAGAGACTGCAGCTTATCGGCCCTGCCGGTAGAGAACAGAACTGTTGCATTGTAGATTGCTCTTTATCAATAACCGGTTTAATTAGTTAAAATGGAAACGGGCACTCACACTCACCTCGAGTGTACCAGTCCTGGAGCTCAAGCATACAAGAGGGATGATCAAATAGACCGAATTTAACCTTGGTATTCATTAAACTAACTAGAAACGAGCATAGACACAGAGGCCGTTACTGTTAGCAGTCACCTACGTGTGTGGTCCTTACACAAACAAACAGCCCGCTACCCCGAATGTAATCAGCACGACAAAGCAGACCATGACTGAGAGTGGTATATGGTCATGGCCACATTGAAAGAATCACTGACTTGCAAGTGGTCCTCATAACTGTTCGGAAGATGTCCACTTGAGACCCCCGAAGGGCCCAGCGACTAGGCTGCGAGACACTGCTGCCACTACAGAGCCACACTCATGGTGATGTCGTCACCGGGTTCCGTATCGACAAAGTCAAAAGAGCCGTCCTCGCTGAGCAACTCATCTTCTCCAAATGGAGGGAGGGTGTCTGGGAGATCGACATGCGCACTTTCAGGAACAGTAGTATCGGTATACACAGTCCGAGGGGCAGAGTGGCTAGCACGAACACTGGGAGGAGCAGAGCGGGTAACGTGACTACCACGGGGAGGACTCCAGCCGACGTGAGTGCCGCGAGGAGCAGGATCATCGACATCAGCGGCATGAGGGGCAGAATCATGGCCCGTCTTTCTCTCCTTCTTCCAAGGGCCGCGTGTTTTTGTCTTCAAATGATGTTAGCAACCCTGAGTCTTTCAAACACAATCGACGACATACCTCCAGAGCCTTCGCAGCTACAGCATTACTTTTCAGAAGGTCGCGATATGCGTTTCTGTCCGGGCAGTTTTCTTGCTTGTGTCCGCGTCGACCACACTGGAAACACGTGTGCTCGTCCTGGAATGCATCAATTAGTATACGTTCTATGAGCTGAAGGGTCTTCACTTACTTTGGCCATATTGACAAGAGCAGAGGAAAGTCTCCACAGATGAAGTACGATGGTTGAGGCTGTTTCAAAGTGGTGACCAATGATGGACGAGCTCTCGACACAGAGTCGGGGTGGAGAAGTCGAGGCTGGAGGAAGGAAGAAGAAGAGGGGAGAAGGGAGAAGGGAGAAGGGAATCCGAGCTACTTGGGTGGGCGGCGGAGGGAGGCGCTAGTGGTAAGGGACCTCAGGGCTCGCTTCGCCCAATCCGGTGAATGGGCTAGGTTCATTGTTGACAAGGGCTTAGGGAAGAGGGGTAGAAGCAAGTTAGGTAGATGTCCTAATTGTCCCACTTGATCCTATCGTCATATGTCTATGGAGCTACTTGAAAAAGTCACTAGAAGAAAGCTGAAGGTGTTCGGATCAGATTGATGTACATTATATCATGATAATCCCTGATCTTCGCTATGTAGCTGTAGTCTGAACGTGTATGGTATGGTCATCTTTGTTGATCTGGCGGGTGTTATCTTGGATTGCCACCGTATTTGATCTTATAGACAAAGACACCATGCTACTATCAGTCAGTCAAATATCAAGTTCTTCTCCTCGCAGGAGGTTGTCAGGCTTTTGTTTTGTCGTCAACACGAACGCGCAACCCTGATGTCGAGGGACAGAAACACAACCCCGTCATGAAGAACTAAAGGGGGGTTGTGTTGCAGCTTGAACTTATTCTTTCATCGTAGATGACTCCTGGCAAAGGCTTACAATTAAACTCTATCACTACCTCAATCCCCAAGATCCCACCACAGCCAAGCTGCTGCAAATCAAGCATCCCAAAATCGAGAAAGTGCTAAAAGCACTAGGACGACATGTCCAATACATCCATGTCTATCCATTGACTTCCAGTCGATGGGAGAGTAGCCCGGAACAATGACAAGCAAGATACGCTGCCTTAAAGCTATTGCTCACAGTTCATGTTTTTTATAAGAGGACCTGCCAAACACGGAACGATAGAATGCTAAATGTAAGGTGTTCTTGTTCCAACGCACAGTTTGAAAATGAATTTCCTTCACAATCAGCCTGATGCTTAGACCAAGATAAACCCCTGTTTGCCTTTGTTCGGAGGGTTACAGATTCTTTGCCTAGGAAGGGTCTGCTTGAATGCGGAGGTTTAGAGCTCACCTCTGGAAATCTCAGCTTAACACTTGGGTATGAGGTAGTAATGACGACCATTGAGGTTATCAGCGCCGCTGATCAAGAGCAGGAACAAGGCCAAAACCTAGAATAACATTTAGAGTGTTATGTACAAAAAATAATTGAAAATAAGGCGCAAAGAGGAGCAAAAACAAATAATAGCTGCGCCATGGCTGGACATTTATATCGGATTCTCCATGCTTTGTAGATGAAATGTTGGGGGGCTGGGCACACTGGATCGTTCGCGTCTGTCGTCGTGGGTAAACGGCAGCTCCCAGCCCAGATTGCCTGGATAGTTCGCGCGAGAAAAGCGATTGAACAGCATGATTGATCGCCGTTTTGCATTCATGTAGCTGTTCTTCGGCAGAGCCTGATTCGCTGATAATGGCCGGATCTCGGCTGGACCCGAGGGGTCCACCACTGGGGGCACGCCGGCGGCGGTATAAATGGCGTTGAGGGCGGGAATGGAGAGCCCGTGGACGAATATAGAGAAGAATACGAGCCAGTAAACCGCTGTGAATGTATTAGCTTAGAGACTGAGGAGCACATTCGTGTACCTACTCGGTCCAATAGCGCGCATCAGTTGGGCCTCTGCCTCGTCACCGTTGCCGGGCTTAGGAAAAAGATGCCGCGTATGCTCGACATAGAAAACGGCCCCGATGCCTGATGTGATACGTCAGCTATGCTTGCCTTGCCATCTGGAATGGCATACGACGGCTACACTCTCACCGATAGGTCCGAAATACCCCATGAAAAGGGCTTCTTTCCAGTTCTTGCACACTCGCGGCATTAGCTTGTATAGGAGCAGGATGCTGGGGATGCGCCGCAGGAGCAACACCATCAGCCCCAGGAGAATTAAGCGAGGGTAGGTAATTCCAGTCAGATCCGGCTGGTGAAATTCATCCCATGGAAAGATGGCTCCGATGTACATGAACCCGCCGAAGTTGAGCAGAACATCGATACTGGCGTTGACTTCGTCATGGCGGGCCTCCGTCTCCGCCAAAAAGCCCCCGTCCCAGTTCAGAGCGCTGCCGGCGCAGAAGCAGGCAATTAAATCGTTAGTGCCTATGCAGCCACATGTGCCCAGTATAAAGAGCTATGAGAAATTGTCATGAATGATCAGTGAAAAGCTCGATAGTATCTCTTCTGGAGCCATACTTACTCCAAGAGCTGTAGGAAAGAGAAGATAGCTTTCGCTATCAATCCACCTCCTGCAGCGCGGTTAGCTTTCGATCTTCTTTCCTCTCGCTTGTGCCAATTTAACCATCACTCACCGCCGCAGCGTGAACCGCAAAGCATGAAGCGCGGCATATCCTACCACCACACCATACAGGGCCCCCAGCACTACGTAGTAGAGCCATGTTTCAACCACCCAGTTGCCCAGTGCTTCCCCGACACCCCCACCCTGACGGCCAACATCGCCTGCCCTTGCCAGCAGTTGACCGGCATGTGAGTCTTGAGACCCGTGATATCCTTCGCCTTGTGCATGTCGCATTATGTATGTGGCTAGCATGAGAAAAGGAAACCCAAATCCGTCGTTGATGCCTGCCTCGGAGGAAATGATCTCACGCAACTCGCGCGCCACGTACTTGTCGGCAAACGGTCCTTTCGCTACCGCCTGGGATAGGATTGGGTCTGTGCAGGTGACGCAGGAGCCGATTACCAAAGCAGACACCTAGATAACATCAAGTCAGGTTAGCGGGGCCATTCAGGGTCATTGACTATCGCATCCTCTTACAAATGGCATGTTGGGGATGGAAGCCATGACACATCCCGAGGTGAGCAGCCACATCAACGTCATGTTGGGAATCAGGCAAATGAACATTTCTTTCCAGTGGTAGCGTTGGTATTGGGCCGGTAGTTGGTAGCCGGCCATCACTAATTGCACCCCAATAGCGACGCGGCAAAGGCCCTGATAACCGATCAGCAATTCCACCAACCAGTTCACCAAAGGGAAAGATGGGATCTGTTACGTACCAAAGTAATTGCTTCCTGTTGGTCTCTGACGGCCGACCCCCATTCTGTTGCATCTAGCAATTTCGCTGCCGCGGGACCTAAAATTATGCCTACCAGGACCGCCGGTACTGGGTATTGCTAAGCAGAATGGTCTGTGTCAAGAGCACAGACAATACTTACAAGCTTCCCCCAGATACCAGAAGCTCTTGATCTTGACAGAGATGACGCCGTAGAGGAGCATGAACCCTCCTATCGTCTAGGTTAGGGCCCGCAGACCAGGATGAGAGCGACAAAGAACATACCTAGAACTGCGATCACCACATTCAGCTCGCTCACGTCCAGCGTGGGCATCTTCAGGAAGTATGTGTCGTGTGTACAGGCGCTATGGGTTTTGCAGGGCAGCAAGGTCCACGAGATTATCCAAGGGGTATTTATTTTGTCGGAAGGCACAGATGTAGTCTCGATGAAATGACACGCCATGCAGAGAAATGCCCAAAAGATATCTCCTGACCCTCAGGAGATAGAAAGACGGCATTATGGGTAGGTACCATGACCCTGCATGGAGAACTAGCTTCTGCGTGTTTTTCCTCCTTTTTTTTTTTTTTTTTCTTTTTCTTTTTCCCCCCTCGCCTGTGTCCTGCTTCTCACAGAACAGGCAGCGCAGTTCCTGCTGATCAACATGCCCCTGATCCCATGGCATTTTCTGTTCCAACATTAGACGCCAACGTAACGGAGCTTGGCCACCCAATAGGGCTGGTAATGCTGCGCTCTTGGCAAGCAACCGGCCACCGCGGCATTCTCGCCAAGACATCCGCCCAGTCGCTCATTGATCAAGTCATCCGTCAGCCAAGATCTCCGCCCGACGCTGCCCAGAGCCGATCAGCGGCAGGACCTCCTGCTCCAAGTGACACTATTCGGGAGGATTCGGTGTAACCGAGTTTCCTGACTGCCAGGCGGTGGGGATGGGTGCCTTTCCCCGTCATTGGGAGGCATTTGTCCCTTTCCCGGCTTCATCCCACATGAATGCAAGTGACTCTTAACCTGATTTCATGGGAGAAAGAGCTGCTGGTGCCCTCAGCCCTGTACGTATGTTGAAGCAACGCGATACAACTTGAGCTGGCGGGATATGTTATCCATGGATTGTTTTTCTGAAATTTCTGCCGTACCCGAGCGCCATGGCTGAAAGAGAACTTGGCAGTCTATATAGACCTTCACAATCGAAAGCTGAAGAGATTCAGACAACCTTCAGATCCGTACAGTTTCGTCATTGGGTACCAGGCTCTGCATTTACCATTTATCCTGCATGCTTGGTGTTCCCAGCCAATTGCTTGATGTTCATTCCAACAGGGACTCTCCGTGAGACTGATTCTCAAAATCTGACGCAGACCATCTCATTCGTGCTTGGCTGGCACTGGACATGGAATCCTAAGGGCGACCGTCTTCAGATATAGCACACCAGGACTTCGGACTCCTCGATCAGCCCGTCAGGTCTGAGGCATCCGGTTCTCCGCTCTGCAAACCAGTCGGCAACTTTGCCAGGGGCTTTCTGTCGACAAATCTGTCGAGGGTGAGCAATGTTGGTCTCCTTTGCAAAACTGCGAAAGACTTTTAGATTTCTCGTCCATAAATTTTGTGGGGTTGTCAGTGTGTATGGATGATTTGGACACAAATAACCGGGCGAGGGGAGGAATCAACAGACGTGGTGGAAGCGGCACAAGATTGCATAGCTGAGTCATGTTATGCCTCTGGTGTGCATAATATCCCGTGTGACCCGTAACCATCTCCGTCATCGCTCCCCATCACCACCATCACGCTCTATTCTTCTCAGTCCCCCAATTATCCTCATGTTTACTCAATGTTACATGCCCGAAACAAGTGAATCACTGCAAAGTCTCTCTTTTTCTCGCAGCGGGAGCAAACGCATGGCCGGTGATGTCATCGACCTCTACTACGGTGTACGCCCTTCGCCATGACGCCTTGCAGGAAGACTTAAGTTAACACGTTCTAATATGACACCACGACTACGCCAAAACCAGGCTCAATGCTTATCCTACTCGCCTACGAACATCCCTGATAGACTCTGGCGACCCACGGTTCGCACCATAATTGAGCTTCAATGACGACCCGGGGACCAAATAGTTCAACGACTCGTGATGTCAGAATTGCATGGCACCCGGATCTCTGATGTCCTCCCATCTTCTCGTTCTGGTGGGCCGGGCTTTCATATAACGTTCGCCTATCGCTGTCGAAGTCAATTGAGTTATCTGAAATCTACAATCCCTCTTAATTTACAAGCAATATATCAGCATGTCTTCCTCGGCTAAGGTGGAGAACAATGCTGTCAACGGCGGCACCGGCTCGCCCACCGTGCTGCGGGAAACGCTGGATCTAGTCTCCCAGGAGTGTCCCTCGCGCCTAGGAATTTCTGCCAACGAGGTTCAGGCCAAATCTTTAACAGTTGATGTCTTTTTCGATGCCATTGCCGCCGAAAGGCTTCGTCGCATGCCACCCGATGGCAGTCGACTTGACGGTGCTCTCTGTCGGGCTTCTCGCCTGGCATTTGCTGTTGGCTCTTTAAGAGACTCAGTCAATGGTTTCCTAGATGGCACAGATGAGGCCGCAAAGATGATCTGGGGAGCAACTCTGCTACTTCTTGAGGTACCTATCCCCATTTCTCCAATCGTCAACTCATCACATATCTAACCTAACATCCTTCTAGATCGGTATGGATCGTATCGAAACGCTAGACAGTATCTTTGGGCAATACGGTCGAGTGACTATGGGTATCTCCCTTTTGCTGCAACAAGAGAGCTACTTTCGCTCTTCTCGATCCCTTCAACAAGAGGTGGCCGAAATATTCGCTCATCTACTCCAAATGATCATGCACATCAGTATGGAGTATCGTCAAGGAGTGCGTAATCAAAACTGGCAGGCCGTTGGGGAGGCCGTGAATGGTTCTTTCTTCTGCTATTTTAACCGATTCACCGTTCACTGGCGCCGCATATCGCAGGCTGCATTTTCTACCGGAGTGGCAAACAAAACCGTCGCTGATTTCGCCTCCATTTATCAATTTCTCGAGCTCCAAGACCGTCCACTGCAGATGCTTCTTGACGGTCATAATCATTCTCTCACGGACGGCTCTTTTGCCTGGTTTGACCCCCATCTGACCACATTCACCCTGAGCCGCCGGAACCTCATGCTGGTGACCGGTCATCCGGGTTCAGGAAAGAGTGCACTGGCCCAGTGGACTGTGGGAAAGCTTCAAGGTTCGCCGGAATTTGACATTTGGAGTGTCGTTCCTGTTGCGATTCGGTCCGATGTGCCTATTACCACGCTGACACTAAGTATCCTAAAGAATATCCTCATTCAGATGCTTGATCACTGTGTCAGTAGTAGGGAAACCCAGGATCTGATTTTGCCTGCGGTTACCAAGGCTCTCGAATTGGCCGAAACGGGGGCCGCAGATCCGCAGGTGGAGGAGCAATTATGGGTGGCCTTGCGGACGGCGCTTCAGTCAAACCTCCAGTTCTTGCTGGTGGTGGATGGGATTGATCAGATCAAACATCCCAACGCTACAGTCGGCTCCTTCCTTCATCGTCTGCAGGAAGCTGTCTCGGAACGTAACTCGCCGTCCAAGTTGATTACGTTCAGCCGTCCTTTGGCGAAGGCGCAGATGCCGATGCGAGAAACCACCACGACCCATCAGCTCACAATGAATGCATCTTTAACCGAACATGACCTGCAGGGCGCCGTGGAAGATACGATGGCTTCGGACTCTGCCTTCTCCGGTCTGGACACTCTCCAAACAAGAGCCCTGTCGACTTCAATCGTTCCTCGCGCCCAAGGTTGTTTCGTCTGGGCGCAGCTAGCCCTCGAACTGGCACGACATCAGTCTACTTTCCCGGAAATGGTATCTGCTATCAAGAATGCTCCAAAGACGCTGGGAGACGTAATCGACCGTCATTTACAAGGAATAAACCTCCATCGGATGGGCATTCAGAGTGTTCTTGCTTGGTTGACGGCATCAGAGCGTCCCTTCCGTGTCCAGGAACTGGAGCATTTACTAGCAGTTGATGTCAAATCTCTCAAAGTAGCTACGCGCACACCGAATATTGACCGTGATATTCTGCAGCCGCTGACTCGTATTACTTTGGTGCGGGACGGATTTGTCTCCTTCCGACACCCCATGATTCGAGAGCATATTCAGGCGCGAGCCATAATGAGCCAGGTCGTTCCGTTCACCTTAGCTGAAGCCCACTACGATTTGTTGATTCGCTCGCTGGCTTGGGTACGACAATCGGTCTCTGACGAGGTGGCCGTCGCCTGGGATAAATTGGGTGTGAGCGCTCGCGATCGATACATGGACGCCTACGAGCTATTAGAATATACATCACGTTATTGGCTCTCCCATATGTTGTCCTCCCCTATCGCCATGTCCAATCGCGAGCTATCTTTCACGGGACCTTTCCGCCGGGCCATGCCGACATCGGTCATTTTCGCTCAGTTAGAACTTACCAACCGTGAATCACAATTCAGCCGCTCGAGCATCGTGGAGCTGTATCGCCTATCTGTTGTGGTCCGACGTGGAGTCCTGGGCGATGATTCTCATGCTCTTCTCCAGAGTCTCATTCTAAGTGCTCGTGCAGCTGATCAGGCCAAAGCAACTTGGGCTAATGATCACTTATTTGAGGCATGGACTCGAAGCCGTGCTCTATATGGTCCCACGGACACCATCAGTCAGAGCTTGGAACAACTCTTGGTATCTACGCCGGAGGGCAAGGGCAAGGCGGATCGTTCCGCTGGCCTGAAGACTGAGGCGCTACGAGACATGACCCTGGCAAATTGGGGCTCATCCGACATCACGTTTGCTCAACGCTTGCAGTACCTGGATCGTCTGGTGAATCATTATAAGGGCAAGAATCAGAAGGAATTGGCCTACGACGTCTCAAAACAGTTTTACCGTCAAACTCTCCAGACCTATGGACTTTACTCATCCGAGACCATGCAGGCGGCTCAATTCCTGGAGCACCATTTTACAATCAAACCCCCCGATGAACTCGCACTGGAGCTTACTCGTGCTAAATATGAAAACACCGTGCGGTCGATGGATGTGACAGACCCGCGTCGTATTGCAGAAGGTCTCCGTCTGGCCCAGATGTATGAAGAGAGCAACCAGGCAGTCAAAGCTGAGGGAGTCTTGACTCGATTATGGTCGGCGCTCTCAGCCCGTGAGATCGATTCAATAAATTCATGGGACCAAAGAACCAAAGTCGCGTTTTATTTCTCGCAGTTCCTGCGGCGCCAGAGTCGTCCCGATGAATCAACTGCTCTTCTGCGTGAACTCTCAGCAGAGTTGGAAGAGGACGGTGGTGTCAAGTCACCTGAGATGGTCGAACGTGCAGAGGAGCTCCGGGTGGAAGCGCGAGAGATGGGTCTTGTCGACATGGACCGTGCCCTAGCATTGCAGGTATGGAAATATTATTATACGACTGGTCAGCAGTACTCCCCCGAGGCTGTACAACTCGCCGAAGGCCTTGCGAATGACCTCATTCCAACCAAGGCAATGGTCGAGAGCACGGGCATTCTTTCCCCGGAAGAGACCATTCTGCTACCGGGCTTGATTGATTCGATTGCGTCGGCCGGCACCAATCAACGAACGCTACCCCTTCTCGGGCTATGCCATCACCTCGCGACGCAGCACATTCGTGCGGAAGAATGGTCAGAGGGCAGCAAGTCTGCTTTGGCGGTCTTGAAGCACGCATGGCCCACTGTTGAAGACCCACAGTCCACGGCTAAGTTCCACTCAAACGAGGCCCCCACGATGGCCAACCTCGCCTTGGATCATGCTTACTGTCTCTTCCGCCGATTGCATGTACATACTGCCTCCGTGGTTTATGGTAATGCTTTCAAGGCCTCCATCACCGCGGATCAGGTTGCTGTTCCATCGGTAACCACGGTTGTGAAGACAGTTGTGGAATTCTACGAGACGACGTTTCAGTTCGAAAAAGCACTCGTTCTGTTGCATCAAGTCAGTGACTTCTTTGCCTCGCGTCTTGGCCAACATGACAAACACACTATCGACACTCGCTACTACGAAGGCGATCTGGCTTTACGCTTGAGCCGTCGTAGCGAGGCCGAGGATAGCTATCACAACATTTATACCGCCTGTATCCGAGACGGCAAGATTAGTTCTTCCGGAGTGCGCGCTTCTGTTGCACTCGTCGCGTTGTATGAGCAGCAGCAGAAGTGGGACGCAGCTCTAGAGGTCTACCGTCATCTGTGGCCAACACTCGTGCGGTTCGATGAGAGGGATGGCTACGACCGTGCGTTGCTGGAGGGTCTACTCCCGAAAACCTACGCCGGATATATGGCCATCTTGGACCATTCGACTATTCAGGGGGCTGGTGCCGAGCGCCACCAAGTCGCTTCACAACACCAACAGCTATGCCGCAAGCTCTATGGTGCTACCAACCCACGGACGCGAGATGCAACTCTCACTTTGGCCGCCCTATGTGCCAACAGCGCACGTCACACTGAGGCCGTGAACCTCTATCAGCAGGTTCTCAACACTAACGACTGGGTTTCTGCGTCTGAGGTTTCCCGCGGGTTGCCCGATATGTCGGAGCCGTTGCCCATCAGCATTAAACATCAAATGGCCCAGCTCTATATCCAACAAAACAACACGTCAAGGGATGCATACTCCTTGTACAACGAGGAGTTGGCTCTGGCTAAACAGCAGCAAGGACTATCCGCCCCGAACACACTCTTGTGGCTGCATGCAATCGCTAACATGCATGCCAAGCAAGGCAGTGTTGAATCCCGCAAACAGGGAGCTGCACTTCTTCGGGAGCATGTCGATGAAGTTGTCCATGTCACTACAAATCATGATACTCTGGTCGATCGCGCCCACCGCTTGGCTGAGATTTATCTGGAATGTGGCTATATTGAGGAGGGTAACCAGATGATCAATGACATGCGTCAGCAGGTTGTTCATGAGACTCCAGCTGCTCAACGGCAATCTTTGGTTGAGTACCGACCCGCCGTTTTCGTGGCTTCCTTTGAAGAGGTGTTTGGCAAACGTCAGACTTCGCACCAGATCCTTAGTGAATTGTCCCGCGAAGGCCAGGTTTACAATGCTTTCCAGCAGAGCCTAGCCAGTCATGATCTAGTGCCCACGCTGGCGGCCGGTGACAAGCTGCATCGCCTGCAGGTTGACCAGAAAAGAGCAGCAGCAGCTCAGAGCACTCACGATAGGCTGTACGAATACTTTTGCAACAGTCTGTCCGTCGCTTCTCAGCAACGGAAAAATGACTCTGTTCACCAGTTCTACAATGTCTGCTGGCGGGAGTCAACGCACAGTGACTACAATATTAATGTCGTAACATCGACGGCCACTATGGTGCGGGATCTTTGCAACCGTTCGCAATTTCAAGACGCTGCCTATGTGACTGGCGTCTTTCATTCCTTCGTGCATTTGACGGAGGGACTGCAAACTCCCGAAAGCATTTTTACGGCCATCAAAATCTGTCTCTATCTGAATGGCTATAAGACAAACAAGTGTTCGGACGATACAATCTCCGCAAACATGGCTCTGGAGTCGCAAATGCTGCTTCAGGAAATCATGTCCAACGCTAAAGACCAGCCCATAGAGTTCTCGGAGCTGCCATTCTCGGAATTAAATGACCTCGTTACAGTTCTGGGCGAGCATGAAATGTTTGAGGATCTCGAGGTAGGCCCATGCTTCATATTCATCCCTTTCCCCCTTGTCGTCCGATCACCACTAACGGCGCCTAGGCTATTCTCACTGACCTATGGACCTCTCGTGTCGTACAAAAGACCTGGTCGCTGCCGGTGGTCGTGTGGATCGGTCGACGGCTGGTTGAAACCCGATTCTGTCGGGGTCAGGTAGCTTCAGCAACGCAGTTGGGCAAGGATATCTGTTACAATCTACGCCAAGTGTGGGGAAACTGCGATACAGTCACATTGGAAATGAATAAGCTGTTATCGGGCCTATATACGGCATCGGGAAATCATCTGGCCGCCGCCGCGCTCCACGAGGCTGCACTGGCTGAGCTGCTCAACAGCGACGAGACCCATGCCGAGTCCGTGGATGCTGTGACCCAGCACCTTGAACTTCTTCAACATGCACAGGCCCGGCTGTCAAAGGACGGTCAAAGCGGCGCAGTTGATGCGACGGCCGCTGAAGAGCGTGTGCAGCAGATTGCGACCAAGTTCGGATTATCCACCTCTCAGCTTGAGGCAGCCGAGGCAGACGAGAGCCTCGGGATGTGGCAGCGACCGCGACGATTTAGCTTGGACGTGGAGGAGCCGACAACGCACCAGAACCACTTGCGGCAATCCAGTGGATCGGCTTTGCTCAATGGCAACGCAGGCGCCAAGCGCATTTCTATCAGTGCTCTATGAACAGTGGGGGTTGCACGAAGTTCTGTGCCTGTCGCTTTTTATTTCTCTATCTGTTTGTTTGAACTTTTTGATTTGTTGTCTGTCTCAGTATCCCCTGTCAGATGTAACCTCGTAGTATCATACATAATTAATACATGTGACCTTTTTTTTTTTTTTTTACGCTAGCTGCAAGGTCTACTAAGGGCCGAGGCCCTACGCGCCCAGACTGCCTGCATCGGAGCGGTCGTCCGTAGAGATAAGGTAAGTATACCCTCGAGCGCCGATTGGTGGTCGGGGATCGTCTCCGTATATTGCGGGCCTCGCCAATAAGAACATTGATGCAGGCTGCATGTCAGAGTCTCATCCGGCAACAGGGGTACAACAGAACCGGTCATACTTAACAACTCGCGATGCCCCCAGGTTTTGAATTGACTCGATCATCCTCCCATTTCACTTATCAGTCCTATCTATGAAGGCTGTCGTATATCAAGAACCCGGCTCCTTTGCCATCGAGGACCGGCCCAAGCCCACGATCCTGCAACCGGGCGATGCCATCGTGAAACTCATCTACACCACCATTTGCGGTACTGACCTTCACATCCTTCAAGGCCATGTTCCATCCTGTAAGCCCGGTCGCATTCTGGGCCACGAAGGTGTAGGAGTCGTTGACAGTGTCGGCCCCGGAGTCAATGGACCGCGAGCAGGGGACCGGGTGCTGATTTCATGTATCTCGGCCTGCGGAATGTGTACAGCTTGTCGCAAGGCAATGACCTCCCATTGCTCAACAGGCGGCTGGATTCTAGGCAATGGAATTGATGGCACACAAGCCGAGTACGTGCGCGTGCCACATGCCAACTTCTCTCTCCATGTTCTGCCTGCCAGCATTCCCAGCGACATCGCGGTCACCTTCTCCGATATTCTCCCCACGGCCTATGAATGTGGAGTTCTTAATGCTGCTGTGCAGCCCGGAGCGTCGGTTGCTGTTGTTGGGCCTGGGCCTATCGGTCTGGCAGCGCTGATGCTGGTCCAGCGACTCTTCGGTCCGTCACAAGTGGTGGTGATTGGCCGAGGAGAGTCGCGTCTGCGCATTGCCAAAAGCCTCGGGGCAAGTCATACTTTTAGTTCGCGAGAAGGTCTGGAAAGTGCAGTCCAAGCGGCTATCGAAGCTAATGGCGGTACTGGATACGACGCCGTGATCGAGGCTGTCGGGTCGAAGGAGAGCTTCGAGCTGGCGCAGATGCTGGTTGGGGCGGGGGGTACGATTGCCAGTCTTGGCGTATTTGGCAGTAAATGTGACCTTCACCTTGACCGTTTATGGAATCAGAATATCTGTAAGTCGCCTATGGATCTGGACTGTAGAGGAGATTTATGCTAACTGCATTGCAGGTTTGCGCACGCGTTTGGTAGATGCTGTCTCAACGCCGAATCTTTTGAAGATGGTAGAGTCAAAAATGATCCATCCGGAGGTTCTGATCTCGCATCGTACGTATCATCCCTCCCATTCCATGTTTTGGTCTGCAATTCATCGGGCTGTGCTAATAGAGAATATAGGATTCTCGTTCGTAGACATGCTCCAGGCGTATGACACGTTCCAGGCAGCATCCCAGCAAGATGCGCTGAAGGTCGTGGTCGCCATGGCAGACGAAGTCAATGGCGTGGCGAACGAGAAGGAAGCGGTGTCTGTAGATGGACTCTGCAGTAAGAAGTGAAGGGCGAAAGAAGGGAGGACGGGGGCCGGGGCTAAATCCCGGTGCCCTAACCCCTAATCCCGTGCTAGAGCGAACGCCCTCTTATCTCCGGGCATCTCCGATGACGTACTCTGCTGGCTGCCTTCGCAACGATGTCGTATACATATAGGTCTGAACGGTTTGATTCTAGACAACTAGGATTTTCTTTACCTCATTTCTCCTTAGCAATTAGATCAATTCTTCTTTCCCGCTGAGCGTCATGTTTCGCTTCCTCCACGACCAATTGCTTGTTACGCCCTCGCTACCCTCTTCAGCCTCCTTCACTGACCAAGTCGTCATTGTTACCGGTGCCAATGTCGGTTTAGGTCTCGAAGCAGCGCGTCATATCTCCCGTCTGGGTGCTCAAAAGATTATTCTCGCCGTGCGGAATATTGCTGCCGGAGAGACTGCCCGTCAATCAATCGAGGAATCTACAAGCCGAGCAGGAACGTGCGAAGTCTGGCCGCTCGATCTAGCATCTTACACTTCGGTTATCGAATTTGCACATCGCGCTCAATCTCTGTCACGCCTTGATGCCGTGATTGAGAATGCCGGTGTAGCAACCACCGACTATCAGGTCGCCGAGGGCCACGAGCTCAGTATTACCGTTAATGTCATCAGCACTGTTCTCTTGGCTCTCCTCCTCCTCCCGAAGCTCCGCGAAACAGCGCGCCAATTCCCTCTTCACCACCCACACTTGACCGTAGTGGTCAGCGAGGCGCATGCCTTGACCTCGTTCCCCGAATGGCGACAGCACCGCGTTTTCGATGCCCTGGACAATGAGCGAGCCATCAACATGCATGAACGGTATCCCACTTCGAAACTACTCGAAATTCTAGCACTGCGAGAATTAATCGCCCATTTAAGCGACGACGCGGTGATAGTCAATATGGTTAACCCGGGCCTCTGTCATTCCCAGCTTAGCCGCAACGCGGGGATGAGCATGACTATTATGAAGTTTTTCCTGGCCCGGTCTACTGAAGTCGGCAGTCGTACTTTAGTGGCTGGGGTCACAGCCGGTTCAGAGACACATGGCGAATATATGAGCAACTCTCTCGCAGCATCACATGAGCTGTCGGATTTTGTGCGCGGCGAGGATGGACGCACAGCGCAGAGAAAGATCTGGCAAGAACTGCGCGACATTCTTGAGGCCATCCGGCCGGGGGTGATACAGAATTTATAGGTAAACACAGCTAAACGAGCGAATATAGTTGGATTTCTGCAATACAAATAACTAGACAGACGGCCGGGTTCTAAAGGTTTCCCAAAGTGGACCCTTCAATATGCCACACCCCATGGCGAGCTGTAGGAGACGAGTTAGATGGCCGTGACATCTACCCAAAAGCGTGTGTCGTCGGTTGAATAAGTTTCCTGGCTTTCAATCTGCTCCTGGATCCATTGAACGGCAGACTTATAGGCTACTTCAGTTAGTCGGTGTGTTCAGGTGCTTCGAAGTAAATACTTACTGGCGATATCATCAGTGTTCGGATTGTCCAGTCCACTTTGTCCATTTCTATGGCCAGCAACCCAAACATTGAAACCGTAATGGTCCTCACTTTCATGGCGGGCTTTAATATCCTTGTCCAATTCGGTACTATTCACGTCAGTCATCCTCCGGGCCGGAGACCACGGCACAGTCTTACTTGAGGATCGCCCCATTATCCACGTCTGCCGCTCCCTGGCCGGCGAACTCAGAAGCAGAAGTGCGTAGCATCATCCAATTCTGCTTGAAGATTCCAAAGTTCGTGGAATCACCGGTTTTGCCATCGCCTGTGCAGCGTTAGCTCTCCGCAGGTCTTGAGTAGAAAATCACGAGTACTGTACCGTAGGTGTAGTCGGTGGTCATGGTGTCGCTATGGTTATTAGCATATTCACACTGATTTCACTGCGCAGAAGTCAAACTCACGTCTCCAGCATAGCAATAGCCAGGTCCATGGTGTTTCCACCGGCATCCAGAACAGCTTGCTTTCGCGATCCCAGACCAGAGACGGTGTAACTACCACGGCCATCCTCGCGAGGATGGATCATGGAACCCAGAGCAAGGGGAACGGTGAATAGGAAACTCAAAGAAGACCGCATTGTAACTTGTTAAGAACTGTTTGTTGGCTCTGATAGTCCCGTGAAATGATCACCCATTGCGCGGGCCTTGTTGAGACTTATATAGTTGATGAGTTGGTATCGGCCGGTCTCCATCATCACAAAATCGAAACACGGGATCATCCACACGGTAGGTAGACGGGAAAAGATCATCGTGTCTCAGTGAAGCTATTTGGCGTGAATATCTCGTTCACGGCTCTATACCAGTGTCGCCGAAGAATCTCCGATAATCATTTCCCCTTTCGGCACGGCCAATTCTCCTTGACCTCAACGTACTCCGTAACTGCTCCGTTGATCTTACGGTCATTCGGGCCATTCGGGCCATTCGGCTCCCGCAACTCTGACCCGTCGTGTTTCGGATTGTCTCATGAAACTTTCAACGGCCAATATGTCCGACCTACGAACCGGTGATTTTGCCTCGAACCCGTGCTCTTTCAGCCGCGAAATAAATTCAATCTCAGGAGTGATGCCAAGGTGCCAGACTCATTGGTTGTCGACAATCATGTATGTTATCTCCGTGAACAATTTGTATCGCCACAATGTTGACAAGATGCCAAGTAGCTGTAGGCCGATATTCGATTTGACTTCTACTGGATCACTGCGGTCCGTAGATAAAACCCAGCTGATCGACTTCGTCACCATCGCGACCATAAAAGCCCACAACCTGCCAGCCCTGGGGTGCCCTGAACTCCTCACAATCCTCCGTCCGAGTGCCAATTTCCAGCTCGTTTCCAGCACTGGTCGTCACCTGCAGGTAGAATATGCGTGTGTGGTCGTTGTGTTTGCCCTGGCACAGTGTAGTCTCGGTCCAGTATTCGGCTTCATTCAGGCTCAGCTCGACCAAATCACCGCCTACGCCGCCGTGTGTGTAGTTCTGTCCCGGGGTCAATGTCAAAGTAACGCCATCCAGACGATTAGCACCACGCAGTAAGATGTTGGTAGGTTTTCTCTGGGTGTGAGAGGTGGGTAACGAAGAAATATCGTTGAACCATGAGCTATCAAGGATTATTAGTTCCTCAAACTGTCAAGTGAGTTCCACAGGATAACTTTACCCGTGAGGTCCACCAAAAAGATCGCTTTGGCGCAAAGTCTCCGAGAGCGTCCACGTGAAGTTAGATGTAATGGGGTTATGGTCGGACAAAATTGTACCGTTGCTGGAAAGGAATTTGGTATCCTCGTAATTCCAAAACGTAGCGTCTAAGCTTAGAGCCCGGCTACCCCGGTAACTTTTTGATTTTGTCAGTCTCTGAGCATCTATATTCCCCGACGGGACATACAAAATCTTATCAACCGTTTCGCAGGTGTTGTTCGGACTAGGATTGTCGCATTTCCAGGGGTCGATGCCCTGGCTCGGCTCCTTTCCTTTGAGGATCAAATGTACCCACGGGTTGGTCATGTTCTGATCCTTCTCAAACACCCGAATATTCTCCCCAGACGACGTGTATCGCGCGTTTGTATCGCCAAAGACCAGCACGGCATTCCCAGCCGAGTTTGTACCTATGTAGTCGGCCAACTGCTGCAGATTGGCGCCCCGGGCATCTACATCGGCCGAATTTGATCTGCAAATTTTAGTGAACAAATCACCATGATATCAATGGACTCTGCATAGCTCACCCGGCATCCGCATGCAAGTTGTAGAAATCCACGTAGACTCCCTCATCCAAGCGCACGCGCATGCTCGTAAATCCCTTTGGCGTCAGACAGTCGGCACCTGATGCGTCAGAGCAGATATCCCATTTAATTCTTTCGAAGTTAATCCAGGGGAAATTGGCCAACGTGTTCAGACCTGATCCAAGCCCAGCGCCTCCCGAAGTTGGGGTGCGGTAGGCATGATTGTCGGTCTTGTAGACATGGGCATGGAAATTGAAATCCTCCTGCACATGAATGATATCGTAGCCGTACTCCGCGAACTTGGCACCAATGGCTTCAGAATTCGTCGCTTTGTCGCCGGGGACGTCGTTGTTGTTGAAGATGGGAGGGAGACCGGCAACATTAAAGGAGAGGACGTTAAACAACCCTGTTGAGGCCGCGAGAGTGCCGGGGATGCCGGCGAGGTAAAAGAGTCGCATTGTTTATTGGGTTGAGTTCAGTTCGTCGAGGGGTTGAAGGGGCGAGCAAAATTTCAAGCAGAAGACTACACCGTAGTCATCACAAGCGAGATAATGATAAACTGGAGAGAATCTTCGTCACGGAAGGACCCGGTTTTATTTACAGCGATCGGCGCAGAAAAAGGAGAATGTCCGTCGGTCATCCTGAAGGAGGGGGATGCCCTGACAGGGGCAGTCGGCGAACAACCATTGCATTTAGCCGGGGGCTGGGGTTCTAATTGCGATTATCGCTGCACGTAGCAAAGACGGCCCGGAAGTGTGCGAGAATGAATGGCGGACAGATGCTCAAGAGACGGAGAGACGGCGAGACTACACAGTACCTAAGGAGAACGGTTCGTTAGTCTCCTTTAACTTGAATAGTGGTTCGTTTAGTTCGCGGGCTAAATCTTAGTACCGAGCAATGAACGTGAGATCCCAGGGCCATTCACTCAACTCCGTGGGTTAGTTACGGGGGGGCAGCCTGCAAGTGACGGCCATGCCCCTGAAAGAACTGTTTAATATATTCGTCAACTGGTCCCACTTCTTGAATGACAATTGACAACTCTTTCGAGGGAGCAGAGCGAGAATGAGCGAGGATGGGGCAGAGCAGAGCAGCGACGAGATTCCGCCCACCAACTGCCACGTGATTGGCATGTCATCCCTTGATCAGGCATTAAGGCTTCAAGGCTTCAAGGCTTCAAGTCTCCTCGCCACAGAGTCAAGATGTCACGCTTTCATCGCCGAGAATACCATCGGTCAGCTCTTGAGGAGTACGGAGTAATATCCAAATGACAGATTCTCTATGTATGTGTGGATGGATATTGCAGAGAAGTCGTCGTTGTTTCGTTGCACGGCAGATCTCATATATCATAAAGATATATTCTGAAATTCTTGGCAACGTTTGTGTCAAGCTCATTGATTATTGAGTACTATTCCTTGGTGTCTGACCCTACGACGTAAACCAGTCGCAAAAAGGAAAATGCGTTACCCTGCACGACAAGTATCGACAGGATACTACACTCCAACCTCCGCACAGTTCTTAAGCATGCCAAAGCTAGTGGAGAGTCGGTGTGCGAGGGGATAATGGTCCGAACGCTGGCGTTGGCGCAAGGGGCCTTCACCCATACTTCGTATTGTTGCAGGGAAAAAAAAAGAAAAAAGAAAGAAAGAAAGAAAGCTCTGCGCTTTCTGCATTCCTCCTCAAGTTCCAAGTTCCGAACTTCCGAGGTACAATCCTCAAGGTCCTCGAGATAGGACTAGGCAACACTGTTTTCACTTTTCAAGTTTTCACAAACTACACCGTAACTAGCTCAGCCCTACGGGGCGGCGGGATCCACCGCAATCCAACTAGCCTCGCCACTACGAGGATTCTCCTCGTCTTATTTGGCCTTGACTGTCGGGTTAAGCGATGCAGCGATCGTCTCTTCCCGAGTGGTGTTAAGCTCAACGAAAATGCCACCACCACGTCATCATTCGAATCAACAGACGCTGCCCCAATAGGTGGACGAAGGGTAGGGGTAGAGGCCGATGCCAGGCCCATCCCAGCCCCTCACGGATCTGCATGCCCACCACCTTGCGCCAGTCGACGTGGTGGGCGAAATGGAAGGGGAAATGGTGCTGACTGACCGCACGCATTGTACACTCGATCTGCGGCTGATCCTGAAGTTCGATTTGCGGCGGGTGGATTCGGGGCTCGGCGCTTTCAAAGTCGATCTCTAGTCGCAGCGTTCCCATCCCCGTAAACTGTTTCACTTGCACCGAGAGATCATGATGCCGACTATCCTGCCGATCGTGGATGATGGTCATGTCGATGAGCGGTTCCGCGTGGGATCGCTCTGCGAGATGGTGGCGGGGGTCCCAGATCCAAGGAGGCGCCAGGTCCACTCGAAACTGGCACTCGAGGATCAAGTTGGGTGACTCTGGCTTCGGGTGGGTGGCAAATTTGGTGAACCGCAGGGGCTGATCCATAGAGGCCAGCGATTGAACAGTCACCTTCTGGGCTGGGGCCTCGCTGCCCGGTCGAGCGAGGCCGGCGTTGACATATCGTACGATTTGATCACAGATGCGTCGCTCGTAAAGATGCCATACGCGTCCGAGGATCACGTTGATCCATTCGACACTTTCTCCCTGCTGGAGCTTTTTACTCCCATGGTACCGACGAAGTTCGTCCCTAATGGTACGCTCAACTCGCCGGGTGGATACCTGGTATTGGGTACGACAGATAGCCAGCAGTAGAACCAACCATACGAAGCCAAAGTTGAGGCGACAGAGAGTCCAAGAGACCAGACAGCCCACTATGATGACCTTTGATTCCTTGTAGGTTTGTTCGAGGGTATCAAGAGTATCGGTGAGGGAGAGGCCGAGCTTTAAGTCATCTGGGGTATGTTTACCCATGATTGCGGGGAGGTGACAGTAAGGATGCGTTAGGAGTGAAGTACGAAGCCAGTTAAAGTTTGAGGAAAGGAGATGAGGTTAAAAATCTGCAAAGTACAAATGATAAGGCCATCATGCAAGATGAATGCAGTAAAAAAGAAGATGAAAGGGGGTTGGGGAGAGAGAGAGAGAGAGAGAGAGAGAGAGAGAGAGAGAGAGAGAAGGGGAAGGGGAAGGGGACACAGACGGTGCGTGAACGTGCATGGTTTAGGCAATCACAAAAGGATAAATACTGAGTATAAGTACTTGCAGATACCCTTTCTTTCTGTTTTAGTGCCCACTGAGTAGAGCTGAGTACGGAGCTGAGCAGGGTGGCCTCAACAGTCCCAATTAAAACGCACCACGCTAGAGCTGCACTAGTGCCTAATCTTACCTAGCTCGGCCCGCTTAACTTGAACGGGTAAGCACGGCATTTCTTTTACTCTGCCCGTGAGGGATCCGTCTGAACAGATACAGTTACAATGATGGTTGAGCAATTTACCACTACTTGAATATTTGTTCTTTCTTCTTCATACATTGAAAGGTATTTAGACTATGACTCTACCAATCAGCAATTATCAGAGACAACAGGCACAATATCCAAAGAGTTGCCAATAACTATATCTCGATATGTATCTTGCAATATGATCCCAAACATATTGAATCCCATACGGTACACACTATAGCGGGCATACACTCCCAACACTTACACGGCACGGTTGATACGGCGGTATGTAGGGCTGGATATTCCGCCGTCCGTCCAAGGGTCAAGATACTCTTCTCCTGTACTCGCCCTCCACCCTTCGCTAGGCCATCACGCCCATTTGCCAATCAATGCCATTATACCCGCACCTAGGAGGGTGTATCCCACCATCATCACCAGATGCGATCGTCGCTTGGGACGATCGGGATCGAAGAGAAAATCCCGCGCCAGGAGTTCCACCAGGCTGCTATAAATCAAGATCCCAGCCGAGATCGCATTCAACACCCCCTGCACGATCAACGCCGTCTTAGACCCCGGATTGTACGAGGTACGTACACCCAGCCCGATTGCGATAGATACTGGGGTTGTGAGTCCGTAGGCCAGGCAGAGTGCCCACGGTAGCCACCGCCGCGCCCCAAAGTGCAGGGCAGACATCCGTGCCCCTATACCCAGTCCCTCAAATGCTTGGTGGAAGACGAGCACTGGGTAGAGTGTCGCAAATTCGTCGCCGGTGACTCCCAAGTTCAATCCGATGATGACCGAGTGGAAGATGATGCCGAACTCGAGGATCAGAAACGCTGCGAACTGCTGATGAAAAGACCGTTCGGAAGCCACCGAAGTCGCCTCGTCGTGAATTTCTTCGGGTCTGGGATTCCCCTTCTCTGTGTCGGAGCGGTGGGTTGTCGTTAGGTAGGAGTTGGTTGCGTCATCTTTGCGTTGCACGCCATATTTGCGTTCCACATACACCTCAGCGGCTAGGTCCAGAAGGAATATAATCACCACAGATGCCAGCACTATGGAAGCGCACCAAGAATAGTCACCCCAATGCCCTGAAACACCTACGCAGGTTTTGGGACCAATGCGCTTGTAGGCCGGATCCAGAAGATGAATGAACGCGGTCGCTAAAATGACACCGGTACCGAAATACCGTGCGAAGAGATAGACATGGTAAGGGACCTTCCATCGCGGAACTCGCTTAGCGACCACGGGGAAGAGTGTTAAAGCCGTCGAGGTCACAAAGATGACAAAGATAGAGGAGATTCGAGCGCCCAGGTGACCATTGTACTCATTCCTGGACAACGCGAGGTAGCAGAGCACGTCCTCCTTACTCGCCGTGTTCAGGTCAACGTGAGAGGCATTGAAGGATGACATAATGCCCGATTGAGAAGAGAGACAAGGAGATGGTTACATTGGGAAAGAGTACTTGACTTGCACTCGTGCTTTTATATTGAAAGAACGAGGACCTTGAGAGGGTGGAAAATATCAAATCTACTCCGATTAAGCGTTCATTCCAAAGCCGGAGAGCTACGGAGCATGCATGGGCACTTACCAAGAGCAGGAAGGATGCTTTCGTGTCACCTAGCTACCAAATATTCCCAGATTCTCCACCTTCTCAATCTGCTATAGGCAAATTTGATTTGAAATGACTTGCACTGGAAGCTGGGACACAGGAAAACGTGAAATGACAAACGACATGCCTCCACATGGCTTGACAAGCTTCGCATAAGCTTCCGGATAAATGCCGTCGTTCATTTCTTTTTATCGTTTGCGTCAGTCGTAGGGCTGACTTCTGGGGACCTTGACGGCGCTCGGTTCCCCATTTCTCTTGGATCTAGCAGTCAATTGGCTCTTCATGATTCCTGTTGCCTGCTGCTACCCAGCCTGGTATCGGAGTGGGGCCTTTATCCATTGTTTCTATGTTCTCTCCTGTTCTCTGTTTTTTCTGAAAGGACTGACGGGGTTGGAGACTTTCTCCCCGCTTTCCAAAATTCGTAGTCTTCCATTTCGATGTCGGGCAATTGTTGTCAACGACACAATACATCCGGTGCTGGAGCTCGTCCTACCGAGAGAAAAAAAAGTGAAACAAAGAAAAGATGAAAGATAAATTTGGGGAAACGGGACAAAGGTTTTGCTAGCGTTGTAGCGAAAAGACCTTGAGGACACACTTGCTAATCACTCAATGAGTTGATTCACCCATCGCTAGTTCGTTAAGCCGCCAGCTTTTGGCGTCTATACATTGACCACTAGCCGTGTTGCAATAGACGACACTCCCAACGCACTTCAATCTTGAGCAATCGGTTTCGAGAGATAACATATTGCTTCCGATCTATAGGCGAACCTTTCTCGGTAGCCTTGTGGTCATATGTTGGACGAGCCTTTGGGCTGGCTAAAGTGTCTAGTGGGTTCTGTTGGGGACATGTGCATTCAAGGCCGCGAAATGCAACGTGAAGGATTGCGACCTGGTAAGAGAAAAATCGGCCGAATGTCAATGCATGGGAGGTCGTGAACTCACATATATAGCACGATGGCGGAATTTTCATATTAATCAGACCAATTCGCAGAGACGTCAAGTCTTGCCTTGTCATCTTCTTTGACTGCTATGGTGATGTTATGCCGATAGACAGGCATTCCTCCATTGGGTATCTCGACGTTACTACTAAATGGGACAATGTTGATCTTCACGGTGAGAGGCACGGGAAGTTTTCATTGCCAGGTCGATGGTCTGATGAGGAAGATGATAGAATTGAAGGAACCCTCGACCATGAGGTTTGCTGGACTGCCATGTCGATCGCTGACGTTTCAATGGACACAAAACCCTGAAGCCTTCTCGAAGACGGGAGCGGTCTACAAACTGAAATTAAAACGCGTCCGATGATTATGCGGATTAATATAGTGACCCGTGTCCAGTGGCCCCGGCACCGTGATGGATTGATTGCCCCAACCGGTATGTGGCGATCATCTTCCCCAACTGCTGTTGTCTACGAATTATTCGTTATATGGTATGTGGAGATTTACATGCAAATCAGGCTTGACCGTGCAAGGAATACGGACGGCATCACTCTTCGGAAAGAGATTAATCATTACATCTAATGTCTGGTGGTGGATCGGGCGTGGACCCCACGGGTCACCACGCCCTGACGATCACTACGCTTTCTCCGTCAACAACGTCCCAACCCGGTCCACGTTGGGCTGATCATCAATCAAGTTGTCTCATCCTGCCACCCATCGACCACGGGCCAGTTTGGGCCTGTAAACCGCCAGGGAAAGGGCTTCGAGCCCTCGACCTTTCCATCCATGAACAATTGATCGGCACGGAAGAACTGCGCTTCGTAGAAGACGTCCGAATCGAGTCTATTAAGCATCCACTCCTTCGTTTCACCATGCGAGATGGTTATCAATCTCTGACAAGCTCCGCGCGGGAGAGCTTGATGACGCGGTGCTAACTGTGCTAACTAATCCGTAAGGTATTCAATGCTTGTGCAGTGGAGGCGGCTGATATTGTTCTCCGGAACCGGGGTACTCACTGCACTACTCCATATCGTATCCTATATAATCGGCCTGGTTGCCAGGGACTGATTACACTGCTCGCAATCGCCATTCTCATCATTCTCTCACTCATTTTCCTTCGTCTCTGTCTGCTCTCTCACGTTCTTTTCTTTGACTGCTGGTTCAGTTGATCTTCTAACCTGTTCACATTCCTTCGGTTTCTTTGTACCTTCAATTCGCTCCTTCAAAAGGCTTCCCAGAATGGCCCTTCTTCGTTCCTTGCTGACAGCAACTGCTTTGCTGGGTGTTTCTGCTCAGGCGAAGGGAGTTATCGGGACTCCCTTCGGTTTTGCCAGTGGTACCACCGGTGGTGGTGACGCTGCCGCCGCCGCCCCCAGCGATCTGGCTGAACTGAAGTCCTGGCTCTCTGATGACACCCCTCGGGTGATTCTGATTGACAAAGAATTCAACTTCATTGGCAGCGAAGATACCTGCACCGACTGCCAGTGCTGCATCCCCGACTCCAACAGCTGCGGCAGCTCCGGCCAAAACGCTATCAAGACAGACGGATCCGACTGGTGCGGTGACTATCCCACCACCAAGTGCACCTATGACAACGCCGGCCTGGAAGGCCTGGAGGTCGCCTCCCACAAGTCCATCGTCGGTGTCGGTAGCGCGGGTGTGCTCCGTGGTAAGGGATTGCGTCTCACTAGCGGCGTGAACAACGTCATCATTCAAAACATCCATATCACCGAGCTCAACCCTCAGTACATCTGGGGCGGTGATGCTATTACTCTGGATGGCACCAACAATATCTGGATCGACCATGTCAAGGTCAACCTCGTTGGCCGCCAGATGTTTGTGTCTGGATACAAGTCGAGTTAGTAGCTTCCACTCCCGATCCATTCAGGCCAGCGTATCCTCGACGACAGATACTGACCATTCCAATAGGCGGTAGCGTGACCATCTCTAACAGCGAGTTTGACGGACGCACTAGCTGGTCTGCCTCTTGTGATGGCCACCATTACTGGAGCGTGTAAGTGTATATAGCCTACAACTCCCTGTGTTTCAGCAAGATGTTCCCTCCGGTTAACAACTTCGATCAGGCTCGGATACGGCAAGGGCGACCAGGTCACCTTCGCCAACAACTATATCCACCATACTTCTGGCCGTTCTCCCAAGCTCGAGTTTAACAGCCACTGGCATGCATACAACAACTACTGGTCCAAGAACTCTGGTCATGCCTTCGACGTCGGCGAGAACACCAACGCTCTGATCGAGGGCAATGTCTTCGAAAGCGTCAAGACTCCCTTCGAAGACGACAGCAACCCGGGCTCCACGTTTGCTGCCAGCTCGAGCGACGCCTCCACCTGCACTTCTAAACTTGGCCGTGCCTGCGTCCCCAACGTTCTGACCGACTCAGGTGAGCTCTCCGCCAGTGACGAGTCCGTCCTTTCCGGCTGGCCCAGCAACGAGGGCAATGTTACCGTGAAGCCCGCCAGCAAGGTCTCCTCGTATGTTCTGGCACATGCGGGTATCGGCAAGCTGGGCAGCTCCGCCAGTGCGACGGCCACTGTCGGTGGCTCTGCCGCCGCCACCTCTGGTGCTGTCCCGTCCAGCTCTGCCGCTCCCTCCTCTTCGTCCATCGCCAAGCGCTTCGCTCCCGAATTTGGAGCCCAGTCGGAGGCCGGTCCCTGGGGTACCCCGTTCCCTACCCCAAGCAACGTTTCCTGGGGCTGGAAGACCATCACCGTGCCCGTTCCAATCCCTACAGGCACCCCTTCTGGCCTCCCAGCTGACCAGCCCTCGGCTTCTCCCTCTGGCGAGCCTCAGCCTAACGGCAAGTTCCCCTTCTTTGGTGCCTTTGGCTTCTAAGGTCGGGGGCCTGGCTGCAGTCACGGGTCCTGACCCCGTTTACAGGATGCGCTCTTCTGTATATTCTATTTTTTGGATAACGCCAGTGTCTACAGTCATATAGACCAATGCATTGTCGTTCGCGCGACATGTTCTTCCAAGATCCCACATCGTCCCATAGTCCCACTTTAACTGCGTATCTTCAATTAGATAACTATATCGGCCGGCTTACAATGTAGCGCTGACAATAGAATATGCTTTTTCAGCGACTTCCACATCTCCAATATGGCCTGCATTAGATAGTTGAGAAGCGATGCTGTTAGTCATCCATTTGGGCCCTTCGTGGCCGTGGTATCTAATTTTTCATGAGACTGTCTATGAGAACGAGGGAAAGAACACTCCTGGCATTGGCTGGCGCCTTACATTCGACGGAATTCGCCTTCCCAGCCGTGATCTAGGTATCCAAGAAACTGGACGCAGGACGATGTCCAACGCAAGGATCGGCAGCCGACCAGGTGACCTGCCCGTGACTTGCTTGACGACGCCCGCCACCTTCCCCTCGCGGAACCTGAATCAATTCCAACGATCGCTTATAACTAGCACGTACTTTTATGGTGAATCAAAGCCCAGACTCATTCGTTCCGTCTCTCGCCAAATTGAGTGATACATACATGGATGTTGGCGAGGCCCATCTGTCAGCAACGCGCACTGCTCTTGTGGCACCTGTCTATCTAGACGACAGGTGCATTGGATCCAAGACCGGCGAGTCTCCCCTTCCTGTCCCGATATCGCAAATGCAAGGAGTGTGATTTTCTAGCTCGATTGCGACTCATACGGACGGCAGAGGGAAGCATGGATAGCATGGGACAACCTGCATCGTCACACATTCCACTTACCGCGTTCACCTTCTAGATACAGAGTACGGAAGCGGAGTACACGAAAAGCCATACCTGTATCCTCTTACCTACCTAGACAGCACCGAAAGTACCTTCGTACGGGTGGGTTGGAAGGAAGGTATGGGGTTCAAGCGCTTTCCACATTCAGCACTGCCACGGCGATCTCGAGATGACGCGGGAAGCTAACTCGCCGATCACTGCAGGCTCCTCAGATGTTTCAGTCGGAGCGCCTTTCTCGGTTATTCCCAAACCCTGGAGATGGTTTGGAAAGAAATTGATTGCACAAATTGAGAGCTTGATTTCATCTCGGCTTGATTTCAGCAGAAGTCTGACACCCAGGGACACATGCCATTCATCCGAAGACAGATTATATCTCCAACTAATCACAGCCCGCAAAGAGAATGGCAGTGGGAGGAGGAAAGGGTAACCCCCTGGCGCCATTAGACTAAATGTGGGGAGACGGATTTATCAGTACTCCTATGACATGTCACCAGCCTCAAGTGTCGCCGGCGGTGCGGCGACATCGATCAGTCCCCCATTCCCTTGCAAAGAGGATACGGCAGGCAGATACAGTCGGCAACATAACTTGCATAGGGTTTAAGTGACCCGTGGGATCAAATCACGTCGAGGGAAGCGTTTAAGCAATGGGTAGGATCGAGTCGTCATTGTTCTCATGGTTGCCCCAATAAACTGCCTGGATGTCCCCCACTAACCGTGCATAAATGGCCCCTACTTTTGCCTAGTGTGACCGAAACCCCAATCCGGTGCACTCCAATTTCTTTAGTGACCAACTGACCGTCCATTAGTTACTCCATACTGCGCAGGTTCAAAATTATTAACTTGTTGCTCATCTTAACTTCTTTCTCCCCTCCCCAAAGCTCCCGTCTGTCATCATTGACTTCTTCAATCCCTTGATACCACGAGCTCTGTCTCGTCCCCCTCCCCTTTCTCTTGTTCCACCTCGGCATTGTTGCAGCCATGGGCAATTATCACGGGGATGGCCGACCGCAAAACGATTCCTCGAGCTTCACGGTCGCAGCTAAGTCCGGGGCGCGAAAGAAGATCCGACCCACATATTCGTGCTTGAATTGTCATAAACGCAAAGTCAAGGTTCGTCAATCTGCCCGACCGCCAGAGCCCAAAAGCAGCAAATTGGGCGAGTGCGAGAGTTTCGTTGCATCGTTTTTCTCCTGCGATGGCGTCGCCCTTACGCCTGACTGCACTTTGCCTGTGGCTAATCCATCTCATCCCACCACAGTGCGACAGGGTGAAGCCATGCGGGGCATGCTGTCTTCGAGGCACTCCGTCGGAATGCGAATATGGCACTAGCAAGAAGGACCGACATTACATTCAACAATCTACACTCATCGAAAACCTCACGCGAACCTGTGACAGCCTTCGGCGCCAGCTGGATGAAGCCCGCCGTCTTGCGAATCTACCCCCAATAAAATATGAAGAGAGTGGCGGCAGCATACATAGCATCCGATCCGACGGGGATGACGAGGAATTGGAGTACGCGGATGCGCCGGACCTGGCGGAAAGTCCCCCAGATCACTGCTCGGAGACTCGAGTCTTAGACAAAGATGGTGATTCTGGGTCGCAATCAGCCTGTACGCGAACATCCTTTCGCTCTTTGTCTTCCCGGCCCATTCCACCGCTCCACATGCCGTCGCTGTGAACAAAGTGGAGGTTCAGTTCTACTATTGTTGACCACACTCTAGCATCTGCTACGGCCTCGTCTTTAACGCACCCCAAGCACCTTCTCACAGATCCAGCTTTAGCCAACGCGGTGATGGAGCTCTTCGTCGAACGCTTGATCGGCAATTTTAGCCCCAAAGATCACGCGAAGTATGGTGGGACTATTGCGTTGCGAGAGGCCTCGGAAATGCGAATGTTATCGCCCATTATATGCAATGCGTTTGAAGCGGCGTCGCTCACCTTTGCCGGTCGCAGGGATCGAAATCTATCGGTCGAAGTTGCTGGGCACTCGCGGTATGTTCGGGTACTGCGCCAGTTGCAGAATGCCTTATATGATCCAAAGCAGAGCATCTCTACCGAAGTACTGGTTGCTATTCTGCTCGCTACCATCGTAGAGGTCCGTTGACTGGCAGCCATTGACAGTGATTATGCTCATCGTTAGCTAGGCTTTTAAACAAAGCTCCAGTGATTCAATATTCAGACACCAGCTTGGAGGCCTCGAGCTTCTTCGCACGCGAACTCCCTATCGGCATCGCTATGGAATCGAACGGTCGCTCTTCGTCGATTTGCGACTCTACTGGGTAGGTAGATATCTCGGGCGATGTTGATGACCAGGCCAGTTGCTCATGCTACCAGGTTACCGCCGCCCTGGTGCATCGAAAGCCAACTTTCATGGCATCTAAAGAATGGCTGAGCGTCCCATGGCCGGGTGATGTCGCGCCAAAAGATATCCTACATCGGCTCTTGGATATAGCTGTCGATATTCCCGGATATCTTCATCGAATTGACGAGTTCATGAACCGGTTACAAGAAGGAACAACGGCCCCGAGTCAGCTGGTGGCGATGCAATCTTCGATATGGGAACAGGCTGGCGAGCTCCAGACTCGTTTGAATGCATGGAAGACGATGTGTGCGGACACTTATCCACTTGGAGCACCCAGCGAGGAACTAGATGATGAGACCGCGGACGGTTTCCCAGTATTTAGGTGCCGCAATCCCAGCACGATGCATACCACGACGGCCAAAATCCTACAGTACCCCGATATCCTGCTTGCTACTTCGATGTGCTTCTATTGGGCGTTTTGCTTGATTATCTCTGCCACAGACAGCGGTCTAGTCAGTGTGATTGGGCCACAGGAACGATACCAATTTGCCTGCAATATCTGTCGCAGCATGAAGTTTTACATCCAGAATATCCCGGGCTGTCTTGTATCGCGTATCATGTTTGTGTTACGGACGGCACTAGATGCGTTTGCAGATGGCATGATTGAGAAGGAGTTCCTGGTCGAAGTCTTCCAATACATCGGCAAGAAGTTGGAATTTCCAGTATTCTCGAACCAGTGCACCTCATCTGCCGTCAAGCCTGAGCACAAATGATGGCGTGCTCCGGACTTTGATCTGACCTCCATCACTTTTTCCTTGATATAATGTCATGTTGAGGGGGTTAGGTCTTTTATATCTAGCGATCTTGGCATTGGTGTCGGATCTGGGCTTGATAAATCGGATGCAGGCGTCTTCCGCTTACAAGGCTCTTGGGTATTTTGAGATAGGGAGCCGGACGAGCCCTTTAATTATATATTGCTTTTTTATTTTGGAAAAAGTCCACACTCATGAATAGTTCAGTTAATATCTCTTGGATGATCACAGGTTTGGGGATCATGCAATATATACGGACTAAAGAAATGATCAGACTCGCTGCTTACGGACGGTTCGCCTGCGCAGCAGCGCTAATCGTCCCTTGGCGCGGTCATATGTGTCGATCGACCATTATCGTAGTTCCGCCTCGATGAGGCGTGGGTTCGATATCATTTCATTAGGTCGGTTGTATCGTCGGCACAGACCAATGTCATGCCGTCACCAACGGTTCCTTAAGGGGAAGGGGGTGTCAGTGGCCTGTGTCGCAGTCGGGGGGTCGCGACTGCCCCGGGCAAAGCCTATGGACCGACCCCTTGGTTTTCAATTGAATTTCTAAATCGCAGTGATGGCACGATCACACGCCACTGTCGGCAATGATGAAGGCCTCCTTGCGGTAGTTCATGAACTCGAGGTCGAAGAGATTGCCCGCACCGGCGGCCGAACGAGGTTTTTCGGGCGAGCCGATGGTGAATCCACCTTGCGGATCCACCGGCAGCCAATTAGCCGTGAAGCGTGTGCTGCCGTCGGGCATTTCCAGCGCAGTCAGGCCTTCGTCCTCATCACTGGCGCCAGCTGGCGCAAATGCTTCGGGCAGGTCCATCATCTGTGCATGACATTCCCAACCATCGTCGCTTGCACTATACGATCCATGACTAGTATCGGGCGAAGCGCCGGGATCTAAGAGAGATGAGGGCGAAACGGGTATGGGATGTTGCGGTAGCGCGGCGTTGTTCATGTAGAGGGCTCGTTCGGTGGCCACCTGCGAGGTGGATCGCAACAAGTCATCGAGCGAGAGAGGATCCTTGGACAAGTGGTAGAACTGTGGGAATCTAAAATGCCTTGGTCAGTTCAGTCCTTTGTGCCACTTGCATGATGACCAACTAAAACGTACATAGGAAAATTATCCGCGTCCGCCGGCGCGTAGTCGGTCAGCGGGTCGTAGAAACTGTCCGTCTTTGCCGACATCTGCTGCTCCACTTTTGCCGGTCCCGGGCCACTGCCCATAAAATGCTGCGCCGCTATTTCGTCGTATCCAGGGTTGGGAAGTTGATATCGCTGCAGCTCGTCCTCGTTCATGAAGCCAGTCTCCAGGCTGAGGGCGTGCGGAGCGTCCAGCGCATCCAACGACCACGTAGGGAAATCAAACGGAAGAGTGCTATCAGCCATGTTGGAGCAGATGAACTTTCAGTTGGCACAGCAATGCGATTTCAACGAACAGAGATCTGAGAGTCACCAGACAGTGTTCATGACACTTCAGGATGATAGTACTTGGCTCGGTGCCCAGACGAAAGCGCAGTCAGGGCGACCTCAATTATCAAAAGATGGAAGGTCTTGGGGCGGAGTGTTTGTTCTCAAGCAACTGGCGACTCCTGTCTCACCGTCGGGAATCGAGAAACCACGGAGATGCAGATCTGAGGATAGGAATCAAGCAACGTTGGGGAGAAAAGAGTCCGGGGAACCAAACACATTTATCTCTTTTCGCCTCTCCGCCGAATCCTGAAACAGGCAAGTGACTTGCTTCGCACATGTTACCCAACGCATGGCAGGAGGCAAAAGAACCGACATTGTCGCGACGCCTGGGCCCATCGGCAAAATGGGAGCCATGCACTTTCTGGACAGAAATCTCTCAGTAACTGACCGTATGATGAGCATGTGGAGAGGAGAAGCTGCAGCAATTTAACCGAGCGTGCTTCGTTTCCCCGGATTCCCCTGAAAATCTCCGCTCGGTTGGCCAAATTAACCGACTCGTCAACCGGTCTCGGCCCGGCCGTCTCGACGGTCTGGGGTAATTCACGGGTTTCCTGCCGATTTGACGAACCGTTTGACTACCCCGGCTGAATCAATTTATCTGGGGAACATTGCTATACCGTCCTTGGTTTGCCACCGCCGCATTGATTCCATGCAGGATGGGGCCGGTCACTCACTTCTGGTCGGGCTCGCTGGCTTCTTCGGGCTACTAAATAACGCCCTCGACATTGACAAAATATTCCCATTGTCGGATGGAATTGCACGGTGTCGAGGAGAGATCCCACCGACCGATGAAGAGTTCAAGACGGTCTCAGCAAGAGATGGGATGAGTCTACCATTGCCGATCTTACCAACGGGCGCCTGTCGACTCCGTACAACAGAGTAACTAGTCGGTCGAATGAACAGCACGGAGCAAGAGCTGACCAAGCTAGCAGCTCGTCAGTGCGTGAGGTGGAGTCAAACTTTATTACGAGGTAGACTGACCTTTTGCCATTCAGCAGCTATTATAACTAACTACCTACTCAGTAGAGATTTAAATATCCGAAGTACACGGAGTACGGATTCCTTCGTGGTCTGCCCAGCCCTCGGGCCAAACGGCACTCATTAGCAGTTTTCTCAGACAGACGATCCCTTCTTTGTGCGTATGCAGCCTTCCCATGTGTCTACAACAATTCCCCTGAAGGGAACGACTAGCCCCAACAGAACCGGTACATGATCCGCTAAACTCACGTCCGGCTCTGCACGCGCATTTGCCGCCGAGGGAAAAGCATGTGTGCCTACTGGGTTTAACCCCTGCATTCTGAACTGCAGACGGTAACGATCCCTGGACAATGCGCAGACTAAACACGCTAATGAGCTAATGACAAGATCCGAATGAAGTCCAGGTCTAACCACACACAGTCACATTGTACAGATAATTATATACATATCACCCATTTCGTAGCCCCCCGGGCACATCAAATATTTACCAGGTCAGCAGCCAAAGAACACTTCGGCAGTCCCTGTAGTATGTCCTTAGAAGCAAAATAGTGATTCCCAGAAACACAAAGAGTAGAGAATGGAAGCACAGCGAAGCAAGCGGAAGAAAGGTCATGATCACCAGCCAAAAGAGGATTATACACCCTTATAATGCCAGCCCAGTGCCTTTGCGTGTCCATCGATAGAGGGCCAAGACGGCTTTGCGTCGGTGGCGAATTTCGCTATGATTCACAGGACGCCCCCGCGCTTGGGCGACGGCACTGCGCATGACCTGACGGAAGTTGCGCTGGTATTCGGTGTTAAGGGTAACGACGCAAGATTCGGTGGCACGAATCATTACCTCGCACGCGTTGAGGATGCCTTCGCCGGCTTCTTTCTGTAGCCGTTCCACAATTAGCAGGAGAAGGAAGCTTCCCTGCAGCAGTTGAATGCCGAAAAAGTACGGCATGAAGCTGATGTCCGGGTCGAAACGGAGGATCTGATCAACGGAGTCCGCCGCGTCGAGGGCGTGGGAGATGGTTGAGGCAAAAGCCGGAGAGGATGTCCAGAAGTCTTTGTCTTCGATAAGGGAGACTGGGTCCCATTTACCCACCAGGAGAATATGGAGGACGTGTACCAGATAGGATGCATAGGAGACGACTGTCTGCGTATGCCAGGAGTACGCCTGAGAAAGGCTGGGTTCGGTGGCAGGCGGTGGATCTGATTTAGAAGGAGGGAAGGTTGAAGATAACGACGCCTCTGGCTCCGAGGTGGTGGCCGCGAAGGTCGTGAGGCTAGCCTTGTAGATTTCCAGTTGACGCAAAACCTCGCTCACCTGCACTTCCCAAACATCCTTCCCCAGAAGGCGCACGCCGAGCATGGGATGATTGCGCGTCTGGTTCAAGTCAATCAATTCACCCGTGATGGTCATCAGGGGTAAGAAAAATCCAAAGATCGAGTGATCATGGCAGATGAAATTAGGGAACACTCGTCGTTTGTTCTTATCCCCAGAGAGCAGACACTGGGGCCCGTCAGGCTTAGGACTGTTACTGTGTATATTGCCAGCCTGCCACGAGCTTTCATCCAGCGGTAGGAGGAGATCCTCGCTTTCGGCATCCAATAGGGCCAGGGGCCGGTTGTAGCATAGGGCGAGATGCCGGTCCATAATGTACAGCAGCCACCACGTCCTGCGCCGTTCTTCACGATGTTCCTCGGTAATTGTGCCGTGCGCATCACGACCACGGTCGCATACGCAATTAAGACTCGGCCGAGCCGGGTTAGAGTAATCGAACAAGGGCCCCGTGTCCACTCCATTCCATCCGGGTAACGAGTAATCAAACGACGGGCTGGAGCCTTCTGTCTGGCCATCGACGTGCGGCATCACCTCGATCTCCTGGTTCAATTTCAGCTCTCTTGCCAGAGTAAATGCCGCATGCCACCTGTGTAAGCCGGTCAGCAATTTACCTGGAAATTGACGGGATAGTCCAAACCAACCATCGCATACTGGCCGCCTTTTGCTCGCTAGACGAGATAATCGAGGCTACGTGAATATAAGTGATCACGTCGTCTAGAGAACCCGCAGGTCCGACTAAGCCTCGATCGTCCCCTCCTCCTTCAAAGGGATGATGGACCGTGGTAGGAGGACATTCCTGGCCCACCGGAGCATACGTCGGGTCATTGGCGGGAGAGCCTCCCTGCTCTTTGAATGATACATGTATCAACGGTCGCAGCAACCGAATGGTAAGAGCGCAAAGGAATTGGCAAATCTTCTTTCGCTGGGGTGGGGAGATGGGCAGTGCAAAGGCCCGATCGTCCAACGCAGCGACCCACAGCATGCTCGCCAACAAAGCGGGGCTGCTGGGACGGGGATAGTCTCGACATAGAAAGGATGCCTTGCGCAGGACGTAGCAATGGATGTGGTGGCATACAGGATGCATGTGGGTGGAGAAAGCGCTTGTGAAATACAACTCCAACAAGTCAAACACTAGCCGCCGGGGCAGGTTCGCATCGAGGAAAGGCATCAGGGGTTCCAACACGGGATACTTCAGTGCGGTTGATGACACTCCGGGAGTTGGAGGCAGGCCCGCGGCTTTCCCGCCCTGAGGCGTATTTCCATTGTAGTCTGTCAGGTCGACCCCATTCCATAAATCGAACATGCGCGGGAACGGGCCCTCATGCACCCCAGCACCTCCCAGAATATCGTATGAGCTAGGCGATACATGTGCGGCGGATAGCCACTCCTCCGTCGCGTTGGCCCCAAGACTGGGCCCGGACCGCCGGTGTGGCACAGAAGTATCGGCTTGCGACCGGCGTTCATCGACACTGGGGGCGGATGCGGTCAGGTCATTGGTCACTGGCGATCGATGTTGGACGCTGGAAGGTGGGGAAGCATTGGGTAGGGGCGTTGTAGCAGCGAGTTCGGGAGCTGCTTCGGGACGGGTTGGAGGCTTGGCGGAGGGCTTGTCAATGGCATCGGCAGGATCGGTTTGGCGTGCGCGAGCGATGCGGCCTCGCTTGCGACGTTCCCGGGTAAACTCGCAGTGAATATCACTGCGTAGGCAGCGGGAACAGGGAAAAGCGCGGTCGCACCGCACGCGACGGGCATGGCAAGAGTCGCAGGCAATGCGGTTGCGCCTCCACCGACGTTTAGCAGGGCCGTTGGGCGGGTCGTCGGAGGTCCCCGGGGCACTGCCTGACGGTACCTCCGCCGACTGGGCTGAATCCATTTCACGTCGACATTGGTAATCTGGGCAAAGGTAGGAAGGTGCGTATGACGAAGGGGGGAGGGCCTGCAGAGTATCGAGGAAGGTTGTTGACTAGGACGGGAGTCAGTCAGCACCAACAATGCAGAGGGGGAAGAAGTATGGTAGAGAAATGAAGGACCTACTGAGAAGCGCCGCGTGGGATGAACAAATGAAGCTGACGAGATGGATGAGGAAGGGCGAAAGGTGCGCACGAGAGAGAGAGAGAGAAAGAGAGAGAGACAAGAAGGAAGAGCAGAGAAAGAAGGGAAGGAAGGAATCGCGGGGAAAAGCCGCCAAACTTTCTCCGCACGCTAAAATTAGTCATGCGATTGCGAGGCAAAAAACTACAATCCGCTTCGTCTGTACAGGCGTCCAACGACTTGGACAGTGTCGAATATTCCAGGAGAATGGGACTGGGAGCGTAGCCATCGGAATGATGCATCGGCCTGAGGTCCCCTCCGGCCCTCCCCCAAGTAGCATCCTGGTCGCTCATGCAGGGAAGGAGCTCGATCGCCACTAGCTACAGACTAGGTAGACAGTACTTTTTTCCTTTACTGTAATCCATGATTTTCAACAGTATATATAAGATCCTGAGTAGCCACTCTATCTATGAAGAACTCCACCTAGTCAGCAGTTGTGTGTTCAATGCCGACGGCTGACAAGGCCTCTCTAGCCCTGGGTTGCCTTTTTGTACCGTTCCAACGCTCTATCTCGACTCGTGGCATGATCGACAATGGGCCGCGGGTAGTTGTTCTGTTGTGCGATCTTGCCTGCACCCCGATTATAAGGCTCGTGGATGGCGGCACCTTCGACGTCGCGCAACTCTGGGACCCATTGACGGATATAAGCACCGTCCGCGTCAAATCGTTCGCTTTGTCGCAACGGGTTGAAGATACGGAAGTAAGGCTGCGGGTCGACTCCTGTGCTGGATCCGAATCCCCAGCCGCCGTGGTTGGAGGCAAAATCGCCGTCGATTAAATTCTCCATGAAGTACCGTTCGCCGCGTCGCCAGTCAATCATCAGATCTTTGGAAAGAAACGAGGATACTACCATGCGTGATCGGTTATGCATCCAAGCGTCATGTTTCAGCTGCCGCATAGCTGCGTCAACGATAGGGAAGCCAGTCTTTCCTTGACACCACGCCTCAAAGTGGTCGGCATCGTATTCCCACTCGATATTGGTGAATTCGGGCTTAAAACATTTGTTCATACTGGTACAATAAGTCAGGGGCAATGAAAGGGTGGTTGATGGGGAAGGAAGAAGGGAACGAGAGCAACGAACCAGATGAATGGCCAATGGACAAGGACATGTTTATAGAAGTCACGCCAGGCCACTTCGCTGATCCAGACCATGGTCCCGGGATCATTGCGATCTAGTTGGCTTTTGTTGGATTGGCGTGCTTTCACGACCGCAGTTCGAGCGCTGAGAGATCCGGATGCGAAGTACGGGCTGAGGACGGACGTATTTTGTTGCGCCGGGATGCTTCTTCCATCGTCATAATGCCGGACTTTCTCATCAAGGAACGCTTCCAGTCGGCGGAGTGCCTCGTGCTCGCCTTCTGGATATAATTGACGCAAGTGTTTTCGCTGTTCGTCAGAGAGTCGTTTGTCATCCGGTGCAGAAGGCAACTCGCAGTTAAACAATGATTGGTAATGCTTGCGAGCGTCTCCCGGATTGGCGCCGGGCTCCTCGACCACCTCTAGGTACTCGGGATTGTTCTTCAAGAAGGCGACCCATGAGCGATACCATGGCGTGTACACCGCGTACTGCTTCCCCTGTTGACTTGCGAGCTGACCGGGGGTGACGACGCAGCTATCATGGGCTGCCTCGACTTTGAGGCCATTTTGAGCCCCAAGTCGGATCAGAGTGGCCTCGCGGCGCAGTTCGTCTACCTCGTACTCGAGGTTGGCGAATAGGTGATTGGAACCCCATTCCTGACACAATCCGAGGATACGCTGGGGTATCCCACTGCGTTTCTGGTGAGTCTCAATATAGAGGGGGATGTCCAGCTCACCCAGATCTCGCTGAAGTTGACCCAGTGTGCGGATGGTTAGATCCACCCGTGCTGGGCTGGCCAGGTGCGCAGTCAAATCCTCTGGTGACAAGATGTAGAGTGCCAGGAGCGGGATGTCATGCTCGCGCGCCACCTGGTAGGCCATCTGTAGCGCGCGGTTGTCATGCAATCTGAGATCTGATTTGAACCAGTGTACGACGGCCCTACCGGGCTGGATGGCTTGCCGCTCCTCCTGCGTCTCCTCATATGCCTTTTGCAAAGTCTCAATCGGGCGCTCTAGCGTGCCATTATTGTAGGCGGCGCAGCGCTCGTTGTTCATCTCGGGTGGATAGAAGTCGCGCAGCACAATGCCAAAGTCTTCTGTCTGTTGAGCGTGGGGATGAGGATGCGTCAGATCCGGCTTGCCGCGTTTCGCGGCCGGAGATGCGCTATTGGCATCTCCGGTGCTCGCGGAATCATTCGTGGCTTTGCGTTTCTGAGGAGGCATGATACTCAGCGTACGACGAAAGAGTGAGCAGAGAGCCCGTCGATCTAGAATAATCAGCTTCGGGAAGGATTGGGGGCGGGTAAACATGCCGAAGGGGGGCGAAGGGACTTTACTACTGATATACTGTGAGGGCCCAGATCAAGGCACTTGAAGCGAAGTGGGGAGTGTATGCAGTAACATTCCTGGCTGCATCGATTCGATCGGGATCGACATTGATGCGTGACGTCAGCACCCGATCGGAGGTGGAGATGGCGACTGGGGGAATCATTCAGGAATCAGGATGGTGCGCACGATCTTTTGGGCTGTATCGTCACTCTTCTTTGATCGACAATCAGCCTCATATGGTCAGCGAATCAAAGGGTATATTACGGCGTAGATGCTCGTCGCAAATAGTGCTACCCATGAACTCTAGGCCGGATAGCACTTCGGGTGCATTCAATTTGTGTAGATCTGTATCTCAATGCCGGTCTGACTCTGCTGGGCGTCTCGCGATCACAAACTCCTGCTCCAACCACGAAAGAACATGCCTGATCGTGTCCTCCAGCAATTGATTCCTCAATGGCTCAATCGTATTTGTCAACAATGATCAAAGCCGCCCTCGTACCCTCTCGTCTACTTCATGGCATGTGCCGGCATCAGCTGGTATAACGCATTCGATGTGATAGGGCAATGCATCGGTACCTTCCAGCCCACTAGGCTCATCCACCAGCCGGAGTCCACACCATCTTTTCTATCTGGTATCATACTTCCGGCCGGACTTCTCTGTCTATGAGTGAATTGCGCTGTTGATGAAATGTTGTTGAGAGATGAGAGGCGCCAAGAGACGGCGGGAGAAGTCCAGTCGGTGACTCACTCCGTTCGGCTTAGCGCATCCCGTGCGTCATGCCCCCTCGGGAAATTAATCCATCATCTTTTCTACACTTCGGCACCTTCTTCATATTCTAGTCCAGTCTGACCTTGTTCTACAACTGCATTCCTTTCGCTTTCAATCACCTCCCTCCGTTCCACCTGTCGTCTCATTCTACCGAACGTCTTCTCAATGGCATCTCCCGACTTCCCTCCGGCCCCCACCAATGCGATCGACTGGTCCAACGTGGGTTTCAAGGTCCGGGAAGGTAAGTCAGAATTCAAGCGATCGTCTCTGCTATCACGGCACTAGCTGACTTCGGTCGTGTTTGAGTGAACGGGCATGTGGAATGCCACTTCTCCCGTAGCAACGGCAACCAATGGACCGCTCCCAAGTTCGTCCGATCTCCCCATCTTCCTATCCACGGAATGGCCCCGGCCCTGAACTACGGCCAACAGGCCTACGAGGGTCTGAAGGCCTTTCGACACGCGGACGGATCCATCTCCATTTTCCGTCCCGACCGCAATGCCCGGCGCATGCGCCACTCCGCCGAGTTTGTGTCCATGCCGCCCGTACCCGAGGACCTATTCGTGCAGTGCGTGACGCTGGCCGTGGGCGCCAACGCCGAGTTCGTGCCTCCGCATGAAACCGGGGCTGCGATGTACATTCGCCCCTTGCTGTTCGGATCGTCGGCGCAACTGGGCCTCAGCCCGCCGGACGAGTACACCTTCGTGGTGTTCGTCATGCCCACCGGCGTGTACCATGGGGTTCACGCCGTCGATGGCCTTATTCTCGAAGATTTCGATCGTGCTGCACCTGAGGGCACGGGGTCCGCCAAGGTTGGCGGGAACTATGCCCCGGTGTTGCGACACAGTGGCCGCGCGGCAGCGGAAGGATTTGGAATCACCTTGCATCTGGACAGCCGCACGCGATCGGAAATCGACGAGTTCTCTACCTCGGCCTTCATAGGGGTGCGAAAAGATCCCGCCTCGGGTACCGTGACCCTGGTTCAGCCTGACAGCAAGAATGTGATCGATTCTGTGACTGCCGAGTCAGTATGTGAGCTGGGTCGGCGGATGTTTGGCTTTGCTGTTGAGAAGCGTCGCATCGCCTACGAGGAGATTAAAGAGTTCAGTGAGGTGGTTGCGGCTGGAACGGCGGCCGCCTTGGTGCCGATCCGGAGCATCACGATGCGCTCGCGCAACGATAAGTTTACCTTCGAGTGCGGCACGGATGGCCAGAGCGGAGGCGATACCTGCGTGAAATTGCTGCAGGCACTCAAGGGCGTTCAGGCTGGCAAGCTTGAGGATCAGCTCGGCTGGAACTTGACGGTGCAGAAGCCGCCGCAGGATTGGCTGGAGGGAAGAGAGTAAGGTAAGGTAAATTAAAGAGCCAGGACGAAAGAATTCAGATACCAATATACGATGAAAAAATAGGAATTTAGCATGTTAAATCTTCCATTAATCTTCGTGATTTTGCTAGCAAGACCAATGAATTACATCTGTCAAACCCACGAGATGCTCCGAAAGTACATGGTAGTGTCTGTCAATCAGGTCTAATGTAACCAGTGGCGGTCATGACATAGTGCATGTGAGAATCCCGGTAGATAAGACCATTAAGGGACGCACTTCAAATGTAAACCGAAAGGTGCGCAATATCAACTACCGGCGTTTGGCAGCCCTGAGCTTTCTCACCTGGCCACTCGCCGCAATATCACCATTGCCAGAATCACCTTGTCCATTTTCGCAGCTGTTGTCATCGCTATCCGGAATCTCATTATCGTCAGAATCACTTTTTCCACCATCGCTGCTGTTATCGCTATCCGACGAGCTACTCGACGACTCGCTTTCACTCTGACGCCAGGCATTCACCGGTTTCGGCCGTGATTTTTCCTGTTGCTCCCTCGCCTGCATCGCCTGCATCGCCTTTATGTCCTGCATAGTGCGCCGTTTTTGCGAGCTACATGGCTGTTGGGGCCACATCACTGACGCAACCTGAGACGGCGTTGCCGATGTTTTGGTGCGGGCTTTAACAATTGCAACATTGCCACATTGAGACGCACCTTCCTTTTTTGGTGGGGATTGGTCATCATCCACAGAGCCCTCTTTTTCAGGCAAAGCATCGGGCTCAATTTCTGACGAAACGACAAATGGGTCATCAGGAGAAGATTGTTTGGGGACCGAACGGTTGACTGTGGTGGTAGTAGACGTGCTTGTTGTACCGGTTCGACACAATGGTTTTTGTACCGGGGGCAGAACCGGCTCGTTCGTCACCGTCGCTTGTTCATTTGCCTGCGCACGGCGAGGTCTGGCGAAAAATTCCGGGGTTGCAGCTTTGGATGTACTACTAGCGACTCGAGGCTGTGAATGAGGCGTTGTGTTCTTCGATGCAGGTGGGTCTTCATGGCATATAGTTTCAGGCGTCGCGGGATTCAAGGTTGTGTTTCCCTTATCATAGTGGGACATTTCCTGCTCGATATCGAGTAGGTATGCTTCGCATAAGGCAGTAATTTTCTTCGCGGCAGTTCTAGCCTTCCTCCCGTCCGTTTTCTGGTTCTTTTCGATTGAACCCAAGAGCTTTTCGACTTCGTTTATCATGTTTCGACGTTTACCTACATAATGTTGCTCGGCCGCTTTGAACCTCCTCTTGAGTTCCTCAAGTTGCTCCCTTTCTCTTATGTTCCTAGAAATTTGTTCTTCGGCCTCCTTTTCGGTCCTTTCAATGTCTTCGGCCGACAGATTAGGAGGGTACACCATAGAGCCGTGCCCCGACTGTCTTCTATCCGATGAAGAACTGGTAATCGGTTTCGCAATATTCTCAGTAGCCGACTCTGGTGTGGAGCTAGAGTTGACGATTGAAACATCCTCGTCTACAAAAGAGACCGACCGGCATTCAGGCGACCTGTTTGCTGGAATTCCCTTGCGAAGCGCCGAATGCAGCCTTTGGCCCTTGTCTACTTGCTTGGGGGACGGTGCATTCATGGGAGTTGAGTGAGTCTGGAACTTCGAGCCCCAGCGGGGCATAAACGCACTGCTCGAAGGTGTGCTATCACCAGACCGCACAGGATCGTGGGATAGATCATGAACCAGTGGTTGATTTTTGGGTGGACTTCTAGTAATGCCGAGCCCTAGACCTTGTCGGGGATGTTCTGGTCCCTCGGAACAGCTCTGGCGACGAGGAAGTCTGGAAAAGGACGGAATTCTCTCTCTCTTTCGCGATGTCGACGGACTAGATACGGGAGTTCCGGGTTTCTCGAAGTCGGTTTTCGGTCGGTTTGGTTTCATTGACGAAGCAGGATGGCTACCGAATTGGCCCAGGCGCGGCTCCTTGTTTGGCTCGTGATCTTCCTGGCTTTTTTTCCTCTTGCCCAACACTTTGGAAGAATAAACGAGACATTCGACATCTGCCGAATCTTTGGACTCCAGATCTTCATCGTCGCCACGGAAGGGTCCGGCGGGATCTTGATTTTCCTTTGAAGCACTGCTGATCATGGTAATATCACCGTCCCCGTCGCGATGTTCGTGTGGCTGGTTCAAAATTTGTTGGACTCCAGTTTCTTCACGAGACTGAATATCGATGGAGCCTTGGTCATCGTCTTGATCGTCGTCTTGATCATTGTCTTCTTCGTCGTTTTCTTCCACCTCCTCTTCCACTCCTTCTTCCTCATCTCCTTCCTCGCCTTCTTCCTCGCCTTCTTCTTCGCCTTCTTCTTCGCCTTCTTCTTCGCCTTCTTCTTCGCCTTCTTCCTGTGCTTCTTCCTGTGCTTCTTCCTCATCTTTCCCCTCGACTTGCCCATGGACTAATGCGCTCGTCTGGTTGGTCTGAAATGCTTCCTTGACCGGGTTTAACTCGATACAACGCCCTGAGTGGGATGAATCTTTGTCTGTGGTGGATGGTGACTCCGATCCTTGTTCATCATAAGATTCCTCCGGCAATTCCAAGAGGGGTTCGTTCGAAAGCGCTTCAGCTTCTGTGAATCCGGGAAAGGCAATTGCTTGTTGTCCCCGGTGGGTTGGGACTGGGCATGCGGGAGGCCAATCACCCAATTCTTGACTTTCCATGCGCTTGTGCTGGGGGGTTGGCGCCACCGTGCTTCCACGACGAGCCGGTACACTGACCTCATCGAGAAGAGACTTGCCAGCCCACTCTTGGGGAGATCCTGGGATTTCCTCTGTCTCTGTGGATGGCAGAGGGCCTTCCATGGCACGACCCTGGTCGTGGACAGACGATGCACGCCAACCGTAATTGTGGGGGTCGGATTCCGGGGTTCGCTGCGGTTCTTCGACAATAGTTGAATGTTTACCAGCCATCGCCTCCTTGATTCTGAACGGGCGCTCAAACTGATTCGCCGCGCCGTCCCAGTCCTGAGTCACCGACGAAAATCGTACGGGGGTATAAGGGGCTGGCTTTTGGATGACCCGCACGGTGCCGCGCTGGTCACTCCCATCTGCGCGAGCTCGGCCGTAGTCAACAAAAACGTCGGCAACAGTCATATCCACATCGAGATCATCCGAATCGTGAGAATCGTCCAACAATTTCTTGATTTCCAGGGGACTAACGCATCGTATTCGTTAGCGATTAAATCAAACTTACACTCGGTGACAAGTAGTTACGCCACCGAGCGATTGAGGACCGACAGGAAAAGGAAAGATGGCAGGAGGGAGGGGGTAAGTCCAGCTTTTACTTACTCCGCACCAGGTCTGAGCTTCTTCCATCTCTCTCGGATCATACTAGAAAGCTCACCCAATGTTATTTCCTCTGGTTGTTCGAGGACCAGCATGAATCTGGCTGGTTTCCCACCCTCTGGCGTTGAAGAGCTCCGACTAGATTTATCACGATCACGGTCATCGGGCATCGACCGGAAGGAATGGGGGGAAGAGGAGTAGAGTTGGTCGCGGGGATAGACCTTGACAGTGAGACGTAGAAAAACCATGTTTACAATAGCGAAAGATCAATTTTCAAAAGGTTTTAGTGAAACGAGATATCATCAGGTCAACAAGGACCAAACATCAAGTGATTGACGGAGAAGAGAAAGGTCGTGGTGGAGGGGAAGGAAGAGAAGAAGTGAGGGGAGGATGCGCGCGAAAGAAAGTGAGAGCCGAAGGGGGCCCTGGTTGGGGGATAAGTAGTGAATTGAAGGGTCAACGGGAGGAGTGACATAAAGCAATCGGACGACAGTAGTGAATCATAACCCCCAAAAGGTCGACAGTCCTCGTGAAGACCTGTCAATTCTGCCGGGTGAAGAGAAAGCAAGAGATGGGGAACCATTGGTCGGCAGCGACGCGGAAGCACGCGTTTTCACCGCCAGGGGTTCTGGACCCACTTCGGCCGATTTTGGCGTTGTTTGACCTGTCGATTCCCGAGTCTCGACCGGCAGGCGGTTTAAGAAATTAAGATACCAATTGGCAGCCCCCAGATCCATGGATCCAAGATTAGGTACCTACCTACGGAGTACCTTAGTATGCAGGCGGAACAAACGACAGGACGCAGCCCCGAAAATTTGAGAAAGTTGAATTTTGGAATCCGAAAAATTTTTTTGAAAAAGAAAATAAAATATGACAAAAAATCAAATTCATACGTCCACACGCATAGATACCTTCGTAGAAACGGATGCCAAGCGTTCAGGGGAATAAATGCAAACAATCCACGTAGGTACCGGTTCAAGGTACGATTACAACGAAGCAGCAATGCTGTCGAGACAGATTCGATCAATATGAAGAGTAGAAAGAATGATATTCCAAAAGAAATCGCGGCTGCTCGTATGGAGGTGTGCCGCTTTATATACGAGGTTAGAACAAAATGCAAAAACAAAAATATGTCACATGTCATATATGTCCTGGATGCGAAATAGACAAGAATTGAAAAGAATGGATCAAGATACGAATAAGCCCGCATCACTCGGGCACGGTGAAGTAACGCTTGAATCGATCACTCCGCGTCAGGCGCAAGTCCACGATGATCGAATGACAACTCATCAAGAGACTGGGGAACCGGACGGTCCAGAAGTTCAAATACCCCTCCGGAAGCCCGCCGATGTGGGCCTTGAGGTGGTCCGGCATGTCGTTGTAGTGATTACGCTTGTTGCGTAAAGCTCGGAGAAGGTCCAACATCTTCGAGCCGGTGTACTTGCGTTGCTTGCCCAGATTATCCTTGAACTCCTTGGGGAGAAGGCGGAGAAAGTCCAGGTCCGGCCCCATCACCTGCGTCGCCACCGATTCTAGGCAAAGCAGTGTATCCGAAGGGGGGTCCCGCGGCTCGAACTCGAAGTGGTCGGACACGTCACAAAGGAAGCTCAGCCGCTCGGAAGGAGGCCAGAAAAACGGATGGGTCAAGACAGCACTGGCATCCGGTCTGGAACAAGTTAGCATGAAGAAGTCCAAACTGGTTGGCGGAGGGATGAGGGTGGCTTACCGCTTGCGAGGATCTAGGGCTAACATGGACTGGATCAAGTCATGGGCCTCGAATGCGTAATCGCCCAGGCGCTGCAATTCGTCCAGATTGAAGTTGCCCTTGACGATGTTCGCTTCCCGCATGAATTTGCCGTTCTTGTCGAATGGATGACTGCCCCTGGTCAAGACGTAGTAAAAAACACATCCGAGGGAGAAGATGTCGATGGCGCGAGTGGCTCGACGATTGGTTTGCGGGTCCACCACCGCAGGCTCGGAGGATTCGGTGTGCTGGGATTCGATGCTGTGTGCAGATGGAGCCTTGTCGTCGTCTACCAGGAGTTCGGGGGCCCGCCAGCCAGACGTACCCGCCGCATGGGCCGTGGTGGCCCGGAACGAGCTTTGGTTGTCCTCGAGTTTTTTACATAGGCCGAAATCGGAGATCAGCAGTCGCAAGAAGCGAGAGCCTGTACGCCCGCGAGGCATTGCCACCAGAATATTCTGCGGCTTCAGATCCCGGTGGACGATCTTGAGGGAGTGAAGGTAGCGGACGCCATAGACGATCTGACGCAAGACGTCCGGCATGTCCAATCCTCCTTGCACCAGCTGCGGATAATCGGACGGTCGCTCAACTACATCTTGCAGAGATGCAGGGCATAGCTCCAGGGCAATGTAGAGAAAACCGGACGCCTGCTCTCGACAGAAGTAGCGGATAACATTGTTGTGGTCGTCACTTTCTTGGAGCAAGCCCACCTCGTGGGAAGCGATATCGTAAAACTCAACCAGCATCCGCTTCACTGCAACGTCCCGGCCATCAAAGGACCCACGATACACCACCGTGCCATGACTCCCGTGACCCAGTACGACGTCGGTAAACACTCTGAGGCGACCGATCTGAAGAACGCCGTCCATCTCGACGACTTCGTTGGAAACGGTGCGGGTTAATGGAGCTTCCGCCTCCGACCGGGATGGAGGGTGAAGGCTGTTGTTCGACTCATCCCCGGCCCGATCTGCCGGCTCCTTGGCGTCGACGTCGGCACCCGGTTTCTTCCCACGTCGATGGTTTCGGCCTGCACGACGACCTCGCTGGCGTTTCTTCTTGGGCTTATCAGTGCCGTCCAGTGTCAAGTCTTCCACATCGTCATCACCGTCTGGACCCCGCGAGGGCTCCCTAATCCGGACGCGAGGGGTCGTGTCTGCCACCAGGAGGCTGCGATCTTTGCTCGGTTTCGGCGTGGCATCGCCGTCGTTCTGTTGATCCTCGGGCACATTGACGTCAACGGTTACGTTAGGTACCGGTCGCGCAGGACTACTGTCGCTTTTGAATGGATTGCTGCCAATTATTGGGGTTGATGGGGTGGACAATGATGGCTGCCCGTAGGAAGAGATGATGTTCTTGAGATCCAATTTCTGCTTCGCCAGCTCCTGAATATGGTGAGAATTGAAGTAGATGAAGGCACAGAAAAGTAGGAGCAACATTGTCACAAAGATGTCCACAACATTGTCCCAACTCTTGCGGATAATGGCGCTGTGACGCAAGGCGGGGGGAAGAGCCAACTCGGACGGATTGCGGATCAGGTCGCGTGGAGTGTCGTTGGAACGCTCCGCGGACGACCCCGAGATACTGGGGATGTGAGGTCGAACGATGCGGGGGCCATTGAGTGAATGAACACCAGTCAGTGCATCGCGCTGCTGGTTGGATGGCAAGCTCGTCAGGGGTTGCCCTCGGCGGAAATAATCCTTTTCATAGCACTGCGCCATCTTGGCACGTCCTGTCACCAGGGGATACGTCTCTTCAGACATAGCATACCAGCCCCCCGCATCTGTGCAGTCGATAAAAACGCGGGTGTCTCGGTCATCCAGAGAGCCGTAGTCTGGGTCCGGGGGTTGCAGTGGCTGGGACAAGAGCACCAGAGGCGTGGCGGCCTCGGGCGAGTCGACGTTGATCGGGCGGACCACATCGAATACTCGCACCACCGGCGAAGAGAATCGCTGCGTGTAGCGAGGCCGCTCCATTCGAGAATGGTCGAAACCAAGTACCACACCGTCATGCATGCTGTATATATGACTTTGATCCATCGTCCGGAAATATTGACTCTGGAGATCCATGTCGCGATTGTTGGCCGACCACTCCGAGTATTTCAGGGTGCATATAGGATCCCCGGTTTCGGTATTTTGGATGGCCACGGCGTATTCGATGCGGCCCAAAACTAGGGTGCCGGAGGGAGATTCGCATTCTTCGGCATCGACGTCGAGTCCATCTACTTTGCGACACTCCTGGCCCGCGGGCACGGGGCCCCGAGAGCTGAAGACCCGCAAGATCGTACCAGTGCGGGCGTCAATGGTGTAGAGGGTGGTTTCCTTCCGAGCCGTGTAGGTGACCGCGGGATCTGTACCCGAGTAAGGGGTCTCGTCCACCAGCTCCTTGACGGTCAAGCCGAGCTTCTGCAGGCCGGCATCGGGGTCGGGACTGTAGATGAAGATGCTGCCTCCTTGACTGGGTTCAACGATCCATATAAAATCATCCTGGGGCTGGGTACGGTCGAAACTGGACCGGTTTTGGCGATGATAGATGCTCTCGACCATGGGACTGCTAGGGACCTCGAGGGCCCAACGGGCAGAGCCGGATTTACGGTCTCGTGCGTGAATGGAACCGTCGACGGTCGCCAGCAGAACAAAATCCTCAACCTCCCAGTCCTGCAAGGACCGCGCATGGAGCTGCGGAGCCAGGCCGGCAGAGGGACTGCTGGCCTGGGCAGGAGGGGCTCGAACGGCGCGGCCGGAGCCCGCCAGAGCCAGAGTTGCTAGGGCGCTCGCATCGTTGGACTTCACGTTCAACGTCGGAGGGGGGTGACTATCGGGGAGATGTCCGGTCGGATCGAGGGGGACAGACACGGCGGACGGACGGTCATGGCGTTCGTGCAGCTGCTGCGGAGCGACGAGAACGGGGAGCAGAAGGAGTGCGACGCTGGCGGGGAGGGTCGTACGGGCGCCAGGCAGCCGCCACCGCATCCTGGAGGACTACAACGCGGGCCAGGCAAACGAGGGAGAGTAGCTTGGTCGAAGACAACGGTATGTGACAAACCGCGTCCCATCGGATATGGAATTGGCTTGTCGATAGTTTTCCCTTTTGAGTAGGGGGAGGTGAGACGGAGGAGAGGAAAACGGGAGTTGGGCGTTTGTGTGGGAGAGAAGGAGAGAAGAAGAGGGAGGAAAAGGCTGAGTGGTTGGTGGTTCCGGCTCAGAGCGGAGAAGCAGAAGCAGACCCAGCGGTACACCAACGAACGAGGCTAATTTGGACCCAATCACTCCGTCAGTTCTGGACTGGTCGACCCATACTCTACGGAGTAGTAGATACTCAGTGGGCATCGGCTCTTTGCATAGTGGGAGAAATACTGACCGGGCGTTAGAACGGTATGGTTGTGTCTTTACAAGAGACCAAAAATGGAGAGCGAAGGGGGGGAAGAAGAGATAGAAAGAAAGAGAACGAGGTGGAAGATGACCATTGAAGGGAGAACTGATAAAAAGAAAAGAGAACGAAAAAGAAAAAGAAAACGAGGATTGTGCGAAGGAGAGAAAAGGGACAAGTGCGTGATGGCGTGCCTTTCCAGGGGCCGAAAAACGAAGGGCCTAACTCCTAAGGCAGTCAGCGGTGGCTCACCTGGCTTACTGGTGGAGCCGTGTGATGTGATGGAAGGCAAAAGAACCTCTTTTGCTTGCCTCCGTACAGTGAGTATAGAGTACGGAGTAGATTGATTCTATTTCAGATATTCATCGGAGCAATAATCACCAAGGTCATAGTCATAACCAAACCATAATAAATGCTACTCGGTGTAAGTACCCGACAACAGGTATCCGTATTCCGTACGCCATGATGCCTCTGGAAGACTCGCTCTTCCCCTTTCTGGACTAGCGCCGGCCTTTGCTGACGCACATCCGTCCCGCCGTATTGTCTTCGGACGGTATCAAGTCTGGTTACCTACCCAGGTCCACAGACAGTGTTAGGTACCTACCTATATGTGAGCTTTTCTCTTTTTTGTCTTTTTTTTTTCTTCTCTTTTTATATACCCGCTTTTCTGTGAACTTCACCAGGGTAGAAAAGGGGGAAAGAGCATTGCTTGAGGTAATGGCAATACACAATACAGTACACCGACGGGCCGGCACAATGCGGCGGATCTCCCGCGCTCCCCGGCTGTCAGCGGCCCAGACTGGAGTCGTCGCATCCACTGTCCACAGGCTCCATCGTGAGTTATGGTACCCAGGATGCCTGCATGAAGGGCGTTGCGGAAAACTACGCTGTCCAGTAAGGAGTACTCCGTACTACCTACGAAATCAGTAATGCCACGCCAATTGCAACGGATCCTAGAACCAAATGATTTGACGGGGAGAACTCCTACAAACGCCGCCACCCAGGTAATATCCAAATTACATACCAGCGTAATCGCTATCCCGAAGAGTAGAACGTCCAGTCATCAAGGCGCTCGACAGGACCTGTCAAATCACAAATGATAAAAGGAGGAAAATCAGAGACAATAAACACACCGAGAAAGACAAAAAAAGTGAGAAGTTGAAAGTCAGAAATGAAAAGGAATACTGCGTTTCCATGATAATGAAGCATGGTTCAGGGGAGCACAAATTACCCACGCTATCACCCGCCATAGACCATCCAAGCTACTGCTGCAACCCAGCCACCGGCGACAACGACCGTCAGGATTGACGCGCCGACGCGGTCGCCTCCAGTGATCGGTCGGGGAGTGTTCGGCTGCTTCTGGGGACCGGAACCGGCAGTCGGGTCGCTCTTACTGGTGCCGCCCGTGTCCGAGGTCAACGGGGAATGACTTTCCTGTTTGTGGGTAATCATGGCCGATGCAAAGACGCTCAGCGCGCTCATGTCCTGCTCTAGTCCCTTGGAACCATCCCAGCTGTCTTGGTGCCAGCGGCGTCCGCATTGAGTCTTCGTGCTGCCCCCGGAGCACTGTTTGGCCGCGGCTTGGGCTGAAGCTTGAATCTTCGGGATGATCTGGTTGGCGGTATGAGGCACGATGGTCGTCATGAAAGTCAACCAAGAGGAGAGAAACCCCTTGAAACAATCCTGGTTGCGGTCGCACATCATGTTTGGTTCGCAGGAAATCTCCGACATCACATTTCCCCCAAACTCCTTGGGAAAGAACTTGTCGAGCGTGGTCCCAAGATAGCCGTCAATTGCCTTCTTCCATTTGTCTCCGCCATTCGTCTAGCTCTCGTCAGTCCCGTTGCCCGCGAGTCCTCGGGGCGTTTTCTAGCCACACTTACCAGGTTGTACATGTATGCGGCCCCGCTTAAATAAGTCCCGTAGTTGTAAGTCCACTGAAGATCGCCGTGGTCAGTGCACTGGGTCTCCATGGTCGTCGTGTCCGCGATGGTCCATTCATCCATCTTCAGCAAGGGGGTGGTGGCACTCCAGTCCCAGATCTTCTCGGCCCATTCGGTGTAGGTCTCGTTGTTGGTATAGCGACCTAGCCGGGCTGCTAGTTGGAACAGACCGCCGTTTGAGATAGCATTCTTGGTTGTATACCCCGCCTGGTAAGGAAATATTTGCCATCGCAGGCCTCCCTTACAAGCGGTAGTGTCCCAGCGCGGTACCTGCGTGTTGAAAACGCCCTGGGCGAGCGACAGCCACGACGGCTGCCCGTCCTCCTCGGGAAAGTTCAGTTCGGCCGCGGTGATTGCGGCCAAGCCCCAGAAGACCTGGTCGTCGTTTCCCAGGAAGTTGCTATCGTTGGCGGGAAAGTAGTCGTTGTTGCCCTTCTGCCAGAGCATGCCCTGAGTTGTGACCTCGTTATAGGAGGTGTCGCCCGTCCAGAACCAGTACTGGATCAAAGTCATGAACATCGCGCCCCCTTCCCACCAGGTATCGGGAAGCTTTCCGGGGATTTGGCCGGACTCGTTACCGTGGTAGTTACTCATCATGTTGTATGCCGATGTCGCGGCCGCATTCTTGATAGACTCTAAGAGGAAAAGGATCTCGTCAGTATCCGCCGGGATTTAGAGAATCGAGCAAGCTAGGAGGGGCAGCCGCAGTAGTGATAGCAGGTAGCAGGTTGCTTACTAGAATCGCTGACATCCAACTGGATCTGAGAGACGGCTCCCTGGCCAGCCAGGAAGACGGTCAGTGCCGGTATCCATGGCAGATAGCGCATGGCGGATAGTATCGTGGCGTGCAGATATGGGAAGATGAAGGAAGTGCGTTCGGATAGCGGGGTTTTTCGCAGCGAGACAGGGCCAAAGACAGGGCCAAAGACAGGGCGAAAAGAAGGGGCGAGTGAGCGTCGTAGGTAAGTAGTCGAACTGGTTAGTCACTGTGGATGACAGAAAACGGAATTGGAAGTCGTGTGGAATGAATGGCCGGAAATGGTTCAAGTGCTGGTTGGAGTGAACATCGCCCGTGGGGAAGGCTGGAACCAGCCCGACGGAGAGCGATGGATGGTCAGGTCGTACGAAGGGAGGAGGTGCTGCCTCTCTTCCGCAGCTCTAGTTTGTGAAGGTATTGGAGTATACTTCTACGTGGTACCTGAGGGATCGAGGGGTTCCTTGCCTGAGGAAGGGATGATGACTACTCCTACGGCCTTCTTCTCCCCTCCTGCCCTCTCCTTCTCGCTTTTTCTTCCCTTCATCTCTTTCTTCCTCGCCAGTGGAGCCCCCTGTCTCCCTTCCATTCATCACTCGAACACAGTCCAGCCACCCGGCCACTCCTTCTGGCCTCGAGGGCCAATTAAGCAATTTTTAGCGCTGCAGCCGATCGAGCGTCGAGTCCCCACTGGGCGATCTTAGCAACTGTTGGCACTGGATCCCCGGCGCCAATCAGTATTCCCGACCAGAAGTTTCCATGGTTCAATCTTACACATCTCGTGCATTTTTGACGAAGCACTGAGATGCCCTGAGATGCTCTACATACAACATACTAGCACTCACCCTCTCTTTCCCTGAGGCCCCAACCCTGACATTCAGATTAGCCGCATGTCTCCGTCCCCTTCCTTGCTTCCTCGTCTGCCGGCTTCGTCCCATCCCGAAAGTTCTGCGTCCCGGACAAGCCACCCTTTATTTCGTCGTTCCTGGCAATCAGACTGACCACAAATCCAACAATCGACAGTCCCATCATCAGCTACCACATCGTGGTCAGACTCCGTGCGTACACCCACCGGTATTCATGCTGAACAGGCGAAGGAAACTCCCGGATCATCTGACATGCGATTTCGGCAACATGGCTTTCCGGCCTCAGTTCCGGAGGAATTCTCCCCGCGATAACTGCACGGTTTATCTCCTTCGTCCACTGGTTCTGGGAGATGACCCCGCCCAGTCCGACCCCGAAGGCAGTTCCAAGGCTACGCATAAAAAGTTGCACGCTGGTCGCGATCCCAATGTCGCCGCCGTTTTGCCGGGCTTGAACAGCAAACAACGGTGTCGGAAATAGGAGCCCACCGCCAATAGAGATGAGAACACAAAGACCGTAGAGAACGGCCTTACTGCTGTCGGGGTGCATGGTGATCTGATCCTCCCCACAGCCGTCGACGTTAGATTGCAAAAGATTTGCCAAGTTCTTCTGATGGAACAAGAATCTTACATTGCTTCCCATTCCTGCCGCCAGTAGAGCCCAACCCACCACGATGATGTACTTGAATCGCTGTGTTCGTTTCACCAGCATACTGGCCACGAGCCCTGCGGGTGCCGAATACGCGATACAAGTCATGGTCTCGAGGGAGGCATGCGGGACACCATGCTGCAGTGCTCCGAGGAACTGGAAAAGGCACAAAAATGTCAGCAAGCGCGTGGTGAACACAGAAACACAGCCGTCTGGAGGCATACAAAGATTATCATGCAGTAAGTCACACACAAAATACCAATCCATGCAGAAAGCTCGTAACGAAGCCGACAATGGCCGACCGGTCGTGGAATATCCTCGGGGGCATCATGGGGTTAGATGACACTCGCCATTGAATGAATATGAAAACCGCAAAGACTACGGCAGCCAGAATTAAGGGCACCAGCACGGCTGCCGAATCCCAGGGATGCAAGGCACCGCCAGACGTCAGACCGACCAGGAACAGAGTAGACGCGCAGGTAAACCCCCAACCCGGTCCGGTCCAGCATGCCTAACTTGTTCATAAACGAAGAAGTATCTTGATGCAGTTGCAACGAGTACACCAACCCGGCAATGCACAACACACACGTAGGAATGTTAATATAGAAGGTCCATCGCCAAGTAGTCCGCGAGCCGATGACGCCGCCCAGGGGAATGCCTATTTTGGTTCCTAACGACCAGGCCAGTGCGGCAACTTCCATATACAGGCCGCGTTCGCTCATGGTTGAAATGTCGGAGAGGATTACCTGCACCAGCTGGATCATGCCACCGGCTCCGATGCCTTGGACCACCCGGGCTCCGACCAGCCAGCCGACATTTTCAGAGGATACTGCCGAAGGTGAAAATAGCCGTGACGATTAGAATAGGTCCCTTGCGGCCGAGTATCTCGCTAGTAGTACCGTACGGAGGAATTGTGATGGTCTGAGCCAGCAGGAACGAGGTGCCCACCCAGAACGATTCCACGATACTACTCTGCAGGTCTTCCGCAATTGCTACTAGGCACGAGCCCACGATAACCGCGTCCATGGAGGTGATAAGCGTGAAGATGACCAGGAAGAGCACGGTGAGCTTGAACTTGAGCGATTTGGGCCGGGGGGGGTTCGGCATCGAGCTCAACATCGCTGCCGGCTTTCTTCGCCAGCGAGGTTGCGGTGAAATCGTCGGACATCGTTTCAGAGATCATGTCTCCGTTGTCCCGGTGGCCCTGGTTTCCCAGTTTGAAATTGGTCACTTCAGAAAATGTGAATGGCTAGGCAATCGCGGCCGAAATGCGCATTCTTCTAGATCCTTCTGGCCCGGCGACAAAACGAATCTCACCTCGCTAGTCTAAAGATGCATGCATAGTGTCGCTATCAAAATGAGGAGCGTCAATGACTCTCATCATCACGAGGGCGCATGAGCAATTCACCCGGTAGTAATATTCATTCTCAAGGGAGCACAGTCAGACGGAAATCCTCTAGATGATATGATATCAAGTTCCACGATGCGAGAGAACTTCCAGACAAGCGCTGACGAGCCAAGGTGGGTTACGAGGCGATGACGGCCCAACGTCGTCGACTAAATCCTGCGCTCAACGGTTTAGTGTCTTTGCTCAACAAATGGAACCTTTCAGCGTCAGCCTGCACATATGAGGATTCGCGCAATTCTCGGCGCGAGGAGGAGTCCTTTGCCATCTGACATGTCATCGGGCCATTACTTAGCCAAGGGAAGGAATTGAGAGAGGCAGGTTCTAGGGCTGAACACACTCGGTCAATTGCATAGTAAGAAGTACTCAGTTAGTTACTGAGTTACTAACAAGTGGTAGCGCCAACTAAATCCATGACGCCCATCGCTCGACCCAACATTATCCGCCAACACCTTCATCCTTCTATTTCAGCCACTTCTTCTGACTCCTCTTACTTCTCTTACTCCCCAATCATCACGGTGATCAACGTACCGGAATCTAAAGGCATGGCGCATGATCTCGAACCGCTGCCTAAAGTCGGCATGCCATTTCTGCACCGACTCAATTGCTTCCTGCGTCTCTGGCTGCTGAAATTGCTCGCCAACATTTACTTCTTCTACCAGCGCCTGGTCCACCCGCCGGCGCGAGGATCCCAGCCGACGCTGGTCAAGCGCTACGCATGTCGCGCTATGCTGAAGACTCGCATTTTCTATCCGCACGACTACCGGGCCGGCGAGGAGCTACTACCCGTCTACTTCAACATCCACGGCGGCGGATTCGCTCTTTGCGATGCGTCCGTGGACGACGAGTTCTGCTCTTCCTGGGCCTCCCGCACAGGCATGCTGGTTATCAGCCTAGATTATCGCAAAGTTCCCCTGCATCCTTTCCCCACAGCCACCTACGACGTGGCGGCGCAGGTGGAAGCTGTTCTAGGGGACAACTCGCTACCTATCGACCAGTCGCGCGTCGTGGTAGGCGGATTCAGCGCGGGCGGCAATCTAGCGCTGTCGGTGGCCCAGCTGCCACCTCTCAAGCAGCTGGTGCAGGCCGCTGTGATCTACTACCCCATCGTCGACTTCGGCCATCCCCCCAACGAGAAACTGGCATCCAGGCCTTTCACCAACGGACCGAAAGACAACCTCGAAGCGGCCTCCTGGTGGCTCGATTGGGGCTACGTGCGTGTGGGACAGAACCGCCGCGATCCTTTGCTAAGCCCGGAGTACGCCCGCAAGGAGGATCTGCCGCGCTGGATTTACGTGGTCGGCGCCCAGTGGGACATGTTGCGTCTGGAGTCACAGGTTATGATCCATCGCCTGGCTGGATTGGAGGGCAGGGAAGACCAGGAGGCGCCGTTCGAAAAGGACACATACAAGTGGACCTTGGCCATGGGGCAGTCGCACGGTTTCACGCACAGCCGCGGACGCAATCCAGCCAAAAGGGCCAAGAGACAGCAGTTGTGCGAGGAAATTTACGGTGAGGCACATGAGTGGTTGAAGAAGAGCGCGTTGCGCTAATTTGCCGTCCCTGAACTATACGGGTTACTTTCCCTTTCCTTTAACTTGCGTTACGAGAGGCGTTCGGAGAATCAGCATTAGATCCCGATAGATTCTGTCTCAATTACTATTCTAGACCAAGATTCTGTCTTTTACATCAGAAATACGTCCGGGCGATATCCTGTCCTGCACGAATTGCGTACTCCACTAGTTCAAACGTATTGAACCCCGACGCGTAGTACGTCTTGCGTTGGCCCTGCGATCTCTCGAAAAGCTCATAGTATCCCGTACCTGGCATAAAGATCCGAGTGATGCCAGTAATACGACTTGTGACACTTGCTATACCCGGCAGCGTCATGAAAAGAACAGGGACAATTTCGTTATCCCTGAAAAAGATCTCAAGGTGAAACCTTTGCCCCCAGTAGCCGAGCTCAAGTGTACGGCACAGGGATGCAACAGAGAAGGCAAAGACTCCAATCGATGGTGTCGCATCAAGGACAACCAAATCGTATGTGGGCGCTGCTACCAGCAATACAAGAGATCTCATCCCGAGGAAAAGGACCCGACAAGAACTCTTGCAATAGAGCAAGTCGGCATCGAGATCAAAAAGAATCAGCAAGGAAGCCAAAAGAGCTATGCTCTCAAAGCAGTAAGACTCGTGTTGCGGCCAGATAAACAAGCTTGATAAAATGAAAAACCAAAAAAGTCAGTATTGACGGTAAAAGGATCAGAGTGAAAGATCTAACGAAATGTGTTTCAGTCTCCAGGCATCGCGTCAGAGGATGGTCATGACAATGTTATTGTTGTCGTCGACGTGACCACCAAAATGTTGTGGCTCTACGGTGACCCCCAGCCACCAGTTGCGCAATCCTCGCGACGGAGTTTTAACCACATGCGCTTTATATTCGCGCCGCTCCAAGTACAAACTTCGTTCTGTCCGTCAAACTATGCGGAAATCCTCATCGTTACATTTGACTCAAGAGTCAAGACAGATGCTATTTGTCCCAGATCATCACAAAGGCTGCCAGCGTCGCCACCACCTGCCTAAACCTAGTAGTACTCAACAAAAGCTAGGCACTCCTGTTGTATCTTTTAGCCAACACTGTATCTTTACTATCAAAGCTGCTGAAATGTGTCCCTCGACGGTTCTCACCACCCGATTATGAAGTTATATCCCCGCTAGCTTTGTCATGTACTGTTCTCTTCGCGTTTTCACTGTTGTATACTCTTCTCATGGCATGTTATATATGTATCTTGATTAGAAATGATAACCTATTTCCTTTCTCATCCAGGGTCTTCAATGCTTAAGAAAAGTTTCTGCCTCGCTCAGTCAACTTGATCTAGAGTGGGTCATCCACGTTGAGCATAATTCGTGAGAAGAGCAACTGGCCAGAGCGCTCCTCTCCTCTTTCTCTCTTGACGAGTAAAGAGAGGATCTCTAGATGAGTTGGAAAGAATAACAAACTGTGAAGATAGAGCTGATATCTGTCCAGCATACGAGAATAAGAATAGATCTCTCGAATAAGAATCTTTTTATCTAGGAATCAGAGTGATGGACATTCCGATTATTCGACTTGTTTGCGGTTAGACCGCTGAACTACATACCTCAAGATGTAGAAGCTAATAATTAAAGGGCCGGTGGCCCAAAACCAGACATGGGACCTGGAATGGTTCACTATGCAGGCATAATAATAAATCGAAGAAACCAACGCTATCCAATATCGTCCAGGGGTATTCAAACATCGACCCGAACCGAGCATCCAGCTGCAATGGAAAGAAATTTCGTACGCCATATCCCAGCCGACGGTCCACCATATCATAGTCGTTTCGGGGGGAGCCTATCATCGCTTTCCGTCGCCGTATTCGCCGGGGTCGTTCAGTCGTCGCAACAGCAACATAGGCCTGCTGGCTATTAGATTGAGAATCAGAAACAGGGAAGGCAGCACTTAAATTCCATGCACCCCGTGCAAGCTTCTTCGCAAAGGAAACAACAGCAGGCCATCATCAAGCAAGACATCAAGCATCCTCGTTCCTTCTGGGGCGGCTCCTGAGGGGGAGGCATTTGTTGCATCGGATATGGCTGGGGAGGAGGCGCGTACTGTCCGCCGGGCGGAGGGTAGCTTGGAAGAGTCAGCTAATTAGAACGCCAATGATTCATTAGAGCGAAGAATGTGACTTACTAGCCCTGGGGAGGCTGTTGATACGACATGTTGACTGTGCGGATGGATGGGTGGAACGGAGGACTTTGCGAACCAGGGAAACCAGAAACGGCGGAATCAGAAGTTATAAAGGAGAAGGGGAACCGGCCAGGCAGAAGAAATAATCCTCGAGGGAATGCTCATTTCTCAGCCCTGCTGGTGGACACATCGACCCCCGAGCGCCCCGACTGCGTCTTGGCCCTCCTGCAAAGGACTCCACCTCCGCCATAGCGATTGGATCTGGAGATGGAGTAAGATTAATAGGTTGGACAACCCCCTTTCGAACCGACTTGTGCGACGGACGCTTGGCTACAGGGTATGTTTGCGTTTGTGTTTGGATTGTCATGCAGAGGTGGCAGTGGCTCGTTCCCTCTCGACCCCCAGTGTTACCACCGATTGGTTTCAACTCATCTAGAAAACTGTGGCGCCTAACCGCCGAGCGAACGGAATGCCAAGGCCAAGAGAAACAACTCATGGGTATCTCCAGAACGAAACTCCTTGGGAAATGTGGCTGAGGCGGATTCCAGAATGGCATTCCTTCTGACCAAACGCCCAAAAGCTCCCAAACCCTTTGGGACTTGAGACGCCAAGGCTGCATCCCTAGCACTATTGCCTGTAGAGTCGAGTTAGGGTCGCCCCTTAAGGCTGGATCTCCACTTGGACTGGCCAGTCATACACGCTGACCGATATTGATATCCCCACTATTTGTGGCACTATTGGCTGTCATTTGCTGTTGCCTAATGGAGTTTCATAAGTACTGTAATAACCGCCAGCAAGGGGGGGGGCCGACTTGTCATGCGGTCTGATTGTCGTGTCTCCTTGGTCGCCCCTTGTTCTGTCTTCGATGAGGAGACACACTCCAGAGTCCAGAGTGTTGAAGCCGTAGGATGAACCGATAGATGAATTGCATAGCCACTGCCCCATAAGGACTTCATTTCCATGCACAGTCTAGTCCGCCCTGCCGTAGTTATAAGCTCCATCCGTGGCTGACCGTCGGGTCGGTCCAACGACGGGTCACGATTAGACGCCCTGTCCTCCGTGAATTCAAAATTGCAAATGATGACAAGCCGCTAGAGGAGGTATGATAAAAATAGCCATCGAATTATGTATTCTGGTTGAATCTCAAGTCCTCGACGGACAACCGCCGTTCGGAGCGCTGACATTTGACAGTGTGGGAGATCGGTGCCACTGAGTATAGTAGTGAATATGATCTTCAACACGGCGTAGTCTAGCATAGCCTGATAGGTTGGTGTAAATGTATTATTTTGTTGAGCCGTGTTATGAACGATCGCGTGATGATCATTATAATTAGGACTTATGACAGACGGGAGCATTCTCTGTTTCCATTTCTTCCTACGGTGTACGTTCGTCAATAATATGAACAGGTAGCAGCAAATGGCCCAATGCGTACGGAGTATTCTTTGGAGGTCGATCAGGGATCACTCAGGGGTGAAGACCCACCAAGGACATGGAGTCTGCCCAGTCTGGCCTCTGCATTTGTCGAATTGTTTATTTGGTTTGACCACTAGCTCTTGACGGACCGTATAAAGCCCACCGCGTTTTATGGGTCAGTAAGGGGTCCAAAGCAACAGCACTTATGAGTACTCCGTACGGGGTAAACTGTCTACAGTAGTGTCTACAACAGACGATGGTCCATTGCTGCTCGTGGGGCTTATCAATGATTATGTCCAAGTGAAGATGAGGATGAGGTTCTTTGCTTGCCAAATTGGGCTCCGGATCCATCAACATTTGCCCTTCAAACGCCATCTGGATGTGCTTGGTGAAAGATATGAATTTTAGAAGTAGAAATCACTTGTCCTATCACAATTGACATACATAGTGTTATTTTCTCGTATTCTAATTGACGCTGTTTCCCACATACAGAATGTCTATCTCGGCGGAATCACGGTGTTTCACCCTCCACATGTCGAGTCTGCAATGCATCCAAGTCATGGACAACACGCCCTCCATCTTCCACCACGTTTCATGGCTGATCATCCAAAAGACATTCTGTATCCATCAATACCTCATGTTATTTACATTTACGGATTCATTGCAAAAACATCGAGTCATGACGCACTCTGATTAGTCATCAGCCCTCCTTGGAGAAGTTGGAGATGCCCATTTCGAGTTCCCCAACACTCCCTCCCACTCACTCTTGCTTGCGTTGTCACAGGCGTGTCCATGCAACTATGAGTTCCAGTAATACCCTATCCCAGCTCCGAAGTAGAAGGCTCAGGTTTGTTTGTGACTTCTGCCATCGACGCTTCGCCAGAAAGGAGCATTTGGAGCGACATCTGCGCATACGTAAGTAGCCTAGTCAAAGAATGGCACAAAGTCGGGTCAATAACCTAAGCAGATACCAAGGAAAAGCCCTTTCGTTGTTCATGTGGGGCTTCCTTTACGCGCAAGGACCTTCTGAAACGTCATAAGAAGATCAATCATCCAAATGAGGTGCTTCCAGATGCGGCCAACCCGGCATCGAGGACCGCGCACAATACTTTCATTCCCTACGTCTCTCCATGTCAACCTGAGTCAGAATCGTCTAGACCAACCGTAGAGTCACTGAATCACGTTTCTCCTATCTCTAATGCGCGGCTGCTGAGAACACATGATACTACAGGCCCTGCTGTCAAGAGCGTTGGCGAGCAGAGCCTAGGGATTGCGCCACCGCAGGGTCTTGATCAGACAGTGATCCCTCAAAATCTTACCGAAGCTGGTAACAAACCCCCTTGGAATCTAAATTTAAATTCTTTCTAACATTCTCCAGAAGCGCAACCTCCCTTGACCCAGGACAGCTCTGATCACTTCGAAGATTTCGCAAACTTCCTGGATCTAATCGGGTTTCCGGTCGATTGGGCGCCTTTAGATCTAGAAATCGAAAGTCCCACGGAAGGCCTCGATGACCCCAGTCCCGAAGGGCAGATGCCAGGAGAGAGCCATTGTGATGATAGTCCCTTCCAGTCTTGGTTGCCCTCTGTTCCATCATTGGGGCATGGAAGGTACGCTTTTCATGGTGCTGATGCGGGTCAGTCGTGATTCTTGTCTTGATCCTTCCCCTACCACTGACCGGGTGAACTAACTTGATTACCTAGACTCCCATGGTGTAGGCGATCAAAGTTCTATCTTCAGAGTGGATGAGTACCACAGGTCTTACCTCATGTCTCTTCTGGAGACCTACAAAGATATTCTGCCCAACTTCAGGTTACCTTCACGACATACGCTTACCCGCTATATAACTAGCTTCTTCCAGGGCTTCCATAACCATTTGCTGTTTATTCATTTGCCAACATTTCGACTCAAGGACCAGTCGCCTGAGTTTATGTTGGCCATCATGGCGGCTGGAGCCCAGTACCGGTTCGAGCATCAGAATGCACAGAGGTTCTTTAATGCATCCAAGGCAATTGTCTTACAGAATATAGATCATAGATTCGGAAGCCAAAGTAACGTGGGGTGCTCCGAGTTAGCTAAGAATGGCCGAGTTGTTGATAATATGATAGAAATAGATATTATCCGCACCCTGCTTGTTCTGATGGGATACTCGACGTGGGAGTGTGGGAGCTACCTCGATGATGCCTTCCACCTTCGGGGCCTTCTCATTGCTAGACTGAGGGCTTCAGGTCTTGATGAAACTGATGAAACAGATCAAGATGATATCTGGCAATGCCAAACAGACTGGGGGAGCTGGATACTGGAAGAGACGCTCCGCCGGACCAAACTGGCTGCCACTTTCTTTACACAGGTTCACAGCATTGCCTACAACCTGTACCCCACCATCAGGAATAATGAAGTGAGGTTACGCCTTCCCTGCCCGACGAAGCTTTGGAATGCAACCACTCCTCATGACTGGGGCGTGATCATGAAGTCAATTGATCAAAAACAAGCCTTCTATCATCATGCGGTATCCCAACTGTTGCGGGATCCTGACTCAGCCAGCGTTGTAGATCCAACGCCATCGCCTTTGGGAAACTACTATATTCTTCACGGCCTCCTCCAGCGGATTCATATAGTCCGCGAACTGGCTGTCGATTTGGGCGGCTCCTCTGCACTATTGCCCAGTGACGAATTGAACCGACTTGAGTATGGCCTTTCTGTGGGTTGTAAACAACGCTAACACGGTTTAGGAGAGCATTGAACCTATGGGCAACCATGTGGCAGCAGGCGCCCGAGTCCAACCTAGACCCTTCGAATGAGAACGGGCCAATTCCTTTTACTTCGAGCTCCCTGCTTGCGCTAGCGTACGTCAGACTATCGATGAACATTGGCCCGTACAAGCGGCTCGAGAGTCGAGATCCGGATATTATCGCAAAAGCGTTGAGCGACTTGCCCCCGGTTTGGAGGTGTGCTCGCTTGACCCCGGCCCTGATCTATGCTATTCATACCGTGAGCGTTCCTGTACGGCTAGGACTGGATTATATTGCAAAAAGCCAAGCCTTCTTCTGGAGCGTGCGCCACGCGTTAGCGAGCTTCGAATGTGTGATTCTTTTGAGCAAGTGGCTCCGGGCTGTGGCTGTTGATCAGAAGAAAACACTGAACAGTCAGTTCTCGCTCCCTATATCCAGATCTGGCCAGCTGACACCGAAACCTAGCGAACGAGAAGCGGATTATTCGTTGGGCCCGTTTGGTTGTTGAGGAAGCTCATGATTCTATGGATACCGCCGAAGGAGAGGTGCCTGGGCGTGAGCCAGCTGAATTGGCTGCCGCAGTGCTGGGCATATGGTCTCGCTTTTTCAAGCAAAACTCGCAATGGAAGTTTATCAACATTCTTGGAGAAAGCCTGGCAAGATACGCGCAGCTGCAGATGTCTAGCTAGACGATTCGATGAGTGTCCTCTTTCGTAACTCACCTTCTCAGTACTCATTTACTTCCAACTTCATGCACTACTGAATCCTAGTATTCCCCCTCGACGGAATTCATAGATCTCTCTATTCGACTATAAAAAGGTATTCTATCCTTCAAATGCAAGCGACAGTCTATTCAAAGCCAACCTTCAGTTTTTCAAACTCGCCTCAAACTCCGCACTAAAAGGATAATCCAGATATCCCTCAGCCTGCACAGGAGTATAGAACGTCTCGCGATCATACTTTTGCAAGGGAATGCCATTCTTCAACCGGAACGGAAGATCCGGATTCGCTAGGAAATGCCTCCCAAACACAACCCCCACCTCATGATCCTGATACGCGGTATCGATATCGCCCGCATTCAGCTGGTTGTACCCCCCGGCCACAAGAACCGGCGCCTCGCGTCCCCACGCCTCCAAGAACGGCTCGATGCCTTCGCTCTTCTCGCAATCCACGTTGTTAATGACCCGCGACTCGATCACATGCAAATATCCCAATCTCAGCTCCCTCAGCTTCCTCACGAGATACGTGAACTGCCCCTCCGGCTCCGCCATCTTCATCCCCTGCCACGTATTCCACGGACTGATCCGGAACCCGACTCTCTCTGGGCCAATCGCCTCGCCCAGCGCCCTCGCAACCTCGATCCCGAATCGTGCCCGGTTCTCAATACTTCCGCCCCAGCTGTCCGTCCGCCGATTACTCACGTCCTGCGTGAACAGATCCACCAAGTACCCGTTCGCGCCGTGCACCTCCACTCCATCAAAACCCGCCTGTATGGCATTCTGGCCCGCGGCGGCAAAATCGCGAATCAGGGCATGGATCTCCGCTTCCGATAGCGCCACCGGCACCGCCGCGCCTTCTGCCATGGGAATCGCGCTGGGCGCTGCCACCTCCCGACCAGTTTCCGCCTTGAGAGTGGCTGGGTCCGCGGCGCGGCCGGGAGCCACTAGTTGGAGGATTATGTGGCTGCCTTTAGCGTGTACGGCGTCTGTCACGCGCTTCCAGCTGGAGATCTGTGCCGGAGACCAGATCCCCGGGGCGTGGGGGACGCCGGACCCGGCTGGGGAGATCATTGTTGCTTCGGCGATGAGGAGCGTTCCTGGTACGGAGGCGCGTTGGGCGTAGTAAGTTTCTGCGATGGGGAGCGGGATGTGCGTTGAGGAGGCGCGGAGACGGGTTAGAGGAGCCATAATGACTCGGTGGGAGAGGGTTATAGGGCCGATGCGGAGGGGGGTGAAGAGTCGGCTTTGAGAGAGGTGGGAGGGTGAAGATGAAGACATGGTGGAGAGAAGATGTAGGTTGGTTGGCTGGGATGTCGTCAATTGAATATATGTATATCGAAATTACTTTGATATGTGCAATAGAGTAGAATTCTTCAATGACCTTGCAACACGTAGACAGAAAGTCCTCCGGCACCGCCGCTTTATATCCACCCGTTAAGGCATATATGAGGCCTCATACATTTGCTCAAATTTTCGATCTCCAATTGCCTACTGCTTTGTCATCGCCACACCAAGGAACATAGTCTGGGACCATCGTGACTCGACAAATAGGTCATGTGGCATTGTGCCTAAAAAGTGGAAATAGAGGGTCCGGTTGGAGACGATTAGAAATCAAAGTTGGAAGGTTGAGATTGTCCCCGGGGGATCTTCCGAATAGGGAAATGTCTCCAAGTATCCCCGAAATGCCAAGACTTTACCTTTGAGCTCTGCTGGGGATTGGAAGGATGGGAGATATGGAGATTGTGATTGATGCTGTTATCGAGGTTGGTATTTCCTTGAGTGTGTAGCTCTATATTGTGTTCGTGGGCTGCTGGATCATTGTGCTGCTGTGCTGTATTGCCTCTAGATCTCATTGATCTGATCGTGCGATAAAATCTAGACCATAAACATGTTTTTTGTAGGATACAGAATCAGGGCCTTTTACTCAGCTCTCGAGTCATAAACTTGTTCAACATCCACAGATCCATACCAACTAGAAAGCCTATCGTCTGCCTCCATGAAGCGGCAGAGCTGCGGGGTGGAGGCATGGAGGCGGGGCCAAAACGGGAAACCCGCGATATCTTATCCAACGAACTGATCAGCGGCATCATTTAAGTCCTTTGAGCATCCTGCGGGCTTTCCAATCTCCGACCTTTTTAACGCAACTTACTACCGCCATGCCCCCCAAACGCGTTCTCATATCCTACTGTGTCGACGTCGATGCCGTAGCCGGTTGGCTGGGCTCTTACGGCGGCGAGGACAGCGCCAATGATATCAGCAGGGGCATCTGGGCCGCGACGGTCGGAACGGAACGTCTGCTCAAGATGTTCAAGGAATACGATATCAGGACGACATGGTTCATACCCGGGCATAGTCTCGAGTCGTTTCCCGCGGAGATGGCGAGGGTTAGAGATGCGGGACATGAGATTGGATTGCATGGCTATTCGCATGAGAATCCGGTTGATATGTCGCGGGAGCAGCAGAGAGATGTTTTGAAGAAGACGGTTGATTTGTTAACGGAGTTTACCGGGAAGAGGCCGAGGGGAAGTGTTGCACCTTGGTGGGTTTAGTTCCTGCTCACGGTGGATTTGATTGTGCTAATGGTGCAGGTGGGAAACCGACGCGGAAGGCGTGGCGATGCTTCGGGAATATGGCGTTGAATATGATCACAGTCTGAGTCATCATGACTGCCAGGCGTATTACCTCCGCACAGGCGATGAATGGACAAAGATTGACTACACTCAGAAGGCAGAAACATGGATGAAGCCGCTGGTGCCGGGCAAGGTGACAGATCTAGTCGAAATCCCGGGAAATTGGTACATTGATGATTTGCCGCCGATGATGTTCATCAAGTCGGCGCCAAATAGCCATGGGTTCGTGAACCCGCGAGATGTCGAAGATATCTGGCGGGATCATTTCGATTATTTCTATCGTGAATACGATGAGTTTGTATTTCCGATCTCGATCCACCCGGATGTTTCGGGCAGGCCGCAGGTGATTTTGATGCATGAACGGTATTTATTTGGAGAATCTGAAATGGGCAATGGCTAACGGGTCTAGGCTTATCCAGTATTTCAAATCGCATGAAGGAGTGGAGTTTGTGACTATGGAGGAGATTTGTGATGATTTCAAAAGAAAGCATCCATCGCCTGTTGAGTGAGTGAGCTGGAGTAGCCTGGCTCTATGGTGCGATTTGGCGAAGATCTCATTATGTAGGTATTTCTGTTGAATGTGGAAAGTCGTTGAGCTGTGCAGGTTGTGAGCTCTATCAATGCAATCCTATCACTAGTCAAGCGTATCACATCGACGAACCGGCTGCTTACCCTGTAAACTTTCCCGTGCGACCAACCTGGAATCGGCCTTCGGTGATCCGAATCGGATGGGAAATCTCACCGAGCAGGAGCACTGACAAGCCATCTAGCTACAGACACGGGCCTCGGCTACCATTGCCCTCTCCAGCTCGTGTTTCCCGATCCCCTCCCAGTGTTGTCGTCCCACGCGGGGGTCCCCGTGGGGGCACACAGATTGCGGGGGAGTACGGGGATGGCTCCATATTGGCTGATGATCGCCGAACCTTGAAGATCCCGGTCACTCCATGACCTGCCATTCGTTTGACTCGCTATGTCAGCGGCGTCCCCAAAATGCGTGGGGGTGCCAGAAGCCATCTGCTACTCTTTCTGATATATCAGGCATTCCCATGGCTGTTGAGAGACACTTTCTCATCAACTTTCTCGTCGCATACATCGTTGATCGTTCATCGTTTACCATGACAGAGAATAAGCCAGATGTCGCGCACAATGAGCATCCCATGAAGCCAGCGGATATCAACCAGTTACAAGATATCCGTGTACCCCTGACAGAAGATGACAACAAGCGGATCCGAAGAAAGACCGACTCCATCATCCTGGTCATCCTTTGCTGGACATACTTGATGCAAATTCTTGACAAATCTGTACTGGGATATGGAGCCAACTTTGGTCTCAAAGAAGATGCCAATCTCACCGGGAACCAATACTCCCTGGTGGGATCGATTGCCCCCATCGCTCAGCTGGCCTGGCAGCCCTTCTCGTCCTATCTCATTGTGAAAGTACCCCATCGCATTCTCATGCCAGTGCTGGCCGCGGGCTGGGGTATCGCGCAAGCGGCAATGGCGGCCTGTCACAGTTTCGAGGGCCTCATGGCTACTCGCTTCTTGCTAGGTCTCTTTGAGGCGGGATGTCTTCCCCTGTTTAGTATCATCACTAGCCAGTGGTATCGTCGCGCGGAACAGCCCTTGCGTGTGGCCGCTTGGTACAGTACCAATGGACTTGCCACCATACTCGCTGCGATCCTATCGTATGGGCTGGGGCATGTGCAGTCCGGTCCTTTGAACGAATGGCAGCTGTAAGTTCTTTTTTTTTTTTTCACCACGAAACACAAAATCATCAGACTAACCTGCCAGACTGTTCCTTGTTTGCGGTCTTATCACTGTCATATCCACCCCCATTATCTACTGGAAACTCGACAACGACATCTTCTCCGCCCGATTCCTTGACGAACAAGAGAAATTACAGGCGATGGAGCGTCTCCGCGCCAACCAGACCGGCAGCGGCAGCCGAGAATTCAAAGTCTACCAAGTCGTCGAAGCCGGCCTGGAACCGAAGACCTACCTCTGGATCGCAGCCGCGTTCCTCCTCAACGTGGGCGCATCGGTGACCAACGTCTTTGGACCGCTGATCATTTCAGGTCTCGGATTCGACAAATTCAAAACTACTCTGTTGAACATGCCTTTTGGCGCGTTGCAGTTCATCATCATTTTATTCTCCAGCTGGCTGGCCCAGAAAGCCGCACTGAAATCTGTCATCCTGGCTAGCTTCATGCTTCCCGTTGTGGCGGGCCTCGCGATCCTCTATGCCGTCCCAAGAGGGGAGAGCGAGCAAGGGGCTTTGATGGCCGGGTATTATCTCCTCTCGTTCTTGTTCGGAGGCAACCCGCTCATCGTGACCTGGATCGTCGGGAATACTGCCGGTACGACCAAGAAATCGATCATCATGTCGTTCTTCAACGCTGCTGCCGCCGCGGGTAATATTGTCGGGCCGCTTCTCTTTAGCGATGACAATGCGCCAGCTTATCTTCCCGGACTGCGTGCTTGTCTAGGGATTTTTGTGGCGATGGTCGCGGTTGTTTTTATCCAGTGGGCGAACTTGTGGGTGTTGAACAAGATGCAAGAGAAGCGACGAGTGAGGAACGGGAAGCCGGCGAAGCTTGTGGATCGGTCGATGCAGACGGGGTATGAGGTTAGCGAAGAAGTAGCGGAGGAGGCCGGACAAGAGGCGACGGAATTGGGAAGAAATGCCTTCAATGATATGACGGACCGGGAGAATGACGAGTTTGTCTATATTTATTGATGGGTTCGGCAATGATGGAAGCGTGGACGGAAGAAAGAAGGTTGGATCAAGCATGAATGAAATGGTATAACGAAATCACGAATAACTTTTGCGACATACGTGCATGAGTCACGGGGTCCTTACCGATTGTTGAGCATCTAAATCCTGGGTGAAATCGAAATCTTCTGCTAGATGACTTTTGGTTAAGATCTAATATTAACAACTCTAAAATACTATACAAGTGCTAGAAATTCGACTAAGCCATGCAATGATCGAACGGCATAATTCAAGACCCAAACTCCATAATGCATCAACTTCGCATCATTACACATACCCCATATATCGAACTCGTGCATCCATCGATGAGTACTAGATTCTCTCCCGGATGCGCTCCTGCCACGTCTTAGGAGTCGAGGTCTCCCACGAGTAATTCTGCAGTCGGCCGGTATCCAGATCCGCCTGCAAGGGGTCCACAAAGGAGGTGCGGTAGACGAGCTTGTGGCCGAGATAGAGAATGACGAAAAGAATGGGACAGATATAGGCGACCCAGAAATCGGAGACGTTGAAGGTGGGAATCCACGCCGTGAATCCCTGCGTCAGGATGATGAGGGTGTTGAAGAATAATCCGTAGTAGGCCAGCCACGGCTGCCAGATGGCCTTGTAGGGTAGCGTGTCGCGAGACAGGTCGCGGGCCTTGAGCGCGCGCATAAATGCGATGTGACTTATATTGATCGAGACCCAGCAGATGAATCCGGCAACTCCGGAGATGTTGACGAGCCAGTTGAAGACGGTGCCACCCGATTTGGAGACGTTCATGAAAGCCAGGAGACCGAAGAGCGCGGTGAAAGCGACACTAACCCAAGGAACACCCTTCTTGGTGACCCAGCCGAAGATCTTGGGAGCGAAGCCCTCCTGCGCAAGACCCAGGAGCACACGACTGCCGCTGTAGACGTTGGAGTTGGCAGCGGACAAGACCACAGTCAGAAGTACGGCGTTGATGATGTGTGGCAGGACCTTCACGCCGGCCAGCTTAGCAGCAATCACCATGGGGGAAGCCGATGCGTCGTTAGTGTCGGTAATCAGGTTCGGGTTATCGTAGGGGACCAAAAGACCGATAAAGAAGATGGTGAGCACGAAAAAGACGAGAATTCGAATGAAGGTCTTGCGGATGGCGGAGGGAACGGTAACCTGGGGGTTCTCCGTCTCGCCGGCTGCGACACCAACAAGTTCGGTACCCTGGTAGGAGAAACCGGCCTGAATTAAAACGGCCCAGAAACCCACGAATTTGGCCGTCGCGTCGTTGTTCTCGATCAGATAGGGAGCAAAGGCACCGGGGGTGTGGTAATATTTGAACCCGATATACCCTTGCTGCCCGACGCCAGCATCGATGCAGATGGCAAAGATCATGAAACCCAGGACCGTGATAACCTTGACCAAAGAGAACCAAAACTCGAGCTCGCCGTAAAACCCCACCGGAAGGAAATTGAGAAGCGTGATCAAGACCCAGAATACCGCGATGAATATAGCAATCGACAGATCCTTGTCCCAATACTGAATGATCAGACCCGTTGCCGTTAATTCCACCGCGTATGTCGAGGCCCAATTAAACCAGTAAATCCAACCCATTGCGAAACCCAAGCTCGGGTCCACCAGGCGCGTCGCGTACGTCGTGAACGATCCGGGGACGGGGATGTAGGTAGCGACCTCACCCAGCGAGGTCATGACCGAATAGACGATGGATCCGACGAAGATGTAGGCGATCAAGGCACCGGCCGGACCGGCATTCGCGATAGCTGTCCCACTGCTGATGAAGAGACCAGTTCCAATCGTTCCACCTAAGCTGTCAGTATCGACGTGCAAATCGGGCGGGATCTTCGCCTACCGATGGCAATCATCTGCAAGTGTCTGCTCTTCAGCTTCCGTTGCAGCTCGGGCTGGGGAGTGTCGCCTCCCATGCCGTCCTTTTCCACGTCATGCTCGTGGGCGTTTGCGGACTTGTCCTTCTTGCCGAAGCCCTTGATGCCGAACTTTCCTTTTCCCGAGGATGGAGGATCGGCGGCGGAAATTTCGACCTGAGGCGCCTCGGTGACCTCGTCGGGGGCCATGTTGGGCCGGATGAAGTCTGTGTAGGATGGAGGGGTAAAGATAGAGAGCTGGTGGGAGGAGGGAAGTGTCAAGATGGAGACGTCAACAAGAGGGGTTTGACTCAGAGAAAAAGAAAAGACTTTTTTTTTCTTTCTTTCTTTTTTTTTTTTTTTTTTTCCTGCTTCTTTTCCTCTTCTGCAATGGAACCCGTCCGACGGAGCAGATGAGCCGAAGTGGCGGCAAAAGCCCACCCGAGGCAAAACTATTATGTAAAGAGAACCGCGGTAGAAGTCGCGTTAGATCAATTGATCAGATTAATCACGGCGGAAAACGCGGATAGTTGAAGTGAGTTGGCATGCCGGAGGTCAATATACTTCTGTGCAGGAAGGGCTGATAACTGTCTATCGGGCATTTCATCGTTTGGTGGAAGCCATCTTCCACGGTGCATCGATGAAGGTTTTGATCAGAGATAACGCCGGGAAAAAACGATGAAAAAGGAAAAAGGTGGGTCGCGGCGCCACCAAGCCTTGCCAAGACTCTCTCTGTCGCCAGATTTCTCAGGCACCACAAGCCTGCAAACGGTCTGGGCGCCGGAAGAGGCAAACCGCGCGGACTTTTAGGGCTCAGGGCTCGCCGTTTTGCAGCCGCAGCCCGCCGGAACGTGGGCGCCCGGCGTCATCCCTATAACTACGATGTACTCCGTCGGGTACTCTCCAGAATCCAGTAGAACTTAGCAGAACTTAGAGAGAGCACTACGTCAAGATGATATAACAAGACACGCGAAATTGGCTCTACAATGTAGCATTGAACTGATTGATAGTTTGAATGATGCAATTACTTGATAGATGATACTAACATCAAATTCAATCTAGACCCGTTAGGTAGTCCTGATGGGAATCTGCCAAAGCCGATCCACCAGACAACGTATGGGGAACTGCGACGGAGCGACTTCATGTTTGCCGGCAAGTAAGGAACCCAATCATTGTCGTTGAACACGCTGAGAGTCCGTGTCAAGGCAGTGCGTTCGTAGGTAGGACGGGGGATAAAACAGTCAATAATTCCGGTAACGGTGTATCCGCCTACATCGGTTTCTTCTTTAACCATGATATTGGCGGGCCGCACATCCCCGTGCGTGAAGACAGATCCATGACCTAGAGTTGGATTTTAGTGTCCTAGCAGAGAGCGGAGGTACTTCATGTAGGCCTTGCTTCCATGGTGACGAGAGGAGGATTGCAAATCGCTATATGCGTAGCTGGTTGTGATACCTTTGAATAGGGCGCACTCGTCGACCCGGAGTTCCTTGGCTCCTTCTCCGCATATTCCTTCTATCGGAGCTCCCTCGTCTTGGTGAATGCTTCGGAGTCGTCTTAATATGCCATCCAGCTGGGTTAGTATCGATGCTTTCCCTTCGTTGATAGGCAGGGCCATGTCTGATCCAGGGCTCTTTCTGGAATGTAGGTCATGAATACCACCCGGTATTCACCCAGAGCAATAAATATATGGGATCTTGGAGCTGGAACATCGGGGGCTGTTTCCAAGAGATATCGCATGCTCGTATACTCCGTAAAAATATTTCCCGTAATGACTTTGGCAACAAGATCTTCGCTGTATTTCACCACTACGCCTCTAGTAGATAATTCCCACAGCTTTGACGAATTCCAAATAATCTTCTTCAGAGAGTAGACCAGGGATTCCTCAGCCGGGACTGAGTTGTCATCAGAACCGCTTTGTGAAAACTGTGCAAGCAACGCAGTAACCTCTTGGGACAGAGGAAAGACAATCTTCGCAGTTTGAACGTTATCCAACTTTTGCCGAAACTCGGGAGCCTTCGCCTCGAGCGCTTCCTTCTCTGCGGAGATAGAGCCTTTGGCTCAGTGGTCCTTGTAATCCTGCGATTGTAGTTTCTTGGAATCTTGGAGATAATATTCACTTCTGGGATGTCTTGGAGCCTGTCGCAGAGCTCATTCAGCATCCGGAAGTATTTGTTGGTGGTCAAGTAAAGAGAATATTGCGAGTACCTGGGTATTCTTTCTTCATCATGGAGTCCTCGATGTCCAAAGATTTTCAGTAACATTCACTTCACCACCTGCTGCGCTATATCTCATATGTGCCAAGACAGTGGAGGGACGATCGTGGCGGGGATATTGAGGGGCTCGTCCTTACTTTTGATAGATCATTTTCCTGTATTCCGCCTCGCCCCCCCCCCCCCCCCCCCCCAAAATCAGCTAAACTTGGGGAACGCTCCTGTTAACAGTGAGTGACAACTGAATTACCACCGATCAGGTAAACCAATAAGGTGGATGGACATGGATAGCGCGCAGTTTTAGTTCAAAGCGCTTTTTTGATCAATAATGACGAGCAATGAATAAAAGAACATACCGCAAGGGGGTCAGCCTTGTATCACCTTTAACCCCTCCGTCTTTCCTAACTTTTTGTTTTTCTTTTCCTTTCAATTTTCCCCCTTGTGTAGTTTTATTTTTCTCTCCCCTAATCCACGAACCAGAGAGACATATACATTACCACCTATAAAAGCATTGACATATCTAATTTTCTTTCACCCATTAGAATACTTTACTCTCGACATATCCCGTGGGCAATCCCCGGAAACCTCGACGACGCGGAATTTCGGGATGTGTTCCGCGGCCATAAGACTCCCTGTTGGCTTGGCCTGTTTTAGAGTTTCGTGTCATTCTTTTACGGTAAGTCATCGCGGATTTCTGGAGACAGAGTGTGTATTCCCTGATGATATTATCTCCGCGCGGAAACACCGCGGAAGATACTAGGTAGTATGTGTATCTTGATGCCAATATGGCAAGATGGTTTGCTGCCTCATGAATGAGTCAACCAATGGATCGACACCCGAAAAGCGGAGGCGGAGGCTGTGATCTTACCTAGGTAACCTTTTTCTTTTGCGACAATTGCATTCGATGAGACCTGCCGGGAGATGCGCGGACGGAACGCATTCCGCTGATAATGTGCAGGTCGTCATTGGCGCAGCGACGCGAATTAACTTTCCGCCGTCGTCATGTCTGCAGCGGTCATGTCACCCCCTCGCGGTATGACGGGTCATGGTCCCCGCGAATGGGCGGCATTGACCTCTCTGACTGACTGAGATGCGGAGTGGAGGTATATAAGATGGCTTGGGCCGGGGTACTGGGGCGCAGAGTCTGGTGGATATCAAGGGTTGATTGATTTATTCCTACGATGGATTCGGCTGAGGTCTACGATTATATTGTCTGTGGGTGAGGTTGAGTCTCGTGGAATCACTGGGATGATGCATAAGATGACTGACCGTCGCTAGAGGAGGCACTGCCGGCTGCGTCGTCGCCGGTCGACTGGCGGAGAACTCGAATGTTCGGATTCTCGTCATCGAAGCAGGGCAGCATAACAAGGATTTGGAAAATGTGCATATGGCTGGCGGGTATGTCGCCTATCCCACGTGCTGGTTCACGCTGACAAGACTAGATGGTCAAATAACTTCGATTCGGAAACCGACTGGAACATTGTCACGCCGTCGATGAAAGGAGTCGACGATCGCCAAGTCAAGCTCAGTCGCGGTCGGTTTTTAGGCGGCTCTTCCGGTTGCAATGGCACGCTATGTGTGCGAGGAAGTCCGCAGGATTACGACGATTGGGGTCTGGAGGGATGGAGCGGAGAAGAGGTATTCGCGGCGATGAGAAAGGTAGACCTGATCTGCTCTCGACATCGAGTCGCTCGCGGTCGCTGATAATGCATGAACAGGCAGAAACCTTCCATCCCAAAGACTGGCACCAGGCAGATCTCAAAAGCCACGGCACCTCAGGCCCCTTGCATACCGAACCGCATGATCTGGCTCCCATCGGAAACCTGCTTCTGGATTCGTTCGTCTCGCAGGGCCTGCCGCTTCGTCATGACATGTTCAGCACGGGGGATGTTCCGCATGGATGTGGCCATGTGCCGCGGACAGTACATAAGGGAATCCGATCGACGTCTGCTGACTATATAACGAAGGACTATCATCGTGCAAATGTCACTATCCTCACGGACACGACCGTCGATCGCGTAACCCTACAAAAAGGTGCCGATGGACTTCGGGCAACGGGCGCAGTCGGCATCTTTCCCGATGGCTCGTCGCGGATCTTCAATGCTCGAAGGGAGGTTATCATCTCGGGGGGTGCCTACTGCAGTCCGGCTGTTCTCATGCGGTCCGGGATCGGTGCACGTCAAGAGCTCAAGGATGTTGGGATCCCATGCAATATTGACTTGCCGGGCGTAGGAAAGAACCTAATGGATCATCTGGTATTTTTCCCCCAACACACACCGATCACACCCATACTAATGCGACCAGATCGTGTTCATGTTCTACGAGACCGAAAAGCCGGGCCTAACAAACGACTATCACGTCTACCACGACGGCAACTTCAATAAAACATACGCTCAATGGAAGGAACACAAGTCCGGGTTCCTATCAACCTTTCCATTCGGCTCCTTCGCCTTTGCCCGTCTCGACGACCGTCTTAAAGACGAGTCATTGTGGAAAACCGCCCCCCGAGAACCAGGACGAGACCCGATGGGACTGACGCCCAAACAGCCTAACGTTGAATTCTTCAGCACGGAATGCTACGGCGGTCCGAAGCAATACGACCAGTTCCCGATCGACCATAAACATGCCTTCTCGATCATCGCGGAATTGTTTGCCCCCAAGTCTCGCGGGACGGTGACTTTAAAGTCTAGGGATCCAATGGAGAACCCGGTTGTCGACTGCAATTATCTAGCTGATCCGATGGATCTATTGGTCCTGTCGGAGGCGTGTCGATTCGGCAATGAGATTGTGATGCAGGGTGCCGGCACGAAGAATATTGTGAAGGGATCATGGCCTCCGAATCTTTCGCATCATAAGTACAAGACCCGTGAGGAATGGGTGCCGTATGTCAAGCAGCATGCCACGACGTGTAAGTTCAGCGTCCCGTTGACAGAGGGATCATACTGACGAAAACAGGCTATCATGCATCCGGGACATGTGCAATGGGAGCCGACGACAACCCGATGGCCGTACTAGACAACAAGCTCCGCGTTCAAGGGGTTGCCGGCCTGCGGGTAGCGGACACGAGCGTGATGCCGGTGCTTTGCGGCGGACACACGCAGATGGTAGCATACGGGATTGGCGAGCGCTGTGCGGATTTCATCAAGGAGACATGGAACGAGGGAAGGAAAGAGGAGAGAACAAGACAAGGGGAGGGACAGGGGAGGGTGCTTACCCGGGCACACCTTTAGGGGACGGTGTTTGACTCTCACGCGAGTTATGATGTCTATGCTTTCCGTCTAAGGTTCATAGTTGATGGAGTCATGGAGATATCCTGCCATGAACTTTCTTGACCGGGAAGTTGTCTGAGGGTTGCTGAATGGACAGGTCTCATCGCAAGGTGGTTAACCGACTCTCTACCGCTTTTGTGGGTTTCATGATATACTGGGAACCATGTACAATTGCAGACGGTCGGAGTAATGAGGCGAATATGCCATTCTGCCTTGGTTGATCCTATCACGCCATGCCAACGATTCAACGTGCCTAACAAGACCCCGGTATTCATCTCCAAATTATCAAGTTGGGGGTCGCCACATCACCCAAGACATTGTCGATCGATCATTTTCAGGCAATAGTCTGGCAAATTAGCAGATTACATTGGTCAAACCGTGCGAAATGACGACGCTTCAATGACTCGTGAGTGTCTCTAGCCATCTCTAGACAATCAGATTAGCATCTGAGTTCTCGACATCAGTTCCGTAGTCTTACCTGGACATACTGTACTCCGTAGAATCACTCGAATCACCAGAGGCGTGTGAACGTCGCCACTTTGCGGCAAATCGCAATGCAACATTCAGCCACATTCTGCAGGCCGAGCGCGTGGAGAGAAAGTGAGACATCCGGCTGAAGTGGATAAAGACTACGCCCCCTTTGAACTTTCCGAGGCTTGTCCCGAGTTCCCCGTACAGGGCGGCAGACTCAGTTGACGTTGAGTTAATAGATTGACGCTGCACGAGTTGCATAACCATGGCTTCAGCTGCCTGGAGTCCTTAGGCAGTAGCATCAGACAAACGATGCAATCGAGACATTGCAGACAAACAGGTCAAAGTAACTACCTCCCGAAGCAACTCTCACTAGTTTCCTTTGACTACCTCGCCTACAAACTCGACAGTCGACGATCGCTCTAAGATTCGGGCCCCAACAGGTCGGTGAGACCTCATCCGATACTTGCGTCCTCACGGATGTCTGCGTCAGGAAAAGAAATGCATGTCTCAAAAGGTGCAGGGCGACGGCAAATATTGGACCAAGTCCTTCCGACGCCTGCCTTGCAACGTCGTGGACTTGGCTAAGCCGGCTCTCCAGGAAATCCCATGAGACATTTGGTGGAGATGTGAGACTAGCGGCTGCCAGTGGAGAAGCTAGTGACGACATTGTGTCGATCCTTGCTGTCTTTTGTCGTCGGCTGTCGACGCCGTATTTCGTAGTTCCGGCCTGTTTGAGGGAGTCCCTTTCCCAGTCCTCTTGGGGTCTCGTCCCAGATTTCCTTCCCCCGAACTTTCTAGGGGAAATCAATGGATTGGCCAAAAATAATCGATTGGTTTTTGCTGGAACGGGCGCTGATCATGCTCTATTCTTGACGCGCAGGTTGATTCCAGAAAATTGGGATCGGGAAAAAGGAGTGAATACCTGATCCCAGAAAAGACCGCTGAGACATGGCTCCACTTGAGCTTCACTGCTGGATTGTGTGATGAGGGATCAGGTTCGTGACGGGAATTCTGGTATAAATACCTCCGGTTGTCTCTCTTAACCCATTCCGATTCATCGCAACTCAATCTCATCCTCAATCACAATGAAGTTCTCCATCGCTGCCATCTCTGCCTTCGTCGCCGCCTCCGTGGCCGCCTCTCTCCCCGAGGCTTTCACCCTCGTTGCCGAGGGTGGAAAGACCGTCCTCACCGACGGATGTACGTCGCTCCCTGCAAACTGCACCAAGACAGACACTGACTTACTACTCATAGCCAACGCCCTCATCGGCGCTGACGCCAACGAGAACGAAATCCTCATCCTCCACGGCGGCGAGGGCGGCGGTGCCACCTACACCCGCCAGGGCTCTCCCCCTACTGCCTGGCAGAACCTCTACGTCGTCGAGAACGCCATCAAGCCCATCGCTTTGACCATCCCTCACTCCGGCGCCACCCCCGAGAACGCCAACCTGACCGGCTTTGGCCAGACCGAGGACGGCTACTTCACCTTCGGCGGCAAGCAGCTGTTCGGTGTCAGTCCCCAGAGCCCCGAGAAGATCGCCTACATTGGCCTCGGCAAGAGCAACTACGAGGTCACTCCCCTGTGGGTGAAGGAGTGCAAGGGCTGCTAGATTATCTAGCCCCAGCTTTTGTGATACTGGTGTGGATAGCTGTCATGGAAACATCCAACCCCATGTTTGTCAATAAATAATCAATCAAACTGCACATAATACTACCACATTACATACGTACATACATATATCCATCCATCGATCTATCTAGTACTTAGTATCCAATAGCTCGGGGGTATTTCACAAAAGACATCTGTCCCGACGGCGCCAATGCCATGCTCATCTTTCCCGACACTCCGGGCTCCTCGCCCAGCATGTTCTGCGGGAATCCGACTTCCAACGGCCTCACGCTCTCCAAGTACGCGATCTGCTCGTCCGTCAACCGGATGCTCAACGCCTGGATATTATCCTGTAGATGCTCGATCTTCCGTCCGCCCACCAACGGGAACACATTCGTCGTCTTGCTCATCACATACGCCAGCGCAATCGCCGTCACCGACTCAATCCCATGTTCCGCGGCCACCTTGGCCAAGGCCTCGCTCATCCTCACCTCCTCCTCACCCTGCTCAGACCCCATCAGCTTCCTCAATCCCTCCCCGCTGGCCTTGCGTTCTTCCAGCGCCTTCTTCGTCTGAAACTTGCCACCCCCAACCGCATCCCACGGCGCAAGCGCCATGCCGAACTGCCTCGCCATCGGGATAATCTCCCTCTCGAAATCACGCTGCAGCACATTCCACCGGCCCTGATACACACTGAACAGCGTCTTGCCGGCCATCCTCGCGTACGTATTGGCCGCACTGACCAGCCACGCAGGGGTGTTGCAGATCCCCAAATACAGCACTTTACCCTGCTGCACCAGCGCATGCAATGAGTCCATCACCTCCTCGATGGACGTCGTATAGTCCCACCAATGCACATACAGCACATCAATGTACTCCGTCTGCAGCTTGCGCAGAGAATCCCGCACGCTCATATGCAGGCTCTTCTTATGGTTACCGGCGTGGTTGATGGTCTTGCCCTTCCCGATCTGGTATCCCTTGTATTCGCCGGTGTATTTCGTCGCAAGGACCAGCTGGTCCCGGATGCCTCGTGTCGCGGCCCATTCGCCGATCCAGGTCTCTGATTCTTCGTTCTGGTAGTTGTTCGCCGTGTCGATGAAGTTGCCCCCGGCGGCGACGAAGGCGTCGAGGAGTGCGAACGACGCTTCTTTGTCCATGCTGCCCATCGCGGAGGACCAGGCGGAGCCGATGGACATGGCGCCGAGTTGCAGGGGAGAAACGCGGATTCCAGCCGTCGAGGAGAGGACGCGGTAGCGGCCGAGCTCCGTCGGGGGGGAGGGCGCGGGCATGAAGGCTTCCATGGTGATTGCTTGTTGTATTAAGGTAGAGGTGAAGGGCTGGGTGTTTGAGTTGTGGCTGAGTGAGGGGTGATTGAATGTTGGAGAAGGAGAACAAGAAAAGAACTGAAGACGGGGGAGAGCGGGTTCTTATAGATCTGGGGACCCGGCTGGGTTAGGGACTTAGGGCACCATCGATGGAGGACCAGAGCTGAAGGAATAGGAGAAGTGGGACACGACCAAGCGATGGGACTGGGTCGGCTGGATTGCATGAATCCATTAATTGGATTCGTTTCGGCCGTACCTGAGTTGGTGTGGTGATTTTAGTTTCTAGACTTCCTTTATCGGGCGATTGAAGCCCTCTACAGATCTATACACTATACGTGGATCTACTCTGGCGAACCAGATCGAATCAACTCAGCAGTCACAATTCACGATTATATACAGTAATGCCTAGGACTATTTATACATTGAAAAAGATAATCACAGATAATACGAACCATCCACGCAAGCCAAACATTATATCAGTCAATCATTAAGCAGATAACACCCTTCAGTCCATCCTATAGGGCTTAGAGGGATCCGTTCACCATCGTCTTCACATTTTCCCACACATTACCCGAGCGCTGGAACACCTTCTCGGCCACATACTTCATCTTCTTGCCCGTCGGGCTGGCGATGAATCCCGCCTCGACCAGGAATTGCACGTTGCGGCGGATCGTCGCCTTGACGTGCTGCTTCTGCGACGGCGACACCACGCCAGCGGCGTCGGTCATCATGTCCCCACCCAGTCGGCCCTGGATGGCGTCGAACACCTGCGCCACCGGCCACAGCGGATGGTTGTTGGCGTCCTTCTGGATGGACTGGTGCATGATGTCCATCCAGGTGGCGTGGTCGACCACCTTCAGCGGGTACTTGAGCTCCCGGGAGAAGATCTCCCAGAACTCGCGCTCCGTGATACCATCCGTCATGTAGGTCACTGTCTTGATGGCCTCGGCTGGGCAGAAAGCCTGGAAAACCGTCTCCTCGGCCACTCGCGTGCTACTAGTCACGAACATCCACCCGTCGCCGTGGTCGAGACTGTGGGCGCGCGCGTCCACCACACCCGATGCCAGTCGCCAGATGAAATCGTCCGTGTTGGCGACCCCTTCCTCTGGAGTGCCGAGGATGAGACCTGGCTTGACGATGGAGAACTGGTTCGGGTGCATAGCCGCGAACTGCTTGACCAGGAGCTCGGAGAGGTACTTGGTCTGCGCGTAACCATTGGCGTGGGCGACTTCGCGCGCAATGTCCGCGTCGTTCTCGCCGACGTGCCAGCGGTGGCCACCGGATACGTACACCAGACGCGGCTTGGCCGGGGAGACCATGGACGCCTTGATGAGCTCGGCGGTGGAGTTGACGTTGGCGGCGCGCAGCACAGCTGTACCGGCGTTCCAGTTCACCGCAGCGCCGGCGTGGATGATAGAGTGCACAAGTCCGTCGTTGGGCGACTCACCCGTCAGCGAGGCCCACTGCTTGGCCTTGAGGCCGAGACGCGGCTTCGCCAGGTTTCCGGCCCACACGTCCAGCTTGCCCAAGTAGTAGTCGGACCACCACTGGGCGCGCACGGCGGACTCCTTGACGCGGATGAACGCCTCAGAGGGGGTGTTAGCGCGGACGTGCGCAATGACACGGCCCACGTCGGGTCGGTCGCAGAGTTGGCGGAGGATCTGGGTACCCAGGAAGCCGGTGACACCGGTAACGAAGACGGTCTTCTTGACGCAGGTGTCCTTGACGATGTTCTTGAGAAGCGTAGAGGCCTCCTTCATCGCGTCAAAGGCAGGCGCTTCCTGCTTGACGGTGCCTGAGAGTTCGGCTTCAATGAACTGTACCAGCGAACGCACCGTCATCTGGCCGTCCAAGATGCGAGACACGTCCACTTTGACGTTGTAGGTCTTCTTGATGAAGCTGGCCAAGCTGATTACCTGGACCGAGTCGATACCCATTGACGAGATGTTAAAGTCGCGGCCTTGCAGCGGCGTGTCGTCGCGGTTGACCAGCTGAGCGATCTTGCCACTGATGGCGAGAGCCTTCTCCTCCTCGGGGCGGAGCGTGTCGGTAGCGACGGCGGCGGCCTCGCGCTTGACGCCCATGGCCGGCTCGAAGTCCGAGGGCAGCACCGCCAGCCAGTTGTCCACCGTCTTGCGGTCGATTTTGGTGGACGAGGAGCTGGGGATCTTCTCCACGACGATCCATATGACGGGCACCATGTGCACGGGTAGCGTCTCGGACATGTACTTGGAGAGAGCGGAGAGATCGAAGCCGGTACGCTGGAGGCGGCTGCTGCACACCTGCTTCATGTCAGCTCCCAGGGTGGCGGAGAGCTCCAGAATTGCGACCAGCTTGTTCGCGTAGAGGCCCTTCTTGGGGTAGGCGACTACAGACTGCGTGACCTCCGTGGGCAGGCAGAGGTGGTACTCGATCTCGCCGAGCTCGACACGCTGGCCACGGATCTTGACTTGCGTGTCCTTGCGGCCGATGAACAGCAGGGATCCGTCGGAGCCATACTTGACCAGATCACCGGTTTTGTAGAGACGGTCGCATCGAGACCAGGGGAGCCACGAGGGTCGCGGGATGAATGCCGCCTCGGTCTTCTCGGTGTTGTTCAGATAGTGGCGGGCCAAGGTATAACCTTCGACAAGGAGCTCACCGACACAGCCGATGGGAGACAGCTTGTTGTGATTATCCCGGTCAGCCACCCAGCAGGCGCCTCCTACCGAGGTACCGATGTTGTTAGGCAGGGTACCAGGGACAACATCGCGGTTGGAGGAGCTGCAGACGCAGCACTCACTGGGTCCGTAGCCGTTGACCAGGCGGACATGAGGAGTCCACGCGGCGACGTGAGCGGCCGTCATGGCCTCTCCGGCCAGACAGAGTGTCTCCAGAGTGGGCACCGTGGTCGGGTCGATCGTGTTGACGAACGAGGGTGTCAGGACCGCCCAGTCGACATTCATGCGGGTAATGGCTTCGGCGATGTTACCGCGTCGCTCGTTCTCGGAGGGCACACACACGCAGCTTCCCTGGACCAGGGTGGAGAGGATCTCCAAAACACTGGCGTCGAACGTGTACGAAGCGAATTGGAGCACACGACGGCCCATCTGCAGACCCTCCTTGTGCGAGAGCGCACCCGTACAGAAAGCGCGGTGTTCGACAACGGATCCCTTGGGAGTTCCAGTACTACCCGACGTGAAAATCACGTACGCCGAGTTGTGCGGAGCCACGGGTGTGGTGATGGTCTTGGGGGTGTGCGCCTGCGCCATACCAGGTCCAACGGCGATGGCCTTCTCGACGACACCCGGGCAGCGGGCAAGCTGCTCCTCAGAACAGAGCATGACCTTGGCGTTGACCTCCTTCACCACCAGCTGCATACGGCTAGTGGGCTGAGAAGCGTCCATCGGCACGAACGCACCACCAGCCTTCATAGTTCCTAGCATGGCGACGATCGTCCACAGCGACTTCTCGAAGCAGATGGGCACGAAAACCTCAGGGCCCACACCGGCGTTGATCAGGTGAGCTGCGAGCTTGGAGGAGATACTCTCCAGCTCGGCGTAAGTCATCTCGCCGTCCCAGGCGCAGATAGCGGGCGCGTCCGGGTGCTTGATGGTGTTCTGGGCGATGAGGTTGTGGACGCAGTCATCGGTCATGCTGGGGATCTCCCGGTTCCAGCGCAGCAGGTCCTCCTTGTCCTGGGGACTGATCATCTCCAGGTCTCCAATGATGCCAATGGGCTCGGAGGCCAGCTGGTGCAGAAGGTGCTCGAACTGACGCACAATGCGGTCAACCTGCGTCCCGGAAAGCACGCCGTTGTCGAAGTGGACGTGGACAAGCACAGAGCCATCCGCGGCCAGGCTGCACTCCAGGGTCAGCGCGACGGTGCTGAAGCGGGCACGAGGAGCAGAGAACGGCTGGATGATGCTGTCCTCGGGGATGGAGCTGGCCGGCTGGATGACAAGCAGGGTCTGGAAGCCGCAAGCAGCTGCGGCGCCCTCGCCCAGGCGGGCAACGTTCTGCAGACCGAAGTTCTGAGAGGGACTCATCTGCACAGAGTGGTTGTGCGCATGCTGTAGATACTCGGCGATGGAAGTCTGAGCGTCGAAACGAGCGCGGATGGGCACGGTGGCAATGACCGGGCCGACCATGTCCTCAACACCCAGCACAGGGGCGTTACGACCACTGACAGTGCATCCGAAAACGGTGTCCGGGGCATCGCAGTAGCGGGCCTGGAGCAAGGACCAGGCGGCGCGGATCAGTGTGGCGGTCGTGTAGTCAGACGGGCCATTGCGATTGACCTTGAGGGTGTGGACCAGGGTCTCGTTGGCCACTGGCTGGTACGTAGCGGAGGGCAGCAGAGGAAAGGTCGTCAGATCTCCCTCGGCCAGCTCCGAGCGCCAGTAGTCCTCAGTCTGCTTGTCCATGTTCTTCTCGGCAACGTGCTGGATGAAGTCACGGAATTTGGGACGTGCAGGAGGCACGATACCTTGCAGGGCTTGCACCAAGTCGTTAAAGATCATCTCCAGCGACAGTCCGTCGTAGATGGCGTGATGGATTGTCAGAACGAAGAACGACTTGCTGCCCGTGGAGATGACGGCGTGACGGGTCAGGGCGTCGCCCATCTGCATAGGGATCTTCTCGTCGGTCTGGATGTAGTTTTCCAGGTCGGAGTCATGCTTCCACTGGATGCGGGCGCGGTTGACCACTTGGATGGTACCGTACTGGTCGGTCTCGACCATGGTGGTGCGCAGGACGTCGTTGTTGCTGACGATCAGCTCCCACAGCTCCTTGAACCGGTTCACGCTCAAGCTGGCCGGCATCTCCAAGGTGTGTCGGGCGATGTACGAGCCAGAGATCTTGGTAGACAGGGCCATCAGACCGGTCTGCAGCGGACTGCAGGGATAGGCGTCCTGGATGACATCTGGGTCCTCGAACCCGGTAGCTGCCAAGATATTCGAACGTACATCGCCAGCATCGCCACCGAGCAACTCAAA